TTTAATGATTATATGTAACTTACGCTTGATTTTTTGAACAAATAATTTTTAAGACTAAGTTAATAGTTTTGCATTTTTAATTAATTTAACTATTAAACCTGTAGATATATTTTTTACTTCTAGAAATATCTTTCAACCAAAGATGTATATTTTTTATATTTACATTATCTTTCTTTAATTCATTGCAATATTTATTTAGAGATGTTTTGTATCATTATTTTTCTAAACGATTAAAGTCAAAAAAGTATCATCTAAAAATTTTTCTCATTTATATTATGTTAATCCGATTTTTCTAATCTGAAAACATTTAAGTTAAAAAGATAGTAAACAAAGATAGCCTTTTATTCATATTATTGGTTTTGATATTTTTTAAAAAAAGATTTTTTGAACTTTTTGATAAATGTAGATTAAAAATAGTAAGGTATTATTCTTTATGTATTTTATATTCTTAAAAAATATTAGCTTTTAATATTTCTAATATATTTTTGCCAATTTTATTTCATTTAAAATTATATTTGACCTATTTTCTTTTATAGATTCAATATATTTAAGTATAATAATATAAACGATGATTTATTAATTTTTTTTTATTTTTTTAATAAAATTTGCTTTCTATTAAGATAATATTCATTATTAGAGAATATACCAATATATAATTTAATCTTCACAGTATTTATATAACTTATTTAGTTTCTAATATTTAAATATTAATTATATTTTTTATATTACTATAATATATTTTATTTTTGGCAATAAATATTTCTTAAAAGCTTAATATTTATTATAATTTAATTTAAAAATTTAACATTAACAATGAAGAATAGTTTTATTGATATTAGGGTTATTATATTAAATAAGAATTTGAATTGTTATTTTAGTTAAAATAAAAAAGGGGATAGTTTAATTATATTATTCATATATAATAGAAAATAAAACATTTTTAACTTTTTTTATTTTATTTAAATGTAAAATTTTAAAATAATTGATTTTTTTATAATTAACAGTATAATTAAAAGAAAATTTTAAATAATAAGCATGTATTGTAAAAAAATTGATTTTTTATTTAAACAAATATATATTTTTTGTGGTCTTAAAGTGAAATTTATGATATTTTTTAATTTATATTTAATATTTTAATATAATTAATAATCATAAAAAATATAATATTAATACTAATGAGTATTATAATTATTAATGAAACAATATATAATTTCAGAATTTAATATATAAAATAAATTATTCTCTTAGAAAAACTCAAAGCTTACAAATACAAATAATCAGAATTTCAATAAAAAAATCAAAATATTTTCTTAGCAATTTAAATAAAAAAAATAATTAAAAGAAAAAATTAACTAAAAAAAAAAAACAAAAATAAAATATTTTTGTCTAAGAATTTTATCTTAAAACAAAAATATATATAATTCAAAAAAAGAAAAAACAATTATCTGAATTCAAATATAGAAAAAGTCCTATTACCATCATGTTGAAGAGTAAGTTGTTGAAATCTATTTTTAAAATTAGTTTAAAAATACTAAGTAATTTACTTTACTGCTCAGAATTTTTATGGTAATATATCCCTGATATACTTCCTACAGACTGCTGAAAACATATATAATAACTAGAAAAATATTAGATTGTTTAAACATCAAAAAAAATCTTACAAGCCAGCATAACTAATCCCATTAAGAGCCATACTATAATCTGACATTGGCTCGTTGTTATTATCAGAAACTATATGCATTTCTTTCCATCTCATAAAAACATGATCTTTAAACAATTCATATTTATATTTGAATTCCGGCTTTTTAATATTTTTTGCAAATGGTCTAAAAGCTTGAAACCTTATCCAATGCTGAAGATCAATTTTTTCAGTAGACCCCCATTCTGGGTGCTTGGTAATAAAGCCATATTTTGAACCAATAATTTCCCCTTCAAAATATGTCGTCAAAGATGAATTATCTTTGGTTAAGCCTTGAATATGAAGATATCCGCACAAAAATGATTCTTTAGGGTCTACATACTGAAAATCCACTGATACTTCATATAAAGCTCTTCCAGATTGTTGTGTACCTCTAATTATTAATGAGTATTTAAAAAATATAATGTTAATTTACATAAAAGAAGCACCTGAACGTAAAAAAGAGGTATGTAATGTAGACAACTGTAGATTTGTAATTAACTATTATAATGTATAAAAATATAAATATTTTACCCTCATTGTAGATAATTCTTTCTCAAATGATGGCTGAACATATGTTGAGCTTTTCAATGACAATTCTTCTTTTGAAGATTCACTATCCTCTGACTGATACATCAATTGATCTTCTTGGTTTGTAGGCTTAGGTTGATTGCAAATAATATTTGAAAGTACTGGCATTATATTGTCAATATAGTTGAATATTTTTGATAATGATGTTTTTTTTTTAATTATATTGATGTAATAGTCTTAAATATTTCTAAAGAAATTAATAATATTCTATTAAAAAAATATTTTTTCAAAAATACATTTAAAAATTATGAAAAGCTTTCATTAATAAAAATCGTAAAAGTTCTATTTTATTCTCAAAATTAAAAAAATATAAAACAAAAAATAAATTAATTTAAAATATAAATGAAATATTATTAAAAATAAATTATAATAATATTACTATTTTTAAATGAATATTATTACAAGAATATATAATTTTTTTTAAAAAAAACATAGATCAGTAAAATAAAAAAAGTATAATAATATAATTTAAAATTGAAAAAATTAAAAAAGAGGTTAAATTATTGTTGTACATATTGTACATAATGTATATAATTTTATAATTTTTCATAATTTTAAAGCACAAAGTACTTCGAAAAGAAAAATTTTTTAAAAAACAAAAATTAACTTAATATAAAATTGATTCAGAATTCTATGACTAGCAAAAAAAGTACATCAAAACAATCAAAATCACGTTCAACACCAGTTTCTAAGAAAAAAAAGGCAACAGTTTCTATAGATGTAAATCCGTTTATAAGTTATTAAAATTAATATATTTTAGGATTTGAGCCTTCCTAGGACTGCTGTCCTAAAATTAGTAAAAAAAGTAATTCCGGAACATACAAATATTCAAAAAGATGCAGTAACAGCTTTAATGAGAGGATCATCTGTTTTTATCAGCTATCTTTCTTCTACGTTTTTTTTAATAATATTCATTATCACTTTCTAATAACTTTAGTGCATTTGAACTCTCTAAAGTCTCATCAAGAAAAGTAATTCTTCCTTCAGATGTTATAAAAGCAATGGAAAACATTGAATTTGATTCATTTATCCCTAGAATGATAGAGGAACTTAAATGTAATACTTGCCTTTATCTTTTATATACTAATGAATATCTAGTGCATGAAGTAATTGTTAAAGAAAAAAAAAATGCAATGAAATCAGATAAAGATTCACCTACATGTATTGAAGTTAAAGATGAACATATTAGCAAGAAAATGAAAACAGAAGATGGAGCTGAAACAGTTGAAGCTGACATAAATCATGATTATGAGTATTACGATGACACATGTGATGACGAAGGAAGTGAATATAAAGGTGAAGAAGTAGAGAATGAAGAATTAGAAGAATTGATAGTAAGCAATGAGGATCTATTAAATGATTAACATAAATAAATAAATAAAGGTGGTCAGCCCTGTGCTTTAACATTATTAGTCATTAAAGCCTAATATTTGAGAATAAGAGGTAAATTAATAAATAGTAAATTTTAAAAATTAATTTTATTAGTAATTAAAATAAATTACTATATGTATTTTTGAAAGATAATTATACAAGGTTTATAAATAAAAATTATACAAATGTGTTTTATGGTTAATAATTTTAAGATTTCGATTTTTCTAATTTATTTTATAAAAACTAAATTTAGTTCAATTATTAATATTTATGCGTTTAGAATATCTCGGTCTTAGTATTTTAATTATTTCTAGATTAATATTGAACATTTTTTGTATTTTTAAAATATTAATTATAAAACGCAACAAAAATAGTGTAGTAGAATCTATTAACAATTTCTTATATTTATTAACTTATATTTATTAATCTATATATATCAAATATCTCTATGATTATAAATTGTAATTTTTAATGTTTTTTTTTTTTTTTGATTTTTTTTAATTCATTAATTTTTTAATTCATTAAAAATGCATTTTATGTATAATTAATTTTCTTTGTAAACAATATAAGTCGACATAAAAGCAATTGTTACTTTTTCTATTGTTATATTAATTAAAGCTATACTACTCTTTCCTTTTATTTATTGCTAATTTCATAAACAATTTTAAGATAATATCAGATATATTCAAAAATATTCAAAATAATATATCTAACTATATTTTACAAATATAACCAAAAATACAATAATTAAGCCAAAATTATTAATATATAATTTATTAAAAGTTAAATATACAATTACATAAAATACAGAAAATATATATAAAAATATTTTAAATAATCACATATTTAATAATTATGAATATATTTCCTAAAAAAATAATCTAACAAATATAAATTATTTATAACATTAAAAATTTTATTAAATTCTAAATTTAACCATTCATTTTAAAACAATTTTTTATATATTTTAATAAAACATTGAAAAACTAATATATTTAAACTAAATTTAGAAAATAACCAAATAATAAATAAATCAAAATTAAATGAAAATTTTAATTATATAATATCATTTTGATATTTTTTCAAAAGTATATTTTTTAATGTCATTATAAAGAAAAATTTTGTGTAAAATTCAAATTATGATTTATTAAAATATCGATTAATAAATTAAAACTAAAAAAGCAATTATATTAGAGTTCATTATTATTATTATCTTTAATATGCATATATTATTGTCTATTATTGTATAAAATAATGTTAACTCATCAAAATAAAGTTTTTCTGCGAATTTTACGTTTTTAATAGTCAAATATTTCATGAAATTAATAATAATACTAATTTTAATAGATATTTCTATATAATGAGAAAATTAAAATTCTTATATTTATTTATTACTTTTTCTTTGATTCAAGCAATTTTTGAAAATGAAACAATAAGTTTTCATATTCCTTTAATTGGTCTTCCATTGAAGAATTTTATTTTTTTCTATAAACCTATTTCTAAAGATATGTTGATTTATATAGCAACAGAAAAAAATATTCTTGCTGCCATTAATTCTAAAAATGGCAATTTAGGTAATGAATTTTAAAAATTGAAACTATTTTTTCATTTTATATTTTTAGTTTGGAGACAAGAATTTGCAGAAAATGACCCAATTAATATTGTTAAGCCATTGAATTCAAGTAATTTTGTATTTTTTTTAAAACATAGTCTAATTAATATATCAGGAATTATCACTCTTTCTAATTCATCAATTGTTAGAGCATGGAATGCTTTAACTGGTTTTTTGATATGGGAAAAAACATTTTTAAGTCCTTTTCCAATCAATAAATATGATATTAATTTTTTTGAAAACAATACAACCTCAAATAGTGATATTATAATTCTAACTTCAAACATAATATGTTCTTTAAATAGTAATACAGGAGCTCAGATTTGGAATTATAATCAAAAAGCGTAATTTCTTGACATTTTTAGTTTCTAAAAACTTATTTTGGTAGAAAAACGTCTCCATTGTTTTTATCAATATCTAATTCATTTATATATCTTATCGAATCAGTAGTATTATCAAATATTTATTCTTTTTCAGTATCGAAACTAAATGGGAAAACAGGAGACATAATAACATCAAACTATTTATCTTCAATACCAAAACCTGAAGACATTATTTATGTAGGCAGTTTGCCTCTACCTATAATCGCATGGAAAAATTCCAATACTAATAGTTCTATTTATATACATATTTTTGATAGTAATATTACTCATGTCATAAATACAGAAGTATAATTATTACATTCATTTATTTTAAATTAATCTATTTAGTCATCTTTCGATTTTGTTAAATTTTATGTACCCGAATATTCTAACACAACATCGCCGTCTGTTTTACTTCATTTTACCTCTAGTCCTACTAAAAAATCATGGGCAAGTGTTTACTTGTTTAATTCAAGCTCATCTATTTCAAAATTATACGAAATATCATCAGTTTCATCTATGTCACATTTTTTTTCTACAAATTACATGTCTAATACATTTTTCATTCATTCTTTTATCAATAGACTTGGTTTCATAAATATAAATATTTATAGTGATAAAAACAATTCTATTTTAAACACATGGAATATATTTCAAAATCGATCTTATCATTCTTATCTTGAACAAATTGTATCAAAAATTTTGAAAATAACAGACAAATCAGTTATTATAAAGTCAATTATAGTAACACACGATGCGTTAATTTATATGGTAAAAGAATCATCTATTTTATGGACTCGCGATGAATCTTTAGCTTATTCAATTCATGCAGAATTTCTTGAGCTTCCTCAAAAACAAATTGTTTTGTCAAAAAATAGCATAAAAAAAAAGCAAAAATCATTAGTTTCTACTTATATAAATAGAATTATTAGACATATTAGTGAATTAAAAGAAATTCAAAAATATCTATATTTATTTAGAGAAAAAATTATAAAATTTTCTAAAAATACAATAATCATTAAAAAAAATATATCAGGAAAGGATATATTTGGTTTTAGAAAAATTATTATTGTCATAACATCTAAAGGAAAAATATTAGCACTAGACTCTTTTTATTCTGGTACAATTTTATGGTCAAACCAATTGGGAGACGAATTTGATTACAAAGGATTATGGATTGTCAAAAAAAGTAAAACATTAAATGATTCTCCTCCTGTTATTGCTATTCTTGGAATGAATTTTAAAAATATGTATTTCTGGAGAATAAACGGTCTAACAGGAGAAACTCTTAGTCTTAAAAAAGTTAGCAATAATATAAAGAATTCTTTTATTCTAGATCATCATTTAATAAAAAATTTTGATGAAAAAATTATAGTTACAATAACAAATGATAAAAAGGTTAATATCTTTACATTTATTATCTATTATTAATTTCGAAAAGATTATACTTTTATATGATACTTCAAAAAATTTTCCTATATCTGAGCTAAAAAATCTATCTAACGTATATTTTTCTACTAAAAATTCCAACACCTTAGAAGGATATTTTATAAATTTTAAAGTAAAATTATATTTAATAAATTATTATTTTCTAAAACTTATTAGAATTTATATGCTAATACTACATGGACTATTAATTTTCCATCCTCTCAATTTATTATTTCTACTTCATTTAAAAATAAAAACGAAAAAATAGCATCTATAGGACGTGTTCTTGGTGATCGCTCAGTATTATATAAATATTTAAATCCGCATTTGTTAGCAGTTCTAACAGGAGATAAAATGGATTTAAAATTGAATGTTTATCTAATAGATATAGTTAAAGGAATGATATTGTATACTAAGCACTATAACAATGTTGATATTTCAAAAGGTGCAAAAATATTGTTAGCAGAAAATTGGATAGTGTATCAATTTTGGGTTGAAAGCCCTACAAAAGGATATCAAATCGTTACTTCAGAACTATACGAAAGTAAAGAAAAAAATAAAAAAAATAAAGAGTAATTATTTTCTTCATTTTTATTTTTATTTTTTAAGTTTATTAGAACAAATTTAAGTTCAATTAACAACGTCCCTTTACCGTTTGTTATATCTCAAGCATATCTTTATCCACGTAAAATTCAAGCACTAACTACAGTATTAACACGGCATGGAATTACATCACGTGATATTGTTTCTTATGTTGATTCTAATAAAGTTATTATGATTCCTAAAAAACTTCTTGATCCCCGAAGACCAATCTTAATTAATAATAAAATGCCAGCAGAATCAATTGAAGAGGGCCTAATTCCATATCAAGTGAATTTATTTAAGGATTCAGAAATTGTGATTAGTCATAAAAATGAGGTATAGTTATAAAAATTGCATTATTTTTTGTAATTATAGCAGATTTATGGAATCAAGAATATATTATCCAGCTCAACATTATTAGAAAGCACATCAATTATATTAACATATGGTCATGATATTTTTTTTACATATGTTACTCCAAGTAATTCTTTTGATATTCTTAATCCTAATTTTAATAAAATACAATTATTATTAACTATTTTTGCACTTATCGCAGGACTTTTTCTGTTAAGATCAATGGTAAACTACAATTTCATTTAAAGATTTAATCTAATAGAAAAGATAAAAACTAAATTATTAAAAAGACGATGGAAAGTATTGTAAAAAATTTAAAAAATAACATTATGTATTTTATGAAAACATTTCTTTATATACTCTAGATACATTTCCCAATATACATTATTCATTCTATTAGTTTTTTTTTGCAATCTTATTTTGATCTATAGAAAAAAGCCATACAAAACAAAAAAGCAAAAATGCAAATATTGTCGTAGCAACTCCTATATAATAAGGAAAAGCAATAAAAAGATATCGTGGGTACTAATGATATTAGTATTAAGACAAATATCAAAATATATTACTACTAACCTCATCATGTTTATAGTGTCTAATAGTTATAGTAGACCGTTCTTCTATATAAGATAAACCTGGCCTTTTATAGTTTACCTTAAAATGAAAAATTCCATAACGATCAACTAAAGAAACTACAGTAGAATAAACAGAAGAATTCGAAGTTCTAGATGCTTCTTTAAGAGTTGTTCTTATATAAGGATCTAACATAATAAGTTCTAATTGAATGTCTGAAGCAACAAAAGGATTCCATGAATTATTCTTATATTGTGAAAATACGATCTCAAATACCTGCATTTTTCCTTTAAGAATATATATTTTATATAATCATTACATACCACTTTATCTTTTATTTTATAGACATTAGGGGACGTATGCAATGTTTTATTCAAAAGATTATGTTTCATTGAAATAACTTTCAATACACTTTTTTCTTGGAAAAGCCATTGAGTGATCTCTTCAACAAAATAGCGATTCCCAGATTTAACATTTTTTTCAACATATGAATTAAAAAAACTGGAAATATTAGTCTGAATAAAATAAATAAATTCCTTATACGTATTTGAGAACATTTCAATGCTTCCAGCAACTATAATTCGAGCATTATTTCTTGCTTGGAAACCTGTTACAAGAGATACTTGAGTGCCTGCTACACAGGGTTCTTTTACAAAATCATGCTCATCTTTTATGTCATAAGTATACGCTGTTCTTTCAGCCCCAAGAATAGGGACAATAAGCTGATTATTTGTCAATAAGTGGGCAACTCCTCGATAGAGTATTGGCGGTCCCTGAGTAACTTCATCACTCAATACATAGTTGTTTTTCTTGAAATTTTTAACAATAAGTAAAGAATGCTTGTCTGAATCCGATTTATTATATGAAAAATGATCTACAACAACAGTCTTTTCCCTAGCTAAATAAATTCCAAATTCTCCTGTCAAATTACGGATATCTTCTGATATAACAGAGCTTCCAATTAAAACATTCCCTCCCTTGTTAATAAATTCAAGAATTTCTGAATTGGAAAAACCATGTCCTATCCATCTAATCAACCAATATATCTTTCAGGTTTATATAAATATTAATTTACTATTATTTTTCGTTTTTGTCAAAAACAAAATAAGATGATCATACAACCGTTCTTCATACTTAAAAAGAGATATAGTATCTGTTTCCAGCTTTTTAAAAGTTGTCTCATATTTACGATCTTAATATAATTCTTTAGCATTCTTCTTTTATCCAAGTATTACATACTTTTAAAAGAATCAAAAAAAATAGAAAAGTCATTATATGATATATCTGAATTATGGATAATTAATAATCTATTACCTGCTGCTGATCTCCCTGAAACTATTGTAATTCTTAAAATAAATACTAATCCAAGAAACAATTTTAATAATTTATTTAAAGTCTTCATTTTTTTTAAACATTGAAAAATTGAATCGAATTAAAATTTTATCAATTATAAGACAATTAAAAATAAAATGAGTGCTTCAGGTGAATTTAAATATGTTTATCATAAGAAGAAGAAAAGAAAAGAAAAAAAAACACTAGAATGGCTTTTTCTTCAATATGAAATACAAACAGAGGTCTTAATTGCATCAGGCTTTTATTATGTTTCTTCTAGTTTTATTTTTACAAGTTTTTATGGCTTTTATAATTTATATGTAGATATTATTTCTAAATTGATATTTTCAAAAAGATCAATTAGAATATCTCGTTTAGTAATGTTAGGATTAGGAAGTTTTCAAGACAGTTTGCGGAGCATAACTCAACTTTCATTTGGAATCAAAATAGCAGAACGTCTTGGTACTATTTCTGCTAAAATTTTTTTATATTAAGAAAAAAATAGGTCTCAAAGAAAAAATAGAGGCATATGATCCAGTTTTTACTTTTTTGGATTGTCAGCTTTTAAAAAAACTTAATATTAATTTTAATTTACATAATTCATTAGTAAATTCTTTTTATAATAAAAAAAATAATATAATTTTTAGGATTTTCTATACAACGCAGAGCAGCCTGTCATATTTTATATGCCACATTGTCCAATATCATTATACGAATTATTACTTAAAGAAAATTGGTCACCAAAAAAACTTTGTAATATCTTCTTAATAGGAAACAATCTAACAACATACGATTTAACAATGTAATTTGCCTTTATATATATACATATCCTAATCTATTTCAAGAAAAAATACGAAAAAAAAAAAATACCCGTTTGTTTTTAAAGCATGTCGTAAATCCATATTATTATTTGTGAATCAAATGACATTTTTAGCAATGTTCGAATCAATTCCGCTTTCAGAAGATTATGAACAACCAGAAACATTTAATAATCTTGCCTTCCAATGGTGTGAAAGAGATATTGTAAAAAAAATGATCAATTTAAACAATGATGAATGTAAAACATAATCCAATAAAGAACGAGATATATGGCTTAAATACTAAATAATTAATTATATCCTAAATTCCGCTTCTTAGTCATAAATGTCAGTTTCATATTCTATAAATAAAATAAATAAACTATGTAATATGTTTTATTTTTATAAATACCATGGTACTATTTTAAAAACCAATACTGATTTATCATCGCTTCCACTTATAATTGTTTTTCCATCTAAGCTAGAACATATGCATAAAATAGAATCGTGATGCCCAAAACACTGTTTTAAGCATTTTCCAGTCCTTACATCCCATCTCCTGATTGTTCGATCTGTTGAGGCAGTCGTAAGATAAGGCGTATTAGAAACAAAAGAAAGAGAAATAACAGCGCCCTAAAAACATTAAAATAAATAAATAAGAAGACTTTTTCTACATCGTGAATTAAAACGTTCCTTAATTTATAAGTAAAAGTATCATATAATGCTACAGTACCATCAACGCTAGCACATGCTACTATTGGAAGTCTAAATAAAAATTATTTTAAAATTTAATTATTTATGAAGAAATACACATCACAATATGAAATACTTTCAATGCTTTCTTTCTGTTCATTGAGACTTCCTAAAAGAGCACCATTAATAAGACTAATTATTTTTACTTTTCCTGCAACACCACCAACTGCTACTACCGTGCCTTCTTTGTTATATGCTAAACATGTTAACCCACCACAATCAAATCTTGAATCACTTGGTGTCATTTTGTGAATTATTGTTGCATTTTTGGGATCCCATACAATCAATGAACCATCTTCTGATGCTGTAACTATTTTCTTCCCATCAGGAGTAAAAGATCCAGCATTTACTGCCTTTTTGTGAAATTTAAATAACTGCATTACGTCACCAGAAGGAACTATGCACTACTGTAAATACAAAGCAATTTTTTTCTACAAAATACTTTTCCACATCCAAACATTTGCATCATTCGAACCGGAAAGAAGAACATTTCCCCTTGGATGCCATTGAACCCACTATATATTTAATTTAACCCATTTAAAACAGTGCTAGCCCTCACCAAGATTTCATCACCTCCTTCTAAAGTTGTAACAAGTTCTCCGTTATTTTTGTACCTCCAAATCAAAATCAGTCCATCCATACCGCCTGTAGCAACATATTCTCCATCATATGAAAAAGAAGAAACAGTAACAGAATCTGTATGACCTATTAATGTTTATTATTCCTTGTAAAAATACATTAATGTTCATCAATAACCCGATAATTTACAGAGTCTTTCTCTCGTTGAAATACGCCAAATATATGCCACATCATCTCCTCCACCACTCACAATAATATCTTCATCTACTGGATTCATATGCAAGCAATATACACTTTCTTTATGATCATAAAATCCACCTGCACTATCATTTGTTAAATTTTTTTCATCATCCATTTCTATTTCTGTGCTGATTTCACTATAATTATCTGACACTGGAATATCCTCATCCTGATATTCAATTTCTTCCTGGATTTCCTGTAAGAATTCATCTATTATATCATTATTATAAGACATTTTAAACTTTATCTTTTTTAATATTTTTTTGAAGTCGATTCTTTAACATTTTAATCTTTTTTCTAATTAAGATGAAATTAAACAAAAATTTTTATAAAAAATAGTATATATTGTACTTAAATAAAGGATATTATCTAATATATATAGAGTGGTTAATCTTTGGAAAATCAAATTTGATCTATGATTTTAAAGACTTTGGAAAAAAAAGAAAAAAATATTATAAAGTCAAAAAACCTTTTTATACTGTATATTAGAAACAGAATTAGATGTTTTATGAGTGGAACAAAATGTAATAAAGAGATCAAAAAGACAGGACCTAAAGAAAAAGATGAATTGGCAAAGGACAATATTGATAAAGTTCGTGTTCAAAGAAAAAATTTAATATCTACATCTACAATACAATCTGAATGTATTCAATGGCTTACAGATCCAATGAAGGGAGAAAGATTTAAAAAGCTGCAATCTACATCAGGTAGAAATTTTATTTCTGGAAAAGAATATCCATATCCTTCAAATCCAACATTTAAGCCACCAATTCCGTTAAGTCTTAATTTAAGAAAAGACATTGAAAGAAAATGGAAACAAGGAAAAAGTATAAAGGAGATTTCAGAAATGTTTGGAATAAGTTTTATACGTGTAAAAGCAGTGCTTCGTCTTCTCAAAGTTGAATCTAAATGGCATCAAGAAGTAAGTTTTACAGTTTTATTGAGTTTAATTCAGCAAAATTATCATTATTTAATAATATCTAAATATATATGATGATTTTTATACAATCGATTAGTCTTGAAGACAAAATACTGGTTAATTATTAATATCTGAATTTTTTTTTCCAAAAAAAGCAAGTTTTGTATATAATACTAATATATTATTAGGGAAAAGACCTCAACTCATATGCTCAGGTTATACATCATATGCTTGGTTCTACTACAAACCAAACTATTAATGAGCCTGATTTTTTCACTTCTTTTCCCTCTGATACTCAAAAATTTATTACAATACCTGAAAATTCTGAATTTACACCTAAAGATGCGTCAGATCAGTTACAAAAGCCACTTTATTCTGATGTTAAAAAAAAATTAATACAATCTCAATTAAATGATTATAAATATAATGACTCTAATTTCTCTTTGAATAAAAAAATAGAAGTAGAAAATAAACAAGTAATTGAATCAGTTGCAAAAAAAAGTAGATTTGATTTAAAAATTATCGATTCCTATACTGGTGATATTTGGATAAGATCTAAAGAAGGTGTTTTAAGTAAAATAAAACCAAATGATAGTCAAGTAAACTAAAACTAAATCATTATTTTAAAAAAGATTACACATAATTATTATTTAAAACAAATAGTTGTATATTTAAATAACATTTAAAAAAATGTATTACTTTATTTTTCAAAATTTTATCTCATGAATTTATTTTTTATTTTGATGTATTTGAAAGAAAGTAAATGCATTTTTTGCATTATTTTTGTACTATTATTTCACATTCTTAAATGTATAAAGCGTATCTTTAACGATAAATTATTTTAATAAAATTAATTAAATTTTATAATGTTTTCATTTAAATCATTTTGGTCTAATTCTATAAATTATGCTGTTAGTTTCTTTTGATTGTTATAGAGCTCTTTTTTAAAATATATTAACATATTTATTAGAAATGGGCAGCTGAAGAAAGACCTCATCTTTTTTATTCTTTTTGTCTAGGATCTTTAGGTATATAAAATACTATCTATAACTACATTATATTTAAATTTAATAGGCCCAATTATATTTCTTATTGTTCCTCCAATTCGAAAAAGTTTGGGTTATGTTCCTCCTGAACCTATTCCTAAAACTTATCCTTGTAAATTTAATCAATTATATACTTTATACTAACAAAACAATTATAGTACCAAAAAGGAAAAGAGAAATTCTTAAGGGATATGATGATTAAGTAATTTTTTATTCAACATCCATATTTTTAAATATATATAGAATTAATACATATAAATATATTTCCATATTAAAAACATTATTATATAAATACTATTTTAAATACTATTCACCAGATAACCACTTTATATTTTAACAAATTTCCTTTTTAACTTTATTATTAGCTGAATTGTCGAAATAATACTAAATTAAAAAAATATACCTTAAATATTCTTTCCTTTATCTAATTTAGTACAGTGCTTAGATATATATCTCAATAAAACATTATTTTGCCTTTTCTCTTCAAAAGCAGATTGAATATCTTCAAAATTCTCCTCATTTAATAAATCTCTATCAATTTGCTTATAAAAACGTTAAACTTATTTTATATCATAATAATCCATTTACCTTAGGTTTCCGCATCTCTTCTTTCTTTTGAGGTAACAAGGAACAAGAATTGGATGATTTTATACTATTATCTAAGTCTTTTTGGACATCTATGAATTTTTTCACTTCATTAGTTGCACGTATACCATCCATCACTAAAGAATCAAACATATCACGAAGAAAGTTTGATCTAGTATTTGTATTTATTTGAGTGATTGTTAATAAAGAAGAAAATTTAGTAGTAAAAAAATCCTCTAACAATTCATCACTTAATATTACCATTCTAAACTTTGGTAAAGTAATATATAACTCCATTGTTGTATCCAGCGTTAATTCACTAGAAATGTCTAATTTGTTTATACTAGACAAGGTATCTTCATAAGATATATCATCATTTTTCTCTGCATAAGTAAAACAATTTTTTATAAAATTATTAATACTTTTTAAACAAGTATCCTCATGTTCTTTTTGCATAAAAAATAGAAGGCATTCACTCATTTTTAGAACTTCATCTTTTACAATTTTCCCATCATTATCAGTATCATATAATTCAAAAAAATAAGTTATTGAATGCATCAAATCAAGAAATTTAAACTCTGCAATCCCTGATATAACATCTTGAAAATCCAATCCCTCTGATGATAACTTATTCCATTTTGAAAATAAAGACTTCATAAAAATCTCATGAGTATGATCATATTTTTTTAAATTATTTTTCTTAATATATAACCGGTTAGATGTCTTATTATCTTGTGGCCAAGTAGCAATTCCAGATAGAAATCTTTTGAATGAATTATAATCCATACGTGTATTACTGGGCCCTAGACCAATTCTTTTTTGAAGTAGTGCGGAATGAAACCTATCATAAATAATACTAATCTCAGATGGCGTTAAATTCCCTGTATTATGTAAGCTTCGTAGCTGAGTTCTTTTTGCAAATCCTTCAATGTTGTTTAACACTTCATTCTTATATTTTTGACGTTGTTTATTAAGCAATTCAATAGTTACAATATCAAATTCTTTTAATGCACAAACCATTAACTCTTGAAAACGCGTAATGTTTCTATGTTTTAAATTCGATGAATCAGGATATGCTGGTTCATCTAAAGTATGAAAATATTCTTTTAAAATAAAGACCAATGATCCATCATCATCAGCCGCTAAAAGTTTTTCCCCATTTAACCTAAGAACAGCTATTCAAACTTAAGTTAAATTTTTATAAACTAATTTATTATCTACCTAATCCAATCTGAAATAATACCTTAGGTCCCTCAAGAAAAAAACAATCTAAGATACGAAGTGCAAAAATCAAAGGCACACAATTTATATATAGTGAAAGAAACCAAGGTAAACTAATTAAACTAAGTTGAACATCTGACTTTAAAAAGTGCTCCCATAAAATTGGCATAGTTTTTTCTAACAGAGATTCAAAAACACGCTGATCTAGCAATACTCCGTACATAGTTGTACTACAAAATCATCAAAAATAATTAATATAAATTTGATAGACAATTACCTATAGTACCCTGGTAATAAATTATCACAAAGTGTATTTAATAACCAATAAGCTTGCTCTTCAGTGGTATAACTAATAAAAATTAATATGTATTCCTGAATATTAAAAAATATACATTAAAAATGTTGCAACAATAATATTCATTGCCTGACAATATCCAAGTTCAGGATTTTTCCAAGAATATGCAGTAAGAACTCTGCGAAGAGCATCCTTCCCTTCATCTGTTTGATAAGCAGGATATTCGGGAAGACTCCTATTCAAATCTTTTTCTATTTCTTCCATACTAATATTCGTTTGTCCTTGATGTTGCATTTGAAGTTTTTCATATTCATTAATATGAAGCCACCTCATTAACATACTTCCAGAACATAATTCCCATATTTCTCCTCTAAGCCTATTCGGCAGACCAATTTGAATAAGTTTGTAGAAATCAGGAAAACGTATAAGAGTTAAATTTCTACCATATAATTGGAAATATTCTCTCCAAAGACGTACTTTACTCGAATCATGAAGCCTAATATTATTAATTAAATACTTATGCATAATAAAATTACTTTTTATAATCTCCAGGATAGCCAAAATTAGGATTTGATCCAAGTCCAGTAGGTAGTGAAGAATATTTATGCATCTTTTTATTCATAAGCATATATTCAGAAAAACACGACAAGAGAAACGGTTTAAGAATTTTTATAAGAATAGAACTTGACTCCAAACTCTGTTTAAAGCAATTGCAAAATACTTTAACAATAAGTTAAAATAAAAAGAAAAATCAGAACTAACATTCACAATTATGATAAGGCCCTTCAAGAGAAAGAACAAACTTCATCATGTGCCATGTGAAAATAGAAAAAACAAATAAATAGCCCTTTGTTTTGACCCTTTCAACTTTACGTATTGTAGAAAAAGGTAAAGCAAAACTGCATGCTTTTTTAGTATTGCTCATAAAACAAAGACAAGATGTTGATATATATACAGATCCTTGATATTTTTTTTCAGTTAATCCAAAAAAAAACGTGACTTCTGCTGGTAATTCATACTTTAACTGCTCTGTTTCAGGCAACCGGAACATGTTTCTAAACTTTGCATTTTGAGAATACGGTGAATCTACCATCAAAAGACTTGCTTTACGCTTTATTACTCCAATAGCTTTCATTGCAACACACGGTCTTATTCTTAATTTTTAAAATCTCAAATTTACTCTTTTTTATCAGTTAAAACACGCTGTTTAGAATTAAGCTTTAAGAGCCAAGCTGATTTATATCTTAATATCTAAATCTATCCCTAAAACAATGAATGCTTTCTCAATAAACACTATAGAAACAGATCAGTTAGGTTTATAAGAAAAATGTATTTTTCTATATTTTTCGTAAACTCCGATTTGACTATTTATAGAAAATTATGTCTAATTAATATATAAAAAGCATATTACATATACATAATATATATAGTTTTTATAAAACTATATTTTATGAAAAAAACATTTCTTACTAGTAAAATTCTTTTATTTTTTTTTTATAAATATTCTGAAATTTAAATTTTATTAAAAAATTACTATTTCTTAATAAAAGTGGTCAATAAAAATAAATAATAAAACGAATTCAATTCATTTTTTTTTAATATGATAAAATTATACAATCTTTCTTTTTATATTTTTTTATTTGAAAAAGATAATATTCAAAAGATCTATCGAGCATAAATATACAATCAACTTTAAAGAAAATACTATGGACAGTAAAAAACTAAAAAATAATGATATTTTAAATAATTTAACAATATCAGATGATTGTGATGAATCACAAGAAGCCAAAAATCCATCTATTTCAGTAAAATTGAAACAAAAAGATACAATCTTTAATATAATTTTTGATCGTTTTGATCCTGGTAAAACAGGAAAAGTAAATGCATAGTTTTCTATTCCTAAATTTATATTTTAAGGTTTCAATACGAGATTTTATTAATTTTATGAATGAACTAGAAAAGATACAGCCTAGTGATTCAGATCCCATTTTCGATAATATCAGTCGAAAACAAGCAGAAGAATTTATTTCTGAAAATCAGAACCTTGAAGTCAACAGGAATGATCTGCTTGCATTCATTGAATCATTGACAGGGAAAACCATGGCATCAATTATCGAAGAACCCTTAGTTCACCAAGAAAATACTATAAATACGGATTTTTTATCTTCACGCCCACGTTCTGCTGCTCTAAACACATTAGCGTTGCAACATCCAAGGCCTCGTCGTTCTAATATTAAAGAATGTATAGAATCTTCAAATTCTCTAGAAAAAACAGTTTTAGAAAATACTACTTTTGAAGTAATAATTTCTCCAAAATACAGCACCAATTAACATATCCTAGGAATCCTTAAATCCACAGAAACCTTCTTTTATGAGTTCTTTTGTTTCTCATATGACTATGAGTCGACAGTTGTCCCCTATATCTCATTCTACACCTAACAAAAAACAATTTAATAATGTAACATCCTCTGAATATTTTAAAACTCCAAATAATCAAGAGTCGTTTGGTGAATTGTATAAAGATCCATTTACAAAATCTGATTATGCAGCACCAAAAGTGGAAGATAACCTTGAAAAAATAGTCCTTGAAGGATTTGGAAGCTCACCATCTTCAATTTTATGCAGAGATATTTCAGAAAGCTCTTTTCTTGAAAAATCTCCTCGAACTTTACAAAAAGATGAAAATATACTTTTTTTAACCGATTTGATTAGAAAATATAAAGATACCGAACGACAAACTAATGCTTTAATAATTAGTCATGAACAGCATATTGATGAATTAGAATCTAAAGTTGAAAGTTTATCATTAGAATTAAAAGATAAAAAAAAAGAGTTATTTGAAACTAATTCAAGGGAAAAAAATCTTTTTGGTCAAGTTACTATACTTGAAAAAGAATTAGAAAAATTGCAACATGATTTACATTCTTGGGAAGAAAAATATTCAAATATGAAAATAAATTGTGAAGAGCAATTAAATGAAATAGAGACAGTAAGAAAAATAGTAAAAGAAAAAGAAAATGAGTTAATAAAATCCGAACAATTAATAAAAGATTTAAAAGAAAATAAAAATTCAGTAAGTAATTGATAATTATGAAAATTTACTTAAATATTAAGTTGGAAGCTGAACATTTTTTTTTTTCTGATAAAATTTCACTTTTAAAAGAACAATATAAAGAATTAGAATCAAAAAACCAGGAATTAGAAGAATATAAATTTGAAAATATACGTCTAAATGAAGTAATAGAAAGACTTAATTGTGATTTAGAAGATATTAAAAAAGATAAACCAAAAAATAATTTGTTAGATGATGTCACTATTAACACTAAAAGGACCTCAATGGTATTTATTTTATATATAGTAATTATTTCAAAATTATTAATATTAATATTAGAACTTAGAAAATGAACTTTTATCCGAATTTCGAGATAATGAAATAGAAACAGGTATATTAATTAGATTTATAAATATATATATATATTATAACCTAGAAAAAGATCGAGAATGTCCATTAAATGCGGGAAAGTTTTCTATAAATACATGTATTAAAACATTAGATAAAGGTATACAAGTAGATACTTTACAAAAAACAGATATCCTTTTTAAAGATAAAAATGATGATTTTTCATTAAATTTTACAGGTATTTTTTTCTTTAAAAAAATAATATTTTAAAATTTACTTTTCTAAGATTCATCTAAAGCATTAAATTTCATAAAAAATGAAAATATAACGGATTCAGAAGAAATTAATAATCAATATAATATACTTTCTCATGAAATGAACCTTCAAAATCATTTGATTGAAAAATTGTTTTGTCATAAATTTAAAACTCCTAAAAAAATTAATAAATTTTTAAGAAATAATTTGAAATATAATAATTCATTTTTATTTTTAAATAACATATTTTTTAAAAAATCTTTAGGTTGGGTTGCATTAATATCATATGTTTGTATTACACTTTTTATTGGCATTTGGATAGCTCATCAAGAATGGTTTTTATGGTTTGGGAAAAGACCAAAAGGTATTACATATGCTGAATTAAAGGCATGGAAACGTGCAAATTCTTTGAATTTTAAATTGTATGAAAATGGAATCATAGGTTTCAGAAGAACATGGTTTGAGGGAAATTGGAGATGGATTAATTGCTTAGGTTGGTGGATAGATAATTCGCTTAGAGATGCAAATACACAATGGCCTAGTTGATGAAAATTTTTTAATGATGTTTTTAATAGTATATTATTTATCTGCTTACTAAGATTAAAAATTGGTTTTATATCATTTCATTTATTGTGGTTTATTATTTAGTATTTTAAATATTATTTATACCTAATTTTATATAAAATTGTTTAGAATCAAATAAATTAACTAAAAACTTTTTATTAAAAATTCAAATACAATAAAATAGATATTAAAGTAATATACTAAGTATATATGTAATTGATAATTAATTACTTAAATTTATTTTTATTGAATTTTAATATTTTTATAATTAAAATAAAAATAAATTTTTAAAAGTATTCTTTTTATAAAATTTATAGAATAATCAACATAAATATTTTATTATTACTATTTTAAACAAATAAAAAAAATCATGTCAACGCTTGATAAATTAAAAGGTAAATTAGAAAAACAATATATTAATTTATCTAACTTTTTTTTTAAATTAGAAACAGGCACTGGTAAAGAATGGTGAAAAATATATAATAATAATAATAATTTTTACTAGTAATAGTGGTAGATAGTGGTGATTTTGAAAGTTATTATATCTTACAAGAATTTTCAAAAATTTTTAATAATATATAGTTATTGATACATATAAACCAACTGATTCAACAACAAATCCATCACTTATTCTCGCAGCAATAAATAAATCTACATATTCAAAATTAATAGATACAGCGATTGAATATGCAAATAAACAAAATTGCTCTATTGACTCAAAAGTGGATATTGCTCTTGATAGACTTCTCGTTGAGTTTGGTAAAGAAATTTTAAAAAAGATACCTGGACGTGTTTCTATTGAAGTAGATGCTTGTTTGAGTTTTGATACCCAAGCAACAGTAGAAAAAGCTATTTCTATAATTAATCTTTTTGAAACTTTTGGAGTTTCCAAAGAACGAATTCTTATTAAAATTGCAAGCACATGGGAAGGAATTCAAGCTGCTAAAATTCTAGAGTCAGAATATAATATTCATTGTAATATGACTCTTATTTTTTCATTTTGTCAAGCAGTAGCATGTTTAGAAGCTGGTGTAACTCTTATTTCTCCATTCGTTGGACGAATATTGGATTTTTATGTATCACTTACTCATAAAACTTATTCACCTCAAGAAGACCCTGGTGTTGCTTTTGTTACCAAAGTTTTTAATTACTATAAACAAAAAAATTCTAATGCATAACTTTCTTTTTATATTAGAGATTTATTAATTTATATTAGACAGTTATTATGGGTGCATCTTTTAGAAATGTTGATCAAATCAAAGAATTGGCGGGATGTGATTATCTAACTATATCTCCCTCTCTTTTAGAAGAATTAAAAAGTTCAAACGACCCTGTTATTAAAAAACTTGATGCTGGAAATTTAAAAACATTAACAGAAATAGAAAATATTTCTTTTATAAATAACGAATCAGCGTTTAGATGGGATTTTAATAAGTAATTAAAATACTTTTTAAAATATATTTAATGTTATTAGTGACGTTATGGCAGTTGAAAAATTATGCACAGGTATTAATAAATTTCATAGCGATGGAATTCTTCTTAAAGAATTATTAAAAAAGAAATTTTAGTATCATTTAAGAAAAAATATTAATTTTATTAAACTTATATTAAAAAATTAGAATTTAAAAAATTTCTATTTTCTAGGAAACATTATAAGCTATTATCATTATAAATTTCGTAATTAGAATATTCTAATATAGTCTTTATTGTTAAAATTAAGTTTTTAAAGATACATTGTAATTCAATATTTTTTGAACTCAATTTTATATGTAATTTTTTCTTTTAAAAGCTAAAATATCCAGTTAGTTTTAACAAATAAATTCTTTAATCTGCAATTACACTATTAACTACTATTAAAAAAAATCAAATATTAAATTATAATTACAAAATTAAGAATTTTAAATAATATACGCATTTTTAACGTAATATTTAACCTATTATTAAAACAAAATTACATTTCAAAAATTTATTCTGAAAGAAACAACTAAAATTGATATTCAATACATAACATTTCCTAATTTTAAAGACTTTAATCTTTAAAAATAGAAAAAGTTTTAAAAATATACTATAAAAAGATATTAAATCTAAAAATGATCAAAAAAACAAAGATGTATCTCTATTGTCTTTTTTCCTTCCTAAATGCATAGAGTTACGAATCTCTCTTCTCCATTCATCTATACCCCCATAATTAAAATTAACAGCTTTTTCCAATCCTGATGGAGATCTAATATTATAAGGTCTCGAATAAAATACATCTCCAAGTTTAGAAAACATGGTATTATTTGAGGTAGAAACTTGTGAATGACATGAATGCGTTGGTACAGGAGGAGGTGTCCGACGATAATGACATAATGGACTTAATGAATCAATCATTCCTGTTTCTTGATCATATGGAGGTGCGCGATGAGGCTGATATAAATTACAATTTAATTTTGTTGCAAGAGATATTTCATTTGTAAAAATCCGCACAGGCCGAGCATTATCACGATGATCTATAGAGCCTAAAGAAGTATTACTAGACATACAAGATGATGGTACAATGCTGTCGTTTTCAATAGTATTAATAAAAAAATTATTAGTATTATTTTCTTCCGGCAATATAGTTAAAGAACTTTTCCTGTCTTCCGGTAAAACGATTAAAGTATTATTCCTATCTTCAGATAATGGCTTGTTTTCTTTTCCATTCTGAGTCTCCAAAATTTCTAAAGCAGCTATTTTCCTTTTAAGCAAAGAAAATTCACTATTTTCATCTATCTTTTTTGAAAGATGATTAGCATTTGTCAAAGTATTCGAAGCATATAAAGTGAACGGAGAATCTTGATCATGCTTAGGCAGCTCTTTTAAATTAAGTGAAGGGCAAAAGTTCTCCTTATACTGAGATGTAGATGAAATAGGCCGTTGAAAAAGCAAGTTTCTACTTGAAAACGTACGCTTAAGATGCAAAACAAATCTCCCAGCAGCAGACTTCTTTTTAGTCGAAGAACGTAAAGATAATGTACTGAACTTATTCTTATAAAGCGTCTGAAATCGAGGACATTCTTTATCACTATGAAAAAACAATGGTGCTGACATTTTTTTCTTTGGAATACGATAATGTCCCTCTGAAATAGACATAAACCCATTAATTCCAGCTGCTACTGACTGCTGATCAATAGATCCCAAAGAAATAACATCTGTTTGTGTATCATCGTTCCACATTTTAGACTCTTCAATTGGCAAATGAAGATGTAACTGTTTTAACATCGCTAAACGTGCTGCATGAAGTGCTGCCGGCCGTGACTCAGAAACTACTGATCCCATAGATTTTGAACGCATATTAACTGTTTCTTAATTAATATTTCTACAGATACTGCTCAATCATGCAAAATCTTGCAATTATTTGACTGCCAGCAGCCGCTTTTTAGATATTTTTTTGATCGATTTGTAATAACAACATTGAAAGAAATAAGACATTAAAGAACCAAAAAGAAAAGAAAATTCTTCAATACAAAGATAAATACAGGAAATATCTATAAAGTATAAGAAAAGCAAAAATAAAAAGCTTAATAAAATACCCAATATAAATAGACCAAAAACCACCCTTTAAAAAATATTAATAAATATTAATATATAAAATGATTAGATTTTTTTGATTTCTATTAAGAATGTAGTGAAAATAGAATATTGATCATGTAATGTTAATTCCAAGTTTCAAATATCTATTTTTTAAGAAATTAAAAGATATAGTTATTATGATATAAATCCTTTAAAGAGAATTTGTAAATATATATAGCTGATAGGGCTTATTGAAGTCACTGTTAGTACCTATATTAATAACACTGTCTAATGTAGTGGCATAAAGTTTTTCATTAATAATCTAACATTCTCTGCAGAGTCATAGTCCAATTTGTTTGCTATTACTTAGATACTTATTCTAGATTCTTATTAAAAAAACATCAGCTCCTAGAGATTCAAACGCCCAAAAAATTTGCATCTTTTAAAGTCCCAGAGATCTTGATTTAAATATTCTATTTGGTTTTTTTGATTTTTCTTTTTGATTTTAATGTTGCTAAATGACACAACATAATTGATCAAACTTAGATAGAAATAATTCAAGAAATCCTTGTATTAGTCAAAAAATATATGTCAAAATATTATTTTTTTTAAAAAATTTTAGAATTTGTTTTAAACATAAGTTCCATTTTTAAACCCTAATAAAATAGTATAATCGTTTTTATTAACAAATTATATTGAAAAATGACCATTATAAAGTGATCTCATGCTTTTAAACAAACAGTTGTATTATATAGTAAACAAGAATAATGTTAAAACCTTCAGTAAATAACTAAATATTTTCAAAAATACCCCACAATCCCTGTTTTATTAAATTATAAAAATCATAGAATAATCTTACAACCTATAATATCATTTTAAAACCAGTTATCCTGTATAATATATATTTGCTTTATTATAGAGTCAGTTACTTAAATTTTTAATCACAATTATTAATTTATCTGTCAATTACAAAAAGAATTGACCACTACTGTTCTATCTACACAAAATATCCATTAAAACATTAAATACAAATTAATATAAATATATAGACTTTAATATCCATTGCCTCCTCTCCCCTAAAAAGATATTTCAACCTGTCTCGTCATCCATATCACATATCCATTATATATCTTTTTACAACCCAATTACAACATAAATCATTGTTATTCTATAAAAAAGTACTATCATCATCTTCTAAAAACTTTTTAGATATTTTCATACATTTAATATAAACTACTAAAAACATATATATAACGCCTATATTAATGTATCTAAATAATACTTATAAAATATACTTATAAAATATACATATAAATACATACATAAAACTACCATATTCACATGAAACCTACAGAATTCTATTTTAATCATATATATTCATCCTCTAATCCATATAATTTCTCTTTCACTATATCCCACCTTTTATAATACTATTCTATTTTCTCATAAAGCGTATAAACATTAAATAAACTGTATACTGATTATCATATATAAAAATACACCATATTTTCTTACTAAATCACTATATAACTATTTTATTCTATTAATAGTATTAATCTAATTTATATACTAAATAGATAATGTTTGAAAATAATAGTATAGATTCATCAAATCATAAATTTACTAAATAATTTTCTTATTTAGTTATAAACCTTAATGTGGAGAGGTTTACGGCTCTGACAATGTACCAAAGTGGTTACTGGGTTGCACTCGAATTGCGTTTTCGCATGCTATGCAATGGGCTCTGCCCGCGTAGGTTCAAATCCTGCCATTGTCGTACCTTTTCTTTTGAAAATTAGTAATAAGGGAATTATGTATATAAATTGAATAATATATATGAATATATGTATATTAAAACAAATTAATAAGAAAAAATCATTATTTTAAATTTAATCTTAAAACATTAACAAATATATTCATTTATTAATTATATTTAGCACGCCTTAAAAAGAACACTAGTAGTTTAGCGGTAAAATCTTCGCTTCCCATAAGGTTTTAGCGAAGGTCCCGGGTTCGACTCCCGGCTGGTGTAGTATATAAACCTCAATGGGGATGATTCTTGATTGTCTTTAAAGATAGCAAAAAAATCTAAGACTAAATATATAAAATAATATATAAAATCAATCACATAGAATAAATGCAATAAATATTTAAAAATTTAAATACCTCAAAAATGACTATTAAAAATACATATGAAACCTAAAACTGGATATAAGATAATCCAAAAAGGTTTGTTAATATAATATAAATCCTATTTAAATTATTTAAATAAATAAAAACCACTTTAAAATAAGCTTAAATGAAACAAAACTATCCAATATATAGTTTTAAAAATATCTTTAATAATTTTAAATCCAATTCCTAGGGTATCACAAAACAAGAATGTAAAAATCTATAAAAAGTACAAAATACTATATAAAAAATTTAAGTTAAAGTTAAATTGACTAAACTGTTAACATACGGCGTAAAATAGGCCTAGATGAAAAGCTATTTGGTGAACGAAAAAAACAAAAAGGACGATGCTGATCAAAATTTTGTGTATCGCGGTCCCAATGACTTAAGCGCCTGTTTGAAAAAATAGAGATAAAACCAGACGTTATTAATAGTATAAATGTAAAAAAAGAGCTCTTAAAAAAAAACCTTTTAATAAAAAAGCCAACAGTCAGAAGTATTATTACGAATGAAAAAGAAACCCACAACATATGAATGTAAGATAAGCCAATAGCACAAGACGGGTCTAAAACCCGATCAATAACAAGAATCTGACCGTATAATGTAGTTTTTCCTTCACCAAGAATATTAACTTGTTGATAACAATTCTTAGACGAACGAAAAATAATATGATACAAAGAATCATGAATTTTTGAAGCCGTTATATTAATCCCACTTTTATGTAAACTCTGACGAGGATAAATATCTTTCAAAAAATCAGAATTGTTTGATACAGGTGGCAATAAGTGTAATTTGATGATTTCCTGTAAAGCTGAATGTGTACGGGTTGTACTATTAACAATTTTCCAAGCACTATCAATTGGTGCTAAAATAGTAAATTTTTCTTCAAGATTTAGTGCGTAAAAAAAATTAGTAGATTCAATTGATCGAGGAAACAAAGAAATATTTTTAGCTAAAAATAAATGTCGTGGAGTAATATTAAGATTTGGTGGCATAAAAACACGTGAAATAGTATGCGCTACACCATTTTCCAAAAGAATATTACTATCTTCAATCTGAAATATATGAGAACTATTTCCCGAAACAATAGAAAATTCAGGCAATTTTTTTTGTATGATCAATTCAAGACCCATAAGAGTAGTAACTGTTTTATTTGGAATCAATTCTTCAAAATAAAAGAGACCATTAAAGATAGTATTAAGTAAAACTTCACTAAGTATATCTTTAGATGAGTCCAAAACTAAATAATCCCGAACTAAACCTAAATCGTCCCAAGCTGAATTTAAAGGAACCAAATATGTAATTAATTCTCTATTATACAAGCGTGTATCAATATTTGTATTATATAAATATTCCATAGTTGTAGATATATGAAACATTGGAGCAGCCGCTGCAGGAAATGAAAGAGGTGGTACAAGCTCCGAATCAACACGATAAATCTTGGTTTTACCTATTGTAACTAATGAAAATTTAGTGTTTCCTATAATAATAAGAAAAATTACATGGGCCTCCTAAGATTAATGATCGATCATTTAACCATAATTTCCCTTTTTTTCTTGAGATTTTAATTTTTTGATTCTTTCCTCCAAGTAATTTTCCTTTCATTCCCGTTGTTAAAAGTTTCTGATCTTCTAAAACATTTAAATCAAACCAGCCAGATATGAAGTGATATTTAATTTCTTGTACAATTCGATTATTTTCCATATTTGTATCCAAATATAGTGAAGAATCAATAGGCGCGAATATCACTTGTTCAATAGTTTTATTATTAATAGTATTTGCTAATCCTGCAAAAAAGATTTCATCTGCAAATTTCCTCGTATCCATACCATAAAGATATTTAAGGGGAGTAAACTCTAAAGACATTGGAACAAGAAGATTAGATATCTTATGAATTACACCTAAAATATCAATTAATTTTCATATATTATTTTAAATTACCATTTTTTGTAATAATATCATATTTAATAACTTTATATCCATTTATATAAAAACCAGTTGAATTTTTGCTAAAACTTAAAATCTCATTTGCATCAGACTTAGCTTCTAAATATTAGCTATAAAGATAAAAATGCAAAAAACAATTACAAGAAAATTTATCAATAACATCACTTTTATAAATAACAGTATTTGTCAGCAAATGATTAAGCATAAGTATTTTTAGATCCAAAACCCCGTATTTAGATAAAAGATAAGTATATTCTATATTATTAAAAATTTTAAATGCATCATTACTAGGTGCAAATATTGTTATTTTTTTATGTTTAAAAATTCCATGATCTATCAAGTTCATAAATGTAGACATGTCGGGATCATTCAAAAATACTGAATCTATTTATAAATTAAATAATAGTAATTTGAAGCATAGTATACAAACACATGTCTTCTGGAAGTACCATTATTTCATTTGTTACTTGAATTACACCTGTAAAGAAATAAGAAAAAATATTAAAGAAAAAACATTAAATACCGTTACGCGTAATGTAATTCCCTTTAACAATAGAAACTCCTCCTATGTTTATACTTTTTTTTCCCGTATTAGGATTCACAATCCTTTTCACTTTTACTCCTACAGAACATTCCTGTCCATTGAGAGTATAAATATGGGATCTAAAAATAAAACCATCGTCTACTTTATCTGTGAAAAGCAAACCATTAAGAATATGATATTTCAATATTTCTGTCGTCAATTTTGTTCTATTATAAAATGCTTTTTCAGTTGGCGCAATAAATGTCACATTTTTTAACAAATTCACATAGTTAATCAACCTTGCATGCTGTAATTGTTTAATTAATGACCTAAATTCATCCGATGATGATAAAAAATCAATAACAGAAATAGATCCTATAACTATTTTTTGATCACGTTTTCTAACAAAAGAATTAACCATTAATTCTTTAATTCCTTCTTTTTGTTGGAAAATGTACATCTTATCAGTAGAATTAATAAGCAGAAACCTGTCTTTGTCTTTCTATATTATACTATTAAATACAATATTTTAAATCAATTAAATATTTTTACGTATAAAAATTCTTAAAAAACACTTCAAATATAGTAAAAACTTAATTCTTTTTTATAATTATATTAATCATAACACTCCTTTACTCTTTTATTATTTAATTTATACTTTTCTACTTTATTTTCATTTTATGAAGTTAATATATTTCTTCGAAATTATTTTAAAATTTGGAATGAATGAGTTTAACTAGAGAAACTATATTATATAATCAAGAAAATATTAAAAAAATACATATTGTAAGTCTTTTCAAGCATTTTTTAGTTAACATTTCATAGATTCCAAGTGTTTCAAATGATCTAACATCAGTAACGTTTCAAATTATCAAAGAAGACCATACACTAGCAAATGCTTTGAGATACATAGTTATGAAGAAGTAATGAATAATATAAAATACATTTTTTTCTAATAAGAAAGTCCTGATGTAGAATTTTGTGGATATTCAATTCCTCATCCATCAGAACCAACGCTTAATTTTCGAATTCAAACATTTAGTATTTTTTTCATTTTAAAACAAAAAATAGGCAGCTGAACTAATGTAGGAAACATTTCTGCAGTCGATGTTTTTATTAAAGGATTAGATGATCTTGTAGCTCTTTGTGATCATGTTGCAGACACTTTTCAGAAAAAATTAAATATGAACAAATATGAAAATTGTCATAAAATGTTCATAGAAATGTAAATATTCATTAAATATGTATTAATTTAAATCATTCTTTTGAATTCATGTATAATTCACTCGGACTATTATTTTAATATTAAAATGTTAAAAAAAAAAATATTTACAGAAGAAATAACCCTTTGTATTGTTCAAGTGATTTCTTTCCTTGGTATTCTTTTTTTTGCTAAAGGGTTCTTTCCATATAAACCTATGCTTCATGGATTTTCAGAAGATTCATCAATGATACAGGCACCTTTCAATCGACTAGTGTTTATCTTAATTGATGCTTTACGAAGGTTTAATTATCATTTGTTAAAATATAGATATTAATAACTTAGTGATTTTGTTTTTTCTAATAGTTCCTCTATGACTTTTACACAAAGGTTTTATCTTTATAATGAATTAAAATAATTGAACGTTTACAGTTTAATATTCTCTGGAAAAGCATATCCGTATACTGCATATGCATCACCACCAACTGTAACATTTCCACGTATTAAAGCATTGACTACAGGCTCTATTCCAGTATTTTTAGATGCAGTTTTTAATATCGCAGAATCAAATACATTATCTTATATTAATCAAGATAGCTGGCCAGTACAGATTGTCTCAAAGGGTAGGAAAATTGCAATGTATGGTGATGATACATGGATAAGACTTTTTCCGGGATTATTTTTTAGATCAGAAGGAACTTCTAGTTTTTATGTGACAGTAAATATCTTAGATTTTCATCTATCTAGCTAAATTTACAGGATTTTACAGAGGTAGATACAAATGTGACAAGGAATGTCTATCCTGAAATGCAAAGAAACGACTGGGATGTTTTAATTTTACATTATCTTGGATTGGATCATATCGGACATTTAGGAGGTCCTTATAGGTATCTTTTTTTTCTATTTTATATAAATAATTAAAAAATTTCTAAAAGTCCACATATGCCTCTAAAACAAATTGAAATGGACCATATTATTAAGGATATTTATAAGTTTATTGAAGAACAAAATCAAAATTCTAAATTTAACACTCTTATGGTAATATGTGGTGATCATGGAATGAATAATGTAAATATATATGAATAATATTTTTGTCTAATTTTATAAGGCAGGAAATCATGGAGGTTCTTCAAAAGGTGAAACATCAGTAGTATGTGTTATATTTTATTCCATTTAGTTTAATAGCTTTTTATTTTAGGCTTTGCTTTTTATATCGTCACTTTTTTCGCAAAAAAGGCCTTTAAATAGTTTTGACGTACCAAATAAAGAATTTCAATATTATTTTTCTGCTCAACAAGAAGATATTATACCAACTTTAGCATTTTTATTAGGATTTAATATTCCTAAAAATAGCATAGGAGTGGTATTGCCTGAATTGTTAGACCTTTGGCAAAGTAATAATTTAATATTTTCTTTTTTTTTTTTTAAAGTTATATAGATACAACAGATCAACTAAAAATTTTAAGAACCAATTATAATCAAATCTCTAAACTAATAGAAACAGCTTATGACCTTTTTTCTGATATTCCAGATGATCAATCATGTTCTTACGTTCAAAACAATATAGAAAAATTGGCTTGTATTAAAAAATATATAAGAAAATTAGAAGATGAAGGAATTGAGTTAGAATACCTAAAAGAACAGTATTTCAATGTATGTTCTTAATATTTCATTACTAATTATTACTAATAACTTATTATAAAAAGTATATGAAAACAGCACAGAATGTTATTTCTACAATGTCAACAAATTACAATACAAATTATATGGTTTTAGGAATAATTTTATCTATTTTTTCATTACTTATATCTGTTTTTTATAACTTCCAAAAAAATTACCATGTTTACTACTTAATTATACTAGGAACAATATTCGGTATTCTTATGTTTGCAAGTAGTTATATAGAAGAAGAACACCAATTTTGGTATTATTTAGGAACTAGTTTTTGCTTTTTTCAATTGTAAGAAAAATAATTTTTAATAATTATTAACTAATTCATTATTATAGATTTATCAACTTTAAGTATAAAAAATCATATTTTCCAATTATTAAATTTTTTGTATTACTTTATATTGCTAAAAATTGGAATAGGACAGGTAATTTTTTAAATTAAAAACTTTTTAATAATTTTCAAGGTCAAAAATTCCTAGATTTTTCTGATATTGCAAAGTATATTTCTAACAAAAAGACTTTATTATTGTTTTTGGTTATAAGTGCATATATTTATATATTTTTTAAATTGTTACATCAAACATTTCAAATATTGCCTTGGATTTATAATTATTTTTTATCTATAACAATTCCATTAATTGCATTTTTTTGTAAAATTATTCTAGAAACAAAATCTGAAACGTTTCAGACAGAATGGAGCTCTGAAATTAGAAACTGGATAAGTTATAAATATTTTGATTTAATAATATTTTCTCGTTTAACATTTTTCACTATTTTTATGGGAATTGTTATTTTTTTATTAGCATCATTAGGAAAAATTAATGGTAATCATATTATTTTTATTAAACTTTAATAAAGAATTTAGAAACTTCTACTTTAATGACAGGACTACATCCTTTATTAAGCATATTTTTAATCACTGAGAATCGTATAATTAATATCCCACTTTTTCTCATATTTCATTTACAATTAGATATCATTTCTTCTTACAAGTTTAACTTAGGACTCGTATCATTAATAAGTTTAATTTTTCAACATTATTCTTTTTTTGCTTTAGGAAATTCAAATTCTATTTCTTCTATTGATTTATCAAATGCGTATATTGGTATTAGAAATTATAACGTTATTATTGTTGGAATTTTAACATATATATCTAATTGGTCAGGCCCTTTGTGGTGGTACTTTGGATGCTTTCGTCTTTTTCCAAAAAAATATCAAAAAAAAATTTTTTCTAAATTTTCTATATTATTAATGATTTTTTATGTATTTTCGCAAACATTTCTTTTCATTTCATGTTATATTTTACGCAATCACATATTTATATGGACAGTTTTTTCTCCAAAAATACTTTATCATATAGTTTGGTTAATTTTACACAATCTTATTTGCACTTTTTTTGGATATAGTATATGGTTACTAATGACTAAAAATAAAAAAAAAAACTTAATGCTTCATAATTTTTTCATAATTTTTTCATAATTTTTTTCATATTAAATTTATTCTACTTAGTATATTCAAAAAATGATTTAGAATTAGTTATTTACGGACAAATGAAAGCAAATTATTATGATTTAATCTACACAAGTGCGTTACTTTAAGGATTACAAAAACATTTAAGTTATAATTCATATATTTAAGTTATATAAGAATTTACTTTACAAAAATATATTCTATACTATTCATAGAGCATTTTCTATATAGATCATTTCTTGATAAAACATATTTATGTATTTATTTATGTATTTATTTATGTATTTATTCATGTATTTATTCATTTTTTATAAATACATCTTGAAGTTCTAAAAGAAAAATATTAAAAAAATGGTATTTTCTGAAAAAAAACTCAAAAAATTAAAACTACTTATAATTGGAAATGGAGGTATTATATGTTCCTAATATTTTTGTATTTCATTAAGTTTTAGGAAGAGAGCATGCACTCTCATGGAAATTGTCAAAATCCCCACGTGTAGAAAAGATATTTGTTGCTCCAGGTCAAAATACAGAAATAGCATTTTTGATCTAATATATATTATGTAGGAAATGGAGGAACAGAATGTTTATCTGAAAATGTGCAAAATATAAAGATTGGTATTATGGAATTTAAAAAACTAGTAGATTTTGCCCTTGAACATGATATTGATCTTGTTATATCTGGTCCAGAAGCTCCATTAGTTGCTGGTATTGAAGAATGTTTTAGAAAAGGTGTTAAATATACTAATTGGTTCTTAAACATATAACCATAATAGCTGGAATATATTTTTTTGGCCCATCAAAAGAAGCAGCACAAATGGAAGGATCAAAAGCATTCTCCAAAGACTTTATGAATCGACACAATATACCAACAGCTAGATACAAAGTATAAATATATTTATACTTATTTATATGAAATAATATCTTTAGAATTTCACTTCATATGAGCTGGCAAAAGAACATATATTGCAATTAGATTATGATGTTGTTATTAAAGCATCTGGATTGGCTGCAGGAAAAGGAGTGATTGTATCAGAGTCTAAATCTCATGCTCTATGTTCTCTTAAAGAAATTATGCAAAATAAAATTTTTGGTGATGCTGGAAATCAAGTAGTTATTGAGGAGCGTTTAATTGGAGAAGAATTAAGTATTCTTTCTTTTTCTGATGGATATACCATAAAAACATTACCACCTGCAAAAGATCATAAGCGTCTTTATGATGGCGATAAAGGTCCAAATACAGGTGGAATGGGTTGTTATTCACCTACTCCTATTTCAACACCATTCTTGATGGAACAAATTCATAAGGAAATTTTAAAACCAACTATTGATGGAATGAGACAAGAAGGTTTTTTAAGTTTAATGATTTAAAAATTATATTTAAATTTTTAGGTTTTCCGTTTGTTGGTCTTTTATTTACAGGTATTATGTTAACTTCAAATGGTCCAAAAGTTTTGGAATACAATGTACGTTTTGGAGATCCAGAAACTCAAACAATCCTGCCATTACTTCATGATGATACTGATTTGTTAGAAATAATCTTGGCTTGTATTGAACGAAGACTTGATTTTATTCAGCTTCATATCAATCCACTTTTTTGTGTTTGTGTGGTAATTGTTGCAAAAGGTTATCCTCATTCTTATGAAAAAGGAAAATTAATAGATATTGGTGTTCTTGAAGATGGTCGGATATTACTTATTTTCATAAATTGTGTTGATTCTGTTTTTAGGAATTATTATTTTTCATGCAGGAACAGATATTTCTGAATCAAAAAAAATTATTACTGCAGGTGGAAGAGTTTTATCTATTTCAGCTACTGGAGCAACACTGAATGAAGCTTCTGAAAATGCGTATAAAAATATTAAATCCGTTTTTTTTGAAGATATGTTTAATCGTACTGATATTACATATCGGTTATTAACCAAGAATAATTAAAAACATTTTTTAAACATAAATAGGGAATCTAATGTTACTAATATGGGTCCAAAAGAGGCGATTACATATTCAATTTCAGGAGTTTCTATTGAAAATACTAATAATTTTTTAAATATAATTAAATCCAAAATTCAATCTACAAAACGTTTAGGTTCTGATGCTATTATTGGAGGGTTTGGTGGCATTTTTGATCTAAAGACTTTAGGTTATAAAGATCCTTTGTTGGTTGGAGCAATAGATGGAGTTGGAACAAAGATAAAAATAGCACAAATAATGGATAAACATGATACAATAGGTATTCATTAATTTTTAAATTATTTTTTATTAAAATTTTTAGGAATTGATCTTATTGCTATGAACGTTAATGATTTAATTGTTCAAGGAGCAGAACCTCTCTTTTTTCTTGATTATTATGCATGTAGGAAACTCAATATTGATAATGCAGTATCATTTATTCAAGGTATATGTAATGGCTGTAAAATAGCAGGTTGTGCACTTATAGGTGGAGAAACAGCTGAAATGCCAGGAATATATTATGATAAAGATTATGATACAGCTGGTGCAGCTATTGGCATTGTAGAAAGACAAAATCTTTTACCAGCTTTTGATAAAATAGAACCAGGAGATGTGATTCTAGGACTAGGTTCGAGTGGTCCACATTCAAATGGGTTTTCTTTAATAAGAAAAATAATTGAACACTCTAAATTAAAGTACAGTGATATAGCACCATGGGATTGTTCAACAACAGTAGGGCTAAGCCTTCTTACACCAACAAAAATATATGTTAAATCTCTCTTAAATTTAGTAAAAAGTGGTGTTATTAAAGGAATGGCACATATTACTGGTGGCGGATTTGTAGAAAATATCCCAAGAATCCTTCCTGATAATCTTATGTCTGAAATAGATGTAACATCATGGGAATTGCCTAAGATTTTTCATTGGCTTAAAAAAGCTGGAAACGTTCCTATTGATGATTTTTCAAGAACTTTTAATATGGGTATAGGAATGGTAGTAATTGTTGAAACATCTAAAGTGTCAGAAGTACTTTCAAAACTAAAAAGTATGGGAGAAAATGTTTATAAAATTGGGAATATATTAAAAAGAACACCGCAAGACCCAAAATGTGTATTAAAAAATTTAGATGTGTGGATATAAAAAAAAAATATATGCATATAAATGTACAAATAAATAAAACAGAATGTATGTTTATATTACCCAAATTATTTTATGAATTAATTAATTTAATTTGAAATGTACAACCAGGGAGTCCTGATATATCTGCGGAAACATTACATTGTTCTCCCAAGTTAGCCATAATACCCCGAAGCATACCACATGGAAACCAAAGGAACTATCTAATATTAAAATTAAACATATGTATATGCATTTACGAACAATTTGTGCTTTATCAATTGCGTCTTGACCACCTATTTTTGTTGACATTCGCGAAAACCATAAAAAACAATGGTCAGTTAAAACATAAACACCCTATTATAAGTATAAGTTATATACATAATTTTAAAATATTACTTTATGATTTGTTTTAAGATTATCAACTTGTTTTTTAAAAAGCAACATCCATAAATCTTTACAAATAAATTTGATCATATCAAGATGCCCCGAAAAACGTGGTTTATCTCGTGAAAATCTACTGGATCAATATTTATATTTTTCTTCAGATCGGCAAACCGTTCAACAAGCCTTTGACCCACTTTAAAACCTAAAGATACTAATTTATCATAAACAGCCTCCCGTTCATCATCTTCATACTGAATAGCTGCTAAATTAGATGCTTCAGAGCCCAAATATTTAGGAATCTGGGGAGAAGACATTGTCATCAATGTTAATCGTTTCATTAAAGGAACCATTTCAATTAAAAGAAAATCCATACATGAAGCATTCACAAATATAGAATGAGGATCCACCTGCATTTTTTCTAAAGAAAAATAATAAATTATTTCTAATAAAAGCCTATTTTTAAAATTTCTAAGATTTTTCAGATATTTTTATAGTAAATCGATATCCGACAAGTAATGATAAAAGATATCAAAAAATATGTTAAAAAATGCAATATTTGTACAAAGAACCAAATACGAATAATAGAAGATTATATTAGAAAGTCATGAATGTGTTGAATGAATATCAATAAAGTTATTTTTTCTAAATTCATCTTGCCAAATATATGAATTATCTTTTGTAGTCCATAAATCAGTGGATAATGGATTCAGAAATGTAGACGGAGTGCTAATCTCTTTTATATTATTATCCTCCAAAGGCCTGCATAATGTAGAATATTGTTTTGAGTCCAATGTTGATAATTTTATCGAATTTAGAGATTGCTCAGTATTTAAAGGATCAGTTGATAAAGGAAACCTAGTTTCTATCATTTTTGGACTAAGAAGATATGTTCTTGGTATATGAGGAAGTGATGATAAATTAATGTTAATTTTTGGAAGTTCAAGACCAGAAGATAATTTATTTGTAGGTGTTTCGACAGAGTTATTTTGATATTTTTTAAATGGTGGAGAGGGAATATTATTCTCATCGTCACTGTCAAGTGTTAAGTCAATTATGGCAGATGCAGAACGTTTTTGAGATGATTTAGGAAGTGATGATAAAACTGAATGACCTTGTCCAAAAGAAGTTTCATGAGTAGATTTATCTGCAAAAGACTCGGAATCTTTCATCGGGGTATTCGAATATTCATTATGGCCAGATAATTCATTATTTATATCAGATTTTATCGTTGACCAAGTTCCATTAGGATTTATTGTAACTGATTCTACAAAAGATGAAACAGAATTTAAAATTTCTAAAGTATAACTATAACATTTAAATAAAAAACACTAGATTTAAAAACAATACCTATCGATGGCGAGGTCTTCTAATTTATAAATTAATTTATTACATATTGGACATTGCCAAGTAGGTGTCTGTTCATTTAATACAAGAAATGAATAAGCATCAAAACATTGTAAATGATTGCAATACAAAGATCTACACGGCAATTCAATTCGAGTATAAGAAATAGGATCTTTAAGAGAAATATCACTAGCAGTCGTTATAATATCTCCATCTTCAGAATCTTTTTTTACTTTAAAAATTAGCTTATGAAAAAAATAAAAAAAAAATACATTTATCTAATAAATAGTCCTTTGATAAATATTTCCCAACTTTAATTCGTTCAATAAGATCGTTAGCTGTATATTTTTGTACCAGATACACACCAAATGAATATCTCTATTAAATAGATAAAAATAAAATAGTAAATAAAAAGGTGAACAAACCTTTTCTGTACTTGCACATGTCATTTCAATTCTATTGATAATTTTTGAATCCAAAAACAATAAACTTGTAATATCTACAGGAGGTGCTGTACCAGGTTTTTTTTTTAATCCTCGAGTATTAGCATTAACATGTTTTCCATTCACTTTCAAATCAATATGAACAGGAAATTCTATTAACGCCAGCCCAAAAGCGGCTGAATCTGTTGCAGTACAAAAAAGATAAACTCGATAACTTTCATCGGACGTCAGTTTCTCAACCGCTTTTAACGAAAGTTGTACAGGTGTTGTTATAACATCACGTAGCGTTGCTAGACATAAGTAAAAACAATATAAGCTTTTGAAATTTATTTACGTAGACATATAATAGGACTATTGATAGTCTCAAGAATATTATAAAACGGACTAGGCTTAAAGTTAATCCTTTGGAAAACTATATGAAAATAAGATCAACATTTTGAAAACCATATCCTATCTTACCATTAATTTTTGGCAAAGATAATGATGAAATCGGTGTATCTAAAGATGGAGAAGACACAGATGGCATACTATAAAATTGTGAATAAATACAAAAAAATAAATAATGAAGAATACTTCTTCGACCCATAGGAAACAACACATGATGAATGTGGTTGGAAATGAATCCCCATAATACTATTTTTAAGACGTTCATACTGGACAACATCTTTTGTTTCAACCACTTTATCAAGCAACTCTCGAACACGGGTAATCAATGTATGCTTTTTCCCTGATACAGGAAGCCCATATTCCCTAAGAATAACCTTTAATGTTGTTACTAACAGTCTATTTTCTAGATGATTAACGATTAACTAAAATATACTATTAATAACTAAAAAATTGTCCTTTTTTTATAGTTTTTCTAACCGGATAATTCTGAAATGGAGGTAAATATTGCATGCTTTTTTAAGAGAAAAATTAACACGAAAATATCTGTTTTTTCTGAACTTTCATTATATTTTTTAAAATAGACGTTGTAAATATCTTCGATCATTATTTAATTAAATCTAATATATTGGAAAAAACTTTCATAACTGTTTGTATATATTAAATTGTAGTTTAAATCATAATTAATATGAATATAGGAATATGTTTTTCTTATTTGTTTAAAAAACTGGACTTTAATATACTGTAAAGTATTATTTTGAGTGACATTTTGAAGATTTAAAAATGGCCAAGTCTATTCGATCTCATAAAAAGAAGCATTTTCGATCAATCAAACGCAAAAATGTCTTTGAGCCTCTGTATATAGATCGTATAGAAAGACTCTCTTTACGTTTAAAAAATCTTTCTAATAAAGATAATGATAATTTGGATGAAATGGCTGTTGATAATGATCAAGAAAATATAACCGATCGTGCTGAAGGTACATTATTTTTTCATTTTTATTAGCTTTTCTTTGTCAGTTTTTTCAATTTAATATTTTTTGTTTTAAAATTTACATAATATTATATTTATATACTAATAAAGACGGCATAGATATGTATATAGATGATATTCCGGTTTCCTCAATGAATAAAAAAAACAATGGTGCTGATGTATCTACAGCATCTTCACGAGTAAGCTTGAAGAAAAAAATATACCGAAAAAAATTCTATAAAAAGCGGTCTTTTGGTACAATTTTTCCTGAAAAAAAACAGAAAAAAAAAAAAAACGTTAAATTACATTAAAAATACAAGGAAGAAAAGCGTTACATTCTATCTAGATTCCATATTTGTTTCCAAGTTTAAAAATAACATTGACATAAATAGTTTTTTTTTATATAAGTTTATTATTTTTAAATTATAATTATTTTTTAAAAAACATCTAAATATTTTACATTATCCGTTTCTAATTACAAAGAAAGAACTAAATTTAAACTTTTCAAAATCAAAATTTAAATTATTATTTAAACCTTTACTCATTCAATATTTAAATTACTCTAATCCTATAACAGATACAAGATAACCGTTATGCAATTAACAATAAAAAAGACAAGAAAGAATAACCGTCAAATGCTTAATGTACGATTTTTTGCAAACAATTAATAAATTAACGTATATTAATGCAGAAAATTATTTTAATGCATCAAGACTGGAAACCAAACGAACTGCATTCATCCAATGACCCCACAAAACTGTATCAGACCCGCATGTTTTAGCAAATAATTTAGCAAGAGTAATACGAAGCCCAAATTCTTTTTCACTAATTTTATTTCCAAGTTGACGTTGTTTAACAAAATCGGATTGAATTTTTTCAGAAATTTCATTTGATATTGTAACTGACAATTGCCTTGTAGTAGCAAAATACTTTCTAAAGTCCGATAATTTATCAGAAGTAATATACGAAGACGATTTTAAATCAGATGTCATCTGAGACTTTATAGGAATAGAAATATCTATCTAAAAAGTAAGATTAGTATAAAAATTATGTTATTTAGACTAAAGTTCATACTGGTAGTAACGTTTTTCCGCTTTTACTTAAAATAATTATCTATGAAAATAAAAATCAAATAAAATTTAGAGGTCTATATTACTGTAAGATCAGTTTCTATTTCAAATTCACTGAACGAGAAATGAAATGGAAGAACTTGAGATACAATTATTTGATTAAGAGAGCGCAAATTTCGTACACCTTTTATACATTAGATTATATATTAATAATTGTTATATGTGTAATTATACCAGTATCATTCAATGTCCCTTCATCCATGTTTGTCTCATCAAAACATACAGTAGTTCCTTTGGCTAACTGCATAATACCAGCCTGCAATTTCTCACCATCACTTAAAGGATAAAATTTATTATTATTAAGACTAGGAATATCTATTTTTTCATATACAAAAGCAGGAAGAACACTGCTAAGAAACTCTCTAAATCTCAAAAGTATGCTAGGTGAACAATTCCGAATATTAATAGGAAAAGAGCCTAAAACCATAGTTGGCAGTCTTGAGGATCTACTTTTATTTAAGTAAAGATAAATATATATATATATATATACTGACACGTTAGACACTAAACTTAAAAGAATAAATTCTGCAACTAAAGTGTCATTACAAAATATATTTGCTAAATAATCAATAATTTCAGTCTTTATTCTTAATATATTATCTATAAGTCTTAGAAAAAAAAATCCAGATAGCCTTTTTACCATCTCTTATTGACCCAAGATTCCGGGTAACTAATTTACTGAGATTAATCGTAGTCATATGTATAACATGTATAATAGGAAGTTGTATTTTAACGACATTCTGGTCACTTGTCATATACTCTTGGATTGTTTCTGTATCTTTTTCAAAAATACCAACCACTTCTACAACGTCACAAACACGAAATCGTGTTTCCATGCCAGCATAGACTTTTAAAATGACAGCAAGGTGCTTTTGATTTTTTAATGGAAATCTTTCGGAAATATATGTTTCTGAAGATGTATCAAGTGACAATAAATTTAACGTTGTAGCAAGATCATGATGCAGCCATTCAGATTCACCAGGAATCGAGGTAGCATACAAACAGTGTCTTTCATCTAGCAAAATAGTCGGATCAGATGGATCCAATGTAGTTCTTCCAGGTGTAAATAAATCATAACGGGAAAGCATCCATCCCTTAAAGAATATAAGTCATTACATATATTTTTCCTAGACTAAAGACACGTACTTTGCCTTCTATTTTATATGCACCCATACATATTTCCTGACCAAAATTCGTATCCTGAATCATACCTAGGATGTTTTAATTCTTAAACAGCAAATACAATGTCTATGCCACTATACATGTCATTCTAACAAGTTTTCCTGAAAAAAGAGCATCACTTGGTGTTTTTTCTAATGATGGTATCTATTATGTTTAGATATATAAAAAACAAATTCTTTATCAAAAAATATACTTTTTCAAATTGGAGATCTGAATTAAATACTTCAAGAAAACGTTTCTGAATGTCAAAATCCGAAAAAATACTTATTGATTCGTTTTTTCTGTATTTTTCTGCTTTTTTCAGGTTATAATAAACATCATAAAAAGATTCCAAAACCAACCAAAAACAGTGTCAATTTCAATAAGAGGATCCTCTAACCATTTACTAACAATTGATTGAACCATTCTTTAATTTATTATGTTTAATAACTAAAATCAAGGCTTTTTAAGAATCTGTTTGTATTAAACAGTTCAATATTCTATGGTTATCGATGGTTTACTGAACTTCATTAAAAAGTGATGAGCAATACAAGTGACAATAAAACAGAAAATTGTGCGTTTAGTAGCAATAAAAACTTTTTTAATAAAAAAGACGACTATGATCTTCCATGGTATCTTTTTTCCGGATTAATTTGAGCGTAAATTGACTATTTAACAGGGTAGAAAAGTATCGTCCAACACGTCTTGAAGATATTGTGGGAAATACAGAAACAATTGAAAGATTAAAAGTTATTTCAGTTAATGGGAATATGGTATTTCATTTTAAAAAGTTGAAAAAATGTTTATTTTCTATAGCCACATATTATGATCTCTGTTTATTCTTTTTAGAAAAAAATAAATGTTAATGATATTATAGGGGATGCCAGGGATTGGAAAAACAACATCAGTAATGTGTCTTGCACACCAGATGCTTGGAAGTGCATTTGGAGAAGCTGTACTTGAATTGAATGCATCTGATGAACGGTATTATATTTTTTTAATCTATTATGATTCTAATTTCAAAAAGTGGTATTGATGTTGTTCGGAATCGTATCAAAGGGTTTTCACAAAAAAAGGTTAATCTTCCTCCTGGAAAGCATAAGATAATCGTTTTAGATGAAGCAGATAGGTAATAAATAACATGTTTTATATTTTATTAAGTTTTAAAGTATGACTCCTGGAGCACAGCAAGCACTTAGGAGAATTATGGAAATTTATTCTAATACTACTCGGTTTGCATTTATATGCAATCAATCTAATAAGATTATTGAGCCAATACAATCAAGATGTGCAATTCTTAGGTATTCTAGATTAACTGATCAACAAATTCTTCAAAGATTACTTGAAATATGTAAAATTGAAAATATTCAATATAATGATGATGGTCTTTCCGCACTTATATTTTCTTCAGAAGGCGATATGAGGCAAGCTATTAATAATCTTCAAAGTACGGTGATGGGTTTTGGATTTGTTAAAGGAGAAAATGTATTTAAAGTAGTTGATCAACCATCTCCTGGAGCAATAAAGAATATTATCCATAGTTGTGAAAAAGGGGACATTAATACTGCAATTGAGACACTTAAAGATCTTTTGAATTTAGGATATAGTGTTTTAGATATTATTACAACATTTTTTAAAGTTGTAAAAATGATGGATGAATTACCTGAATATACACGTTTAGAGTATATTAAAGTAATCCTTATATATGGAGAAAAAATGTTTTTAATATAAATTTAGGAAATCGGAACAACACATATGATTATTCTTGAAGGTGTACAAACATCATTGCAATTATGTGGTTTACTTGCGCGTTTAACAAAAAAGAATATGGACCCTAAATATTTTACTGTAGAATGAAATGAAAAAAAAATATTAATAAATATTGAGTTAATTATATTGATCCTGATAGCATTTTATAAAAATGAAAAAAATATGTACAATAGTGAAAATATATAAAATGATCCCATCGAATTAAAATGTTAATATGTATTCCTTGAAATTAATCGAAAGATTGCATCAGAAAGGCTGTGTCAGTGGCTTGAAAAAAATGATAAATCCAATAAATCCAAGCCATAACATTATATAATAAATTACCGTTTTAAATTTAGAGTTATCAACTAATCCATACAACTGTGGAAATTCTATCCAATTACAAAAAATATGCACTGCTACAATTGACCAAAGATTTTGATTGTATAAATACAGATATGAAGTAAATCCTCCAAATATTGTAGTATAAAAAAATTGAAAAAGATACGTCAAGAGTCCAGTTTTAATGTAACCAGGATATGAACGGCTATATTCATAGAAATGATGTATATGTGCTATACAAATGAATCGTAATAATAAATCAGATATTATTTACCTATTCCAAATAACAAAGAAGCAACTATAATTGTGTTTGATGTCGACATTTGACGCAATAGAGGAATCATACATGATCGAAATACAAATTCTTCAGTAAATGGACCCTGATAATGTTAATTATTTATAGATATTATTATTATCATACAACTACATAATTTCTCCATCTGATCCAACGTCGGGTATTGCGATCAGCATGTGTTAATGATATTCTAGACGAAAAAGATCTAGGAAGTCTACGTGTAAGTCCAATTCGTTTCACAAAAGGCCCCAAAAATAAGCAGAAGACTAAAGTCAGAGACCGTAAAACATCTCGTCCTTTACATGGCCAAATTCCTAAAATAAAAAAGGCATGTGGAAAATGCTTTATATATGATGGCCGTGTAAGCCATACTGTTGAGAAACCACAAATAATACACAAATATAAAACAGCTTTTATTCGACGTTTAATCATAATCGGTGTATTTCTCTGTACAAGATTTACATCTGTTGAAGGAAAATATAGAACAAACACATAAAGGACTGCATAACTAAAGCAAATAACTGATCCAATTGGCTGTGTGGTAGCGTATAGAACCATGCACGATAATATATAATATACAATATAAAGTAATATGATCGAAATAGAAGTGACTGGTTATAAAAAAATATAGCAATATTAAAAAAATGTTCAATAATGTTTTTAAAACTTCTGATGAGTATATGGTAACCAAAACTCAGGTTCTTCTGCCTGTTTGTCAATCCAAAGAAGAGATTGAGACAACAAATCTTCCTAGTACAAATGAGCTAATAAAAAAGATGAATAATATAAATACAAGAACGTTTGAAATACGACATAGATCCCATTTCAGATTATCTTGAAGTAGCTTTAAAGAAACATGGCCTAAAATCTGTTAAAAGTAATTAGATATAAATATTAAAAAAGAAGAGTTAAACTTGTGCAATATTCAAAACTGTGAATTGATCTGGATTAAGTTCATTTGGAAGTGAACATATCATGTTTTGCTTTCCAATTTGGATAATTTTAAGTCCAGATGAAAGAATATCAAGTGTTTTAACTGATTGCAAAATATCTTCTCTATATTGATTAAACATGTTAAAAAAAAATAATACAATATACTCAGAAACAATATTCCCTCCTGAGTCTTTACGCATTTCATTGATATATTGCAATGCTTGTTGAACCTCAATTAGCCCTCCATTTTCTTGTCGTGTATATCGACAAAGTTCTACAATCTGAACAGATAAACCAAAATAAAAATCACGAATATCAAGCATATCTGACCAGAATGTACGTTCTTTAGAGCCTGTTGATGCCAATGGATCAATTCCAATTGCTTTGCACATCTGAGAAAACGCACATCTAAATGAAGGATTGGAGTGAATATCTTTCCGATATTTAGAAGAAAATTCTCTTAAAACTGCTTTAAATGCAGATAACTGCATAGAGAGATCCTCTGAATGTGTTTTAATCAAATCTTGGCTTAGTTCTTCGTATTTTTCAGCATATTTCTCCTGATTTTCAAATGCACCTAATCCAACTCCTCTTCGGCTTCGTATCATTTTTATTAATAGAAAGAGAAAAAGTCTTTTTGACTGAAATATATTATTTTTTATTATAAAATATAATATAAATGTCTTTTTGTCTTGAAATAAGAAACTTTTTATAACTTTTGATAAGTTGATCACGATAAGCTTTAGTTTTATTAAATAGAAAATAAAAATAAAAAGTTCATATATAAAAATGGATAAATAACAAATATTGTAATAAAAATATTGATATAAATATATTTTACAGATATTTTTTAAAATTAAAAAAGCTGGGTTGAACAAGTTATAAAACAATCTTTAGCAAAAAAATTAAAAATACAATTAAATTCTTAAGTTTTTTCTTTCAAATTACAGTATTTTACCTATATTTCTTGCCTTTTTTTAAAAAAAATTAAATTTAATTCATACTAAATTGCAAAATGATTTAAATAAATTTTAAGATTTATTTAGAAAAGTTATATAGAGACTATGTTTATATTTAAACCATAAAAATCAGGATATTATACCAAATTATAAAAAATATGTATTAAATCTTATAAGATATTTTTTTGAGAATCTTTTTTTAAAAAAATAGAAATAAAATTTTATAAAAACCAAAAAATATAGATATCAATACACCTTTTCTGCATTTTAAAAGATGCAGAAGGCTTTTTTGAACACAGATCAAAATAACGATGAAATATTATACATTTATTTATATTGTTGAAAAAACTTGTTTTCAAAAAAGTCATTTTAGTAATGATTTTTTCCTCCAAAATATGCAATTGCCTTGAATTAAGATAATAGCTGGCTTACATCTTCTTTGTATTTTCTAGGCTGATAATTTAATTAAATTTGATTAAATAAATACTGTTTTTTCATGTACTCACTATTTTATAAGATAAATATTAACATCAAGCCATCTATCAACACAATTTTGAAGACATGTCTCTTCATTACGATCTAAGCTATTTCCAAGTTTGCCTAGAACACATCTTTTAAAACATCGATCTGTAAACTCAAGAATACCTTGACAACTTAGTTATATTTAAATAAAAAAGAATTAAAAACCCTGCTGAATCTTTGCTCTTCCATTTTCCTGCTCAATAAACTGAGAAAGTTCATCACGGCTTTTATTGTCAAGATCTTCTAAAAGCTTTAAAGCGTCTGTCATTTTTTTTAAAAAAAATAAATTTTAAAAAATAAATCCGGTTTTTAGAAAAGTTATAAGTAGAAAAAAGATATCAGAATATTTTAACATCTTAAATATCTATACAAATGTTTTTCTGTATTTTTATGTCTATATAAGTGTAAAAATAGTTTTAAATAAACAAAAAGATTAATAGTATGTTATTGTGTATATTTAATTATAAAAAAAAAAGTACATACTGCTTTCTATAAAATCCTATTTTTTAAATAGACATTATTTTCTTTTTTTGTTTTTATTTTCTGAAAAGAATTTATCTATATTTTAGAGAATCATAGATTTAGTGTCTTATAAAAACCAGTTTTTTATAAAAATATAATCTAATATTACAATAAAAAATGTTCTCAAGATAAAACAAGATAAAAATTATAAAAAATAAATTTATTTTAAAATATCTAATATCAAAATTTTTTTAATTAGATTTTAATATAAAAAATATTCTTTTTTTTTAAAAAATTTCAAAATTTATAAATTTATAAGAATACAAACATTTCAATAATACTAAATCTTTTCCTTCTATAGATTCCTTGATATTTTTATATTAGAATTCTAAAAAAAATAATTTTAAAGTAAATAAAATTATCCTATAATTATTTAGAATATTCAGTGTAAAAAGATAACCCTTTATCTATATCTTTCTAGAAACGTTAGAACTCAAATATTAAAACAAATAAAGCTTACTCTGATTTCTGGGAGTGCAGTCTTAAGAAGCTGTTTTTCAATTTCAAAAACGAAATCAAAAGAATGAACTTTTTCAATCCCGTCTTTCTAAAAAAAAATAAATTAGAAACAAATAGTTTTATTAAAATTACTACTAACCCCTAATACTAGAGGAACAGAAAAAAAACTAAGGTTATTAATTTTTTCCATAATTTCATTACCACCTGAAATTCCTGGAAGATAAACAAAAGAGCATTGAACAATACCAGAAACTCCTGTCTTTGCGTAAACTAATATAAGTAAACTTCTATAAAATATTAAGAAACCTATCTTTAATATTGCATCAATAAGTCTAAAAATATTAGTAATAAAGAAAGAAAAATCATTCTTACATAAACGCAGAATATCTACTATAAATATAATTATATTAAAATTAAAAAAAAAAACTTACGCCATACTGAGAGTTGCAGAACCATTGCGATCTTTTGCTTTGACAACTTCATCTCCCGCATACTGAACCTTGTGTATCAATGATCTTAGTTGTTCTTCACTCAATTCAACTTTAGGATCTGATTGACTTATAAGAGGAATAATAGTCATGCCACTATGACCACCAACAACAGGAATAGTGTAATGACCAGGTTCTACATTTTCACTGACATATTCAGTAATAAATTTAGACAACCGAACAATGTCTAATGTAGTCACACCAAATAACTTTCTCGGATTTAAAACATTACAATCTTTAAGAACCTAAAGAACATGATAAAATTAAAACCAAAAAGATAAGAATAAATACTTGAGTTATAATAGGCACAATAGAATTAACAGGATTAGAAATAATCAAAATAAAGGCATCTGGAGAACATTTAGCAATCACTTTAGCAAGATCATAGACTATTTTAGAATTTGTAGCAAACAAATCTTGATATTTAAGCATTTCAACTTGCAAATTTCAATATACTTGCCATCACGGCTCATTAAAGGCTTTTTTTAATCAGCATAAAAAAAGTAAGGAAAAAAAAAACCTTTCTAGGAATACCTGCCGCAATTATAACAATATCAGAGCCTGTTAATGCCTTTTCAAGACCATTGTCCGAAGGAAGATATCCTACTACTTGAGATGACGTAGAAATATGACTTAAATCTACAGCAATACCAGGTGTATTGACAATATCATAAAGAGACAGATGACTAATTAAGGGACTATACGTGTGTTAAAGCCATTATTCTTGTCAAAAAAATCCAACTTCACAAAACACTTACTAACTCCTATTTGTTTATTAAAACACATTTTTTAAAAAAAAAACATAAAAAATATCACATACTTGCACAAAAGACTTAAAGGCTGGCCAATTCCTCCTAAATCCATAATAAACTTTTGTCAAAACGAAAAAAAAAAACAGGATTAAACAAGTGTAAAAACATAAATATCATACCTGAACTAAAATATATGTTAATAAAGTAGAAAAAATGATATTTAATTTACGCTCCAAGAATAGCACATTTAAAACCCATTTTAAAGACAAATAATTTTTAAAGCAAAAAAGAACCTTTATAAAATAATTTAAAAATCTTAATCAGATAGAACGCTGAAAGAAAAAATATATAAATTCAAAATATTTTTTAAAATTTATAAATACATAAATATTTATAAAAGCTAAAAACAAAAGATTAAATAAAAACAAACAACTATTTATATTGTCTGATTTAACAATATTGATCAGACAGTATAAATAGTTAAATAAGATAATTAGAAACATTATTATATCTTTAAAATATTAAGACTTTATTGAGAACGCTTTTTTTTAACATATCTTTTCACAGGAAGCTTTTTAGTAGTTCTTTGAGAATATAAAAACAAACGTGCGCGATATAAAGCAGCCTTTAGTAAATCAGCAATTGAAACAATAAGTAATAGAAAACTAATATTTACCTCCTGAAGATCTGGACGATATTTTTTCTTTAATACAAAACGCTTAATATGCTGAGATATAAAAGAAAAAGGCCGGCGTGGTGAAAAACATATCCTATTAACGAGACAAGCCGGCTTATTTCTAGACGTCTTTGACGTATTCTTAACAAGAAGGACAATGCCTTTATTGTTTTTGTTTGGTTCAACACTTAATGCCTATCATTTTAAAAATGATTAAAAAAAGACTTTTATAACAAAAAAACACTCAAACCTTGTCATTCAAAAGACCAGAATAGATATACATATGTTTATTTAAAGGGTTAAGTGGTTCCCGAGACAAAAAAATAGGTTTTCCACCTAAAAAAATAAATATTCTTCTTTTCTATAACTATTCTTTTTTACTTTTCTGTTTAACCAAAAATGATGCGTTTTTTCTCAAACAGGCCCAAACAAGATCACTATGCAATGAATCATAATATGAACCTTTTTCCATAGTATTTTTCTTGAATTTATTTATCTAAAAACCTTTTTTTTCAATTCAAATATTTAATTTTTTTTATCAGACGAAAAATCGATAATCTTTTAAAATATCTTATAATTTTCAAATTTCTAAGACTAACAAAAATTAATAATTTTAACACAAAATTTCTAGTAAAAAACAAAAGAATCATATGTAATAGATGTATTTTTATATATCTTTATCTCTATGTTTTTAGTTGTTTTAAACCAATATAAATCCTGTCTTTGTTCGAAATCATCTTTCGAACGACCTCTGGATGTGATCAGTAAAAAAGATTAACAGAATAAAAGAGTTTGCTAAATAATAAATAAATATGTATTTATTTCTTTCATGGCTTTTACTTGTATTATTTTTGTTTTTTGCATGTTTTTTTCCTAGAAAAACAAGCACATTACTGAAAATTATAGGTTTACTGATAGCACGACGTTTTTTAATTCCATATGTATCTATTCCATGGTTTGCAAGGGACAAAACATATGTACCAGTTAATTCGTTTTTTCAAGCAGATATAGAGGCAGGATTTTCATCAAAAACGTTTGATATTTACCAGAATATTCAGAGCGGAGATAAACGTGCAGGTCTTGATGATCATGCAAAAGAACAAATCCATTATATTATGGAAGAACATGGCTGTGGATTTGATGAAGCAAGAATGATCTATAATCAAAAATGTATGAAATGCAATTCAATTGACCCCAAAACAGGAAGACCTATAGACCCAAAGGCAGTTTTTTTTTCTTAATGCAAATATAAAAAGACAAATACAAAAAAAAGATTAACTATAAATGTCTATTAATACTTAACTTTATGTAAGAATATACATTTTAATTCATTCCTATGTAAATACGTTTTAATCCAAGAAAATGTTGTTTATAAACTTGATGAAATATTCTCTAAAAATGATCCAATAATTCATGCAGTTATCAGTAATGATGGTAATCCAAAGTTATGTAAAGATCCTTAATTTTTATGCATTTAATTTCGATCGATTTCGCGTAAGATATGATTCCAACTTGGCTGCTTCTCTATTCCACTGTTCTTTCAAAATTTTTGATGTACCCCTTAAAGACTCCCTAATGAGACTTAAATCTTTAGAACAAATAGAATGGCGCTTTTTAATTGCGGCTAAAGATGCTTTTGATGCAAGTGTTGTATTAGAATCGATTGATACATGAAACAAATAATATTCATAATCATGTATGAGTGGCGACAATTTTACAATATTCGTATTCTTCGCCATAGCTGAAACAATAGCACAAAATCCCTTAAAGTTAATCTAACACTCTTTTAAAACAAATAGTTCGAATCGTTCATAATACGCTTACCATATTTTTGTCAAATTCGATTTTACGAAGTGTTGTGTTAACTAAAAGTACATTTGCAATTATTTCAGCTCCTTTTTCTTTTATTGAATTTCCTTCGATTTTCAAAACTTCAAGAGACCTATTCTTCTCCAAGGATTTTAATGATTGAGCAATACCACTCCCAAGACCGGTTGTCTGAAGTAAACCCGTTTCTCCAGTCAAATCCAATTCTCTTAAAGATGTATTTTTTTCAAAAAGTTCTGCCAAACATCTACACGTTTCTTTCGAAGCTTCGTATGGAAGTCCAATTCTTGATATATCCAAATGAGATATGTGTTTAGAAAAGGTAACTGCTCTTAAAAGAGATCGAAATTGTTCCTCCGATGAATAATCGAGACTTGCTATTGAAATTCTTGCAGGTCCACGTCCTATTAAAATGGAAGAAACAATTTCATCATGACCTTCGAATAACCTATTATCCCCAGCAAATATTTGTAATCTTTCATCTCGCGGTTGATCTATGAGATTAATGGCAGAAAGTATTTTCGCAAAATTCGATCCAGTTATACCACACGATTTTAATGAAAGAGTTCTAAGCGAGAAAGATGCATAATCGGAAAGATATTCAGATATTAAAAGTATAATAGTTTCTGATAAAAGAATACCATCCAAACAAAGTTCATGCAGTCGTAAGGAATAAAGTGATTGGGATTGAATAAAGGTATCCGGAAGATCAAATGTACAATGTCCTAATCGTAATATTTTCAAATAAGTAAGCTTCGAAAGTGTATTATTTAACGCATTAATTTCAATCATTCCAGGATTATATGAAAGATCTAAAACTATCATAGTATTATGCTGAACTTCAAGACTTTGAAGTAAAATGGATAAACTTCTAGACGATAAACCACATTTACTAAGCTCTAACCCTTCTAAACGACTAAATTTATTCGCCGTCGCATCCACTAAAATCATTAATAGACGTGTATGTATATCATGAAGAGTAACGTACAAATCCAATCAATATCTACCGAATCCAATTCGATTCTAGAAAAATTCAAAGAACGAACTTGTGTGATCAATTCATGCCTATTCAGTGATATTAAAGCAGCCACTACTTCAGAACCCTTTTCATCCGTTCCATTTGATGTATAATTTTTCGGAATCGTACCTGATAAATCAAGTTTAGTCAATGATTTATTAAAAATAGCCAAGTCACGTAGCTCTTCTTGAAGCACAGAACCCTTTTCTAGACCAGCTTTTAAATTAAGTATAGCTCTTTCATGATAGCCAGCGTCATCATGGCGATACTTTTTTCCTTTCAAAGGAGTAAGATTAACATTTGAGAAAGAAATTTCGTCAAACAACTGATACCGTAACGTACGGAACACTGAAAGTAATTCAAGAAACGAATAATCTTTAGCGGTGTCTTTTTTCGAAACAAAATGTGTTGGTGGTAGCAAGCGAAAAATAGTTTTAGAATCTTTTTGGTAAATTTGATAATAAATATTCGATACATCCACTCCATAGCTTATAGCATAGCCTCTCAATGTATGTTGAAAGCTTTCCATATCCATTTCAGCATTCTCCGGCTTCTCGGATAAGGATATTGTTTCAAAATCCGATGCCAAATCCATAGACAAAGGCGTATTTGGCCAATGAGGACGTAAATGGTCAATCGTTTTCTTTATAATCCCCATAATCTCATCCGATTTACAAGATGCAAAATCCAAACAATTTGTAGAATTACATGGAATTTGAAACCATAATCGCATGTAATCATCATTCGGTGAAACAATCATTGCTGAAAGCGATAATAACCCATACGTTGAAACTTCAACCGACCGCAATTGATTCCCTGAAAACAAAACGTACTCTGCCGATGGAATAGGCAATATGTGCATGCTATACGTCCCAATCACAAGAATCCTCGGGACAAAAACCCTCTTCGTTATATCATCTTGGCCTGAATCCGGACGTGATGATGACTTGGGCAACTTTTGAATAACACGAAACGCCTTGAAATGATACTCAGACGTTTTGTCAATGTTTTCATGACAACTCCTCATATAGTTCTTCACATAATCATATTGTTTCGATGACAAAAACGCTCCTGAGACCCGCTGAAGCTGTACCGCCATCCGAATATGAATAATCCAACATCGCATAATATCGTTCGATTTATAATGTAAATTAACGATAGATATATTCGATAGTGATGATGATACAAACGCATCATCATAATATATTGAAAAACTTGTTGGTCCTACTTCTCTAATAGCAATAATCTTTATATACACTATAAGCATCCATTTCCCAATTTTGCGTCAATTAACGCCTATACACACCTGTCGAAGCAATAATGACTGATGGTCTGCTTCAAATTGATATTTCCGAAACATTCCATGAATTGTATGCATTTTGGACAGTTTTTCATCACTGTCATTTGCTGGTGCAATCCTGCATTTTTCATCAGTTTCAGAGCTTTTCTATTGATAAAACTATACGATGGAAATACTAAAAGTGCCTTCATCTGTGATTTAAACTTAAAAAGCTCTCCATTTGTAAGAACCAAATATTCATGTTTTTTATTCTGAAACAATCCAACATGTGTTGTAATCGAGATAACCTCTCCGTGCAAAACCACTGGATCTATTGCACGTTGTTCTTCTCTGTCTTCTGGCGTGGTTGCCCCTGAAATTGTTGTCTGTACACTTGACTGAGATGTATCTGATGTTACAGACGATTTACGTGATGGTGGCTCTACTGTCTCGGTTTCCCGGCCCCAAATTCCACTTGAAACTACATTTGACATACGCCGTAAAGCTCCTCGTGGTTCTTTCATAGTTGCACGTCCCCATCCATTCCATAATATGCCCTGCATCTCGCGTTTGATCCTGCACGTTTCAATACTCCGCTGATCTTCTTCTCCGAGTAATGTCAGCGTCATTGCTCTAAAATAGAATTTTTCCCTTCATTATGAACAAAGATTGAGCCTTTTTACTCGTGTTAAACAGCCTTATTTCTTTGTTGTTGCTTATCGCTGATACTCAATCGCCGTTATCGTTATCGTTACTCAATATGTATAACATTGCATGAAAACGCCTACGATGGTGAGCACGTGGAAGTGTATTGAAATGGGCATCAAAGGAGATATTTTAGAATATTCTGCATTAAATGAAAAGAAAATAAGTATAAATATGTATATTTGTGACCAAAGGAAAATTAAAAAGCAAAGGAATACAGAAGATATATAGAGGTATATATAGAAATATATGGAAATACGAGACATTCAAAAGGTGTATATGGAAATGCATATATTGGATGGATTTGGAGATATTTAGAGATAGTTTGTAAAATAGAAATAAGATAGAAACGCAATTGAATAGAACATAGAAACAATAATAGAATAGGGATAAGCATGGATATAGCTGATAAACAGACACACTTTTGGTGCAAATATCGATATACATAGTGAGATGTAGTTGACAAAGATATATGATAAAAATACGTCTAAACTTAAATATAAATTAAAAAATATTTAAAAAGAGATAAAGTGAAAGATAAAACAGGTGCTTAACCTAACAAAAGATAATATTTTTCTTAAAAAAGTGTGTATTTAAAATATTTTTCATTTCTGTCAGTGTATGCCCGGATTTGTGTAGAATAAATATTTCAATGTATATAATAATGTATAAAACAAATGTTTTCTATAACGCCGAAACCCAAAGAAGGCAGAATAGAATCCATTGTGAGATAGTTAGGTAAAAGTTCAAGTAAAGCTGTACACAGAATATGATAATAGAGTAGATGATCTAAACAGATAAGAACTTGAAAGATCGAACACACAAATCCGGTAAAAGTCCAAAGAGAATGTATCTAGATGAGTAAATACATATTCAAAATAAAGCAATTGTTTTCCAAAAGCATCTATGAAAGTTTTCTATATATTTAGTATTTCTAAATAAAAAATTTGTAAAGTCAAAGTAAAAAGAAACAAAAAAAGTTCAATTTTCAAAACATTTCAGAGATCTTTTAGACAGGGAGAAGCTGCTTTATAAAAAATAATGAAGAGTGAACTTGAGAAAATTATTAAAAGATTTCATCTCAAATATTTAAGATGAATATAATTCTTATATGATCATTAAACAGCAATCATGTCTATTAAAATCTCAATAATATATTTGTATAATAATGTCATACCAAATTAATCTGCATATGTATTTCTGTAGAAAGTTCAAGAATACTAATGGATAATCAAATAGCTTTAATAGGCCAAAAATTTTGAAAGACATTTAAAAAATAAATAAGATACGTTAATCCTTTCCCTAGGTTATATATATTAATTCTTACTATAATGGCAGGTATATTTTTGAAGTGTCTTCCAGGAATGTCTTTAAAAATTCTTAAAAATGAGTCATCAAGATGTTCATGGACTTAAATTCATTTCTAAAATGTATAGACATTATTTTTTGTACTTTTAAATTCACTAAATTTCATTTCTTTAATGTATCAACCCTATTAAAAACGAATAGATTCTTATAAACTCTAAAAAAGCTAATACTATTTTATTGGGCAATTGCTATAGATGTGCCAAATGAATTCTATTTGAAATGGTTAGGTCTGAAAGCTTCAAATCTTTATAAAACAGATACAAATATTCTTAGTTATAAATCATATAAAATAAACTTATATCTTTATCAATTGAAGGAAAATAATAAGTATTTGCCAAAGCAAATAAAAAATTAAACAATCAAACCAATAATTTATAATTGCAGGCATTTATTAAAAGTTTTTTTTTCTTAATTTGAATATTTCAAGTAAAAAATTAAATCCATTATCTTTGAATGAAGTAACTTATCATTTAGTGAAATTATAATCCAATTTTTGCATAAAAATAATGGATAGATACTGCAGAATTAAATGAGAAACTTGATAATTGTGCTTTAAAGTCTACCACAAATTTTGAAAAAGTATTGATATATGGTAATCCGGCAACAAAAAAATATTTAAACTTAAATAAAGCTATACCAAGTCCATATGTAAATGTTATAATAAAACTTTAATTTAAAAGCTTAATGTCTAATATTATTTAGGTTTAACAACTAAACTATAAAACAATATCAAAATATAAATACGACATCTATAGATTTAAAGGATATCAAAACATCTGTTTTAAAACTTTTATAAATCTTAATGCATCAAATTTTGTTTCTAATGCTTTATAGTTCAAAAAATTTAAATATATTTTTTATAATAAAATTCTCTAAGTCAAAACCTTTTTATTATTTATGGAAACAAAAGATATATTCAAATGTATTATTGTATAAATCTTTTAAAAAATTTTAATAATATGATTATTGAAAAATTAAGTGCAATCTTATTTTAATTATTTATGTAATTATTATAAAATTAACACTTTTTAGTATAATTCTCCTGAAAATGAATAAAAATATTTGCAAATGGATTTATCAAACTTTTTGGGAAAAATATAAAAAGGTGGAAATTTTATAAATATTTCGTGATTTAAACGCAAAATATTACATTTGCAAGTATAAAAATATTGAAATAAAGTAACTCAGCTATAATAGAATGAAGAATATAAACATTTCTTACTATTTTTCAAGAACGAATCTTATAAATATCATACTTATAATTTTTCAACATATTCGATTATTTAAATAAAAAATTATATATTAAAATTTTTAAGAAAGTGTTTTTAAAGGTACAAATTTATTTCAAATAATAAATTTTATGAAAAAAAGTTTGATTATAAAATATTTTTTCGAAAAAAAAGACTTAAATATATACCCATTTGGAAAATTACATCTAATAAAACAAAAAATAAAACAAAAAAATACTTAATATTTATTATATATATTATTTTCCATAAATCAATTGAATACAATGTTTATATTTATACATTAGAAGTTCATTTTAAAAAATTTTTAAGAATATTTTAGAACTATCTTTATAATACATCTATTTTACTTGTTTTAGATACTGTCAATATTATTTTTTCTTATTCTATAATAATATATAATTTTTAAAATGATTTTTAATTCTATAGAATATTCATATATTCTTTACGATTACTAATCTTTTTTGATTTTATTTTTTTGGAATAATCTTTCTGTACTTTAGCTACTTCAATTTTTATAAAACTTAATGTTTAATCTATAAATTATTAATATATTCTTAATTTTAATAATATCTTCATAAATAGATATTTATGTTATATAATAAAATAATGAAAAAGTAATAATTCTACTAAGTTATTAGTTTTTTAGAAATGTTTTATTATATTTATGCTTGAAATTTAAATTATATAATATTGAACAATTTTTATATTTAAATATTTTTAAATGATAGTTTATACTTTACAATTTACAAAATTTTAAACTATTATTCCATTATAAAATCCTTTAAGATATTTTCACATTGTTTTAAAAAACAATATCAAGCTCAACCATTAGATACTTGAATATATTGTGTTATTCAAATATCACATTTTCATTAGAAAAAATCTAAAAATATTTCCGTATTTATAAATTTTAAATTTTAAATATTTTTTAAAATCAATAATATAATTATCAAATAACTTACAAAAACATAACTTCCAAAAAATGCATTAAATATAACCTTTATCTTATATTTGCATATATCTATGCTTTCATTAATAACTTTTTATATTTATAATCTTAATCATCTATAGTTTCCCAATGTGATCCTAGAGTTCTTTTTTGTGTTATTTGTTTAGGAGGTAAATCCCAACTTTTATTTCCTTGTCCATTGTTAGCAGATAATCTTGGAATAACCCAACATTTTCTTTTCAATCCTTGAGATTCAGGAATAAACTGTGGACATGGATATTCTAAAGGTTTTGAATATGTTAACAAAGGTGTTGATTTCGCTAATCCAAAAACTTCATTAGCTTCTATAGTCGTAAGAGTTTTCATTTTTATTTTAGAAAGGTTTGATGAACGATAAAGACTATGATAAATAATATATTTAGGAAGAAGATGAGACTCAGTTATATTATTTGCTATAACTGAAGACGAATGTATGTAAACTGCTGGATCGTCATTGGTTTCAGTAGAATCGTGATATTTTTGCAATGTAGGAAATAATGTAAAATAAGGTGTATATACAGTTTTAGAGTTAGATTTAGTTTCCGAATGAATTGGCAATAAATCTGCTCTAATAGCAATTTGATCAATAAAACCAGCTGCAACAATCTGTTTAATTGCATTGACCTATTATTTTTTAATAGGATAAATCAATTCATTTTCAAATACCTGTAACCTAGATGGTGGCTCTAATTTTGAATTATATTTTGAAATAGAATTAGGAAAGTTTAATTTCACTATATCGGTAATTTGATGCCGTAATTTTTGAACTTCTTTCATACTCTAGTAGAAGTTAAAATTTCATAGACATATATATTAAATAGACTTTAGCTCTTAAAAAATTCTCGGTGCAAAAAGAATCTCTCTCTCCATCATATGCATATGCACATACTGCACAGAGAAGTTTTAATACGTCACTTGTATCATCTAAACCACAAAATTGTTTATGTGCATCAAGCAATTTTCTATAACTATTATTTTTTTCCAACTGAGAATCATTTTCTGATAAAACAGAAGCATATTCTTCTTTTTTATGGCCGTTTTTTTCCTCATTTATTTTATAATCTTTTAATTCATTTTTCCTTATAAAAAGATCATCAACAGAAAGAGCAGAAACAATAGCAATAATATATGGAAGACAATCATGTTGTTGCCCAATTATAAGCATTTTAGAATATCTTGGTGCTAATGGAAAAAGTGACATTACTTTTCCAAGACTAGTTATTCTCTTTTGTTTATCAAGAGCATTTAAACATATTAATAACTAAAAATACTATTAGAATAATTTTAATAGAGTTTCATAATATACATTCTCAGCTTTTTTTAAACTTTCTTCATCAGGTGGTGTAGGAAAAGGGAAATTTAATATATTATCAATATTCATACTTTTCATTTTCAAAACAACACCTAATAAAATTTAGAATATCTGATATAATTTCAATACATTAAATACCTTCAATAGGCATGCGCAAAATTTCAGGTTCTAAGTACATAGGAAATTTTCTATCAAAAAATGCAGAAGAGTAAAGTCGATAACAATGTCCTGGACCTATTCTTCCTGCTCTCCCAGAACGTTGATCTGCACTCGCTTTACTTATCCACTGAATATCAAAACTTTGCACCCCTGATATTTTATCATAGATACGTTCTTTTGCTTTTCCACAATCAACAACATATCTAACATTCGGAATAGTTAAGCTAGTTTCTGCTACATTAGTTGCAACAACACACAATCTAACTCCTTTAGAGACTGGTTCAAAAACTTTGAGCTGTTCTTCTGTTGAAAGCAAAGAGTATAACGGAACGACTTTTAAAATACCAGGTTGATCTTTCGAAATTTCAGTTGATTCATTGAAATTATATTCATCTGTATTATTTATAAAGCAGTCTTCTTCCTGATCAGATAAAAAAGTATTATTATTAGTAAAAGCATTTAATTCTACATCTTCTGCTTCTAAAGAACCTATAAAAGTTATTGAAAATTTTTAAATTAAAAAATATACCTTTTTTTGCAGGAAACTTAACAGACAACTGACTTGTTGATTGAAAAGGTTTTTCGACAGTCGGAAATGCTTGAGATAATTGCTTACACAAATATTTTATTTCATCCTGACCAGTTAGGAAAACAAGAATAGCTTAAAAAGTCAGTATAAATAAAAAATAAGACATTTAAAACCTCCAGGAGGAAGTCTTTTATGAATTTTAGAAACAATTTCAAACGACTTCTCTACATAATTTGTATGTGCAGTCTTTCTACTGAAGTGTATTGATACCTAAAAAAAATTAGAAATATATATAAAAATAAAAATATTACTGGATATTGTCTAGCATTAATTTTTATTAAAACAGGTGAAGGATTAAAAAGCTTTTTATTATCTGTAAAATCAGTTACTCTAAGAGTAGCAGACATAATAATTAATCTTAAAGGCTATTTCCATGTTAAAAATTAATTAATTGGTTTATCATAAGAAACCTTAACATTAGAATCTTTTTCCATACTCATTGTTTGCCTCAAATTTAATATTCTACTTAACATTCCAATAAGGATATCCGTATTAATTGTCCTTTCGTGTGCTTCATCAATAATAATAACAGAATATTTGTTGAGAAGAAAATCAGAAGCAAGTTCATGAAGAAGTATACCATCAGTCATAAATTTTATAGCGGTGGATTGATTTACAGTTGTATCAAATCTAACCTATAATAATAAAACAAGATTTAGTATTTAAAGTAAATCAAAATATAAAATACCTGATATGCCACTTTCTTCCCAACTTCTTCTCCTAGTTCATACGCAACTCTATTAGCCATGCTTATTGCTGCTACACGTCTTGGTTGCGTAATTCCAATCATTCCGGGTGTATCGCTTTTATCATTTCCAAAACCAGCTTCAAAAAGAAACTGTGGAATTTGTGTAGTTTTTCCTGAACCTGTTTCTCCACATACCACAGTACAAAGATTATTAAATATTGTTTCCATAATCTGTTGCTCTTCTGCAATAATTGGTAAGTTTGAACGGGATTCTATCACTTCTTTAGAACGGTTCAAGTTAACGTAGAAAGTCTATATGTTTTTAAAACAAAGAATAATTAATATTCTAAATATACTTTTCTTTTCAGATTTGGATTTGAAGATATATTTTCAGGTGGTGACAAATCTCTATCAGGGCCCCTTGGCTTAAATGCTTTACGAATCTCCTCATTTTGTTTTAAATCGTCAATATTTGTTGAATTTTGCTCTGTTTTTTCAAACACTCCCATTTGCTTTTTTGCCCATTCATTAAATCTACTTGCCCTTTTAGAACAAGATGTAGCATTGCTTAACGACGAATTCTCTGTAGATTCATCTTCACTCGTTTGAGAGTTATTACTTGCATTGCTTTCTTCACTTGACGAAAATGTTGATTGATGATCATCCGACACTAGTAAACTATCATCTAGTATAGATTCTTCTTCGTCATCATAACTAAATCCATTATTCTCATCTTTTGTTGGATTTTTTGACTTCAAAAACTTTTTTTGTTTCTGAAGCTCTAAAAATTCTCTCCAATTATGTTGTTTTTTCTGTTTTTTTTTCTTTATAACTGAAAGAGAAATACAGGCACCTTTAGTTCCATTTTTTGTATCCAAAATAGACTGATGTACATTTTTTGATGCTTCTTGTTCTAAGGTGCTTGGTAAAAATTGAATATCTTGTTTTTTTTTTAAAACTTTTGAATTATGTTGTAAGGAAGAAAGTTTCCTTTTTTTTGGAACCTGGAGTAGATCCTCTTCTAAATGATTTTTACGTTTTTCTTGTTTTTTTTCTCTCTTTATGTTTCTTGAACTGTAAAATGCACATGAAGCTTTATTATATTGACTAAGTTGGTCAATTTTAAAAATTCTTATTTTTAAACAGATTGAACCTGAGCTTTTGTATAAGTTTTGCTTTTTCTTCTTTTTTGAATTTATTCTCCTATACTTTTGTTAACAAATCTTCATATTTAACATGTTTTTTACAATATACTTTTCAAGACGTTTTTTTTTCCTGCTTGACATCTTTTTTTCTGGAAGAGAATGTTTTAACTAGTTGTATATAAGCAAGATTCAGTATTTATATAAAGTAACCCGCTTTCATACCCGTTCTTTCAGCTCTTTTCTGCGCTTTTGTTCATCTGGTAAGATCATTTCTACATTAACATCTAATAAATCATCTTTGATAAATGTATCCGAAAAAAATACTCCATTTTCATTATTTTCAGTGTCTTTAGAGTTATGTTTATGTTTCTTTTTCATTTTTTTATTATCAAAAGGTCATAATTTGAAGATTAACGCTTCGAAACAATATATGTTTATTAAAAAATAAAAAAATGACCATATATTTCCTATTTACAAAGAATACTATCCCAAATAAAAACCATACATATATATAACCCTTATACTGATAAATTTTGTAAAATAAAAAAGTTGTTTAATATAAAAAGAATGACTAATAAAATCGATCGGAAAAGATAGGTGCTATACATGTCCATACTACAATAATGGTTAATGTCAAACTTTAGAGATACCATAACATACTATATAACAAATGACATATCCAAGAACTAAAAATTTTCATCCTAAAAAATTAAATATCTCTTTACAATATAATAATGATGTATACCATACAATAGAATAACTATGCCCAATAGCAATAAAAGATTCATCCTCCCCGTGTTTACCCCCATAAGTTTTTAAAGTACCCCTAATCACTTTAAAGAGATGTAAAAACTTGAAAGAGAAAAATACCAACCAGTTAATAAACATGTTGTATAACATGTTGCCTTGAAAAATTCAGTTTAAATATATGATATATGAATGAAAAAGTTACAAGAAAAAATATTAAATGAAAAATCTATTAATATTAGTGTAATACAATATAAACAATAACGTACGGAATAATTATACTGGACATCGTCCTGTCTATTATCATCATTAGATATAGTGTCAAGTAAGTCATCATCTGAAGTATCGAGTGCAGATGCAGGAAGAGAGCTATATTACAATTATCGAAAAGTTTAGTATAAGCTATGAAAATACCCTGTTTCGATTGATGCTTTTAAAATCTTTCGTCTCATTTCTGTTTTGGACATAGGTTGAGAAAGTACGGCGTTGTCACCGTAACTGCATTCCTCTAATTGCTCATAATATGAATCATCATGTTTTGAGTAAAGAAAATTTGCTTGAACAGCAGCTCGTGATGTATTATAAGCAATTGCTAAAAAAGTGAATATAGCATCAAGAACAGTATTGATCGTTTTTGTGCCAGAGGGAAAAGCCAAAGGGTTACAACGAGAACCCGAATCCGTAGAATCATTGGGTTCATTGGAAAGTGCAGATATCGTAAGATACGTTGTATATAAACACACCATTGCAGATTGTGCAAGTCCAGACCGCGGATTGTAATCTTGAACGGTCGGATGAATGGATATAACGGTAATCACAAATAAGAAAATAATGTTAATAAAAATAATAAGTTGATTCAGTGAACATCCAGATCTCGCAAAAAATAAATACCTGTAAAAATAAGCGTATATCCGAAATAGCCTCGTTATTTACATAGCAAGTATAAGAAAGGCAGTAGCGAAATACATTAAAAACGTAGATCCAATAAGATTTATTTTCCAGAAATTCCGTTGTGTCGCTTCATATTTCTGACAGCAAATCTCCGCCCATGAATAAGCAAAATCAATCAATAAAAACAACCCAAAAAGAATAAAAATAATCGATCCTATAAGGGATACATAATTCCCCCATATAATAAAAAACGTATCACTCATGAAAAATGTCGTCATCACAATCAATGCCCATGTAATAATCTTAAAACTCCAATAACTAGGCTTTTCAATGGTTTTCCCGAAAAAATACCATCTTAATACCCATTCTGCAATAATGACGCCTTTTCTCTCGTTGAACATGCTCCCGTCAACAAAAACGCCATAAGAAGATGGAAAAGACCAAGTGAAAAATTAATCCGGCGAACCTTATAAACCATAAGAATTGCTTGCGTACAAAACACTGAAGCACCACACTGCTAAAACCCCGTAACATTTTCCTTCTGGACATGACGTACGCATATGAATTGGCGTCAAATTCTCCAGTTTTCGTATCGCCCAGCTTGTACGCATCAACCATGAAAACTTTTATTTCATTAGCTTTTCACATTGCTGAAATCAATCACACAAAATTACAAGAGAATTAAGAAGGAATAAAAATGCGTATAAAATACGTGCCAAAAACCTGTAACACCTTGGTTACCGTACTGTTAAGCAATGGTTTAAACGAACGAACCTTGATGGATGTGCGGTAAAAAACTTGTAAACGGTGACACACATGATTTTGCTGCAACATGTTAAAAGCCATCCGCTGCTCATAAAAATCCCTGAAACAAGTGCCAACAAAACGAATAAAATCGCCCACATTTCAAAGGCCAAAAACCACGAAACGTTCTGTACTAAAGCACAAAATACAAGGAAAAACTCCCCCCAATCTACTCTCGAATGAATCGTTTTCGACTCTTGGGGGGTTTATGGGTTAACGCACGTTCTAAATAAAAATACACAAAAAATCACTTTATTATTACGTATATATCTAATAGATAAAAAAACCAATATATATATATATATCAATGTTGAAAACGTGAATTGACAAGAAACTCTATCCAATGTGCTTCGAATGGGAGAAATCAGATAGACCCTTTTAGACCCTTTTAGACCCTTTTGTACATGTGTACAAAACGCAACGTGTGTGTATTGATCAAAGTTTCCACCATGATAGATGCAATAACGAGACATCAAACACTGCTGAGGATTGGATGCTGTTCCGGAGGATGGTCTAGAGGCTCTGTCTTGACTTTTGGAGCGTTATTGATGGGCAGTGCTTCCATGAGAAATGAGCTGCCGCTTTCCTCCAAGAGCTCTGATACGCAGATTTTTTTGCGTTTGCGCTGGTCCTCCTTGTCTTCCTCGGGGTGAATGTCCCGCAAACGCATGTGCAGATACGCTTCTCGCCGTTCGAGATCCGCTTCTCGTTGCCGCAACTGACGATCAAAGTCGGTTAAACTTGCGTCCTGTTGCCGCATCTGCGCCTCGTTCATTTCCAACTCTGAAACTCTTAACCGAAACAAATCGTTGACCAGTTCCAGCTCAGAGACTCGTGTGCGCAATGCAGCATTGGCCTGTAAAAGGCTGTCAATGGTGGGAATATCCGTGAGAGGCAACGCTGCAAGTCCGTGCAAATGGTTGCAAAACCCTTCGCCCGCCTGCATCCCGTACCCCATCATTGTTGAAAAATGATACCGAGGCTCCTCGTGGTCCACAAGGGTCACGGACGATCCGGTTGACGCATGGGATCCGACTGAGTTAGCAGACCCGCAAGACCGAGAAGACCCGGTCGATCCCGCTGGGTCTACGGGAGAAGAAGGCGGGCTAGAAGGATTGCCTCGAGTAGCGCGCGACTCGGAACTATCTGATGTCTTGGATTTATGAACCGTATGTTTAACGCGGTTCCGGCTCTTGATAACATCGGTTTTGAGCGAGGTGGGCCGTGAGCAGCCATGGAGCTTAAGAAACAGCCCACAGGCATTGCACAGGGTTGCCCCCGAGTCGTCTCGGCGCCATAATGGTGTAATCGATGTTGAACAATTCTGGCAAACCGGTGTTCCCGTCATTGGAAGCGGCACACTTGCACTCCGTGGCAAAACCCGTCCCCCAAATCTACAAACAAGCGATTAGCCGTGTCCCCACGAGCGCCAAACGAGCAGAAACGGCCTGTCGAAGCAAGTGCCAAGCAAGATACATCCAAATGCCTCGGGATACCCCTCCTTTAATCTACGCCTGCGGCCGGCCTGCAGCCAGCTGCCCAGCCAGCTGCCCAGTCGGCCTGCAAAGACCTCAAAGCGACCCGCAGGCCATGCTGCTGGAAAGCAGGATGCTGGCGATTGTCTTTCAGCACTCGACGGCCAGCCATCAACGCCCACAAGCACCGGCGAGTGCCAGCGAGTGTCAGCAAGTGTCAGCGAGTGTCTGGAGGCGCATGCAGGTGTCAGTGAGTGTCTGGAGATGCGTGTGGGTGCATGCGGGCGCGTGCCAAGCTGGGCTCCCCGGGTTCCCCGGGTTCCTCGGGATGCATCGGAAACACAGAATTGCGCTTGGCGGCCCAAGAATGCCAGTTCCCCTGGTCCAGACTGGCCCAGACCTGGTCCAGACGCCCTCTAGCCATTCCTCTGCCCGGACCTCGCCAACTCACCCCGAATCCCGGTGATCAGAAATATCACTTGAACGTGTCTTGACGGGATGGAATGTGCTGCGTCGAGCCGTTGTGCCAGCAATACTAGCTGCAACTCCTGCGGATGCTGCAGCCACTGTGCCTCCCTTGCCCGCCGCCAAGACTGCTGATCCGACTAATTCTTCTTCAATCCCTGGTCAACTCGGCCTTTTGCCTACTTTTTGTTTTCGGCGCTGAAAACCTACGTCACTGCTGCCCCGATAGCATGAGAAGCACGCTTGCACACCCGGCTGCCCCATTGATAAGCGATAAGCACTCCTCTCTGTTCCACCTCATTTCCTCTTTCCTTTCCTCATAGACCCCTTGTCCGTGTCTCTTTTTCCTCTGGCACCTGTGCACTCCTCTGTGTCTACTTCTCTCGCCGCCTGCATCCCTTTTCCCCCGCAGATCTATTATCTGTTTTTGCCCTGATAATCCCTTTATCCGCCCCCCAAACCAGTCCACTTTCCTTAGGTCAGGGCGCTCTTTATAAGGTTTCTGGGCTAGGGTTTCTCTTCCCAGGGCTAGGGTTGTTTTTGTGCCTCGCAGGGCCGACCCTGACACCGGTTTCCCTTTTGGGTATCTGCATTAGCAAATCGGGGATGCCGCTTTCTCCGCTTGTTGGCTGCTCTCGGCACTGCTTCAGAGCATTGTTGGCACATGTGTTGCCACGCGGTGCCACCGCGCTAGCCGCACTGGTCGAGCCCGTGCACGGCCATTGTCCGCCCGGGCCAGCGGCGCCTCCCTGTCCCTGCCCTGCCCTGCCCCGTTTCTAACGCTATCCCCATTCATCCCGTGCTACCACCAATCATCATGATCTAACCCCGTTCGTCGCACGCTAACCTCACTTATCCTGCACTAGCCCCACACAGTCCCCACTAACCGTATCTGACATGCACTATCCTTATTCCCCTTACGCTAACCACATCCTCCCAGAGCTAGCCTCATTCGTCGAGCACTACCCTAAACAGTCCTAAACAGCCCTGCGCTAACCGCATTCCCTGTGCGCTAGTCCCGTACGATCCCGCTAACTGCATTCGCGCTGCCTAACCCAACAGAGCTACCCCGATCGCTACTGCTACTCCATCGCCTGCAACGCCGTCCGTTACGCACCGTGAGGACGCGGCGGGTCCACGTGACCACCGGGCTCCGCCGCCCGCGCAGCTGCCCTACTTCGCCGGGACGAGAGGCATAGAATCAGCCGCCCCAGCTCCCCCTGCAGCTGCTCCCTCTCTGCATTGAGCTGCGCCCTCTGTGCAAGCAGCGCCCCGAGCTCTGTCTCGAGTGCCGCCAGCCGCTGAAGCTGCTCTGCCTCTGTCTCATGCACCCCCGGCAGCGCGTCGATCAGCGCCTCTGTGTGCCTCGCCTTGTCGACCAGCTGCGCCGACAGCACGTGCAGCGTCTCTGCGAACTGTGCTGCAGTGTCGGGCTGGACTGCATGCGTGAGAATGGCTACCGGCACTCCGGGTACTGCACATACCGCATGCATCGGACGCCTTCGCATGTGCATCGCTCAGCGGCACAAAGTCGTGTGCCGTGTCCAGATAACCCAGCGCCGCGTGCATGTGCCGCGCAAGCTGCTGCGTTAGCCCGCTGCATCTGGCGTGCCGCGCATGCACTGTATGCACGCATCACGCATACATGCGCTGCACTATGTATGCACTATGTATGCGCTATATATGCGCTATATATGCGCGGTGTATGCGTATTGTATGCGTGTATATACGTGTATATGCGTGCATACACTGTGCAGCACTGTGCGTGCTGCATGCGCGGCGCCCGCAATGTACCTCGTCAAGGGCGTCCTGGAGCCGCGTACAAGGACACACCGCCATACGCGCACAGGAAGCGACAAGCGGAGGGATGGAGGCCGTCAGAGGACGTAGAACGCGAGTTTTGGCTGTGTTTCGGCACGCAACCGTGTTTCCGCGGCCTGTCTGCGCCGCGCCGTCCGTGTCGTGGAGCGTAAGGGTGCCGTGGGCCGCTACGGCGACCCACCCGTGGACGCGCTGGGTGCACCTCCGACCCTACCAGGAGGAATGCATACAGGCGTGTCTCGAGGGGATTCGTGAGGGGAAGCGGCGGCTAGGCATTTCGCTGGCGACGGGCAGTGGGAAGACTGTTGGGCCGCTTTTTCCGGTTTCCGCGTCATGCGTGACTGACGCATACAGCTTATTTTCTCGACTCTGATAGAGCGAATCGAGCCGGCCGCGTTGAATGCGACGCAGACGCTCATCCTCACACACAGGAGAGAGCTAGTGGACCAGGCATACAGGCAGTGCAGCCAGCTGTACCCGGAGAAGGTTGGGCGCTGCTGCGCAGCAGCGCAGCGGGGCATTTGGCCCGGCTGACAGGGAAAAGACAATCGAGATCGAGATGGGCAGGGCGAGTGCGTCAGGGCTTGCAGACATAACGATTGCGTCGGTCCTCACGATGGTTTCCCAGGAGCGAATGCACAAGTTTAACCCGGCGCGGTTCAAACTGATTCTGATCGACGAGGTGCATCATGCAGCGACGCCGAGCTATATGCGCATTCTCCAGCATTTTTCGGCAATGAGCCCGGAATCGAAGGTGATTGTTATCGGGTTTTCCGCGACGATTTTCCGGCTGGACGGTCTTAAGCTGGGGGTCGCTATCGACCACATCGCGTACCACCAGTAAGGGACAGAAAGGGCAGAAAGGGGCTTCGCTAAGGATGGTCAGGAGCTTAGTGGACCTGATTGAGCAGAAATGGTACGGACGGAGCATTTCTTTGCCGCGGACTCACTTACAGGCTCTCGAACGTCTGCTTCACAGTATGCTCGGGCATTGATCGGTCGCAAGCCAGGAAAGTCGGGAGCGACGAGAGCGACGAGAGCGATAGGAAAGACAGGAGAGACAGGAGAGACAAGGTCGGGGACAGAGTTGGGGGCGTCGAGAGGGAGTCACTGTCGGAGCTGGTCAATATGCGTCCTACAAACGACATATGCGTCCGCACATGGATGAAAAAAGCATGTGTGTTTTTTCGCCGTTTGGAGGGATTGCTAACACGCCAAGCATCTCGGAAGTCGACGCTGGTATTTTGTGTTTCGATTGCACACTGTTTAGAGATGGCGAACACCTTCCGTTCCTACGGTATCGATGCCAGAATTATTACATCGAAAACGCCCAAGTCAGAAAGACTTAGACTGCTTGAAGACTTTGGAAGACAAGAATACCCGGTGCTTGTCAACTGTGGTAAAATCAGCGTGTGTGGGTGAAGGAATGGCTTACAGGGGATGTAGGAATTCTAACGGAAGGTTTGTGCCGAGGATCCACAGGAGATCAGGGTTTATATGGTGCAGGAACAAATATTCCGAATATTGACTGTGTGCTTTTGGCACGTCCGACAAAATCGCATAATCTTTTTTTGCAAATGATAGGCAGAGGGATGCGGTTATTTCCAGGGAAAAGCGATTGCCACGTAATTGATATGGTCGGGAACGTTTCTCATGGAATATTAGCCGTACCGACGCTGTTTGGGCTTGATCCCAAAGAGATCAACAAGGAAGCGTCCCAGGGTGAATTAAGACGTATTTCCGGCAGTAAAGAAAAGACAAAAAGTCTTAAGCATAGTGAAGGCAGAAAGTCATCATGCTTGCAAGTCAGCCGAGCATCGCCGAATATTAAATATGTAGAGTGGGATTTTACTCATGATTTTATAAAGGACTTTGAATTGGTAGCAAATGTTCGAAAATTCAGCAAACTACCTTGGATTCATATTAAAGATAACAAATACATTTTGTCGATACCTATTTTTGGATTTATTAAAGTCGATAAAGACATCGAAACAGGCAAATACTTGGTAAATTTGATTTATAAGCTGAACTCTTTAGATGCATACTATGCGTCCGAAACTCTTAGGGTCCCTGGATCATCAGCAAAGTCTCATACTCACAAAAAACATCGTGTAATTCTGTCGAATGCTATCTCTCTTAGAAATGCTATATTTGCCGTAGATACATATGTAATGAGGAATTACCCTCGAAGGATGGTACTTAAAAATGCAACATGGAGGAAATCGCCTGCTACAAGTACACAAATCGCACTTATAAATAAAATAAATCCATCGATAAACCGGAACATTAATAACATGACCAAAGGCTTAGCATGGGACTTGATAACAAAATTAACACACGGTGCAAAAGTGTTCTCAAAACAGACTAAACCAACTAATTAAATTCATTCATATACGCTCACATATTATAAACATGGATTCATACGCATCCTTATATGTAAATAAAATTTCGTTCATGCAAGTTTATTATACACATTAGTTAATATATACCCCTGGATGTATTTATTCCTGTATTCTAAAATATCGAAATAATACAAAAGCCTGAATTCATCATTGTATAATTAGAAAAAAATGGAGGTTGCAAGGGTAGAAATATACTTAGCAAAGACTTATAGATATATATATATATATAGACATACGTTGATCTGCTGATATCAATATATTTTTGAAAATATATTCACGTTTTTTTATAAAAATTTAAAAGATAAAACACTAATAATTAACAAAAATTAATCATGAAATACCCTTAATTTTTTTATTATTATTCCATCGTAATTCATATAATATTATATGTACCCTTTTTAATCTTTGGCACAAAATACCGATCAACGACTAAAAATATTTAAAAAAAAATGGAAAGATTACAACAGCTTTTGCAAGGATCTGCTGGACTTGGCCTTGGAGGAGGAGCTCAAAATTCAGTTATTTTATATAACCTCTTTTTTTAAACGAAATTTGACCAATATTTCTAGGATATAATACAAATTGACAATTCTGAAACTGTATACATTTCTTCATTAGCACTTTTGAAGATGTTAAAGCATGGTAAATTAGAAATAAAGTATTTTAAATATTGAATTTTATATCTAGGACGTGCAGGAGTTCCTATGGAAGTAATGGGGTTAATGCTTGGTGAATTTGTGGATGATTATACAATTCATGTTGTAGATGTAAACAAATTATATTTAAAACCGTTTTGTAGATTATCTAATATTTCAGGTGTTTGCCATGCCACAATCAGGAACAGGGGTTTCTGTAGAAGCAGTTGATCCTGTTTTTCAGCAGAAAATGATGGAAATGCTTAAACAAACTGGTCGGTATGTATTATGTATATATATATATATATATTCTTATAGGTGATTTAGTCCAAATAATGTAGTAGGCTGGTACCATTCTCATCCAGGATTTGGTTGTTGGTTGTCATCGGTCGATATTAATACACAACAATCTTTTGAACAGCTTACTTCTCGCGCAGTTGCAGTAGTTGTGGATCCGATTCAGTCTGTTAAAGGGAAAGTGAGAAAAAAATATTTGTGTTATTTCTCTTATAATCAAGGTTGTTATCGATGCGTTTCGATTAATAAATCCATCCATGCTTATGATGGGTCAAGAGCCTAGACAAACAACTAGTAATATTGGTCATCTTAATAAGCCATCTATTCAATCTCTCATTCACGGTTTTTTGTTTTTATTTTTTTCAATTTTATAATATCTTTTAGGCGTTAATAGACATTATTATTCTATTGCTATTAATTATAGAAAAACAGCATTAGAGGAAACAATGTTGTTAAATCTTCATAAAAAGACATGGACAAGTGGTCTTGTATTAGAAGATTTTGAAATGCATGACAAAAAAAATCAGGAATCTGTAGAAAGTATGTTGAAATTATCGGAAAATTATACCAAAAGAGTGGAAGAAGAGACTCAAATGACAGCAGCTCAACTTAAAACACGGTATAGTGTTTTCACAATGAATCTAGGCATTGATTGTTTGTAGATATATTGGAAAACATGACCCACGCAAGCATTTACAAAATAAAATAGAGGCTTTAATGGGAGACAATATTACTCAGATGCTAGCAACAACTTATCACATTACTTCTATATTAAAAGACGAGAAAGAAACAGGGGCGTAGAAATGTAAATAAGTTAAAATTTTAAATTATAATTGTATTATGTTTATGAAAAAATTATATTATTCGTTTTACTTCGAAAAATCTTTTAAGAAAGTATATTTGAAAAAATATAAGACCAATTAAAACAAAGATTTGGAAAATATTCCAGTTTTGAACACGTGAATTAGTGCTTTCTGCCACATTTCTATGTGCTTTTTCCCGTGCTTTAATATATTCTTGTTCATCTCTTACATCTCTTAGAATTTCACCGAGAAATGATATCTCGCTATTAAAATCAATGACATTTTTTACACCACGTCTGTGTTTAGTATGATGAACATTAAAAAACAATTCAATATCTGAACCTGAGATATCCTAAAAACTATTAAAAACATAATTTTTTGTAAGAAAAAAAAACATTTCTAAAACAATATTTATATTTTCCATTCATATTTGCATTTAAAGAATATTCATGGAAATTTGAATGCCCAATATTAACAATTGTTTTATCTTCTGGGTTTAAAATCTGTTATTTAGTTTATTTTTGTTAAAAAAATGTAAAAGAATACATGGAAATTAACGTATAGGTTTTCATCAACACCGTTATCCCCTCCTGCTTGGTAACTGATAACTATTTGGTCTTCTTTTTCCAAGTTTTCAAAAAAACATTCTAAAATAATTGTTAAGTTCATATAGCGTTGAAAATGGTTTTACCATCAGTATTATCTTTCAATATAATACTGTATTGAAAAGAAGTAGAAAACAAAAATGAAATAAGAAGTGCTGTTTTTATTTGAAAAAAATTCATTCTCAATCTTTTAAAAATTCGTTTTGTACGAAGTTGAATGTTCCTGAAAAAAGATATTATAAGATAAATAATAAAAAATTCATTCCAACAGCAATTATTTTAATAAAAACACAATTGATACTATAAACACTCTTGATTTTTGTATTTTATCGATTTTTTTAATGATTTAGATACATACATAGATAACAATTTTGTTTTGAAACAGAAATAGTATATTTTCACAAACAGAGTTATTAAATCATTTTTATTTATATTTTTGTAATCTATTTTTACTTATTCAAATCTTTAAAGTTCATTTTTAACGACATTTTGCAATTCATAAAATTATTTAAATTCTAATATTTTTGATATTTTTAATTAAATATCATTAAAACTCTTTTATACTTTAAAAAGACAGTTTTATTTATCTTTGATCTTAAAATACTAAAAGGCAATATTTTTTAAAAAATTAAGCATAAACTTCTTTCATGTAAATGAATGAATTAGATCGGATAAAGACTTTAATTTTGAATGTTCTTGATCATGGAGATATAAAAGATACGCTTGATTTGTTTTTAGATGATCAAAAACAGCCAATTGATCAGCAAAAAATCCAAGGATGTTTAAATTCTCTTGTAAGTAAAGAGGTAATTTTATTAAAATGAAATACTTGTTTTTATTTTTATGTTAGATGGTTAAATACAAAACTATTGAAAAAGAGTATTTTTCATTAACTTTAGAGGCGGAAGAAATTATTTTGAATGGGAGTCACGAAGCAAGAGTTTTTAATGCTATTTCATTGGCAAAAGATGGGTTAACTTTAGATGAACTTAAAGTATATATTTCTTATTTTTTAGTTTTTTCTTAATAGTGATATTTCAAAGTTAACTGTGGGATCATCTTTAGAATTTGGATTAAGACAAATATTTAAAAATCAATGGGTTAAAAAAGTTAATAATAAGTTAATTAAAAATGTATGTTTTAAATTTTAAGAATATTCACAATATTAAAATATTTTAGGTTGATTCTATTGTGGATACTGTTTCTGATAATTTGAAAATAATAAAGGAAAAAGGAAATCATCCTGATATAAACGTTATTACAGATCTTCGAAAGCGTAAATTATTGGAAAAAAAGTTTATTTATGAATTGTTTTTTATCTTTGTTTATATTTGGTAGGAAAGAAATATCTTTTTCAGTAGAAAAAGGGCCCGAATTCTCTCTTACTATTTCAGATAAGATAACAGATCTTACAACAGCAATATTACAATCGTAATATTTAAATCTTACAGTAATTTTTAAACTAATTATTTTAGAAAACTATATGAATCATTAGAGTTTAAACCATATAATTTTAATGCTAAGGGAGTTACCCTTCAGACTGGATCATTACATCCACTTTTGAAAATGAAAGAGGAATTTAGGCAAATATTTTTTGAAATGGGGTATAAAAAATGTCTTTATATAATTTTCTTTATGCATCTAGGTTTGAAGAAATGGCAACTAACAAATTTGTTGAATCATGCTTTTGGAATTTTGATTCACTTTTTGTTCCTCAGCAACATCCTGCTCGAGAGACTCAAGATACATTTTATATTAAGTCACCTGATTTTTCTAAACCTATAAAAGAACAGAAATATGTTGATGCTGTTCGTCGTGTACATGAAAAAGGCGATTATGGATCTATTGGATATCGATATCCTTGGTCTATAGAAGAATCTAGAAAGCTTGTATTACGAACTCATACAACGTCGGTATCCTCTCTTACACTTTATAAGTTGGCAAATCAAGAAGGTGGGTTTAAACCTGCAAAGTATTTCTCAATAGATCGCGTTTTTCGAAATGAGGCCATTGATGCAACGCATTTAGCAGAATTTCACCAAGTTGAAGGTATTATTGCGGATTATGATTTAACTCTTGGCGATCTCATTGGTTTCATGGAAATATTTTATGGTAAAATGGGTGTAAAAAAATTAAAATTTAAACCAGCGTATAATCCGTATACTGGTATTTTTAATTGCTATATTTATTAGTATTAATTTTTAGAGCCTTCTCTTGAAATATTTTCCTATCATGAAGGATTAAAGCGATGGGTTGAAATTGGAAATAGTGGCATGTTTCGTCCAGAAGTAAATAACTTTAAATTTAGTACATAACTAATTTTTATAGATGTTGGAGCCAATGGGGTTTCCTAAAAATGTAAGGGTTCATGGTTGGGGTCTTAGTTTAGAGCGTTTAACTATGATTAAATATAATATCAATAATATTAGGGATCTTCTGGGTCATAAAGTTAGTTTAGATATAATTCAAAATAATCCTGCAGTAAGACTAGATAAAGGGATTGTTTAAATGCATTAAAATAAAAGAATTAATATAATTAAATTAGCTTTATTAAAATTGGAATTTTAATTTTTAATATTTCCATTTTTTGCCTATTTTTAGATATTTATAAAATACAAATTTTATTTATTCACACTTATTTATATTTTAATAATTATATATTTTTCTATATTTTTTGTTTTTAAATATTTAGATTTAAAAGAATAATTTTTAGTAAATTAAATGTGATTTATAATCTAAAAAATCTTTTATTATTGAATGATTAGGAACCAAAAAATTGGGAATAATTTAATCAAAAAATATATAAAATAATTTGGTTAATTTAAGTTTTTGTGTTCTTTTAAATACATATTATCCTATTAAATATTGCTTTTTAAATACATCTAAAAATATTTTATAATAATCTTTATATTTTTATATCAAATATATATTGATTTAATATATCAAGAATTTTTGAATTTAATTGTTGAAAACTATTACTTTTTTGATATTAAATACCGTTTACAAATATGTCTTTCTAGTATGAAATTCTTTTTAATTTTCATCTATATAATTACAAATTGATACCATATAATTAATTATATTATGCATTTAAATATTCTTAACATGTCTAAACATGCTCTGGAGGTTTCGGAATTCCTTCAAATATTAAACTAAAAAAAATTAAACAAATTTTAAAAATTATAAACATTCAAACCTATTTATACTTGTTTTCATAGCTGACATTTGCTCACGTTCTCTTTGTTTTTCTTGATTTAACATTTCCTCACCATGCTCTTTTAAATATTCTTGGTATTCTATATATGCTTGCTGAGCTCTTTCTCTCTGTTGATCAGTCATTAATTGAGGAGTTTGAGATGAACGTTGCTAATAAATCAGCAATAATAAATAAATAAAAGTGTATCTACCATTGATCCATTGAGTAAGAATGAAACCCATGAATTATTATTTTTATTATGTTCTTCCCATTCCTTTTTTATATTATCTTTCAACAATTTCTCTCTACGTGCCCATTCAGTAGGAATATGTTTCCCTCTATAAGATGCTATAACAGGACGAACATCTGATACTTCCATAGAAGCAATATCTAAGAAAAGAGTCAATAAAATAATTATTAAAATGATAATTAAGAACATTCTAAAAATGGAATTAATGAAATCAATTCTTTGTCATTAGGATCGCCTTTCCACGGTTCCATAGCAATTGCATTATCAGGCTGAGAGGAATAAGAATCTGGATTAGTATCAAGCATAATGATTTTATCTAAGGGCCTATTCATGTAATTTAAATCCTGCAATTATTAGATTTTTTTTATACATTTAACCTTTACCTTTACAAGTTTACCATTGACATATTTAGTAGCTTCTCTAAACAAACTTGCACTAAGTGAACTTCTATATGGATCTAATTTCTGTATAATTGGTATAGCTGTCTATTAATAATATTAAATTAAATTAATTTATTCATTATAGGAATATACTGCAGCATATTGTGTAGTGAATATAACAATTTCATAATATTGGCTAAGATAAGATAAGAAATAATCTAAGCCCGGTCTTTTTGCAATTCTCCATCCATGTTCACGAGACCATTCTGAGTGAATAAGTAGGTTATCTAGGTCAAGAACTAATGTAAATCGACGTTGATAAGGCTCAGGCAGAGGATCAGGCAGAAGCTTATCAAACGCTGGTTCATTGTAATACTGAAAAAATCAATATATTAAATATGTGAAAACATTCAACTCACGCTAAGTAAAGATGATGCACGTTGTTTTAATCTTCCAATAAAAGTAGAAGAAGTATTTTTTCCAGAACTTCCATCTTGTTTAATTTCTTCATCACTCCATCCACGTCCCATATAACATGTACTTCCAAGAATTGTTATAAGCAATCCCCATAACACATAAGATGCCATTTTTTCACGTCTTATATCCGCAGTAGACTTATATTTTTGCTTTTTTTCAGTAATGTCATTAGAAAATATATACTTTAATTTGTTTTTCATTTTTAATATTTTTAAATTAGTCATTTCTTCAGTGTTTGATTTTTCACTGTTTAAATTTATCTCCTTTGAAACATCTGTGTTAAAAGAATGTCCAATATTTAAAGGACTATTAGAAGATGTTGATTTATCTCTATAATTTAAAAATGTGTTTTGTTTAGAGCTCAAAATTAAATGATTCTTTAAAATGATAATAAAAGGCCAATTCAATTGTTTATTTAGTGCCTTAGATTGAAACGTAAGAGTACCAAAAAATCTTAAATGCATCTATATAATCTTTAATTCTTTCATATAATGTCATTTTTTTAAAAAAAAAAAAAAAACCTTTAATTTTTCAAAACTTTATTTTAACTTTCTAGGGATTAAATATGCAAAAGAAATCTATAAAAAACAGTCGATCTTTAAACTGTTCCTAAAATTAAAGATTTCTAGTAGTTTTTTTTACCAAAAAATGCAAATATATTTAGGACAATTTTTTTTAGAAATGGCGTAGTTATCGAGACAAGTTTGATTTGTTATCAAATAAAAAAAGTTTTAAAAAAACTCTAAATTAACAAATATTTTTTCAGGCTATTATAATTATATTGGGAAAAATAGAATAAATGGCCTATGAAAAAATATCAAGAATATCATCTATTTGATAATTTATTTTAAACTGTTCCATTCCGTGATTTGCTTCTACACAAGAAAAGAAGATTTGCTGAATATACGTTTTTAAATATGTTGTATGTATAGGATCTTTTTTTATAAGCTAAACAATTTGTTAATTATTTAAATAATATATTTTTAAATAAAATTACTTCCTGTCGACGAATTGTTTCTGAACTATTAGTAACACTTAAATAATTTTCATCATCATGTTTATTCCAATATATAAGAGCGCTTAGAATAGTAAGAAAATGAATTTTTATTAAGAATACTAACTCTCCCTCTTTGTTTTCTTTGATTTCACTTAAAGTTTCAGACCATATATTTATTAAATGATTTATATTTATAAGAACATAAGGATTATTAGTTATTAGTAATGCAGTAATTCCCATAACATTTAATTTTCTATATTTAGGGTTCCCAATATTATCAAACTATTGAAATTAATAATAAAATTGAAAATAGTAAATTTACTATAGAAATCCATATATTAAGAAAGTTACTGATTATTTCTTGATTATTAGGACTATTTTGTTCTATTTTAAATGAAAATTCTCCCAAAAAATCCAATATAATATGTGGATTTTGTAGAGATATTCTAGAAATAAGTGAAAAATATTGTATAACAATGGGTTTAAGTTCCTAGAAATTTTTAGTAATAAATCCAATAAAAAAAAACTACTTTATTGATCATAATAGATTCTAATATTTTAAAGATACAGCCAGACGAAACTAAAGTATTTGCATATAAATGAATAGATGTTGTTTGTAATGCAAAATCAAGTACTCTTATTATCACATGAGATGTATCAGGATGTAAATTCCCTAAAAGATTTGAAAATTTTGATAAAAATGGTAGTGAATAGTGCTGATTTTTGTTAATAAAATAAATTAAAATAAGGCCATTACTTTCATGAATTCATCTCCAGAAAGTAAAATATAGCTTTCAAAAATGCATAATATTTTTTTTAATACGTCATTTCCATAATCTAAGAAATTAATAGCTAATGGGATAAGAGATAATATTTGAAATGATGAATTTTGAGTTTCCTGAAGTAAACTATGCCATAATTCAAGAGTATCTTCAATTAAATAAATATTAGTATTCTAGAATATCAGCGGATTATTTTATTAATAATATTAAATACCAATGATGAACTAATAGAATATTGAATTAGTTGTATTATCAATGGATGATATTTTTCTGATTCTTTTTTAAGAGACTAGTAGAATTAATATATGAATTGTAAATTAAATTATATACTTTGACTAGTTTTGTTAAAGTAATAATAATAATTACTTTAAGAAGATGTCCCTCTTCAGATTGTTCCCATAAAAGTGGTAATGTATCAATAATATTTTGAGCATATGGTAAAATCTAGAAAGGTAAAAAAATATTATATTATATTATAATCAAACCTGTTGTTTTATTCTTTCTATAATTACATTAATAACTTGCAGAACTTTGAGTTTTGAATCAGAAAATTCACATTGATTTATTAAGTGTAATAAACTTTTAAATATACTTTTTAAATAAGGCAAAAGTTGTTCTTCTTCAAAACTCCATTCATCTACACATTGTTTTAAAGATACTGCTGCTGTAAGTTGAATTGCTAAATCATTTGATTCTTCATAAGCGTTTAAAAATTTTTCAAAAATTACATATATATTAGTTTGAATGTTTTTTGAAGATTCTAAAGATGTACATTGTGAAATAAGTATGAGAATTCTTCGATATATAATTTTAGAAATTCTAAATAATATTTAGTTATATAAGTATAAAAAACAAAAAAACCTTTGATTATGTATTTGGATGTCCTTTGAAAATATATTTAAAAAGATACTATCAAAATCCACAGAATCAGAGAAAAAATTAATACCTATTCCAAAAGCATTATATACAGCCTCTTTTAAAAGAAAGGTGCTTTCATCAAAAGATGCTAAATATATAAGAAATGTAAAATCTTATATTTTGAAATTATACTTGCAATAGTTTGAAATAATGATAAGAAAGGACTAGATAATATTTTGCTATATATCGAAAAGATGTCTGCCAGTAAAGATTCTGCACAAGGCTAATAATGGTAAATATATCTTTAAAGATAAATTTTATACTCTAAGATCATATTCCCATGATTGTTTTTCTTGTGATAAAAACCATTGTTCAGGATTTTCTTCCCATGTAAAAAGATCATTTGGCCTTAAAACCATATATTTGGTAATTAATATTTCTAAAATCTTTTTTAGCATTTCTGGATTAAATATATTTTTTTCTAAAATCTTATATGTTTCTTCAATTTCTTGTCTATAGTTCTCTAATTTAACTAAATAAATGAATTAAAATAAATTAAAAAAAAAGTAGGAATATTACATTCTAGTAAAAGATCCGAATTATGAAGAAATTTGATTCCATGTTTTATGAGAAGTAAACCTTGTATAACTATCTTACATATAAAATTTGTACGCTCTGTATTTTGTTCATTAAAAATATCTGCGTTTTTTTCTATAATATCTAAATAAACCATAATGAGTTCACTCGAATTTGGCATTAAAAAAATAGAAGTTAATTGTGTTGATGAAAATTCTAAGAACATTTTTCCAAAAAGGATTATATATGAATATAAAAAGGTACACATATCTCCTTTAACATACTCACCTAATCTTCAATGAATATAAAAGAAGAATTAATAGCTCAATTACATAAATTGAAATATAATTTTAAGTACATATAAGATAATTGGAAAAAAGACCTTAAATTTTCGTTTTTGTATGGATATTCAAACCCATAAATGATTAATCGTCTAAGAATTTTAAAACATAAATGGCTTATTTGTAAAATAGCAAAAATATCTGTTTCTAAAGCATTTGATTGAAACATATGAATCCATTGATCAGTATAATTTTTAAATGCTCCGTATATAAATTCAAACAATTCCGGAGCTATCTATCAATTTCATAGGTCATTATTAAATAAAAAATAGACTCATATACTTGTTGAAAATTACGTCTTGCTTTTACAAGCCGACTTGCACAAAGGTTTTTAACAATTTGATAAAGCGTATATAAATGTCGATGTAAAAGCATACATGAATCTGATGCATGAGAAGTTGAATTTTTTATTATAAAAAAAAGTTCTTGAAAAAGATGTGGCCTAATAATAAATCAGTTAACTTTCTTAAATCATTAACTTTACCAATCATGAGGGAAATCTAATCGAGCAATTCTTGCTGCTACGAGAGAATTTTGAACTGCTAAAAGATGATTTTTATCTTCTGAACCTTGTAATATACGTTTTCTAATTTTTTCTTTCTTTTCAAAAGATATTGAGCTACTTCATATAAATATATATAGATCTTATTTATACATAGATTATTTACTTTTTTGCACTTTTTCGCCAATATTTATCAATTCCATTTTTAAAATAAATAATACTTATCCATCTAACATTAACTGGAAATTCTTTGTTTAAAAAAATATCCTAAGGTAAATATTTACTTTTTATTTTATATAATTATCCAGTTTCAAACTCACTTGAAGTGTCAAATAAAATTCTGGCACTGTTTCCCAAGATTTAAGTTTTTCTTCTGATAATTTAATCAAAGAAGCATCTTGAGAAACTGAATCATAAAGTGCCTGAAGTATTTCTTTGTTCATTCGTTTCAGTTTTCTAATTTTATTAAAAAACTTGCATTTTGATGGGCTGATTAAAAGTTAATCTCGATATTCAGACTGATAGTTGAAGCACGTGAGATTGAATAAATGAAAATTAATATGAAATGTATAAAATAAATTAAGAATGATTTTATATAAATTATTTGGAAAGTGTTTACTTTATTGTATTTTTTTTATCTCTAGATAATTAATTTTTATTTAATATCTATAATAAATATTAATATTATTGTTTTATAATATAATAATAAGATATTTTTTATAAAAAAGATAATCTAATCACCTATATTCAAATGTTTTATTATATAACTTATTAAAACATTTTTGTTAATATATCTTAATTAAACTAATATTTTATTAATAAAATATAATAAACCATAAAAATAAAAAAAGGTCAAACTAAATTATAGATTTAAATTTATAAAATTCATATATAATCTATCCTTATTTCTTTGAAATAAAAATCTTCATAATTTTTACTCCTTTGCCCATTAAAATTTATTAATGATATACATATATAATAAACTTTTAATCAACCACTTTATTAAAATCTTTAAATAATCTATATTTTTTTTAGGAATATTCAATTATTATTTAATTAAAAAATTAATGTCCGTGCAAACAATGATATAACGTGCACTTTTGAACTAAAACTTTAGGATAATATTAAATTTTAAAATATCAAAAAAATTAAAAAGGAATATTCTTAAAATCTTTGAAAACAAAGGACTCTTTTTACATTTAAGCAGTTTAAGTTTAAGAATTCTAATATTTTTTTAAAAAAATTAACTATACCTTTAAAATATTGAAAATAACTACTTATGATTGGGGTAAATAAACTTATAAACTAAGGTTTAAGACTTTTAGAATTAATCTCTAACTTTATGAATATTTAGGTATTTAAGATATTAATTCGTTCTGGCAAGAAAATTCAAAATTTATTTAAACATTTACCACTACCTGATTGTCAAAATTTAAAAAAAACTACTTATAATGGTTCAGAAATACAAAAAAAAACGAAGAAAAACATAAAGAGCATAGGGAATAACAAATGTGAAATGGCTGGTCCATGTTCAATTAATGAAAATTCAAATGCTCAAAAATATCTTCCCAAATATTCAGGTCTTGAGAAATATACATTAATTGAAAAAATGGGAGAGTAAGATATTATTTTAATTTGTAAATATATATATTTATGTGTTTAGTGGTGCATATAGCGATGTTTACAAGGCTATTTGTAATGATTCTAAAGAATATGTAGCAATTAAAGTGATACGTAAATATAAACTTAATTATTTGCAAGTAAGTAGCTTTTTCTTTAATTAAGATTTGAATTACAATATATTTATAAAAAAATTAGAAAGCAAATGTTTTTAAAGAAATTCGAATTATGCAAGATGTTGATCATCCAAATATTGTTCGTTTTCTTAGTTTTTTAGAAAATGATGATTATTATTTTCTTATTCTTGAACTCCTCGAAGGAGGCGAAATTTTTCATCAAATTGTTCGACTTACATACCTATCAGAAGATCTTTCTAGACATATTATTCTACAAGTTGCTCATGCTATACGCTATCTTCATGAAAAAAAAGGAATTGTTCATCGAGATATTAAACCAGAGAATATTCTTTTTAGACCAATTCCATTTATCCCTAGCAAATCCCCTAAGATAAGGACAGGAGAAAGTACTAATAAACAAGATGAAGGTATATTTATTAAAGGTATTGGTGCTGGTGGTATAGGGCATGTTAAAATCGCAGATTTTGGACTTAGTAAAGTTATTTGGGATAAACAAACAATGACTCCTTGTGGCACTATTAGTTATACTGCTCCTGAAATTTTAAAAGATCAAAAATATTCTAAATGTGTTGATATGTGGGCTTTAGGTTGCGTTCTTTATACGCTTCTTTGTGGGTTTCCACCATTTTATGATGAAAACATTCAAGTTCTCTCAAGAAAAGTTGCTCAAGGTGAATATTCTTTTTTAAGTCCTTGGTGGGATGAAATTAGCAAAAGTTCTCAAGATCTTATTAGTAATCTTTTAAGAGTAGATCCCAGAGAGCGATATACCATTGACCAGGTAATAAAAATAAATTATCTAGCTTTATAAAATAAATTTTTGCTAGTTTTTAAATCATCCGTGGATCCTAGAATCCAATAAAGAGACGCAATTTACACATGACATGTCTTGTATTTCTAGTACTCTAACTACAGATTCTACTATTTCTTTAAAATCTAAACTCAAAACTCCTTTTGCGTTTAAAGGATCTCGAAAGGATTTTGGGTAAATATATTCTTACTTTAATCTCTATTTAATAATATTTAAGATCTCTGAATATTATTCCTCTACGTAAAGCATTTGATATTTCATATATGGTTCAACGTATGAAAGAAGAAAATGCATTTCATATGCCTATGATATTAAATAATAATTTTGAAAATACTGAGAAAATCAACTATTTTATTAAAGAAGCATTGCAAAAAAATATGCTTTCAAAGGCATTTAAAAAAGACTTTTATTCCGAAAAGAAGAATTCAAAGAATATATATATAAATCATAAAGAGGAATATGATACATTTACATATCCTGATTATTTTTCACTCACTCAATCATGTACTGATCATTCTTTACAAAAATCTCATGAATCTCAATTTGAATTATCTTTAGAAAAATCTTCTCTCTTATGTCGCAGAAAAGCTCTTATTGCTGTCGATATTTAAATTTTTATTTAAATAATACTTTTTTTTGATTATTTCATTGATAATCATGTAGTGTATAATATAAATAAATATTTAGATGCTGGTCATCTATTATTTTATAAACATATATAATATGTTTTCTTTATTACATTTTTACTTACTTGATTATACTTATATTTTTTAAAATATCTCGAAAGTATAACTTAAGCTAGCTCATAATGTTTTTTCTTTATAAGATTCATTATTGATCAAAAACTGTGCAAAAATACATAAAAAAACAACAATGTCTGATAAGAAAGAAGATTTTATGTCTCTTTTTGATTCAATTGATAAAATTGATTCAAAAAATCCACCTCAGGATTTTCCAATAGAAAATATTCAAGATGAAAAGGCTGTTTTTGAATTTTTAGATGATATTGTTAAAAAAAAGCCTCTTGAAGAACAGGAAAATAAATTGTCAGATAAAAAGAATGTAAAAGAAAATGTAGAAGAAAATATTTTACATGAAAAATCACCAAAAACAAGTCTAGTTGATAAAACTTTAGGAAAAAAGATTGAAAAAACATGGTTTGAAGGGATTCTGGATAACACTTCATTCTTTTTTAAACAAGCTGAAGAAAAAGTAAAGCAATTTCAACATTTAGAAGGAAAAAAAATTGAAGAAAAAGTACGCAATATAGTGGATACTGATACATTAGGAAAATTTGGTATAAAAAAATAGAAACTTTATATGTCTTATCATGTATCTAGGAAACCAATTTCGATCAAATGCTATTCCTACTTTGTCTTCTACATTTAATTATATGCTAAATGTAGTTGCACCACCTATCTCATTACATGAAATATTAGAAATTGAAATATATCATAATCTAGTATTCTTTCCAAAATTAGATCAAATGGTGTATTCAATATTTGATGAGGTAAATATATTTTAAAGATCTATTCTATAATTTATATGTTTTTTAAGATTATATCACATATAGAAAATGAAGATGTTGTTATACAGAAAGGAAAGAAAAATATCTTGAGAACAGAACCTATGAAAGAATTTCGTATATTTGAAGAATATGAGGCTGCAATTGACTCGGCAAAGGTAAAAAATTTAAAATCATAGAAATATTATAAAATCAATCACTAGGAGCATATCATTCCTTTTTTGGGTTTAGAAAAAAAAAGAACAGAATCTTCCAATTCCTTAACAATATATACATCAATTTATATATCTATTCAGGCTTATTCATTTAATTTAAAAGATATGTCATCAAACAATAAGGAAAAAAACAAGAATGAAAAAATGTTTTCATTCGTGATATACTTAAATGATCCTTATAATGAGCTTGAATTAAATACACAAAGCCAAGCGTTACCAATTGAATGGCTTTATCAATTAAATAATATAAATATGAATCCTAAATTGTCTGTTACCAATTTAAATTTAATAACTGAACAAATTGAAAAAACATTACAACTTTCTATTGGAGTTATTGCACAGTATGTTTATTTTTTGATAGTATTTTAAAAATTCATATTAATTATTTTATAGACTTTATATAGAAAAACGTGATAATAAAAGCAATTCTACTTAAAATAAACATGTTTCAACAAATTAATATCAATTCATTACGGAAAACTTAAATTACGAGTTTTATATTGCTTTATTTAACCTGTATTTTTTTTCTAAATGTTTTTTTTTAAAAAAAACTTTATTTCAACTTTCTAACATTATCTATCAAATATACGTATATGAATAGATAAAAAATTATAAATACAGTTATTAAAGAAAAGAATAAAACATAATACTTGAATATTTCATAATTAAAAAATCTTATAAAATAATTCAAATTTTTACTAGTAAGAATAATTAATTATACTATTTTTGACTATACTATTAACGGCTTTTCTTTTTATACTCAGAAATCAACTAACATGTAAATAGTAATTTTATAAAAACAATTTAATATTTTATGTAGTTTATATTTAAAATTTATTTTTCTATGAAATTACTCTTTACCAAGAAATTAATACAATTTTAAAACAGTTTTTTTTTTTTTAAAAAAGTGACCCACTCCAACATATATTTTAAACAGTTCCAAAAATCGACAACAATAATCAAAAAACAAAATTCCTGAATAATTATTTATGGGAATCAATCATACTTTCATGTAATTTAATTTAGAACTAATCCCAGAATGAGCTTTATTCATTATAAAACATAAAATACTCACTTGTTTACATACTTATTTCTAAACAGTCGCCTTACAAATGATTTTATGCCTCTATACTTTAATAAAGAAAACAAAAATGATAAAATAACAATAAAATCACATATATATATACTCCACCAAATTTGATTTATAACAAACGGGTATAAACAATAGGAAAATTCCCATTCTTTCATTTATGTTAAAACAGATCAAAACTATAGATTAATACTTACTATCACTAGCTTCGTTTATTTTAGCACTGAAAACGCCAGAATAACCTCCATACTGTCCCATCATACTACGAACTGTAATCTCACGTATGCCTTCTTTTTCATTATTAAACCTTTTCACAATCCACATTCCCTGATCATCAAGCATATGAATACAATCACAACCTTCATGATCATGTCCTGTTATAATAGCGCCGTTATATATATGATTAAAAAGTCTTGTAAGAACTAAATTGCTTGAATTTTCGGAAAGATGATTTTGTTCTTTTATAGTCTTATCTTTCTCATAATACTTAACGTAAGGAGGATCCTTGCACAATCCTTTATGCTTATACAGAGGCAAATGCGTAAGTAAAATTGTCGGTATCTGCTCTTTTCCCATTTTATCTAAAAAAACAAGTGTTTCCTGCCGTATAGACTATACAGCTATCAATATCAAAAATGTAAAAACTAAACCAAAAAACTATTGAAACAACGAACCTTGTCATATACCGGCTCATCAATACTCAAAGTATTAAGGATAACAATACGTAGCCGTCTAGGCTTCCCCCGAATCATAGTTTCAAAATAATATGCATCATTCACCCTTCCAAATGCACGTTCCCAACGATTAACTCTTTTTCTTGTCATTTCCCCTGAATATCCAATATCATGGTTCCCTGAGACATTAAAAACACCTAAATACGGCTGTCTCTATAATATTTAAAATATTTGCATATCATTCATCTGCTATTACTCTCATAAAGATTTTATTCAATCTATAAACCCTTTTCCTATGTTCTTCGTCTGATATCCACTGACTAGACATCAAATCTCCCAAAATTACAAGATGTGTTGGTCGAGGAAACAATAAAGTCGACATTGCCCATTGAATATGAGAAAGATAAATATCATTGCCCCATAAATCAATATAACCTACAGAATCAAGCCGCTATTTGTGCAAAAAAACACCTTTTCGTACCCCTTAGTCCTTTATTTAAGATTTTGGCATCACCCTCTATTTGAGGATCTGCAAACGTTAAAAGCCTAAATGGAGCCACAGAAAAAAGACGTTTAAAAGGAAAACATCCTAAAATAAGAGGGTATGTATATATATATATAGTTGATAAAGCAGAACAAAAAATAAAGAAAAATTTAAAATAACGTAATATTTTAATTTTCATGAAGTTGACACGTATATCAACGTATCGCAAACATAAAATGAAAAACAGGTAAATTCATAATATACTCATTTTTACACGGAAAAGCCTTTTTTGATTAACAAATATCAGTTAGTGCTGTATTCTTCAATGCTTTTTTCCTGGAATATATTATGTTTTCTCAAAATGCGGGAAAAAACGACAAGAAATATATGATTCCAGAGGAAATTCTAAATGTAGAGATATCTATGGTTCCTGACGAATCTATGGAGCATGATTTGGATTTAAAGACATCATTTATGGTGTGAAGTTATCTTATTTATATTTTTTTATTTCTAAAGGACATACAATCGTAGACTGATAATGAGCACATGCTAAACGATACCGTTATTCTTGTCGTCGATACAAATGTATCTATACCACAAATACTTGACTCTGCTAACCCTTTTTTTTAAAGTTCATAATTTCACACTTATCTCTTATTTCTGATCTAAGCATACATTGCAAAGCACACAATTACATTATTTTGTTTCCTTGGGCCACTATTCAGGAACTAGACGGGCTAAAGTCAGCTGAAAACACTTATTCATCTCTCAGGGAAAAGGACAGGACTTCTTCTGTACGAAAGGCAATCAATTTTATTTATCATTCTTTGTCACAAAAGGAAAATTCAATCAGAGGTCAAAAAATGTCTGAAGTAATAGATGCTTCGCTGTTAGGAGACGACTCTATCCTCGACTGTTGTAGGTATGTGCACGGGTCCCACTATCCATGCTTACTCCTAAAGATATTGGCTTGAAAAACGTCTTTTAACGACCTTTTTGCTGTCCAACGATAAAAACCTCGCCATCAAAGCAATGATCCACGGTACTCTCCTTGCCTCGACTTCCTTGCCTTTCTAAACTTGATGTCATCAGGAATCCATGCTATTTCTTACGAACCCGGTATGCATGCGGGCTCTCTTATGCTCAAAATATCTCAAATCCTCAATCAGACTTTCAACCAGTCTTCTCACTGGCCCTGTACTCTTAGTACTCCTGATGCTCCTCCCACTGAGTCCCTTGCTACTGACATGGACATTGATTCTCCTCCATTTCAGGCACAGACATTTCAGGCAGACATACCCAACATACCTGATACACGCTTCTCTTCTTCACTCGACCTATTAACACACAATGTACATTCTTTCGAAACAGATACACTCGAAACGCACACAGATGAGCCAAACACACTTGAGCCAAACACTGATCAACTTACTGATCAACCAGATATTTTCAAGACAGATGCCTCTAATCCAGACATACTTATTCCACATGTCCCAGACATTCTCTGCCGTCCTGGCTCGCCCCTTCCGCCTGCACTTCGTCCTTTCCTTGCCTCTTTCCTCAACTCTGCCGTTTCCTCTTTTCTTACTGCTGTACCTCTTAAAATACACATTGTCAACGCTCTCGGCTCCGACTCTGCTGAATATCTTCTTCGTACCACTTCGTTTCCTCCTACTTCGCTCGACAGCTTTGTCCACCTCATTCGCTCTTTCTGGTCCACTGTCTTCAAGCCTCTCTTCAACAGACATTCCCTGTACACTTCCGGTAAGATTCCTCACTCGTTTTTTTTCCATTCCTCACTCGATTCTCTCCATTTTCTCATTAATTCTTTGTCAATTCTTCATCAACCCCTTTCAATTCCTCCTAATTCACCACTAATCCTTCCAATCTCCTCGCTAATCATCTACAACTTCTCTATCATTACTACCATTGCTTACTACATAAAAGACTACACAAAAATACACGGAAGTTCCCACGGGAAAGCCCACACACTGCCCCCTCTCGAAGCTGTCGCTACCATCGCCACCACCCACCGCCGCTGGTCCCGCTGGGCCGTTCTCGGCATCGGTATCGGCCCCTCCTCCCCCGACGATCTCCGCACCTGGACCGGTCACCTTGCCGCCCTTTGGGCGCTTCTTGCTGCTCCTGACGCCGCTGCTGTAGCTACCCAGCGTCGCACCGCTGCTCTCTGGCTCTCCCGCCTCGCCGCTCTCTAACATGCATCTATGCCTCAATCTCCGCCACCGCCCAAAGCCCACAAGCGCCCTCCCACCCTCCCAGTGTTTCAAACACTCTATTACTACACCTCCAATGCTCCAGCAGGCTCTACTGGCTCATCTGAGCTTAATGTTCCAACACTGCTCATTTCATCGTTGTCTGTGTCTTCTGGCACTCCTTCTGCAATTTCCTTGGTTGCATATCGTGTTACATAGTCCCGGACCTTCATTTCATATGTTTTTGGCTCCCGCATGAGCAATGCAGCTGCTTCTCCATTGAGAGGATCACACGGGTTTGGATACCGCAGCAACTGTGGCAGAAACACCTCAAAGATGTTGATCATGTCTGCAGCATCAGTAGTGTGCTTCTGTGTCTCTGTATATACCAAACATTGGGGACCACGTCTGATTAATGACATCTAAACACACAGATCCGCTTCTGCTGCTGTCAGCACAAACAGACAGAGTGTATACATACAGTTCATCAATATTTGGGTGAAAAATTCGGTTCATAAAGCCAATCGACTGTGCCATGAGCCGTCAATTGTCTGCACAAGTCTGCAGTGTACTTACCGGCGATTTGTATGGGTATTGATCGGGGAGCTCGACATGAACCTTCCAAATACCGCCTGTAAAGGGAGCTGCCGTCAGCACAGCTATGGAGCATATACGTACTTTCTTCTGGACCGCGGAATTGCACATAAAACTCCTGCCTATAGAGGTTAGTAAGTTAAAAACTCCAAAAAAATGATAAGATGATATTAAGATGGAGTTAAGATGACGTTAAAATGATAACAAGTGTTAAGAAAGAGTTAAAAAGAGTTAAGAAAGTGTTAAGAAAGTGTTAAGAGAGATTAAGAAGGATATTAGAAAAGTTAGAAAGATATTAAGACGATGTTAAGATGATATTAAGAGATGTTAGAAAGGTGTTAAGAAAAAGTAAAAAAAGACAAAAGTGAGGTAAAAGGACTCAGAGAAGACCTGATAGAGAACATACATGTTGTCGTTGACGAGCGTTACCTCGTAATCGCTCATAAGGAGCCGCATGACGTCGGTCTCGATGCGGCGGCGTGGAGAGCTCATCGTCGGAGAGAATGGGGGGCGGCGGGCTTTAAGGGGCGCGGGGGGCGCAAGCATAAAGAGAGCATTAGAGAACAAAAGACGGCATAGAAAAAAGAAGAGGGCTAATAAGAGAAAAAGGTGGATATAAGGGCGCATATAGTGCGTATAATGTGCATAAAATGTATATATGAAGCATATTCAGCGCATATAATGCGTATATAATGCACATATACACGCAAAATGCATAAACCGCATATATAGTGTATACGGTGTATACGGTATATGCGATATATACTATAATAAGTGTGTGTAGCACAGCAATGCGTAGTATGAATATATGTAATAAACAGCATATATAGTGAAAATATAACGCATACAATACGCATATAATATGTATATATAGTAAGAATATAGGATATAATAGGCATATAAGGAATATAATGAGGATATAGGAGATATAGTGTGCATATATACTGTGTTACTAATATATAGTGTCTATAATGTATACACAGCTATATATTCAGTATGTATAGACTATGTATTATATGCCCTACTGTCTGACCAACACACATGTAGGGTCATAGCACGGGTTTATGCATTCTAGACTATACGTGCATATGTATATACTGTATACATGTTGCATTGCACGCTGTATTGCACTATACATTATACAGCACTTGCATACTGCACGTATGCATCTATATGCATATGCATGCCACTGCGTGCCAGTGGGAGTCTGTGCGTATATATATATATATGTATGTATATCTGTATATATCTGTATATATGTATATATGCACAGTGCGTACATACAGCGTGCGTCTGATGCATACAGTGCACTGTCTGTCAGCGGTCCGCTGTAGGTGTGTATGCGGTGTGTATGCACTGTATATGTATAGTGTATGCGTTATATTTGCTCTATACACTGTTATACACAAATTAGGCTGTATGCACAGACATACATGCTGCTTTACCTGTATACAGTGTACACGCTCATATATACGTATATAGACATATCCACGCGTATCCATACTACCCACACTACTCACATTGCATACTATACGCTCTGCATACATTAGAATATCGAGTAATGTATAGTGTGTGCTGTATACATGTAACATATACGTTGCTAATACATATGCATTACTGTATGTGTATTGTATACACACATATGCTGTATATTATAGCATCGCATGTACTGCATATATATAATATATATAGTGTATGCGTAGTATATGTATATTATGACGTGTTATATGCGTGTTATATTCGCGTTATATGCACGTTATATACGCGGTGTCCACGTGACCCACTGTGCATGCTCGTTGATGGACACCGAATGCCGTTTCTGGCTGTTTTGGATTTCACCAGACCTAACAACTCATGAAGAGCAACAAGTACACCTACAAACAGTCAAAGCTGCACTGATTACTCACTGGCAGTGTTGCAGCAATGAGTATATATGGTACGATGCAGCAGGACCAACGCTTATGCTGCGTGAGGCGCCCGCGCATATATACGGGCGAATATACTGCGGAGAAGCAGTGGAGGATGAGTGGTATATGGTTGCAGTTCTGCGTGAAATATCACAGACATTTCCGGCTCTCTATATAAGGTTGGTTGCTAAGCCGCGGCAGTAAGCATAGTTGCACAGCATATAATACGCATATACAACGCATATAATACGCATACAATGCACATATAACACGCATATAACACACATATAATACATATGTAATGCATATATGTTGCATACATAGCATAAACATAGAATATATGGCATATAGAGTATAAGCACGCTATAAGTATACTATAAGCAGTGTAAGCACTGTATAAGTGGTATATACATAATAAATATACAGGAAATATACACAGTATACACAGTAAAGTATAAGCAGTAGGTATATGCAGTAAATGGAAATGACATGCCGAAGACAGCGGCAAAACACCAGTTAAGACAAAATTAAAACTGACAAAATAGAGTTACTGATGGTGATGGTGAATTTTTACTAATTGAGGGCGCAAAGGCGCTTCCGCGCTGGTTGGACACAGGGAGTTCAGGATATCGGGTGAGTGGAAAGAATTACACAGGCACTGGGACAGACAGAAACACTGGAAAGATATAATTGATATTTATATATAGGAAATGTGTGGGGAATACTTAGAAGAAGTACAGAATATATGTCCATAGACAAAAAGCGGTTGGAAGAAATGTAATAGGTTTAACAAAAATTTGAGCAGTTAATAGATGTTTAAAAGACTTGATAAAAGTGCAAAGCATGTAGAAAAAGGGTTAAACACTTAGAAGGAGTATCATATGTTTAACAAGTATAAAATGTTTAAAAAAGGTCTTAGACGTCTGTTAAACGTTTAACAGGCGTTTAACAGATGTTTTACAATAGTGTAAAATACATAGTAGAAATATTGGGTGTTTAAAAGAAATATAAAGCATGGAAGAAAGCTAATGCATGGTTATTGGGAGTGTTATGCATTTGTTAGGAACATTAAATGTTTAACAGAAGCATTAAATGTTTAACAAGAGTGCAGAATAGTTAAAAGAGATGTTAGGTGGATAGAATATGAAATGTTAGAGGTATAAGGTACATAAAAGAAGCGTATAGTCTCCAGTGAATGCATATAATATTTAAAAGAAGCACAAAGTGCATAGAAGAAGTGCCTGAAAAGTGTGTTATTTAATTTACTAAGCAAACAAAGGTATGGATCAATCAGGGCCAACTAAAAATTATTCCTGCTAAAGAGCTGGCTGAAGGGCGGTCTAGAGCGGAGATCCGGGGTTTAAAGCTTGATGAGGCACTGTTTTTCCTTCGAAATACATCGGAGGATTTGTTATACGATCAGAAACTTGAAAAGTGTGCGTTTTGGAGGATTGAAGGGTACGTTGTGATTAAAAGAGCACTTCCAAGTGCATGTAATGCCTTTGTAGTGAAAATAATGTTTTCACTTTAAAAGAAGCGTTTTGATAGCACTTTTAAAGTACAAATATTGTTTTTAGAGTATAAGTAATATTTTTAAGATGCTAAAAAAGGAAAGATAGTACTTTTAGAATAAAAATAGTGCTTATAGGATTTGACTAGTCAGTGCTTTTGAGTGTAGGGATAGGCTAATGGATCTTTGGTATAGATACCAAGAAAAAATGAAAAAAAGTCTACATAGGACACGAGTAATCGTTCCCCGGCCAGTTGCCCACTTGCTACATGTAGCACCAAACCTTATAGCAGCAGCAACACAGGAATTTTATACACGAGACCCGGTTTCACTTAAAGCATGTGAGAAAATGAATATGTTTTTCCCGAAAGACATGGTTTCAGTTGTGGTTAGAACAACAAAGACCCTACATGCACAATTGAAAGGCCAAATGTTCCACAAACATCCTTTATTTAACCTGCCAATGCCTGGATCTTTAAATTATGAGGAAGCGATAATGGGTATGAAGATCACCTGTGGATTTGAGATGTTGTGTGCAAAAGGGTCTCCAAAACACCCTGTGGTACGTGAGATTTTATAATAGACTAGTTTTTATTTTGTTTGATAGTATGATATAGAGAAGGATCCAAATTGGACATCTTTTCTCAAGAAATTGGAACTAAGTGGGTATTTTGAGGATGAAAAAGAGGGATCTGCAAAGTACAGATTGTTGAAAGATCATGCAATTGAGTGTTTTTTAAAATCAAAACCATCAGAATCTATTGTTGAAACGATAAACGATCCTTTATCACAGATATCAGATATTCTAAAACAGGTACTTCCAAGTGATGAAGATATTTCCAAATGGCCAGATAGATGTGATAATGATGACTTTTTGAACGTTAGCCCTGATGAATTGGATGAATTAATGCGTTCGAGGACAGCATTTTTTTCAGACAAAGATGTAGCGAAAAAGATACAAGAACCTTTATCTGACAATACACTTGAATCAGTAGTAAAAAAGTTCGAAAGCTTTGTGAGTAATGAAGAGGCAGGTCCAGATGGAGTTGATCCTGAAAGGTAGGTTTTTTATTTATAAAATAAAAATACAGTTAATATAATTAAAGCGATTTCTTTAGTGATACAGCTACTAATAGTGATATAAGCTTTAATGAAGAAGAGTTTATAAGGCTTATGAAAGAGACGCTAGGTAAGAATATAGAATGTATTTTTTAATAATTCTTTTCTAAGTGTTCTCATTTTACAGATATATCCAATGAACATTTGATAGATGTCAAAAATCATCCAACATCAGAGAAACTAGCGTCAAATCACAAAACGCTAAGTGACTCGATACCAAATGAACCTGTTATTCGAGATTTTATGGATGCCATGGACGCAGAATTATCGTCTACAACTCTTAAAGATTCCTTTTCAAAATTTTCGACTGATACACCTTGTTCTGTGGAAGAAAACGAAAATGCGAATATACAATATAATCTTCTTAAAAACCTCTATGAGAGTGCTCATGGACAACATGGCACCCCTGGTCCGGCCGATACTTTACTTAAAAGTATGCATCTTTCTTTACCATCTGATCCATCAATATCTCATTCATCATAAAATCAATTTTTTTGGTTTTTACAGGAGAAACAACCATATTTATTTTTGAAATTTTAAAACAATGCATTTTTGATGTACACTTTATACAGTAGTATTTATTTTTTGGTAAAAAGGGTAATAACATATTTTTTTACATGTGATATAAAATATCTATAACAGATAAACTTTATCTAACAAAGCACACTAAAAACATAAAAATATAATACAAGGTCTTTGAGTTTTTCTAAATCTTGATACATTCATTTTTACTTTTATTCAACACTTACTTCTATATTAACCAAAGGTTTTCTCTATCTTAAACCTACTTGCGTAAATAAACCAAATACGTATTTCAATAGATTTTAAAAAATATGTAATATTTTTTTTACTCAACTTTATTTTTTTTTACTAATATTTTTTACTAAAATTATTCATTCTAAGCGAGATCGATCTTAAAAGGCATTTTTTTTAAAAAAAAAATTCTACACGGCAGCTTTATTTATTAATAATTATCTACAAAACATATGTTGCCAGTTGTGGATATGGTTGAACAAGTTTCAGTAGTCAAAGAAACGCCATCACTGAAGATATTAACAGAGTTGTTGCATAAGTTGAACGTTTCACTTGAAGAAACGGAAAAAAAAGAGGTAGTTGATAATAAAGAATCTTCAGTTGAGGAAAAAGGAGATTCGGATATATATGGACGAGCATTTTGTATTTTAACGGAAAAGATTAAAACAAAAGATGCTGGAGTACGAGAACAAGCATTAAAAGCCATATCATCAATATTTTCTAAGAAAATTAACCCCGGACTTGAGCCATATCTTGTTCAACTTTTATCGGTGCTTTTAACACAGATTGGAGTAGACAAAATAGCAACAGTACGGGCAGAAGCTATTGCTGTGAGTGAAAATATTGTTAAAGAAGTGAATCCCTATGCAGTTAAAGCGGTTCTTCCGCCGATTATTAAGTCGATTCAAGTATCTGGAAAATTGGCGGAAAAAATGTGTGCATTCCGTATGCTTGATATACTCGTTAAAAGAGCACCATGTCAAATGTCGTATCGGTTACCAGAGTTGATTCCTATTTTATCAGAGTCTATGTGGGATGCACGGGTAGATGTTAAAAATCAAGCACGAAAAACGATGACGGAAGTATGCTCACTTATATCTAATCCGGATATTGAGCGCTTTATTCCTATACTCATTGATTGTATTGCTGAACCGGAAAAAGTCCCAGAAACAATTCATACTCTTGGAGCTACGACTTTTGTTCAGGAAGTGCATGCATCAACGTTATCTATTATGGTTCCATTATTAGCAAGAGGTTTAAATGAGCGTGCAACTGCTATTAAGCGCAAATCCGCAGTTATCATTGATAATATGTGTAAACTTGTTGAAGATCCTCATATTATCGCTCCCTTTTTACCTAAATTGATGCCAATACTTGAAAATGTTAAGGAAACTATTGGTGATCCGGAATGTAGAGCAGTTACTAATCGTGCTTTGGCCACATTGATTCGAGTTGGAAATGTTAAGGATGGAAAAGTATCCGAAGTTCCAACACTAGGAGAGCCAGAAACTTGTTTGGAAACACTTCACTCTATTCTTAAAAAGCAGGAGTTAATAACAACATCTGATATTTATTTGAATTATATTTCTTGTATCGCATCTCAATTGATTAACGAAAAAAACAATGAGGTTGTCGATTGGAATTCAAACGTTCTTCCATATTTGCATCATATTGTTATCGACGCGGATGTTAATTCTATTGTTGACCATTTTAGAAAACGAGCTATTTCATGTTTTGATAGTTCATTAAATGAAGTGGAAGAAGAAGAGGGTGATGATTTGTGTAATTGTGAGTTTTCTCTCGCATATGGTGCAAAAATTCTTTTAAACAGAACGTTTTTAAACCTCAAACGTGGTCGCAGATATGGTTTATGTGGTCCTAATGGCTCGGGAAAATCAACTCTTCTTCGTGCTATTTCGAATGGTCAAGTAGAAGGATTTCCTATGGAATTGAAAACTGTATACGTCGAACATGATATTGATGACACAGAATCAGTAACTTCTGTTCTTGATTTTATAGCAAATGATCCATTAGTTACAGTCAACAATAAACAAGATGCAATAGATTCCCTTTTAAAACATTCCTTTACAGAGGATATGCTTTCAATGCCTATTTCTAGCCTTTCAGGTGGTTGGAAAATGAAATTGGCATTAGTTCGTGCTATGCTTCAGAAAGTAGATATTTTATTATTAGATGAACCTACAAATCATTTAGATGTAAAAAATGTTGCTTGGCTTGAAAGTTTTTTGATTTCACAAAGTCAAATTACTAGCATTATAGTTTCGCACGATTCTGGTTTCTTGGATAATGTTGTTCAAAGTATTATTCACTACGAACATTTTAAACTTAAAAAATATGTAGGCAATATGAGTAAATTTGTTTCTATGGTTCCTGCTGCTCGATCTTATCAAGATATTTCTCAATCTGAGCTTGAATTTACTTTTCCAGAACCAGGTTATTTGGAAGGCGTTAAGACTAAACAGCGTGCTATTTGTCGTATGCGGGATATAGAATTTCAATATGAAGGAACTAGTGCTCCTCAAATTGTAGATATTTCGCTTCAAGTTTCCTTATCATCACGTATTGCTGTTATAGGGCCTAATGGTGCAGGGAAATCTACATTAATTAAAGTTCTTTGCGGTGAACTTATTCCGCAAAAAGGTGAAGTTTGGTGTCATCCTAATCTTCGGATTGCATATGTTGCTCAAGCTGCATTCACCCATCTTGGTTCTCATGAAAATAAAACACCATCTGAATATATTCAGTGGAGGTATCGTACAGGCGAAGATTCGGAAACTATAGATAAAGCTTCTCGGCAAATAACTGAAGCTGATGAAATCCTTATGGACAAAATTTTTAAAATTAATGGGACTAGTAGAAAAATTAAAGAAATCCTTTCTCGAAGAAAACTTAAAAATACGTATGAATATGAGTGCTCTTTCCTTCTTGGAGAAAATATTGGGCAAAAAAATGAACGATGGGTACCATTAAACAGTACAGACAATGCTTGGTTACCTCGGAACGAGTTACTAGAATCACATTCTAAAATGCTTGCTGAAATCGATTTAAAAGAAGCTTTAAAATCAGGGAACTTCCGTCCTTTGGTTCGTAAAGAAATTGAAAAACACTGTGAAAATTTTGGCCTTGATGCGGAACTTGTTACACACTCAAGAATCAAGGGTTTATCAGGAGGTCAGAAAGTCAAATTAGTTCTTGCTGCAGGGTCATGGTTAAAGCCTCATATTATTGTTTTAGATGAGCCTACAAATTATCTCGATAGGGATTCTTTAGGTGCTCTTTCAAAAGCTCTTAAGAAATTTGAAGGTGGTGTTGTTATTATTACACATTCTTCTGAATTTACAAAGAATCTTACTGAAGAAGTTTGGAGTGTACAAAATAGACGAATGACTCCATCTGGGCATAATTGGGTCCAAGGTCAAGGAACTGGGCCTAGGCTTAAAGAAGAAGATCAACAAGAAGATCAGTTTGATGCACTAGGAAATAAGATTGATATAAAGAAAAAGCCGAAAAAATTAACAGGATCCGAGTTAAGGAAAAAGAAAAAAGAGCGTATGGCTCGACGAAAAAGAGGTGAAGATGTTTTTTCAGATGAAGACGAATAAGGAAAACAGTCTACCAATATATCTATCTCGTTCAATATATATCCAGTCGATTCAACATATATTTTTGTTATTTTTTTTTAAATATTTAATCGTAATATACTTTTATAAGACATTCTTATCTTCACGTGACTAATATCGTTAAATCGATTATTTCTATATTGAGTACAGTAATAATATATATTGCTGAGCACTTAGCCTGATATCGGTATAGTTTGACTTTCTCTATTTGTTTCCATCTTAAGGATCTCCAATATTACTTGTTGTTGAATTGGTTTAAGTATTTTTAGTTTTCCTTCTGCAGCAACAACAAATCCACCACAACCGATCCGACAGAGTTCCAATTGATTAAAATCAATTGCAGTTTGATATTCTAAATGCTTTTTTAGTTCTTCAAGAAAGTTTGGCCCTCTTTTTCTGTTAATACACATTTCTTGTTAAGTCTAACAAACCTTTCCCGCCATATCTGTACATCTTGTCCTTTTACCCCAACCGTTATTCGTCTTAAACCCTTTATCCCTTTTGTAGAGAATGTTAGTTCTAATGGCAATGAACTCTCTTCGCTCATTGGAACTATTGATATTACATAACTTTGCAAAAGATGTGTTAATGTCTCTGCACTCAGCCGAAATGGTGTTGCCCATGTATCAAAACGTGTTGCTAAATAGGTTACAACAATCTGAAGCAAATCTCCTGGAACTCTTGATATAAGTAATGGAAAATTTCCCCATTTTCCCTTTGGCTCATCATTCAATGATACTAAAAAACATGCATAACTATTTTCTTGAACTTTAGCAGAAGATACTCCTTGTGTATCTATTCTTCTTTCTATATAATGTTCTTCCATTTGTTTATCTTCTTCATCTGCTGTTGTAAACTCAAAAACCATCCAAACACAACCTCCAAGATCTTGCTGTGCTGGCATCCAAACCCATTGGCAGGAAACAAAGCACATCTCTGAAAGGCGTGATGAAGAAAAAGAAGATAATGAAGAGGATAATTTTCTCGAGTCTTGGCTTAATTTTTCCGAGTGTTTCATCTGTTGTTGTGACCGACGGATCGTTATTGCCATTTCATGTGCATGGGCTGCTAAAGAGTCCTTGGAGAAGCGGAAAAGCGGAGTAAGTTTTGTAAGTGTTAAAGAATGATTAAACCATTCAAAATTTTCTTCTAAAGATCCATTAAATAACCTTCCAGAAAGCCCTTTTAGCTGATGATTCATCAGTGGTTGTTAAAGACAGTGATATCGATGATTCATCATGTATAAATTAAATGTGTAAGAATATATCTTAGAAATATATGTAAAAACAAGATATTTAATGTTGATTAGATATTAAAGATACAATAAGTAATATTTGAAAAAAAGAATGTTTAATTTGATATAAAACGAATAAATATTTAGTGAAGTTTTGAAGAGTTATAAGTGTTTAAAAGAAGTTGAAATACATTATTTGTTGTATTTCCATAATAAATTTAAATAGGATTTTGTGAATTTATAAATCAGTATTTTAAAAATTTTTTTTCTTTGCAAAATATGAATTTAAAAATGCAAATGTTTAATAAATGTAACAGAAAAAATATTGAATATACCATTTATTCAATATGTCTTTGAAAAGGAAAAATAAAAGTCAAAACCAGTAAAAAACGAATGTATATGACTAAAAACAATTCTTCTGAAATGTCTTGTTTAATAAATATACACTAGGGTATAAATAGAACAATACAAGAAAAATACTTGTAAGAGTAAACACAATTGAAAGTAGTGTTTGAATAACAAAAGTTCTACATGTTAAAAATCATCAAAAAATCAAAACGAGCTTTAAAATATGAAAAAAATTAATTGAAACGTAAAATAAATTCTTCAGCAGAATAAAAAACGAATAAGAACAGTTTCTGAACAGAAATATTTTTATTATAAAAATTTAAAATAAAGTTTCTATCAGATATTTATTGGATTGTTTATTTATAAAAAGAATAACAGTACAAAAAAACTTTCAAAAAATACTTATACAATAGATTTTTTTAAAAAAATCCTTTATTTAAAAAGATTTAAAAACATTTTTTGTTTGATAAATGTTTTTTTCTTTTAGAATCTTTTTTATACCAACTAAAATATCAACTAATAAAAATATTTAAAATAATCTTAAAAATAAAAAAAGCTTGTATTTTTCGAATATTAACCTCTTATCAAAAGATATTTTTATATCTTAGTTTCTTCAAACATCGTAATCTATTATTTAACGTCAAAAAAAAGTATATTAAATAAATTCAAAAAAATATGAGTTATCCAGGTGCAAGATATCACAAATATCATCCAGGAACACCTAGCAATCAGAATACTTATGTATATACGGGATTTCCTCCAAATTCATGCCCTCCACAAGCTATGCAACCGTCTCCACATCCATATTATGGAGGTCCAATAAATCAAGAACCATATGGATATTACTGTTTACCTCCATGTACGCCTCAACAAGGGTCTTTTGTACCACCTGAAACTGTAAATCAAGGAAATTCTAGAATACCAGCAACAAATCAACCAAATTTTCAGTATTCTAATTGTTTAGGAAGAAAGAAAGCGTTATTCATTGGTATTAATTATTTTGGAACTCGTAGACAACTTTCAGGGTGTATTAATGGTGAAGATATATACTTTTTGCTTTTTTCCATGACTAGAGCAATTTTAGATGTACATAACATTTCACAATTTGTTCAAGGTGATAAATTAAAAAAAAATTAAAAAATGTACTAAATAGAGACAAGAACGCTATGGTTATCATATTGATGATATAGGTACTTTTGGAATATTTTTTTTCATAAACTTATATTTCGTAGTAATTCTTACAGATGATCAAACAAATCCTCGTGGTATTCCGACAAAAAAAAATATTATTGATGCAATGCATTGGCTTGTAAAAGACGCTAAACCTAATGTATTTTTTTTTTTTTTAATTATTTCTTATATTGTTCAGGATAGCCTTTTTTTCCATTATAGTGGTCATGTTCGTATTTTATAAGTCATTAATAGTAAAAATTAATATTATTTAGGGAGGGCAAATAGATGATATGGATGGTGATGAAGAAGATGGAAGTGATGAAGTAATATACCCTGTTGATTCTAATCATGCAGGCTATATTACAGATGACATCATGCACAATATTCTTGTTAGATCTTTGCCACCTGGTTGTCGTCTTACTGCTATATTCGACTGTAATTGTTTATTTTTTTTACAAAAAATTAATAATTTTTAGGTTGTCATTCAGGTTCTATTCTGGATTTACCTTTTACTTATGTAAAAAAAACTTAAAATAAATATAAATTACTGATTCTTTAGTCTACTGAAGGAAAACTTAAAGAACAAAACCTTCTTTCTGATTCAGCAAACAAGTTACTAAGAGAAGGGCCTTCGGCAAAAGGTGTGATAGGAATGACTTCATCTATTTTTAAAATGGTTAAAAAAGCTACGAACTTAAATAATAATTCTCACCAAGCAAAATATGCAAAGGCATCTCCTGCGGAAGTAATTATGTTTTCAGGGTATTTTAAATTTTTTTAACAATTTAGTTTTAATTCTGCATAGTTGTAAAGATTCTCAAACTTCTGTTGATACATGTGTAAGAAATCAAGCTACTGGTGCAATGAGTTGGGCGTTTAAAAATGCTCTTTTAAAGATGCCAAATCAATCATATTTACAATTATTGAATTCAATTAGATGTGAATTATATCAAAGATATGATCAAAAACCTCAATTAAGGTAATATTTTCTTTAAAAAATATATTCTCATATATATAGTTGCTCTCACCCTATTGATTTGAATCGTTTATTTATTTTGTAATTATTAAAACTTTTATTTGAGTATTACAGATAAATTTATATTTTTAATATTAAATTGTACTTGTTATGATTTAAAATACTTAACAATGTTACTTACAATAAAAACATTTTTTAGATTATTAATATAAATACAGTTTTTTTAAATCAAATTAGCTAAATTTTTTAATTTACTGATACGAAATTGCTATCAAACCAAAGACATGAATTATGTAAAACAAAACTCTATATAATTATATGCACGTTTTTATAAACATCCCTGAACATGAATTATGTAGATCAGAATTAATCATAAAATTTTGATATCTTTTTAATGATCATTACTATGTAAACATCTTATATGTTCCATTAGAATTTGCCGGTCTAGTAGTCCTACCGGTTGCGCCTCTTGGATCATTAGAAGGCTGAATAAGTCCTAAATTTTTAAGAGCAGGTATATTGTTAAGAGATTTTGGAAATTTAGAATGTCCTACAGCAGGAACAAGGATAATCATAAGAAAAAGTAGAAAAAGACCAAAGAATAAGGTTGCATATCGACGAACAATTCTTTTTCGAAGTTTGTTCTGCTTTAATGAAAATATAGGTGGTCGAATTTGTCGAGAAGGTCGAAGCCAAAATAAAAGCATAGAATGCCAGCGATCAATATAAGGTATAGCCAATATGGGAGTGAGGATAAACAATAACAAATGTCCAAGGCAAAAATCTGCAGCAAATAGAGATAATTCTATAACTTTGCAGACAAATTCTCGAGCAGGTTGAGACATAGCATGAACGCCTAAGTTATTACTATACCATCGTCCCGTCCTAGAATTGTCAAACTTAAAGTTTTTTGAAAAATACACATACCACCATGCTAAATTAGACCCATCATGTTTAAATTCACGAGTAAGAATCATTATTGTTAACATTTTTAAGAAAGCCCGTTGAAGAGAAATCATAGTAACTAATCCTAAAATAGTTTTGGAAAAAGACCATCCCTCTAAAAACCATAAAACTTCAAAAAACGCTACTAAGACTATTACAGCTATTGCATGAGAAATAGTTGCTAAAACTGCTCCAAATTTTTTACAACATATAGTTAAAATTGGACCCATACAACATGCCATACCGAAAAACACAAAGGCCACCAATGCATTAACACAAATCGGAGCAAATGAAACAATCGCAATACGAATTAAAGGATTTGAACCGTTTCGAGCTGGATTTGATTTACCAAATGGTTCAAATCCAGGCCGTGAATTCATGAAACAAAATGGAACAAGTGACAAAATTACTAAGATCAATGGCCCGATAACTTCACTAAAAAAAACATTGTTAAATCCTGCCCTAGGAATATCACCTGAAAGTTTCTCTGATGGCTGTCCAAGAGCTTTTCGTTTGAATCCTGTTATTCTAGTTCTGGATAAACGACAATAACCTATCCATGAATTTGCATGAGATCTGGAATTACCACGAGATAACCAGCGAATAAATTCTCTATAATCCACAAAGAAATCAGTCCATGAAAACTGGTGTGGATTAAAAATAAATGGGCATATACAAAGTGCTAACACTGAAACCCAGAAGTATACTAAATGAGGTATCCACATAGTAACTGTTGCAAACAAGAGCATAATAAGAGTGCGTGAACCCAAATATATAGATGCACCAGCAAACCTTGAAAAAAGTATTGAAAATGGGATTCTAGTAGTTGCAAATCCACGACCAGTACCAATATATCGAGCACCTCCAAATGCAAGATTTTGGAGTAAAGAATTAGCATAAATTTGAGAAACAAACACTTCAAATAAAGGCGATAATGAACCAAAATGTTTAGCAAGTCGTGTAGAGGCCCTCCATACACCTCTTTCAGTTAACTCTTGAACAACTAGAGGTATAAATGCAATAAAAAAAACAATAAATATAGAAATAATACTACGTTTTATCCAATCAAGCACAGGTGCCAGAGAATAACATCCCACTGGAAGAAAAGGATCCGTTATAGGTTGCCCACGTCTAGGTTTACATATAAGTAAAATATTATACATTGATCCCAAATTTATCATGACAATCATAAGTAATTGTACTGAAAGAATAATAAAAAGATTATTAATATGAAACCCAGGATGAGCATAATAAAAAGATAAAAACCTATCTAATGGAAGTTGTGTTCCAAGATAATAGTATTCTCTGGAAAGCATTTGCTCTCCCATTCCTGTACCAACTTTTGTAGTAAAATTTAAAATAGATCCAAATCCAAGATCGCGACCTTTTCCACACTGATAGTATTCACAATGCTTAATACGTCCGCCTCTAAGTAGTGCAGTCATGCCTGCATATATGTCTTCATTAAGATGCAAGCCTTTCTGAGCTTTTGAAACGCCTCCTCTAGTAGTCATAAAAGGTCCATTTAAAAAATCAGGGTGACCATAATGAAGTTTTCCGCCAATTTGAGCCAAAGTACGGGCAAATAATGTTCCAAAAGTTTGTTCTTTACCAGCTGCCACATCACCTAAAACACCTATATTTTCAGAAAAAATATACTCTCGAGCACCTAAAATAGCTACTGGATTGTTAACTTTAGAGTTTTCATTTGGATTATATGGAAATTCTTCTAGTGGGGACATTTCTTCAAATTCTGCTAAAACTGAACGAATTTTCAAACATTCTTCCAAATAATTATCTTGATTAGCATCGATAAGTTGAATATATTCTCCACGGTAAAATATGATTGCATGATTTTGATTATCACTTTTACCGTCACCAAGAATAGGATTACCAGATAATTGAATTCTAAACTTTGGTCGTCGTCTACCATCTTCCATAATCTCCGAATATCCATCTATTAAAGATGAATATATTTTTGGTTCATCTCCTTCATGTGAAGGCGGCTCTTCATCCAAATATGCAATTTGAAGATCTGGATAGGCCCGAAGAAGAAATTCCGTATTCTCTTGCTCCTCTTTATTGAATTTAAAAAATCGTTGCATTGATATAACAAATTTGAATTTCCGACGGGCCATTCTTTCTAACTCATGTTCTAACTTATCTGTATTTCCACCAAACATTTGAACAACATCAGGATTTTCAACACGATAAAGAAGCTTAATAGCTCGTGAATAGTTCATAAATCCAGAAACAGTTCTGTATAAAGTTTGAGAACGCAATGATGCCCAAATACGTGTCCTTAAGGTATATTCTGGTGCTGCTGATTTGAATCCAACACAATAAAAAGGTAAATCGTCAATTTTGCTTTTTACTGTGTCTTTTTCATCTTTATCAAAAGATGATCCTCCATTATAAAGAGAAGTTTCCTCTGCCAATATTTTGGTATCCTTGACAAAGCAATCCCATTCTACAGGATGCAATTGTTTAAGATATTCTAGTAGTGTTACTCTCGAAAGTTGATCATCTTCACGTATAATTTCTCGCAAAGAATATAAAATCTTTTCACCATAATGGGGAACAAGAACAGTAAACGTAGGCATATTATCAACTGGAAGAGGTTCTGGAATTGGTGTAGAAAGTGATTGAGCAAAAAAGGAAATACGACGTTCTGCCTCGCTATGTGAAGGAAAAAATTCGGTTTTGAAAGAATGATCTTCTTGTGATATGAAAAAAGTTGGTGCTCTTAATGTTCTTTTTCCTTCCTGTTCAGAAGGAACCTATAATATATTAAAAAAAGAATGTTAATTGTTATTTCACAATAATACCTGGTGATATAGTAATTTTTGGACATGATCAATAGCAAGAAGATGTTCTCGATACATTGATATAACAATGGCATTCCAAACCTGTGAAATAAGGACTTTGGGTTTATACTTTATTTCCATATCATTTGTTGCCAAAATTTTAGAGTAAATTCTCTTTGGCATCCTCGAAAATATGTTTCTCCAAGGCGTCCATATAGAAACTCCCAGATAAAACGATCTAGCAACAGAACAAATAGTATTCCAAATAATATACCATAAATATGTATCCAAAAAGAATAATACCAGATCAGTGATATACATTATTCCAAGAGTAATTTTTGCCTGATATGGGCAAAGAATAGAACCAAGATATCGAATGCCACAATGTCCTATTGTCATAGTATTAAGATATCTAATAGGATCTCGCAGAGAAAGAGACAGAAAAAAGTATGATTCTGCAAACTTACACGCAAATACTGCTATCCAAAGGCCATAACTGAGCCATAAATCATTTCCTTTTAATTTAGCAAAATTAGCTGTAAAAGTTTGACTTGCAACATAACGACGTGTTTTTTTGTATAAATAATTCCCAAACAGGCCTCCTAAAGGCATGATTGCAAAAAAAAGAAATGTAAACATTGCAATCAAAAAGTGTATAATACTTATAAGTGTCGTAACAACACTGACCTTCGGTTTCCATGGAGCGAATTTTATTACATATACACCAGGTGCAACATTAATGATTAGAAACAAAATAAGAAATAAAAGACGCCTTGTTAAATGCTGAGCACCTGCCCATTTTCGAGGAACATATGCCCATTCAGCCAAAGTAGCAATGATCATTAGTAGTGAAGCAACACCCCCACCAAAACTAACCGCACTCATACGATAAGCAAAAGGCGGCTGGTTATCAAGCGATTGTTGATAATTATGTGTATAAACAGTTGGTGAATTTGCAGCAGTATAGAACCAATACACAGTAATATGAATAATCCAAATTCTATTGAAATTGGTAAATAGATGAAACCAGCTTCGAGTTTCACGATATGTCTTAAAGAATACCTTTTTCCATACTACATCTTTAAGTCTAAGATACCGTTGCTCAGGAGGCAAATCAATTATACGAGTTTTATCAGAAAGAACGATACGTTCAATACCTTCTGAATACCAAAATAATTGATTAATATCATCATAACCAATAATCTTATTATGATCACGCTCACGACGAACATACTTCCCATTGATGATTTCATATCCTTGATCACGCATATATATATAAAGAGGTGTAATAATATCATTAAGATATGATCCTTCAGGAACCGGCTCAACCATTGCCTGGCATTGTGGAGAATTGAGATAATCATTAGCACATTTAAAAATGAAACAAAGGCACTCTGGAGTAAATCGAACTTGATTTGCTTCACCCCAGCAAAGTAAATAAAGTGCCAATTCTCTAGCTCGATCATATTGACTCATTTGACTACATTTAGTCTTCCAACGATATATTGCAGATTCTAAAGGATTATCACTTTCAAGAGCTTGTAGGATATCTTTAGCCGTTGTATTTTTTTGAGATTTTGAAAATTTTTGAGAATGGTTTGTTTTCTTATTTTTCTCAAAATCCATATTAGAAAATCCAACAGCATCATCTAAATCAAGTTGTGCAGCAAAATACCAATTCCTATAATTTGCATTGTCCCCACCAATATAATCTGCATGGAGAGAAAGAAGAGCCTGATTAGGTGTCATTCGACTAGCACGAGAATCTAAAAGCACCATCATATGATCATACATATTCCGCATAGAATCCCTCTGGAACCCAAATTTGTTAGTAAGATCAATAAAAATATCCTCAATTTCTTCTTTTGAGATAGGTATTTGGTTTTCTGCTGTCCATGCTGGATAAGGTTCACGAGACCTTGCTGATGTCATCATAGCAGCTTGATTATATTCCATGCCATAAACAGGAGTGCTTGCTCCAGAAGATCTGTTTCCAGTATATGAAATTTGTGAAGAATCAGGATAATATCCACGTCGAGATGCCATTTGATTAAGAGATTCTGTACTAGGTGCATACGATCTATACTGCTCATCAAACCGCCCATATGCATCAAATTCCGCCGCACGAGCCATATCAGAACGCATTGTAAAGTCGGAAAATGCTTCTGAACCTTCAGATGATCCTCTATGCTTCCCTTTACGATTATACATATAATTCCCATGATCTTGAAAATATTGAAGAGGGTGTTGATCAGCAATTGGCATTCCATATGGATCTAATAATTCAAAAAATAGTAAATAACAAATTACTTCTGAATTTTATAAAAAAACGTACCATACACATCCGTTGCATATGCATCTGCAGGATAATCATAATAGGCATTTTCTTGACGATAATATGCATCATCCGATGGTGAATACATATCAAAAGCACGTGCATCATATGGTACCTGCCCATTATCATATCCTTCATCATAATACTCTTGTCCGTATTCCATAGGATGATAAGCTCCCTGATGATCATACCCTTCGGGTGCATATGAAGACCCGTGAAAATCTGCATTATTATAGCCATTGTCAGCATAATATGGATCTGTTTGACTTGGATAAGAATCATCGTAATAATGCTGTCGTTGTGACATGTTTGATGGTATCTTGTCTAATGTGTTTTTTCATCCAATAAATAAGAAAAAAACCAAAATTTAAAAAAAAAACTTTTAAAAGACTTGTTTTTAATTATTTCAATTCAAATAGATAAAATATTCTTTAATATCCTCTTTTTAATTATGTTTTTGCTCCATCTTTTTGTTTTTGTTACGTCGATGCTATATTACGATTATTAAAACAATGGTACGAACATGTTGCTATCTTTTGGGACACACGGGTGTCCCTAATGTTTGAAACAACCTATGAATAAATATTTTATGTATTACAAAATATATATGCTTTATTAATAAAATGTTTGAAAAAAATGAATTATGAGTGAACTATATGCGTTAAATATATGTTTTATATGCATTTTTAATTTTTTGTACATTTGTAAAACAGATCTGCATATTAGATAAATTTGAATTGTATGTATTCAGCTTTTTATATAACTTTTGGTAGTAATTGTACTCAGGAGTGCTTAATTACTATTATAAAGAGTAAATAAGAAAATAATATGTTATATATGCTTTAATTTGCATATTTAAGATTATATTATTAACATTTTTATTTTTCGATCTAATCTAATACCAATATTTCTATCACTAATAATCACGGAAATACGCATTCATATTTAAGAATATTATTTATATAGTAGATTTTTATACTATAATAGTAACTTTCAGCATCATTAATCTGTAATATTGAAGACTAATATTAGTTAATAGAGTTTAATTTAATATCTGCCTAAATTGAAGCTTGGAATACATCCTTAAAGATCATTGAGGCAATTTTATTAATTTTTTGTATATATTTCTTTCAAAGATCTAATTAAAGTTTATATAACATGTATTTTGGACGAGTGTCATTCATTTTATATACCTTATTTCATACAATAAGATATGTGCATGGACATGTAGAAACAATTCATAGATATGGTAGATATTTATTTTTTTCAAATGGTACACAGTTTTTCGTTAAAGGGGTTGCTTACCAGCAACCATTACCTCATGGATATGATGGGCATTATGTAGATCCTTTGGCAAATTCAAGAGCATGTACTCGGGATTTAAAGCTTTTCCTAGAATTAGGGATTAATACTGTTCGGGTATATACAATAGATCCATTTTTAGATCATTCGTATTGCATGAATCTTTTTGCTAAAAATGGGATTTACGTTATTTTGGACCTTTCTGAACCAAGAAATTCTATTATTAGTACAAGTCCATCATGGGATGTTAGTCTTTTTTTGAGATATAGTCAAGTTATTGATAGTATGCATCATTATCCTAATTTAATTGGATTTTTTGCTGGAAATGAAGTAGTTCTTGATACTGGAAATACACATGCAGCAGCATTTGTTAAAGCTGCAATTAGAGATACTAAAGCATATATTAGACATAAACATTACAGAAAAATACTTGTAGGATATGCAGCTAATGATCATCAACATACGCGTATTCCATCGGCTAATTACTTTGCATGTGGAGATGATAGCATTGCAGCTGATTTTTTCGGAATTAATATGTAATATATATTTCTTTGAATCTATATAAACTTATTTTATATTAGTTATGAATGGTGTGAGCCTACTACTTTTGAAACTTCTGGATATAAAGATAGGGTTCAAGACTTTTTAGGTTATAACATTCCTTTGATTTTATCTGAATTTGGATGTAACATTGTAAATGGAAAACTGGGCACACGTACTTTTAAACAAATTCGTTATCTTTATTCTGATAAAATGACATCTGTATTTTCTGGGGGAATTGTTTATGAATGGTATCATAATGTTAATAGCTATGGACTTGTCATTATTCATAATGACGATTCTGTTTCTCCACGTGAAGATTATCATCATCTTAAAAATCAGTTGTCTTTAGTGAATCCTAAACTCCTTACGAGTTCAAAATATACTCCTACTGAACAGCCTCCAGAATGCCCAGTTAATAATCAACATTGGTCTGTTTCAACTAACCTTCCTCCAGTACCTAATTCGGAACTTTGTGCATGTGCGTCTAGTGCTTCTTCATGTGTTTCAGTGAGTGATATTTCAGATAATGAGATGGCTGATATTTTTTCATACATTTGTAGCGAAATTGATTGTAGAGCTATATCAAAGAATGGTCAAACAGGGATTTATGGTGCATATTCTGTTTGTCTTCCTAGAGATCAACTTAATGTTATTCTTGGTTTATATCATCGAAAGCATAATAGAGATAGTGCATGCTTTTTTAAAGGATCTGCATTTGTTACGACTCCACGTTCTAGTAAATCATGTTCTTCATTATTGCGAATTGCAGGAGAAGATGGCTCTGGAAGCATTTCAGGTCCACCTTATGTAACAACTCATGTCCCAGATACAGATGGGAAAGATAAAGATGAAAGTTCAGGAAAAAATATATACTTTAAATGGGAATTGCTTCTAGGAATTTGTACAATTTTTATTGGAATTGCATTTTTTATTACAGCATAAAGACTAAAGTCATACTGTTTGATCTATTTTTAAATATTTTACATTTTACATATATGGTAATGATTAGGTAGTTACATATGTAATGATATTTAAGTATTTTATGTAAGAAATATATACATAAAATTGCTGATAATACTAAATGATTTTTTTTATTTATTATTTAATATTTTTCTAGTAGATAAAGTAAATGGTAAAAAGCAATTAGTACCTTTTTCTAATTGATTTTTTTTTATTAAACTATTTTTTTGATTTTTTTTAAATTATTATCTTTCGTTAAGATTAAACATTAAAAAAACCAACAAATATTTAATTAGATTGAATCAGTTTTGATCTATTAAAAAGAAATATGCACAGTAGATATATATATTTTTAAATGAACTTTAACTAACAGCTTTTTTAGGAGCAAGAGATGCATATCAAAAGGATTTAAGTTATGAAACAGGCTATGATGTAAATCCATCAATATTAGAAATAAGAAAGCGCCAATCGAAAAAAGACGACGTATGTTTTGTATTTCTGTTTGTTAAAAGATGTTTTTTTACTATTTCAAGGCAATTCGGCGAAAAATAGAGAATGAATTGAGTAAAAAAAGACCTACTGCTGCTCGTATGCATCCTTCACGTAAAGCAGATTCTAAAACAGTACTATCACTAAGCCCTTCACCTCCTCTTACCGTTCAATCTGGTATTACTGTTTCAGAAGCATCTCAATTGATGGCGGCAAAAAGAGAAGATTGTGTTTTGGTAGTGGATGATGATCAACATTTAATTGGTATTTTTACGGCAAAAGATCTTGCATTTCGTGTTGTTGGGATGGATATGGATCCAAGAAATCTTCTTATTGAGGATATAATGACAGAAAATCCTTTATGTGCTCGAAATGATACATCAGCAACAGATGCACTTGATCTTATGGTACATAAAGGATTTAGACACTTGCCTGTTTGTGATGAAGATGGTAATGTTTCTGGGATTTTAGATATAACAAAATGTTTTCATGAAGCTATGAAAAAAGCTAGTATTCTTTATTTAAATTAATCTTGCTAATATATGAAGGTGGAGCGTGCGTATACAAGTTCTCGACAATTATATGATGCTTTGGAAGGAGTTCAAACAGAATGGGGTCAAATACAGCAACCAGAACAAATTATTCAATATGTTGAGACACTAAGACAGAAAATGTCAGGTCCAAATTTAGCAAGTGCATTAGATGGATCTACTCCTATTACAGTAAATATACGAACTAACGTTAGAGATGCAGCTTTTCTAATGAGGGAAAATCATACAACAGCAGTTTTGGTTATGGATCAAATGAATATTTCTGGGATTTTTACATCTAAAGATATTGTTTTACGTGTTATTGCTCCTGGACTTGATCCTGCAAACTGTTCTGTGGTTCGTGTTATGACTCCTCATCCAGATTGTGCTCCAATGGATATGAGTGTACAAGAAGCTCTTAAAAAAATGGATGGTAAGTTTAACATTTTTATCAGTTTTTATTATAATAGCTTTTAAAATGATAAGTGTTAACGTTTTTATAGAAGGACATTATCTTAATCTTCCTGTATTAGATCAAGAATCACAGGTCATTGGAATGGTTGACGTTATGAAGTTAACGTATCTTATTTTGGAGCAAGTTTGTTTAATTTTAATAGATTAAAAAAATAATTGATTGGCTTAGATAAAAAGTATTAGTTCATCTGATGGAGAAGGGCCTATTTGGAATAAGTTTTGGAATACTTTAGGAGATGGGGATACAGAATCTGTTTTGTCTGAAAATCAACTTTCTACATCTCAGAATTACCAATCATTATCATTTACGCCTTTATCTAATAATCAACAAGATTTACAGTCTCTTTCACCTGACCTTTTAGGAGCAAAATTGCCTCAAAAAAATGAATGGATATCTCCAGTTGAAAAACATGTTTTTTCCGGTAAAAATTCTCCACTATTAAGTCAAATTCCATTTGTTTTTAAATTTAAATCTCCATACGGAAAGACTCATAGGATACAACTTGTCCCTCAAGTTGGATATGCGTCACTTAGGCTTGCAATTATTGAACGTTTAAGATCTGAGCTTGATAAACTAGGAGGAAGTGATAATTTAGCCATAAGTTTTATCGATGATGATGGTGATGCTGTATCAATGACAACGGATGATGATATGCTTCATGCTGTTGAATTGGCTCATAAAAATGCAGAAGATAAAGTAAATCTTATCATTCATCATTTAAATGACCCTGTTGTCATTCAAACACCTGCTGATTTGCCCTCAGCTATTCAAAATCATGACCAAAAGAATTCACAACATAAATCACATCGATCAACCGGCTACTTTCTTTCTATATCTCTTGTTCTATGTGTCGCTACCATTGCAGTTGTCTATAGGTATATCCGGAAATAGCTTTTCAGTATATTCATGTTTTTTTTATCATCATTAACTAGAAATACATCGGTACGTATCTTATATATATTTTCTTTTTCAAAAAAAAAAAATACGAGAAAGAAAGATACTCTCTTGTTTTCTTGAAGAAACAGAGTTATCTTTTATTGATTAATTTATTATTTTTATTTTCCATTTTTTATCCTTTCCAAGACCTCTTTTTTCTCCGAGTTGAAAATCTCGAGCTTCAAAAAAACATGTCTATCAAGATTTAAACAAAATACTTCCAAAATTGATAAAGAAATGCCTTTTATACAGCAGGAAGCAGCACTAGCACTTACTTCTTTATTGTCATCTTTAAAACATACAGATAACGAAGTTCGTACAAAAGCTGAAGCATCTCTTCATGAACAGTGGATTGCACATGAACCAGAAATGCTTTTAGTTGGGTTGGCAGAACAAGCAAATACAGCTCAGGATAGTTCAGTAAGTAGTTTATTATATATATATGATCACTAGACTAAACAGGAGCAGTTACGTAGTTTTGCAGTGATTCTTCTTCGGAGAATTTCTTTCAAATTAGTTTCAAGAGCAAATGATACAAAAGAAATAACAGTATGGAGTATGTTGAGTCAAGATGGTGTTAAAAGAATCCAATCTCTATTACTTGAAAGTTTTACAAAGGAAAATGAGGAAAATGTTCGGCACAAAATTGGAGACACGATTGCTGAAATAGCACATACGCTTTATGAGGAAAATGGTAGATTGATTCACATTTATGATGTTTTTTTTAATTTAATGTTCAAAAGTTCAATGGCCAGAACTTTTTTATATGCTTTTTCAATGTAGTAAATCGATTAATCCGGGGCAGAGAGAATCAGCATTTCGTGTATTTTCTTCTATTCCTAAAATTGTTGAGAAAGAGCATGTGGAGGTATTGAAAGAAATTTTCCAGTTTGGTCTTCAGGATGAAAATATTAAAGTAAAGTAAAATGGTTTTTTTATTTTTTTAAATATTTTAGGTTCGATTATCCTCTTTAAAAGCATTATCTTCTTTACTTGCATACTCGGATTTCAATTCTCAAGGACTTTCGTCATTACTCCCATTAATGTTAAATATTCTTCCTCCGTTTCTTGACTCTTTTGACAGCGATTCTCTTACTTCTTCTTTAACATCATTGATTGATTTAGCGGAAGTTTATCCAAAAATGTTCAAGCCATATTTCCCTACTGTTGTTCAATTTTTCATAGAATGTTTAAAAAACAAAAATCTTGATAATTCTTCTAGACAATCGAGTTTAGAATTTTTGGTAACATTTAGTGAAGGTGCACCTATAATGTGTACTAAAGATGAAAATTATGCAAAAAGTGTTGTATATGAATGCTTATCTTTTATGACTGAAGTAGGAGTGGAAGAAGGTGATGATCTAAACGAATGGCTTGAAACAGATGATGTATATTTTCTTTATTTATTTTATTTATTATTAATTATTAGCTTGATTTTTCAGGAAGTGAAATGAATCATGTAGTTGGTGAGCAAGCAATGGATAGATTGGCACGGAAATTAGGTTTTTAGAGATTTTGCTTTATAATTAAATTAATATATATTTAGGAGGGAAAGTTCTCCTTCCGGTTATTTTTCAATGGTTGCCTTCTCTTATAAGTTCCCAAGATTGGCGACAAAGGCATGCGTCTTTAATGGCTATATCTGCAATAGCAGAAGGCTGTGAAAAATTAATGAAAATAGAACTTGAACGAATTTTAGATATGGTTTTGCCCTTGCTTAAAGATATACACCCTAGAGTGCGCTGGGCTGCTTGCAATGCTGTTGGGCAAATGAGTACAGATTTTGCTAGAACTATGCAAAAAAAATTCCATAGACAAGTATTAGGAGCACTGATTCCTGTTTTGGAAGCGCCTGAGCCAAGGTAAATAAAAAAATGAATAATTCTTTATATAACATTTTAGAGTTCAAGCACATGCAGCAGCTGCTTTAGTAAACTTTTGTGAAGAAGCAAATAATAAAATTTTAGAACCTTATTTAGATGATATACTTAATAGACTTTTTTGTCTACTTAAAAGTCAAAAATGCTATGTTCAAGAACAAGCTATTACTACCATCGCTACAGTTGCAGATGCAGTTGAGACTAAATTTAATAAAGTATTTATTTCATATATAATTAGGTTTTCTTAATTTATATTTAGTATTACGATTCAATTATGCCACTATTAATCAATATACTTAATCAGGCTAAGCAACAAGAATATAGACTATTAAGAGGAAAGGCTATAGAATGTGTTACTTTGATTGGTATAAATACTGATTTTATTTTGAAATATTTTAATTAGAATTAGCTATGGCTGTTGGAAAGGAAAAATTTTCAGAGAATTCTAATGAGGTAATTCAAACTTTGGGTTTAATTCAAAGTATATTTTATAAACTTTATATTTTTATTTTAATTTTATTAGGTACTGTAACTGAGCCTGATGATCCTCAAGGAAGTTATCTTATTGCTGCATGGGGTAGAATATGTAAAGTCATGGGTAAAGATTTTATTCCTTATTTAGGAGCAATTATGCCATCTCTTCTTCATTCCGCTAAATTAAAGCCGGATTTCACTGTTTTAGATGGTAAAATATGATTATAATTAATTTTTTTCTTATATTTATGTAGATGATGATGATCGTGAGAAGTACCTTCAAGAAGATGGATGGGAATTTATATATGTACAAGGTCAACAAATTGGAATAAAAACTAGTGTTTTGGAAGAAAAATGTGTCGCCATAGAGATGTTATTGTGTTATGCTTCAGAATTAAAAGCAGCATTTGAGCCTTACGTAGATGAGGTATTTATAGATGTAGTAATACCCGGTTTGCGATTTTACTTTCATGATGGAGTTCGTTCTGCATCAACAAAAGCAGTTCCCCAACTACTATCATGTGTAAAAGAAGCTTATGGTGGAAATAATCCTAAATTAGTTTCAATGTGGGATAGATTATTGGAAGAAATTTTTAGTTTGATTAATATTGAATCTGCAATTGATGTTTTAGCTGAGTTGTATCAATGTTTGTATGAGTCTATTGATGTTGTTGGCGATAATTGTTTAAGTCCAGAAAAAATGGATAAATTTATAACTTCATCTGAATCTCAGCTTCAAGATTATATTAAAAGAGTTCAAAAGAGATATGAGGATCATCAAGCTGAAGAAGCTAATTTAGAAGATGAAGATGTTGTTACTGCTATAGCATTGGATGATGATCTTCTTAGTGAAATGAGTAAAACTTTTCATACAATATTTAAAAGACACAGGTTATTATTTCTTCCTCATTGGGAACGCCTGTTACCATACTTTGATCAATTTGCAAATAATCAGCATGATTCTAATGCTAGGCAATGGGCAATTTGTATAATGGATGATTTAATTGAATTTACCGGACCAGAAGCATGGAAATATAAAGATCATTTCTTAAAACCCTTATCTAATGGCATAGCAGATGATTGTATGATTAAATCTTTTTTTTTTTTTTCAAATTGTTAATGATTATTTAGCGCCTGGTGTAAGGCAGGCCGCTGCATATGGTATAGGAGTTGCCGGGCAGTATGGTGGAGAGCCATTTTCGATGGTATGCTCTGCTTCTTTACCACACTTGTTTCGTTGTTTTGAAAGGCCTGATTCTCGTGATGAAGATAACATTTATGCCACCGAGAATGTTTGTTGTGCAATTGCGAAAATTTTACGATTCAATTCTTCTAAAATATCTGAAATAGATAAAGTTATTGACTTATGGATTAAAACACTTCCTGTTACTCATGATGAAGAAGATGCTCCATATGCATATGCATTTCTTGTAGAACTTATTGAAAGGTATTTTCGTTAAAATATATATATATAATTTATATTCTTAGGAACCATCCAGCAGTATTGTCTCAAGCAGCATTAGTTGTAGATTCTATTACTCAAGCGTTAGAGTCAGAGATTTTACAAGGCCATATTCTTGATAAAATACTAACTTCAAGTAAAGCATTTTGTCAAAAATTACCTCAAGAACAAATTAATATGATAATTTCTAATATGCCATTAGAAAGACAACAAATAATGGCTACGCATTTTTCTTAAAAAGTAATTTACTTATTAACAATCTTTGTAATATTTTTTGTACTATCTATAAGTTTATAACTTGTATTATTAGTTATTAGACTTAATATTTAAAAATATATTTAAATTGTATTATTTAAATAAGTATTTAAAAACTAACTATTTTGAAATAATGACCAGTCATGAATATGAAAAGTATTTAAAAGATTTAAAAGCATTTTTTTTGTCAAAAATTGTATTTCTTGTATATTAAAAACATCTTTTAAAAGATCTAAACGGTTCAAATTTAAAGTGCTTGTTGATTCTTGTACTAAAAGTTCTGAATCTTTGAGAAATAAAGGTAAACCTTGTATTTCTGAAAATGGAACATTTATAGTTATGACAATGTCAGTAGATTTCTCATGTAAACGTAAAACAGATAATAAAATTATAACATAGGGTATAGACGGAATATATTGAGTTTGTTCATTTTGATTAGTTGTTCGTTTATCATATTTAAATACTTTTTGTATTCCTTCAAGAAGATAAACTGTATGTTTACTAATATTTTTTAAAAAAATAAATAATTTATCTAAGTAAAAACCTTTCCAAAGTAATATGTGATGTATCTAAGATTAAACTTTCTTCTGCATCATTATCTTTTGCTAAAACATCAAAATGAAACTTTGCAACATCTGTATCTTCTACAGATGCAAATTCTAGGATTTCAATCATAAGACTTCTTTCATCATTAACATTTACTAATACTTCTTGATGATCTGGTATTTGTCTAAATTGACTAAATAGAATAAATATATTTTTAAAAATAATTTTCAAATTAACCTTGCATCTACAAAATCTTCAGGAATATATGTAGTAATAGCACCGCCAAAAAGATTTCTTAAAATTGTCATAAGAAGCACTAATTTTCTGAAATACTTTAAGAAATATGTTTAAAACAATATTTTTTATTAAAAAATAATTTAAAATTCTAATATTTAGTTTTACATATTTTCGTTAAAAGTTATAAAAATAATATATGTATATTCTTTATAAACTATAAAACACATAATATGCCCTAAATATATAGTTAAACACTATTTACTAATATGAAAAGATAACTCTTAAAAAAATAAAAATGGGTGTTATTTTTATATATAATTGATAATGAGTAACATTTGAAACCTTTAATGTTTTAGTACTCAAATATTTAATTTTTTTAATATGCAAAACCGTAAACATTTAACAAAGATAAATATTTTTATGAAAAGTGGTATTTTTAACGCTTTCGTATTTCATGATTTTTATATATCAAGAATTGTCAATTTCCAATAAATGAGATATTTTTCGTTTTTTTTCAAAAGTAGAAACACTAAAAAGAGTTAAATTTTATTTTTTTAAAAAAAAAGATACATCTTGTCTTTAGATGTATCCTCGCTATTTGATGTATTATCACTAGATTCTTCTAAAAATTCGTCAACTTCTTTCATTGCATCTTCCCAATCAATAGAGTCTATCACGTTTTGATTATTTACATTTTCAGGAATATTTTGCATATTTGTGTCTTTTGGTGTAAATTCTTTAGAAAGAATAAAAGAATCTTTATGTTTACAATTTTCAATATCATCGTCATCATCAGAAGAAATAAATCTGTATGAATTTTCAATATTGTTATTTAAAGAATGAAATTCTTCTTGAAGTTGGGTATTGAAGATATCACTAGAGAATGAATATAATTGATAATCAGATTCAGGTAATCGTTTCCAATGAGAAATAGAATGAAGAAGCCAATCAATGGATACTATTTTAATATTTTTTTGCTGAAGTGCTTTTTTTACTTTAGTTGTACGTATCTATATAAGATTAATGAGAATTTTTTGAAAAAAAAAAAAAAAAACCTTTGTAGCTATCAAATGTGTTACATCATTAGAAATATTTTTAGAAACTTTTGCACCAAAATTTATAGCCCATTGAGCAATATTAGAACTTATTTTTGTTTATAAAATCAATACTATATTTAGAATATTTTTACCTTAAAACATCCATTCCCATGGGCACTATGCCTGAAAATACTAGATTGGTTCCTTTCAATACATTTGATTTAAGCATTGGCATTATAACTTTGATATCTAATTTATTTATATCAGGATTAGATGATTTTTTCTTTGCTTCTAAAAGTTTGTTATATTCTTTATAGAATTCTTTGTGAACCATTTTTAAGGATAATTCTAGGCGATATAACTCTGTATCATTATTATGGAAAGAAATTTTTTCATCTGCTTTCTCTTCGTCATTTGTTTTATCAAGTACTTGGTTTGTTTTTTCTTGATCATTAATGATTGATAAACTATTGTGATCTTTATGAATTGGTGTTTTAGTCTTTTTTTCATAAATTTTTTCCTGAAATTTTTCTTCTGATATAGTATTATGATCATTTATAAGTATATTTTGACAACTATTGTTATCTGTAGACATAAAATGTGATTGTGGTGAACAATAGACTATATTTTGTTGATCAAGTGGGAAATCTTGTAATGCTGATGATTGAATAAGCATATTTGGTGAAAAGTTATGTAATGTAGGCTTTGGTTGTTAATATTTTTTATTAAAAAAAAGAATACCTTATTCGATAGATAATCACCATTAATATCGCCAATTCCAACGAAAAACTCATAAGGTGTAACTTTTATTAAATTTGGACTCCATTGCCATACATCTGCACGATCATCAATAATAACAACCATACTTGTATCAACAGGGAAAAGTCTTTGTATATTTTTTCGTGTAGTACCTTAGAGACTTTTGAGAAAAGTTTAAAATAGTAAAGGAACTTACTACCGCTTTCATCTCGACTAAGAATTCGGTCACCAAAGTATTTCTTATCTTTATCGATGAGATGGGCAATAGATGCTGCATATGCTCGTGTTCCCATAGTGTATATGTGCATTTCATAAAGTTTACTAATATTTTCAAGAAATTGTTCTAAACCTGGGCGCATTTTAACATAATACCAATTACCTATACCAGAATTGTTTTCTTTAAGACAAAATTTTTGAACGTCTTGAACTGCCAAGTAGTGTTTTGATGAAGGATTAGACAGCCATTCACCAACTATAGGATCTACTGTTGCATGAAGGATTGTTTGATCGAGATCAACAATAAGTGAAAGTTTCATTTCTTTGAGTAAACGTTCCATTGTTTCGCGCTCAAGTCTTGTTGCTTCTTCTTTACTTACCGTTAATTTGGTAGCATCGTGTGACATTTGAATTGTTGCTCTTGTAGAGTCCAAAAATCCTGTAAAATCTTGTTGAGTTACATCTCTGCCACATGTTGCACATAATCCATAATATTGAACTGAATGTAAACATGGTTCAATAATAGAAAGAATACGAAAATCTTTATTTTCTACAACTGTTCCTTCTTCAACAAACCATGCTTTAATCATGCCCTCAATCGGGCTCTGAAAAACTTCAACATATTCACAAGCAACCACATGTTCTGATCCGTCCTCATACTCTGTATAATTTCCTTGATATTTATATGATAATAGAGCATCATGCTTTTTCACTTGATCTTCTGCTTTGATCCTTACTGAGACCACTGTAACGGGATACCGCAAAGATGGCGGTAAATAGACATATGTTGGTTCTTGATTCATACGTATATATAATTCTTATTTCAAAAAAAAAACAAAAAATAATTATAATTTTTTGTAAATAATAACCCTTAAAAAAGGTATCCAACACAGAGTTAAGTTTAAAGCCCAGCTATGATTAAGTATATTTTAAATACAAACTAAATTCAAATCTTAAATCTATATTACAGATTAATCAATTTTCAATCAATTTTTTAGTCAAATTACCTTAAAATACATAAAAATATTTTTCATAGTTCCTTGAAACTATCTAAAAATGTTTTATTTAACGCATTATTGCTAAAAACTCTTCAAATAGTTCTTATATTTAATTTGTACTTTTGATGCTTTGCTACCGTTTGTCTACGGTTGTCTAGGTTACTTCGTTAAACAATGTGTCCTTAATATAAGTTTAACATAGATAATTATATCATAGATAATATTTTTCTATTTTATATTTAATATGATATTTTCATCATTGATATGTCTTTGGTTACTTAGTTTTAGCTGTGTTATTTAAAATATTTTTTATTATATTCCTTTCTATCATATAATATCTTCCTAATTCATATACTCTATTATTAAGTAATGTGTCTTTAAATAATGTGTTTTTAATATATTTTTAAGATATCTTTAATATACTTTAAGATATATATTTTTAGAATAAATGATATTAACTCCTTTATAAGATTTTTATCGATAAATTTCCTGTTAACAAAATTTTTATTGGTAAATTTTTTCTTAATAAGACATTTATTAAAGATATTTCTGCCTCTCTTAAAAATGCTTATTACTATCTTTATATTTTTTATCTTTAATTAGTATTTTATAAATTTTGATAGTCTTATAATTTCAGTGTTTCCGTAATTAACCTATAAAATTGTTTTCTCGATTGAAAACTTTGACATATAAATAAATAGGAAGAAATATTTATAAATATTTATATAAAAAAATTCATTCTCTTCTTTGTTCAAGAAATACTTTGTATCTTTCCTATATTTTCTTTGTATTTCTTTAAGATTTATTTATGAAATTCGTTTATTGGATATTCCAGTGTCCTGCAAAATGAAGAAACACTATTATCTATTTTTTATAAGATATTTATTATTAAGTACAATCTTTATTATTTATACACGAGTGTTTGTTTAATCATTTTTCAAGTTTTCAAGTGTGTAAATTATTTATAAAATGCTGAAGACGTTTTTATAGTATATATATTTATCTATTACAAGTGTACTATCATTATATATATATATGTATAGTTGCTTATTTTATTTTAAAAAGTTTAAATAATAGTATTATAGTTGAACTTTAAAACTAAAATATATGTTATAATTGAGTTTTAACTTGGTTTGGTAAAAATAGGAAATTAACTACCTTTATGAGTATATATATGAATATTTTTGAAAGAATTTTGAATTTTGGAAGTTTATTTTGAAGTAGATGATATATATTAATATTTTAATATATTTTAATAAATGCATTCTTGCATATATTAACATATAGATTGACGTGTATATTAATGCATTATACTGTACAATATTATAGAAACATATATTGCAGTGTAATGTATGAGTTAAGGTATATGTATATATTGTAATATATATACAATATATGAACCCTGGATATAAAGTATATATATAATAAAAAGATAACACTTATACATAAATAACATGTTTTTATGTATATAGACATCGAACATATACAAAGTGCAATACTTTAACTACTGTAACAAGCATCTAAGTCTAAGAGCTATGTTTGGTGATAACAAATATTTATGTGATATGTATTAATATTTTTAGTTTCATATGTATTTTCTGGAGACTTTTATTAGTGTATATTATCTACTTTTTGTTTTGGATTAGTGCGTTCCATTGCAACTCCTCTCCGGATGTTTGGCACGAAGAGTTTGCTGATAAATCAAATAATAATATATAATAAAAATGAATTATAAGATTGGTTTTAAAGTTATTTTAATTTAAATTTTAATGGAGTTTTAAATATATTTTTAGAGACCATTGTATTCTATTCTTTTGTTTTTTATGAATATTTTTTAGAATTTTGAACATTGATTTAAATTTTGGTCTTACCGTTTAAATTACTGGTTTAAAATAAGGATTTAGCTTTGTTAGTATTTTCCATATATTGAATGTCTCGAGTTTATAGAGATTTTTCATGTTTTAATTGTTTTTAATTAAAATTTTTGGTTTTTGATTTGTGAATATTTTTATTACTTTTTGCTGAATTTTGATGGGGAAGAAAAGGATTCAAGTAAATTTGACATGGAGTGTGTTTTCTGTTTTTTTTTTTCTAATGATGGCTATGGCCTTTTTAGATTAAAAAAATTGAAAATCCACATATTCAAACAGTGTGTTTTATGATACTATTAATATTAAGGTTATTGAGTTGTATATAGACGACATTTTCCCGGCGTAGAAATGGTCTTTTGAAGAAGGCGTATGAATTATCGGTTTTATGTGGAATTGATATTACAGTACTTATTTTTGATACAAAAAATAAATGTCATGTTGTATGTTTGTTTTTTCCTTTACTTTCCATGGTTGATTTGTTTTTCAGTATTGCTCAGATACTAATGAAGGTGCGGCACAGGCCATGATGCAAAAATATATCAACAAATGTTTTAAAACAGACACTTTAAAAGTATATTGAATTTTTTGTGGATAATAATGTATAGTTATTGATAAAAATATTTAGGGACAGAGTAGTGAAAAGGTTAATTCAAAATCGCATGGGTTTGTTTTTTTAGATAATTTTGATCATTATTGTGAATAATTTCTAGTTGGTGTGATACTCAGGAAAGTGTTTCTGTTATCGATACGTATCAGGTGGTATCTTCAGCTACTAAAGAAAATGATAGCTCTCAAGTATATATGCCTTTAGAAGAGAATGTGGATGATATTGATGGACCTGAATCGCTTTGTATACGATCAAAACGTACATATCATGTTCATGTACCATCATCATCAGATACTTCGAATGTACAATCGTTTTTGACATCTTATCAGAATCCTGCAAATGCGTACAATAAGGATAGTGTGGTTGTTAACTCTAATTGTCTTCATCCTTCAGTACTTTCTGAAAGGACATATCCTTATTTGAATAGCTCTTCTAGTCTTACAAGATCGATATCTGATTTTTGTTTGTCTACTAATTCTCAAGGTTTTTATCAGAATACAGTGTCATTTCCTCAAAACAATATGGTTAATGATACCAATCAGATTCATAAATATGCATCAGTTCAACCGCATTATGATCCTTACTTTTATAATAATTCATGTATTTCAGAAAAATGCAATGATCAAACATTAAAGCAACTTGAGATAGAGAATTGCGTTGATTCTGACATATTAAGTAGTGTGATTGAAGATTACATTCCATCTGATCATATACAAGAGCAATATGAGAAAATACCGGAAGACTCATCCTCTTTGGATAATAAAATAGATTATTCTCCAAGCAAAATATTGTTAGATTTCCAAAATTACCTTTATTTATAATAGTAGATTTTAATGTATTTAGTGTTTATATATATTATATAAAACTATAAATAAATATGAATTGTAATTTTGTGTTAAATAAAATTTTATTGAATGTTTCTTTAATAATGATTTACCTTTAATGATTTATGGTCTAGATATTTTGAAATTCTTTTAAATATTCATTAATTATAACAAGTTCTTTAGATTCAGTCCAAAACATTTGGCCTTTTCCTTTTAATGTTCGAAGAATACTTTTTGCCTTAAATTTCCAATCAGAGATAATTAAATTATCTGTATGATCTTTTATTAAACCAAAATTTTTATATGTATCAATTAATTCCACTGCTGATTCTACGGTTCCTGTCCATACATCTTTATTAGTATTTATATCTGACTTAGATATCCATATATGATATGATTTTATATAAGCCTCCAGGGCATCTAATGGTTTGTTTCTCCAAATATTTATTTTAGCTACAAATTTCCATAATAATGGGTTCGATGTTATTAAAGGAGGTATTTTAACTGTTATTAAATCAATAGCATGTCTTAAAAATCCTCTCTCTTTTCCTGTATATTCATTTTTTATTATTTCTTTTACAAGTATATCTAGAATTTTTGTATCGATAATATTCTCGCCTATTTTATGCGCTCTTAAATCTATGCATCTATTTATAGATCTTACTACTTCATTCCATTCACCTATATCTAAAGATATTGTTAAATAATTCTCCCATATTCTCCATGACTCGTAAGAATTACTAAGTGCTTGTCTTAATGCATTCCATGCATCATACTTTTTTGGAGGATTATATTTAAGAAATGACAAGGCTAAATTATTCCAGCTTTCTCCATCAGATGGGTCTAAACTAACACAACGAGTAAAAGCTTCTGATGCCATTTCCCAATTATTTAGTTCTAAATGGCAACATCCATAAGTAAACCATGCAGCATAATTTAAAGGGTTTATATCTAATGATAACCTGAATGCTTCTGCGCTTTCTTTAAATTTTTTTTCTGAATAATAAAATTTCCCAAGAGATCTTTGAGCTTTAGCATATCGATTACCAGAAACATTCCAAGCCTTTATCCAGTGACTTGGGTTTCTTTGTATATCGCCAAGAAGTGTCCATAGTTTAGGATTCTTGGGTTCTAATGCAAGTTGTGAAGTAAGAACTTCAATTGCTTTATTTTCTTTGTTTAATGCTGTCCAACACAATGCAATTTTTTCCCAGATTTCTAACCTTTCAAAAATTTCTAATGCTGATTTAATCATACCTATAGATAAATATCTATTAGCCAATTCTTCTTCTAAAGTCCAACGGGGAAGAAGTAAAAGCTGCCATCCATATGTCAATCTTTCTTTTACAGATGCAGATTCTCCGCATGATAATGGTTTTCGCAAAAATGATGTATTGTTTTGCAAATTATTTGTAAAATCATTTATAGAATCTATATCATCTAATAGTTGATCAACAAGAACTTGCAATTGTAAAACACTTCGTTCCATAGTTCTTCCTTTTCCTGCTTCTAATCTACAGCGTATAAGAAGTGCCATGCTATATACAGTCCAATTTATAGGATGTTTTAATACTCTTTCTGTATATGGTGCCATTTCTTCCATTGTTAGTCCATCATTAGGGTTTGTATTTTTAATAAATAAAGTTAGAGCTAATAAAATGCATGCATCCAAAGGACTGAGAAGTGAGGGATTATTAGGGTCAGTATTTTTTAAAGATTCTGGAATATTATCATTTTCAATTGATTCAGAAGAAATTACTTCTTTAGGTTTAAATGATATTGTTTCAAGAAGTGTATCATCATTTAAATCAAGTATTTTAGGTATTTTGTGAATTGTCTCCAATGTTTTTTCAATATTATTTTCTCCTTTTGCGATTAATACAAGTTGACTTATATCAAATGTTTGGAATTTCGTTCTACGACCTAAAAATCCTGTTAAAATCCATTTTAGACCAGTTTCTTTTGCTGCATTTTTAATAAAGTCAAAAGAAATAGAGTTCCGTCCATAATAATTCAAATATAAGCCTATCTCAAGTGCATAACAAGCACGAATATAATATTCTTGTTTTTCACATTCTTTTGCTATAGTTTCCATATTTTTAAAAATACAGTCATGAAGTACTGCTACATGCTCGTCTAAAATACGCTGATGGATGAAATCGATTCTTGCTCTCCACCATAAATACGTTTTACTATATTTAAATATGTTTGAAAATGCAAGCTTTGATACTAATAAAAAAGTAGGAGACTGAATAAGATGATATGGATATACATTATCAATTTCTAAGCATTTTAAAGCATTTTTTTCAAAATCTGACTTATTAAGTATCGTTTCCCATCTTTTAGGAAATAAAATATATGAATCAAACATAGGTTTGGGTCCTGTAAAATGAATTTGTATAAATGCATGAATTGATGAAATGCCAAGTAAAAGAATCATTAACTCTCCTTCCAGTGTAGAAGGAATTTTTGAAAATATATCTTTAAAATATATTGCTATATTTGTTTTAAGTATTTCTGGAAGTTTTACATGACCTTCATTTTCTCCTAAAATTTCTCGTATTTCTGGGGATGAAAATACCGTTTTAAAGTCTCCATCAATTACAGATCTAACTAGTTGTCCTATTTGTATATTTATATCATGTCCTTTAATAAGTGCCCATTCTAATTTGTAAAAATCGTCTTCTTTTAAGTCTTCCAGCATTCCATTTAAAATATAAGAATAAATATTATGATTTATTTTAACTTATTTATAAAACTGTTATCTTTATCTTAAAATTGATATTATTTTTCTATACTCTTTTTTGTAGTTTAAGAAAATATAGATTAAGATTTTTAAATCAACGCTAACCGATTTACAAAAATTATACTTTAAAATAATAGTGAACTATTTATTTAAAAAAAAATAGGAAGACACAATATATGAAATACTAAATACTATTTGTTTAAGTTTTAGAAAAAAAAGTTTACTAGCATTTTAGTCTTTTTAATTATTTGAAGTGACTAGACATTGGTACAAATTGGTAAATAAATGTTTAAAAATAGTCATAAGAATTTTTTGGTTTAGATTTATGTTAAATATTTTAATATGTTCTTTTATTTATAAAAATATTTCTAGTTTATCTTTTTTTATATTTTTATATTTGTATATTAAATATTAATATCTAAAAAGAATATGTTCTAAAAATATTCTTTTTTATTGTTTTCTAGAAACTCATTTGTTAAAATTAATGTATTTTAAATTTATTTTTAATATAAAAGTTATATTACAGAGTAAATACTTAGAAATTTTACTTTTTATCCAAATACTCTTATAGCTAAATATTTGAATTTCTTATTACTAATGTAACAAAAAAGAAAGATAGAGTATCTAGACAATGTTTTTCGTGACTCTCATTTTTTCTAAACTAAATAATATTATATTTTTATTATTTTAATCCCTTATTTTCTGTAAAGTTTTTGCTAATATTAAACTTAAGATTAAATAGATCGATGATACGTTTTCATTATCTTTAATTTGTTGATTTTAAATATAATTTATTTTGTTCTCTAGTAAAATTTTTCAAAAAAATGTATTAAATTAAAAATGATATTGAAATTAATAGAACTTTACAGAATATGATTATAAATATTGCAAAAAGAATAAACGTTATATTATTCAATATGATTTGTATAATTTGCAGCTATGTATCTTATATACCTTGTTCAGAATTATTTATAGTTTACAAGATAATATTGTAATTAAATATTTTTTATTATCCTTAAACAGTAATGTATATAATTTATTAAAAATTTAAATTAGTTTTTTTAATTTTTAAAAAGATTTTTAAAATATTCTTAAATAAATGACAAAATTTTTGATCTTCCTTTTTTAGACCTTTTACTTCATAAACATCTAATTCAATTTATGAATAATGTTTTTGAATACAAAATAAAAACATCTTTTTTTACTCTTTAAAGAATATTTAAATAGTAAATAATTGTAAGTACTGAAGAAAAAAAGAAAACAAATTCTATAATGCCCATAAAAATAATTCTAAATATTTTAATAATAAATATCTATGTACATCTATGTACATTTTAAAAAATCAACCAATATTTGCAGAAAAAGAGAAACTAAAATATAAATAAAGAAATTAGAACCACATAAAAAGATAAATTTATAAAATATAAACTGTTATTTGTCTTTTTTATAATTATTTTGTGATTTTATCAAGAGATAATTAAAAATTGACCGATAATTCGATTTTTCTGGATTTTCGAAAAAGAGTAAAAACAGAAGAAATATTGAATTATTGTATTAAAAGTTGATTGAAAAAATTTAGCATATGACGGCATCAAGTAGTATGAGATTTGGTCCTGAATGGTATGAGAGATAAATATTCTTTTTTTTTAAAAGAAAAAAGCTTATATACTTGGAATTTTTAGGATGCGTCAAGGGCCACATAATAATGTATCAGAAGAAGGGTTTACTCCCTCTGGAATACCTCAAAATAAGCAACGTAATGTAAAGAATCCTCAAGAACATTCATCTTATTCATCTATTCTTTCTTTATCATCTCAGCCTAATAATTCATCTGAACCATCCTTAACACCATTATCAGGTTCATTGAGATACAGCAAAGAGTTTTTGTTGTCTATATGGAAGGATATGTTAATGTCGGAGAATGGGATTCCAAAACCAATGGAACTTAATCAATTTTCTCAAGTATCAAGTGATGAAATTATATTTCCTGTATCATTATCAGAGATGAATGAAGATGAAAAAAAACTTTTCACAGGACCTGTTAATAGCGAACAAAAAAGAAGAGCTAATGATTCAATGAATAATTCTGTATATGGAACTACACGTTCTTATATGGGTCGTGTTTATTCACCCCGTAATGAACGTTTTCCAAATAATTCTCGGCTTGATAATCAGAAAGTACGAAGTAAAGATATAGGAGGAAATTTTAAAAATTTGAATGTTCAAAAATCTCGTGATTGTTTTTTTAACACTTTTGGTACCGAACTTTGGACTTCACCGAACTTACAATTGAATTCTGAAACACCTGAAAATAATACTTTTTCTAATGAAAATGATGAAATTATTCCATCTTCTACAGAAGCTAAAAATTCTGAGCTTGAGAATCTACATAAAAAAGAAAATGAGAATAAACCTATAGTTAAAAGTATTCCTGAATCATCTATTCCACAAATTAATACTCATTTTCTACCATCTAATGTTATTAATCCATCTATAGAGAATATAGGATCTGTTTCTGGAAGAAACGTTTCAAGATTACAGGCATTAGGTATGTTTGATTCTCAAAAATTTGCAAAAGTTTCATCTCCTGTTTCAGCAACATCTTCATCTTCTTTTCAACATGACGATTCAGATGATATTTTGAAAAAAGTATCAGGACATATTTCTGAAAATAAAGATGATAAAACACTTGAAGATCTTCAAAACAAATTTAACACTGATTTGGATATTAATAAGCCTTTGGAAAACATACAAAAAGAAAAGACACCGTTTTTGGGATTATTTAGTCCATCAAATTCTACGTTTTTGAATCAAAATAATAAAAATGAGAAATTTTATGAGCATTCTATTTCTCAACAGTCTAGTTTTTCCCAACCATCATTGTTACAACCTCAGCCTTCTAGAATAGCAACTATGCCTAACAAATTAAATTGGCTTTATAAAGATCCTATGGGTGTTATACAGGGTCCTTTTTCTGCTTTAAAAATGCAAGATTGGTACAAAGCTGGTTTTTTTCAGCCTACGTTACTTGTAAAACAAATAGATGATGAAGATTTTGAACCTTTAAGCTCGCTAGTAAGACGTGTTGGGAATCAGAAAGAGCCCTTTTTATTAGCTTTTCCTAATAAAACACAAACACAAATAACTCCGACAAGAAGTTTTTGTAATCCAATAGATGGATGGAACTCACCTGGATTAGGATCTAATTTAGAATCTCAAACACCTATATGCGTCGATTTTGATCATGTGGGTTCTGTAGCACCAGCAGTTCCTACAATTCCAGGATGGAATCACCAATCATCTTTTTCTCATCCATTTTTTTACGGGTCTAGTTTAGCTGTAGAGCAGCGAAATGTACCAGAACATAGGAAACAAGAAGAACAATCTTTAGCACATCATAAAAAGGACTTATTTCAACAACAACAGTTGACGCAATTTGCAATTCAACGTCAAAGATACCAATTTCAGAAACAGACTCAAAATCATCCAGAAAAACGAATGCAAATGAATTTTTTGAGACAACAAGAAGCATTTCCAATAAAATCGTTAAAAAATAATGTTTCTGAATCTATAGCGAGAAATAAATTTTTGAATGAAGAAAAAATATCTAGAGTCGATAAAGAATCTTCTGAATTTATTCCTAATTTTAGCAAAACAGTTCAAGAAAAGCTAGTAGACGTAAATAATGCGTCTCCTATTTTCAATATTGGACAAAGGGATTTATTAAATTTCACTGAAAATCCATTAGAAGCTGTGTTTTCAAAATCAGAAGCAATCCGAACTAATGATACTGCTAATGTACAAAAACAACAATTAAAGAAAGATGTAGAATATTTAGAATCACCAAATACTAATCAAGTATTAAAACATTCTTTAATAAAACAAAATACGGAATCTCAAAAAACTCATACACATTCTATTGCACCGTGGGCTAATGCTTTAGATAATATAAAGAATATTTCTTTGCGTGAAATTCAAGAATCAGAAGTAAGAAATTCTCAGAATCGCGTGCAAGAAATACCTGTAAATCAAGAATATTCTAAAAAAGTTAATTCTACTAAAAAAGAAATGCATGTTATTTCTACTAATCTCCCAGAAACAGCAACATGGGGATTTTCAAGTAGCATACAGGAAAGCTCGCCTGTTTCTGCATTAAATCATAATACAGGATGCGTATGGCAGTCACCTAATATTCCTTTTAGAAAAAAAACATTTGCCGAAATACAACATGAAGAAGAGTTAGCACAAAATGTAAAAGTAAATAAACTTCATGAACAAATTACTACAAATACTATCTCTGCATCATTACCTACTAGAAACTATATTAATTCGTTTAAAAAACCAGCTCAGACACCTTGGATAACTGTTGGCCCTGATGGACGACCTATTTCACGTTCAACTATTACAACATCTTCGCGCATAGGCACTGAAATATCTGCATCAAAAGCAGGAAATTTGGATCATAACCAAAAGAAACCGAACGTTCTCAAATTTAACAGCATATCATCTACTAATCAATCTTCTAATTTAACTAATTCTAATATTTCAGAAAATACTACAAAAAGCGGCTCAAACGATTTTCTTAATTGGTGCAAGATGTCTCTTAAGGCATTAAATCCAGGGATCAATTGTAAGTCCATTATATCATTATATAATTTTTATTTTTTTAACTTAATTATAGCTGATGATTTCCTTCAAATGCTTATGTCACTTCCAGTGGAGCCTAATCGAGAAACTATTGAAATTATTTCAGATAGTATATATGCCAATAGTGCAATTCTCGATGGACGTCGTTTTGCAGAGGAATTTATTAGACGAAGATTAGAAAATAGATCTTCAGATAATGGAATGCTTGAAAAAAATACTGGTGTACAAAGTTGGACTGATGCCTTAAAATCACAAAAGCAAAAAGAGCTTGAATGGAATCCTGTATTCAAAATCGTTACGGGAAAAAGAAAACAAAAAGAAAAATTAGAATTAAAAAATATGTAAAAAGAATATGTATATATTAAACTATGAGTATTGGCATTAATTTTCTATAACTTTTTTAATTCAAACATGTTTTAAAAACCATTTAAATATAACATGTTAATAAAAAGGCATCTTACTTATTTATATATTAATAGATCCATACTAAATCTGTCATTGGTATAGTACAATACCAAATCATTACTATATTCCTAATTCTGCTTTTCAAAATGCTAATTAAGATTATATATAATTTCCCGAAATATATTAAAAACAATTTTATTGTTCTTTGTTTTTAAGAAGAATATCACCTATTTTTTTAAATAATTCTCTAAGAACAATTCTTATTTCGCTATCGATACCGTCTCTTCCAAGAATATTAAGTCCAAATTCATAAAACTCCTTAATATACTCTACAAACTATTATATATGTAAATTAAAAAAGTCTCAAAACTAAAGATAATCTCTTACATCAACATCTTCAAATTTCATAAAAGCATTCAAACTTTCTACAATGACATGTTTCCATGCTTGGATATTTCGTAATTGTGACTCTATGTCTAAAGAACAATATACTACAAGAACTTTTTTGAAAATCCTATACTAATTAAACTTAAAATATTTAATAAAAGAAATTACATAATAAGCCTTTTCCTAACAACATCTTTATCAACAATTTTGTCAGAAGTATCAAAATATATTTTAAAAAGACTTGTAAAACAAACTGATACACTATTGGTCTCTTGTCGTAATAAATTAGGTAAATTTTTCATAAAACCTTACTAATGTTAAAAATTATCTTAAATATATATAAACTAAAACCATTTTTCCATAAATTTATTCTCAATTGTTTATCACTATTAAATTGCCGTGCAAAATTCCAACTATTTTCTAATATGTTTATTATACGTAAAAGTTCTTTTAAAGGAATCTTAAGAAAAACATCATTGTTTTTAAAAATTTCACCCAGTGAATCAATTAAGAACAATTGAATAATACATTTTAATATTAAACTTCTTGACTTTTTCCTTTGAGGAATAGAAAGTTGATGAGGCTCAATTATGTTATTTTCATTAAGTGTATCAAACATTTGTAGTTGTCTAATTGGAGAAAAAAGATTGTTGAGTGAAATATTACTGAGCTTCTGAGTTTCTATTGATGTTTCTAAATATTAATTATTTTTTTTTAAAAAAATAAATATATACCAATTTTATTAGAATCAATTTCGATGTTATTTATACTTTCTAGTTCATCAGTGGGAGTAAATTTGAAAAGCTCATGAGCTGTAGTAGTTTCAAACAATATTTCAAAAGTATTAACAATTTGACACCAATGATTATCTTTTAAAGCATCTACTTTTCGCAAAACTAACTGCTGAAAACAACTAATACTAGTTTTTGCTAATATATCATTTTCTGTATTAGATCAATACTTTTTTAATTAAAAAATTATGACTTACCCTGACATGTACAAGTAACCAAAAATTCAAGAAATACATCTAACATTTTCTCAAGAATATCAAAATATTTATCCAGTAATTCTACTATATTTAAAAGACTTTGAATCATTATATTAGAAATCCAAGAATTTAAATGCTCTTGTGCATTAACTTTAAATGTTTCAGATTGAGATTTAAGTATAATAAATATCGGAAAAAGTAATTGTCTACATACAGTATCCCAGAATGTTGATGTATAATTAGTGCCATATAAAATTAATATGTTAAATAAATAATTTAAAGCTCTAAGTTATTTATTGATTTTATTAATAATAAACAATCTTTAATACCTAGATCTAGTTTCTAAATCTTCACCCGTCACAAGAATATCATAAAAGCCAAATAAAACAGGGAACCAATATTTAATCATAGAATCATCATCTAAACTTTTTTCTTGATTTTTATCCATTAGTGGTGATTCCTGATATTCTAAGACTTTATCAATAATTGACTTAAGAAGTTTCATTGATTCTAAGCTAATTGTTTGATATTTGTCATTTTTTGAAAACTCTGTAAGACAAATAATAAGATCTGCAAAACTATTTTGAGATACAATAATATCCAAATTTTCTTTAGATAGTTGTTTAACTATATCAAATGAAAAATTAACAATATTTTCTATATTTCATTAACATCTATTAAAACTATAACTATAACATAATACCATGTTCTTCTCGTGCTGCAAATTGAAATACAGTGAACATTGTTCTCCAACCAGAACGAATATCATTTGCACGTGCTTGTATCATTTGTTGTAAACAAATTAAAACCTAAATGAAATTAATTATTTTTATAATCATAACATTCTTACCATTTCTTTTACTTTCTCAATGGGGTTATTTACTAATATATATTGGAAAGGTTTTAAAAAATCCTTTTGAAATTTAAAATACGAAAGTTCCTTTGTATTAAAAAATCTCATTGCTAATTGGCGTAAAGAATCTAAAGCAAAAAATACTACAACAGTATTTTGAAGACATCCGACCTAAAATATTTTAGTTCATTCTTTAAATAAAGAAAAATACTTTATTAAAATGTTTACCCAAAATAATCCATAAATTCGACCATTCCATGCGAATTCTAGCCATATTATAGTAGGATATTTCTACCAGTTTTTGAAGACTAAACATTCTAGGACTTTCACTTGATCCAGAAGATTGTATTTCTTCCCAAGAAACTTCACTTAATGCACGAACAAAGTCTATAATAGCGTTTCCTGACAAATGAGCACTTTGCGTAAATATTTTATCTACGAGATGAGTAACTTCTCTTGATCCGGCTTCCTCGGCAACTGCTTTATTATATGTAATTTGAGAATTTAGTTTCAAACGTAAACTTGAACGACCTAGTTGAAATGATTGATTTCGTTGAGATCCATTTGGAGATGTTTGTCTAGAATATTCAATAACTATTATATTAAAAAGTTTTCGCTTACGTTTTTATTTTTGCATTTCCAATGTCAGGAATAAAAAATTCATCAACACCAGAATTTATGAGTTGAAATCTTTCTAATTGGCTAACGCATATTAATACATCTTTCCATAATTCATTTAAACTATTTCCTTCCGAAAGTGCTATTTCTAAGAGAGCCTTAATACTATTAACATTCTTTATTTTCATTTCATTTAGATTTCCAAGGTTTGTAAATTTCGTTAAAGTGCTAATAAATGCATTTTTTGCAAATTTAAGATCAAATAAACATGATATTTGTATAGCAAGTTTAAATGCTTCAAGACACAATGAAACAATGGAGGAATCATCTTGTGATTGCAAAAGATCGGATATACTAGCTAAAATTGGAATCCATGCAATTTCAAACATAGGTCCAACATGTTCAAAATGAGAAGCACTATAATAAATTGATGTTGGTTTTAAAAGGCCTTCTTTTTGAGCTTTAAGAATGTTTTTAAAAAGTGTCTAATATATATATATATAATTTCAATAATAAAGAAAATAATGTTACCTCAGTTTTATTAGCCATTTCTTCTGAAGCAGTCATATACGTTTCACGCTGAATATTTCTACCAATTATTCCTAAAATATTACTAATATTTGATGCAAAACCATAAGATGAATGTGCTAATCCAGAAATAAGAGCAGCATCTTGCTCATCCTTAAGTACAATTTCATTACTTAATATTTCTTCATATATTTCAGTTAAATATTTTTCAGAAAGAGATTCTTCATCATTTATTTTGCCAGTATTTTTTATAAAATCATTTAAAGACATACGTTTTTTAATATGAGGGTTATGTAAATCTGTATTTAAAATTATAACAGAGTAGGCTAAGATATATGCTGTATCTATATATAAAATATAATTAAATAATTTTAATTAAAATTTAGTTGCAAACCTGCATTTGCAAATGCTCCTGGATTACAATTTATATAATGTTCAGCAAATTTAAGCATATAACGGTCTATTTTTTGAGCTTCTCCAGGAAGTCTAAAAAATTGAAGAAATTTCCTAAGTGCATCTACAAATGACATTCGAGAAAAATCCATAAGATCAACAAACGAATGCATTATTGAAATATTTTCAGTATCTCTAGAAGAACATATTATTTTTATTTAAAAACTTAAAGTATGTACCCTTCTCCAAGATATTCTCCTAACACTGTTTTATTCAAACCTTCTGTTTCATATAAAAAAGCTGCAATATCGTTAGGAGACAAAGACTTAATAAATTTATGTTCGTATAAAGCTTCAATACCCTAATTTGTGTTACAAATAATATAATATTTTATAAAAAAAACCTTTTGAGGTTTGGAATTAAACTTTTTAATACATTCAAAAAGAATATTTTTTCTATGTTTTAAAGCTTCAAATATCTCAGGATCATCTAAGGTATTACTTTTTAGTTTATTAGAATAATCAATAGAGTCTGAAACAATAGGTCCAATGGTTAGAGATCGTCTAAAATCATATACACGTTCATTAGAGTTGTTATTACTTTCATTTAAAGGTAATTCTTTGAATTCAGTAGTAGCTGTTTTAACACCTTCTTGAGACCATGATATAAGTGACTGAAGAATAGAAACTATGCATCTTAAAGATTTTAATTTTAAGTTATATTCCATTGTAATTAAATTATTTTCCAAATGTTCAGATGTTGTTAGAATAGGTAATGGAGATATGGGTAAAGGCGAATTGATGGATGATTTATTAGATACTTTTACTGCATGTTGTTGATATTGATTTGTTTGTAAAGACGAAGTTGCTACTTTAGATAAAATATTTATAATCCTAAAAAAGTTAGTTTTTATTTTTTTTTTGAGAATATATTTTCTTTTCATATATATTGTCTAACGCAGCACGATCACAATCATAATTTAAATAAACTTCAACAAGAACTTTAGGATCATTTGATATCCTTTGTAAAATTTCAAGTAATGTCTGTTTTTGTTGATAGGTTGAATTACGCATCTCTAATATAGGAAGAAAAATCTCTTTTAAAAATACTTCGATTTCGACCTTTTGAAATTAATAATAGTTTCTACTTTTTTTAAGTGAATAATTACCTTTAACATCATTCTCATAGAACCTATCATCTTCCAAAATATTTCACAACTAATATTAAATACTTGTTGAACTGGACTGACAAAATTTCTTGTTAATGTAAGACATAAATATTCTTTAATTGCTTCTGTAAATGCAATAGATGTTGAAAATATATAAATTTTAATATTTTTAGATGTAAATATTTCCATGTAACTATTTAAAATAGAATATATCAAATGTAATGAAAGAAGTTTTGATCTCATAGAGTGTGATCTCAAATCAGTAATACTAAAAATCAATTATAAAAAAAATCATTTTCAAAATTACGTACTTTTCGTAAGGAGACTGTTTTACAGATAATTTGCAAAGAATTCGGAAAAGAATAAAGGCATCTCTTATAAAAAGTTGATTTTCGTCAAGCATTTGCTGTTCTTTTTTATTTAAGTCACATGGATTTTGAGGTGACTTAAGACCTTCAAATGAGTTACTAATAATTTGTTAAATTCTTTTATAAAAATATAATGAATAAAAATACAAGATGTTTTTTTCTGAAGAATCTGTCTTCAAATTTGTTAATTTTTTCTGAATAACATCTATATTAAGTGTTTCTATTGTAGAATGATGTGTTTCATAATCTATAACATCAATATTAAGCTGAGAAGATTTATTTTTTTCTTCTGAAAAAGAAAATGGCGAAGAAATAGTTTCAGAAAAGCTATTATTTTTCGAATTCTCTACAAATCTTATTTTAACTCTTCCAAAAATAGTATGAACCATTTGAGTTAGAATTCCTTGTATTATTATTTGATTGGAAGTATCTTTGCTTAATAAAAATATGTTATATGTTTGACGAATTGCTTTTAAAAGAGTATTTTGATGAATGATTGTTTTTGGATTTTCATTTAATACAGCAGCAAGTAAGGCTTTTACTGTTTGTAACTGTACATGTGGATCAGTAATATCTCCTTGAAAACAATTACAAATAGTGTCAATAACTTGCTCCATGATAGGAATTGTAGATTTAGTTGCTTCTTGTTCTGAGTTAGTATCATCATATGGTTGTATTGATGGTGAAGGATCAACGAAAAAAGAGTACGATAAAAGTTTTGATAAACAATCTAAAGCGGGTATAGTACATTGAGAAGAAAATGTTGAACATGCGCATTGTAAGGGTTTCAATATAGTGCTCGGTGATGGAGATGCATTTGTTTTTATAGCATCTAAATATGTAAATATGTTTCTCTTAAATATACATCTAATTACCCAAGGTTTTAGAAACAATGTCTTTAAGTTGTCCATTTTTTTTAGCTTCTTTAGTTGCAAGAATAATCTCTAATGCTTGAATAACAAAAACAATGTATCCAAAACCTGATTTTTGGCTAATTTCCATAGAAGAATTGTAAATGTATGGAAATGATTTGGACCTTTCTTTTATATGACTAATAATATCAAATTCTTTATCCATACTGCTTCTACCAATATCAGAGATATTTGATGAATTTCCTGGTGACTCTTTAATTGTTTCTTCATATGTTTCTAAATGATTAAAATGTGATTCCTCACTTCTATCTAGTATATTTTTTTGCAATCTTTCTTGCAGTTCCTTTTCAACATCTTCTGAACTATTCAAATTGTCCAATTGTTTGGAGCTTTCTAAAATATTATCTTCAATAAATTCATTTGACTTTAATAAATTTTGAAAATGCTCTTATTTTTTATTAAAATAATAATTTTCCTTTTTATAGAATACTGACCTTCTAAATCTATATCAACATCAATATTTTCTTCATTATCTATCATATTTTTTATTTTAAAGTGTTTATTTTCAATTTTAAAATATAATTTAGATATAAGAATCTCAAGTTCGTGTTTTCGATATAGAAAATCTGAGTTAAATTAAAAGATATTAAAGATATTTAATAGTAACAAAAATTAAAGATGAAAAATTCTTATTGTTATTTTTTTAAAAAAATTTTTAATTTGAGATATTTTTTTTATTAATTTCAAAAAGTATAATATAAAAGTTTAAAATATATAAAAGATATAATATTTTTTATTATTTAATAATTCAAACGATATTTCTGTAATTAAAAAAAAAACTAAGATTATTAATTCATATTTTTATTTCTATTATAAAAATGCAATTGAAAAATTTTTAAAAACACTTAATGTTTTAAATTCATACAAATATTTATTTTGTTTATAAAGCAAATTGCATTAATATTATATAATATTATATAATTTTATTAAATTTAGATTGTTTTTTAGAAAAAAAATTGATTACGCAATACACTTAAATTATATCAAACATTTTTTCGTAAACTAGTATTGATAAAAATATATATTATATACATTTATATATTGCATTATAAAATCAAGAGTTTTAATCAAATATTATTTTTCAGTAGCAAAGAGTTTTAATTTTAAATTTTCCTCTAATATTCATTTAAAAGATAAGTTCAAAAAATATAATATATTGTTTTTTAAAATACCTTTATTCATAAGTCTTTTTTTATAAAAACACATATTATGAAAATGTTTTAATAAATTATATTTTTTTAAGATATATTTTTTGGAATAAATCTTATGAAAAGCTTTCGATTTTGAATTTTCTTCTGAATAATACTAAAAATTAAAATTATCTAAAATATTAAGAATTTAAGGTAATAAATCAGTTGAAATGAGTTTAATTAGAAGGTCATGGACAAATTTAATACATATCTATTTTTCAAATTCAAAAAATATTAGAAATATGTAAAATAAAAGAGAAATGAATTAACAAAACGTCTTAATAATTAAATTAGATATTTGCATCAGGAATTCCAAGCAGCAGCATATAGAATTTTTAACTTAAAACGAGGTTATGCATCTAAATGTAAACATTTAGTTTTTCGTAATTTTAATCTAAATTATTTAGCGTTTCCTACACATCATATTATAAATATGCCCGCTTTATCTCCAACAATGTCTTCTGGTACAATTGGGACATGGAACAAAAGTGTTGGTGATCGGATCTCTCCTGGTGAAATTTTAGTAGAAATTGAAACAGATAAAGCTCAAGTGGACTTTGAATTTCAGGATGAAGGTTATATAGCTAAAATTTTACTTGAATCAGGGACAAAAGATGTAGATATAGGTACAGTAAGTAATAATATTGTATTTTTAGTATTTTATCTTTATCTTCATTTTAGCCTATAGCAGTCTTAGTAGAAGATGAATCAGATATTCCAGCGTTTTCTGATTTCACTATTAATGACGTAGAAGTAAAGAAACCTCCTAAGAAAGAAGAAATACCCAAAAAAAAGGATTCTTTAGAAGAACCTAAAAAAATAGAAGAATTAAATATATCATCTAAAACTAAACCAGAATTACATCATCGAGTATTCGCAAGCCCGGTTGCTCGAATGCTTGCTAAAGAGAAAGGAATCCAATTAGAAAATATCAAAGGAACAGGCCCTAGTGGTCGAATAATTAAAGTTGATGTTGAAAATTATAAACCCGAAATTTCTATTATGCAGCCAACTATAGATTTTGGTGCTTTATATACAGATATTCCATTATCAAATATTCGTAGAACAATCGCTACTCGATTAACTGAGTCAACGCAAAATACGCCACACTTTTATATTACTTTATCTGTTCATATGGAAAAAGTTCTCAAATTAAGAGAAGCCCTTAACAATCGTTTAGATGGTCAATATAAGATTTCAGTTAACGATATAATTCTTAAAGCATCAGCTATAGCACTTCAAAAAGTTCCGGAAGTAAATAGTTCATGGTTTGGAAGTTTTATTCGACAATATCATTCCGTAGATATATCGGTTGCTGTTGCTACATCAAATGGTCTCATTACGCCTATTATTAAAGATGTTCAGAACAAAGGTCTTCTTGCTATTAATAAGCAAGTTAGAGAACTTGCAAATAAAGCAAGAGATGGAAGACTTAAACCCGAAGAATATCAGGTAATTTAATAATCATAAATATATTTTCTAATCAGTACTAGGGTGGTACTTTCACTATTTCAAATATGGGAATGTATGGCATTGAACAATTTACTGCAATTGTATTATTTATCTTTGAATTCTAAAAACATATTAATTAAGTTTTAGATCAATCCTCCTCAAGCTTCTATTTTAGCTGTTGGATCAATTGAAGACTTTCTTGTAGAAGACCCTAGCTCAGAAAAAGGGTTTAAAACAGAAAAACGAATGAAAGTGACATTATCTTCAGATCACCGTGTTGTAGATGGTGCTGTTGGCGCAAAATGGGCAACTACTTTTAAATCTACATTAGAAAACCCATTAGATATGTTATTGTAAACTATTTCAGGTTCAATCAATACTTGTTGTATTTGTTTATGAGTATAACCACTTTAACCATAGTATATTTGTTTTTTTTTTTAAAAAAAGAAAACTATAAAACACGTAAACATTTATAAAGTAGTAAGCAAATTCCATAGCCCTTTAATATACCCAATAATTTCATCACTGCCTAGTTTAGATTCACCATATAATCTATCTATAAATGTAATAGGCAATTCACCAATAGAATACCCATATTTTCTAGCTTTTACAATGATTTCCTAGATAAGATTAAACGACATAATAATTAAAATTTAACAAACCATTTGAAAAACATAACCTTTACTTTTAGAGTCTACAATTATTTTTTCTAAAACCTCTTTTTTATATAAACGAAAACTACCTGTAGCATCACTAACACCATGTTGAAGTAAAATCCTGCTTAAAAGATTTGCACCCAAAGAGATAAGTTTCCGTTTTATATCCCAACCATAAACCCCGCCACCATAGGCATATCGTGTTCCCAAAACAATATCATAAGATTTTTCTTTTTGAAGAGAAATAAATTGAGGAATATATTTTGGCTAAACCAACTTCGTTAATGATATTTTTATACTTATTATATATTTTTACATGATGAGAAAAGTCTGCATCCATAATAATCACAAAATTACCTGTACAATACTGAAGACCATATATATACGCAGTTCTAAGCCATCAAATATAAAAAATATAGAAAAAAAATAACTAACCCAAGTCCAAGTTTTCCTGGACGTGTTTTCAAAATCTAAATTGTATCAGTTCACTTTTAATATAAAAAAAAGTAAATTAACAATGTGTTTTTTCCCATATATTTCTATCAACTGAATAGCTACTTCTTGAGTTCCATCAGGCGAATTATCATCAACAATTATAAGTTCCCAATTAAGATTTCTTAAAAGTATTAGTTTAAATTCATAAAAAAACATGATTACTCAGAATCCAATGTTTTAGCAAGTAAATATGTGACAATAGGCAAATTTTTGCGTTCTTTATACGTTGGCAAGATAATTGAATATTTATTAGACATTTTGTTCACACCGTTGTATCGCTTAAAAGTAACGTCAGTTGATTTTTTCTTAATGTCCATCTTCTCGAAAGTTTTTAATTTTCTAAAATCATATTAATTTTCGAAAAAAGACGAGAATTGATTGCTCAATAAACTGAATTTCTCACTAAGTTTATAAGAGGTTTAATAATGTTATTTTTTTCTGTTTTTTTTTTGAATATTTTGAATATTTTTTAGGTTTTTTATAAAAACAAATCAATGGAAGAATTCAAACTTAGTGAACAGTCCTTTAATTGAATCTTCGTCATTACATATATCTAAGGATGCACTGTTTCACTTGTATGTGTTTCCTTTTCTGTTTTTATATCCTATCTGGATATATCTTTATCGTTTTAAATATGATGAATATATTAAATCAGAGGAATGGACGTTTATTACTCTTGGAGCACTTTTTTCTATTCAAAGTCTTTTGTGGCTTAGCAAACATTGGAATGTTCGTGTAAAGACATTACTGACAACGAAATTTGTATAAACAATTAGAAAAATAAGTAGTATATAGCTAAAAAATCCAGTGTCGTGAGATCGAACGTGCACAATTAATTCGTGTTACTCCAGTATCAAATCAAGGATCTTCAGAAATATGTACATTGAATCGCAAAATAGCATGTTTCTTATTAAAATATACAATGTCTAATTCATACATTTAGTTTAATGATGATTTGCTTCCAGAAATATCATTTTTATTTCAAAAAAAGAAATTTGTATATTCATATGAAGAAAAAAAATTTCAAGAGCTTTCATTTAGGATTAATTCGAAACTTCTTATAAAAGATTTACAACATATGAAAGGATTGACATCAGATAAGTTAATTGAATACGCCAAACATCATTACGGATATAATCGATTTGATATTCCTATTCTTACATTTATTGATTTGTTTAAAGAGCATGCTGTCGCACCATTTTTTGTTTTTCAAGTTTTTTGTGTTGCACTTTGGTGTCTTGATGAATATTGGTATTATTCTTTGTTCACATTATTCATGTTGATATTATTTGAATCAACTGTAGTCTGGCAAGTATGATTATAATTTCTAATATAACCAAATGAATTCTTATATTTTCAGAGACAACGAACGCTTACTGAGTTTCGAACAATGTCTATTAAACCGTATCAGATTTATGTTTATCGAAAATTTCATTGGATACAAATCATGACAGATGAGCTATTGCCGGATGATATTGTATCTGTTTCTACTTCCGAAGAAGAGCACGATGTACCTTGTGATATGATTTTATTATCTGGTAGTTGCGTTGTGAATGAAGCAATGCTAAGTGGTGAATCTACACCTCTTTTAAAAGAGAATATTTCTCTTAGAGATCCTGAATCGGATTTTGATATTAATGATCTTGATAAAAATTCTTTATTGTTTGGGGGTACTAAAATTCTTCAAATATTGCCTTCAACAGATTCGACAATCCCCCTTGCTCCTAATAAAGGTGTATTAGCAATTGTGACAAAAACAGGTTTTGAAACCCAACAAGGTAACCTTGTGAGGACTATGATATATTCCACAGAAAGAATTAGTGCAAATAATCTTGAAAGTTTGTTTTTTATTTTATTTCTCCTTGTTTTCGCAATAGCAGCTAGTTATTATGTTTGGACGAAAGGTAAATCAAGCATTGAAATTATATAATTACTTAAATGGAAAAGGTGTTGAAAATAATAGAAATAGATACAAACTTCTTCTTGATTGTATTTTAATTATAACATCAGTTGTTCCTCCAGAACTTCCTATGGAACTTTCATTGGCTGTTAACTCTTCTCTTGCTACTTTATCCAAACTAGCCATTTTTTGTACTGAACCGTTTAGAATACCATTTGCAGGAAGAATTGACGTTTGTTGTTTTGATAAAACGGGCACGTTGACCGAGGATGATCTTATAGTAAAAGGAGTTGCAGGTCTTGGGTATATTTTATTTATAAGATTTAAAATGAATACTAAATATACAAGTGATAATTTAGAAGAACTTATCGATGTTAATTCAGTATCAAAAGAAACTATGTTAGTCCTTGGAACAGCACATTCTCTAATCAGACTCGAAGACGATAAGATTGCAGGCGATCCTATGGAGAAGGCAACATTAGATGCATTAAAATGGAAACTTGAAAAAAACAATATCATAAAGTCTCCTCATAAAAATTTTCAAGAAAATAAAATAGAAATTGTTCGAAGATTTCAATTTTCATTAGCCTTAAGGCGTCAATCGACTATAGTAACAATACTTGATCAAAAATGTAAAAGATTTTTTGTAGCAGTAAAAGGAGCACCAGAAGTACTTCAAGAAATATCAGTTGTTCCAGAAAATTATGAAAATGTTTATAAATATTTCACAAAAAATGGTAGTCGTGTTTTAGCTCTTGGTTATAAATTTCTTAAAGATCGAATGAGTATTTCTGAAATAAATTCTCTTTCAAGAAATGAAGTAGAAAGCGATTTAGTATTTGCCGGATTTCTTGTATTTGGCTGCTCTTTAAAGAAAGATGCTGCCAGTACAATTAAAATGTTAAACGAATCTTCTCACAGAGTAAGAATCGTCAATATAGGGAAAATATTAACAAATCTAAGGTGATTATGATTACCGGTGATAATCCGCTTACTGCATGTCATGTTGCTCGTGAAGTCTATATAATCGAAAGAGACGTTCTAGTGCTGGATACTCCTAGTGATATTTCTAATTATACTTCAGGTACTGGTATAAATATTACGATTTATGAATTCATATATTTATAGATCTTTGTTGGAAAAATATTGACGGGGATGCAATTATGCCGGTTAATATTAATGATCCTATTGATAAAACTTTATTTGAAAAATATGACATATGTGTTACTGGATGTGCTCTTTCGAAATACAGTGGTTCAGATCAAATAAATGACCTACTAAGACACACTTGGGTCTATGCAAGAGTCTCTCCTGCACAAAAGGTAAATACCTTGACTCTGGGAAACATTATAACTTTTCAGGAATACATCTTGACATCTTTAAAAGACGCTGGTTACATTACTCTTATGTGTGGCGACGGTACAAACGACGTTGGCGCCCTCAAACAGGCACATATTGGTGTTGCTCTTCTCAACGGGACTGAAGATACTCTAAAACGGATTGCTGAGCATACACGCAATCAGAAATTAAAAGAAATCTATGAAAAACAAGTCAGGATACTTGCTCGATTTAACAAACCACCTCCGCCTGTTCCTCTGCAGATTGCATACCTCTATCCCGAAGGCCCCTCCAACCCTCATCGTCAGGCTTCAATCCTTGCTCGCTCTAAGGAACTTAAGGGTTCTAAAGACTCTTCAGCTGACAATCTCTCGGTTTCACAAAATAACTCTATGAAGAAACATGAAAACCTCACAGAAACCCTCTTATCAACGCTTACTCATCTCGATGATGAGAATGAACCCCCTACTCTTAAACTCGGTGATGCTTCCTGTGCTGCACCTTTTACCTCAAAACTTTCTAATGTTGTGGCAAGTATGTTGTCTTTTCAGCTTTTCTCCACCCAACATTTGATAAATAACCTCTGTTAGTTGCCAATATCATCCGCCAGGGTCGCTGCACTCTTGTTGCCACCATCCAGATGTACAAAATCCTCGCACTCAACTGCCTCATCTCGGCTTACAGTCTTTCTGTCCTTTACCTCGATGGTATCAAGTTTGGAGATGGTCAGGTCACTTTGTCCGGTATGCTCATGTCTGCTTGCTTTTTATACATCTCCAAAGCCAAGGTATGCTCCTCACAATTCCTCTGTTCACTTGTATACATTCTCTATCATTCTTACACAAACTAGCCTGTTCACGAGCTTTCCAGAGAACGTCCACAGTCCAACATCTTCAATCTCTATATTGTCGGCTCCATTCTCGGCCAATTCTTTGTTCACGTTGTCGCCCTTGTCTTTATCAAGTATTATGTCGCTCTCTTCGAGTATCATACTGTTTTGACCGCTTCCTTTTTGCTGATGTTGGCGTCAGGCCTCCGTATGCCGTTAATCTCGAGTCTGAGTTTGTCCCGAGCCTTCTCAACAGTGCAGTTTATCTTCTCCAGTTCATGCAGCAGATCTCGACGTTTACCGTCAACTATCAGGGGCGGCCATTCAGACAATCTATCCGTGAAAACCGGCTCATGTATTACGGGCTGCTTGCTGTCGCAATGCTTGCGTTTAGCTGCTCAACCGAGTTTGTTCCTGAGATCAATGCACGGCTGCGTCTCGTCCCCTTTCAACCACGCTTTAAGGTGACTCTGACTGCACTCATGGTTGCCGACTATTTGCTGTGCCACCTTGTCGAGCGTCTTTTCAAACGCTGTTTCTTCAACAACCGCCCCAAGGACATTGCGTATACGTGCGGCCCCTCCCGACCGCCCAGCGCTCTGCAGCTGCACTCTGGCCCCCCCATAACTTGACACCTGCACCGTCTGTACCATCTGCACCATCTGCACCATTTGTACATTTTCACCGTCTATATATTCTATACATTTCCTATAACCTGTGCCTGTAGTCTGCATAATTCTTGTAACATGTACCCTGTGTATCCTCCGTATCCCCGTGTATCCTGTGCCCTTGTGCCTCTGCACCTGTATGTCTCTACAGCTGTACGCATATACAGCTGATGCGAATGCGAGCATGACGTTAAGCATAACGTGTGCAGCATCTACTGCACTCTACAGCACCATAGATAGCACATCATAGATAGCACATTACAGCGTCTGCCCTGCTTCTGCCCAGCTAAGCTGTTACTTGTATGCGCAGCATACACCGCCGCCACACTGCACCACACATGCACCCACATATACACCCCCACCGCTCTCACCCACAGCAGGCATGTAACCGTGCACAGCACTCTGCTTATACTATATGCGCGCTGTATGCATGCACTGTCGCTCGTCGCCACCGCCCTGCGCGTGCCCACGTAGACGCATACAGTCCGCATACAGCCCGTACCGCGCTTGCTACATGCATACACTGCGCATACAACACGCATACAACACGCATACAACACACATACACTTGCTCCTGCCGCGGCAAAAGGCGGGTCGCGGGCGCTCTCCCCTGCGCCGCCCACAGGCTTCCCCGTGCCCCGGTATCCCAAGCTGCGCAGTGTCCTGCTGGATGACGCTCCCCTTGGACGGTACTGCGCGCTGCGCGCCACGTGCCGCAGAGCCTTCGCTGGGCGCCACGCGGCGACTCAGGACTCGAACACGAAGCCTGCGGCGTGTGCGCCGCACGGGAGCGCCCGCTCCCCCACAGCCGCGACAGCGCACGCTGCGCCTCAAAAACACTTATAAGGCACTTGCCTGTCAGGCGGCCTCATGGACCAGGAAGACTTCCGGCGGCTGCTGGCGGCGCCGCACAGCGCACGCACAACGCCGCGTCCACCGCTGCTTGGGCCGCGGCGCGCCGCACGCAGCAACGGGGGCGCGCAGCGCACGAAGATGCACGCGCTCGAGGAGACCGTGCAGCGTCTGCGGGAGGCTGCGTGCCGCGGCGAGATTACGCAAGCAGAGTATGTCGCGCAGACGCAACGGCTTGGCGGGGACTTTGCGCACGCTGGGTTGGTGCGGGGCCTCGACCGGGTGCTGCTTGCACGCGTGCGGCAGGCGGCCGCAGACGCTGCAGAAGAGGAGGCGACCGAGGATCTCGATGAGATCTATGCGGGCGTCACCGCGAAGCAGCGCACAGCGCCTGTCGCGCACGCAGCGCGGTTCAGGCGGATCGGCGACGCGTGCCTGGCACAGGAGGAGTGCGCGCCCTCCACGAGCACTGGGGCAGCTGCGCGCGCTGCACACTCTGCGCGCGCAGCAGGCGTGGATGAGGATGCAGGCGACTCTATCTTTGGCGACGTAGGGGAGTACGACCTGCTTGGAAGCCTCACGCAGGAGGGGGAACAGGCAGCACAGCAGACGGAGCGAGGTGGCGGGTACTTTGGATCGGCCACACTCGAGGACGGAGAGGCATTCGGGCTTGTGGACGCAGGCTCGCTGACAAGAGAGGCAGTGCTGCGGGAGGACAGGCAGTTGGCGGCAGCACTGAGGAGGGCCGCGGCACTCGAGCAGGCAGAGCGCAGGGAGAACCCGGGAGAGAAGAGGGTCGATGCGGGGTTCGGGCTCCAGCTGGGGGAGGCATACGGGGACGTGGGCAGCGAAGAAAGCGAGGAGGAGCAGCCGGGGAGAGGCGCGGGGGGCGGCCGGCGGGCACGGAGACCGCGGCGGGAGAAGCGCGCCCGCTGAGGGAGGCGGCGCCAGCAGCACTGAGTCACAGCCGCAGTGCACAGTGTACGGTGTGCACAGTGTACAGTGTGTATAGCATGTATAGCATATATATATAGCATGTATAGCATATATATACAGCATATATAGTATGTATAATATATATAGCATATATAGTATGTATAGCATATATACTATGTACAGCATGTATAGTGTGTATAGTGTGTATAGCATATATAGTATGCATCATATGTATAGTATGTATAGTATGTACAGTGTAGTGTGTATGGGTATATGCGGTATGTACTATGCACGCTATGTACTTATGTACTATGTACGGTGCGTCGGTGTGTAGAGTGTGCCGCTATATGCAGCCGTATATGGGTCGTCTATGGCTACGGATATGGCTACGGAAGCTCAGAGTATCAGAGCACAACCCAGAGTGCTCCAGAGGAGCGTGCCGGCGCGGATCTGGGGCTCTAGGGCTCTGGGGAGAGGTGTAGGCAGGTGCAGGCAAGCGGGCGTTGGCAGCAAAGCAGCAGCAAAAAAGTCGCTCAGAGCGCCGCAGATTCTGCCATGGCAACGAAACCCTAGCCCTGAGAGACAGCCCTTGCCGCAGCCCTAGTCTATTTCTTTGTCGAGGCAGGGTGGAGCGTGCAGAAAAGACAGCGACGCAGGGGACGCGGATAGAGTGAATTGGGAGGGCTCGAGGCAAAGAACGCAGTGGGAATGCACTGAGAACAAGGCAGGAAGCATGCATCGTTTTTTCCCGGGACTTTGGGGCTAATTTGCGTGTTTTTAGAAAAGATGCTAGCAAATGGTAAAATGGCGTCTATGGGCGAGCCGGGTGCGGCCAATTTGCCAGCAGAGGACTCGAATGCGTTTGATGTGCATCAGGAGGTGTATATGGTTGTTTTCACCGCGTTTTCCCGGGTGTTTAGAGCCTAATTGGGGGATACAGGCAAACACGGCATCATCAGGGAACCATATCATAAAACGGAAGCTGACAGGTGCGTCAGGGCAGGAGAATGGATGAAAAAGCGGTCAGATGAATAGGCTAATGGGTTTTGCTTAGGATACGTTGGATTTGCAAATCTCCCGAATCAATGTTACCGGAAATCGATCAAAAAAGGGTTTATTTTCAATATCATGGTGGTTGGGGAATCGGGTCTTGGGAAGTCGACGCTGATTAATACTCTGTTTAATTGCACGCTGTGCCCGCCGAAGAATGTCAAGTCGCTGACGAAGGACCCGGAAAAAACTATTGAAATCAAGAGTTTGACGTCAGAAATCGAAGAGAACGGAGTAAAGCTGAAGCTTACGGTGGTTGATACTCCAGGGTTTGGAGACTTTGTAAACAACGACGACAGGTACGTGGAAAGACCGGGAGACCGGGAAAAGAATCTACCGGGGGGAATTATGTTGGAAACTTATATTGTGATAGTTGGCAACCCATCTTAGAAAATATCGAGAAGCGTTTTGATGCATATCTTGAAGCAGAAAATAGAGTTAGCAGAGCAAATATAGTGGATAATCGTATACATGCTTGTATATTTTTTATCGATCCAACAGGTCATTCTCTCAAGCCCTTAGAAATCGAGTTTATGAAACGCCTTCATTTGCGGGTCAATCTTATCCCCGTGATTGCTAAAAGTGATACTTTGACAGAGCAAGAAGTTTTACTTTTTAAGAAGCGAGTAAGAAATTGGATATTTTTATAACTTTATTCAAGGGAATAGATATTAGACGACATTGCTTATCATGAAATTAATATTTTCAAGCCGCCAATCTATGAGTATGATGACGAGGAGACTATGAATGAAAACAATGAAATTATTTCAAAAATACCGTTCGCTGTTGTAGGAAGTAATTATGAAGTAACAACAGCTTCAGGTCATACAGCAAGAGGCAGGAAATATCCTTGGGGGGTGATTGAAGTTGAGAATGAAAGTCACTCCGACTTTATGAAACTGCGTCAAATGCTTATTCGGTAATTCGGTCCTTTAATTAACCCTTTCCTTAATACTTGGTTAGGTCGCATATGGAGGATTTAAAAGAACACACAAATAATGTTTTATACGAGAACTATAGAACTGACAAATTAATACAAATGGGAATTACACAAGATTCTAGTGTATTTAAGGAAGTAAAGTATGTTTTCAATTACCGTTCAACGATTACTTATTTTTGTAGCCCTGCTATTAAACAGGAAGAGGAAAGACAGCTTCATGAAGCTAAATTGTTAAAAATGGAAGCAGAAATGAAACTCGTTTTTCAACAAAAAGTTCAAGAAAAAGAAAATAAATTGAAGCAATCAGAGGAAGAATTATATGCTCGACACAGAGAAATGCGTGATACTTTACAACAACAGCGCGCAGAACTCGAAGAAAAAAAGTCCCGTCTAGAATCTGGGCGTTATGTTGAAGAAAAGGCAAGAAGAAAGGGCTTTAGTTTAGGAAGATAGATAGGATAAATAACATAGTAGAAACATATATTTCAGACACCTGTACTGAACCCTTTTCTTTTATAGTTCTTGTGAAAAATGTTTTTAAAGCAATTTAAATATATCATATTATAGTTTTATGGTACTCTTAATTTGGAATAAAAGTTCTATGATCTTGGTTATTGTTTCAAAAATATATGAATAGAATGATTGTTTTGGTTTTAAAAAATAGTTTTATACTCTCACAATAATACTCAAATTTAATACTTATAAATACAATTCATTATTAATATTTATGGTTTTATAAATGGATCAGATGTGAAAAATGTATAACTAATTGAATTCAGAAAAAATGACACTTTTTTAAACCGATTCACATTTAATTTATTAAATTTTCAATATAGTTATTTTAATAAATAAATATTGGAAAATATTTCTTATTACTAATGAAATAACTTATTGCACCATTTAAGATAACGTAAACAATATTTTGTGATTCTAATATTGTTTAAAGGATGCCAGTTTGCAAAAACATGGTTTATTGTTGTTTATTAAAAGCTTCTTTGCCGTTGAATACTTGAGATGAATTATTTATAATAGGTTTTGCAGCATAATCTCTGAGCAGCCGTTTTACAGTCATCCATATACTACGTACTGATGCAGGGACCCGGCTGTCTGCTATTAGATGATCAATATGGATAGTGATATACAAAAATGTTTGTCTAGTATATGTTGATGTAAAATAACGATAACGTATAAAAAAAGCATAAAACATAAGAATAGTAAATGAATTTTGAAACCTTTATTTTTGAGTAAACTGAGATTTATAGACACTTTTAATACTTACGCAAATGCCCCAATTAAGACACGTGTTCCTATCAATATGACTTCCACCTTAGATACAAGTTTCATAGCTGATTCATAATAAATTTTAACAAGATGCTGAATATGTCTACAGACTGAAGCTTCTAGAGATTTTTCATCGGATTTAAGTGCATTGGGATTTAAAGTAGGTAATATATTCGAACGAAAATAAGTAAGAAAGTGAAAAAGTGAAAAAATCGTATATGGAATCAAACTGACTGCAATCGGCCTTGATACAAACCACATTATCGCAAGAACTTTAAACATTAGTAAAAAGCCTTTAATAGTATAGAATTGAGATATACAAAGATATTGAACATTTTCATCCATCCATATACGCATCAAAATACTAAAATCTATTTTTCCCTGCTAATTATTCTCTCAGAATCATTAATATTATAAAGTATTTGCCATACACTAGATATTCTTGCATATGTTTTATAAACCACAATACCATAAGTCAAAATAGCACCCATAAAAGCTGTACGATAACAAAAAAGATGATGAACTGATGAAAAAGTGATATAAGAAAGAAGATAACGAATAGAAAATAATAAAAGAACTGTATGACCAATAAACCATACGAATTGCGGATGCTTATAAAGTTAAAAATGACAATTGATTGATTTTTCCAAATTATACCTTAACTAAAAATTGAATACGATGAGACAAAGAATGTTGAGTATAATTTTGAGATGACATAATCAAAAATTAAATAGAAAAAAGTTATTATTCTAAAAAAGTTATTAGAAATCATAAAATTATAAGTTTTTTTTGAAAAACCTGAATATTTAAAGTTTGATTTTTTTTAAATGAATATTTCGATGTCACTTTTTAAAAAAAAATATTAAAAATCTATATTTCAAAATAAAATTTATATCTTTTTGTTTTACGCAGTATATATCACATCAGTATTTCTAGAAGTATGGTTTTTTTTTTTTTGCTTTTTTTTTCAAGAATTTTAAACATAAAATAGAATATTAAATGAAAAAGTAACAAAATTTCCTCTTGAAAAGATTTTTGAGGCTTTTTTGAGTATTTTTACATATCTACAGTCACGCATTATTTTTATTTTTAATAAAGTTTTTTTTTTTGTTAAAAAATTGTTTAAAAAGCACTTATTTATTGTTACTGTCAAATGATACAAAAACATGAATCAACACATTGGAAAATAACGCCAGATCTTGTTCCTATTCAGAATAAACCTGCATTATTAGGAGATCAAAAACGCCTTATTATTGTTTTGGAAAAGGCTTGTTTAGAAATATATAAAGTTGGAACATCTAAAGAAGGAAAATATCAATTATTAAATTGTGATGATCATCAAGGGATTTTAAAGAAGATGAAGAGGGATATTTCTGGTAAATTTATTTATTTATATATTTTTCAAATTAATTTTTAAAAGAAGCAAGACCAGATATTTGTCATCGTATTCCAATTATAATGAAACGTACTAAGATTAACTTGACTTAGAATGTCTTTTAACCCTTCTTGACTCGCCTTTAAATAAAGCTGGTCTTCTTCAGGTTTATATTCATACAGCTAAAAATGTTTTAATTGAAGTAAATCCAAAACTTCGGATTCCTCGAACTTTCAAGAGATTTTCAGGGTTGATTGTACAACTTTTACATAAACTTAGCATAAGGAGTGTAGATGGAGGTGAAAAGTTGTTAAAAGTAATTAGGAATCCTATTACTGATCATTTGCCACCGAATTGTAAAAAAATAAGTTAGTTTAAATAATATCTTTATATTATTTATTGAAAGATGGCAGCACTTTCTTACGATGCACCGATTGTTCAAATATCTGAGTATCTTGAAGCTCTTGATCCTAATCAACCATTATGTATTGTTATTGGAGCAATGGCTCATGGAGAAGATAATTTCGCCGATAGTTGGATAGATGAAAAAATATCTATTAGTAATTATTTATTAAGTGCAAATACAACAACAAGTAGAATTCTGCATTCATGTGGTAAATGGTAATCCGTGTATATTTTTTATTTTAATATTTTTTTATTAGAAAATTTATGGGGAATTAATTAGTTTAAAATGTTTAATTTTATAAATTTTAATAAAAAAGATAATACAATGAAATACCTTATAATTTTAGTTTTGTAAGCATTTTAATCATAAACAATAATATTTTAGGATAAATGAAATTTAACAACTTTTAAATATGAACCAAATCAATATTTTATAATATTTTAATAATCTTAAATAAATCATGTTGTAGGATTACTATTTATGCTTTGAAGTCCTACTAAATAATCATAATATTCAAACTTTGTAATTCTTATTGAGTAATAATTTCTTGTATCCATAAGTTATTTTTAATATCGGACATATATTTTTCTTGTATATTTCTAAAAATATTTAGCATTTCTAAACTACTCATATCAGATTCATTAATCTTTTCTTTCCATTCGTTCATTATTTGTGATAATATATTGGCACCATTTTTAATATCTTCCATAGTATATTTTTCAACACATGTTGACATAGAATTTTCTAGCTCACTTGCTTTACGTTTTGCTAATTTCACTACGCTTTCTGGAAACTTTAAAAAGGTCAGTATATATTGTAATTTCAAATTAATATACATTAATCATTTCTGCTACATGAATCCCAAAACTTTGGTCACATATACCTATAATTAGAATTAAAATTGTTCCCTTAAATCATATTATATACCAGGTTTTACTTTATACATAAGGACAATATCTTTGTTTTTATCATTATCTTGAATATGAACAACCACATTTAAATTTTTTACAGTTGTGTATACTTTTGATAACGCTGTTAGTCTAAAATATTATTAAAAAAATTATATACTACAAAAGAATTTATATACTCATGAAAATGTGTAGCAAATAGAGAAAATGCATTAATTTTGCTAATTAAATACTCTGATATTGCCCATGCTAACCCAAATCCATCTGCAGTACTAGTTCCTCTTCCTAATTCATCAATTATAATTAAAGAATTAGATGACGCTGTCTCAAGTATAGTTGCTGTTTCAAGCATTTCTGCCATAAATGTAGAAATTCCTTTAAGTTGAGTATCATTAGCACCAACTCTTGCAAGAATACAATCAAATATAGAAATTTCTGCTTTTTCACAAGGAACAAAACATCCTATTTGAGCCATTAAAACAATTATACCAATCTTTATATATTAATCAATAGATATTAACATGTTCATGTTACCTGGCGAATATATGTTGACTTTCCACCCATGTTAGGTCCTGTAATAATAAGAAATTCAGAAACTCCACGCTCAAGATAAACATCGTTTGAAATAAAAGTTATATCAGTTTGAATTTCGAGACAAGGATGTCGTGACTCTTTAAGAATAATTTTACTATCTTTACTTATAATTGGACGAACGTAAGGTAAAACTGATGAGCTCGATAAATCCGAAAAACTAAAAAAATGAGTTTTATTTATATTTTTTAAAAATTACCTTATTATTACATCAAGATGCCCAATAACCATGCCTAATTCCTCCATTATTGGGCAAAATGATGCTAAAATAACCATTGATTTAAATCGAAAGTAATAAATCAGTATACCTGCAATTTCAACAACTTCTTTCGCAAGTTCTGTTTGTTGATGTTTATATTGAGCTAAAACATCGTTATATTCTTTACTATATTGACGCATCATTAAGGTTGTAAAATATACACCAGATTTCAAAGTTGACAATTCTATATAATTTTTATCTCTAATGCTATATGCATGCTAATTTCATAAGATTTTTTTTAAAATAGTTAATATTTACACTTCTAGTAAGCCTAAGGCACCAACCATGTATTTCGCTTTGCTCCAGTTTAAGTTTTTTCATTGTGTCTTGCTGCAATTCTTCGCCAACACGGAGATGTTCTTGATAAATTTTGTCTTTTAATTCATTTAATTCATTTAAAAGACGAGTAAGAGACTCATCAAATTCTGACTTAATAATCCATTCGTGATTGCTCATAGCTTCAAAATCAATTGTAGTCTCAATTAGTTTTATATATTTTTTAAGATTTCCATTAAATTCCTAATATACTAAATAAACATAAATATTTAAAAATAAAAAACCTTTAATTTCGATAAATATAATTCTTGAATTAAGACCGAATAATTATGGTCATTAACTCCTTCCAATGCATTTATTAAATCTGGGATCTTAATTATCATTTGATAAACTCTAACTACTTCTTCTAAAGTTGCCTTTTTTTTTTGAAATTTTCTATTTAATTTATAAACATCAGGAAAACTTTTTAAAAACTCTTGAACAGACTGTAAAGCATGCAAATTCTTAGAAAATGCTTCCACTAATAATTGTCTTTTATTAATTTCAATTAGATCCATCAAAGGCTGTTTTATCCATTGAGACAATAACCTGCTTCCAATAGCAGTTTTACATCTATTAAGAAGCCCAAAAAGAGACATACTTTTATTTGATTCAAAAGTAGGGTCGGGAAATAATGATAATGCTTTAAGAGCAGGAATATCTAGTTTCATATACTGAGATAAATTATATTTATAAAGTTGAAGCTTTTCAGAATCCGTTAAATTATTCGTATACTAATTGTAATCAATATATGAATAAAATATCTGTAATAAGAAATACTAATAAATATTTTATTAATGCAGCTATTGAACTTTTGGCAATTTTGCTTTCAATATGTGCTGTTAAAATTAATAAAAATTTTAATAATGTATAATTGTCAGCCTACACAATAATTTTAAACTTTCTTCATTAAAAAAACATGGAAAATCATAATTTAAATTATCTATTTTGAAATCTTGTTCAGAAATTTCTGTAACTATCATACCAGCATTTTCTGAAACTGTCTTGACTTTTGACAACTCCAGATTTTTATTTTCTTCATTTAATGGTATAATAACTTCTTTCGTATTCAACTGAACCAAAAGAAATTCAAAATTATTGTATAACTCGTTGTCTATAAATTCTGTTACGCCTAGTTTTTTTGTTAAACCATCCAAAAACGCAATACCAACAAAATGTTGGTTTTCTTTGACTGAAACATTCACTGAAAGAAACATAGCATATATTGTAGCCTTGTATTTATCTTATATATGATTTGCCTAGTAAATATACGAATTCTTCAGCGCTGTTTGAATCCCCACAATTCCGTCCAAATACTTAAGAAAAAAAAGCTGATAGAAAACAGTATTCTTAATAAAAAAACGCGTCTTTTACTGAACCTTTTTGCTCAATTTTTTTTAAAGAGTAGTAAAATACAAATAGATCACGTATTGAAGTTACAAAAATACGTTTACTCTGTAAATTTATTCAACGGTCAAAGTATTCGCTTATTAAAGACTGTTTAGCTTTAAAAAAATGTTTTTACGTTGTTCAATGGCTCTGTATTTTTCTAAATCACTTATTGTTGATATTGTGTGCTAAACCGTGTTTAAGAGATAAAAATGGTGTTTATGCATGCACAATCTGGTAAAAACCAGTGATCTGTCTTATGGTGAAGTCGCTTATTATATCGTTTATTATATTTGCAGTAGAAAGTGCATACACTTTAATAAAAATAGGGATTTTAAAAAAATATTGAAAAATATTGTTTATATGTTCCTTAGTAATCCATAATGTATAGCACTGAGCTGAAGAAATATATATATCTTATATATGTCTTATATATGTGCAATATATGGTGTACACAGATTGTATGCAGTGATTTTAATGTATTCTGCACGTTACTGGTCTACGTTCAATAAAAAGCTCCTCCTTCAAGGAATAGAGGAAAATCTGCATATATTTTGGATTAAATGAAATATTATGTGGTGCAAAGAGCTCTTATTCCCCTTTTTGCCGCTTATTTTTAGTATATATATTCTATCATATATTTTATAAAATACTCAGGTTGCCGTTTAACGTTGAAAAATCAAATTTTAGAAAAAAAACTGGAAAATGGATAGATTTATGCCATCATCCTTTTCAAACGATTCATTATATACATATCCGGTGGGAGGATTGCTTCCTAAAGATGTATGTTTTTGTTTCAGACGAAATTGTTGATTTTTTCCAGGAAACAGAATCTTTACAATTTTTAAAAAAATACCCTGAATATGATGGAAGAGGAGTGGTTGTTGCTGTTTTAGATACAGGAATTGATCCATCTGCAGCAGGAATGCAATTTACAACTGATGGGAAACCTAAAATTATTGATATTATTGACTGTTCAGGTTTATCGGAATGTATTTTAAAATGATTAAAGACTAATTATTGGATTAAGGAGGAGGAGATGTAGATACAACAACTCTTGCAAATGTTGTTGATGAAGGTTGTATGCTTTCAACAATAGGTCTGTCTGGGAGAATGTTGAAAATAAATAAAAAATGGGAAAATTCAGATGGAAAATGGTATCTAGGTATAAAACGAGGTTATGAGATATTTCCAGACTCGTTAGTTTTACGTTTGAAAAAGGTATAAAATATTTTTTCCTAACCGCTTATTATAACGATGTTTAGGAGCGATATGATAAATTTAATCAACAACATATTACTTTTTTAGCTTCTGTACAGAGTAAAATCAATAAGTTCAAGGAAGAACATAAAGATGAGAACGTTCTTACAAAAGAGGAGTTGGAATTGAAGTTAGATCTTCAAGCACAATATGATTCATTAAAAGATATGATGGCTAACTATGAAGATCCTGGACCAGTTTATGACTGTCTTGTTTGGTATGATGGGAAACATTGGCGAGCAGTTGTTGATACGAATGAAGATGGAGATTTGAGAGGTATTATTTTAATTAAACATTTTATAATTGTTAATCATTTTTAGATAAAAGGCCTATGTGTGATTATCGTATTGAGCATCATTATGAACAATTCAGTAAACAAGATATGCTTTCTTATTCCGTGAATATATATGATAATGGATCCGTTTTAAGGTAAGTTTTAATTTCTTTTTTAAGTTTTTAAATTTTAGCCTTGTAACATTATCTGCATCACATGGAACTCATGTTTCCGGTATTATTGGTGCTAATCATCCTAATGAACCTGAATTGAATGGTGTTGCGCCTGGTGTTCAACTTGTTTCTTTAAAAATTGGAGATATTCGTCTTGGAACTACTGAAACGAATCAATCACTTCTTCGAGCTGCAATTGCTATGATTAATTTAAAAGTTGATATTGCTAATATGTCTTATGGAGAAAGTACAGGGATTAATGATTCTGGAATATTTATTGATTTTTTACGAAAAACTGTAATTGGAAAAAGAGATATAATATTTGTTTCGAGTGCAGGTAATAGTGGGCCTGCTGTAAGTACACTTGGGACACCAGGAGGAACTACTTCTGGTGTAATTTCTGTTGGTATGACTTGTTTTTTTTTTTTTATAAGAAACTTAATGAATTTAGGTGCCTATGTGACTACCTCTATGATGAAAGCAGAATATTCTATTTTAGAAAATGTTCCAGAAGGTGGATATACATGGACTAGTCGTGGACCAACGTAAAAAGTATTCTTTGCATAAATAAATTTAACTTTTTTTAGCACTGATGGCGCCAAAGGTGTTACAATTTATGCACCAGGAGCAGCAATAACATCTGTTCCAACATATGTTCTTTCACGTAGTCAATTGATGAATGGGACAAGGTTAGTAATACTTTTTTAATTATCTTTAAGTTAAACTTTATAGTATGTCGTCACCATCTGCTTGTGGTGGTATTTCTTTAATCCTTTCTGCGTTAAAAGCTCAAGGAATTAAATATACCCCGTCAAGGTAATATATTATTCGCCTATTATTCTTAACTGAGTATTTAGAATATACAAGGCGGTTGAGAATGCTTCAAAAGATGTAGATGATATTATGAATGTAGGATTTTTACAAGTTGAAAAATCATATGAATATTTTCTCCAACATAGAGAATTTTTAGATCAAGATTTTGACTTCAAAATAATAGTTAATAATTCATATTCAGATTGTCGTGGAATATATTTGCGTGAATATGAAGAAACAAATCGTCTTTATGAAGTAACAGTAGAAGTTAAACCAATTCTTAAGGAAGAAGAAACATTGGAAAAATATAATTTAGAATTAAGACTAATATTAATTTCCTCAAAGTCATGGGTCAAAGTTCCAAATTATCTTTTATTAAACTCATCTGGTTTAATTACATTAATATAAATCAAGAGTCTAATGTTATATTAGGAAGGGTATTTGATATTCAAGTTGATCCAACTGGCCTTCCTTATGGATTTCACTATACTGAGATTACAGCATATGATACTGTTGTTCCTAGACGGAAAGTTTTTTTTATTCCTGTTACAATATGTAAACCAGAACCTGTTTTAAAGCCACTTATATCTTGGAAGAATATAATGTTGGCTTCTGGGTACATAGAAAGAAAATTTATTTCTGTCCCTGATGGTGCTGATTATGCAAGTAAGTTAATTTGATTTATTATTTGTTATTTAATTCTTTAGAACTTCGAATATGTGTTAAAAAGCTTACTACTCCAATAAAAATATTTTCACATTTTACTCAACTGGTTCCACATTTACGACTAAAGGAGACTGAATATAGATTTTTTTTAAAATTACACGAAAATGAATTAATATTAAAAAGTTTTAAGGTATTTTCAGGTCTTACAATGGAAGTTTGTTTCGCAAATTTTTGGTCATCTGTTGGATCTGGTGAAATAGATGTTGAATTGGAATTTCATGGTTTAAAATTGAGTTCTAACAAAATTAATTTATTGTCTTTAGGAAATTCTCATAGTATAAAACATTTAGAAGCAATTAATACTTTAGCTCCTGAAATATTTAATCCTAATTTAAAATTAAGTAAGATTTATTTTGAATATTTTTGCAGACTATTTATTTCATTCTTTAGGTTCTTTAAAAAGGTCATTTTATCCTTCTAATAGCTTTATACGGCCGTTAGGAGAACGGGATATTTTACCTGATTCAAAAACGTTATTTGAAATGATCCTTACGTATTCAGTAAAAATCTCTGAGGATACTGATGCTACTTTTGTTTTACCACTTTCAGGCAGTTTATATGATTCTTCATTTTGTTTCCTAAGTGCACTTTATAATAAAAGTAAAAGGCTTATTCAGTTTGGAGAAATAAATCCTAAGAAAGTTAAATTAAAGAATGGCGAGTATACTTTTAAAGTTCAATTGATTCACGATTCTATTTCAATATTGGAAAAAGTTAAAAATATTTCACTGGTAGTTATTCAGTCTTTAACTGATTCAAAAGAAATTTCTTTAAGCATATTTAACGGTAAGTTCAGAGTTTATGAATTTTTTATATGCTTATTTATCTAGATAATATTACTGCTTTTAATAGAGAAAAATCTTCTGACTTTAAATTGAAACTTAAAAAGGGTGACCGTAAAAGATTTGTTATAAGTACATTTATTGATTCAAAAGATCTTCCGAAAGATGCTAAAAATGGTGATCAACTTGTAGGTCGATTGTATCTTGAAGAGAGAATGATGAAAGTGGAAAATACTGGGTATCATGTTGAAGTTTCACTAGTATTAGAATCAAAAGAATCTTCGTTAAAAGAGCCAAATATTATTGATCTTCAAATTGAAGTATTGAATAAACTTAAAGATAACGAAGAAAAGAAGAAATTTTTAGAAGATCTTCTTGAACGTTTTCCTAATGAGCTTAGTTTATTGGATATAAAATTAAAGACTGTGTTAAAATCAGGGTCTGATAAAGACGTTATTGATGTTATTAATACCATTGTTGATTGTGTTGATCTTGCAAAAATTATGGAGTATATTAAATCAGAGCAATTTTCTGAATCAGATATAACAAATGAACAAAAGAAAGAAAAAGAAAAGCTGAAGTTGCAAAAAACTATTTTCTTTAGTGCATTACAAGAAAAGGCCAAAGTTTTTGGGAAAACTTCTGATGGAATAGTTAGTAAAGAATTTAATGATGCATTTGAGGAATGTAAAAAATGGATTGTACTTCCTGGAAATGATTATGAATTTCTTATATTACAAATTAGACGTTTAATTTCTTGCAAATATTTTGGGTCTGCTTTGCGACTTATTCTAAAGTTAGAATCAGATTCTTCTCATGATTTTAGTGAAATTGAAATATCTAAAATTTTTGAATTAAAAAACATTATTTTAAACAATTTAAACTGGTCTATTTGGACAGTGTATCAAGAAAAATGGAAACTCATACATAATCCACCAAAAGGATATGTATTGTTTTAATATTTTAATTTTTTAAATTAAATTATGAATTATAAAAAACGTATTTTAATTTTTATTATTATTTGAATTAGTTGTATTTTTTGATTATTTTTAAAATATTTTATTAAAATTTTATTTAAAAATTAATAAATATAAAAGTCGGTTTCATATAGGATTTTATAAGATATTTAATTTCAAAATTGTCATTTTTTAAAAATTATTAATGAATATTAATGAATCATCTGGAAACGTTTTTTTAGATCCATTTAATTCTTTCAGAGATAAGCTTAAGTTGAAAGGGTGTAAGTTTAATAATATTAATTGTAAAAATAAGTATATTTTATCTTTAAAAATGATAACTATTAAAAAAATTGTTGAATTTTCAAATCAATTAACAATTGATATATTAAAATTAATACCATGGAATGACGTAGGAGAATATTTATGGAAAGAAATTGTAGAAACGAGTTATGATTCTTTTAAAATATGGAAAATCTTTGTTACCGTATATTTCGATTCAATTGAATCACCAGATGTATTTAACAGAACTGAGGTTCTTATGTCATCTTTTGTAAGTATATTGAAAGAGATTGATTGTGTTTCATTATTTTGGCTTAATACTTTGGATATTAATAATAATAAAACATTGTCAACAGAGGATTTTATTTATATTTCATATTTACATAATTTAATTGCACTAAATGTTTCAAATACAAATCTTACAGATATGATATTAAGTCATTGGGGAAGAGCTGCTGAAAAAGGGAAATTTTTTCAGTTACTATATATAGATATGAGGTATAATCAATGTTCTCTTTCTTGCTCTATTTCTCATATGGCAAAATTTAAGTCACTTCTGTAAGTAATCAGAAATTTCGTTAAGTTAATGATAAAATTATAGTTATTTTTCTATTGAAGATTATCAACCACAAAAAGTGGATTTTTTATATAAAAAATACTCATATTTAAAGCCACCTGATCAACTAATTGAATCTATTATACAATGTAACACGTTTGAGGAATCATATAAGTGTATTTTTAATTTTCATTCTCATTTTGCTAAACATTCAATTATATATAATCTATTTATAAAATCAAAAAACAATATTTCAATGGAACAAAATCCTCCTCTTCTGTTTTATGGAAGAACTTTGAAAGATTCCACTTTATTTTCAAGTACTGATTTGAAAAAAAATATCTCTATATCAAAAATATCAATATTAGAAAAAAAAAGGGTCTGTAAAAAGATTAAATCTAGATTAGATGAAAACTGGAAGAATATTATAAAATAAGTTTTTTATTATATTTATGGTTAAATTTTGATGTGAAATTTTATAAAAATATTGTAATTTAATATATTTTATATACAAAAACAAGATTTCTAATATTTTAAATAAAATAAACATATGTATACATTAAAAAAATAATATACATTAATTTTGAAAAATAAAGTATTAATTAAAATTTTAAATCGTATGTAATTTATTTGAATCCGGAAAAATATGATCATTATTTACTGTAACTACATCTATGAAACTAGTTTTTGATTCATTGCTCCAATTAGTGAAAAACATTGTATCATTCTTCAATTCATAATTTTTTATCCAACTTATATTAATACATCTCTCTAATAATTTTTCAGTAATTTCATTAATTGATTTAACATGTTGATATGAAATAGTTTCTTTTAATGTTTGAAATAATTTTTGAAGTTGATTTTGTTTATAATGAGGCGGATTTTTTAGTTGAGTATTTTTAAGTAAATAATAAAAAACACGAAGATAAGTTTGATAAAGCTAAATCTGTATAAATTATATATCATAAATTTTGAAATGAAAGTACCTTCTTATTATCTTCAGAAAAATTATATAATTTTTTAATAAACACATCTACTAAAACCTTAAGGTCATTGGTGTAAAAATATTCAAATGTTTCTTTAGTAGTAAATAAAAGATACAGTTGTTTTAAAATTAAAAATTGTAAATATGTATCTTCTATAATTTATAAGCATTTTTTTATATATAGTTGGCTGTACTTTGTCTATTTAATACAAATATTATATCTTCTCCATAAGTTTTGTACAAATTTCCTTTTTTTTTAAGAATATCCATAACGAAATTTACAGGAAAGTCGTTTTTAATTTGTTTAGATGATTCCTGTGTGCTTTGTAAATGAGAAGGTAGTGACCTTATAATGTATTGTTCGTTAATAAGAAGCTATAAAAAAACATTAAATTTAATTAAAAATGAATTCGTTTATTATGTTACGATTAATTTTATAATAGAAAGTACATAAGAACTTCCATCATAAACATTTTTTTCAAGCAACTCAAAAATAAAACAAAGAAATTCTTCGTGTATAAAAAATAATTCATTGTATGTAAGTTGATATTCACGAGACATTTCATAAAGTATTTTTAATCCAAGCCGATGAACTTCGGGGAACTTTTGAAAATGCTTCCACACAGTAATGACTAAGGATTGAAATGACCCTTTATCTTTCATAAGTTTATAAGTTTGTGGACATGATTGAGCATCAAGAAATAAAAGCCAGTACAAAATATAAAAGTATTGGATCATATCTTGTTGATTAATCATTTTTATCATTTGGTATCGAACATAATCTTTGTTTAATATAAATATACTAGAATTCAAAAATTTATAACAACAGAGCTCATAATCTGCATCTTTTTTCAAGTATTTATTAACTAGTAATATTTATAATTTCGTTTTATATAATTTTTAGAATAATAAACCTCCATATATTGTTGTAAAATTTAAAAAATTTTTAATAGAAATATCCACATATTTTTGAGTTTTTTCAATAGGAAATAAAATTTCAGTCAATTCTATGTAAACTAAGTTTATATATTTAAAAAATAATATATCTTAGAATTAAACCTTCCCAAAATTGCTGTTGATTATGAATTTCATAAGATACAAAATCCATTGAACAGAATTATCTTAAATATATCATAAAAAACAGCAATTTGAAATATAAGTGCTTTTTAAGTAACATGTAAGGATTGATTTTTAATATTTAATAAATGATATGTATAAAATTATAGTTAATATTTGTCTTTTTCTCTTTTATTAGTGCTGTCATTTTATCGAAATGATTGATGTCAGAAACCCATACGAATATATAAATTATATAATGTTATGAATTTTAAAATATTGAGTTGAGTATTATAAGTTTATACATTTTTTCTATAATTCAACACTCAAATAATTATGATAACTATATATGAATTTACTTTATCATTAAAATTGTCTATTTAAAGTAAAAATAGATAAAATAATAAAATTGATTTATTAACTTTAATATAAATTATTTGAATAAAAATATTAATTTTTTAATATTTGATCAATAAATATTTAAATTATAAATGAAAGTAGAATTTCTATGTTTTCTAATTTATTTTTGAATGTTAACATAGTAAATTATTAATGAAAATGATTCTTATTGAATGTAAATTTTGTTAATGTGTTGATATTCGAAATACATATATGGAATTTTCTACATATTAGTTAATTTTATACTTTTAAAGTTAATAATTTAAATAATGTTTTAATTGGTTTTTGATACAATTTTTATAATTTTTTATTTTTTCATATTCTAAGTTTTTAAAGATTTAAATTTAACAATCTAAAAAAAATATCTTTATATAGAATTTAAATTCTCTAAATTTATATATATCAAAGTGATCAAAATTCAAAATATTTAATATTTTTCAAATATTCTTTATAAAAAATATATAAATTATTCAGTTAATTTTTTAAAATTTTTTAATCTACAATCATTTATAAAAACTTTAACTTTTATTTATACTTAATTACATTTTATTGTAAAAATACCTACCAACAAATATTTAATATCCGAGACCAAAATCAAAATGATATTTTGATAAATTAAACTGGTATTTGTTATTATTTAGGAGTAAGTAATATTTTTATTTGAAAAGGAATTAAAGGATCTAGTATTTTAATTTTTTGTGTATCTTTTTTACTAAACATTTTATTAAGTTGTACAAAATACTAAAATAAAAACTTAAATAATTAAAAAGATCAAAAGGGAAATACAACTCATTTTTTATTTATAAAAAAATATGTATTTTTCTGATGAATTAAAAGATGATAAAGATGTAGAAATATTAGGAAAAAGATCTCGTGAGGTATATTGTTTTGTATTTACTTTTAATAAAATATAAAATTGAAATATATAGGATTACATTATTCATGAGGCTGTTCTTTTCTTAATTGATGTCTCCATTCCATTTGACTTAGATCAAGAAATAAACATAATTGTAAAAACAGCATTAACCGCTGCATACGAAATGATACTTCAAAGAGCTATTTCTAAACCAATGATTTCATTTGGAATATTGCTATATGGGACAGTAATAATAGGCAATTGAAAGATGTTATTTAACTCAAACATAGAAAGATACAAATATACCGGAATTTTTATTATATCCTAATTTATATTATTTAATGAATTTGAATGTTCAAAGTGCAGAATCTATTAAGAATTTTAAAAAGTTATTATCAGGAAAGCAGGAAATTTAATATTTTTAATTAATTAAAGTGAAATATAGATGATACAAAAATATCTAAAATAATTTTCCCGACAAAGGAACAGCTTTTTCTTTTTAATGTAATGGAATATGCAAGTAATCTATTTAGAGAATTGTTTGTTTTTTCTATTGCATGAATAATAATTGATATAAAATTTATAGGCATTCATCTTATAAATTAAAAAGAATATTTCTTATAACTCACAATGATGATCCAGGTCTAGGTTTTGAAGATTATAAAAAAAAAACATTAGCTTCTGTTTTAAATTTGTATAATTCAAATATTACAATAGAACCATTTTTTATTACAGGAAAAAAAGAGTTCAATTTTGATAAATTTTATAAAGACGTATTATACATATCAGAAAATACTGATAAAATTGAAAATCATTTAACATATGAAATATTAACTACTGATCAAATGCTTAATGTAATTTTAAAAAGACAATATTCCAAACGTTTGAAGTATATATTTTTAAATATCTATATATAATACTGATTTAGGATTTCTCTTTGAATGTATGCTTCAAGTTGCACCTAATTTGAATATTGACGTCCGTGGTTATATGTTGTTTAAGAAAAGAATGTCAATTAAAGCTCAAAATATTTATACAAAATCTAAAGAACCACAAATTGTTAAAACTACAATTAATTATATTTGTCAAGTTTGGCGCTTATCTCCTATTTTTGTTGTTTAATATATATAAGGAAACATCCACACTTCTAAAAAATGACGATATAAAAATGGCATACGATTTTGGTGGAGAAAAAGTATATTAGATTTTTTTTAAAAAAATAATTTATACATATATTAGATTTTATTTTCAAAAAAACAGATAGATTCCTTACATTTTTATGGGGATCCTGTTATTAGGATATTAGGTTTTAAACCATTAGATCAATTACATTTTTGGGAAAATATTCTTCCATCTTATTTTTTATATCCAATAGATAATGTAAGTCATTAAATCCATAAAAATAAAAAATATGAAAAATATTAGAAAAATCATAGTTCTTCTAAAATATTTATATCTTTAGCTCATGTTCTTTATAAACATGATAAAATTGCAGTAGCATGGTTTCATCCATATAAAAACTCGAATCCAAGAATATGTGTTTTAGTTTCTAATTTCGATATTAATGAAAAACAAAAAAGAGGTTATGAACTTCCACAAGGAATTTTCGCTATTATTTTACCGTTTTCAGATGATATTAGATTAAATCCTCAACAGACTTCTGTAAAAGGTATTTTTATTTTTTAAAAATATTTATTGACATTGAAAGCACCTGATGTTTTAATTGATAAAATGTGTGACATTATAGAACATTTAATTGTGAATACATATAATCCATTGGAATATAAAAGTCCAGGTAAATAAAAAGTTATTATTATTATAAATTAAAACTATAGGTATACAATGGATTTATAAAAAACTGCAATCAATCATACTTGAAGAAGATTCTTGTATATCTATTGAGGATAATACAATACCTAACTATCATTTAATTTATGAGGTTAAAAATATTTTTATATATATTTCTTTTTAAAAAAAATAGAAATCAGGACAGTTTATTCATAAATGGAACGAACTATTGACAACATTAAATGGAGTCTCTGAAACAACTATTCAAAAACTTAAAAGATGTAGAGATGATATTGACAATTAGTTTTAACGATAACATTTCTTTTTTAACAAGATATTAAAAGTGAATATAAATGATATAATTAAAAAATTAGAAGATTAGAATTAGAAAGAGAAGAATTGAATAGTATAGCATTTGTTTACGCAGTTTTATAATATAAATAAAAATATAAATTTAAAAAGTTAATATGCTTTTTAATAAATATTTAAATTTTAGAAAAGTAAAAGATAAAAATTTCTTAAAATAGTTTCCATTTTAAACAGAATTATTTTTTATTAATCTATTTATACATTTATATATTAAAGATTAGAATTTAATAAATGTATTTAATATAAAAATTTTGATTTTATAAACAAAATAAAGTCAAAATATTAAATTTATAAACTAATTCCGGAAATTTTCTGATGAGTTCGTCTCTTATTTATGGAAAAATTAGCATATTCATTTTATACATCGACTCAACTGAACTTTCCTGTACATATAAAAATTGGAACAATCAAAGGCAATATATCAACAGTATTTAATAATTTGGATTATTTTAAAAAAGAAAATAATGACATTGAAAAGTAAATACATTATTTTTATATTGTTTAAATTAAAATAATAAATTAGATTTTTTCCACATCTTTATGTTACTGTTCAGCTTTTTGCAAATAATAAGGCATTAACATTACCAAGTAGAACACGCTATAAGAGTTTTGATTATAAAAGAACGTATGTATTAAAATTGCTTTCTTTAAAGTTTATATTTATTAAATTTTATATTTTTATCATTTCTATTCTTTATTTGATATTAACAATGTAACAGATGGAATGAATGGCTTTCATTTCCATTGAATTATTCAGATCTTCCTCTCAATGCACAATTTGCAATTGTAGTTAGTGACATTTATGGATCCAAATTAAATAAACCTTTTGCTGGTACAACAGTAAAATTATTTTCTTCTAACAAGTATATTTTTTATTATTTAATTAAAATAATCATTAACAAATTAAAGTACATTAAAAATGGGTCTTCAAAAACTTAATTTATATATTGGTGTTCCTGCAGATGGAAATAATAATTCAACTACACCTAGTGATCTTTTTTCTCAAAATGAAATGAATCATTTAGAAATGGTATAAAATACTTTAATGTCATTTTTATTTACTTTTATTTTAGTTAGTTAATGAATATACAATAGGAAATATACCAAAAGTTGATTGGCTGGATAATCTTGTTTTTCATCAAATTGAAAAAATATATCAAGTAATTTCTATAACCTTTTATTTAAATTTAAGTTTTTAGAAACGATTTGATCAGTCAGAATCTTTAGTTCTTTATGTTGATTTTCCACAATTTGATTTTCCCGTTATATTTTCAGAATATCAATATCCTGCTTTTACTTTTCCATCTAATGGTTAGTACAATTAATAAAATTTATAATATATATCAATTAAATATTTTTAGAGAATCTTTTAACTTCTCATATAGTTCTTACTCCTCAAGATCCTGAGTTGTTAAAGGAAAATCCTGTTGAAGCTAAATATAGATGTTTAATAAGATCATATAGAAATGGACCACTAGATAAAGAACTGAAGCCTAATGCTAATATAAGAGATCAACTTAATGTATGTCTGATATAGTTATTTTTGATTGTATCTAAGAAAAAAAGATAATTATGGAATTTCCTCCAACTCAAATATTAACTTCTGAAGAAAAGAATTTAATTTGGAAGTTTAGATATTATCTTACTCGTGATAAAAGGGTATTTTTTATATAATTAGAATATTTTTTAATTATTTTATAGGCTTTAGCAAAATTTCTTAAAGCTGTTATATGGACAAATATTATTGAGGCAAAGCAAGCACATGATCTTCTTGGATTATGGACAGAAATTGATATTGATGATGCATTGGAATTGCTTGGTCCTGAATTTAAAGATAATATTGTTAGAGGTTATGCTGTAAATCGATTAAAAAAAGCAGACGATAATGTAGGTTTTTATTATAAAATTTATTTGTTTAAAATAAATTTAGGATCTGATTTTATATCTTTTACAACTAGTTCAAGCTCTTCGATTTGAAAGTTCAGCATCAGAAGCATTAAAAACAAATAATCATTCTTCATCTCTTGCTAATTTTCTGATTGAACGTGCTATTAAAAATGAAATATTAGGGATTAATTTTTACTGGTATCTGATGGTTGAATCTGAAGACAAAACAGCTGGTAAATTGTTCTCTGAAATTGCTAATCAATTTATGACTGGTTTGATGGAGGTTTTAAATATTCATTTTTAGTTTTTTTATTAATTTTAGGTACCTAATGGATTAATACGGAAAAATACTTTAAAACGACAAGCTGAGTTGTTGGCTTCAATATTATTTATATCTAAAGAAGTTCGTTCTATGAAAGAATCGCGACCTAAAAAGATTGAACATCTTCGATACTATCTTTCTAACACGGATAACTGTTTAATTAAGTTTGAGCCGCTTCCATTACCATTAGATCCTACTGTTTCTGTCGTAGGAATAATTTCAAGTTAATCTTTATTTACATATTTTTTCAATTTTTAATTTCATTTAAAGCTGAGTCTACTGTATTTAAAAGTAGTCTTTTACCTCTTTTAATATGTTTTAAAACAACAACTGGGGCATCATATTCTATTATTTTTAAGAGTGGAGACGATTTACGGCAAGACCAATTAGTAATACAAATGGTGTCTCTTATGGATAAACTTTTGCGTAATGAAAATCTTGATCTTAAACTAACTCCATATAAAATTCTTGCTACTGGTACAGATCATGGAGCAGTGCAATTTATACAAAGTATAAGTTTAATGAGTTGTTTGGCTGAATATCATGGAAGTATTCTTGCATATTTCAGATCCAATAATCCTGATAAGTCTTCTGAATTAGGTGTTAAAGCAGAAGTAATGGATACTTATGTGAAAAGTTGTGGTATTTCAATTAGTACTATTTAAATTTTGCTAATAGTTTAATAGCAGGTTATTGTGTAATAACATATTTACTTGGCGTTGGAGATAGACATCTTGATAATTTACTTTTATGCCCCGATGGTACGATTTTTAATATTTTCTTGTATAACTATTATTACAGGTCGTTTTTTCCATGCTGATTTTGGTTTTATTCTTGGAAGAGATCCTAAGCCGTTTTCACCAGCAATGAAACTTTGCAAAGAAATGGTAGAAGGAATGGGAGGAGCATCTTCCTTATATTATTCTCGATTTAAATCTTATTGTTATACTGCATTTATCACATTACGCAAGTCTGCAAATCTTATTATGAATTTATTTTCATTAATGGTACAATCTAATATTTCTGATATTAAAATTGAACCAGATAAAGCTGTATTAAAAGTTAGTTTTTTCATTTATAGTTTATTTTTTTAATGTACACAGGTTAAAGAGAGATTTTGTTTAGAAATGACAGATGAAGAAGCAATAAAATATTTTCAACAACTTATAAATGATTCAATTTCAGCGTTATTTCCTGTTCTTATAGATAGAGTTCATAATATCGCTCAATATTGGAGAAGCTAACTAGTTTATTTGACTATTTATAAACAGTATTCTTTGATATAAATAAGATTTGTTATTTCTATTTGTTTTTAAAAAGTTTTATTGAACTTATTAAATCATTAAAATGTTATAAAAGTGTAAATATTTTGGTAATATATATATTTTTAAGAAAATTTGATTTTTACAGGATATTGTTCTTATAATGTTCTTTTAAAAGATAATTTGATACTATATGGGCTATAATAGTATATTGATCTTTAAAAATCAAACATAAAACATTTTCGATGAAGATAAAAATATGGTAAAAAATAACTTTGAAACAAAGGTTGTTTTATATTTGAATGCTAAAAAAAGCTTAAAGATAGACTTTGAACAGAGATCTGAGAAATGTTTATGTTAAGAACAGTCATGATTATTTTTAGTTTATTTACGTCTTTTTTATAGACAATGATATATCAAAGTTTTTGAGTATATGATGAATGAAACAATATGTGATATATGAACTGTGAATAAATCAGTTTATTGAAATGAAAATGTGTAGTTTTCAATCTGCATATTCAAAAACTTTTTTTAATGATATCTGTCTATAAAAAGACACTATTTTGTGGTGATGACACAAGCCAAATTTAAGAAAACCTCATTATATATTTAAAAAGAGTTTTTTTTGAAAAATTTGAGAGAGGTCTGAACAAAGTAAATTTAAAAATATTAACAAATTTATCATTTTCAAAAAAAAATATAAAAATACAAATACAAAATTTCAAGGAAATGTAAAAAGCTTATAAAATATTTATTTATTTCTATTTTCCTTTTCTTCCTATATCTCTATTTATTTTTAAAAATACCGATCTCTTGAACCGTATGAATCTCAAGATGGCATCTAAAACTTATTTAAGACAAGAACAACCACCAAATTATACAGTATATGACTCCTGCATGCATGATAATTCTGGAAGGATTTGTGGTATATATACGCCTTTACTTAGTGGGCGATCTGCCTCTCAAATGAATAATATTCCGGAAGATTTTAAATATGGAACAAGCGTTTATATGTGTGATATTTCTATTAGAATGGGTACAAAACATGTTTTTCTTGCTTTTTAAAATTCTATATTCTAATTTCATGCTTTAGATTTCCTTAGAAAAGTTTATTCTATTTTATTTTTACAAATTATTGGATCTGCAATTGTTTCCTCAATTTTAGTGTTAAATACAACATTAAGAATGTTTATTATGAAAAATCCGTGGATTATCTTAGTTTCTCTTTTTGGGAACATTGCTACATTATTTTTTTTGTCTTGGAAACGACATAATTATCCTTTGAATTTTTATCTTCTTATACTTTTTACTTTGTTTGAATCTTGCTCGATTGGAACAACAGGTTATTTTTCTTTTTTTCTATATATTTTTATATAGTATCTTACGAAGATAGTATCTTTTTACAATAGTACAGTTGTTTTGGAGGCTCTTTTAATTACTACTGGATTATTTTTAGGATTAACAATATTTACATGGCAAAATAAGTATGATTTTTCTAGTATAGGAGGATATTTATACACTGGAATTATACTTTTATTTTCAGGGGGACTCGTTTTCCTTTTTTTTCCTTATAATAGGTAATACAAATAAATGCATTTTATTCATTTTGTTTTATATTTTAGAATGTTTGATTTGGCATATGCTGCACTTGGAACTCTTGTTTTTTCAGGATATATATTATATGATACATCTATGTTAATGAAGCATTTATCTCCAGAAGAATATATTATTGGCTCTGTTTCTCTTTATATAGATATTGTAAGATTTAGATCTATTGTTGTCAACTTTAATATTTTTAGGTAAACCTTTTTTTTCAAATTTTAAATATAATTTCAAAATTAAGTATGGATGATGATTGAAGTAGATTAATTTCAATTTTGATTTTATTATTTCTTTTTAGAATTCTAATGAATAATTATTATGTTTATTGATGATGTAATGAAGTAAAAACTATGCTGATTGTTGAAATATGTTTTTTAGAGTCTTAATGTCTTAATAATGCTTTTTGTTAAAAAGAAAAATAACATTATTTTTTCTTTGGAATATCATCTAAAATGAATTTTCCCAGATTACCTAACCGGTATTTATTGATAAAAAAAGCTGCTGCTGCATGAATATTAGGGATTCCTCCTTTTTGAAGACGACCTGTACCTATAGCAATTGCGTTTAATAGTTCCTCTACATTATTTGTAGGTTGACTCATTTTAAATGGAATTAAATATAACTTTGGATCAATTAGATTAAGGCGAAATAATAAATAGTCAGCAAGAATAACGTTATCAAGAATATTATCTTTTATAGAACCAACTAATGCTAATTTTATAAAAGTAATTGGATCTTTTATAGAGGGAATCATAATACCTAGGAGAAGATGAACAAATTATTTCTACGCTCTTATTTAGATCCTACCAGGAGTATCCATACAGTATACTAATGGGTTTTCCATAATTTTAATCTTTTGTGTTACTTTTTTTGTAATACCAGGTTGTGCGCCAGTCTTTGCAACTTTCCCTGAAATAAACTATATAAGTTATTTCCTTTAGAATATAAACAAGAGTTTATACGTGTTTTTCTTCCAGTATTTTTTGAAAGCATACCTATACAGCGAAATGAATTTAAAAGTGTAGATTTTCCAACATTAGGCATTCCAAGAACCATTATGTTCATTCCAGAAGCCTGATTTAATTCAAGTGCCTTTACTTTAATATTTTTATGTATTTTTTTTATTGATTTTGGGTTTTTTAAACTACACAGAATCCCGTCCTTGTAAAAATCTTGAAATACCTATTTTATTTAATTTTTTTTTTCACAACCAAAAAATACCTTATCATAATAAGTTCCAGATAAATCATGTTTATTAAATATGATGATTTTTTCTTTGTTTTTAATAATTTCTTCTACCAATTTATTTTGAGAAGAAACAGGAACACGAGAATCCCTTGTTTCAATCACTAAATCAATATTGTTTAAAAGGCTTTTTATATCTTTAAGTCCTGAATACATATTTCCTGGAAACCAAGAGGCCTTAAGCTGATAATGATAAACACGTCTTGGAAAAAAAGTGACCATATATACTTGATTTATTTTGTAAAGTTTAAAGAGTTATGTCTTTGAAATATTATATACATACTAAAGAGATTCAATATTGAATTATTTTAAAATAAATACTAAAGTATGGTTGTTCCTATTTTTGCTTTGAATTGAATATAATTTTAAATGTGTATTATTTAAATATAAACCGAAGTTTTTGAAAAAAAATATTCAAAAACCAATTTTTCTGTAAAATGTCTAAATTTTAAAAATTCATTATGTTTTTATGAAAATATTGGTTTATTTAAAAATTCTTAAAAGTAAATTTTTAATTAAACCTTTGAATAAACCCTTATTTATGTATATTAAAAATTCTAAAATTGATAAAATATAAATATTCTGAGGTACATTTTTTCTAAAATAATACTAATATTTATATATAAAAGTTTTTAGAAAAGTTATTATACAGTAATATCTATAGTACGTACTAAGTAAAAAATCTTAAAAAATCTTATTTAGTAAAAAATAATAATATATATAATAAATGATTTTCTCTTTCTATAATATATCTATGAAAAAATTACTTTTTTTTGTATCAATTGATATTCTATCATTATAGATAAATGATAAAATCCATAAAATAATTATATTTGATACAATTAAAATTAAAAAAAGAATAAGTATATAAAAAATAATCCATTTTTTATTCATTATTAATTTTCAGTCTTATTCTTATATATTATCCTCTTTTTAAACCTTTTTATTTTTTAAAAAATCTTACGCCAATAATCTTTTAAATAATTCTTTAAAAATTTGAAATTTAAGAAAACTTAGTTAAATAAAACAGCTTTGCACAAAATTTGCCTTACAGTTCTTGAAAAATCTATATTATATATATATTATCTTTTACATGGGAGAAAATTCTAATTATTTGCATTCAACATCTCAATCAGAGATGAGAATCTTACCTTTGGTAATTTGTTTTTTATTTTGAAAAATTTTCAGTAGTTTTCTTATTTAAAGTGTTAGACATGGTGAATTTTTTCCTATTTATACATTTTTTGTTTTAAAATTTTCATTTTCTTATTTAAATTAGTTCAGGACATACACGTCCAGTAGTACATCTTTCATTTTCACGTTTACTTGAAAATAATCAGTATTATTTGATTTCTTCATGCAAAGGTATATTATAGAAACTTTTGTCACAATTTTTTGACATTTTATAGATGGAAATCCTATGCTTCGTGATGGTATTACTGGAGATTGGATTGGTACATTTTTGGGTCATAAGGGTGCTACATGGTCATCACGATTTAATAAAGATGCAGATAAGGCAGTGACAGGTTCTGCTGATTTTTCAGCGTATATATATGTTTTAAAATGAATGTTATTTATAATTTAAATTTAGAAAAGTATGGGATACATATACTGGAAATGTAATTCAATCTTTTTCTCATGAACATATTGTGCGATCTGTAGATTTTTCTGGGGATTCTAGGGAAATTGTAACAGGTGGTAATGAGAAAAGAGTTCGTGTATTTTCTTTAAATGCACCTTTAACACCTGTCTTTGATTTATCCGGCCATAAAGGCACAATTAAAAGTGTAATTTGGGCAGATAATTTTATTATATCTTCTGGAGATGATGAGAAAGTGCGATGGTGGGATCTTCGAATATCAAAAGAAGTAGATACTTTTGATGCAGGAGAATTTGTAACGAATTCAGAGAAAAGTCTTGGAGGAGAGTATCTTTTAGTTGTAGCAGGAAAAAAGATTTATTTTATTGACTCTAAAACGTAAAGCATTCAGTTAAAAAATGTTTGACTAATTTTTGTAGTCATCAAACTGTAAAAACAATTGTTACTGAATACGATGTCTCGAGCGTATCTCTTCATCCTCAAAAAACTACATTTGTTACAGGTGGAAGTTCACAACTTTGGGTCAGAGTTTATGATTTTGAAACAGAAAAAGAATTAAAAGTTTATAAAGGACATCATGGGTATTTATATATTATCTAGTATAAAATTTAAACTAATTTATAAGGCCTATACACTGTGTTAGTTTTAGTCCAGATGGTGGATTATATGCCACAGGTTCTGAAGTAATTTTATAATTCATATTTGTAAAGATTTTAATAATAATATAGGATGGTACAATAAGATTATGGAAGTCACAGCCAGGTCCTTATGGTTTATGGCAATGTGTTTGAGTAAAGAACTGAGAAAACGGGTTTTATTGATTTAATGAAAGAATTAAAGATAGTGTATTAGTATTAAAAAGGTGAAAATTTTATTATCAATTTGTATTATTGATAAAAAATTTAATATTTTTTGATCAATATTTTAATGAAACTTTATCATATTGTAATCGATTTTTCTAAGAACTACAATATGTATTGAATAATTAAGTAATTTTCAATAAAACTAGTCATCTATTGAAATATAATATATATTTAGAATATTTTTAGCGTGATATTTGTGCTATATATCCAAATACTGTTATAAAATCTATATTTAACTCATTTAAAAATAAGTAGTAAAGAATTTATAATAGACAACTCAAAATTTAAAAAATTATTTTTTTATTAAATAATTCAAAATATTTAGCAACAAAAGCAATTAACATCATATTAAGGAAATCATAAAGTATTATGTATTTTATAAATTCGAATACTTGGCAAATCCTAATCTCTTTATTTCCATAAATCAGGATTCCAATGAGGATCCTGAATAAATGCTGACAAAACTCTACTTCCTGTTTGTAAAAGCGGATGACCTGCAACTCTGAAAATTTGCTTAAACAAAACAATTTTGTTACAAATAGTTGATAAACTTACACTTGTAAAAACCGTTCGAGTTGGTCACGTCGATGCTCAATAACGTCACTAGAAAAACGATTTGCAAAGACCTTTCCTGGAAGTGGAGGGATCAACACTTTCATAGATTCCCTTTCAAGAATATCTCTAAGATAAATAGTTACTTTTTATCAAAAATCAATAATTCCAGTTCACCTAAAATGCTCAAACTCAGAATAACGACGGCGTACCGATGAATCAGTTAATTTAAATGTTGGTATATTTGTCTTTAAATATTAGAAGTTACTTTTTTTTGTTCTTTTTAGTTTTAGAAACCCTGCAAATAATTTCATAATCCGTGTACATTTTGCGCCCAAGACCATGAGTTTGGGGGTTTATAACCTGAAAAACATCATAAGAACACGCATAACTCACAAAAATTGTTTTTTCTTATAAAAAAAGCAATTTTACCTCGATTTCTAAGAAATTTTGAGGAGGTTCATAGCAAGTATTTTGATGTACTTTATACTCAAGAAAAATATCTGTATTTTGAGAAAATGACTGAAATGCTTTTGATGATGGCATTTCCGTTCTAAAATATGTTTTTTTTTTGTTTTAAAGTGCTTTAAATATGCTTTTAAATTCAAAATTTATTTTTTGACGTTGATAAGTGACTATCGTACAATATTACACTATGTTGAGCAGAAATTGTTCGCGTTACCCAATTTTTTATTGAGGAAAGATAAAAAGATGTCATTAGAAAAGTCTTTAGACGATATTATCAATGATAGAAAGGTGCAGTGATTTCATAGGAATTCACCTGTTTTTTCTGCTTTTTAATAGCTTCTATAGATATCTCGGAATTCACGAACATCAGATTGGATATTAAGAAGACGTTTTTTTAAAAATGCAAGGCTTGCACCATATTATAAGGTAAAACAAGCTACATTATGTCTGTATTTATGTGTCTGATGTGTACAGGCATGTTCTTGGGGGCTTTTTAGCCTTATATTTGACCGTTTCTAACGTTTGATTCACGGAGAAATATTCGTCTGAATAAGACGAATACTCTGTGATTTTTTTAAATACAGTCCATTAACTTTTATAAAAGAAACTATAATGAACCTTGGACTCATGATTTATATGAAGGATTAGCAGAAAAACCAGTTGGTCGTATTTCAAAGCAACTGTACCGACCACCATCAAAGTATAATGCCTTTAATTTTTTTATTAATGAGTTTCCTGGAAACTAAATGTTAAAGGGGACTGTCATACCGTGTAAAAATTGAGAATCTTCATTATGAACTTACAGAAGATGATTTAAATGTAAGAAAAAGGATGATTTTGATTTAATTTAAAATAGTAGGGACTATTTAAGAAGATTGGTCCTGTTACTAAGCTTAGTATTAAGTATGATCGCTCTGGTAGAAGTACTGGAACAGCTTATGTCAATTTCGAAAGAATTGAGGATGCACATAATGCAATTAATCAATTTAATGGTGCCAATGCTGCCGGTTTTGAATATTTTATATGCTTAGTAATATAAATAATTCTTTTAGGTCAGCCAATTACATTGACTTTGGATTTGCAGCCGCCACATAAACCACAAAAAGGAACAGGTTCTTTATTTAGTCGTATTAGCAATTTTAAAGTCAAGCCTTTATATAGACGCAGATCATTTAGCACTCAGAAATTATATAAAAAAGAAAAAGGCAAATATAAAACTCAAGAAGATTTAGATAACGAACTAGACAAATACATGAACGTTGCAATACAATCTAAAGATGTAGAAAAACCTATGGTTATAGATCAAAAATAATTTTGTAAAAAAATAAACACGAATAAATATTTCTCAACTACATGTATTGTTATTTTTGTGACTGTAGTATTTCTAAAATCTCTTTAACTAATAGTTCTATTCGTGATTCTCTAAATTTATTTTTGCATTTTTGAATAATAGTTAGAACCTTATATGTTATTTTTTTTAAGTTCTTAAGTGTATATAAGGTAGTCCCAAGTGCTACCATTGTCCTATAAATGCATTCAGAATCACTGTCTTCTGATAAAATCTGAAAATATAAGCTATTAATAACTTCAAAAGTGTGTTAACCTCCAGTATAGGACTAAGAATACTAAGCGCATTCTGTACTGATGATAGTTGGTAAAAAAAAATAGAGAAACTAATATGTTAAAAATATGTAATGTTTATATTTTGAAGAGCATACTTTAAATATAAAGTGCTAAGTGCAATTTTCGCATCACGAGCAGTTAAGTCGTTGTAAATACCAGATATTTTAGTTATTATCTAAAAAAATACCATTAATAGAATTTCAAAACAATTACTTAGGCCAAAACCTTTTCGAACTCTTTATTTAATATTTCTTTTCCGGAATCTTTTTCAAATAGATTTACTAAAGCTTTAAGAGATAACATAATATTATTTTCAATTATTTTTTTAGAAAAATTAGAAGAAACATCAGAAAATCCTCCATCTATAATTATATCGATTATAGATTTCGTGCTATATTTATACGAGCCGATTTCTTCAAATATCCCGCAAAGTATCCTTAACATATCTAATCCAGGAAATCTTTTATCATAAGGCCATATATTTGATAATTTAGTAGCTAAATCTAAGGATACTAATTCTATATTCTGAACAAGGGACTTGTTTTCAGATGTTTTAAGATATTCTACTATTATTTTTAAAGCTGAAATTTCATCTGGATTTAAAGATATATTTTTATACTAAACTATATTATTATATTATATTAAAAAACAAAAAATATAATACTCCTGATTCTAGAAAGCCTGAATTAAACTCTAAACATTTTCGAGCCAATGCTGATATATTTGCTTGTTTAAATGACAAAAAAGTGGTATGTGGTAAAACTTTTTTAGAGAAAGACTATATAAAAATATTAAAAAAACAAGACAAAAATTTAAAATAGATACATTTGAGTTTTCAGAATTAATACAGCCAGGAATATATCTTCCAGCTAAAATCGAATAAGTTATGTTTTAAGATATAAGTCAAACATACTAGAATAAGGGTCTACAAATGATTCTTGTCTTTCTATTTTAATTGCTTCTGTATTTTTTTGTATAAATTGAGCAATTTTATCAAGATATTCCATAGGAAGTTCATTGTGTTTTATAAATTGATAAGCAACTTCATAAGGATTTTGATTCACATTATAAGGTAACTTTAATGGAGGAGAGTCCTCTGAAATATCAACATCAAAAACATAGTCATACTTTTGACCATTATAAAATTGTTTTTGTGATGGACTGGCCACATCAACAACTTCTCCGACTTTATTCCATGTCATTTTAGACATATCCCACTTGCTATAATTAATATTTCCTATTACCTAAATACTACTTATACAACTTACTTGATATGCTTCAACCAAATTATTAGCTTTAATCATAATAACCTGGTCTTTTTTTCCTTTATAGATTTAATAAATTACTATAAAAAGTACGAATATTGAATTATACCCTGTTTTTGAAGTGCTTCTAATCCAGGAAGCTTTTCTTTGTCTATATAATTCATAGAATTACTAATTCTGTTAGAAGAAAAACATATAACTCAATACATACTTAGATATTTTATGTGAAGCAACATCCTTATTGAATTCCTACTAAAATGTTACATGAAAATATAAACAATCATTTTCTAACATCTATTTCTTCTTTTGATGCTATTCTTTCTTTATTCTTTGTAAATATTCTGACAATACCATCACTTCCTCCAGTAACAATATCATCGTTTTTAAGGACAAAAACACTCCAAATGCTAACTGCTGGGTGCATGATAGTTTGAATACATTCTCCATCTATTTCTTAATTTTAGAGAGATATATTAAAAAAGTTTATACTTTTCCAGATTTTAACAGATCTGTCTTCGCCACTGGAAACAATTTCTTTTGTAGATAATACTGATATAGAATATATAAAAGAAGAACCATCTACTATTTTTTGAATTTTTTCTCCTGAAAATGACCATATATAAATCACTCCATCATTTCCACAACTAGCAAATTCAGAATCTGATATTTTACATAAACTTCTAACACAATCTGTATGGCCTTCAAACAATATAGTTTTAACATCTTTATGCCAGAGAATAATCGTCTTATCTGCTGATCCTAGACTCACTATAAGTTAAAGAACTTTATTTTAAATTAAACATACCTGTAAGAAATCTATTTTCATCTACAATTATTGCTGCCCAAACTGCTGCTGTATGTCCATACAGTGTATAAGCACATTGCCAATCTCTCCAGATTTTTGCTGTTCTAAAAATTTTAATAAACTTGTTATCTATTTAAAATATTTAACTTGTCCCAAGATCCAGATATAATCATACAATCCTCTGTAGCGTGCAATACACATACGTTCTCTTTGTGTCCGATTAACATATAATCAGGTTCTGTAGATTTATAAGGATCATAAACTGCAATGAACTTATCTTGTCCACTGCTCACTATGAGACCTAAAAGTATAAATTTAAAAAATATTGATAATGCAATAGCTACCATGTGGATATTTCTCTGAACATTTAATAAATGTTAAGCTATTTACATGACCTATGTGCATTGAATAAATATTTGATTTGATATTTGATTCTTTCGAAATATTCCATGAACGAACTGTACCATCCCTTGAAGCAGAAAGAAGTTGAGATTCAGGCCCTATAGAGATAGCTTTAACCTACTAAAAGTCAGAAAATCCTATAAATATTAAAAAATAAGATACATCTTGATTATGTCCAATAAAACTTTGTGAAAGTGTATAAGATTGCATCATCGGACTGAACGATCGATTGACTAATGGAATAGGGTTTTGTTGAAATGGTTAAAATGAAATAATTAAAATATACAGAAATTAATCGAAAAACGTGGTAAAAAGATGAAAGAATTGTTATTTGATAACTGTTATTTTGCATATTTTTCTAATAATTTTTTTTTTCGTCTTTCAAGTAAAAATTTTTCGATCTCTTTTTGATTGGGTACATAAAAGTCTTCAATAGGACGCCAGTCTTCCTTTGGTTCTCCTTCTTTACTATTTAACATTGTTTCCATATTTAATTGTTCCTTTTGTCTTTCGAATTCTAAAAGTTCTTCGTCATTTTCATCTTGATATCCAAAATATACAGCATCTAAGTTTTTATATATTGCTTCTGATATTTTAGGTTTAGGAGGAGGCTTTGGGACTAACTCATCGAAAAGTTCTTTAACACCTTAAGGTCTTATTAATTCCAGATAATTAACAAAATATTTTTGTTTACCAGGAAGTTCTTTTGCGCGACCAAAATATCTATATCACAGAAGTTAATATAAAATATTAACAGTGTCTTTTAAAATCAATTACTTGTATCCTCTATGACCTGGGATTTCCCTGCCTTCTGCATTCACCATTTTAGGTCCAAATCTCTAAAATAATTTGAGATAAAAACATAAAATATTCCAATAGGAATACCATATAGTTGGGGCCCCCTAGGTTTCGAAGCTGTATTTCCCACATATGCTTTTCCCGCATCATTCTATTAATATCGTCATTAAGATCACGAATTTGATAATCAGTTAAACTGGCTAATATATAAATTAACAAAAAATGCAATACCATTGTAGAACAAATTTATACGATCTTGTATTTTCGAAATCTTTCTGGATATTTCTTTAACAACTTGTCCCCTCCATTTTTCACATGCTTGAATAGAATCAACCTCTGTAATTAATTTTGGACGACGTTGAGATCCTGTATCAATAATTCCTTAAGAAAAGTCAATATAAATGCAGAGACTCATTCTTATAACCTAATTCTGCTGCTTGAGATGCTCTAAACCTATAAAGCTAAAATCATTAGAAAAATAATATAAATAGACTTGCTTAACCATTGATTGTGCTTTTTCGCTATTTCTAAAGAAAAAAGTATGTAAAAATATGCAAAAAATAATAAAAACACTTCTTACCGTGCCATTTTAATAAGTTTGTTTTTGAAAAAGGTTTATTAAAAAGAAAATATTAAAGATTTATTTTTAAGAGGTTCGATCGAAATGTTTAAAAAATGATGATAAAAAATAGATGTAAAAAAAGTATTTTAAGAGTTAAATAGCGTATTCTTTCCTATAGAACTGAATTTTAAAGACACATTTTTTATTTTTATGTGTTAATTGGGTTTTAAAAGATAAAAATATTGAATATTATAATCAGAGTAGATTATGGTTGTAAAAATTCGATTACAGCGTTTTGGAGTAAAAAAACATCCTTTTTATCATATTGTAGTATCAAATGCAAGGTATTCTTATGTTCTTCTTTATTTTTTTGTAGAATAAAAGACTAAAAAATAATAGAACAGCAAGACAGTCTAAACCAATAGAAAAATTAGGGACATATGATCCTATACCTCAAGATGGTGTAAAAAATATTGAAATTAATTTTCTAAGAACAAAATATTGGATTGGTGTAGGTGCCCAACCTACGGATGTTGTTTATAAGTTACTTGAAAAGGTTTGATATGTAATTAGTATTTTTTCTTTTTTAAAACAAAATTAGATATCATTACTGCCTCCAAAACCTCATTTAAGTAAAAAAACGGAAAAAGAGAAATGATTGACATATTTATTTAGATGGTATTATGTAAATCCTTAAATAAATGTATTTTAATAATAATATTGTTTATAATGAACTGTTTTCATCACACTAGTCTTTGCCATTTTCTAATTCGTCTTCCATAGCGCTTTTTCTTGGTTCTAACTCGTCCATTTCTTCCAACATGAAACGGGTAGGCAGCCGAGGAAGAGCAATATCACAGACTCTTTCTTCGTTCAAAAGATGGTCAATAAATTCATCAATATAAGTTAAACCATAAGATCCTATAAAGCATTTTTAGAAAAACAAAAAATTTTACAAAATAATAAAGTCGAAAACCTGTTGAATGCCTGATTCGTAATTTTCTGTAATCACTAAGAAATGGTTCGAGAATTATGTAACATTCTTTAGCAGGAAAAGTAAGACGGATATAAAATGCAGCAAGTGCTTGGAGATACCTTTAAAATTAATAATTTTCATATATTCTTTTATATATATACTTAAAATCTTTTGCATAAAGGTATTCCAAGACAATTTCTTTCTCTGGTTGAAGCTGTAACAATTTAAATGCTAAACACAGAAATTCCGTTGGTCTTTGATTTAAATATTGCCCTCCAATGCACTTCAACCTTACAGCCCTATCACATATTGTTGCTGCTATATATCTGTTGGTCACCATTAAGTCTTTTTTTTAAAAAAACATACCTGTTAGTCCAAAACACATTTCTTTATAATATCGACAATCCAAAACCCGTTCACGGATAATTTTCTCAATAAGATTCTTCAAAAATATTATTACTTCATCTTCTTTTATTAATATTTACCGTTGGATTCATAGAGTGAACTGATTGTTCAATGTAATCTAAAATAAAATAAAATCTGAAAAAAAGTATTTTAGAATTACCTTTTTCACTATTCTTTTTAGAAGTTTCCATAATAATAATCCTACTATTTTATCTTTTTTATAACACTATTAATATTGTTATTTCTATTGAAGTTGATATGTATGATCGTCTCAATTGCTATCGTCATACTAAGTCGGCGTGTTGCTATAGTAATTGCTATAGTAACAGCTCTATTATATCAATATCAGAAATCTCTGGTTAACGTCAAACTTTTGCAATGAGACTTAAAGTATGTTTTTGAGTAAAGTGTTAATGATATTTCTAATTATTTTTAGGTTTTAGATAAAATTTCTTCTTGCAAAGTTGATGAAGATCTTTTTTCTCAAGGTTTTTCAATAGATCAGTAGGAATTTCTAAAAAAAAGTAGCAAAAAAGATTCTGATATCTAAAGGTTGATGGAACTTGCGGGATTAAGTGTTTCTAATGTTATTTATGATATAAGCCCTCCAGAAAAGGGTCGAAAAATCTTAGTTCTTGCGGGTCCAGGTGATTTTTTGAAGAAAAATGGTGAAAAATAAATAGATACCAATACAGAGTTTAGGAAACAATGGAGGAGATGGTTTTTCATTCTTACAGAATATATTTTAAAGAATTGACAAAAGAGAGTAGGTCTTGTTGCAGCAAGACATCTTTGGCATTACGGTTATACACCTTCTGTTTATTATCCAAAGAAGGGAAAAAGTGATCTATTAAAAGTAATTTTTTTGTAAAAAGAAATAAAATAACTATATATCTGTAGAGGTTGTGTATTCAACTCGAGGAGTTGTCGATTCCTTTTGTCGATGACTTTTTATTGGCAATTAATGATGCAGATCATATTATAGACGCCATTTTTGGGTTTAATTTTTCAGGAGAAGTAAGAGATCCTTTTGTGGAAGTAATTGAGGTTTTAAAATTTTATGTTTTTGTATTTTTTTAATGGATCTAGACACTTAAATATACAAAAGTACCTGTAACAAGTATAGATATACCTTCTGGTTGGGATCTTGAGAAAGGTATCTTTTTGCTACTATTTACATTTGGGCCATTCTTATATTACAGGTCCTTTAGAAAAAGGTGTAGCTTCTGGATGGTGTCCTACATTTCTTGTTTCATTAACTGCACCAAAACCTTGTACTCGGTATTTCAAAGGACGCCACTTTATTGGTGGAAGATTTGTTACACCGTAAGACAATAAGTTTGCATTCAATTATTATTATTATTTTAGTTCGATAATAAAAAAATACAATCTTAGTTTTATAAATTATGATGGTTATAAACAATATCTTGAAATCACTGGAATTCCTATTCAAGATTATTTAGAATAAAATTATTTTTTTAGAATATTAAATCATAAATATTTAAATATTTATTTCGATTATATATATTAAAATATATAAACGTTAATATAAATTTTATAATCACTCTATATAAATATAATATTTTGTTTTTTTGAAAGTTTTTTTTCCAATCCAAAAATGCTTATTATTCAAAATGTGCTATTTAGTTGTTAATTTATTTTTAGCTTGAATTTCTTAAAATAGTCAAATTCCTTGTTTTTATTAAAACATCGTCAAACACTTTTATTCGCTATTTTTATGCTTTTTATGTTCATGTTTTTTTTTTAGAATTATCTTTTTGGTCGCTTCTATGTGTTTTTTGGTCTTGATCTTTTGAATGACGTCTTTTTTTTTTTTTTTCTAATCTTCTTGCTTCTTTACGACGCTTTTCTATAATATATGAACGTAATGGATCCTCTGGATCAATTCCTTTAGAAAATTCTTCATCTGAATCTTCTTTTTTTTCTTCTTGTATAACTATTAATAGTAAAAAATGATATTGTGTAAAAAATTTATGTACCTTCTTCTAAAATTGGAGGTGCTGCATTCATTCCTATCATTTTCCCCGACTGTTCATCATCACTATCTTGCTTAGGATGTCTATAATTCAAAACATGATCAACTTTTAACGTCCTTCCAAGAACCTAAAGAAAAATTCTAAACATATATCAATAAACACCTTTTTTATACCTTTGCCCCAGAAAGATTGTCAACTGCAAGAATTGTCGAGCGTTGGTCTTCATACTTTAAAAAACAAAATCCTTTTGATTTTCCTGTTTTTTTATCTCGAATAAGATTGATATCAAGTGGTTCTCCATATCTTTATATAAATTAGTCATTTTTTCTTTACAAAACTAAAAGTACTGGCTAAAAATACAAATAATATCCCCTTCTGTCAAGTCATATGGTAAACCTCCAATATAAATATACGCACTATCTTTATACTTGAAAATTTGTAAATATAAATATTTATGCAATTAGAAGTATAAAAAATACTTGTGCATGCCATGATTCTGATTCTGATGCTCCAATTTGAGCTGCATTAATACGAGCTATTTCTCGAACTGTACTTGTTATTTTTTAGCTATTTTTTTAGAAAAAATTTTAAAACTTACTTCATAATATGAATAAAAGTAAATTTTTAAAAAGATCCTTAATTATTTCTTAAAAATTCTTAAAAATTCTTTAGAAAACTTCTTTATTCATTCAATTTAATATCTAAAAAACCGTAATTTTTGACGTTTATTTGTTACTATAGCCGGATTGTCATGATAATTTGTCATTTTACATACTTTAATACCTTTATAGATTAACTTGTTTAAAATGATGAAAATTGATTGATAATATGTTTCAAATATTTATATTTATTGTTATTAATTGGAAAAATAACTGTAAAAATAATATTTAAAAATAATATCTTCTATTGGGTTAAACTCAAAATATTTTTTTATCTTAAATAATTGAACCGTGAAAATTGTGCATAATTTGACAGAAAAAACATAATAATTTAGTAAAAAAAGGGATTATTTTTAAGAAAAATTGTTAATTTTTAAAATATAAAGTACTCTTTTAATTATCAGATAGTATATGTTTTTTTCAGGGTTTAAAAGGCTTTTTTTGAGAGATTTTTGACCAAAATAGACAAATTGATATGTTAACTGATTCTAAAGAGCGATGGTATTGCGGAATATATTTGACCCAATACTTATTATGAGCCAAATTGTAGCAGTTCAGTCGTTATTTTATTTGAGTGAAACAGCATTAGTATTATTTTTGTTTGTTATTTCAAGAAAACAAGTTTCTCTTGATTATATTTTTGATTTCCACAAAATATCGCTTGATAATACAGAATCACTTGTTGCAGGCCTTATCTGGGATATTAACAGTATATCTGGGTAGAAATTGATTGGGCTGCAAAAGCAGTACCGATTTGAAGCTTGATTTCAGTACTGATTTTCAGTATAGTATTCTTATTCTTTTTTTTGTGATTAGAAGGACTAAACAAGTACTTGATTTTACATTGACGATGCATTTTATTCATTTCATTATTGTCTTTTTTTATTCTGGACATTTTCCGTCCAATACTTATTGGTGGGTTGTTCAGATGATTAGCTGTGTTTTCATGTGTTTGGGTGGTGAGTGGATGTGTATGCAGCGAGAACTAAAACCTATTACATTTGGGAGTGGCTGGCAGAGTCTTTCCATGGTAGAATCTGGTTTACATACTGAGCTGTATGAACTTGATAAGATTGAAGTTCAGAAACATATGGAAATAGTGCATTAAATAAATCAGCTTTTATATAACTTTTATATTGGATAAATCCTGAGCAATCATTAAATAAATACTGTATTTTCTGTGCTTCAAGGTTTTTTCGGACTCGGTCTTTTGGATTTAATATTTTAAAAATAATATTGCTTTTTTTTTAATATTTTTTGTAGACATTGTTAGTCTTTTTTAGATTTTTTCATCTACTGCTATTTAGTATTTATTAGTTATTATTTACTGCATATTTGATGTTATTTTTTTATATACTAATGTATTCTCCATGTTCTTTGATTTGAAAAGATAGTTTATGTATAATATATAATATTAGTTAATAAGTATATTGTAATCTGGAAAATATGCAATTCTTTGAATGCTTAAAATATGACTAATATTCATTATTTTCTATTTTTTTCTGTTCAATAATCCCATCTTATCCGCTCTATCTCCTCTTTTTTCTTATTATTTACCATACAAAACTACACTGGTTACTAAAACCCACTCCAAAAAAAAACAATAATATATGCAAAGTTATAATATTGTATTCTTTTATGTATCTGTGTTTATAAATGTAGTTATAGATGAATATTCAAAAATGTATAGAAGCATTTCAAATTTAACTGCTACTTTTCCTTTTGTATATGAGATTCTACGTTTGATTTGTTATTAGTAGAAATTTGTTGATTTGCTTGATCTATTATACTTTGTGAAATTTTGGCTTTTTGAAGAATTTGTGCAACTGAGAAATGCTTCCGTGCTGATAAAGGACGACATGCCTCTATTTTAACGACATCTCCATTTTCACAGGCTGAATCCTCATCATGTACTAAATAATTTTTGTGTAAAATAATCATCTATTCTTTAATTAATATTTTTATTATTATTTCCAATAAAATTTAATCTACTTTTTGGACTCTAGGATGCATAACACGCCGTGCAACTCTTACTTTTACAGTTTTTTTCATTAAACCAGAAGAAACAACTATTCCTTTGAAATTTTGCTTCATTTTTTTTAATTTATTAAAGTTAACAAAAAATGTAGTTTTTAATAAAAAAATAAAAAAAATATTTTTATATTTTTATTGCTATTAAATATAATATTTAGTCTATTCATAGTATATAATATTTGATAATGAGTAGGAATGCATAAAATAAATTAGAAAAAACAATCTTATAAACTGTTATAATAGACATTAAAACAAATGTTGATAAATGGTATCTTATTTTGTGTATAGACTTGAATGGATTGTTTTGACGCTATTTTTCTACATAAACACTGAATCTTTTGCCCGCCCAGCTTTCGATAAATAGTTTTCCACTTTCACTAGGCTGGCTGAAAGCTACTTCATGTTTTTTAACCTTTATTCCATAGATGAAATAATCACAAGCAGTATCTAATAATTTTGTCGCAATCTTTTTCCTCCTATACGTTTTACATACCCATATTCGCGAAACACCCATAATATAAGTGGATAAAGCTTCTGACTCTAAAGTAATAGAACTTGATTGTGAGGGAGAAGGACAGACTGGATATGCTGATTGAATAGGCTCTACCAAAATAAGGCCAATGCACTTTTTTCCTTTTAAATAAAGAAAAAATTTGTACTGATTAATTAGAGAATCATGTTGAATCATAGAACTAGGAAATGGGCTTGTACTTCCAAGTTCTAAATCAACAACGCTTAATATTTCCTTTGCCTTTTTTATTTCTCGAGATGGAGAAGACATAGCAATCATAATTATCTTGTTTGAAGTGAAATTTTCGTTCCAGACTTCTTTAATTGAATTAGTTAATGGGTAGTCAATACCTCCAATAGATTCTGCATGAAATTTTATATGAATAAGCTCGTCATCTGCTGACCCACGTGTATAAGACATGCTGCATTCAGGGCATGTAATTCTAGAAGGAAGAAGGTCTAGACAAAGCTGTGTAAGTTTTGATTTAACAGTAAATGGTTTTTTTTTAGAATAGCGAGGCATTTTTTTAGAAAATTTGAATTCAGATGTATTGTTTTTTTGCAATAAAGTGCATGATTTAATTGAAGAAAAGAATTCATGTTGGTTATTTGAATCAAATGTTTCGAAATAATACCGCTTTAATGATATTGGTAATGATCTAACGGATACAATGAGTTGTTTAAATAAATATACAAATATAACCTACGTGTTTAACAGATTATTTACGTGCTTAATATTTACTGTATTTAACGTTTCTGATTTTTGTCTTTGATATGTTCGTAATGGTTGTCTTTTATCATTTTAATACTATTTTTTAGAAAAAGACGAATTACTTTGATAATTCTATATTTCCTATATCTTCAAATGGCATTTTATTCAATAATTTGTTTGTAAATAGTGATTTTCTGATAAATTAATATATTCGTGATTCGCGAGATTATTACGTTAATTTTTCGCGGTTTAAAAAAATGTAATAATAGTGAATAAAAAATAATAAAAAAATAAATATAAAAACTATTTGTATGTCTTATTAGAAACAATTTTTTAAAGATTTGAAGATTGTCAATTCTAAGAGTATTATTGAAAGAATGTTAGATTTAGTGAACAATTAATAAAAAAACCGATTAAGTTAGTAAAAACTAATATTGAAAGTTAAAATATCATTATTTTGGAAAATAGTGCTTAGTAGAATCAAACGATATAAAAGATAGAGATTAATGACTTATATATTGAAAAACAAATGAAACAATGTCATTTTTTGTTTCTTGTAAAAGTAAGAAATCATTGATTTTTTCAAGAGATGACTTTGAGAAATGATTCCAACTATTTTTACGTTAAAATAACAGTTTATTAGTAAAATAGCATACGTGCTAGTATCACCATAAAGTAATGCTGGTGCTTTAATGAATTGTTTATCATTTTTACACCTTTTACATTTAAAAGTGTCATGAGTGTCACACAAAGTATCAAGATTTAATTCAAATAATTGCCGTAAACTATCAAGAGAAAAGTGTCTTTCTACGTTTTGTGCTTCGTCAACAACACATGATGATAAAGATTGTTTATGGGATTGACGTTGGAAAATCTTTTCTTCAATAGTACCTGTTGCAATGAAACGGTAAATAAAACCTAAAAAAAATTAGTATTATCTATAAAAAACATTCTTTTCAAACAATCTTTTTTTTGCCCATCTCTCCAGACGCGAGCTAATGCTTGCTGATCTGCAGCTGGGTTCCAATCTAAAAAATAAGTAATTAAAAAAATATACTATAACAAACCTGGATCAAATAAAATTAGTCTATTTGCTCCAATAAGATTAAGCCCACATCCACCAGCTTTACTACTTAATAAAAAAATAAACTCATCACTTTCGGGATCATTAAATTTATCTATGAGCTTTTGCCTTTTATTAGTATTCATTGTTCCATCAAGACGTAATGATCCATATCTATGAAATTTAAAAATATAAATAATATTTTTTTGGTGTACCTTCTAGATCGACATAGCTTTTCGAGAAGATTTAGTGTTTGTGTATAATTGCTAATAAGAACAATTTTATCATTAGTATCTTTTCGAATTCTTGCAAGCATACTAATAAAGTAAATATTAATAACATAAAGATATAAATTACCGATCAAGAACCATCATTTTTCCCGAATACCATATTTTTATATCTCTATCTTTTGAATTTTTTGGAATAAAATCATTTGGAAAACAATGTTCAAATTGCTTTAAATCGTTCTCAATATCTAATAAAGTGGGATGATTGCAAAGTTTTTTTAAAAAATCAATGGCCTTTAATGGTTGATTCCCTATACCCTTAACAAGATTATTAACTTCACGGCTTGACACAAAGCTTTTATATAAATCTTTTTGGAAAGGACTAAGATTGCAAAACACGACATGTTCGTACTTAACAGGAAGATATTTCGATAAAATATCATTGGTTCTACGAATAATAAATTTATTCACAAGAACACTAAGTTCTTCGAGTTTGTGATCACCAATTTCACGATCTTTATCAGTGCCTAATGCATCTCGTCCTTTTAAAATAGGAAGCTCAAATGTTTTACGAAATTCGCTTCGAGAACCTAATAATCCTGGATTTACAAAGTTAAGAAGTGAAAAATATTCTGATAAGTCATTCTAAAATAATGAGATTAAAAATTATTTCAGATTTTAAACAATACTTGTATAGGTGTGCCTGACAAAATTATTCGACGTTGTACTTGTAAAGAATCTAAAGCAGAAAAAGTTAAAGACTCACTATTTTTTAGACGATGTCCTTCATCACATAGGAGAAGACCAATAGGGCATTTTTTTAATTGGTCAATATTCATTCTTAACATTTCGTAAGAAATGATAAGTACTAAATATAATTAAATATATATTAAATTAAATATTGAAACCAAACTAGGCTGTACAATGTCTTTTCCTGTAGCAGATACCCATTTAGACAAAGAAAGTACAAGTTGATCTCGGTTATTTTTTTTATCTATAATAAGCGGATTAATCGTTCCTTTCCCAAGCCATTTATCTATATTTAATTAGCTGATTATAATAAAAAAATTATTTATACCTAATTCATTTGCCCAATTTCTAACTAAAGATGATGGACATACTATAATTGCTTTTTGAATAGTTGAACGCTTAGCTTGAGGAGATTGTTTAAGCAATGTCCACATAAGTGTAATACATTGAAGCTAATACTTGTCAAAATAATTAAATGAAATAATTCATTTTAACTGTTTTCCCAAGACCCATTTCATCTGCCATGATACAACCGTTTGCACGGAAGTCAACCATACCTGTTACGCATTTGTAAAGAAACTAAATGTATATGAAAAATCAATAATAATTGTTGTTTATTTATACCTTTACTCCTTCTATCTGATGTGGACGGAGTATTTTTGACAATTTAGGATCTATAACTACTGCAACATTTGGGTATTTTTCTTGTTTCTTTATACCAAGTATTTCTGCAAGTGATTTATGTGTTTTTGGTCCATTTTTAGGTTTTTCTGGAATTTCTTTCCTGTTTTCTTCTTCCTCTTTGTCATGAAAATCATCTATTGTTGGATCATATAAAACAATAGAAAACTCTCCACAAGGATCATGGAGAGGACGAGGCACAAATTTTACCGGTCGAAGAGTTCCCAAAACTGGAGGTAACCGATTTTTCCATTGTCCATTTAACTCACTTTTATCTATCATAGGTACCTTAAACTTTCTTTTTAATACTGTTGATACATCTTTTGCTTGAAACACTGGATAACTCTCATTTTGTGTTTTTTCATTTTCTTTTCGAAAAAAGTCATCTTCTTTCTCTTCCAAATCATTATTTACATAAAGTATTTTCCTTTTTTTCCGCAATTGTCTCCCTTCTTCTACTTCTTTTTTGTAGCTTGGAATCTTAAATGCCCTTGATAAAACATTGCCAATATCATGTAGTGGTTTTCTGGAAGACAAACTAGAGCTTGCTTCTCGTTTTTTGTTATTTATATACATTTTTTTCGCGTAAAGATGTTCCATTTCTTTTTAAAATCCTTTAGAAATTATTATTTTTAAGATTTTTCATTTTTTTGACGTTGCAATACATTTATTAATGATATGTAAAACACTTGAGATATCGATATAACGTCATCAAAATTGTAAGAAATAATGACAAAGCCAAAAAGCCAATCAACAAAGAAAGATGACGGTAAAAATACAGTTAAATACATGAACAAGAAGTTTAATATGTTTTTTTTGTAGAGGCACTTGTTTTGGAGTATTTGAAAAAGACTAATCGTCCATATTCTGCAAGTGAGTATTGTGAATATGTAAAAATGAGAAAAAAAAGTGTTGAATGGTATTTTCAGCGGATATTTGTTTAAATTTGCACAATGCAGTTGCAAAAAGTGCATTGACTAAGATTTTAACGGCTCTTTGTGATCGTGGTGATGTTCGGTGCAAGACGTATGGTAAAATAACGTTTACCGTATACACAGAGGTGATCTGATATAATGTGACCAATAGGTAAACAGTCCGTATATGTCATTGATCAAGTAAGAGCTATTGTGCCTTGGAAGTATGAGAATTGAGAGATTTGTGTAGGATCAGTTTGAGAATCCGTCTCCGGAGGAATTAACTATCATGGATGCAAAAATTGAGGATTTGAGACAACAAATTGCAGTTTTACAAGATAAGAATAAGCACATGAAGCAATGTATGTTTCTATCTATTTCTAAGAAATATTTGGAAAGATGTTTGTCTTATTAGTATTTAGCACTTCAATTGTTAACTACACAAAAAACAACAGCGGAACTGCAAGAAATTTCTAAAGATCTTGATGAGAAAGTAATTCTTTTTTTTTTATGACTATGATAAAGATTGATTGAGAAAGATATCGATACTCGGTAATCGGTTGAATTCTTTGCAATCAGGAACTGTTCAGCTTATTACGGTTGATGAAATGCAGAAAATTGACAAAAATTATGAACAAATGCGTAAGATATGGAAAGATCGAAAGGCACTCTTTCGGGACCTTTGGGACGCTGTCTCCGAAGGTGTAGTTTCTCCTTCTGAGCTTAAAGTAATTAATATTTTTTTTACTTTTATATTTACACATTTTTCAATCAGGAACGATTGGGTATTGAAGATGATGAGATTGACTTTAGTGTTGATCTTTTATCTGGTATTCGATGATTCTTTGATTTTTCTTCCATGTTATCTTGTTTCTTTCATCTTTTTTGCAATTATACCGATTTTCCTGGGCTTTTTTACCATATTCATCATTGTAATATTTTACTCTTTCAAAATCTCTATATTCTTTTATTATAATTTTATACCTTTTATTATATATCTTAGCTTTCATCTTTATTATCTTGCTTTCAATATATTATTGATTTAGTTATAGGAAAATCTGCTAAAAATTTCATGTTTCCTTTTCTTTGCTTATATAATTTTTGTATTTTTTAGTTTCTTTTTTTTTCATTCTTTAGCTTTTTTCATTTTCTACTTACCTATCTTACTTTTTTCATTCTCACTGATATGATGCTTTCATATGTACTTTATTGTTTCATAATAGTCTTAGTCTTTTCTTTTTTGTGTATAAAATTGTATTATTTTTTACTCTTTCTTCATTCCCTCCTATATATACGTTCTAGATCAACCGCTTCTTATTCAACTTTAAGAAAAACCATAAATTTATATATTGAAAAATTGTCAAGTATAATGGAGAAGTATGAAGGAGAAATGCCTAGAATGAAGAATTCAGGGCGTATAATGGGTTTTGAGAAGGTTAAGGGAGGAGAAAATGGGGGGTTTTCTGAGTCACGGGCACAATTGAATTTGAAAAGTGAGTTTCTTTGAATAAGTGTTTTGAATGGGTTTTAAATGCTTATTTTTTAGATCTGCAACATGTACCGTGTAAATTTTATCGTCAGGGAGTTTGTACAGGTGTGTTTTTTTGCTTAGACATAGCATTTGAAAGTTTATGTGCCTATGTCTAGGTGATACAGTTGAATAAGGATTAATAGTGAATAGCAGGGAAAAATTGCCCTTTTTCGCATAATTTGAGCTTAGAAGCAGAGGGTGCACCATGCAAATATTTTCAGAAAGGTTTGACGTTTTAAAACGCGTTTAGATGATAAAAGTGTTAATATTGATAGGGAATTGTAAATTTGGAGCAAGATGTGCACTGGCACATGTATATCTTGATGGGAGTCGTTCAGATACACAGACTCTTTCCTTTCCCTATGGTTTGAATTATGGTGCTTCTGTCGAAATGAAGCAAATGCCTATGCCTCATAATGGTCATTTACAAGAAACCTATTCTAATGTCCCTTTGAAGTCTAGGGAATATAGTTTTTCTATGGATGAAAATTTAGTGATGTTGAACAAATCGTTTTTAAAGGGAAATCATGCACTTATACCCTATCTTTTAACTTATACCAATAATTCTGGTATTATTTTAACGAATTAATAGCTTTGATTTTAATCTTAATATAGAATTAATATTTCCGTTGAAATCTACTGAAAATACTGCTTTACATGAAACGCAATTATTTCCGAGTTTTGACAATAATAAAACATATTCTTCACGCCATGAAGTATTTTCTGACTCAGTTTCTACAAAAACAAGTTATCCTGATATTTCTTCTTTATCGCTTTCTGGAGCCAGTTCAATGCATTCTTCAATGCAACATAAAAATGATGCATTTTCACCTCTTTTAAATAATTCAAGAACCGTCTTTCTTGATGATTCTTCTCCGTTTAAACATGAAAAATTATTAAAAGCTCAAAATGATTTAACAGTGTCGAATTCTTCAAAAAAATATTTAGGAAATAATAATATATATAATATCCCACCAATTTTTTTTTCTAAAGATACATGGTCTGATCCATGGAAAAGTTCACCTATTTTAAAAAATAATGATAAGGATTTATCTAGATTGACTGTTGAAGAAAAACCATCTTTACCTGTTTCACAAAGATCATTTACATTTAATGAGTTTCAATTTCGAAAAGCTGATGATCATGAACCTGTCTCCAATATTAATTTTCGATCAAATCCATCAAGCTTTGGAACATCCCCATCTTCAAGATTTTCTACATTTTTCTCTAAATATAATGAGTATTCTGATAATATGGCTCTCAAAGATTTTTCTGGGACTGATTCATATCATGAATTTGTTCAACCATATTATAATGAATATAATCATTATCAAATGAATGAATTTCAGGTGTCAAACGTATTATCAAATATTGTAAAAGACAATAATATTGTTCATTCTAAAAATTCTCCATCTGAACAGAAATTGAGTGAAAAAATAAACCAGAATTCTTTATCGATAAATAACAATGGGGTCATTAAAAAGCCTCTTATTGTAATTGATGACGAAACGCAATTCCATATGGATGAGGAAATGCCTGAAAATATTGCCCCATAAATCTTTGTATTTTACTAATTTTTATTGAAATTTTTAAGAAGAAATATTAGAATTATTTAAAAGTTTATATGCATTATTTAAATAATAAAAAATAACTATTAATTTAATAAAATATAATATTTTAGATTTATTTTAAAATTTTTGGTATATTGTAATCATCTTTTTAGAAAGAAATAGAAAACATGTAAAAAAGATAAATTTATTTGGGAATTATATATTATTCTTTTTTTGATTATTTTATATATGAATAAATCTTATCAAAGTTTTAGACGATAACAAAAAAATGAATTTTTTAGAGAAAGAAAGTGCTTTATTTCTAGAAGAATTTGGAAAATCAGAATTATTTCCAACAAATATAGCTCTTTCTTCAGAACGAATATTTTATGATGTAGAAAATACAATGAATTCCAGTGTTGAACAGTGTGATTTAAGTATTTCAAAAAAAAACAAAAGAAATTCTAAAAAAAGACGTAAAAAAGGTTGTTTAAATGCCTTTTTTATATTTTTCTTATAGTATATTTAGCTGGTCAGTTTTTACCAGACAAAAGAGACTCTTTGAGTGCTCAAGAGCTTTCTCGGCTTCGTGTATTAAAAAGATTTGAAAAAACAATGGATCCGGCGCATTTGAAGTGTTTATCTAAGCTTTTACTTAGTCATATGGATGTATCAAAAGTCAATGCTTTCTTATTTGACAATAAAACTGAAAAATATCCAAGAAAATCGTTTTCTGCGCAAAAAGAATTGATAGAATATGAGAATACTCTTGATGCACAAGATGTAGAGAAGAAAAAAGACAATGTTGACAAAGCACTGCGATTGATGGACTATTCTAGCTCAGAAAATAGCCATAAAATTCGTCAAATGGATCTTGTTTTAGGATTAATTAAAGAGAACACTGAAAGTAAAAAAGATGTTATGGACCGTGTTTTAGGGTTGAATGGGATGAAAAAAGATGAAATATGAGTATCTTTTTTCAGAAATATTTCTTGGTTTTTTTATTTGAAATTTTTACAAGATTTTTATATGAATCACTTCTGGATTTTTGTTGGAACTTCACAACGTTTTAACAATCTTAAAGAATAATATTTTTATACAAAAAATTGTACAGATTTTTTGATTTAGTCGTTTATGGTCAAAGTTAATTTTTTGTCATCGGTATTAGTAAAGGAAAAAAAAGATTTTTGATTAAAAAGAAAAAAGTGCTTTATTTAATATTGATTTTAGAATATATTTGAGTACATTCTAAGTTGGGAGATTTTTATTTTTTAAGTGTATTGTTGAGTGCGATTTTTATATTTACTATTATTTTAATTTTGTTAGGATATTGAAACAATGGTTAAACAAGCTAAACTAATATTTGATTAGAATTTTTAAAGTTTTAACGGTGAATTTAAAATCTTCTGTTCCTTTTTTTTCTTGTTTTTTGAAGTTTAAACGTGATTCTGTGGTTAAACATAAATCAACATCTCTCGTTCTTCCACCACTTGTTCCTGTTTCACTCTATGGCTATAATAAAGAGAAGTGGACTGTAAACTTGACAGATGAGCTTGTAGAAAGCATACGGGGATTTTTACCACCTCGGCTTCAGCTGCAAGATAAATGGAAATTAGTTTATTCTTTAGATTACCATGGTGCAAGTTTGCTTACACTATATTCAAAATCTTTTCAAAATAGAGGAGTTTTTGGTTCTAGGCCTGGTTTTTTGTTAGTTGTTAAAGATAGTGATAATCATGTAAGTTAAATATATTATGTTTATTAAGAAAATTCAATATTTGGTAGATCTTTGGTGCGTTTATTAATGAGTATCTTCATTTAAGTACATCTTATTACGGTTCTATGGAATGGTATATCTATAGTATTTTATATTATTTGTTTAAAATATTTTAGTTTTGTTTGGAAGATGGTTTTAAATAGTTCAGCTGAAGATTCGAATAAGCATTATTCCCAGCTGAAGGTATTTATGTCAACAGGGATCAATAATTATATGATTTTATGTGATAATTCGTTTTTGTCAATTGGTGGAGGTGATGGAAAGTATGGATTATGGCTAGACAGTCGACTTGAAAAAGGGATTTCGACTTCAACACAAACTTTTAATAATGAAGCTCTTAGTGACAGTGTAAAATCTGGTGAGCGGTTTGACATAATAGGAGTGGAAATATGGAAAATATAATTTTTAATATTTACTTTGTAATAAAATTTCTTCTTAGTTATAATAAAAGATACAAATTTACATTCAAGATATGAACATACTAAATTATTTCATGGATACTCTATTACGTTGTCCCGTAGCTGGTGCTCCTATGTTTGATATTTTGCATACTACGCATAAAGTCTTATTATATTCTAAGAGATACTTTGCTCGGCAAAATGGGCACGATTCCTTAGGAGTACCTTTATATATGGGAGTATAAGATTTTGAACATATGTCAAAATCAGTAAATGGATCGTACTTAGTTTCTATGGCGTCTTTAGGAGTCTTATCTCCAATTGCAAGAATTTTTTGTGCCTAAAAATTAGTTTAAACAATATTTTTAAAAAAAATACCATACCTGTTCTACAATTTGATTAGAAGGATTAAGTTCTAACAACTGAGATGCAAAATGTGATGCACTAAATAAATTTTTGTTTTTATATGATAAATTCATAGCTTGTCGTAATGCAAGCTGTTTATGAGAAGGTTGAAGTGCAATGTGTGTAAAATAAGCCATTAGTTCAAGATTAAGTTCTATAGATTCTGGTGGAAGTCCTCTTCTTTTTAACTCCATAGATAAACCAACAATATATTGTTGACTAGTTTCAACTAATTGAGTTATCTTGGGTAATTAGTAAAAAATATAATAATATAAATACTGTACTTGATTTTCTTCAGATTCAGTAGAGACAGTTGTTAACAAAAGATTATACAATATATTACGAAAAACATCAATTGCTTCAGATAATTTATTAGCTTTAACAAGTTGATAACCATTTTGAAGAAGTTTTGAAGACATATTTAAATCCAATGGGATATTGGGAAGTAGTTTTCTTAAATCTGTTTCTTTTGTTCGTCGAAGATAATAATGAAGTGATGGTAAGGAAGGTGATGCAGGTAAAAACACTTTTGATGCTTGGAAAATAGTCATAAATTTTGATTTAAGGGGTTCAAAATTAACAACCGCAACTTGTCGATTAAGTAACTTTCATAATTAGATGAACATTTAATACATAAGGAATTTTTTTACCTGCATTGCACTTTCAAAAGATCCTGCTGCAATATGGTCTGCCGCAAGGGGAGAATTCCGAATCCAAAGATCTGTTTCTTTAATTCCAGTAGAAATATTTGTCTCTATTTCAAAATCTTCGTCACTTTGAGTTTCTGTATTTATGACTATATCATCATCTATATTCCATCCTTCTTCATCTAGATTTTCATGTGCAATATCTTTTTGATCATACTGTATATTAGATTTATTATCTAGATTAGTCATAGAATCGATATCATTGCAATTAGAATATTGGTCATTTATAGACATTAAATCAAACTGGTTAAATAATGCTTTTTCAATCCAAGTGTGTGTTACAGGTTTTAAGGGCCAATTGGCTTCGAAAGTTTTATATAAGGGCTTTGGAGGTAATAAGATTTCCCCAGAAGGAATTTTAATGTCATTTTCTGTAACGCCTGTTTCCTTTAAAATAGAGTCACAATGATCTGTAAGTCCATATGTTTTAGCTGTAGCATATGCTAGTGCATCTACAATTTATTAGTATAAAATATTAATAAGAAAACACACATTGATCAATTTCTTTAAATATTTGTATACGAGATTCTATATCGCCCAGAAAAAGTGCATTATGAAACCTGCTTGTATAATCTCCACGTTTTTCTGCAATCTTTAACATCTTCTCAACTTTCTCAGTGTTACCAGTTATTAAATATAACATAGAAAGTTTATTAAAATTTTTAACTTTTTGATATGATATTTCGGCAATTTGGTGATTACCTTGAAGTAGAGCTTCAGTACTAAGAGAATTCCATACTTCAGGCTTATCGATCTTTCTAGCTAGACTTAATGCAAGTTCAAGGTTGTTGCATTTTAAAGAAAGTTCAAATCGTGCTTGTGGATCTTGCACGAATTGTAAAGCAATCTATGTATATTAATAATCAAAATAAATCAATGTAGTATATATGTACTTCTGGGTACCCTTTTTCCTGAACATAATTAATGATACTTTGTCCGACGAGATTTGATGTTCGAATAGTATGCAACATTTCATTATAATTTTTGTTTATTAAAGCAAGCTTAAAATGATATTCAGTTGGATCAATATTTATAAACTTCAGTTTTGAATTACGATCAAGAGAATATACAGTTTTTCCTTTTACTCGTACAAGATAAACCGGTTGATCTATAGTACGAATAATGCCATTGTCACTAATTTCCTTCAGATAATTTAAAATAAACTTTTTAATCTATACCCATTTAAAAGAGTATATTTGATATGATTAAGAGTAGAATATATCAAAACATTTGAATCATCCCAACATGCGCTTTTAATACGTATTGTTTCATATAAAGAACATACTTGTTTTAGAAGCTTTGTTGCTATAGTCACTGTATGCTTTCCAAGAAGAGCAACATGCTCACCATCATTTGACCAAACAATATATTTTATTTGAGAAATATGAAGTTGATTAATAATGCTTTTTTGTTGAATATCATATAAAACAGTTAGTGTAGATGAAGAAATAATGATATTTTTATTTCCTGCTTGGAAAATATCATTAACAGTGACAGGTGGTTGAATAGTTTTTATAGTAGTGTTTGATAAATCCTTAATTTTAATAGTTTGATCTGATTTGTCATAGATAGCAAACCTATTACGAGCTATAAAAATAGCAGAAACAGCAGAACCAGTCAATTGTTCAGTATTTTCATCTGTATATGCATATGTAGCTCTTTTAGTCTCTGTAGAATTTAAAGATTCTTTTTCATCTGAAGTTATATTAAAAATTTCATAGATACCATTATCTGTTGGCGAGCATGCTAGGATCATTCTTTGAGCTGGATTATATGAAATAGTACGTGGTCTTTTCCAATGATTACCAAGTTTTTGAAGAGAAATAACATAAGATTCGCTAGTATCACCTTTTAAATCAAATGAACATATATAATTTTCTTTATTCATAAAGAAAAGGGTATTTTGGTAAATAGTATACGCTGGCCTTTCTCGTTCTAGTTTAAAAACCATAACCCCACTATCATGACCTTTTGTAAAATTAATATTAAATATTTTAAAGAGTAAGAATTACCAGCAGCGAAAAGATTGATTTCTGGATGTGCAGCAATAATCCAAAATCTATCACTATCACGACGAAATGAATGTATACTTGTGCGTTTGTTAAGATCCCAAACACGTATTGACTTATCTTCCCCGACAGAAAGAATAAGTTCTTGATGAGGATGAAACAAGACTGCAGATGCATTATTGAAATGTCCTCTGCATGTGTCCACTTCCCATGCTTTGGTTTCTAAGAAGTTAAAATTAAGTATAAAATAGAGAAGTAAAAAATACCACTCATACGCCAGAGTTTAATTAAGCGATCATCACCAGCAGAAACAATAAGGGGTAAAGTGGGATGGAAAGAAACCCAATTGACACCACGGTCATGGCCTTCGAGAAGATATTTAACAACTACTCCATTATTTCCAAAAAGATCTGAAGCTTGATTATGAGATTTGCCTAATTGAGTTTCAAAAGTTAAAGATGGAGCAGTATTTTTTTTATGAAGTTCTGAAATATCCCAAACGCGGATTGTCTGATCTAAAGAAGCAGAAACTATTAGATCCTCTTTAGGGTGAAATTGCGCGCACTGAAAAATATAATGTAAATTTATGAAACAAATGTTATAGAAAAATTATTGTTACCATAACATAATGATTATGACCTGTAAGAATAGCAATTGAATTCCTAGACTGCCAATTCCATATACGTATAGTCTGATCGTCTGAACAAGAGAGTATCCATGGATATTCATGATGAAAAAAAACTGTTCGGACATAATCCAGATGACCAGTAAGTGTAAAAAAAAGTTTTCTTGATTTATAATTCCAGACACGGACTTTATAATCATCACCTCCAGACACAAATAACGGTTGTGTATGGTGAAATGATATTCCTAATATATTAATAAGAGCCAATTAATATATAAATAAGAGTACCTCGAACAGGACCTACATAAAAAAGTTAAAAAAAAGTATCAATAAAAGAGAAATATACCATCATGTTCGTCAAATCTATCAATTAATGTGCCCATACGGTAGTCCCTGTTTAATATTATTTTTTTATTTTGTAAAAATAAGAAAATAGGTTACCATAGTTGAATAGTTCCATTATGTAATGATGTGAGAATCCATGTTCTTTTAGGATGAAAAGCAACTCCTTTTACTCTTGAAGACTTGGATTCGAACTAGAAATATAAGAAACTTCATTAAAATATTGATATTTTATACTTTGGTGAATATTTGCATTTTTGAGGAGCCGAAGTAGTAGGTTGTCGAAATATTTAAAATATATTTTTTAGTAGTATTTCAATTTTTATAAGGTCTAATCTTTCTTTTAAGGATTTTATCAATTACATTACTTTTGATAATGTTTGTTATTTAATTTATATTTTTATACTTTATAAAAAATGTTAGTAAAATTGTAGATATAAATTTATGTTTTAGTATATATATCTTAGATCTATTACTACATTGAAAAATAACTATATTACACCCTTATGTAAGAGACTTAAAGATGATAGATTTATGATTTGTTTAAAAAATGCTTTTCTTAAAAAAATATTTTGAATTTTATTTTTTATTTTCAAAAAAGTTTATAAGATGTTTTAATAATAGCCCAAAATTATCTTTTGTTTCTTTATCTGGAGAAATTATGCTATTTTTTATCCACTTAGAGATTTTATCACGTATATGTTCAGATTCATAACGTTTATCTAGAAAAATTATAGCGGCGTAATCATTTCTATGTCTTATTGCTCTGCCTTGATTATTTAATATCTTAAATATTTCAAATTTGATAAATACCTATTGATTGATTTACTGAGCGCATACAAGTGTTCTCATAATACTCTTTTCTAATAGATTTAATAAGATTTTCAATAGAACCTTTTTGAATGCTTGGATTATTTAAAAAATTTTGACGAAAATTATTTTCAACAAATTCAAGTTTTGCTTTCCATTCAGCACTTTGAATGTTTGGAAAAGGAAGCCCTACTATAATTACACCTCGACCAAGTTTATCTGAAAAATTAATTCCTTCTGAAAGTTTTCCGCCAATAACTGACAGAAGAAGCGCGCCATTGTAGTGAGAAGTATTTGACGAATTAATTGTGTTTGAATAATTTTGTAACATATTTTCGATATCTGTTGAAAATCTTTCTTCTTTGAATATCTATAAATATTATTTGAAATTTGATGTATCTTTAAGTATACTTTTTTTTTTTGTTCTAATCTTTCCCATATAGATAGTTTTGTTCCTTGTTTTATATGCCATTTTTTAACTATTTCTTCCAAATAATCATAACTTGGAAAAAAACAAATTACACCATCTGGTATGACTCTACATAGATTTATCAAAGCACTGCCAAGTTCATTTAACTTAAATATATTAATATTATATAACAATTTTTTTATTTTTACTATATCATCATTGTTTCTTTTTTCATAATTGAATATGAATTCCTTTCTAGTAGGCCCAGTAGATACTATTATAGCGCATAAATGATCTGGTGATATAATGTGTCCACAAGAAAACCTATGAATTTTTTCTTTTTGTAAGTAGGGGAAAAGTTGATAAATAAAATCATCCATCTATTACAATAAATAACTAGAATTCTTGCAGAATAATGCTTACAGGCTCCATTGTTCCTCCTGCAAGAATTACTGCTCTTGCTTCATTAACTATTTCTTTAAATTGATAGCATGGATTAAGAAGTAAATATTTTAAATAACAGTCTGTATTTGTTTTACCGTTGATTTGAGCTTTCTCTATATGTCCAAAGAATATTTTTCCTTCAGTAAAAGGATTTGTTAGATTTAAAAGAAATGTTTGAATATGGGAAAGGATGGGTAATCCTAATATAATATTTTTTTCAGTATTTGTTTTTGTTTGATCCAAATTTTTTGATTTTTTTTCAAAATATTCATCTACTTTTCTAGCTAATCCGCTATTTTTCATATATTTTTCTAATTTGTATATATTTACTTGATCTCCACCTCCATAAAATAATATTTCAGATTGTTCAACTTGAATATCTCCTATAATATTATTTTTACATTCCATGAAATTACTTATATTTTTTAAAAGTTTGATGATTTGTTTTATATAAACTAGGTTTTTTCCTTTAAGCTTTTTGTTAAACTTTGAAAGATAAATATTAATTTGATTCATAGCTAACGAAACTTGGCTAAATGTTATCGTACTTGAGTAAATTGATGTTATGGTATCTATTAAATTATGTGCTTCATCTATAATAACTATATTATTTTTAAGAGACAAATTCAATGTTTCGCGTGCAGAGGCTTGTAAAAGAAGTGGGTATGGTAAAGTAATTATCTGAACTATTCATATATAATTAATATGACTAATTTTTTTACCTCTGCTAATTTAAGAGCTGTTCTTGAAGAATAATATGGGCATATGTCTAATTTTTGACCTAAAATAACAAGATCTTCAATATCTCGGATGTTGGCCTGTTAAAGATAAATTTATACGCTTATTAATGAATAATCACTTTACTAGTGCATGATCTCTGAAATTATGTATTTTTGTTTTATCATCTTTGGGAAGATATCTACATCTTCCTTCTGGAATCGTATCTATATATATAAATAAAAGGATTAAATAGTTATAAATATGGTACTATGTTTCTGAAGTTCAATACATTTCTCATTAATTAGATTAATATTGGATAATTTTGAAACGTTGGGATTAATACATAGATTTTTACGAGATGCTAATGCAATATGCCTTACTGGTTGGACAGTATTGTCTTGAAATGTAGATGGAAATGACACCCGCCGTAACTCGTTAATGAATTGTGTTAGTTGAGAGTGTGTTCGTGATGCATATATGATCTATATATTAAAAAGGATATTAAAAATCTGAATATTTTACTTTAAGTTCTTCTGGGTATCTATCATCGTCTGTAAGATCTTTTTTTTCCTCTATTGGGTATTTAAGTCTAAAAATTATTATAATCCCTGGAACGGGTACTGAAATGTTTACTTTTGCAATAATTGTAATACTTGAGGAGAGAAATTAGTGTCTATAGAATCTAAATATGATTTATGAGAATCATCGTCGCTGTTATATTCGTCTACTAAAAAACTTTCATCATCAGAGTTTTGATTTAAATCATTCTATAAATGGTAAACCATAAAGTTTTAGATATAAAAAATGTTTACTAATCGTCTTTTTTTGAAAAAAAAATTTCTACTAATTTCTTTATTCCTGTTTATTTCTTCTTCTTTTCTTATTTTCTCAAACTTTTCTTCTATTTCTTTCCTCCTCATCTGAAGAGATTTTTTTTTTTCCTCTATTTCATATTTAATAATCCATTCAGGTTCATCGCTTTGTACGTTTTTTTGCGCTTCTTCTAAACAAATATAATCATGTTCACGAAGCCATGTAAGTGCTCCACATATAATACTTAGAGATTTCCCCTATTATTTTTTATATATTTTCTTAATTGTTATAAACTTACTGTTCCTGTTGGAGAATCAAAAATGCTAACACCCCCTGCCTCAATTGCTAAATAAAGAGCCTCCATAAACTCATTTTGAATCTTATATGGCTTAAATGGATGATGAAAGTTTTTAATATTACTCATTTTCTTATTTTTTATCTTTATTATTTTGATCAATTTGCTAGCGGTATTATTTATATGTCAAGTGAAAAAAGATATTAAAATATTATTTTTCAATAATAACTTTTATGTATTATGTTTATATTCTTTTATTATTATTATTTTTATTTAATTTTTAGAAAAATGACTTGGTTGTAATTTATATAAATTTGATAGAATTAAATATAGAGAAAAATGTACGAATTAGAGATAAATAAGTTTTGTTTATTTGAATATCTTTTTATATTTAACGATAGTTGAATAAGAATTGGTTTTTAAAACTAGTGTTAAAATTAGTATTATAAAAACTTTATGTTTGAATTGTTTTTTTTTTTTTGAAAATAATGCATTATTAGTAATAAATATGAAAATATGTTAAAGAAAGGGCATTTTTAGTTTTTGATTACTGAATAATTCTATAAAAATTGAAAAAACTCTTAAATATATATATTTATTTTTGATTTAATCTATTGTAAAAAATCTAGAGTTGTTAAGAGTTATATATGAAAAATTGAACAATATGTAAATTTTAACAATATAAATATTTTATTTTGAATATATTTATAACCATTTATAATTTTTTTGAAAAAGTTCAACGTCGTCGATTTGCTATGATTTGTATTAATGGTTCTAATGAATATAAATATGATGTTAAGAGCCAGAAATATTATTTTTATATTTTTTGGAGGGGTATTTTTCAAAATAGCATCAGGATCTCCCATTATAAATACTTATTTAACAGCTTCTTTTAAAATGCCTCCATTTGTAAATTTGTTTTTGTAAGTTTTCAAAGATATAAAAAAAAATTAAATGAGTTCAGGGAAACAGTTGCTGCACAGAATGAGTCTCTTTTTTTTCCGTTACTTGATATTATATCGAAAGAAAAACACATGATATTGTCAAAATTGAATTTTGATAATTATAACTATTTACGTAATTTGGTTTACGATTATAAAATTATGAGGGATAATATATCATTGTCAATTTTAGATTATGCACTAGCACTTCATTCATCTGCACCAAAAATACAAGCATATTACAATTATTATAATGATGTTGTAGTTTCAGAAATGATTAGTAGGAACTTTACTTCAGAGTGTAAAAATTGGATTTTGTTTAATGGAAGACAGTATTGTGATATCGATAAGTTTTTAGAATCAAAGGATATTAAGGGTGAAAATTTTAAGTTTGTTTTTGTATTTTTTTAAAAAAGTTGATCAAAATAGACCAGTAACATTGTTATCGTTTGATCATATATTTGATAACAATAAGAATGGTGATTCTCCTCTAGCTATTTTATATGCAGATTTGAGTTCTAATAATTATATAACTTATCACTCTTTTTTATACGAAAAAGCTAAATTAGGGGATTTGAAATATGTTTTTCGTTACAAACCTGAAGATTTTAATTCAAATGACTCTTTATATTTAAGCGGATATGGTGTTGAAGCTTCTTTAAAAAAAACTGATTATTTGGTTATGGATGATAGGAAAATTATTGAAGGTATTTAATGGTTTGTTTTTGTTTAAATTATATAAAAATAGATGTACATGAAAAAATGCCTTCTCAAAGTTATTCTTCTGAAGTTAATTCAAGTTTTTTTTTTTCTAATATTCAGGATAATGAGATTAAATCATTAACAAATACGGAATTGAAAGAATTAGGTTTCTCAATTACGCAATTTGTTATGGAGAGTAAAACTCCGCTAGAAACTCTTAATTATATTCTTCAGGATTTTCCAAAGTATGCTTCTTATTTATCAACTATAAAAATAAATAAAAAGACGTTGAAAAAGTTAACATTAAATTATAAATATCTCAATCCTGGAGAGACGGTGTTTTCTATTAATGGGCTTAAAATTAAACTAGATAAGATTAATGGATTTTCTTTGTTAAAATATTTAAGAAAAGAATATGATTTAATTTCATCTTTACAAAATTTGGGATTGTCTTTAGAAAAAGCAAAATCTTTAATAACTGATAAAGCTATTTCTGAGCTATTTAATATGTTTTTAAATATTCGTTTTGATTTTCGTGATAGTTATGATGATGGGAATGTTATTTTATGGTTAAATGATATTGAAAATGACCCTACTTATATGCATTTTTCTCAAGATATTTATCAAGTACTTGTTTTGTTTTTTAATTGAAAAAATTAATTAATGTAGTATCTTGATGAGCTTCCTAATGGAGAATTGCATATGATACGACGTAATTTGCACCATGTAATTATACCTTTAGATTTTTCAAAAAAATTCGATATGATTTTTTTCAGAGATATATTTTTTTTCATTCAAAGACTTTTTCCAATCAGGTTTGGAATTTTACCTGTATGGCAGGATCCGAAAGGTGTGTTTTCTATTTTTTATGCAATATTTTAATTTTGATAGATATTTTTTTGGTTAAAATTTTTTACCATTTATTTAGTACTTATGGAATTAATTCTGCGATTGAATATATATTATATGTACGCTGTTACTTTCTTAATTATATATTTTTACAGGTTTTAGTTGGATCCGGATTCTCGACATAATGAAACTATTTTGTCTAGAAATTATAATTTTATTTTATTTAAGTATGAACAGGATATTGAAATAGAAGATTTAGACATTAATAATATTATAAAGTCTAAAAAAATTGAACAATATATATTAAAAACAAAAGAATGGTCTTTAAGACTTGGTATAGAAAATGATGATTTTTTAATTGTAAATGGGAAGTTTTTAGAAAAAAAACAGGTATATATATGCACTAGGTTTTTATTTTTTGTAAACTTATTTATAGAATTGGGATGATCTTTCATTCAATATTTTTATGAACGATGTTGATGTTATAAGAAAAAAAGTAAAGTTTATAGTTATTTACTACTAAATTAGTCTTAACTATTCAGATTGTTGAAAAATCACTTAATAATAACGTGAATATTCTCGATTATCTTTTGGAAGATGCTGTTTATAGGCGCGATTCTTATGTACATCCTATGGGTAAAATAATTAAATCTCTAAAGTTAAATGATTATATCTTTAATCAACAAAACATAAGATTCTCTTCCATTAACGGTTGTGTTCTTTAAAATATTTACTAAAAATTTATTTTCTATAGAAAATTTAAATACTGAATTAAGTTTTTGGTTAATTGCTGATTTTGATACAAAAAAAGGTCTTGAATTTGCTAAATTTGCATTGGAGTATATGGTATTTGTTTTTTAACTTTTTCTATTTTTTTAAAAAAGTTTAGATAGAGCATCCATACACTAGTTTAAGATTTTTACATAATCCTAAACTTAGTAATAAAAATAATTTCGATTATTTTTCATCATTTCTTTTTCTTTTAAGTGAAAAAAATATTGATGTTACTGAGTCTGTATTGAATTATATTCAAAAATTATTAAATAGTTACGATTCTGATGGTATTATTAATAGAGAAATAGAATATCCTTATTTTATTTTGAATATTTATAATTCTACTGAATTATTATTAAATTCTGTAAAAGCTAAATTATATTGGGAAAAAATGAAAGATCAATTGGATAAACTTGAATTTTCTCCAGGTGAATTTGGATTATTAGCAAATGGTCATGTATGTTAAAATATCTTTAAGTATTTTTTTTAATATATTTAAGGTTATTGGACCATTCCCTGAATCGTATGATTCACTATTTGATAGTTTTAAGTTATTGGGAGATTTTCATAATTTTTCAATTATATCTCAATTAAAGACTATTACTGAGAGATTAGATATTAAAAATTCAAGGTAAAAATAGAAAAATAAAAGATAAACAAAGGATTAATTATTTATTAGATGTAAAATGTTTTTTCCTGTGTTATTTTCAATACTATTATCGCATATCGTCTTTGAGAAATATGATTTTACTTATTTTTCACAGTTTGGAAGAGATAAAATATATACTTTAACTCAAAAGTTAACACCATCATTTACGTCTGGAAATCAAAGAAATAGCGCATTTGAAGTTAAAGTCGTATTAGATCCTTTAAATGAGATATCTCAGAAACTTGTACCCGTTTTAAAAGTATAAAAGAATATACTTAAAATATTTCTGAAAGTTTAGGTTTTAGAGCAAATGGAGGGTGTATATATAGAAGTATATTTGAATCCACTACAGAAAATCTCTAAACTGTCTATTAACCGTTTTTATCGTTATGTTTTACAATCCTCTTTAAAATTTAATATTGACGGGTAAACAAAAATATAATTAAAAACTTTTTTGTTTATTTTTCTTTTAGTGATTTAATTTATCCAAGTGCAATTTTTGAACGATTACCTATATCACATTTATATACTATTGATTATGATTTTCCTGGATCTTGGATTGTTACTCAAAAAAGATCTATTTATGATTTAGACAATCTTTTATTATCTGATCTTTTTTCAAAAAAAATTAAAGAAGTTGTGGTTATTTATGAACTTAAGTATATACTTATAGAAGGTCATGCAGAAGAGATTGGTTTGAAAACTCCTTCTGGTATTCAACTAGCTCTTAAAACTAAAAATAATATTTTTATTACTGATACAATAGTTATGAGTAACTTTGGTTATTTTCAATTTAAAGCTAATCCTGGAGTTTTTAAAATAGACATAATAACTAAAGAAAGTAATGATATTCTTAAAATTTTAAAAATTTCTGATAAACTTGGATCTAATAATTTCAAAAAAGAGATTATTTTGGAAAGTTTTGAAGGACTAACAATATTTCCTACGTTTATTAGATATTCTGGGAAGAATAGGATTTTGAATTTAGAAGAATTGAATAAATTCGAAGACAATGATTTTGAGTTAGAAAATACAACTTTAAAGTTTATGCAATCTAAGCATTCTAGTGGTTCTACATTTGATATCCCTGTTCAAAAGTTTCATGCAGAAATTAATATTTTCTCTATAGCAAGTGGTCATTTATACGAAAGGTTTTTATATATTATGATTTTAAGTGTTCTTAAACATACAAAACATACAGTTAAAGTTTGGTTTATCGAAAATTTTCTGTCATCATCTTTTAAGGTTTTTATTCTATTAAATTGTATTTTGTTAATTTAATGTAGAATTTTTTACCTTATGTCGCAAATGAATTTGGATTTCAATATGAACTTATCACATATCGTTGGCCTTATTGGCTGCGTTCTCAGAAAGAAAAACAAAGACAAATATGGGGGTAAATTTTAGTTAATAAGATTATAAATAATAAAAATTATGTTAGATACAAAATCCTCTTTTTGGATGTTTTATTTCCTTTAGAATTAGACAATATTATATTTGTTGATGCTGATCAGGTATATATAACACGTTTTAGTTCAAATTAATTATTCCTTTAAGATTGTTAGAACAGATTTGAAGGAACTTGTAGATATGGATTTACAGGGTGCACCTTATGGATATACTCCAATGTGTGATTCTAGAAAAGAAATGGAAGATTATAGATTTTGGAAAAAAGGTTATTGGAAATCTCATCTTAAAGGAAAACCTTATCATATAAGGTGAGTATTTTTATATTTATTAAATATTTAATATTGGCAGTGCTTTATATGTAGTAGACCTTAAAAAATTTCGAGAAATTGGAGCTGGTGATATATTAAGACAACATTATCAAGCCCTCAGTCAGGATCCAGAATCTTTGTCTAATCTTGACCAAGATTTACCAAATAATTTGCAGGATTTGCTTCCAATTTTTTCTTTACCACAAAATTGGCTTTGGTGTAAAACATGGTGTTCGGATGAAAGTTTAAAAGATGCAAAAACTATAGATCTATGCAATAATCCAATGACAAAAGAATCGAAGTTAGAACGTGCCCGTAACCAGGTTCCTGAATGGAATGAATATGATAAAATAGTAGCGAATTTAATTGCACGTATTTTGGAACAAAGAAATAATGAAGCAAGTGAATCTAGTGTAGACAATATTGCAATATCTGTTGATGTAATGGAGAATATACAATTTAATTCTGGTGAAGAAAATAAGAAAAAGAGTATTCATGATGAATTTTGATTTTATATAAATGAGTGGATTTTTTAATATTTACGCGGTTTATTTTACTGACTTACTAGTCCAATATTCTGCATCTATAGTTTTTCCTTGAGTTTTAAAGCTCGAATCATTATAAAGAACTATTTTTTCTCCATTATTATTAGAGATAGAAATTTTTTTGAGAACTGCATGTATATTATACTTGTCCATTGTACCATATGCAGTAACGGATGCAATATCATTTTTTTTATAAAAGTTATGAATTTTGAAATTGATAGAAAAATTTGATAAACCATTTATATTTAAAATAGAAAATGCCTCATAATACCCAAATGACGGTTTCTCTGTTCCCAAAACGTATAGTATTTCTAATTCATTTGTCTTTATAGCACGTTGAATACGTTCTATAGAATCTGTATATAGCTTTTGTGCAAGAGAGTTTGTATCAGGTATAATAGATGAAATAAATGGTTTAAATAAAAACGATAATGCTGATTTGTATTTTTCTATATCTTTTAATGGATTTGTACTATTAAGATGTCTTGTTGAACAATATGTATTAAAAAAATAGTGGAAAAACCGTGAAAGAAAAAGACTGATCATTAAAACAAAAAATCCAGACATAATAATTGGAAAAATATACACAGACAAGCACCCAACCCCTGAAATTGCAAGTGTCTTTCCTATAGGTGTATGGAAAAGTTTTTTAAAAAGACTTTCTTTAGAAAACGAGCTATAATGCCTGTATACTATGAATCTGTATACCTTTACCGGAAACACATGCTTATTGCTGAAAAATGGACATAGCTGTTTCTTTATTCATTAGGACTTATTATATATTTTTTGTTTTTAAATTTACAAAAAAACATGGCCTTTTCTTAACATATATATTACTTTTAGTTCTTAAAATTATATTTTCTATAATTATTATTAACTAAAAAAATATTGAATCTTTATACCTTTAATATTATTTAAAATATAAATATTTTTATTCATTTTTATATAATTTTCTATTTTTTTTTTAAATTCGATCGTTTATCTTAATTTTTGGTAACGATTGTGTTGTTCACGAGTTTATGAAAAAAAGATTGAGTCTGTGCAAAAGCAAGAAAATAGGTTAAATAGTTCACTAAACAGGCTCATTAGAAGGTATAATTATTGATAAATATATCTATGTTCTTATGTTCTAAAGATTGATTGAAAAAATCCAGTTTGAAAAGTGTGGATGACTGTCAAGTTACAATGGAGAGTAACAAATGATACAAAAGTGGATGAAGATTCAATAAATCTTAAAAAAGGGATTAAAGAAGATGCTTTTGTGTGTTTTGAAAGGAATAATATGTTAGTGAAGGATTCTTTGGACCAGCAGCCAATAAAACATATTTATATACCCAAAACGTGTGATAAATCATACCAATATTTAAAACATTTTGAAAAGCCAGTGGATGGCAATGATGGATGTGAGATGTTCTCACAATATAGTGTACCGGTGGAGTTCCGGTACTTTTTAGACGACAATAAATCTAATTTCAGAAAAAATACGTTTAATAATGATACCGTTTCTACGATTACTATTAATCTCCCAAGTACTCAAGAAATATCACCTACTCTTAATGAGTGTCATGAATTGTACAACGATACTTCCTTAGGAAAACAAGATTCTCAAGAGCATTTTGGTGAATCAATCGCTGTATCTGATATAGTCGATAAAAGGGATACATCTATTACAGAGAATCATGTATCACTCATGGATGAGTGTTCTATAAATAATTTGTCGAAAACAGAATTATCGTGTCAAAATACTGCACTTACTACTTTGGATGTTCGTGATGGTACAGTACATGAACCTGTAAAATGGATCGACACATTTCGGCAAAAACGAGGGTTAAAATATAAGCGAAAGGCAGATGATGAAAGTCATAATGTTTATGTTGGAACTAGAATTGAAGAAGATCATGTTAATTATGTGACTGCTTATAATATGTTGACAGGGATTAGAGTTGGAGTATTTTTTTCATAATTAAGTTTTTAATTGTCTAAAATGGATAGGTTTCGCGATGTACAGCAAAAGTGGATCGTGATCTTACAAGTACTGATTTTGTTGATTCATACAAATTTTCTTTTGATATGTATGTTTTTTTATTATATTATCTTTTCTGATTATTTAGAACGGGTAACGAATTGACGCCTTCTGCAAAGTATGATTTTAAATTCAAGGATTATTCTCCATGGGTTTTCCGTCATTTAAGGGCTCTGTTTCGACTTGACCCTGCTGATTATCTTATGTCTCTAACAAGTAAATACATTCTCTCTGAGTTAGGGTCTCCTGGAAAAAGTGGGAGCTTTTTTTATTTTTCACGCGATTATCGTTATATAATTAAAACAATTCATCATTCTGAACATAAATTTTTGCGTAAGATTTTAAAACAATATTATGAGGTATTTATATAAAACTATTTTGTGTCATGAGTTGATTGCGCTATAGCATGTCAAAAAAAATCCGAATACATTAATTTCTCAATTTTATGGTTTACATAGAGTAAAAATGCCATATGGACATAAAATTCATTTTGTTATAATGAACAACTTATTCCCTCCTCATCGTGATATTCATAAAACATTTGATCTGAAAGGATCTATTGTAGGAAGGGATTATAAGGAAGAAGATTTGGAGAAAAATCCAAGGGCAACTATGAAGGATTTAAATTGGATAAGAAGAGATATGTATTTGTCATTAGGCCCAAAAAAACGAGATATGTTTCTTGCTCAAGTAAAAATAGATATAGAGTTACTAGCGTCGTTAAATATTATGGATTATAGTCTTCTTATTGGTATACACGATTTGTCTTTAGGGAACAAGGAGCATATTCGAGACAATATATTGTCTGTGTTTAATCCTAATTCAGAGCAAATATATAATTCATTAAAACATGGTCAATCTGTTTCTAGTGCTAATGAACTTAGAAAAATTGTTTCAACTACTGGTCCAGTTTCTCTTAATTCCGCTTCAAATGAGTTTTTAGAAACTGATTTCACATTGTAAGTTTTGTAATAATTTTAATAATTGATAGTAATGTACTATTTAGGCGTAAAGATTTTATATTTTATAGTGATGATGGCGGTTTTAGAGCCACTCAAGAAAACGATCTTCCTGGTGATTCAATATATTATCTTGGTATAATTGATCTCCTTACTAAAGTATAACTTAACATTGAATGTACATTTTTAATGGTTTTAGTATAATGTAGTTAAAAGAATTGAACATTTTTGGAAAGGACTTTCACATTCAAAGGCGCAAGTATCTGCTATACCACCTTCTGGATATGCCTCACGGTTTCTCAAATTTATATCTTCTATTATCAAAACACCTCAATCAGTTGAAAGACATAAAGATTAGTTTTGAATACAAGAAAAAAATTATATTGAAAAAGGTTATTAATAAGTGTACGGGGAAAAACAATATTTATAAAATCGACTTTTTTGCATTTTAATTGATCTATTGTTGTGTATTTGCACGTTACTAGGGAAGAATTGTTAAAGATATAAAAAAGTCGGATTTGGTAAAACTGCAATAATAATGATACCTCTTGCATTTCTATGAATAATTTAACGAGCCTCTGCTCGCTACATTATGGAAATAGAATTTGCATAAAAGTTATAACAATAAAAGCACAACTGCATTACAATGCAGTTAAAATATTTTAAAGGTTGTCTTTGAATATATTAGAAAATACATACATATTTTAACTACTGTTAAAACTCTATTTATGAGCATATGTTTTATTAGTTTAAGTATTATTCCTTTTTGTTTAAATGTATATAGTTTTTATAATAAAATATTTTTTGGTAGATTAAGATATATTTATAGACAAATATGAATGTTTCTTTGAAATAAAAACATATTTGTGATACTGTAGTTGTTATGTAGTTGTTAGGAATTATTTTTTCTTTTTATTGAGTTTATTTTTCTTTTTATTTGTATGTATATTCTCTTCATTTTTTCTTTTTTCTTTAATATCATTTGATTTTGAAATAACCTATATATTGTATTAATATTAAAAGAAATTATAAAATTTATTTGCCTTAAAAAAACCATCTAAACGTATTTGCTGGGCTGATTTTAATGTCTTTTCTAATCGTACAATACCATTATTTACTCTTTCTTCACTAAATCCTTTTTCTTTGACTAAGAAATCTAAAAGGCCTTCTGCATCCGGGCTTTCCCATTTTAATTCAAAAGTTTCTGGGTCAGTGATATCTGGTTTTAAGAACAGTTCTCTTGCATCTTTATATGGCCAATTTTCGGGTATGTGATATTTAGATTTGTCAGCAAAATTTATAAATGCATCTAAAGATTTATATTCTCTAATTAACTCGAGCGCTCTTTTTGGACCAATTCCTTTAATTGGTTCACAATAATCACATCCTAAAAGAATACAAAGATCTACAAACTATTTTTTTAGTTTATAGTGTATAAAATATGAAACTATTACTTGTTCTAGTGGCATATTTAGCTCTTTTAATGCTTTTTCTAAATTAACTTCTGTTATAGGTTCTTTTTTTTGTTCACTAAAAGTCAAATGTCGAAGTAATATAGGTGTAGAAAAACAAAGTATATCCATATCCTCAGATGCAGCAGCGTAGACCTTAAAACATTATTTTAACAAATATACGAAATGTAAATACCTTTCCAGCTTTAGCAAGAGCCGCACATTGTGCTTCTGCTTCACAAGGTGCGTCAACATATGGTATGCCCATTAGCTTTAATAACTTTTTGCATTCTTCGTTATGTTCCCGAGTCATACGTACTGTTCTTCTGCTAAATTTGTTCATATCTTCTATAGAATCCGCTTCTTTTGCTTCTAGATATGATTTGGCTGCCTTTTCTCTTCTTTCTGAGCGTTTTGCAAGCTTTTATTATTTTATAATGATCCTTAATAATCTAAAGACACATACCTCGCCACTTTTCAATTTAGGTGGAGTTCCATCAAAGACATAACATGGTCTTAGGGTATGTTTTAAAAAAATCTTTTTTTCTTATTTTAAAAACTAACCTGATACCATTATCACACATCCTTAATGTTCTATAAAAGATCCCCATTAAATGGCTTTAAATAATATCAGATTCTATTTGAAAAAATGAAAAAATCAAAATTATTCAACCTTGTTGTTTCTCCTGTTTTATTCATTAATTGTTGTCCATCTCTTTGACGAACTGCAACTAAAAACTTATATATTAATTAATTTTTTATAAAAAGTTATTAGAAATGCAAAAAAAAAACCTGGTAAATACTCATAGAAGCATCCTAATAAATAATTATTAACTTGTTATTTTTTATTTAAAAAGAGTTACAATTGCTACTTTTCGTCCAAAATAATGATCAATATCATATGATTTGATAGATGACGATGCAAATTCCTCAAGAAGTTGATGAAGATGTCTAATTCCCATTTTATTTTGATTTTTATATTATTTTATAAATTTGCCGTTTCAAAGTACGTGAGTTTTCAAAAAATTGGGTTCATTAAGTATAATTGTTTTGTTTTTTAACAGAAAAGAATAAAAATAATGATAAAATGATGTTAAGATATTGATATTTTTGAAAAAAATATTTTTATGAGTATTTTTTGTACTCTTGTTTTCTTAATGAATTTTAATGTTTTTTAAATTCATATATTTACTTTAAATATTTGTTATGTATTATATAATGTATATATATGTATTGAGGTTTTAAATAGTTTTCTAATGTAGGAAATGCTGAAATATATTTACATGTTTTTTTAAAAAAAACCTAAATAATTAAAGGAATTACTTGGATTAATTTACTTTCTAGAATTTTTATAAGTCCAAAATTGAATTTTAGTATTTTTGTAAAAATAGGAAATAAATGTCTTTTTAAATATGTAAATAATTTACAATGCAGTAAAATAAAGATGGATAAGCAAAATAATGAGTGATACGAAATATTAAAAGAATACGGATTCCTGTGTAACGTTCCATAATTAATATGATATAATAAAATGAGTATATGTAATTATAGTGGCAATTTTGGGTCATTATATTTAAGGGTTGATTGACTATTTTGTCCTAGTAAGAATTTTGCATGTCAAATCTTCTAATGCAAGCCGAGAAGGTGACATTGGAAATAAATTAAGAGCATCTAGTGCTTTTCTGGAAAACTTTTCCGCTAATTCTTTTGTTTTTTGTAATCCATGGCTCTTTAGGACCAATTCATAAGTCTAGATATGTTAATATGAACAATAGTTAAATAGCTTAATACTCGATATATATCTCCTGTATTAGAAAAATTCCGTTTTATAACAGGGCCTAGCTCAGGGTATTTCTCCCATGCAAATAAAACAGGAGCTGTTGCTAATCCAAGTTTTAAATCCATATTTACTGGTTTTCCAAATGCTTTTTCAGAAACAGTGTAATCTAACATGTCATCTGTTAACTAATGATATAAGAATTTATCGTTATAAATATTAATGAATTACTTGAAATGCTAGACCAAGATTTTTGCCATAAAGATAAGCGTTATCTGCTATTTCAGTAGTACAACCACCAAGCAATGCACTAGCTCTACAACTTTTTGCTATTAGACTTGCTGTTTTTAAGTATGTTTTTTTCAAGTAATTATTTAAAACATCGTCAAAAATCAAACAATTTCCTTCCTCTTTATTTAAAATTCCTTTCAATTGCATAAATTCCCCTTCTACAAGATTTGCTATCACAGTGGCTAAAAGTTCAATTACTTCTGCATTTCTTAAACGAGCAAGTGCAAGAGATGCTCTACCAAGAAGATAATCTCCTGCTAGTATTGCCATCTTATTTCCAAACACATGGTTTCCACTTGGCATACCTCTTCTGACTTCGGAATTATCAATAACGTCATCGTGAAGTAAAGATGCTGTATGAATCATCTCTGTAATTTCCGCAAGTCTTCTTTGAGATGGATGAATATCAGTCTCTATTGTATCCATTGTGATTTGATATGAAGATAACGGTTGATCTGGATCGTTGTCGTTTACAATATTTGTAGATGATATAGGATTGTTATATTTATGATACATTCCGTTATTCCAGTTTTCAATTTTTGGAGCACGATTTGTTGCTTTTGATATCAAAAGAACAATAAGTGGCCGAATATGCTTTCCTTGTGTTTGAATATAATAATTTGCAACATTACGAAGGATAGGATGGCAAGAATCAAATAACTTTCGAATATTGTGCGTTAAATGAGACATTTCAGATTCTACTAGCTTTATTTGATTGGTATATAGGCCTGTATTCATTTCTTCTGTGGTTTTTGATGAAAATTTTAATGTTTCGTACATATTTGAAACCCACCCTGTAGATTTCATTATAAAGCGCTTTTGAGACCATTTTATGACTAAAATAAAACATTTTTTATTTCGAGCAGTCGCATATTTCCTTATAAAAGGTTTTTGTGTTATTTTTTTTGTAAAAAACATGAAAAAATTGATTTTTTGTTTTTTGAACGTTGAAAATCAAGATGAATGAAGACTTACAAATAAATGTAATGAAAATTATGAATCCTAATTTTTCTTCGACAATGAATTGGGTTTACTCTTTATTTTTTTATTAGAAAAAGGGTTTATGGATTTTTTTGAAACATATATATCGTAAAAATTTAGATTTGTATTTTAAATTGATGATATGAAATCTAAAAGACAAAGTATAGATTAGAAGATGTATATTATTTGCATTATAATATAAATATATTATGTTTTATAGTGTTTGGTTATTTTTATAATTTTATAAGATTAAATGTTATATGTTTTTGAAAGTAATTTTTTTTGTTTTAAAAATATAAAAGTATATTTTTTGTTTTTTATTAAAAAAAACATTTAGAAATGCCAAGAATTATAAAAACTTTCTAGATGTATATTTCGTTGATTTATTTGTCTATATTTTGATAAAAAGGGGAATAATCTAAATTATTTTGATGACAAATCAGTAAATAATGATTTTTAATCTACTTTTAGTAGCTTTTTCTTTGAGTAAAAAAGTAAGTATTGATAAGTTAAATTAATAAAATATATGAATTAAAACTAGTTGATCTAATGATACTTGTAAAAATTTTATAAAATTTGTGATAAAAATTGTTTGTATGAAATTGATTTCTTCTATTTTATAAGTTTGTATGAATAGTTAGTTTTTCATTTTGAGTAAATGGATAATATACATTAATAGTATCAACAGAATTAATAATATAATTCTAAAGCTTTATATTACTAAGATTATTTGAATTGGTATTATAATATAGCCGTTTAATATTTTATTCATGATTGTAAATATTCTTTACTATAATAGAATATTTAATTTTTGAAGATCCAAAACTCATTATCAGCTTTTTAAAAAGCTCTTTTAAAATTAAGAGTCATTGATGATCATATTTAATGAATTTTTATTGTGACTTTTATAAATATATTTGTTAAAATTAGAATTTTAATTATTGTATAAATATTTTTGGTATTCTTTTTAATATTTATAAGAATATATGATTGTCATTTTTATATTCAACTTATAAAAATATATGATTTTTGTTCCAAAATATTTAACGAATTCTTTTTTCCCCAAAACTAAAAAAGATTATCTTTTTGTAGGTTATAAATTCTTTGAGATAAGAATCAGTTTTTATGATAATATCAGATAAGTATATACTTTAAAAAAGAATGTTTTTTAACAATACTATGTCAAAGATTGTTCTTCTGGAGGAAGATAAGCAACAATTTTTCCTGATGCTGATCCTCCTACGACCCAATCTTGAGTTGGATGAAATTGACATACAGCTGGAACGGCTGTGATTTTTTCACTATCACCTAGGCAAGAAAGATAAATGCCTTTGCTGCTATAAATATCTATATATCTTGTATGATATATTAGTTTAAAGTTTGGAATTATTAATAATATACCTTTGCATATTCCCTATTGTGAATTTTTGTATACCAGAAGACGGATTTTCATGCCATTGAGCACGTAAAATTGTGACCCATCTTCCTGTCTGATTGTTATGCTTAATAGTATATGTAGGTGATAAGTCATCTAGACTTGTATTAACGTTCCACAATTTATAGTTTGGATTATCAAAAATTGTAACTGTATCATCATAACTTGTTGCAATAATTGAACCTTCGGAATTCCAGAATGCTGAGCTGACACTTAAACGTGATGTATATACGCCTAGAGGTATTGGTTTCTTGGAATTATTAATTGTACGAAGATCCCATATTTTCATTGTACGATCTAAAGAGGCAGTGCAAATAAGATATGGAGAAGATGGATGGACAGAAAGTCCACCTATTTTTTTATCATGTAATTGATAAGATGTCACGTTTTGAGAATTAAGGTCTTTCATTATAAATTGTCCATCAGTTGTAGTAAGATATATTTGATCTCCTTTAGGATGGACAGTTAATGCAGAAATTAAAGGCATCACATTTAAGCTATTGTTTTGTTGAACGTATATTTCCGTTGATAGTTCTTTGTCTAAGTGTAAAGCGCGAACTATACCATCATATGATGAAGAATAAAGTATATTTGTAGAAAAAGGATTAAATTTAAGTGATGAAATAGACCCTGAATGCAGCTTATAATGGTGAATCAATGGCTCTTCTAATGCTTCTTCTTCATCTTCATTTTTTATTTTATTTGTTTTGGAACCATCCATATCCCAAATACCCATATTACCAACTTTATCTCCTGCAAATACGATTTTTTTAGTTATATTAGGATGGATAGTAAGAGACGATATTCTTTCTGGAACAACTTTTAAGTGTTGTGGGTCCCATTTTTTGTATAATTCAAGTGATTGCATTTTTTGTTTCAATTGAGCAATATCTTTATCTATAATTTCAGTAGACTCATTTTTTTCGTAAGATTTAAGTGTACAATATGTTACATCCTGAATCACTTTCTTAGCATCTTCCCAATCATAGGATTTTTCGATAATCTCGCTTAATTTTAAATCCCCATGTACGCGCTTTGTTTGTTGTGTTTCTTTTTTTAGATTTGTTTCTTCTGATTTATTGTTTATAAGATCTAACTTTAACGATAATCCAAGAAGCCTAGATGAATTCCTTCTAGGAAAAGTGCTATAATCTTTTTTTCTTTCTTTTTTTTTATCTGAAGTTCTCTTTTTTGTAGAATTGGCTTCAATATTTATTTTTTTTTTTAAAATATTGCCTAATTCAAGTTTTCTAACATAATATTACAAAGCTTTAAAAGAATGTTTTATAAATACTTTAAAAGCTCTTGATTCCTTTTAATATTCAGCTGTCTTTGACGCTCATATTCATTAATTTCTTGCATTTTAGAAGTCGATTAATACGTTTTTTAAAAAAATGTAATTATTTCTTTGGAAAAAACATTCCTAAATAAAGAAAATTAAAATAAAAAGTTTTAAATTCTTTGTATAATATGAATATTTTTAAATAATCTTAGTATTTGGTTTAATGATAGTTTGATTTTAATATATACGTTTTAGAGTTATTGAATTAATAATAATTATATAAAAGATATTTTCGTGTTTTTTATTCTTTTAATAAATATTTATTTTTATATTAGCTTAATTTTTTCTTTAAGTTTATCTTGAGTTCGTGTTATCTGTTTAAATTTTGCAATGGATTTATAATATAAAATGATTTAGTAAAAATAAAAAAAGGATATAAAATCTTAAAAATATAAATTATGAATGAAAATATGTTTGGGGTTTTTTTTTCTAGTTTTAACAAAATATTGAATAGTTCTATACAAAAAAAAGTGAAAATTCCTATAAGATCTATATCATATATAACTAAGTCTCGCTTGCAAAGTATATGGTTTATAAATCTAGATAAAAAAGTATTTTTTTGCAATGAAATATCAAGAATTATGCATTTTTCGACTTATATTCATTTAAGTAATATTATAAATTCATCTGTTTCAAATTTATACCAAAATCGTAGTTTTTCTAAAGATATAAATCAGAATGATGTTAAAGATTCGGAATGGTATTCTTATTATAAGAAAACAGAAGAAATTATGTCTAATATAGAAATTGATATGGAGCTTCATGAATTTATTGAAAAATCAATATTTGAACCTTTTAAAAAACAATTATTAGAAAGCAAAATTAATAAAGGAGTACAGGAACATCCTGTCTTTCAGTCGTACTCTTTGTTGCTTCGGAAAGCAATGGAAATATTTCGATTAGAGTTTCGAGATTATGTATCTGTGATCACAATATTTGAACGTATTAAAAGTTATGGTCCAGAGTCATTTGTTATGGGGTGTTCATCTGATGTATATAATGAAGTGTTAACAGCACGATGGGAAGGATGGTATGACTTGTTTGAAATTGAAAATCTTTTAAAAGAAATGAAAATGAACTGTATTATAAGAACAAAAAAAACTTTAGAAATTCTTGAAAAAATTATACAAGATCTTCAAAATATACATTTTCAGAAACAGCTTGCAAATGATGTTTTTTTATCAAATAATAACGGCACATGTCTTGAGCGTTTAAATATCATATATAAGGAAATTTCAGAAGAAGTTTCTAAGGAAAATATATGATTGTTTCGATAAAAGAGAAATAAACTTATTTTTGATCTATTTATTCAATTCTTATAAGGTCTGTAATTATATAAACTGTTGTATATGATTTGGTTTATTATATATATGGGTTTATTGTTTTTTTTTATCATATTTTAGATTTATTTACAAGTGCTCATGTTTTCTTGTTTTTGTTTATCAAAAATAAGTCATATAATCTTCAATGTACTTAATAGTTTGATTTTATTTATGGATTTATAAGGTATAAATATACACAGTTACATTCTGTGTCGATCGACGGTGTTAAAAAATAAAATTTAAAGTGTTTTTTAAGAAAGAATAATTCATAAAACTTTTAGAAAGATTTATATAAAATGCTTTTTAAGAGAGTTTTTGGTGTTCCTGTTTTTTCTCGAAATTTTATATTTCAAAATAGAGCAAATATTAGGGAAATAGATATAAAATATGTACCAAGTCGATTTTATTCTGAAGAACATTTGTCAAAAGAAGACATTGAAAAACGTATTATAGATATAGTTAAGAGTTTTGACAAAGTTACTGATCCATCAAAAGTAAGAATATTGTGTTAAAGGGGACAAAAAAAGATTATTTCTATATATTATTTAAAAGCCCTATTTATATTTTATATTGGTCTATAAGACATCAATTAATAGTTTTTTAGATTACACCTACATCGAGTTTTTCAACTGATTTAGGGCTGGATAGCTTAGATACTGTTGAAGTTGTAATGGCCATTGAAGAAGAGTTTAATATTGAAATTCCAGATAAAGAAGCGGATGAAATACAGACTGTTGGCCAGGCAATTACATATATTTCTAACCATCCGGATGGTATATTTTTCATATTTTTGAAATTATGTTGGCTAATTTCTGAATAATAGCTCGTTGATGTTTTTATCATCTCTGTATCTTTTAAATTATTTGTGACTTTAACATTTAAATTATTCTTAAGTCTCGCATCTCTTGCTGTTGATTTTCTGTATTATTTTTTATATTTTTTTATTTAAATTAATATCATTTATATCTTATAGAATTTATTTTTTTTGTACAACATAGTTTCATATTTAAAAAAAAGAAAAATACTACTTGAGGTTGCATTTTGCTTTTTAAGCATGGTCTTTTGAATGTCTTTAAGATACATGTTTTGATATCGCTTTAAAAATTGAAATATAAATTATTATTTTTTATTTTTTAGCGTTCGCTTTTTAGAAAGATATGAACTTTATCAGAATTTCGGATTTTACTAAAATTTCGAATTTCTTTTGACTGAACTTATATTTTTCAATTATATGTTTGTTATTTATGTCTGGTGAACATAGACATTGTTTTTTTGCTTTCTGAGAGTCTGTTTTTATTTATTTTAGGTGAAAAAAATGATAATGAAAGTATTTAAATTAATAAAGATAAAAGTACCTAAAAGTTTACTTAAATTGCTTCTTTTAGACGTATTTAGATATTAGGGGCTTAGTCATGTCTTCTGGGCTTTCCCGTCGCCGTGTTGGCAACTCTAATTTAAATGGATCAGTTGAAACATCACAATTTTCTAATTATCAAGAAAAGAATCTAAATAGTGCATCTCAAGGATTAGAATATCATAATTTTGATAAAGTAGATCATAAGGTTGTATGTGATCCCTTGGATATTATGGAAGATCAAGAAAGAAGTAAACAGCCGTGTCTTACGTTGATGGAGGAGGTATTGCTATTAGGTTTAAAAGATAAGCAGGTATTGGTTCATTTAAGGCGTTAAATTCCATGAATGCAGTGTTTTCTAAAGTTTTAAAGGGTTACTTGCCTTTCTGGAATGATAGTATTTCGTATATTCTTCGGGGATGTATTATTCTGGAGTTAGCATTTAGAGGACGTATTCAAATGTGCCGTGACTCACTCAGAAGACGTTATCCTTTATCAGAATGCTTGATAGAAGTGGTGAATGATAAAGTAACGGGAGAGGTTTTGTTAGATGAGACTCTTAAAATGATGAAAACAAGTGAAAAGATGACAATTAGTTCTTGGGTGAATCTTATGAGTGGTAATTTAAGATGCTTAATTCATACGTATTGAATAATTGTTTTTCAGGTGAAACGTGGAATTTTATGAAGATTGGATATCAATTAAAACAAGTTCGTGAGCGTTTAGCGAAAGGCTTAGTTGATAAAGGGATTCTTCGTACTGAGAAACGGAATTTTTTATTATTTGATATGACAACACATCCTATATCGAATAATATGGTTAAAGATGATATCCGTAATCGTTTAATAGTTATGCTTACGGCTCCTACAATCGTTTTACCTAATAGTGTGTTTTTCCCCGAAACGATCCCAATGAAACATCTTCGTGTTATTTCTTTAGTTTGTGCTGCTTATGCTGCAAATGTTTTAGAAAATGTTTTTTCATTTTCTGACTATGAGATTCGAGAACGTGCTTTTAATCGTGTTGATGAATTTTTTAGGGATTTCTCTCAATGGCCTTTTACAATTAAATACAGTAGTAATATTGGCTGTATGAACTCCAGTTTAGCAAATGTTGTAGCAGAAGAAATATGTGGAGGGAAAGATAAAGAATTACAACTCGAGGTAGTTGCTGCTGTTCTTCAAAGTATGTTTTTTCTATATTTGTTTTAAAAAATAACATTTATAGTATTCACTCGTTTCGATTGTATATTGTAATTGCTTTATACAATATTTCTGGGTCTTTGTCTATAATATCATTCTTTATTTTGTTTATTCTTTAATAAACTAGATTGTTTTTTTTCTATTAATGGATATTCATATTTTATTATTAATTACTTTATATCTTTTATTTGTTTATGATATAAAAACTGTTTTTATGATCATTTTTCATTCATTAATTATTTTAAAAAAATATATAATTTGATATGCATCTTTATATTTTTTCGCATTTTTTCTTATCTTTCAAAGACTTATACTTTTAAAAAAAGAAAACTGAAAATTAAATAAAATTATCATTATTTTATAGTATGGTCTCTATTTTATCTGAAAGGCAATATACTGAGAAAGATGCTATTTATTCTGGACTTAAATCTATGATGGTTTCAGGTTCTGCAGGGTTGATATTTTCTGCTGTTCAGAATGCTATAATGAAGGATCCTGGGACTATGAAGAATGCTATAAAACGTGCAAGTGGAACAGTTGGAACATTTGGTACTTTTTCTGCTTTTTTTCGGAAAACTTATTTTTTTAGCTATTGTAGGAGGATTATTTTCATTTACTCAGGCTTTTGTTTCTAATCTCCGAAGAAAAGATGATTCACTGAATCCGTTTATTGGAGGACTTGTTTCTGGTTCTATTGGTGCTATACGAGGTATTTTATAGGCGTTTGATATAGTGATACACAGAGTTGATGATATTAGCACGGTCTTTTTCTGCAATGGCTGGCTATGGTTTGGGTTTTGCATGTATTTTGGGTTTTTTTGATTGGTGTGGAGGGACTTTAAATGGACTCTATCGTGATTTTTATGGTGAAGATACAGGGAAATTGAAGGAAACACTTTTTAAGACGGAATACAGACGACCCAGATCAGAGATTGTCAAAGCAATTGGGGGTGGACGTGGTGTATAAATGAATCAAATATCTAGAATGTCGTTTTTATGCTTATTATGTATATTTATATATTAATATTTCTAATTTATGTTGAAATTAATGGTTTTTTAAAACTGGTCATTCATTTTTTTGATTTGTCAAGATCATTAGGTGTGTTAAAATAAAATGGAGGAATTTGAGTATTTTTGTTGTGTATTAGGAAAAAAGATGAATAGTTAGTATATAGTTTTGTTTTTATTATTTAAAAACATTATATATGGAGAAATTGCTTATAAACAAAAGGTTTATTATATTGCTTCAATTATTTTTTTCTGTAATATTAAATAGATATGTTTCTGGTATACTTTTTAGTATTTTTTTTTTTATTATTTATTTTATATTTTGGATATATAAGTCTGAGATATTGCAGTTAATATCGATGATGCCGTTGAAAGATGCACCACAAACTTATTCTGTTTTTTTATCAAAAAAAAGAAGTATTTTACTTATTTTTTATAATATTTCAATTGATTTGATGATTTAGTATTGGACAATAGAATTATAGAGCTTTCTCGGCTTCCAAATGGTATAGAAAAAGACCAATTGATAGAAGAAATTGGTCGTCAAATTCAAGATTTAAATGACACAATAGCAAAGTCTTCTTCACTGCTTACAAGCTATGACAATCGTATACTGAAGGAGGTTGCATTATTTTGCTATATTTTGGCGCTGAATATAATGTTAAAATAGCAATTGGACAAATTATATATATCTTATCTGTCAATGAAAAAAAATGCACGACCTAAGCTGCATTTTGGGTTTAAAACATGTTCTGGGATAGATTATGATCAAAAAGAGACCGATAAACAGAGTACTATAGAGCCAAGTAGGATTAGATTTATTTTTGAGAAAAAGTTTAAAAGTAACTTTGGTAGTCTCTATGTTCTTAGATAACTCGGTTTTGACACAGTCTGAAACACATTTTTTACATATAAAAGAAAAGATTCATTTATATAAAGGATGCCAGAATAATAGTGTTAATATATCGAATGCGTTATTGTGTGTATATTTAGTACATGAATTAGAATGGCATAGTTTAAATGTTTGTCATTTTAGGAATAGTTTTGTTTTGGCAAATGGTATTTATGGGCCTGCATGTATTTCTGATTGTCAAAACTGTACTTTTATTGTTTTTTGTCATCAAGTAAGTCTAATCATTCACAAAAAGTAAATATCTTATAAACTAAGCTTCGAATGCATGATTGTAAAAATGTAGATGTGTTAATATCTTGCAAATCAAAGCCAATAATAGAAAACTGTACTGGAATTAGATTTGGACCTAATCCGTATGACAAAGTATGTTTTGAATATAAATAGCTTCCTATATTAAATTCAAAAAGGATTCTTATGAAACATGGAATGAAGTTCAAGATTTCGGATGGCTAAAACAAAGTAAAAGCCCAAATTGGGATATTATTCCAGAAGAGGATCGTTGGGAAGCTAGTAAATGGGAAAATATAATTCATGACAAAGAAGTATCTGACATCATCAATCTTATTTGTCGAAAATAAAAATGATGTATAATTATCTAAATATTTTATATGTCTCAGATCCAGTGAGTATATATAAAATATTTGCTAAGAAATGATTAAAGATGTTTCCTTTGCGATCTTTTTTACTTTTCAATTTTGGTTAATTATAACTTTTTCGGGTTTTTTAGGCTTTTTATTTTTTTGTCCATCTGTCACGTCTTTATCTTTAATTTCTTTTGTATTTTTTTGGGATTTTGATTCATCCTCTTCAGGTATTTTTAATTCCTTAATAGGTTTTGATTCTTTTGTTTCTTTTTTCTCAGTTGTTTTCTGTAAATGAGCATGTTCTTTATTTTCTAATTGTTCACAAGCTTGTTTTGTATTTTGAGTTACTTTTGTATTTTTTTTCCCAGAATTATCTTTTGGACTTTTATTTTCTTTTGGTTTTGGATTTTTGTTATTAGTACGATTTGTATTTTGTTTTCCCCCTCGTCCACGTCCCTTTTTTGTAGAATCATCTGTTCTTGAAGATTTTGAGCAATAAATGTTTCAAAGATAAATATACACACCTTTCGATTTTTACTTTATCGCCTTTTGGTATAAGTGGTCCTGAAAATACAAAAAAACCGTCTTTTGATGCAGCAATTTCTTCCAAAAATAGCTCAGAATCATCAATAAAAGGATCAAGAGTATCGTATTCTTCTTCCTGAATTCTCCTTTTCCGTTTTTTCGGTTCTATAAAAGGCTCTTGATTTGGATGTTCATTTTCTTTTTGTGCAACATGCTGTTTGGATTTCCCGTCATCTTCCATATTAGATTCTGATTCGTCTCCTTCATCTGACTCCGCATCATGATCAAATTTCGATAACCCAAGTTTTGTTAAATTTGCAGCTTGCAATGGATGTAATGCTGCCCATCCATATTGTTTCTCTGCTTCACGAGCAAAGTTTACATAAACATTTATTTGTCCTTTTAAAGGAACATGAATACGAATTGATGGTTTTTCTTTTATAGTAACGCAATTACTTGATAACAGATTGTTTGTAGATGTTCCTCCTGATATAGGAGATGATAATGAGTTTTTTGATTGAGAAAGTGCTGAAAGCGAATATTTAGATTGGGGAGCTATAGTTGGCTGCTTTTCTCGTTCAAAAATAGGAACAGAACGCTCCTGTTCCTCTTCTTTAACTGATTCATTTGTATTGTTTGTTAAAATAGAGACTTCCGGTGATAATAATAAAGTTTTTTGTTGTTGGCTTGGGAATTGTTCATTATTTATTGTATGAATCTCGTTTAAATGTGCTAAATCTTCTAATACTGTCTTTTGATCAGCAATGCTTTGTATATTGGTATTCTGATTGTCTTTTTCTGTCTTTTTGTTGGAATCGGACATCTTTTAACATAGTTCGTAAAAAATGGTGCTTCGAATGTTAGAAATAAATTGATAAACGTTTATATTTTAAAATAAAATAAAAATATATAATACTTCCTTTGTAGATGTTAGATGATCTTATGTGTAAAAACAGGTTATGAGTATATGATATAGTGTATTAAGAAAAAATGAATTGAAGAATGTTTTTTAAATGTTCCTATGTTTGAAAAATATATTTATTTTTTTGGTGAACTACTTGAAATAAATGTTTTTGTGTCATTAGTATTCTAAAACTCGCAATATTGATACCATCTTGGAAAAGCTACAACATCTTTTACATTTTTTATTCCGGCCAAGTAAGCAATAAACCGGTCAAATCCGAGTCCAAAGCCACCATGTTTGGTTGCACCCCAGCGTCGAAGGTCAACATACCATGATAAATTTGATATTTTCATTTTAGAGGTAATAATTGATTGCTCAAGTATATCTATACGTTCTTCGCGTAAACTTCCTCCTGCTAATTCTCCTATTTCTGGTACAAGAAGATCAAAACAAGAAACAGTATTTCGCTCTTCATCTTTAGAAGAGTCGTTATTAAGACGCATGTAGAAAGGTTTTAATTCTTTTGGATAATTTATAATAAAAACTGGTTTGCATATATATTTTTCAGTTAACCATTTTTCGTGCTCTGCTTGTATGTCATTTCCGTATTCTGGAGGGAATTTAAACTGAACTGATGAGTTTTTTAAAGCATTAATTGCTTCTGTATATGTAATTCTAGCCCAGTGTTTTTTTAGTAAAAAATTCCAGCGATCTTCAAGATTTGTTTGGTTTTTTGTACTTATTTTATAGCTTTTAGAAACCAGTTCTTGTCCAATAGAACTGTTTCTTAAATTTTCTACTGAATGATAGATCATCTGTTCTATAACAGATATTAATTCTTCCAGGTTATCAATAAAAGAAATCTCTGCTTCTAACATATAAAACTCCGCTAAGTGTTTTGATGTTTGACTTTCTTCTGCTCTAAATATTGGACTTAAAGACCATACTTTTGATAATGAATGCGCCAGTGCTTCTAAATGTAGTTGCGTTGAAACTGTTAAATATACTGGTTTTTTGAAAAAATCTGTTAAACCATCTTCAGTTTTTGCTAGGAATATCTTTCCTGCACCTTCACAATCAGATGATGTTAAGATAGGAGGATGTGTTTGAATATAATTTCTATCAGAAAAAAATAACGATATGGTTGATATCAAAAAGGATCTTAGGCGTAACAATTTAGACATAGATTCTGTACGTAATCTAAGATGTGGTTTTTTTCTAAGGAATTCTGCAGTGTGATTTTTTTTTTGCAATGGATATGACTAAAGTAATAAGTTAAAGTAAAAATACAGAAAATGAATACTGATGGGTCAGCATATCCGTATACGTGTACATTATTAACATGAAGCTCGTATTCTTGTTTTTCTTTTGATCCTCCTTGTGCTTTTATATATGATCCCGTTAATTTTACACTACAGCCTATTGATAATCTGATTTTATAATTATGTAATAGAAATATAAAACAATAAAATACCTTTTTGCTTGCTCTGGCCTAAGTACCGTCTGTAGGCTTTTTCCTGTTGTTCCATCATTAATAGTTGCAAATGTTACATTTTTCATTTTTCTTAAAGATTTTATCCAGCCATTGACTATAATAGTTTCAGCTGGTATTGTTTGTTTTTCATATATTTCTTTAATACTATAGACATTGGGCAATTTGACATTATGTATTCTTTTCTTATAACAGTTTATGAGTATATTTCTTTTATAAATACTATATAGTTGCATTTTAAATTATTTAAAAGATTTAGTGAATTTTTTAGAATTTTATAAACTATCTTTTTAATTTTAGACTATATTCAAAATAGCTGCTTAAGTCTTTTTTTATCAAATACAATTGTTCTTTTTTGGTTTTTTAAAAGTAAAATGTAATTTTCATTTTTAGTAGGATTGCTGAAAATAGTTTTTTGTTGATTTAATATGAAAAGTTGATGTATTTATAATAAATTGATTGATTTTATTTCTTTAGAAATATGATTTAATTTGTATTTTTTTCGAATTATATAAAATTATTAGTAATCATGGTTAATAAAAATCTAATGATAAATTGTTTTTAGCTCTTATTATTAAATAATTGATAAAATATGTTTTTTTAATTTTTATTTTCCTCTTTTTTTATATGTATATTGTTATTGATATTTATGATAGTTAAGTTTTATCGACTGTATTTTATAATAAAACTGGAATTGGTTCAAAAAATATATAATAATAGATAATTTTATATATACCTTTTTTAAGATAAAAGTGTATAGTTATATATATATATGTTTCTTTGAATCAAAAAAACAAACATATTAAATATTATTGTTTAAAAAATCTTTGATATTCAGTATAAATATTAAAAATGTTCTTAATGACTTTCAATAAGTTTTAAAACAGTCATTCAAATTAGTGAATAAGTATAAATATAGAATAAAAGTGTTAAGTGAAATCAATTAAATATAAAGTCTAAATTTTGATATATATATTCACATAAAAAATACATAAAAAGATCTTTCTTAAATAACCATTTCATATTTTTTATAAAAAAATAATACTTATTCACCTTTATACATTTTAGACATAATATACGTGAATATTATATAACTTAATATATTTGTATACGAAAAATTGAATATTGTGGATTTTCGCAACATCAAGCGTTGACCGTTAAAATTTTTGATAAAAAATATTATTAAAAAAGCATTAAAAAACTAAATCTGACACGTAAAGCTTTGTTTTTACTGAAGGGAAACGCAAAGCAGGTTTTCTGTGTGTTTTTAAGGAAATTTAAACGATAAAATATTAAGGAATTTAGGAAACGAAACATTTAGTTTGAAATATATAAAAAATCAATGGAATCTCATCCGAATGGGGGACAAACTTCAAATTCATCACGTGGGGATCAAATTTATGAAAATTTAAGAACACCTGTAACTCCATATTTTCCGGAAAATCCACAATTTCTGGTACCGGAATTGCCAGAACAGGCACGGCAAAATATGCCACCACCAATGACACATCCTCAATTCCAACAGTATGGAAATTCATCATCATCCCAGCCTGTTGATCATAGATCTTTTTCTGATAATGTTCAATCAACGGGATCTCAAACAAAATCAAAACGGAGATATGCTTCACATCAATATGATTTTAATGGCCCAGATACTAGTATAGATAGGAACTATATGTCTCCAAATTTAAATTCCCAGGGGCAGTTTGCACCTTTAACGTATGTTATCATACTAAATTTTATTACATTAAGCCTTTTAGTCAAGGATATTGGCCATCTAGTCCTTATCCAAGTATAGATACTGTTTCTAATCAGTTTTCTCATATGAGTATGGAGTCTCCATTACAGCAGGTTTCTTTTTTGTTTTTTATTGTAAACACGATTTAATTGTTTCTGTTAGAGTCCTATTACATCCGGGTTTTCTCTTAACCCTTTAATTTCTGTAGATTTAATAGGACATCCACCCGACATTTTGGATTTAAAGCGTCCACCGCCTTCACTTATTTTGCCTTCTAATGTATATGTTTTTTGGGTGATTTAATTTAATCCTAACTTGGACCAGGCATCTTTAATGCAAACAGAAAAAACAAATTGTGGTCCAGAATACTTACGATCTACTTTAAATGCAATACCGAAAAACAACAATCTTCTTAAAAAGTCCAAGCTTCCCTTCGCATTGGCAATTCGTCCCTTTATTATGCTTACGGATGAGGAGGAAAATGTTCCTTTAGTTTCTGATACTATTATTGCTCGTTGTCGTAGATGTAGATCGTATATAAATCCTTTTTCTATATTTATTGACAGTGGACATCGTTGGAAATGTAATCTTTGTTCCATGACTAATGATGGTAAATAAGGCTTTTTTATAATCAAGTTCTTATTTTATACAGTTCCTTCTGCTTTCTCTTGGGGTCAACAAAATAAACAAATGGATCAATGGAAACGTGCAGAGCTTACTCACGCCGTTGTTGATTTTTTAGCACCTAGTGAATATATGGTAATTTATTTATGTCTTTTTTTTTTTCTATTTATTAATTTTTTAGGTTCGGCCACCTCAGCCTCTTGTATATGTGTTTTTAATTGATGTTTCTTATCCTGCTATAATGTCAGGTAATTTGCCTTAATTTTTGATTAAGTTTCTAAGAAATTAGGTATGGTAGCAACAGCTACTCGTACAATTCTTGAGTCTCTTGATTGGATTCCAAATCGCGATCAACGAACAAAGATTGGATTTATTGCAGTGGATAGTTCATTACATTTTTTCAATCTTTCTAGTAAGGATCAAGAACCATCTATGCTTGTTGTTAGCGATTTAGATGATCCTTATCTTCCTCAGCCTAGTGATCTTTTAGTTAATATTTTTGAATCTCGGAAAAATATTGAGATCTTATTAGAAAAATTTAATGATATGTTTAAGAATACTCAGAATTCAGGGAATGCTATGGGGCCCGCTCTTAAAGCTGCTCGTAAACTTATTCAGAGTGTTGGAGGAAAAATTGAGTGTTTGATGAATAGTTTGCCTACATTAGGTGATGGGAAACTTTCTGTAAGAGAAGATATCAAGTTCTATGGAACTTCTAAAGAGTCTACTTTGCTTCAAGTTCAAAACTCGTTTTATAAGTCTTTTGCTGTAGAATGTTCTAAAAGCCAAGTCACTGTTGATATGTTTCTTTTTTCTTCTCACTATCAAGACGTTGCATCTCTTGGTAATGATTTATGTTTTATTATGACTTTTAATTTTAATTTATTAGCATGTCTTCCTCGTTACACTGCTGGGCAAACTTTCTATTACCCTTCGTGGAATGCTGGTCGCAGTGAAGATATAACGAAATTTGCTAGAGAATTTAGTGGTCATTTAAGTCAAGAAATTGGTCTTGAGGCTGTTATGAGGGTTAGAGGATCTTCTGGTAGTTTTAAGGATTTCCTATAATTATTTATTCATAAAATAATTAGGGCTTCGTGTTTCTGCTTTTCATGGAAATTGTTTTTATCGTTCAACTGATCTCTGTGCTTTTCCGTCATTTCCTCGTGATCAAGGATATGTTGTTGAAATATCCATAGATGAGCAAATTGAACGTCCATTTGTTACTTTACAGGCAGCTATATTATATAGCTCATGTCATGGTAAAATATCATTTAAACTATTGTATATATTGATTTAGGGGTTTAGGCGAAAGGCGGATTCGTGTTATAACTGTAGCTATTCCAACTACGAGTAATTTAGCTGATGTATATGCTTCTGCGGATCAAATTGCTATTATAAAATATCTTTCTGTAAAGGCATGTGAAAAAGTGTTTTTATCTAAATTGGAAGATGCAAACAATATAATTACAGAGAAATTAGTAGATATTTTAGATTCTTATAGAAAGAATTTGGTTTTTACGAATACAGGAATTTCTACATTTTCTATTTGTTCAAATCTTAGACTTTTGCCTCTTCTTTGTCTTTGTCTTCTCAAAAATGTAAGTATTATATTTTTTTGCTAAACTTATTAACCAATTAAAGCTTGCTTTTCGTAAATCTTCTCTAATTCCTAGCGATGTAAGGTCGATTGCTCTCTGTCTCTTATCTTCATTACCAACTGCAACATTAATACCATTTCTTCATCCACGATTTTATTCATTACATAATATGCCTGACGATGCTGGATTACATGGGACGAACGGAATTATCCTTCCTCCTGAAATGAATCTTACTTCTGAAAAAATTGAATCTCATGGATTATATTTGGTTGATGATGGTCAAATCCAATTCCTTTTTATTGGCAAGGATGCTGTATCTTTACTTGTTCAAGATGTATTTGGATTGCCTGATATTTCTCAATTGAAACTTGGAAAGGTATATATCATAATTAAAAGACAACTTTTCACTAATCTTTTTAGATGACACTCCCATTGCTTGACAATCCTTTTTCTGTCCGTGTTAACAACATTATATCTAAGTTAAGAGAATACGATAGAGGCAAAATTACATGGCCACATTTATATCTTGTTAAGCAAGATGGTGATCCTGCACTTATTAAATGGTTTTTCAGCAATATGATAGAAGATCGCCAAGACGGCATTCCTTCATATTATCAATATATTAATGAGCTCAGAAATCGGGTAAGACCGTTCAAATTTTTATACATATTATAATTCTTAAGTAGATTACATGTTGATTAATTACTTCCTATGAAGTTTACTTTTATACATAATACTAAAAATACATTCTGATTCCTATATATACTTTTCATCTACATCTTCTTAAATCCTTGGACAATTAACTTATTTTTAATATTCTTTAACATAATTTTTGTTTTTTTCTTATTTTTAATTTTATTTTCAACTTTAATTTATTTTCTTTGTTCTTATTTTAACACTTATCCTTTTTGATAGAGTTGTTACGTATACTAACGTCATCGAGATTGGAGTATTGTTTAAGAGTAAATAATAAGGGGAAATTGTTGAATAAAATGAAATCTGAGCGCGTCTAGAAGAAGTAGAAAGTGCTTAGTTATAGTTTATATTTTTTCAGCGGGTTTTTTTTTGCATTTTTTGAAGCCAATTTGACGCGCTGGTTCGATCATTTATTCTGCTGTGCAGAGTGTTATTTTTGTAATTAAAAGGGATTTTCAACAGATCAAAACATTGTTTTTTATTCATTTTTAATAACTTTTTGACGGTTTTTGAATAATGTGCGCATCTGCACGTAATGTTCAATTTAATGTCTCTGATGACTATAAAGTCCTTGATGTTATTGGGGAGGGTGCATATGGGATTGTTTGGTAGGTATCTGTTTAGATATCTTGTTTGATGCCGTATTTGTAGTTATTTTTTCTAATCATATAGTTCTGCTATTCATAAGCCAAGTGGACAGAAAGTAGCTATTAAGAAAATTTCACCGTTTGATCATTCTATGTTTTGTTTGCGTACTCTACGTGAAATGAAGCTTTTACGTTATTTTAACCATGAAAATGTAAGGTTCATATTGTGCAGAATTAACAGTTGCACAGCCAATTTTTCTAGATAATTTTTCTGATAGTTAAAGATTATTTCTATTTTAGATATTCAACAGCCACAGGATTTTGAGTCGTTTTCTGAGGTGTATTTGATCCAAGTAGGTCGAAAAATATGGTTTTTTCCTGTTTTAAATGTTATTGAGTATAGGAGTTGATGGAAACTGATATGCATCGTGTGATTCGTACACAGGATTTATCAGATGATCATTGCCAATATTTTATTTATCAAGTTTTACGTGCACTTAAAGCAATGCACAGTGCAGACATTTTGCATCGAGATCTGAAACCATCCAATTTATTACTGAATGCGAATTGTGATCTTAAAGTCTGTGATTTTGGATTGGCACGTTCTGCTGTTAGTACAGAAGATACTACGAGTTTCATGACAGAATATGTGGCAACACGCTGGTATCGTGCGCCTGAAATTATGTTAACCTTCAAAGAATATACGAAGGCAATTGATATATGGAGTGTTGGATGCATTCTGGCTGAAATGTTGAGTGGGAAGCCCTTGTTTCCTGGGAAAGATTGTAAGATAGCATGATTTTTCTTTTTTAGGTCTAATTAAACAGATCATCATCAGCTTATGCTTATTCTAGATGTACTAGGCACTCCAACAATGGAAGATGTATGTTTTTTTCACTAAAATTAGGAATAAGGCTTATATTTCATTTTAGTATTATGGGATTAAATCCCGTAGAGCTCGTGAATATATTCGGTCTTTGCCGTTTAAGAAACGGGTTTCGTTTTCTACTATTTTTCCAAAAGCTAATCCACTTGCTTTGGATTTACTTGAAAAACTTTTAGCTTTTAATCCTGCAAAGAGATTAACAGTTGAAGAGGCACTTCAGCATAGATATCTTGAACCATATCATGATCCAGATGGTGTGACAATTTTGTTTGATAAAATAAAACTAATAAGTTTAGACGAACCAACGGCTCCTCCCATTTCTCCAAGCTTTTTTGATTTTGATCGAATAAAGGACAAACTTAGCAAGAATGATCTTAAGGGTAAAAAGATATATTTTTTTGTATTTTTATTGAACTTTTTAGTTCTTATCTATAAAGAGATTATGGGGAAAGATAGCCACTCTTCTTCTGACTAGTAATAAAACAATTTAAGTTATATATTTTAATGAATTTTGTTTTTTTTAAACATATTTTTTGATCAAAATTTTTAATTAGGGCTTATGGTTATTCATATTTAATATTATTTATATTATTTATATTTTTCATATTTTTTAATATACATGTTTATTATGTTCTTATTGTTCTATTACCTTTATGATTCAAAATATATTCTATCCAACATAATAGATTAATATTGTTAAAAATTATTATTTGTTAAATATCGTAGAAGATTTATATCCTTTTTTATAATTTATTGTTTTAATTATATAAGCTGTGCTTAATATTTTCCTAATACTTTAGAATTACAAATAATTAAATATAAAAAATAATGTCTGTATTTTTTAAATTTTTATTTTTGAAATTAATTCAAAACAAGTTATTTGATTTTAAATATTAAGTATGATTGATATTAGTTGATTCCCATAAAAAATAAACTATAAAAAATAAATTTTAAAAATTTATCAAAAAAGATGTATTTAGAATTTTAAATTTGATATCATTAAAAAGTATGAATAATATTACTCTAAAAAGGTATCTTGCATTATTTAAAATATTATGAAATAATTAATAACTAAAATACAGTATTAACATTTAAAAGATTTTTTTCATAATTCATAATTGCTTTTAAAAGAGAGTTCGCTTCTGGATGTTGTGCCATAACTTTTGTTTTTATGTTCCATTTATCATTTAAATGTTTTAATGTTGTGGGGCCAATTGCAGCAATTTTAAAGCGTGAAATAACCGATATTTGTGTATATTTCATTACAATATCAGATCCATAAGGACTAAAAAAAACAATCCAATCAATATTTAATGTTTGATCATTAATAACTTCATTAAAAAGACGTTTGAATTTTTTAGATTCTTCCATTTTATAGATAACTAATTCTTTTAAAATAATTCCAGAAGATAACATTTTTTTTTCAAGTTGATTTATTCTTCTGTATCCTGCTAAGAATAATATAGGATTTTTATCTGTATGACATGATATAATAAAATCAATAAGTAATTCTGCATTTCCTGTTTCTTTTCCAAAAACTTTATGAAATCCTAAAGCTTTTGCTGCATTAAAAGTAGCAGGCCCAACTGTATAAACTGTCATATTAAAAATATGTTCAAGTTCTTGTTTATCTAACTAGAATGAATTTTTTAAAAGCGATCTTCATGAGACAAACCAATACGCATTAAAACTTCCTTAAAAGCACATATAGAATTCTGACTTGTAAAAACAAATGCTGAAAATATAGTATATGGACAATTTTTTAATAAATGTTCTAGTTTCTCTAGATTAACAAAATTACACTTCAAAATAGGAATAAATATAGTATAAAATCCTGACTTTTCAAATAAATTTTTGTAATTATCATCAGAAATAGTTTTTTTTTTTAAAAATATAACAGTTTTCATTAAGTTTTAATTCATTAATTACCGTTCAAATATCAAATCTATTCGTTTTGACGTTTATGAAATTTAGAAAAAAAAATAAATTTTTTAGAGATTCTGTTGCCAAGAAAACAGTTAATTTCGAATAAAGATATTATTCTAACTTAGTTATATATATATATCTTTTCTTTTCTTTTTTTTGATCAAAAAATAATCTAAATTATGTATTCAGCATCTCTTTACTCTGAATCTCATGATATAAAACAATCAACGAAAATTTCTAAAGATAATGATACTCAAAAGCACTCTGACAGTGTTCTAGAGAAATATAACGTTTCTTCTTTGATGGGTATTTTCTTTATAATATTATTGAAGAAAATATAAAAACTATAGATGTTTCGGTAACTGCATTACCATCAACAGATGATAAAGAAAATAAACCGCAAGGAAATTCAAACGAGGCGTATATAAAGTCTTTAGCATGTCAAGTTTCAGAAAATGATTCTATAGGGGGTTTACAACAACAGTGGGGTAGTTTACATATTTCAAAATCTTCTTTTCCACAAAAGCGCAGATATAAAGCACCTAGGACATATGATTTGTCGTATAATGAGGTGGTTGATTCTCCTTATTCTCAAAACTTTCAAAATTATCCATTAGACAAGCCACTTTCCTTAATCCCAAGTCTAACTGACCAAACAGAAATGAAAAATCCCCAATTTATATCAACTAATCAAAGTGGGTCTAAAATTGATCCTGAAAAAATACCCTCTGAGGTTCTTGTTCACGAAATGTCTCAAGAAATCCATAAACGTGAATTATTTTTTACTATGGAATCACATTTTCTTCCAAAAGCAAATACGGATTTTATTGCTGTAGATCAGGGAGTTTCTTCTCCAAAATTTGTTCGTTTGACACTTAGGAGTATACCGGATACGAAAGAGTTATTGATGTCTACTTTTTTACCTATTTCTATGGTTATTCAACCATTTGCTCAACAAAAACCTGAAGAACATCCTATTCCTTTAATAGATTATGAGGAAATGGGTCCACCTAGATGTAGAAGATGTAAAGGATATATTAATCCGTTTATGAATTTTGTACAAGGAGGATCAAAATTTGTATGTAATATGTGTTTGTTTCCGAACGATGTTGGTGCAGAATGGTTTTCTCCTTTGAATGGTATTGGAAAGAGGCAAGATTTGGACCATAGGCCTGAGCTTAAATATGGTACTGTGGAATTTGCTGTTCCTAAAGAATATGAAACATGTCCTTCCGAACCTATAAAAATGATTTTTGCTATTGATGTTAGTGAAATAGCTATTCGAAAAGGGATACCGAAAGTTGCTTCTGATGCTATTATTAAAGCTTTATATGAGCCTTCAGATAGATCTTTTCCTTCTGGTTCTAAAATTAGTATTGTCACCTTTGATCGTGTTTTGCATTTTTATAATTTAACTGTGAGTGGTTATTTTATTATCTTTATAATTTAAATCTTTGTAGTCTTCATTAAGTGATCCCCAAATGCTGGTTGTTTCGGATATAGAAGACGCTTTTATTCCTTTACTTGAAGGACTATTTGTTGATCCGTATGAATCAAGGTTGTTTTTTATTTCTATCTTGTCTTATATTTAATATATGTTTTAGACATATTATAGAAAGTGTTTTATGTTCTATTTCAAAACTGTTTAATAGTTTTCCAGTTCCGGAACCTGCATTTGGTGCATTGGTTCAATCATCTCTTGTTGCATTGGTATTCTAGCTATATTAACATATGTTTAATTAATTAATTTAGGAAAAAACTGGTGGAAAATTAATTGCTTTCTTAAGTGCATTACCTACATGGGGACCAGGGAATCTTAGATTTAGAGAAGATTCCAAACTTTATAATACAGATAATGAAAAACAATTATTTACTTCACAGAATGTTTATTGGAATAATCTTGCTAAAAAGTGTTTGAGTGCTGGTATTGGTGTAGATTTATTTCTTTTTCCAAGTCTTTATATGGATGTTAGTACAATAGGTATTTATTTAATTTTAATTTAATTTATTATAACTTTATTAGGGGTTTTGGCAAGTGTTACTGGTGGTGAAATATATTATTATCGAGATTTTATAGAAGAACGTGATGCATTTAAAGTCATTAAAGAATTTGTTAGAAATGTCACTCGTGAACAAGCATATCATGTTCAAATAAAAGTTAGATGCTCAAATGGACTAAGTGTTGAACGGTATATTGGAAATTATATACAAAAGAAATCATCAGAGTTAGAGCTTAGTGTTATTGATTCTGAAAAGGCAATTTCTGTTATTTTTACGCATGATAGTAAGTTAGATCGAAAATCTAATATTTATTTTCAATGTGCAATATTATATACGACAGCATCTGGTTATCGTCGTTTAAGATGCTATAATATTGTTGCATCTGTATCATCGAATGCAAGTGATATTATTAAACATATAGATATAGACACGTGTATTACAGTATTGGCTAAAGATGGTAATTTTATTACAATTATAGTTCTATACTAATTAAAATAGCTTTAGTTAAAATTAAGAAAAATTCTCTTAAGCAAGTCAGAGATGAATTAACAGAAATATGCATTAATGTATTAGCATGTTATCGAAAAAGTATTTCATCGTCTGTACCTACTTCTCAGTTAGTTCTTCCTGAAAATTTAAAATTGTTTCCTATATATATATTGTGTTTATTAAAATTACCTGCTTTAAAGAGTAAGTTGTATGTATAATTTATTAATAAGTTAAAAATAGGAATAGGCGGAAATATTCAAAGTGATTTACGAATGCAAAATGCTCATTATATACTAGTAGTAGGTGTTTGTGCGCTTATTTCTTTTATATATCCTCGGATTCTACCATTACATAATTTAAAAGATGATGTAAGTTTTCTACTGTCATTAGTAGATAGTATTTGATACATATATAGATGGGATTTCCTGACGAGAAAGGGAATTTGGTTCTTCCTAAAGCTATTAGGGCCTCTTCTTCGTATTTGGATGAAGGGGGTGTTTATCTAATATGTATATTATCTGATTACATTTTTTAATACTTATTATCTAAAGTTAATGGGTCTGATTCTATTTTGTGGTTTCATAATGGTGTATCACCTGATCTGTTAAGAAATCTTTATGGAAATAGTGTTTTAAAACTTTCGGATATTGACGTCCGTTCTGCTCTTTTGCCAAATTTGGACACTCGACTTTCAATTCAAATTAGAAATATTTTTCTTTATTTAAATGCTTTTTACCCTGGAAAAGCTTTAATGGCGTATGTTTCACGACAAGGACTTGATGAATCTGCAAACGAATTCATGGCTCAGCTTGTAGAGGACAAACATAGTAATTCTCTGTCTTATGTAGACTTTTTATGTTTTATTCATAGGCAAATTCAATTAGAGGTGAACAAAATTTTTGTATTTTTATTTTTCTTATACAATTATAGCTTTCAGGAAATCGTCATATGTATGATTTTAAAGACAATTTCCTCAAATCATGGCAAGGGCGACTATAAAAGCATAATTTCATCCATTTTCTATCATTTTCTATATTTTTTTCTTTAAACTATTAATTATTTGATTTCTAATTCGGCATCGTTCACATTAAGATTTATCGTATTAACTCAATTGTAAATAATGGAATCTAAAAAAAATATAGAAGTACTTACAAAAGATCAACAGACTTCTCATATATCAGAAAATACAACAACGAAACGTTGTCGTATTTGTATGTCATTTAAAGATTGGATGCAACAACAGGGTGCTACTTTGCCTAATAAATATAATGTTTCATCTGATATAAATGGGGCTAAATGGGCTGATTGTCCTCCAGATTCAGAGGCTTTGGGTCGTGCAACATGGACTCTACTTCATACAATCTCTGCAAATTATCCTGAGTCGGCAACTGCAGAAGAACAATCTGAGATGCGTAGTTTTTTAATGATTTTTGCAAAACGTTATCCATGTTTTTATTGTGCTAAAGATTTTCGTGAATGGATGCATCAAGATGAGAATCGAGCAATGGTAGGTGGCAGAGAAGAACTATCATTATGGATGTGCCAAGCACACAATGAAGTGAACCGAAAACTAGGTAAACCAATTTTTGATTGTAGCAAATGGAAAGAGCGGTGGTTAGATGGATGGAAGGATGGTCGTTGTGGGTAGTTGGATATATATTTGTTTTTTTTGTGTTGAAATTAAGATGTTAATTTACATTTTGGTAATTGGGTAAAATGAACAGGGTTATTTAAGGATCTAATATCAACAAGCAGTTCTAGTACAGAAAGGACTTCTGATGGCTCTGGAAGATGCCAATTAGCTGCTGTAGCCTAGCAAAAATGTATAAATTTTATACTAAAACAGAGGAAGCAGATACCTTATTTGATGCTCCAATAGTCACTGTGAAGTATGCTTTATCTTTTAAATCATGTCTTTGTTTCAAAACGCGGAACATATCTCCTAATTTAATATTTTTTTTAGAAAAGTTTAAGTTGGATTACCTTCGTCTGTTTTATCATCTCCTGCACTAAAGACGAAATCCGGTTTTTCGTCTTTGTACATATTTAATAGCTGATTTGCTACTCTGCCTTTGTTGATAAAAAAAGGTCGAACTTCTATATTTGCTTTTCCATTTAATACTTCTACATCATAATTTGAGGTAATAAGACTTTCTAAATGATTTTGGCATTCCAATGCTTGGAAAAGACCATAATCAGGGTCTGCACGACGATAATGCCATGTAAGTGTGCATCTCTTTTGTTCAATAAACGAGCCTGTATCATTTTGAATAATAAAAAATTATATAAAAAACATTTACCTTGAGTACGTTCTGTATAATATTCGAAAATTTTATAAACTTCTTCTTGCCATGATAAATCCATGTTTTCTGTGAGATCTACCCAATCAAATGTATTTGGAAAACGCATAAAACAGCCATGTTCAGCGCTGGTAGTTTAATTGTTGAATAGCTTATAGCATAAAATCTTACCTTAGTCCTAATTGAGGAATATTATCAAACCATTGTGCTAAAAAATTTTGGTCGCGTCCAGAGATTATCCATACTTGGTTTTTAGAATTCTCTGCCAATGCTTGTAAAACATGTATAAGTCGTCGAGATGGGACAGCAATAAGAGGATCTTTAACAATTGGTGTTAATGTTCCATCATAGTCAAATAAAAATAAGCGATTATTTGCTTTACGATAGGTATCTATTAATAATGTCGTATCAATAACAGGTGTAACTTGATTATAATTAAAAGTTGCTAAATTTGTTAGTAATCTTGATATAAATGATGAAGTCCATGTTTGAATAGTATTTTTAGTAACATAATTATATAGTTTAATTTGACGTGTTTTCTTTTCTGATTCGGATATACAAAGTGCTTCATTGATTTTTTTCGCTGTGTCCTAAATTATATTTAGCTTATTTTTATAATATTGATTAATATATTAATACCGTAACATCCCATGGATTAACTTGAATTGCATCTTGAAGAGCATCTTTTGTCCCTGAAAATTCTGACAGTAATAAAGGTCCATTGCTTTCTTTTTGACAAATAACGTACTCTAAACTTGTTGTGTTTATACTATCTCTAATAGCAGTAATTATTCCTACATCTCCTGATCTTAAAAGTGCAAAATATTCATCCTTTTCTAAATATTGATGATAATGATGTACAGGTGTAAATTCTAATGACCCATATGTCCCGTTTATTTCAGCAACTAAATCTTGTACTTGTTTTTCAAATTTTGATGTATCATCGTTTACAGGCGACGTAACTTGAATAAATACAACCTGAGTATATTAATAAAACATTAAAATTAAGAAACAATTACTTGATTTCTCCACTTAGAAAACTGTTTTAAAAAACTTTCAAAGGCTTTTAATCCTTGCAATACACCTTGGACTTCGTATATTTTTGCACTTCCAATAAGTATTTTTTTATTTGAATATAATTCTCTAATGAATTGCATTTTTTCTTGCGTTTTTTGAGCTTGAGACTCTTTTTCAACATACTGAGCATCTATCCCCATTGGAAGTACTTCTATAGCCACATAAGCACCATTTACGTCAATTCCCTTCCCGATTGAATCAAATCCTAAAACTCGCGTACAAGTACTAACGAAATGCCTCGAAAAAGAGTAGCTTTGAAATCCAATCATGTTTGCACCAAGCATTCCCATTAATATTTCCTTCCGTTCTATGATTATTAGGAATGGTATAAAGCTGCTTTAATATATACTTGGAAGACAACGAAAAATTTCTGAACTTGGAAAAGGGCCATGCAAGAAAAGCCCCACGTATGCATTAGGTATTTTTTGACGAATAAGTCGAGGTAGTAATAAAAGATAATGATCATGAATAATTACTATGAATAATATTACTTTTTTTGTACTATTATTAAAAAATCATACCAATGTCTCCTTGCTCGTAAATCTTTGAAATAGCATCCATATACGCTTCGTTGAATTTAATGTAGTTTTCCCAACATGTTTGTTCGTTCCATTCATCAGTTGTATTGTTCCATAGGCGATAATGAAATAATGGCCATAATACTATTCATTCCGTAAACTAATTATAAAGACAAAGAAAACTACCTGTATTTGGATACTTCCTCCATCGAGATTGTTGCTCAATCGTTTCTCCTGAGCGTGCATCTTTCGAATCCAGAAGCATCCATATAGGTATAATCTCTTCTGTGTAAACTTTTGAAAAACATTCTAAAAAATTCTCTTTATCCTTTGCACTTAATGCTACTGCATTTGTATTGTTTGTTGTATTTCCTTTATTTAAACCTGTAGATACTTCTTGAGGGAAATCGAGCGTAATTTCCCCCGTCCATCCAACTAACTTTGTCTTCCAATCAGTCTCTTTCGAAAGCCATGAAATAGATGCAAACAATGATGATTCCCCTCTTCTTGGATGGAATCTCTACACTTGAAATAAATCTCACTTCTATTAAACTATGAAAAATTACCCAATTCCCGTTTTTAGGATTAAAAAATGACTTATATGGAATGGACGTGCATGCATAAATAACTCTTCCTGAGCACTTCAGCGGCCACTGTACATCTTTTGGTGAACATGTCTTGCATTCCTGATCTTTTATCGTATTATCGACAGAATGACTTAATAAAAAACTATTTTCTTTTAAATTACAACTCTCCTTTTTACTTCCTAGAATTCCATTCTTCATCTTGCACTGTTTCGTTTCTTTTGGCTTTGATACAATATTATTTTTGCTCATTCTTTAGATATTCCTTTTTCTACTCAAATTCCACCGTTCGAAGCCTGAAAAACGTCAAAGACTCTACAAAACTTCTTTCTTTTACTTTTCCCAAAAAAATCTCCGTAATTCCTCTGTTATCACTCAATTTTATCCTCCAATTTACCCTTTTTTTAATATTTCCTACGTCTTTGTCTCTGGTATCGCTTTTCCCTCGTAAATCTCGTTATACATAAGTTATAAAATACTCAAAAAATACATATATAAAATAAAATTGACTATTCATACACTGCAATAACCAAATTTAAATATAACTGATCAAAAAGGCCTTAAACAAATGTCCTACTCTCATTCATAAATACATATTCTCTTACATTACTTTTTTATATCTTTCTTTATATTTTTTCCTCTTTATCCTTCTCAACCCCTTCAAACCCTTTGTCTATTACCTCTATCTTTCTTCATACACACCCATTCCCTATTGATTCCCTTCCTTCCCTTGTTTTTTCCTCCTTAATTCATAATTTTTGCTACTTCTGCTAGAATATCCATCCCTCCCATCCCGATATTCGGATTGCATAGAAATTGGATGCTCATTTTCTGTGCATCTTCTCTCAGTCTCGGTTTGTGCTTATCCAGAGACACCATTTTTGCCTGCTGAACCCCATAGTCCATCAGAATTGTGATTGATGCCGCTGCTTCTAATGCATCCACTGTTCCTAATGTATCTATTCTTCTGAGCTCCTTATTTTCCTCTTCTGCTGTATTTATTTCTCTCACGCACTCTCTCCTCTCTCCCTTCTTTCTCTTTTCTCTTTTTTCCTCTGTGTCTACTATATTCTCCGTATCCATTTTACCTGTTTTGTCTATTACTTTATGTATTATTTTATCTTCTGTTTCTGCATTATCTCCGGTTTTTTCTGTTTCCTCTGCTTCTCCTCCACATTCATTGCTAATATGCACTGTATCCTTTACATCGGCGCTCTGACGCCGTTTCCCCGTGCTTAATAGTCTTGTTTCTGCCTGTTTTTGCATTATCCCTCCCGTGTATCCTTCTTTTAAGTCTTTTTTCTCCTTTCTTTCTCTTCCTTCTTCTATTCCTCCCCATGCTCTTTCCTGATGGTCTGCTTCTGGTGTTTCTTGAGCTTCTACCACTATTGTTGCCTTTTCTGCTGCTTCTGTTGTTACTGTTTGGTCTTTTGATGCCTTTGCTGGCATTGTGGACACTGATCCGTACGGTGATACAACATCATCACCTGTATGAACTGTTTGTGCGTGCTGCCGAAGATTGTCAAGCCGTGAAAACGTCCGTCCACAGAAACATTTGAATGGTCGTTCTCCTGTATGTTTCCTGCACTGTTAGCTCTTTCTGTTGTGCATTTTCTTACCTGATATGCCGTGCAAGATGTTCATTCCGTGAAAACTGCATATGACAGCTGCCAAATCCTGAGCATTGAAATGTCTTTCTTTTTCTTCGTGTGTCGCCTGCCAGCGCTGCCATTGCGGCGGTCGACGGGCGGTATCGACGGTACCTTCGGTACCGGTTCCGGAGGCGCATATAGTGCGCATATCATGCGCAGATAGGCGCATATAAGGCGAAGATTGGAAGAAATCGGGTAGATAGAGCGTGTATAGAGCATATGCATGTATATATAGGTGTATATGTGTATATATGACAGTTTATGGGTGTGTATGGGGCGTTATATGGGGTTATGGGGTAGTGTCGATGTATATACTAACAGCAATGTCTGTATCTGTATACATAGTGTATGTATAATGTTGTATTAGCGTATATGCAGTATATATATAGCGTATATATAGTGTATATATAGTGTATATATAGTGTATATATAGTGTGTATAGCGTATAGTGTGTAGTGTGCACAGTGCAAGGCGGCGCATGCAGCGCGCATACAGCACGTATGCAGTGCATGTTGCGCACAGATGGTGTGTATAGTGTGCATGCATGTAGTATATGTGTGCTAATGCATAGAACACGCGCTGTATGCACTATAATACTATTATGCTATGCACATTGCGCGCTGTGCTGCACGCTATGTGTTACACGCTGTGTGTACTACACGTTATCTGTGCTATATACACTGTATATACACTGTATATACACAACCATATATTATATACCACACACTATACATACACACTATAATCATACACTATAACTATATATGCCGTGTATGCTATATATACTATATATACTATACATACTATACCTATGATACAATGCATTCATATACACTATACGTTTATGTACATTGTATACGCCATGTACACTGTATACTATAGAACTATAAATACCATATACCATATGCCATATGCACTATATGCACTATGTGCACTGTAACTATACATACACACTATACACTGTGCACACACTATACACTGCATATACACTGCACACCATATATACTGTGCATATTATACATACTGTATATGCTATATACACCGTATACACTGTATATGCAGCATATGCTATCTATGTTATACACACCATGTCTATGCTGTACACGTTGTGTATGCTCACGTCATGTATGCTATGCACACAGTGTGTATGCTTTGTGTATACACAGCGTATCTCTGCTGCAGCATATGCACTGTATATATGCGTCTATAGTGCACGCACTGTCGTAGTGCACGCGCTGCGAGCATACATGCATTGCACACGTGTGCGTACCATTGGGCGTCTGTGCGTGTCTTTACGTGTGTATGCATGTGTCTGTCTATATACGTGTGTTTGTCTGTGTCTGTCTGTGTATATATGAGTGTATATCTATATATCTATGTATATGTCTATATATATCTATGTATATGTCTATATATGTCTATATATGTGTATCTGTGTGTATTTGTGTATATATAGCGAGTGTATGCGCATACTTCACAGGCTGCGGCGCGGGTGTCGGTGTACGCAGTGCACAAGCTATAAAACGTGTATGCAGCAAATATAGCGCTACGCCGCATACAGTGGGCCGCTCGCCAGGCAGTGCACTGTATGCGGTCTGTATGCGGTGTATGCTGCACGTTGTGCATGCCATACACTTTACACTATATGCTACGCACACACTATGCACGCTGTATGCTTTGTATGCGCCGCATTTGCCGTGCATCATTCTGCACAGGTATATGCGTTGTGCACGATACACAGACACACAGACACATAAATACATAAATACGCAGATACATAAATACACAGATACATATAGCTAGATACAGACACTTCCGCATACACGCATCCCACTGGCTACAGCGCCGTCTCGTACGGCTGCGGACGCACTGTCTCCGGCTGTCCGTCGCACGCCACTACGTGTGCCCCCCGCGGCCCCTCCGGCTGCCGCTTCATGCACACATGCTCCCCCGCCCTCCGCTGTGCCGCGTGCTGTTGCACGCGGCGCACAAAGTCCTCGCGGCACCGCGATGGCCGCACATGCTCGATACGCACACACAGCCGCTTTGCCACTATGCGGTTCCCAACCCGCTTGTTCACAAGCACCCCGACGCCGCGTTGCGTCACCCCAAAGACCACTCCTGTTCGTCCGTGGTAGTACTGTCTCGTCAGTCTTTTGTCCGGGCCTCTCTGCCGTCACATACCTTATGAGGCATCCCCTTCTGCACTGCTCCGTTCACACAAATGTCGACGTGCTGCCCAACACGGTATGTCCGCAGATACGTCGAAAGACTGCCGTAAGCACGCGTCTCTGTGGCTGTTGCCTACCTGATGGTTCCTCTCTTGCGGAAACCGCGGCGGAACAGGTGCCGCGTCCGCGCACGGAGACCTGCTGCGTCAGTATCACATGCTGCGTCTGACAGACGTACCGTATGAGTGTGGCATTGCCGCTGCTCCGGCGGCGCACGCCTTTGGCCGCCTGGCTTCCCAGGCGGTCGCGCTAGCCCGACTGGGCCTGCCGTCTCTGGAACGGGAACGCTAGTCTGTATCAGTACAGAGCTAGACCAAATTGACCAGGCTAGCCTGTCTCGGCAACACCGACACAGGCTAACACCGTGCTAGCTGGTAGACAGCGCCAAGAAGGGCTAGTAGATGCCAAGAAGGGTTAGAAGGCCTTGGGCTAAAGCTAGGACTAGCAAGTAACGTTAAGCCAGGTTAAGCCAGCGCCAAGCTAAGGCCAGCTAGGCCAGCCTGGAGCTAGCCTTGTCTGGTCAGGCCAAGGAAGAGCTAACCTAAGTCTTTAGAAGGCTAACCAATTTTAGAAAGACTGTCGGCTAATGTCGGCTAAACGGGTTAGTCTGGCCTTGGACTAGCCTTGAGTAAGACGCAAAACCAGGGTTGGGCTGGGTAGGGTTAGGAGGGTGGAAGTAGGCGGGCGGAGGAGCGTCAAGGCAGAGATGCCGTGTGCACCGAGAAACTGCCGGAAGACATACAAAGGTAAGCTAGTGCTAGCGCAGGGCGTGCTGACAGACAGTACCGCGGCGGCCATTCGAGTCGGCACGGCTGGACGCAGAGCTACGGCTCTGCGGGGAGTACGGGCTGCGGAATAAGCGTGAGATCTGGCGGAACTTGCTTATCCTGTCAAAGATCCGGCGAGCGGCACGTGAACTGCTGACGCTGGAGGATAAGGATCCACGACGGCTGTTTGAGGGCAACGCGCTGATCCGCCGGCTGGTGCGCATTGGCGTGCTGGACGAAACAAAGCGCAAGCTCGACTATGTCCTGGCGCTGCGGATTGAGGACTTTCTGGAACGGCGACTGCAGACACAGGTATTTAAGCTGGGACTTGCAAAGAGCATCCACCATGCACGGGTGCTAATCCGTCAACGGCACATCCGTGTGGGGAAGCAGATAGTGAATGTGCCGTCGTTTCTTGTGCGGCTCGACTCGCAGAAGCATATTGACTTTGCGCTGAACTCGCCCTTCGGGTAAGTGTGTGGGCATGCGTGTGGGGTCTGACAGAGAAAGGGGTGGGCGTCCGGGGCGGACGCGGCGCAAGAAGCTTGCAGCTAAGGCGGACGGGGACACGGCGGAGGAGGAGGAGGAGTAGTGAAGTGCGGCAGCGTTGCGTGTATGTGTGCGGTGCAGTGTGTGGTGTGTGCGGTGTATACAGTATATACAGTAATATATAGTATATATAGTATATATAGTATACATAGTATATGCAGCAACATGTGGTGTATACAGTATTAGTGTGCAGTTGTGCAGTATGTGCAGTGGCCAGGACGCTATGAGTGCTTTCTCTTTGCAGAGGGCGCATGGGGGGTGCCGGGGGAAGGGCCACCGGGAAGGCTCTGCAGATGCAGCATGTGCTTAAAATCAAAGTGCTCCTGTGCAGCAAGGATCCCTTCCTCGCCGGTGCAGTAGGAGTTTTTGATGAACCTTGAAACATGAGCTAGAAAAGACAGTTGGGGGACTTACTGGTGGCAGCAGGCATAGCCCCAGTGGCCGTCGTGCCACCAGGACCCGAAGATCTGAGTGTGGTTGTTGACAAGCTGGTTTTCGGGGTACCGGGAGAGGGAAACAGGTTTTTCCTTGCCCTTGATGAGTTTTCCGTCCCTTGAATACTCGACATAGTGCTCGGTCTGTGCATAAAGAAGCTCTTTGGGAGGGACGATAAAGTGTTTTTCGCCTCCATACTTGTCCAGGATTTTTTTCCTGGCATTAATCCTGGCCTCATGGGTTTCTTCTTTGAACTGTTTGTGATACAGTGCGCCCTGAGTCGGGTTTGCTTGAAGATGAATGTTTTTGCCTCTTTCCTCCGCCTGCCATGCAAAAATCTGCAGTTTTTCGAATTCTGCTGCTTCGCCTGATGAGCGCTCAAACTCGTTGTTGGCCATTAGCCTGTTATCTCGGGAAATTTTGTTCGGATCATCTCTCATTGACCTCGTTTTTGGATCATAATGAGTAGACGTTTCACTTAGGTTCAGTAGATACTTGGCTGTGTCTTCTCGTATTCTTGTTTTATCGTCAGCAAGAAAAGTATGGAAAATACACACACCTCAAATTCCGCGTACTCATACGATTGTGTGCATCGAATTTCTGGCCGGGCATGTCTGCTTCATCTGCATATTTGTCGTCGTCTTTTGCTATATATCCATCTTCTGAAAAGTTTTCCAAGTTCCTGCTTCTGGCTTCTTGCTGTGCTTTTTCAACTTTTTCGTATTCCTCGACTATTTTCTGGTGTTCACGGGGATCATAACCATTCCATCGGTCTCTCTTTGAGTCCCATGTCATGCTTACTTCGCAAATAACTTCATCGGCCTGTATATCTTTGCCTGTCCATCGAGCACCTAATTTCCGGGGCCTTTCCATACAATCTTTAGTTTTATGAGACATTGCACCGCAATTGTCACAGGCTCCCTTGCGGAATTTTGTTGCTGCGGGTCCCTGTGAACCGGCTTTAAATTTTGTCTTTTTCAAGGGATTGTCGTTGAACTTACAGCACGTTGACCACGAATATACGTAGTATTATAATCAGTCTCTGTACTTTCATCTTGTCTTAATCGCTGATGCCGCAAAGAAGCTTTTCCTTCTGCTTCATCAATGTACCATGGTGCTTTGGAAATGAATTCTATAAACCATTAGCTTTATGTCGGATGAATATAGATAATATTAACGAGGAATATGAGGATTCACCTGTTTCCCATCCGCATCTAATTCAGGCTCAGTTGCCCCCAACTTTTTTCCTTCCTCAAGCTGTTTCTGGCGCCAGCGCTCTTCCCTTCGGTTTCGCCCAGTAGTTGCATAAATATTCATAGGCATAAAATTCGGATCAGATGCCATGGTGAATAAACTTAACTGTTTTAAATGCAAATATCCCCACCAAGTAATATTAAAAGTATTAATCAAATGTTTAAAAATGATGTGTCAAACGTGCTAAATCAAGATGAATCGTTTCAAAATACACAAGTTCTAGGGAAATATGTATTTGTAGCTGCTTAAATACCAGTAATCTTGTATGTTGACCGTAAGCATAAGAAATTGAAAGAATAAAGAACTCAATATGTTTTTTTACTAAGTTTAGATTATTTTTAGGATTTTTTTAAAATTAATGATTTTGAATGATTCAAATTTTGCTCTTTAAAATATATTTAACTGAGAAGAATGAAAAACATATATTTTTCAACAGAAAATATCTTTTTCTGCCTTTCCTTGTAGTTTATGTTTTTGAGAATACTTCAAGTGTTTTTTGTTGTCGATTTTTTCGATCAAGTTAACGAAGAATCAACGATAAAAAAGGTGTAGCCAGTAAAAGCGGGCGCCTAAGGCCCAAAGCCTGATGGATACAGTGTTAAAAACGCTGTCCGTGCATATTAATATGCAAGGTTCCTTATAATATTTTGTTTTGCAAAAAAACCGACTTGAAATAGGTGCAAAAATCGTTTCTGATATGGCACCGGATAAGACTCGAGAAATAGCACTTCCACACCACAAAGAAGAGGTTTCCCATATTGCAGTAGATGTAAATGTCTTTTAATGTTTCCTTAATATTTTTCTGACTAAGTTTTAACGAAGATCGGCGGATCACTGGCCAAAGTTGTTTATATTACAAAAGATGCTGAAGGCGGTAGTAGATTTAACTTTAGACGCTTTGAGACGAAAGATATTGATCAGTGCATTGCATTTCTTTCTTTGTTATGTAAACGGTATAATGAATCTTGTCAGGCAGAAAGGCCGGCAATGTGTGTAATGGCAACGGGAGGTGGTGCATTTAAATATTACGACCAGTTTCGAGCAGAATTAGGTGTAGAAGTTGTTCGAGAAGATGAGATGGAGTGCTTGATTGTTGGCTTGGATTTTTTTATTACTGAAATTCCGGATGAAGTGTTTACCTATTCAGAATGCGAGCCGATGAAGTTTTGTCGTCCGCAGCCAAATATTTATCCGTATCTTGTAAGTAGATAAGAAACGTTAACCCAATAAATAATAAAGAAGCTTTGTAATATTGGAAGTGGTGTAAGTATGATTAAGGTTTCTGGTCCAGAACAGTATGAACGTATTGGCGGCTCCTCGGTATGTTCCATATTATATATATATAGTGTTTATTTTCTTTTCCACTAACTTGTGATTTGATAGCTTGGTGGAGGAACACTATGGGGTTTAATGTCAATTTTAACTGATGCAAAAACATTTGATGGTATATACTAGAAAGTTATGGTTTAATTTCTAAAGTGCCAGAAATGTTAGAAGTTTCGAGAACTGGTGATAACATGGCTGTAGATATGTCAGTCGGTGATATTTATGGTACAAATTATGATAAAATTGGTTTAAAATCAACTACCATCGCAAGCACGTTCGGTAAAGTGTTTCAAAAGAAACTGACTCGACAACACGACTCTATTCATGATTTTCAATCTCGTTTTCGTCCAGAAGATATCGGCAAAAGCCTTTTATATGCTATTAGTAACAACATTGGTCAAATTGCTTATTTACAAGCTCGAATTCATGAACTTGAAACAATATATTTCGGTGGAACTTATATTAGAGGTTCTTTCTTGTAAGATTTTATTTTAAATGCTCATTTCATAGGTCATCCTGCTACTATGCATACACTTTCATACGCAATACGTTTTTGGTCAGGTGGAACTAAAAAAGCTTATTTTTTGAGACATGAAGGTTATCTTGGAGCAGTTGGTGCTTTTTTGAAGTAATCTTTCTATTTAAACCTGCATGCTAAATCTGTTCTCCTAATATTGTATTTAGACATCAACCTCGTAATTGGGGAAGACGATGCGCAAATATGACAAATGGTTTTACGGGAAAGCCACAGCCTATAAAATAGTAGGTTTTTCTCATTATATAAACCGTTTGCTGTCCGATTAATATTTTTCGCAAATAAACATGTATTTGTGTATATTTATTATTGTCTTGAACATAAAAATCTTTGTAACAAACATATTTTCCGTAAATAGTTTCTTCATTTTTTGCCTTCTAGTCTCTCACATCAAACATATATATGTATTTAGTTATATCAATCTTCGAAGTTATACATGTTTTTTGTTTCATTTTTTCGAAATATATACATAGTTACTTTAGAATATATATATTGTCTTGTACATTTCAAAACCTAGACATATAGCTATTTCTGATGAATTAAATGCGCTGTATACACGTTACATTATATGTATATATTCCATTTTTATATCATTTATAGCCCTACTACATTTACTTTATGTTGTACTAGCAGATTGCGATTATGTTCAATCAAATACATTTCTGCACTTTTCATTGTACCATTAACCCGTAAAACACGTATAATTACATGTTGATTATGTATCATTTTCACCAGTGTTAACGCTGCCCAAACAAGCCGATAATGTTGACGTGCAATACGAAGAATACCTATGCACGTTGCTGGAGAATAATATTTGACTATATTACGTACGTTAGTAGACGTATGTGTATTTTCTTATTTTTACTGCTTAAACTTGTTGCAACTAAACCGTGTCCCCATTCGCCAAAATTTAAATGAACGTGCTCTTTAATAATATTTGATAAATCAGAAGGCTTTAATATTATAGTTGTTTTGTCAGGTGGTTTACTGCATGAAATAAATGTTTTTTTTAATTTGATTGTATCTGTTAAGTTTGATACAAGCTGGTTTTCATAGAAAATTTGAAATACGAGGTAGCGAGCTTTGAATCTCACCATATCGTTAGATGGAATAATGAAATAATATATATAAATATATATGTACATTAGAATAAAGAATTAGGTTTCAAATAAGATTGTATTTATGAAAAAGAGTGGATTATTGTACTGTTTTGCTTGAGAAAGTGCTTTTTTAATATCAATGGCAAGGTCGACCTATGCAAGTTATTAGAAAGGCTAAAAATAAGGCTAAAATATACATAGGCATCATGGAATCGGCCATCTTTGAAAAAAAGACGGATTGGAAGATGTCCTTTACGTGTCTTTAATGTAAAATCAATGCACTCTTGAGAATTGTCATGCCGGAGATTCTTTATTTGAAGTAGAGTTGTCTGGAGATCCAGGAGAGACTGATACCTATGAGATGATGAGAAAAAAGTATTTACAAAAAGAAATATTGACCATAAGCCAGAGTGTTCTTTCCTGTATTTTTTGTTCATAGTAGAAAGTTGTCTAGTATGAATGGCTTCTTTGGCAAAAGCTTCACAGTGCTGTTTCTCGTTTTCACGCTTTTTCACCTCATCAATGGTTTCTTTTAATTGTTTTTTTTTGCATTCATAAATAGCTTGAAATTGGTCTATATCTTTTTTTAATGTAGAAGACTTTTTAGTTTGAGTCGATAGTAAAGAAAGAGAATCTTTAAGAGGAAGATTCTAAAAAAATAAATTTCTATTGTTTTTTTTCTTCAAAATAACCCACCTGTTCTTGATTTTTTTCACTATCTTTCAATTCTTTGATTTCTGCTTCCATTTTTTCAATTTCTTTCAACATATGATCTGCTTCAACTGCTTGTTGAATTGTAGTTTCATAATCTAAAAACATAAGTTTTATTGATCTACTTTTCTTAAACAATATATACGACACCATTGCAAACTCTTGAGATTATTTGCTCGAGTTCTTTGCATGTTTCATCGACATTTTCCTTTCTATTTTTCAAATGGGATTTGAGTTCCATGTTTTTTTTTTCTTAAAATATTATTCCTTGTCTATCATGCAAAATTAAATAACCTACCCAGCTCAATATTATCCTTGTGTTCAACAACCAAAATGGGATCGTCCAAAATTGCTCGAAGATATCGTCTGGTTTTAGATTAATACCCTCTTTAAATAACAGCGTTTTTACTCTTTCGTTTCCTGCTCAATGTAGGAGAACTTTAGTTTTGAAAAAAGTTCCTTATAACATTAAAATAATTAAAAAACTGTTTATTTACTTTGAAATATTTCAAGTCAGACTCGACTACATTTGGATCCGGAATATCCCTCTCAATCACTTCATTTTGAAGACCCGATATATCTTCTGTGTTTTGCTGTGGTGTAAGAGTTGGTCCTGTATTCGTCGAACTTGTTTTTCTAATATAATCATGTTTTTGAGAATGTAAAAAAAGCTTCGTTGATAAAAAAGACGAAATACATCTTATGTTCCATCAGCTTCCGGAATACACAACATATTAATCACTTTTGTGTTTCTTCCAAGTTTATGTCTTCCTTATTTTCTTTGAAATCCATTTTAGCTGTTTCGAAGTCATGTTGAAACTGTTTATATTGGTTGTTACCATGGCAACTTGATATTGATAAGCGTTTTTTACACTATAAATGTTATGTTTTTCCCCATCCAAGTGCTTTTGTTTCAATTTCCCCATTTTCCAAAACCACTTTTCCTCTGTCCCACTCTCTTAACCCTTTTTTATATACTGGAAATGCCATTTCATCTGTTATTTGCGATACCATATTACTAGAAAATCCTGTTTCTGTTAGTCTTTGTGCCCTCTGTTTTTTCCACTGTGCAATATCTTTTACAGCCCTCAAACTCACTGCCCAATCATCACTTTCATCTGACGATACTGCTACATCGAGTTTTGGATCATAATTTGGATCAAAGTGAGAATTAAGCATTAATGTTCCTGACGACGGTGTATCATCACGACAATTATATATTGAAGGTACAGACAGTCCAATTGAAGGCGACCATGGTTGATCTGGAAAAATATTTTCCTTAATACATTTATTTTGACTCGTATTATTTATTATATTTGTTTTCTTCCTGCTATTGGGTGCTTCATCTACTATTTTACTTGATATTTTTTTCTGTGTCTCATTTGAATTTTTTCTTGAGCTTCTGCTTGATTCTGAATATTGTTCCTTAACAAATGCAATAGAACGTCCTTTTTTTCTTGAAAATGATCCTTGACCTCCTCCCAAATGCCTCCCTATCTCATGACCTGTGTGTTTATCGAGCTTATGTAGCCGCTGTGTTGCTTCTTGTGTTTCTCTTTGGATAAGAGCTGCATTATGTGCATTTATATTTCGAACCATCTTTGTAAGAAACCGTTTGTTCAGTGACCGTACTGGTGGCGTATCTCTGCCAGTATACTGTTAGCCTAATATATGGCATTGGGCCTATATACATGTATATAATACACATGTAATACACATACAATACATATACTGTGTATACACAGTATATACTGTATACATTGTATATATCATATATACTATGTATACATTGCGCATACACAGCGCATACACTATGCATATAACGCATACAATGCGCATATAGTATATATAATGTGTATATAATACATATAATGCATATACTATGCATATATATCCACATACAATGAATACACACGCATATTGATATACTACACAAATATAGTGTACAGATATTGCATATATATTGTACATACAATGATATATAGTGCACATATAGTGTATATACGTGTATACAGCTTATACTGCACAACAGAGTTTGTGTGTCTCATACTTCTTATATATGTTTTTACACATACATTTTACATGTCTCTTGTATACATGCATTCTATATGCACCATGTATGCGCTTATATGTGCATTTATATGTCTATCTATACGATGCACTTTATACTCTATGCTTACCTTTGTTTTTCTGGGAGAAATGCTTGGATCCCGACTGTTGCCGATGCCTGTTCTTTAACCAGTGCTTCTCTCTTAAGTAGCTCTATTATCCACTCATCTGAGTCTTCTAATGCTGCTCCAGTGCGTGCCGTTGACGGACCGTTGTGCTTCATGTGGTACTGTGGCGCTTCTCGGTGCCCGTATATAATGCCACTAGATTAAGGCTATAGTGCACTAAGCATAGATAGGGTTTGGCTGAGATACATATAGACATATATAGACACATATAAACTGAATACAAAGTACATACAAAGCATATATAAAATACATATAAAGTGCATATAATATACATATAGTACGCATATATATATACGCATATATACGCATATATATGCATATATAACACATATATAACGCATATATAACACATATATTGACTATAAGTATGTATATGTGGGTGCAGTAGTATCAGTAATGTAATATAATGTTTAAATATCCATGTTTGGCAGAATAATGCATACACTCTGAAGCAACAAATGCATATATATAGAGAACAAGAAAATCGTGAGGAAAAATATAATAGAAAAATTGCCGGTTCGAGAACGAAGAAATAGGCGACAGCGATGCATTAGAGCATTGACAGCAGAATATTAGGCAAAAAGGGGCTTTAGAAGAAGAGAATAATATATAAAATAAGAGGGTGAAGATATACTTTATTATAAAGTAAAGAAAAACTGTGGAAAAAGTTAAAATTGATGGAAAATAGCTTAAAAGACGGAGTAGCATTGACTATGATGGTAACGGAAAAAGAGATAGAGGCCAATGAGGGCAAGAAAATAGTGCAAGAAGCTTCAGGAGAGAATGGGTTTGAGAATGGAGTGCTTCGTCCGCGAAAACAGAGGACAAAATGGACGATTGAGGAGACAAATGACCTTCTTCATGGATGTAGCACGGTAAGGGAGATAGTGGGGGTTTGGGAGGAAAATAAGAGACTGAAGATGGTGTAGTATGGTGTAGGCAATTGGAAGAAGATTTTGCATGATTCTCGGTATGTTTTAGGGTGCTTTTTTATATTTTTAGCGTGTTTTTACGTTGTGAAGATATCGGTTTAATAATCGCTCACCGATTGATCTTAAAGACCGGTAATGGCAAGAGTTTTAGTAGGAGGTTAGATGTTTATTGGGATGTTAGGTTTCGTACAGTTTTCCCCCAGGATTATCGTTATTTTTACCCTAATGCACACACACATATAAATCGGCAGCAAAAAATGGCATCTCAAAGTTTTTTGCCACGTGTTAACCGCAAGGAGCGCCGGGCATTTACTCCTGATGAAGATGCACGCCTTCTCGAGGGATTTATGCGTGTAAATGATATGTTTCGGGTGTTGGGTTTACTGATATAATTACAGCATGGGCCTTCGTGGTCAAAAATACAAAGAGATGTTACTTTTTCTTTGTCGTCTCGTAGAAGTATTGATCTTCGTGACAGGTAGATTGTTTTTCTTTTATATTTGTTTCCTAAATATTTTTAAACAGATTCAGAAATGCATTTCCAGAGAAATATGCAGCAGCTGGTTTTAAATCTCGGCCATCGAAGAATAGTCGTAAACAAGCAACTAGATCTGCTCCTATGGACACTTCTGCGCCTTTGTCTGTGCCTCAATCCTACAACAATACTTCTACACCTCTTGAGATCAAGTCTTGGCAGTCATATGCTAATGTGGGTGAGTTGTGTAACATGCAATCTATGGTTTTTGGTGAAAACTTTCATTCAATTTCAAGTACGTCATTAGAGTCTCTTCATGAAATTTTTTCTGCGAATACACTTAATACCTATGATTCTTCTAACGAGCTTTTTATATCTTCAGAGCCAGCAGATCATGGACATAAATCGTCTATGGAATTTATAGTATCACAAAATTCTAACGTTTTATGGTCGAATATTAATAATCATAATATTTTATCAATGGATTCCAGCAAAATAACAGATGTTTCTAGTTCCCAATATGTCGATCATATGGGTATAAAGGCTGAATAAAGTTTATTTACGGTGTTACATTTCATATGATTTATGGTTTTATATTTGGGTTTCATTTTTTGTTATTTCTGTTTTCGAATTGTTCGATTTAATACCTTAGGCACATTTGTTTTTATTGTTAGTGCCATGGATATTTATGATTATTTTGGCCTATAGTCAGCCATCTATTGTTTCGATTATCTTTAATAGAATGAGCATTGTCTTTTGTTGGTTGCGGTACATTTGTATTTACTAGAGATATAATACCTTATATGTTTAAATAACTGAATCGACTTAAAGAAAGTTCAATAATAGTGTTTTTGGTTGTTATTTGAGGATTATGCATACTAGGGTTTTATCTAGTGTTTTTGTTTTAATAGTCTGGTATTTTTATTGTTTTCATTTTGTTTCTTTAATAAAGGTTAATATTAATTTCTTACATCTGTTACCGAGACGATCACTATGATTCTACTTTTAGTTTTTTAAAAATATGAATATATCTGAATATTTGAAATTCAATAATAGTGTTCTTCCTCCAAAAGGTTCTTTAATTTCTGTTACATCAACCGTATCTGTTTCTCCAATTTTCATTATTTATCATTTTATACGCACGTCAATTCAGAATAATAGAGCAGTTGTTCTTGTTTCTTTTCTAAATGATTTTCAGGAACTTGTTTTTCTTTCTAAAAAATGGGTTTCTGCTTTTTTATTGCCTAATATTTATTTTAATTGTTTTAGGGCTTTGATTTTGCTTCAAAAACGTGTTCTGAAAAGTTGGTGTATGTTGACGGGTTAACTATGCTATATGGTTATCTTTCAGAAGAACAATGTAAAAAATATGAATTATTCTCTACAATACGGATTACCCTTTATGGAGAGTCGAATTTGGATGATATTTTTTCAGCAATTCGGTCAGGTATTGATAAGGGTTCATCTTTGAATGAGATGCCATCTTTGATTCTATGGGGTGCTGATTTTCTTGTTGCAAGTGAAATTCTTACTCCTTCTGATATTCTTTCCATGATTTCTATTTGTAAAGAGGTAGTTTATGTGTGAAGTGTGTTGTTTTGACTTTTTTAGATGGTTCATCATTGTATAGTAACATTCAATGTGGATTTTGCTTTTTTATCACCAAAAAGAAGGTCTTCAGAACTTGAAGTAAATTATTCAATCTTTGTTCATTCAATTATATATCAATCTCATTCAATTATTAGTTTGCGGCAATTGCCAAGTGGAAGAGCTAAGGAAGTAACAGGTATTATTCGGCTTTCTCGAGGTTCGGGCTATTATGCTGCACAAGATAACACTGAAGTATCTGCTTCTGATACTAAAGAATCAGGATGCACTCAGTTTGAAATGTTTTACTGGGTTTATGATTTAGGTGTACGGATTTTCCCTAAAGGTACTTTTTTTTAAGATTATTGAAAAATCTTACTATTACATTCTTTTATTTCTCATTTAATATATTGTATCTTTTGGTATTTAAAAAAATGGAAGAAATTATCTTATTTATATATTTTATTTCTTTGTCTGCAGTAACATCGAGGTATTATCGGCAATATAATTCTTAACTTTTTTCCAAAAAATAATATCTAAAGGAATATGTTTTTTGGACAGAATATTAGGTCTTTTCAATGTTTTTGTGTTTTCTTTGAACCTACTGTTTTATTTTTGCGAAGATCAACAAGGACACAACATACTTTTAAAAGATGGGTTCATAAGCCGTTAGTTCAAAGACAATGGATGCTTCCTGAGGATTTGGGCATATTGGGTACGTTTTATTAGATTGTTGATGATGTTCTAATTTATGTTTAGATGCTTATGTTCCTCCCTCTAGAAGTTCTTTGCCTGTTTTTTGGAGAGCTCCAGCTCAAAGGATGCGATTAATATGGCGATGGCTTTATCATCGAATGAAGGGATGGTTTGAGTTAGTAGAATCTCTTTGTGTTTAAAATGTAAATATGTTAGGCGTAAGCTTTTTGAAGAATCTATTAGACCAATTAAGATTGATTTTAAGCAATTACATGTAACAGTAGGCAAAATTTATGAAAAAGTTAATCAAGCATATGCAAAGTATTTTTGTCCCTAAATATTTAGTGTTTTTAGTGATAAATTAGAGGAGATTTTAAGGAAATTGCTTTATTTTGTAGTCCGGCTTATACTCAAACTTTGAAGTCACAAATTCTAAAAAGACCTGCAGACTTTGAGCTTAAATGGCAACTTCATAAAATGATAAAGCCGCCGAAGCTTGTTAGTTTTTCTCATGCAAAAGTTGAACTTGATTCGAATAAATATCTTGCACAGGCAATCTATAGGATTCATTCTGAACAAGTATTTTTTTTTAATGTGAAATTTAAGAATAATTTTTTTAGAGTTTAACAACGTTTTTTGATGGTTTAGAAAAGAAGGGTTCGCCAAAGATATTGGTTGAATATTATGTTTTTCAGTATAAAACATGGGTACGGCCATATAAGTGGTATATTTGGGGGAAAACAACTGAAGCATCGCCTGATTCTGTGAAAGTAAAAATATGGAAAAAGGACGATAATATGTTAAAAACGGTGAGATTTCTTTGTAATCGAAGTTAAGGTTAATTTTTTTTAAAGAACTATAAATATCAAAATATATAGTTTTGATTTGTTATTAAAAAAATTATTAGAAAAAAATCTGAAAATTTTCCCCAGATATATTTAAAGGTCTTTTTTACGTCTATGAATTTTAATAAATCAATGGTAATAGTTTACATATATGGGTTTTTGTGACATCACTTGTTTTGATATTTGTCTTTAACTTTTATAAAATATAGGTTCAACTTCTTGAAATTTTAAACTATTTTTGGAATTTGTTGATAATTGAGAATATTTTTGCTTTTTATAATTCCTAATTTTTTTTTATTGGTCAATATTGTTATTGAAATATTTACGTTTATATTCGTATGATTTTGGTTCTATAATAAGAATCAATATAATGCACATTCTAAATATTAACATTATATTTGTATTAATGTGTATAGTGACTTTGGTTTGTTTTTTTATAAACATATAAAGATATATATAATTTATGTTTTAAGGATTTATATATGTGATTTATGGGAAATATGTTTTAAAATAGTATTGTGTAAAATTAAAACTAATTTATTTATAAAGATATTTGATTGTTTTAAAATCTATGATTTATTTAAATGTATCTATGTACATCTCTTGTATTTGTAGTATCTAGTATTCTGAAAATATAAGTAAATTGAATGTGTAGAAAGTTTTGTGTTCAGTTACATTAACATATCTTTGATTTTATTTTTTTTCTGGAGATTTTTGAGTAAAGATAATCTTAAAAATTAAAAATGTACTAAATATAGAAATAATACATACTGGCATATAAATTGTAAAAAGCCCTAGGAAAGACATTCTGTGAAAAATAAGTAATTTTTTCTAATATAGGTAGTTATACGTGAGATTCATTAAGTTTCCTTGAGATATTGAAGTATGTGTTTTGGCATCTAAAAAGCCAGAAAGTGTCGCAACAAGGGACGCCCATGCTGCCCATCTATAATACTAAACATTTTTGTCTATTTCTGACTGAGCTATTACTTATTCTTGAAAATCATAGATGAAAAGCTTAATATAGATACAATCATATTTGTATAATCTATTGTGCTAGGATTGAATAAAGGTTAATTGGTAGAAATAGTATACCTATATCTTCATCAATTTCAACTGGTGTAAACTGTTTTATAAGTTCTTCTCTTTTTGGGTTTTTAATTTGTGTCATTTTATTTATTTTTTAAAATTTTGGGATTTTTAAAGTTTAAAAAGTTTATATAAAGTGTTTTAATACTAAATTATATATGAAAGTAAATTTATTGAATTTTATTGTTTTTAATGATTTTTAAAAAAATCAATATGAATAAAGTATTATATTTCTAGTTTAAGTTTATATTTTAAAAAAGTAAATTTTAAAATGATTTATTAATATATTTTTTATTTAAAATATTAATATATCTTCAAATGGTTGTTATTTTCAGTTTAAAAAAATATAAGAATTTTGAATTATTTTTTTTGAAGTTTTATTATATATGATCATTCATAAATAAAATATTATTGAAATCTAGATAACAATGAAATTAGATATGGACTGTTCTTTGAATATAATTCAAATATTAGTTTGAATCGGAATAATTTTTATTAAAATTATTAATTACTTTATGTTTATGGTTTTTTGAATTTATTTAAATTTTTAGAAAAAGTTTATAAATTTGATAATATGAATAAAAATAATCTATTTTTTTATGAGATAATATTTAAAATTCAAAAAAATAAAACTATAAAATTTCTAATAATTTAAAAAATATCGATTCTATTATATTTTACTAAATATTTGAATAATTATTTTTCAAAAAAATTCTAATTATGATTTTTATTTAGAATGTAAATTAAGGGTTTTTTGAAGGATATATGATTTATATTGTTTTTAACAATATTTTTGAAAAATTGTAATAAGATATGTTTTAAAAAAGATACTGGTAAAATAATATAGATAATTATTGGAATTAATGTTTTTTTTATAAAAAAATGATTTTGTTAAATAATTTTTCTAAAAATATAGAATTCCAGTATTCGTTGAATATTGTGTCTATCTACCTGTTAAATCTCTTTTTTATTTTGAGATAGCTTTTAAGATAAGGACAATCAAAATTTGTCTTTACAATTTTAAATTTATTAAAAAATATTGAGCATATATTTTTTCTTGTTGAAATAAATTCATTTTTGTTTTAAGATCTAATTTTAATATATTAATCTTTTTTCAGGTTTTTATTTAAGGATTTTTGGTGCCATATATTAAAAATCATGGTTCAAAAGGCTAGATTTTGATAAACAGTTTTTTATAAGTAAATAATAAGATTTTTGGGCTCATTTTCTCGTTTTTAATGTTTAATTTATGTTTTTCGTCTAAAAATTCACGACATTATACATATTTTTCATTTCAACGTTCATCTTATATCTTTAAAGGATTATTAAGTAAACTATCACTTAAAAAATATAGAGAAAGTATGTTAATTATTCTAGGTACAATTCCAGTTATTGCTTTTGGGCTGGGAACCTGGCAGTATTATCGTCTTCAATGGAAACGTAATCTTATACGAAATTTTGAAGAAAGATTATCTAATGAACCTATAAGGTTAACTAAAGATACTAAGTATTAATACTTTTTATACTTTATATATATTAATAATACAAGTTTTTTTAATTTGCATAAACTTGAATATCAAAAGGTTTTAATAACTGGAAGATTTAAACATGATGAAGAAATGCTTGTGGGGCCTTTATTATTTGAGGGGAAAAATGGATATCATGTTATTACTCCTATGGAAATAAGTGATGGGTATGTTTTTTTATTATTTTAAGGATTTATTTTTTAAAAGTTATAGTTGTAATTGTTTAATTAATCGTGGTTGGATTCCATCTGATATGGCTGACCCATCAAAAAGAACAGAAGGGCTGGTATATTTCTTTCTTATAGAAAAAGAATATATCTTAATAACTGTAGTCTAATGAAGAGGTTACAATTCAAGGTTTAATACGTTTACCACCAAGAAATAATCTATTTACACCTACTAATAAACCTGAATTAAAAAAATATTACCACGTTGATATTAAACAAATGTCTGAATTGACACATTCACAGCCTATATATATAGAACAATTGCTAGGTATTTATTATTTCATATTATACATATATATATAATTTTTTAAAGAAAATGACCCCATTATGGCTGCTTTTTTAGTAACTAAAGGCAAACCTATTGGTAAAACTGCTCGATTACAGATACGCAACAATCATTTAGAATATATGTTTACATGGTGCACCGATTATATTTTATTTAATAATGTTATTAAATTAATAATAGGTATGCTTTATCTTTTACAACATCAATCATGCTATATTTTATATTAAGAACTCCATTATCACCAATTACTAGAAGAATACGTCATGCAAAAAGACTTTCTTAGAGCTTAGTTTTTTTTTTTCTTATTTGCTTAGATTTTTTAAATGGTGGTGGCATTTCAGATTCAAGCTCCCTTGGAATATACTTTTGAAATAATGAATATAAAGTCGTTTTCGAGTTAATTTGCCTTTGCCTAACATTTATAAGAATTATTTAAATTTTCTAAATGAAGTTTCTACCTTCTCATAAGTTGTATAACATCTGAATCCTCTATTGTTTTTCGTCCAGCATGCGCTGCAAAGGCTTCCAAGTCTTCTGAGACTTGTTCAAAAAATTGATCAGATGCTAAAATGATTTCTTTAAGTGCATCTTTAGATATTTTTGATGTTGTAAAATTGGCTACTAGTTGTTTAACAAATGCGCTCGGTAATGAAGGCAATGGGATTCCATATCGTGAAAGTCTGTTTATATTAGTAAGAAATATAAAATAAGTAATTGCAAACTTTTGAATTTTTGATTTATTAGAACGGACTGATGACTTTGAAGGAGGTTTCATAGTAGATTTTGTATGTTCAGGAAGGGAAAGTTCTGGATGCATATCTTTAAATGATATTGTTTCAGCAATTGTTGGTGTTTTTTCGTTTATGAAGTTAATTTTTAGATGGGTTGAATCATCCCTAGACTGTTTAAAAAAAATAACAATATATATTCACTAACTCAATCATATTGCTTCTATTGAAACCTGACGTTAGATCATCTTTAAAGAGGTTTTCTGACTCCAACATATCGTTTTGAAGAGTAAATTCGTTAAAAGATGTATCACCTAGTCCTTGTTCATGATAAATGATAATATGGTCACTATCTTTTTCAAGACTTAATCGATCATTTAGTTTTTTCATTTCAGTTCTTCTACCGATTTCTATTGATTGCACTGTATATTCTTGATCTAAAGGAATAGAAAGATGAGGTTGAGAAATATCATCTGATGAAATTTCTGGTTCCGGAATGTTAATATTTGGTGGTTCTATATCTTCTATTTCTTCATCTAAGCCATTTATTTCATATGTGTTTTCAAGTTCATTTTGCAATGAATAAGTATTTGTTTTAGTTTCTTCTGAATAAAGTGGAAGTGCTAAATATGAATTTTAAAAAAAAAAAAAAAAAACATGAAATTACCTCGGCTTAATTTTCTTAATATATCTTGAGGAGTGTCATATGATTTCTTACGCTTTAGCACTTTCCTAGCACTTTGGCGAGGTGTCGCAGCTTTTTGTAGCGCGCGTGCAGTATGAGGTGTTGGTGGGTTTTTTGTGATACTTTTTGGCGTCAAACCGGCCTTTAAAATATTCCTTTCATTCTGACTTAGTGTTCTACGTGTAGAAACCGGTGTTTTCCGTGCTATTAAGGGTGATGGCCTTGTAGCTTGACTTGCTAAAACACTTGATAATTGACGTAGCTGAAAATATAAGCAAAACATTATATAAAAAAAATTCTACCGATGTGTAAGGTGTTTCTAATGATTCATCTGTGTGTTTGTTTTGCATAAAACTCTTAGGTGTATCAGTTGATTTGCTATTTTTGTTAATTTATTTTGAAGATCAAAACATACCTGGAATATCTAGGAATCTGAGCCTTGTGCATTGTAGGCAATATCAATGAGATATCTGAGTTAGTTTATGTTATTTTAAGTGTATATCGACTCTTATTTATATTTCTTAAGTGCTATTGAGCATATTTGTTAAAGGCTGGTCAGGTCGACAAATATTTCGAGATTAGATGTTAAAAAAGCTGTTTAGATAAGTTTTAGAGAAATAAAAGAAAATTGAATTTTGATAGGATATTATGAAAGAAAATAAAGCAGATGACATAGATGAACAATATTATGATGATTCTAAGAATTTTAGTGGTGAAAATAACATATATGAGTTTTCAGAAACTGATAATGTGATTTTTCAAAAAAAACGACGAAAAAAGGAGAAATTGGCTCAAAGAAAGGCTCTTAAAAGAGATACTGATGGTTCAGATGTAATTGATGCGTTTCCTCGACTGAGTGCAGCAATGCAGGCAGATCATGTTGAAAAACGGATTTGTGAAGTTTACTCGAATTATTCCTCTTTAGAATTAGATGATTTGAGAGTTTCTGGTACGGTATATCTATTTTTTATGTCTTTATTGTTTTATATATATATTTTTTAGAAAAATACTTTTTTGAAGTTTGTTGGACTGATGATTTAATTAACAAAGGCTTACCTGCATTTTTAGAACAAGGTATGTGATTTATGGAAGTTTTTTTCTTATAAATCTGAAAGGCTTGAAATATGATCCAAGATATGTTCCTTCAGCGTTTGGGAGTCCTCATACAATTATTTTTGCTATGGCTGCACTTCGAGTAGCGAACATTACAAGGTAAAAGAAGCAAAAAATGAATTGATGTGATGTCTAGACATCCTTAGGTCATTACGTTGCTACAAAACAAAAGAAGGAGATGTTGCTAAATTGTTTGCTAAACATATTAAATTAAAGGATCATATCAGTTATCTTTCTCGTACACGATTGACAATTGCAGTAGGAACTCCTGGGAGAATTTTTGATCTTGTAGATAATGGTAAAAAGCTTTATATTATTTTTTCGATTTTCATGTTTATAGAAGCTTTAAAAGTAGATTTTTTGAAATGGATTGTATTGGATACTACATATATTGATGTTAAAAAAAGAAGATTTTGGGATATGCCTGAATGTTGGAAAATGCTAATAAAGTTAATAACAAATGATCCTTTAAAAGCTATGTTGAAAGAAGGAAAGGTCAAAATTGTTTATTATTAGTTTAAATTAATGATTTTTTTTGTTGCTAATATTTTATATCTATTATTATTAAAAACATATCTTTAAAGATTATAGAACTATTTTTGGGTTTAAAATGTATTTTTTATTTAAGATAGAGTGGATCGATAACATATATTTCTAAAGATTTTTAACTTTTGTTATTACTGGTATTGATTTTAAGGGTTTTGATGGTCTTATTCTTTTATTACATTTATTGTGAAGTAATAATTTGTTACTATTCTAATATTGAAAATAAATAAAGACAATCATAAATTTATTTTGAATCAACAATTTAATGAAATATTTTTATTATAATTTTCAAATATTTTGAAATTAAAAAATACAATAAAGTTATATTTAGAAATAAAAGAAAAGGAAGCAACTTTTAATAATATTAAGATGACTTTTTGTAATTTAGTGTAGTGTATCTTGAAGATCAACACGTATTTAGTTTACTACATATATAGGATTGTAGATAGTATATATAAATATAGTAATTTAAGAAATAATTGTTATTGTTTAAGGTTAGGATATGTAAATAAAATATTTGTGCTAGTATATTTCTAATTATACAAATTAAAAATAAATTATTGAATATGTAAAAATTTGATATAATATTTTAAATGTCTATTATACTAAGTTTCAATTTTAACTATTAAAAAAGATCTCTTATGAAATTAAATTGCTTCAAAATAATTTTATCTCAAAATGAATATTTAAAAGAATCATCTAAATATGTTAAACTATAAAATATTACACTTTTTCCGTTTTTTATGAATTTGTATTGACGGCATAAGTACAGCTCTTGGAAAATTAATTTTTGAACGTAATATATGTATGAAAAACGTACCGAATTGCTTCATCAAACACATTTTTTAACCCCTTCTGTGTAAGTGCAGAGCATTCTAAATATCTAGAAAAATTACAACTCATAGAAAAAATATGTTTAAGACACTCTTACTTAACAGAACCTATTTCTTTTGCCATTTGTACTCCTTGAAAATATGTAATAGGTACCATTTTTCTGTCTTTTAGTTTTTCTATAATAACATGGTTATCGCGAAGATCTAGCTTTGTACCAACTAGAATAATTGGAATATTCGGTGCATGATGAGATATTTCCGTATACCACTAATATAGTAAATTATTGCTAACTTTTTTGCTATTACTATACTTGCCTTGGTTCGTACATTTTCAAAAGATGGAGGACTGACAAGTGAAAAACAAATAAGAAAAACATCTGTTTGAGGATAAGACAAAGGACGTAATCTATCATAGTCCTCTTGTCCAGCTGTATCCCAAAGTCCTAAACTTATCGGTTTCCCATCGACCATTACACTGGCCATATAATTATCAAATCTTTAATATAGATTAACTAATTTTTAAAAAATATTATTTTTCCATACACTGTGGGTATATATTCTCTAGGAAATGCGTTTGTTGTATAGCTTATCAACAGACAAGTTTTTCCTACTGCTCTATAAAAAATTTTGTTAGTAATAGCTTTTTAATATATTTATTATTGGAAAAAAGAGTAAAAAAGCTATTTTTGCATCTACATTAAGTAGAATATATGTATATATTAAGATCTATTTTCCATGTTTTAAATTATAAAATCTGTTTTTCACGTTGAATAAAAAATATGTGTTTTTACTGAAAAATAGGCGTTTAATGTCGTTTTTTTTACTTACCCGTCTCCTACAACAACACATTTAATTGCATGCATTTTTTGTGCTAATTATTGTGCTTTTATTTGCTTTCTTCAGCTATTTTAAAATATCAAGATTCTGACGTTGATCGACGGGCATTCAGTGGAACAGCACTGATTCCGTTGAACGTTATGAAAGATGATATTTGGAGTAAAGAGTCAATAGAAGACTCAATAAGCCGTTGTTTAAAGACAGGGTTAGTATTTCTTGTCTATATTCAAGGTATTTTCCTTTTTTGCCTTTAAAAATGACCTTTTTGACGTTAAAAAGACGGTGAAGATACAAAATGGATTGACCAACTTTTAAGTCCAGAAGTATGTAAAGAAATGCGTAAAAAAACAATTTCTTTGAAGCTGCATAATGGTACAAGTGATGCTATATTGTTTAAGCAGATGGGTAGGTTTTTTTTTTTTTGAAAATTTGGCATTAATGTTTCTAGTTGTTGTCAATTGTGTTCCGTCTATTTTTTTAATTAAGTAAAGACTTTTTTATGAAGAAAAACATTAGACTGAGTTTCTTAAAGGGATGGATTAGTAAAAAAATATCTCTGTAGTGATGCAACAACAGAAGACCTTCTTGAAAGTATCCGATCAATGAGTACGGGGAAACATATATCAGGTATCTAAGATGAAGGCATATATAATTTTTCTGGCTCATAAAACGTAGAACAAGTTGAAGGGGAGTCTGTTGATATGGGTGCAAATTCTACATCAGAGGGTGTTGGTTCATCATCTACTCATGAAAAAATGGCACAGCGTTTGACACATATGAAAACAAAAGATATGGAGCAACGGCAAAAGTATGTTGAGGGGATTGAAAGAACGAAAAAATGTGATGCAGAAGAGCGGAAACGCGTCTTAAGTCGAATTAATGCTGATAAAGAAGAAAGAAAGATAAAAGAGTATTATCGAATTTCTGCACGTTCATCTCAGTCTTCTACATTTGTTGAGGACACAGCTGTACAGGGAAATGCTAAAAATATATGTTTTTTAAATATAAGATTGTTAAATGGGTCATCAATTCAAGCAAGACATTTTACTTTTAAAAACACATTAAAAGATGTTAGATCATGGATCGACGAAGTTTTGGCACTGAATATTTTTCAATTTTACTAATAATATATAGAATCGTACGGATAATAAAATACCATATGATTTGATTCAGATATATCCAAAAAGACGATTCGATATTTTAGAAGAAGCGGCATCATTGGAAGCATTGAACTTGTGTCCTAGTGCAACACTTATTTTAATGGTTTGTTTTCTCTGTAATTAATAAATAACTTATTTATGAAAGCCTTTGAAAAATGTTACATCTGCTTATGTTAAAGCAAGTAATGGCTATTTTTCAAGACTATTTGAATTTTTTAGTTATTTTATAGGATCTATCTATTCGGTCTTTAGCTGGACATTGATATTTGTTGGTAGAAATAATTCAGTTGAAAATGTAGAGCAGAATAAAAAGATAGTCTCTTCGGATAATCAAAAAATATCGACTTTTCAAAATAAAAATAAAGATAAAAATATGTGGTATAATGGGAATACACTTAATCAGGAACCTCCCAAGGAAAAAAACAGTTGAAAATACTAATTATGGTGTTAATTGATTAGTTTTTTTCATATGATTTTATATTTGTTTTTGACTCTTCTAAATATAGTTTGTTTGCGGTAGTTTCTAGTTCTTCAAGTTCCCAATTGATTTCATTTTTTTTAATTTCTAAATGACGAAGTTCGTGCGCTAAACTCCGAATAACAGAATCACTATTAATAAGCAAATATAATATAAGTTTGGGGATTCAACCTTGCTGTTTGTATCCATACGGAATAATCATCCAAAAAAAGTTTATTATATAAATAGTATGTATCGCCTTGTTCAAATAGTTTTCTTATCTCCAAAAATTTTTTAAGAATCCAACGTTTTCCCAGTCTTAAACTGCAATATACATCTTCCCAGCATTTTTGAATAAGTTTCCAATGTCTATATAATGGATATGCCAAGGCCCTACGTGTACAAGCAATTACAATTTGTTTTATTGTGGAAAAAGACATGTCTAAACATGATAAAACAGGTGAAAGTTTACCTATTGTCCATGGTGATTCAGATGTAGGCTCGTTTTGAGTTGTTCGAGCATCATAAGAATAAGAAAATAAGAGTGAAAGTATACATAAATAAGTAGATTTAGGATTTTCAATAATATCTTTAACCGTTAGAATGTAAAAAATATAAGAATGAATGAGTATATACATTCACGACGAGGAAGTTTTAAGATTTCAATTTGTTCTTCTTTTGTAAGAGTAATTGTCTCTAAAAAGTTAGTTTTTTTTTCTGAGGATAATGCCTTTTTTTCTAGAGAACGAAGAATTGCATGCTCTTTAGATTCCCAATTAATGCATTCTTGAATTTCATTATCTTCTATATAATCTGCTATATAGTGTTCTTCATCAAACTTGAGATTTTCTTTTAAAATACGTTCTTCTGTACGAGATGTTGGACTACTATGTTCTGGATCACCAATTTCATTAATGTCATTTTCTACATGAGCAGGAGATTTAATATAGTTGCTATATTGAGCATTAAATCCATAGGATGATTGTAAATGTAGATTCTATATATGTAATTAGTGAAAAATATTGTTTTTTTAATTTACTTCTTTGCAAATTTCCTGTGGAAGCTGCCAGTCAAACGAAATGTCTACATTTGCGTTATAAAAGTAATATAATTGATAAAGATAAAACCTTCAGCAAGACGGAATGAATTAATGCTTTGAGTATTTTGTTGAAAATTATCTAATAATATGTTACTCCAACGGTTTTCTTTCACATTATACACATTTTCTATAGTAATACCTTGTGTATTTTTTTCATTTAAAACTTCAATTAGTGATTTAGATTCTTTTTTGTCGCAAGATGCTCTAGGTTTTGCAAGAAGAGTTGATATTAGGTCCAAATCATTGAAGAAAACTCCAGGAGTCTCTTTAGACACTTTTATTTTTACTTTTTCTGCTGAAATATCATAAGACATTTCGCTAAACTTGTCTTCAATAACTTTTCCTGGCAAATAAAGCCTATACATCTGTTAATAACACGTCAAAAGCACTAAAATATGTTTTTCTGATAAACCTGAGATAATATGGTGCTGCTGAGAATATAAATTCATTTCCTTCTATATAAATCTCTATATTTTGTGTCTAAAACACAAAATTATCTTATCAGCACCATTCAAGCTCTAAATAACATAGTTACACGAATAAAAACTGCGTGAATATCAATATATATGTGATTGTCATCTTGATTTAATGAAAATGATGGTGTTATCATTCTATATTCTTTGCTACATTTATTCGGTGTTTATTTAAGATGCATTTTTTGAAAAAAAAAATAAGAATTTGGAAAAACGAGTTCTTTAGAGGCACTATTGTTCTATATATATTTAAAAATTTTTAACTATTCTAGTTCTAGCTGACCCTTTTTCTCCACCTCGCTCACTTGATTTGCTTAAATTAGATCAACATGAAGATGTACAACAAATAATATTAGGATCTGATGCAGATGTTGATGGAAAAAGCCATGCACATTTAGTAGCGGATGAAGAACATAGATATTATAAATTTTATGGAGAAATTTTGGAAAATCCTCAAGGACATATGTATGCTGCATTTCGTGCTAAAAAGAAGCGTTTGTTTTTTAGGACAAGCTGGGATTTGAGTCGTTATAAATATATTTCGTTATATGGTATGGGAGATGCACGGACATATTTTTTAACTCTTCAGACGACATCTTTTCCTCAGTTTGATCTTTATCAAATGCCTTTTACATTTAAAACACCAGGAAAATGGGAAACTATTTGTGTAAAATAAAAATTTGTATTGGAGCATTGTCTAAATGTCTCAAGGTGCCGCTGAATGCTTTTTATTTGAAAGTAAAGAGTTCTGAAATGTCTAAACATCGATTTTCTGGCATAGAAAGGATTCAAACAGTAGGTATTTCACTTTTGAACCCATACCCAGGTCCATTTGAATTGTATATTCGCTGGATAAAAGTAGTAATTATGCTTGGTTGCATCGTATCTGACTGAAAATTAGACAATGAATGAAATTTATAATGAATCTGACACTTTTGAGTTATCGACAGAACAAGCAGCACAGGATATTAATGTATAATAATGCAGGTTCTAAGTAGTTACTAACAATTTCATGATAATATCTTTGTTATATTACAATATTTTTATAGCATTGTTTAGTATACGGAAAACTTGTAATATCGATGTTTTTTACTATAAACTACAGCGTGATGTATTTCTAGGCTGTCATATTGAAATCTGATGATTTATGCTTCAGATTGTTTATGAATTGTTGTGTTATTTCTTTTATATACTCGACCCACGAACTACCTGTCAATTGTTCGTAAACTTGGATATATTTTTGCCTTGTTTGATTGACTATTTCCTCTGGGAGTATCACGTTCGCTTGACCCATTTTGCAATGCTTCTCGAGCCAGTCTCGTACATGCTGCTTATCTAGGCTGCATGGTTCACTATCTAATAAATTGCTAGAAGACCAAAATCTGGATGAATCTGGCGTTAACACTTCATCGACTAAAACTAATTCATCATTCGAATCGACCCCAAATTCAAACTTGGTATCCGCAATAATAATACCTTTTTGTAAGGCATATGCGTGTGCCTATACACGTTAATATGAAAAGATAGAATGGTAATAAGTTAATACCTCGTTGTAAAGCATTAATGAAAGACGTTCTATTTCTTTTGCATGTTTTTCTCCAATTTTCTTTGATACTAAATAATATTAATTACGTTTCGAATACTATCCATACCAAATACATTGACTAGGATGAAGATTTTCATCTAAGAGTGTTTAGTGAACAGAAATAATAATAGAAAGAATGGTAGAAATGAGAAAAAAAATAAGAAAAACAAAAAGAATGATGGGAACAAATAAACCAATAGTTCAATAGACTTACCACGTCCTCCAGGTGTTGCTTTTGTGCTAGGTGTAAATAATGGTGTGTCGAATGGTTGTCCATGTTTAAGCCCTGGACGTAAGGCTATACCATGTACTGTTCCATGCTGCACATATTCTTTCCAAGCAGAACCTGAATTCCTATTAGTTTTGACTGGATTATATAATTGAAAACGTTACCCGCCATGTACCCACGCACAATAGCCTCAACAGGAAGTATTTGATATCGCGAAACAATCATTACTCGTCCCATTAGTGTTTGTACATAGTTTTCTAGACTAAGTGGTAACATTGTGTCTATCAAATGATGTTGGCATATATGTTGTAACTTTTTAAACCAAAAGAAAGACAGTGCTGTTAATATTTGGCCTTTTCCTGGTATTACCTAAACATTGAGTCTTTATGTCCTATAAATACCGTTCAAAATTATATTACTATACTGTCTAAGTTTTACAACTATAGTAAATAACTGTGTTTCAAAGCCTTAAAAGATGACTTAGATCCCCAAGTGGTGTTAGGATGTCTTGGACAGTATAGAAATCTGAAACGGTAAAGTATTGTACTTACGTTATCTAAAACAACATCGTAAGCACTGATTCTGTCTGTAGAAACAAACAGCAACTGTTGTTCATTTAAAGCGTATACATCTCGTACTTTACCACGAGCTATTAACTTTAGTTCTTTCACTCCTGATTTATATAAAGAACTATTTAAAATGCTATTCAATGATTCCTTTAAAAACATCTCCTTTTGTGAAAAAAAAGCGCCTAAAATTAGATCAAAAGGTTTCAAGATTCTTTTGTCCAACGCCTTACTTAAACTATTTTCTTCTGTTTCTTTCGAAGAATTATTTATCTTATCAAAATCATTTAAAATCATTTCTCCCAAAACCCCTGTTCCCTTGTTCTCTGCTTCTTTATTTTCTTCTTCTAATACTTTCATCACTCTTTAATTAACCACTCTTTTTAATTATCCACTTTTTTCTTATTTAGCCTTTTGCTTTATCGTTTTCTTGCATTTAATGTGTTCTTGCATCGTTAACACTCGATGGATCAACTTAGAAAAGTGCTTGTGCATCAGACACGTCTCCGTCTCACTGAAACATGGCTCTCACGTATTCACATGCTTAGCACTTGGCTTGACGAACTTGCTTCAGAACTTGCTTCAGAACACGCTATAGACAATACCGATCAATCTCCTTCTCAATCCACTGACGAGCTTCCTACTCCTGATCCCAGTCATCCAAAGAAACGCCGTACATTAAACACTTCTTCTGATAATATCTCCTGCCCTTCCTCCATTCTTCCTCTCTCTTTTTCTGCTTTAAAAACGGGACAAGCCCGCGTAAAACGTGAATGCTTCCGGGTATTGCGTGCCTGCGATGAAACACGTGTCCTTGTCAATCTGCGGTTCTCTGACACCCCCTCCCATGCACTTAGGGTGCTTGAAGGTCTGTTGTCTCTTCAAATCCTCTCTAAAGCACTCTGTCTTGCTGCGTGATATACCAAAGATCACGTGATATAGTCACGTGACTCACTTCTGCAAGCTGCCTGTAGTTGCAACAGCTCTGCGACAGCGGTGTCTTGCCAATGTTTCTTGCTTTCAATTCTCTTTTATCCTTCTAATCTCGTCAGATATCCTCTCTGAGCTCTCTCAGGCCCAAAATACGTGCATTACAATCCGTGCATCAATACCACAATATGCTTTATCCCGGGCAGAAGCTCTTCAAAAAGCCTGTGCTGCTGCTCTAACGGATGCTGCTGCTGCTGCTGGAGCTTCTGCTGTGCTTGAAATTGAGGAAGAAGCACTTTTCCACCTCTTTCAGCACTTTGCACAGCTTCGTAATATTTACGTTGTTCTTTATACACTGCTCCACAAGCATCGTGTGCTTCTCGGGCTTTAAAGTGGAGAGTATTGGCTGTGCAGAGGCTATAAATTGTCGAGCAAATGATGAATATGTGTACTGTATACGGTTGTATGCATTGGAATGCGGATATATGCTATCCAAAATGCTAATTGACCGTCTATATGCGCCTGTATATGCGCTTGTATATGTGTCTGCAAAGGAACGTGTATTTTTATGCTTTTATCGGCTTCCTTATCGAGCTTGTGTTTTATGTGTTTCCAACTTGAGCGTAGTGTGTACTTAAGCGAATGGTTTAATAGTGACGCTAAGAAAGTTAAGAAAAGTTAGGCAAAGCTTAACAAGTGTTAAGAAAAGTTAAGAAAGATATATATATGCAAGGTTAAGCAGTGGCTTTAAAACGTAGAGATTAGGAAAGGCCAAATATACTAAGCAATGGTTAAGAATGTCTAGAAAGCTATACCGGAAAAAGTTAAGGCGTTAACAAATGTTAAGAATTTTTAAGCAAGATCCGAGAAATACTAAGCAAAAGTCAAGGGGCACTAAGAAAAACATAAAAATTATAAAGAAAAAATTAACAGAGCTATTAAGAAAAAGGTTAAGGAGTGTTAGAAAAAACTAATATATATTAAGAATCCTAATCTAAGGTTAACCTAAAGTTAACCTAATGTTAACTCAGAGTTAAACAACGGTTAACCCAAGGTTAAACCCGGTTAAACACGGCTTATCCAGGTTAACATCCGCACTGAATCAAGGTAATCCTGGGAGTTATGGGTCAACGGTTGAATCAGTTATGTCAATAAACAAGACTAAGCTATTCTTAAACGATTGTTAAACGCGGATATTAAATGGATGTTAAGCAGTGGTTAAACTATTATTAAACTAGTCTTAAACAATGCTAAACTATTCCAAAATAATGGTCAAATTATAGTTAAGCACCGGTTAAGTAGCAGTTAAAAGCACTGCCTAACCGCAGCTAGAGTTAATAGGGCAAGTTGAGCACTGTGTTAAGCTGAGTACACATTAAACTAGACAAAAACAATGCAATCTTACGTTTTGGGGGTATTCTGGTAGCTATTTGCTTGGAGAAATTTGTCCAGTAAACATTTTGGGGAATTGGGGCATGACTGAATTGTATTTATTTAGAATATGTGTGGAACTTGAGCAGTCATGTCTGGATTGAACGAGATGTCAAGGGCATCCTTTCAAAGAGCGCGGGGGAGAAGCGCGTTGAGTGTGTTAAGTGACAGTAGAACTCCTTTTTTCCTCGGTTAAATCTGTAGTTAAGAGACGTGAAGCACCAAACACTGCAAGTGTACCTGCAGATAAGCATAGAGCAGTGTGGGCAGTAGATTAGCAGAAGGTTGAAGAAAGAGGCGGATAAACGGTAGTGAGCATTGGGAATATTGGAAAAGACCTGAGGACGTGTTAAAGAAAGGCATTGGAAAGAGAGAGAGGCGGTGTTGAGGGCGGATTGAGTGGGATTGGGTTGTTGACGGGTGTTCTGGTGTGGTTGAGGGAGTCTGAGCGGAATATTGGTGCAGGAGACGGTAGACAAAGGCTCGGTTTGAGAAAAACAGGGTCATTTTACTGTAAAATTTTACAAGGGATTTCGTGGTTTGCATTGATCATATATCATTGCTTGGAAATTGACCATTGCATTGGCCGTTTATTGCTGCACGGGCAGTTTGTTGTTACTGTCTTGAGTAGTTTTATAAGTTTTGCATTGTTTTAGTAGTGTTTTGGCTTGTTGCTTTGTTTCCTGCGTAAATTTTAGCTGGAAGAGTGCTTAAAGTCTTTGGGTAATCAGAGTCTTTCTGTACCTGGAACAGGTGTTAAGAGCAGCAAAATACGTCAATTGGGTGTTGGAAATACCAACGTACGTTAATTGAGGGTTTAAATTTATTGAATATTTTGGCTCTTTTAGAGTTATATAGTGTTCTGATTAAGTAGTCAGAATACGTAGTTGTTTTGCGGGATTGGTCTGGATGAAGCCGTGTACGTCACCGCTACTTGAGGCAGGTTCAGGTACTGTATCGTCCGCATCGTGTCCTCCTTCGCCCAAATTACTCGATGCACTAACAGCAGATGCGCCTAATACACCGATTACGCCCTTTACTAATCGGGGTTCTGGTAATAGTACTGAGAATACGTCTCCACTTGAGTTTTATGACCAGCAAGAAAAAGAATTCTCTGTTTTGATGGATCCAAAGTCTCATGAAACACTGTCGCCATTGGCGCTTTCTCAGAAACATGAAGTGTCGTCTTTGAATTCTGAGCGACAAGTACTATCGTCAGCTGCATCGCCAGCAACTACAGTTTATTTTAATGAGTCTGTATCTGGATATGTTGAAGATCAAGCGGGTTTTTCAAAGCCTGAATCATTGCACGAAGATATATTAGATAATGAAGAAATGGAGGCTTCTGTGCATTGTGCTTCGTCTGAAACGGGTCAAGATTCTGTATCATCACATTTATTGGTGAAAGGTGTAGTATTTTCTCATGAGACAACATTTGCTCCCAAGAAGACAACAGAATCATCGGAGAATCGAGGAAGACCAGCTGCGTGTTTGTTTGTTGCTAGGTTTAGTGTTTTTGGGTGTATTGTGTTGTGCTAATTTTGTGGTGTAGTTTGTCATCATCTCGTACAGATGAGCAATTATGTGTATCTGTTACGAATCATTTTCGTAAGGTAATATTTTTAAAGTTTGTGGAAAATGTTTTATTTCTATCTTATAGTGGGGGAATTTGCTTAATGTAAAGGTATTGAAGGATTGGATGCAGCGACCATATTCTTTTGTTCAATTTGAAGTAAGTATTTTTTTGTTTTATGGCTTAAGTTTATCAAAAATAAAGAACTTTGATGATGCAAAAAGAGCCCTTCGTGAGGCTCATAATACAGTTATTGATGGGCGACATATTCGTGTTGAAAAAGCGCGTGTTAATCGCACGCTCTATATTTCTAGAATTGGACAACCATTGGAAGAACAGGTTTTATTGTTTTTATCATGTTTTTTTTTTTGATATTTTTAAGGATGTAAGGAATTTGCTTGAGCCATATGGCGAAATCGAAGATATTGTGATTCCTTCTAATTCTAGTCATATGTTCCGTAATAATCTAGGGAAATGTTGCTTTGCCCGTTTTGCCTTTAGGGATGATGCAATTCAAGCATTTAGTGTAATCTTTTTTCATTGGAAATAATGGTTATATCATTAATTCGTATTAGAATCTCCGTCGCAATGGGAATTGGGTTGTTGAATGGGCTCAGAATCTTGATCAGAATACTTCACATACACCGGCAATTCCTATTGATAAAACGTCTATTTTTGTAGGACAGTTAAATCCTTCATTGGTGACCCGAGAGTCTCTTTTGAATAGGTTTAAAAAGTATGGAGAAATTGTTGAGTGTAGTCTTGTAAATAAGCCTAATTCTAATCGAACGGCTTTTGCGTTTTTACAATTTGATTCTATCGTAAGTTGATTAATAGGTGTTGGAAAGTACTTATTTTGAAAGTCTGGCGCATCTGCTGCTGTTGAAAATGAAGTATTTACATTGTTTTGTCGTGTTAGGATTTTAAATGTTTTATAGAACAATAGCACTTTTCTTGATAGAGTAATTAGAGTGCAATTTCGAGAATTACATGATAAGGCTGATTTATCTGGATATGATGCGAGATCTATGCCACCTATTAATTCTCAGACTCAATTTGGCTGTAAATTTCCTCTTTCAGTTCCGTTTATTCCACGGTTGCGTTCTAAGTCAAATGATTCTTTATCTCTTGTAAATCGGGGATCTATGTATACTCAAGATAATCCCTGTATTCAAGGTTATTATTCTGGAATGACGGGTCAGTCTTTTCCTATGGTAGCTTTCTTTATTTGTTTATATTTTTGCTAATAGTAAAGCGGTCTCAAGAAGCGTTTATGGCAGCTTATAGAGCGGCATTAGTTGCTCCGACTCCATTGAATCCGCCTCCAATTAATCCACATAGTGGATATTCTGGAAATATTCAGGTGCCGTATCCGACTCCTCCAGTTGGGTTAGCAAGTCATATTAATTCGAATTCCGCTTCTGGATATAATAATCAGCATCTTATGGTTAATATTCATCAGAATCCTAATGTTATACCCGCACCATTTTATTACTTTGGAGGGATAAATGTTCCATATCAAAGTATACCGTCAAGTTCATTAAATCAGGATGGTTTAGCTTCTCAACAGGATCGTGCTAAAGGAAATAATGTTCCTCAACCTTTTTTGTCTCATTGGGGAACACTGGTTCCCACGTTTATTCATGGGCCAGCGCCATCTTCTATGCAGCCTTCTATATCATTACCAGGGCATTCACTTCCACAGCATCAAGATTCACTGAATAGGGTGTATCATTTCCCGGAAGGTATTGCTAATGGTGCTATACATCCTGCATGGGATCCGTCCTTTGGTTATTATCGTTTCGATAATCAATGTTCACCGGATGCACCTGCATTTTCTATGCAGGTGCCGGCTTTGCAAGACAATCCGGGGCCTAACTTTCCTGTGTATGGGGAAGCTCTTGGACATAATGCTGATCAAAGTGCTCATCCTCCATCCTACATGCTTAATCAGCCTGTTGTTAATGGTGGAATTACAACGTGATTGTATTGTACCATGGCTAAATGGTTTATTTTCTTATTTCATTTGTTTTAGGTCTGCACAAGTGATATTAGTGGTCATTCAGTCATGATTTTTAAAGTATTCTGTTTATATTCACTATATGTTTATTGTTGGTATGAGGGATGTCTTAGGAGCTTGTATATTGTTAAAATATTGCATGGTTTTGTATTAAGGAAGCTGATTTATGTTTAATAGGTTTATCTATATCAGATAGATGTACTGGTTGGTAGGAAAAATGTAAAGAATATATGACTTTATATGACTTTAAAAAAGACATGGTATTTATAATTTTATTATGTTTTACGATGCATATCCTCTCAATGTTATACATGTATTATAAATGTTAGGTACTTTGGTACCATATTGTAAAGTTCGGCTATGTGTAATGCATCTACCTATATGAAAGGTTGTCGGTATTTCTGACATGCTACGACTTCGTGTTCGGTTAGTTAATCCATTAGATAAATTCGATGTACACAGCCTATATTGTCTTAAAGATCGATGAAGTGGATTTGGTGGCCGGATAATGTGATTTGGTGAAGGAACCTGTAAATGAAGTTGTTCAGATACCCACTGCTCTTCAATCCAGTTATTGTTTTCATTGTTTTCAGGGTTTTGCCATGTTTCAATAACTGTAGAAACACTTGAGTTTATTCGAAATGGTATTGGTGCATATAGAAATGTCCCGTTTTTATCTGAATAGTTTTCTAAAGATATCATTTTTATTGTTTGTATATTGATAACCAGCGGTGATTTTTTTCGGCCGGTTTAAGAGGGGGGCTGGTTTAGAATAAAATTATAATAGAATGAATGTTTACTTAAATGTTTTTTAATAATGTTTATTAAGAAAAAAACTTTTTATTTATAAATGTTGATATGGCCTATTGAAAGTATACGATATAAAAACTTAACTATTTAAGATATTAACAATACAGATGGCCCGTTTTTGATTTTTGACCTATTAAAATAAGTTAAGGAAAAAGTAAAAGAAATGATAAACTTTTATTAAATACACCGCTGTCTTATTGGTCAACTCTTCAAAACATTTTAGAATAATGCCGGTTTTTCCTGAACGCTGACTGTCTGATTTAAAAACAACTGCATTTAAAATTGTTGATGATTGGTTTTGTCTTTCTTTTTTAGCAATCAAAATATGTTTCTTTGAATCAGTATCTAATGATGTAACCCAAAGAATGCCGGACCCGAGATATGTCCATTGTTCTACATCTATTTGAAAAAATACTCTTACCTTAGATTTTCCCAGTATTGACCCAGTTTTTTTGTCAAGTATTTTTGGAGACTCTGTTGGTGTTGACGCTGGGTTTGGTGTTGAATTTAACGGATAATTTATGCCATTGTATTCATGATTTGTAGGTGTAGGGTTTTGAAAAACATGTAATATCCAAGGATTGTCACGGTTAATTACTCTATATAAAATAATATAAAATAGATCCGCATCACTATCATTCTCAAATTGTGATAAAATATATGAAACTCTGTCTTGTATGAAACATGCTTTAAAATATCAGATGATTTAAGTATAAAAATAGCAAACTTACCTATGCTTATTTCTTGTTTAGCTTGTCTTACTATTGTAGAATATCTTTGTAATTCACCACAAACAACAACTTCTTGAGAAGATAGATTACAAATTTCCAGTGTAAACATATCCGTTTTGCATGTATATTTGATTATAAGGAATACTTTTTCTTCAGGATCAAAAACACTTCTCCAGAATGTAAAATTCCAAAAAAATGTAACAGCTTTTTCACAAAACAATATTTCACTGTTGTCAGATGAAAAGGACGGGGGCAATTGATCAATTAGTTTACTGTTTCGAAATAAGATTTCAGTATGACCTGGATTATTTTTATCGGGTAAACCTTCGGATGTTTTTGCAATATTGGGATTTGAATATGACAGCCCTAGGATTGAATCGTTAAAAATCATAGAGATTAATGACGTCCTTCCTAAATCAGGCATTGGAAGTTTCGGTGTTAAAGCCCGAGATATACTTATACTTTTATCCGATAATAGTGTTTGATCTTCTATGAATTCTGTTGTATCAGATTCGCTTTTATCTTTATCTGAATCTTGAGAAGCTGACTTAGAAAAAACAGAAGTGTTAGAATCTGAAATTGAAGATTGGGTCATAGAATTTTGAGATGACGAGAATTCTTGAGACTCGTTTTCTTCTAAATCAACGTTGAGATCATAAAACTTAGATGATAGGCCTGAACTATCTTTATTAACAGAGTGGGATGAGGCATTTTCTGAAGTAGAATTAGCATCTAACGTTTTAGAAGGTGGAGTATTCTTTGAAGAGTTTATTTGTTTATAATTACTATTATCAATATTTGGTGATTTGGAACCATCAATAAAAGACTCGTTTTCTTCTGGTAATGTTTCAAGTCTTATTTTAGACATCCTAGGCATTACATATGAATAATTGCTTGATCTGTTATTTTTATCATATAAAGGAAATAAACCACTTGATGTACGATCTGGAGGCTGAGGAAAGGAATGTATATTTAAGCCTGGCTGATTAAAAACTAGCTTAGGGGTTGTTTTTTGTATATATTCTGTTGACTTAGAGAAAATTGGCTCAGGTTTATTTTGATAAGCCGTAAGGATATGAGAAGTAGATAGATGTGATTGGTTTATATGCATTGATTGATTATTTTTACCATTTGGATTGTTATTTTCTTGTTCCATAACTTTAATAGCAGATGCGTTATTTTCTAAAACTTTAGGGAGTTTAGTATGTGATTTATCCTGGGGACTCTGATGTTTTAGTCGTGGTTGCAAATGAATTTTTCTAAATGATGTTGATTCAGATGACAGACGGTTCTGCATTTCGTCAAGAACAGTAGAATTACGTGCATTTTTTGGAACAATTGGATTATTTACTGAAAGCTTAAATGCAGAATAATTGACACTTTGAACAGCATGACTAGATGAAAGCATATTAAACCATAATTTTTTTGTTTTTCTAGTGGCAGCAGTTAAATATATATGCTCCCTCTCATAGAAAGAAAGCACAAAAGTTTGTTCTTTATCAGTATCAATGACTTTAAATATCCTAGTTAAGAAAGGCTGAAACATAAGAAATTTGGTTCCAGGTGTTTCTATATCCAAAAATAAAATAACATCAGTAAGAAGAACTAATTCAATTTGTTTTTGGATGCTTTCTCCTGTAATACTATGAACCATTTTAAAAAAGAAATTTGATCGAGCAATTACTGAACGGATAAACGGAAGTTGATAAGGTTGCAGATCCATAACATATTCCTAAACTATAAAATAATATAAAAAAGTTATAATAAATACTACCTTTGGCTGGAATGTAAATAAATCCCTCATTCTACTACAATTGACATTTTTTTCAATATCACGAATGCTATCTGTCAATCCATGTAACATTTCTATATTACCAGAATTGGAAGATATTTGTCCCATTTCCTCCCGGATCATTTTAATATGTCCACGTGCTTTAGAAAGTAATAAATGGAAACACTGATGTGCATAGGAGAAATATTCGCTTAGTTTATCGTCGTTACCTGCCAAAATACGGAGAAATTTACGGAAGATACGTGTATATACTTTAATTTGGTGTAAAGGACTGCTTAATAACCATTGGCTTTTTTTAGTACTTGTTGATTGAAAAACTCCACAATTGTATAGAGCAACTTTCAGCCATTTATGATTTTCTGGACTCAAATGCTGATCATCAAGCGATAATGTATATACCGATATATAGGAGTCAAAAGAAGTTAATATAGTATCGGTCTTGAACTACGTTAGTGTTCTATATATTTTACTCCTTCAAAGCGTCTTACAAATATTGGAACCGTGTTCATTAGTGTCTTATGAAGCAGATGGGATGGTATGTGCATTTCAAATGTCTAAAAAACCATAAGAAATGCTATTTTTACAAGTATGCAAACATTAATAATAGAACTGCTAGCTGTAATAAAAATACTGATACATCGAGAAATCGTCTCGAGTGATGATTCGCTCATTTGAGTTACCAGTGCCCCTCGTAAAAGCAATTCTTGAAAAACTGAAAGCTCAATTACATATGCTTTTTCACTCGTTAACCAATGATTAACTACATCTGGTAGTGTCATTGATGATGATGACCCAAACGATGGATTTTCCGACGGAACACTTGAAATAGACGTTGATGCAGAATGTTGTGCTGATAATGGCGGCGATGGCGGTGCATACGCCGGCGGCTGGGTCGGAACCTTTTGCAATGGAGAATTCATGTAATCAGACAACGAATTAAGAATATTCTGCACATAATGGCCCGCCGGCCACTGTCAGCTACTCCTTATACTTTTACATAAAGTGTCTTACCGGTAATGGCTCTGCTTCAAGCCCAATCCTGATTGCATTATCAACTACCCGGATCACTTCGTCAATTGAAAGTGATCCACACGTTCTTGCTTCTATCTGCTTTTTTTCGTTAAAAACTTAAAAACACATGTTTGCCTTAAACTACCTCTTCTTTTTCTCGCCCAATCTGTAATGCATCTCTTGTAACTGGTATTTGTAGCATTTTTTTCCAAAATTGTGTTTTTACTCATACAATAATATTTTTTCCTCAGTTTTCCCCTTTCAACGCCTAATTTTTACTGTTTCTTGTGATTTCTTCTGCTTTTCTCCTGCTTTTGCTGCTGCTTTGATTTTCTTCCTTTTTATTATTCCCTATATATGCTTATATATGCACTGTATTCCGTGTATATATTCCGTTATCTTTACTTTTTTGCCCTCAATGACACATTCAAGACACTCGTCCTTGATATTTCTTCTGTTTCCTCCATTCGCGACGCGTTAAATGCTTGTTTTTTGTTGTTTTATCTTTTTTTGACGCGCCCTTGCGTCTCTACTAAGCCTTTTATGTCTGCATAGAAATCCTATACTGTACATTTTATGCCCTCTAATACGACACGGGTTAGCTCTACACGGGTTAGCCCTATAATGGTTCAGAGACGCGTCAAAGATAGTTGTTGGGCAGACCCCATCAATAAACAGGGAATTCCTTGCAGATTACCGCAGATTAGAAGGACACTGTGTTTTAATGAATAAATGGCCTTTGTTTGTGTATACATGGATACAAAGCTGCAGCTTGTGCACTTGCTGGGGAGTCACGATATGGCATGTGGAGCAGACGCGTTTCGCGTTTCGCGTTTCAAAACGCGTCGCGTCAGTGTTCTCGAATGTTCTCTGGCGTAGGGGTAGGGTAATGATGGGGTTAGGGTTGGATAGGGTTCCTGAATGATATAAAGTGTGTTGGGGATAAGGACAACGATTATTTATATAAATCAAGAAGAGAGAAAAGGAGAGGGAAGAAAGCATATACGGAGCGTTTTAAGTGCATCAGGAGAAAGCTGAGGGTTTAAAAGTGGTATATCTCTTTTTCCAGGCAAAAAACGGTGAAGTGGAAGCAGCAGAGAAGAGAAGAGGGTAGAAATATTTTGAAGAGGGTATATTGGGAGGAAAGGGAGTTTTTGTGATGAGGAACGGTTAAAACTGGATAAAACAGTGTTTGTAGGTGTTAGCAGTGTGTTTTATTGAAGGACGGTGAGTTTTTTTTGAGTTTGGAGGAGAAGCTAATGGGATTTTGTAAAAAGATACCTGGGATTGTGAGAGAAGAGTGCATTTCCATTTTTCAGGGGGTATTTTAAGGTTAGGAGAGGATATTTCTTTGTTTTCTGTTTTTTTGGTGTCTTTGAAAGAAGAGAATAAGTACAGAGTGTTGATTGCTTATTTTTCTTCGGGGGTTCGTGATGAGTTGTCTTAAAGAGTCACGTCCTTCTTTGTTTCTTTTTAAAGAGGGTGATTTTCTTGGGGGGTACGCTTATTTTTTGTTTTTTATGATTTTTCCTCATTTTTCCAGTTGCTACACTGTTATTAGGATTCTTAACCGTGGTTCTTATGGCATTGTTTTATTGGCTCATGACATGGAAAATACTCAAGTTGCTATTAAGGTTCTTTCTGGTCATTCCGTTTCGGAGCATAAAACTGAGCTTGAAATATTATCAACGCTACCTTCTTCAAAACATACTGTTTCGTATAAAACTTATTTTTATGAAAAGGGTTATTTATTTATTATTCTTGAATATTATCCATGTGGAGACTTGTATGAAGCAATTATATTGGAAAGATTATCGAGGGAAACGGAAGCTATTCGTTCACTTATGCTTCAATTGATCGATGGTGTGTCATTTTTACATAAAAATGGGGTGTATCACCGTGATCTTAAGCCTGAGAATATTTTACTTTTTCATGATCCAGAGAATGATTCATTATTGCCCAGAATTGGTGATTTTGGTTTAGTCACTACGCAAAAGTTTGTTAATGATATCGGTACTGGAAGTAATCGGTATATGGCACCAGAACAATATGAGGTTCCCGCTTTCCATTCTTCCGATGTGTATTACTATGATGCTTCGAAAGTAGATATATGGGCTCTTGGGATATGTCTTTTAAATATTGTTTTTTCGAAAAATCCGTTTAAAATACCTTCCGTTAGTGATTTGATTTATTCCGACTATATACGGGATCCGATTTCGCTTTTTGATGTTTTTCCAAATATGAGTGAAGATACGTTTAAATGTCTTCAGCATTCTTTAGTCCTTAATCCGGAAAAACGTTCTTTAGATGAAATGAGATTTGCTGTTGAAAATGTGCTTGAGTGGACAACTGATTCACAATATATTGAAGAAAGTATGGTTGAAAAAAAGCCGAGAGTATTTAATTGCGAAAATATTTCTATTATTGAGTCTAGAGAGTCTTTGCGTACGCCAAGTATTATGGCGTCGCCCACATTTCATAATTCTTTTTTTTGGACAAGAGCTTTACAATCGGCTCCTGCAATTCAGGATAAAAGCTACAGTAGTAACAGTAAAAATGATCAATTTATAAATGATCCTTCATTTTTGTTTCATGAAGCTGATGAAAGTAATATGGGAAAAGATAAAATAGATTATATTAGTTCTTTAGATTCTGGATTAGGTACAAGTATTGGATCGTATTTACCTATTAAACAAGTTGAAACGACAGGTAGTCAGGATATACCTAAAAAAACTATTGATACCACTACTAATATTATATTTCCTACAAGCGTTAAAGGGTCAAAAAGCCATCTCTTATTTGGTAAGAGTTGGGCTGATGATGACGGTAGCTCTGATGATGAATTAAATACTTCTTTTTCCGATATCTCAGAGAAATTAAATCATAACGCTAATGAATATGTTGAAGATGTGAGTAAAGAGTCGAATGAAAAGGATAGTGATCACTTTTTATGGATGCTTACGTTGGAAGATAATATGTTATATTTTTGAGTTTAGGTTAAGATTATGCACTTATTTTTGCTCTGATTTTTGGATGTATTTAATTAAGACATTATATATATATATTTATATTTATATATTAGATGGAATATATTTATATGAAATATCCATATTATTTTATTTAAATTAATTTTAATTAGTGCCTTAATGAAGTTCTACAATAAATTATACTGAAATGATATTGAAAATTTAAAATAGTATTACATTAAATGATAATGATTTATATAATCATTATTTATAAACATTTATAATTTTATGTAAAGTATGCAAAGGAGTGAAATTATGATTCAATTTATATATATTTTAAATGCCTCTCTTATAAGATCATCATGTTCTTGTTTATGCTGTGTTTTATTTCCTGTTGCTACTGAAGCGGATGGCGGTCTTCCTGCATATCTTACTTTTTTATCTTTATGAGCTTGAGTTTTATTAAGAACTGTTTCAAGGCGAGGTTGGACATATTGCCAGGCACCTGCATTCAAAGGTTCCTTAAAATATTAGATATGATTATGTATTTTAAGTAATTACCTCTTGACACCAAACTATTTCTTTTAGGTTTGGATAACTATCCAAGCATTCTTTTAAACCCTGAAAGTCAAATGGATGAATTTGTTCACATCTTAGAATAGCTGTATCATCAATTTTGCGTTCTTCTCGTTCTTTATAAAGAGAAACATATATTTGACCAGTACATAAAATTAATTTATTGCACAACTCATGAGGTTTAAGAATCCCATTTTTATGATCATGATCGCTTAAAATGCTCTGAAAATGTGAATCTCCTGAGAATTCTGATAAATTCGAGCGTGCTAATGGATGTCGTAGAAGAGCTTTACTGAAAAATAATATAAGAGGTTTTCGAAACTCACGGCGTATTTGTCGACGAAGAATATGAAAGAGATTTGCAGGCGTAGTAGGATATGCTATTTGAATATTGCATTCTTGGTATTGTCGTTGAAATTTTTCTTTTGATGGGAATACACGATAATCGTCATTAGCTAGTTGGAGGAAACGTTCTATTCTGCCTGAAGAATGTTCTGGACCTTGTCCATCATAGCCGTGTGGAAGTGATAATACAATTCCACTTCGTTGATGCCATTTTACTTCTGCTGAAGCTATAAATTGATCAATAATACATTGTGCATTATTTGCGAAATCTCCAAATTGTGCTTCCCATACAACTAAAGAATTGGGGGAAATAAGAGAATATCCATATTCGAAGCCTAAAACGCCATATTCACTTAAAGAAGAGTTACTTATCACAAATTTTGCTTGATTTGGGTCAATATAATTTAATGATATATATGTGTTTTCATTTTCTTGATCATGGAGGACTGCATGTCGTTGTGAAAAAGTACCTCGTTCAACATCTTGACCACTTACACGAACGTGGCATCCTTCTGTTAAAAGAGTGGCAAATGCCAAGGCTTCTCCGGTTGCCCAATCAATATTCTTTTCATCTTCAATAGATGTTAACCGGTTTTTCATAATACGTTTTAAATTAGGATGAATATGGAAATCCTTAGGATATGAAAAAATCTTTCTTCCTATTCCTTTAAGAGCTTCTTTATTCACTGAAGTTGGAAAATGATTAAAATCCTTTATTATTAGGTCGCGAGGTGATGCAAATCCTATTTTTAGTTTAGAATGGATTTTTAAAAAATCTAAAAGAATACCATTCCATGCACTTGTTAACCATTCACGAGGTGTTGGCTTATAATCCTTTGCTTTTTTAAAACTGCTTTCAAGAGTATCCCATACGCTATACTGTATAAATAAAGATAAAAAAAAGGATTTTTTACCATTTTTTGTGTTCTTGAATGTCTTTTTCGCTAAATGAACCTTCGCTTATAAGTTTTCTTGTATATTTTTCAAGCGTTGGTGTCTGTTCCATAATCTTTCGATACATTAAAGGTTGTGTAAAACTGGGTTGATCTGTTTCATTGTGTCCATGTTTTCGGTAACATACAATGTCAATTACTACATCTTTTTTAAATGTAGCACGCCATTCACTAGCTATTTTACATATAAACACTAAGGCTTCTACATCATCTCCATTGATATGGAAAATGGGTGCATCAATACTTTTAGCAATATCTGAACAATAAGGTGTAGATCGTGCAAACCTAGGATCTGTTGTAAATCCTATTTGATTATTAATGATTAAATGGATTGTTCCCCCCGTTGAATATTTAGGAAGTGTATGAAATCCCATAGTTTCATAAACAATACCTTGTGCAGCAAATGCAGCATCTCCATGTAATAATATAGACATAGAATTAGAATGGTTTTTGTCATCATTTTCATAAAATTGAATTGCACGAGTCTGACCAAGAACAACAGGATCTTCTGCCTCCAAATGTGAGGGATTTGCAACAAGAGAAAGATTAACACGTTTTCCAGATGGTGTTAATCGTTCATAATTCATTCCAAGATGGTACTTTACGTCACCTGACCCTTCACTATCAATATCCAAGAAACCTGAAAATTCAGAAAATATAGATTCATTTGGTTTTCCAACAACATTAGATAGTACGTTGAGCCTTCCACGATGTGCCATACCAATAACAATGGACTTGATACCAAGCTCTACAGAATGATCAATTAACGCTTTCATACCTGGAATAAGAGATTCGCATCCTTCCAAGCCAAATCTTTTATCATTAGGGTATTTTGTAGCAAGAAATTTTTCAAACAAATCGCTTCTAATCAGTCGATCAAGAATACGTTGTTTTTCTTCATTGTTATATTGATAAGGAATAGGAATTTCAAGGCGTTCACGAAGCCAATCACATTGTTGTCGATCTGGAATATGAATATATTCAATTCCATAGGATCCACCTGTTGTGTACATTATAAGCTAGTTTTATTAAAGCAATTATGAAGTTTACTATATAATCGTTTAAGATTTTCTAAGATTGAGCGAAGTGACATTTTGGATAGTTCTTTTGTAGAAAAATATGGTAAAATTCCTGGACCAAGGTTGTATTCTGTATCAAGATCTTTCTCTGTAAATCCGTAATATTCTAAAGTTAGTTCTTTCGGAATTTCTCTAGTTGAATCGTCCTTTGCTTTAATGCCAAGAGGATCAATATTTGCACACAAATGCCCACGGACTTGATATGCTCGTACTAGTAGCTGCACTTTAAGATGATCAATAATATTGGTACTATTATTTGCTTCTGTTTCTTTAAAAAATGCAGGGATGTCACCAATTGATCCTGAAATAAATGTTGGTGGTAGCTGAAAAGCTTTTGTAGGTGGTACATTCTTATCTTCCATATTTCTAAAGTATATTTGCCATGAAATATGAACATCATTTGGATTTTTTTTCCATGCATTATACATAGCATCAATATAATTTGCAGACGTTCCATGAAGAAAAGAATCTCCCCATATCTATAAAAGCATTAATATCTACTCTTTTTCTCTTGAAATGCGTTTACTGATGCATCTTTATGTACCGCTGTTGAATGTAGTGTTCGGACTCGGCGTTCTATTGCTTCTATAGACCCCCAAATATCTTTTTTTTTGCAAAAAAAAAGATACATATGTCTTTTAATGCTGTTTTTATTCAAGAACAATATGTTTTTTGTTCTCATTATATAAGTTTTCTCTCATAAAATATATGTTTTTCTAAAGATAGTACGTTGTCTCGTACTCGGATCATAGTACGAACAGATTATGGTATGTAAAAAGTTGATATATATATACAAGAAAAAGACATTTTTCTTGTTATTTTATGTTTTCTGTATTGATTTTTCTCTTCAAAAGCTATAATTTGTATAATTTGAACATGGATGGCGTGACTGCTTTTTACTTAGTTTTTTGACATTACTGTTCGACAACGTTAGTTTAATTTTAACGATGACGAGATACGGTAAGTTTTTTTCTTTTTAATCGTGTTATTTTGTGGGCAAATATCAGTTTTTATGTGTATTTTCTAAGCTGATTGTGTTTTATGATTTTTCTGCCTTTTTTTTCTTTTTTTACTAGAGATAACTGACGACTATAGCTTCAGAACCTAGTAATCCGGCTAAATCAGCAAAAGCTCGAGGTGAACATGTGTGTTTTATGTGTTTTCTTTTGCAGTGTATGATATTAACAGTTAGAAGCTTCGTGTGCATTTTAAGAATACACGGGAGGCAGCTCAGGCAATAAAAGGCCTTAAATTGGAAAAGGCGCTTGAATATTTGAATGATGTGATTGATCACAAGCGGGCTGTGCCTTTTAGGAGATATTGTGGTGGGATTGGCCGTACTGCTCAAGGAAAGCCTTTTGGGGTTACTCTAGGTAATAGTTTGATGTAGATTTCATGTGCTTATGGTTTAAGCCCGATGGCCGAAAAAGTCTGCTGAGTTTTTGATTGCTTTACTTAAGAATGCAGAGAGCAATGCCGATTTGAAAGGTCTTAATATGGAAAACATTGTTGTTAAGCATATTCAGGTGAATAAAGCGCCAAAACAGCGTCGGAGAGCATATCGTGCTCATGGTCGAATTAATCCTTATATGAATAGTCCTTGTCATATTGAGGTTGTTCTTGTTGAAGAAGATGAAACAGTGAAGAAAGCAGATAATTCTAAGGTTGTTCAGCGTAGCAAATAAGTTTTGCAGCAAATGTTGGAAATAAAAAATGATTATTTAGGAATCAAGTACAATTATTTAAGAATCTGTATATATTTGATGCAATATTTGGAAATGTATTTTGTTTTCTAGAAATATTTATTCTAAAACTACGTATTTCGTTTTTAATATTTAAGTTCGCATTAGATATTATTTATTGAAATGGTTTTATAATAGTCCTACTTTTTTTGATGTGGAGAGTCTTGTCTTGTTCTTTGATAAGACAATGTGCTTGATTATTTATTCTTAGTTGCAGTTGTACAAATTAAAAATCGTTAAAATATGTATAAAAACAAAATATATCATAAAAATGTTACGAGTAATTTTATTTGAGCATATGGTTTTGCTGATAGCATAAAAGAACCTTTCAAGTAGATTAAGCCGATGAGTAGATCGATAATATTCCTAATATCTGTTAATGAATTTTATTTAAATAAAAAATAGAATTTACTTTTGTCTTAAATTTTTCGAAAGGAGAAAGCGTATTTTCATAAATATCATTGTAACGATTAAATAGCATTTTTTTGAAATTTGTGTAAACGAAATGCGATTTACTTTGAGGGTTTTCTAAATCGATTTCTGTATTTTTTTGTTTTTTATTATACTGAGATAAATATTTTGTTTCTTCATAAAGTTTTAGATTATCTTTTTGAAGCAACTGTATATTTGCTCTTAAGGATGTAATGGTTTTAAATTGTTCCTTTATCTCTTTTTCTAGCTCAAGGTTTCGGGTTTTAAAACGATCTCTTTGTTGTGCAATTATTGGAAGAAGTGAGTTATTTATAGATAATTGTTCCTGAAAAGTTAATAAGCTAAAAGAAATGTTTAATTTATACTTTTAAGGAATCAGCATTTTCTTCCTTTGATAAAATAATTGGATTTTTATATGATATAGATCTTGGGCTTTTAAGAGATGTTTCTTTTAAGGGGTATAGTAATGTATCTGCAATGCTAGATGCATAACTAGATTCTTTATAAAAATTATGGAGTTGTGAAATATTTTCTTCTAGTTTTTGATTTAGAAGTACTTGTTCTTGAAAACTTTTATTAATAGTTTCATTCTCCATTTTCAAAGTATTAATTTTTTCTTCCTGTTCTTTATATACGACCTAATACTTTCATTATTTTAAATTTTAATTTTTGGATTATACCTTCAGTAGAGTCAATTCGTCCCCAATTTTTTTATTTTTGCTTATAAGTAATTTTTCAAGAGATAAATTATTTACTTGAATCGAATCTGCATTCGATTCGTTTATTGCTGGGGACAAATTTATGTCTGAAATTTCATCTTTTTCATCTTTAAATTCTATAGACTTTAAAAGTTAAAATTAGTGTTTTTATTAGTTTATGATTTCTACCTTTAATATTTCAAGTTCTTTTTTAATTTCTTTATAATCTGCATATTCTTTTAATTTCGTTTCTAGATTTTTTATTTCATTTTGTGCTTCAAGAAGCTTTTTATTTGCCTCTTTTGATATATCTAGATGATCTTTTTCTTTTTTTTCATAATTTTCTGTTAATTCTTTGATTTTTAAAAGTAAACCATTATTATCTTTTTCTAAAAATAAAAGTTGTTCTTCGAGTTCTATAATTTTCTTTTTTAAAGTAATATTTTTTCCTTTTTTTAGTTGTTCGATTTCTAATTTTAATGTATCGTTTATATTTTCTAGCTTGTGTACTTTATAAATTGTTTCTTCCAAGTTAGAACGTGTAATTTTTAGTTCATCTAATTGTCCCATTATATTTTCATCTATTAAAATATTGGTTATTTATTTATTTTTATATGATTTTGTACCAATTTTATCATTTTGTGTATTAATTTTAGCTTGAATTATATCATTTGATATTTTTAAATCCTTTATTGATTCTTTATACTCTGTTATTTGTTTTAATAATTCTGTTTCTTTTTTTAACCATTCTTCATTTTTTTCGTTAATGAATTTTTTGAACTCTAATTCCTTTTGGCAAATTTTTTCGTTAAGTATAATTTCTGATTGTTTTTCTAATTTTTCTAATTTTGTTTTAAGTTCTTTAGAGTCTTCATGCTTTTTTATAATATTTTTCAGTTTCGCTATTTCAGCTTTTAATGCATTCATATTTTCATTTCCAAAAGTTTGATCAATAGCAATTTCTGACTATGAATTAGTTATGGTATTAATATTTTAGGCTATCTGCCTAATAATGGGAATGGGTCTGGAGCTTCTGAAAGACGTTTATACATAGAAAAAAATGCCATTTCTGAATATTTTGCTCTATTCGTTAGATTGTCGATTCCTAACTGATAAAGCTTTAATATTTGTTTGATTTCTTTTAGTTTTTCTTCATCTGGAAGTTTACGAAAATCTTCGATATTTATTAAAAATATAAGACTAAAAATATTATTTAGATGAAATGCCTTTTGTTTTTTCTGAAAGGTTCTTTCTTTCAATTACAGATTCTTTTTCTTTTTCAATAATTTGAAGTCCTTGTTCATCAAACTGTTTTTGTGCTGACCTTAAATCAATATCTTGCTATTTAGTTTTTTTTTAGACTTTTTAGAAATTACCTTTCCATATTTCAGATGCTTTAAGAAATTGTTGTTTAAACATCTTTTTAGTTTTTATTTTATCTTCCTAAATGTTCGTCAATTTTTCATTGAAAGGTACGGTTAAACATATCTCGGTACACATTAAAATTACATATCGATTTTCCATTTATTGGATAAAATGTTAAGAATAATGATAATTTTGAGTTAAATGAATTATTAAGTAGATATTTCTTAAATTCGTGCTTGTTTTTAATGCAATTCCTACATTATAGCACTCATTCTTTGTTATTGGACAAAACAGGGTTTAGTGATTCAGTAAATCAAGAAAAACACTTGAATGCAACAGCTATAGAAACAGATGGTTATTATTTTACTTTTTTATTCTATAATGATCCTTATTTTCAGGAATTAATTTATATGTTGGAACATCAAATGGTTATGTCTATCATTTTGTTGTAGAAAATGGAGAAAAGGTTGGTTATTTTTTTAAACTATTTTTTTATAAAAAGATTTAGTGTTTTTCTAAGTTTGGGTATATTATTGCTTCTAGGCATGTTTTATTGGAAGGAAAGGCTGTAAAATCTATTCTTCTTTTGCCCCAAATTTCATGTGTATTGATATTATGTGGTTTTTATGATTTTGAGTATATATCATGTCTTAATTTTGATAGGAAATGTTCTTTTTTTTTCTAATTTTCCAGAACTTTCACCTATATCTGGTTTATACCCCATTAAAGGTGTTGTAGATATCTGTCAGGATTTAGATAAGCTTGGAGAAACAGAAGCTGATGGCAGTGTTATTTTGACTGTTTTAACAAGGAGGAAAATAAAACGAATTAGAATTAAAGATTCCATTAGTTTGGTTTCGGTTTGTGGTTTTATAAATTTTATAAAATATTCAATTAGAATTTAGGATATTAATTATTCATCTCCTATTGTAGCATGCCAAAGAGGATTTATCTGTTGTGTTGCTAATAATTTATGTTATGAGCTTATTGATTTTGAAAACAATATAAAAATTCCTCTTTTTCCTTTACAAGGAAATGACTCTTTACATTATAATTCTCCGTCAACTCCATCTAATTTAATGCCTATAATTACTAGTATTTCTAAGTCTGAATTTGTTGTGACTACTACTCCGTCTAATGGTGAAAATTGTATTGGGTTATTTATTGATATGAATGGTTATGTACGAGGCACTGTTATTTTTTCGAGATATCCAATTGCTTTAGCTTCTGAATTTCCTTTCTTGATGGCTCTAATAGACAATTCGTTTATTGAAATACATAATATTATTGATCAGACACTTGTTCAGATTGTTCAGTTTCCTTTTTTGGGATCTATTACTGGAGTTTTTCGTGTATTTGGCCATTGTTCTATTTTAATTGAGTCTTTAATGGAAAAAATCGTTATGGTAGAATTTATGTCTTCTAGACATTCAATAAATCAAACTATTAATATTGAGAATAAATTATTAGAAGAAGAGATGAATATTGCTGTTAGATTATCAACTATTCCTTCAAAAATTTTTCTTACAGGAGTAACGGGAGTAAATTGTTTAGTATTTAATTCTTTTTTGGCTTATGTGGATACATTTTTGGATTTAAAAGAAATAGATGATGTTCTTTCCTCTATAAAAAAATTGACTGAAATAATGACTCCTGAAAACATTCATAGTGAAAGGATTGTGAGTTTTTTATATCTTTTATTTTTTGTGTTGAAATATATAGTATCATGAGTTTTCATATATTTATCAAAAGGCTGGATTTATTTATTTAGAAAAGATATTATTTGATGATGCTATCGTTCAATTTGAAAAATCAGATATTGATCCCAGACTTATTATTAGTCTTTTTCCTGTTTTTGAAGTAAAATTGGATGGTATTATGATATATAAGGGAATAAATGAAGTTATTTGTAGGTTGATAGATATTGATAATATAAGTATAGAACTTTAAGTAATTATTATATTGTTAATTAAATTAGTTTCTATTAATACTACTGAGAAATTTCTGCATGATGCTTTGATATCTGAAGATAAAATTCAGGCTTCTGAAGATTATAGAAAAACTTTGTATGAAAATGCATTAACTATGTTAAAGAAATATCTTTTAAAGTATAGGCAAAAGAAAGGATTAGGAAGTATAGGTACTTGTGAGAAAAATAAACAAATATTCAAAACCGTTGATTTAGTACTTTTAAAGTTGCTTGTATATTTGAGTCCTGAAGAAAATTCAGCTAATTTATATGAATTAATTGATTCTGAAATTGAATGTTTTGATGATGCTGTTACAATTCTTGAAAAGAATGGAAAATATTTTCTTTTGAGTAAATTGTATCAAAGTATGAAAATGCAAAATAAAGTTTTAGAAATTTGGAAAAATATAATAGATGGAAAATTATATGATGATGATTTTTTAGATGGTGAGGAAAAAATGAGAGATTATTTACTTGAGGTTGATGATGATCATTTGTGTATTGATTATGCTATATGGTTAATAGAAAAGGTGCCGCATGTTGGGCCTGAGGTATTTTTATTTTTATATACTTTAATAATTATTGAAATTTTAGTTTTTTATGAATTTTAGTTCTAAGAAGACATTTACTCTTTCTATCGATGAAATGGCTAATATATTACGTTCTCGGAGTAAGATATGTTTTAAGATTTATTTAGAATATGTAGTTTCAAACTTTAATGCTTATGTAGGTTTTATTTATTGGAAATTTTATTTTGATGATTTTAGAACTTATCATTTTTAAATGAGCTTTTGCTTATATATATAAATGAAATTATTATTTATTTAGAAATTCCGTTGATCAAAGACATTGTAAAGCGATCTATTATAGATTATAGTGAGTTTAAGAATGATGATTTGTCTTATTTTGAGTATTTATCTATTTTCATGATAGAAACTTATGAAAAATATAAAGAATTTGTTTTGGATAGAATTAAGCTTATTCAGTTTTTGCAATCAGCATCTGATTATGATTCAGAGCTTCTTATAAAGTCTTTGCATTCTCAAAAAGATTTACTTTTAATTGAATTGGTTATTTTATATGGAAGGGTATGGTTTGTGAATGTTTATATGCATTTATTTAATGTTTTTATTAGTCCCTTAGACATGAGGAAGCACTTACTATTCTTGTTCAAACATTGAAAGATTATAAAACATCTGAGATTTATTGTTATTGTCGAGGGTTATCTCTTGAACCATGTTATGATAATCAAGAAATTCCAGAATTTTTTTTGCAACGGAAAAAGCTTTTTAAAATGTTATTGGATCAATACTTAAAGCTTCCTGATTACAATCAGAAGCTTTCTAGAATATCTGTTCTTCTTCGACGTTGGGATATTTACTTGGATACGATTTATGTTTTAAAAGTAATTTCAAGTGATTGGTCTGTAGAGAATATTTCTGGTTTTTTGTTTCATATTTTTCAAAAAACTATTCAAGAAAAATATGATTCACAACTTATTAAGTCTCTTTATCGTGGATGTTGTGCATTTTATGATTATTCAAATTTAGTTACATTTATTGATAAATCTTCTTGATTTATTAATATTTCTTTTTATTGTATTAATAATTTTTTTGTTTATTATAATTGATAATTTAATCACTGTTTCGTTTAAAACTTACGATACAATACATGGTTTAAAGCGTTAAGAAAATCTTCGTTTTTAGAAAGGTATATAAAGTACATATTTATGAAGTAGATTATGAAAATTATTGATAAAGAACAACTTTCGTAAATTTTTTATTTTTTTGTTGATAAAAGCTGAGTAATTGTAGTGATAAAACAGAAGATTTGATGCTTATAAATGCATTAGATCTCTCAAGAAAAGGTTTTATTTAAGTTTTTGTATGAATTGTTTTTAAAATAGTTAGTGGGTACTGAAGAAAGTTTAAAAACATTCCGTTTGTTGGAGGGTATGTGTAGGTTTGTGGTGTTTGAATTAGATTTAATATTTAATTAGCGTTTCGTTTGGGTGATACGCAGGCTGTGGATAAATGGTTTTTTGCTTATGAAAAAGATTTAATAGAAGATTGCACAAGGACTCCTTCTAGTTCTATTAAAGCTTTTGATCTTTTTAGTCCTCTTATTCTTGCAGTTCAGTGTGCATCTATATCGATTGTTGAGCATATTTTATCTAAAAGTATTGTTGATGTAAATTATAAAGATGACCATGGGAATACTGTAATTTTATTTGCTTATTTTTAATTTGTTCTTATTTAATAAAAAGGCGCTCCACCTGGCTGCTCATATGGGTCGTTTTGATGTGGTTAAAATGCTGTTAAGAAATGTTAATGTTAATGATACAATTCTAAATAACAATAAGAAGCAAGCATATGAATTGTGTACATCTCCTGAAATATATCATTATATGACTGGTAATTATTTTTTGTGTTTTTATAGTATATATTAATAATCATTTTAAGCTGAAAGAGCCCGTTTTATTGAAGAAACTGAAGAGACCTTTTCTCAGTTTTTATATGCTAAGAAATATGATGATATTAGAAAATTGTTAGAATGTTCACGTGTTTGTGCTTTGCTTGATTTGAATAAAACTGATAAAAATGGGTCTACATTTTTGCACGAAGTAGTTAAGCAAAATGATTTAGAGATTTTGCAAATTCTTCTTGATCATGGAGCTGTAAATTATATTATTTTTAGTCACAAGTTTACTGAAAAATATAGGATCCTTCGAAAAAGGATAAAACCGGAAAGACACCTGCTGATATAGCGAAAGATGATGCAGTTAAGCGGAAATTAATGATGTATTCGTCTGACAATGTTGTTGTTACTTTTCCTGGAGAGCCTATTTATATGTCTGGTTATATGGATAAATGGACGAATTATAAATCTGGTTATAAGAAAAGATGGTTTGTTTTAAAAAATGGTGTACTTTCATATTATAAAAATGAAGGGATGTTTTTCTGTTTTTAACATTAGTGTCTTATTTTTATAGATGATGCTGATACTGAATGTAGAGGCTCAATAAATATGCGAACTGCTAGAATAAATTATGGTTCTGGAGATAAAAGGGCATTTGAAATTTTATGTTATGATTCTGTGAAGTATAGTGTGAAAGTAATGCACCCTTCTGAAGCTCGGAAGTGGGTATGGGCTCTTACTAATTCTATTCAATGGGCAAAGGACGAGAATGTAACTATTATTGATGAAACGCCTAAATTTCTTTCAAAAGAATTGGATCTTCCTCTTTTGAAAGAGAGAGAGCTATTATTTTCTTCTCAGCATTTGTATTCTAATGACTTAGATGGATATGAGTCTTCTGAAACAGGAGAGCCTGGTGAATTTTATAGAGATAATTTTTTGATAACTATTAATTCTTCTAAAATTCAATTAAATATTCTGGAACAGATGTTTGAAGAGATTTTGTCTAATTTTGATTTTAGTGAAAAAAATTTTGATGCAAAAGTCCAGAGTTCTATAGAAACATTTCAACAGTCTATTAATACATTGCGTGAGGCATTAGGGAATTTGGATAAGATATTTTTAGATGGAGAGAAATATTGGAAAAAAATGGTAAATAAGGAAAAAAGGATGAGAATATTATGGGAGGTTTGCTATCTATAGTATTTGTGTTATATTTTAAATAGTAATAGGAAAATATGCAAAAACTTGCTAGTGAGCAAGAAGAAATAGAAAAAAATTTACAGAGTGTTGAAAACCAAAGAAGACGTACTAAAAAAGCTTTACGTGAAGCACATCGTAGATTAGTTCTTACTCCTAAAATTATGAGGACTGAGTATGATGAAAATAAAAATGATGATGAATCTAGAACAGAAGGTTATTCTTTAGATTTAAGTATGAGTATTTTATACTTATTAAATACTGATTTAGAAGGTGATTTTTCAGATACTGATGATTCTTCAACTACAGATGAATTTTTTGATGTTGGTACTCCTTTAGATATTAAGATGGATAAATCTTTGCTACTTAATGCTAATAAGGATGCGGTGCTTCAAAAAAAAACTGATAAAGAGATGGAAATTGAGCTCTCATATCATGGCTATGAAGATCCTTTTCGATTAAAATTAGATTTAATAGATGATAGGCCAAAGCTTAGTTTATGGGGAAAGTATTGTTTTAAACTCTTATTTATTTTTTAATATTCTTTTAGCTATTTTGAAAAGTATGGTTGGGAAGGATGTTACTAAAATAACTTTACCTGTTAGTTTTAATGAAGCAACTAGTTTGCTTCAAAGGGTTGCAGAAGACATGGAATATATAGATTTAATAGATATTGCTGTAACTTTACCTGAATCATGTGACAGGATGTTATACGTAGCCGCTTTTGCTATTAGTGAAGTATTTTTGTTATTAATGTTTTCAAGTTTATATTGATCTTTTAGTACTCTAGTACTATCAATCGAATAGCTAAACCTTTTAATCCTTTACTCGGTGAAACTTTTGAATACTGTAGACCAGATAAACATTATCGTTTTGTAGTCGAACAGGTTAGTCATCATCCTCCTATTAGTGCTGCTCATGCAGAATCTTCTAATTGGGAATATTGGGTTATTTTAGATTGTTTTTGTTTAGCTAGTGAAGTTTAATTTTTTTAGGGGGAATCCCGCGTTAGTTCAAGGTTTTGTGGTAGGAGCTTTGATATTAATCCTTTAGGAACATGGTTTTTAAAGTTGCGCAATAATTCTGGTTTAGATGAATTATATACTTGGAAGAAAGTTACAACTTCTGTTGTTGGTATCATTACAGGTTTTCCTACTGTTGATAAGTAAATCGTTGCTGTTTTTATAATACATGTTTTAATTCATTTAGTTTTGGAGAAATGTTAATAAAAAATCATACTATTGGAGATGTGTGTTCTGTTGATTTTAAGAGAAGAGGATGGAGAGGTGATGGTGCTTATGAAATACATGGTGTTGTAAAGGATTCTAAAGGCACAGTAAGATGGAATATTGGGGGACATTGGAATGACAAATTGTATGCAAAAAGAGTCTCCGGTAGTTCTTCAATGACTGATACTGCTTTGTTATTATGGGAAATTCATGAGCGTCCTCCTGCGCCTTTTAATCTTACTCCTTTTGCTATTACATTAAATGCATTACCAGAAAGTTTGAAGCGATGGCTACCTCCTACTGATACTCGATTAAGACCTGATCAACGAGCTATGGAAAATGGTTATTATGAGTTCGCTGCAAAAGAAAAAGAGAGACTGGAGAATAAGCAAAGAGCTTCTAGAAAAGAACGTGAATTAAAAGGAGAAAATTATGTGCCAAGATGGTTTCAAAAGTCGATAAATGAGATAACTGGTGATGAGCAGTGGTTATTTGGTGGTGAATATTGGAAAATTAGGGAAAAATTGGGATCGAAAAATATAAAGGCAAGCATACATGATTGGGGAGTTATGGATATTTTTTAATTTACTGTTATTCTTTTTATTTTAATTTCTTATAATTTATTATAGGCATTCGTTTTTGCAAAAAAAATCATGTATCATGACATATAACTTTAATAAAATATGATTTATAAGTTATAGAAAAGTTTATGTAATTATATATAGATTTGTTTTTTGACTTTTTTATTTATAATTACTATTGAATGATTCTTGCTGCTTAACGATATAATAAATAGCCTAAACTTCAAAAAAATATTTCTGGGAGAATGAAGCTTACATTTAAGGATTTGAAGCAACAGAAGTTTACTATTGATAATGTTGATCCTAGATGCACTGTATGTCAATTTTTAACAAGAAAATTGCTTTAAAAATTGAGATTATTTTTATTAGATATTGCAAGTTAAGGAAATGATTCAAGAGGTTCAAGGTCATGATTTGAAGCATCAAAAGCTTATTTACTCAGGTATTCTTACGTTTATATTTGTTTTTGTGCTATTTAAATGAATAATCAATAGGGAAAATATTATTAGACAGTAATACGGTCGAAAGTTATGATATTAAAGAAAAAGACTTTATCGTTTGTATGGTTCAGAAGGTTGTTTATAAATATGTTTTATTCGTATGTTTTTAATCATTTTTAAAGCCTAAACAAGTTCCGAGTGCCAGTATTGTTGCTGAATCAACTGTTTCTACGAATCAATCTGATCCAAAAGCTTCTGCACCAGAGACATCTTTACCATCTGTTCCTGGTACCTCGGTTTCCTCTTCTTCTGAGACTTTTAATGATCCTAATTCTCTTGGTGTGTTTTTATATGTGGATATGGTGTTTGATGATGTAATTGTTTTCAGTGGTTGGGCTGTTGTGTGATACTGCTATAAAAAATATGATGGAAATGGGATATGAACGTACACAAGTAGAGAACGCAATGCGGGCTGCATTTAATAATCCTGATAGAGCAGTAGAATATCTTTTGACTGTATGTCAATAATTGTTTTATTTTTAAATAATAATGTATGTTTAGGGCATTCCTGAGCATCTGTCTCGAGAGCTGTTGCAGCAATCGTCTTCTTCCCAGCAAGTGTCTCGGGCTCAGCAAATTGTTCAATCTACGCCTACGTCTACTCCTACGTCTACTCCTAGTCGGTCGGAAAATTTGTTTGAATTAGCTGCCCAGGTCTCTCAGCAGGGGAGGGAACGCTTAAACACTAGTTCTGGGAATTCACTGATGGGTTCTAACAATGCAGAAAGCTTAGCATTCTTACGTAATAACCCTCAGTTCCTGATGTTACGGCGTCTTGTTCAAACTCAGCCTCAGATGCTTGAATCTGTATTGCAGCAGTTGGGACAGGGAAATTTGCAATTGGCTACGGTAATCGTTTTTTTATTATGTTTTTTTATTTACTATTTAAAGCTTATAAATCAAAATTCAGACGCATTTCTCCAGTTACTTTCTGAAGGAATGGAAGGGGATGGAACAGCTGCAATGCCTAATATAGTTCAGCTTCAGTTGACAGAAGAAGAACGACAAGCCATTGAGAGGGTAAAAGATCTTTTTAAAATATCTAAGATATATATTTACTTATGGTAGCTTGAGGCATTAGGATTTTCTCATGGAGTAGTCGTTCAGGCTTATTTTGCTTGTGATAAAAATGAAGAAGTATCTTTTGTTTGATTTGTTTTCTTTTTTACATTCTGACTTATAAAAAGATGGCAGCAAATTATTTGTTTGAACATGGTAATGAATCAGATGAAGAAATGTCTTAAAGATGAATGTTTTGTATTGTAAAGAATCTTGTATGTAAATTGTCAAGTAGAATTCAGTTTAATTTAGGCTATTATTATTCAATGTTCTGTAAATTTTTAGATAATGCAGAACTAAGTCTTAGATATATATTTATCATTAATATATATTATAAAGTTATTTACTAATATAGCAATTTGTTGTCCTATAGCAATGTATTTTGTTTTAAGGATAATGTGTTGGTTTTAATGGAAATGTGTTTTTTTTAATGTTACTTTTTATTATGATAAGTTTTTTACGTTTTGCATATAGTAAAAATATTTAGAAATAAAATTGAGAATATAATCAAGTTTTTTTAAAAAAATATAAATTTTTCCAAAATAAATTCTAATATATTCATTAATTATCAACTAGTATATAAAAGTTATGAATATAAAAAGTCTTTTATTAAGATTTGTAAGGTTATTAAGCTCTTGTTTTTTAATTATTGTTAACAATTAAACTTAAAGGGAAAAATATGGTAACTTGTATATAGTTTTTTTTAAAATTAGTATAATTTTATATCTTTAAATTGAATATTTGAAATATGTCTTAGTTCCGAAAATAACGACAAAAATTTGGAAGTTTGAAAAATGGGTAGGAATTTTGAGGTATTGGAAAGTTGCTGATGTTTATAGCTCTGCGTGCACAGTTTGAGAGTTCTAGCGAGTTTGTTTTTGTTGCATATGAAAATGAGGATTAACGAAGATTTTAGAATTGGCGTTTTTGGAAAATTAACAAATAGTTATGCTCTAACAGCTATTGGAAGCTCTGAGAATTTTCATAGGCAAAAGCTTTTTTATATGTTATATTTTTTATTAATATTATATAGTATTATAGAAAGTGAATTAGGGGATATCAGTAAGTCTTCTTTTTTTTTTCGTGGTTGTTGATAGTCGTAAAGTACCAGTATGTCATTGTAGTATTTGTGGGTCTCGTATTGTTGGTAGAATGACAGCTGGTAACTGCAGAGGTCTTCTTGTTCCATCTACAACAACTGTAATATTTTTGACTGTTGAAGAAATTATTTTAATGATATTAGGATCAAGAGCTTATGCATCTTCGAAATTCGTTACCCGATTCTGTTAAAGTCCAGAGTATTAATGAACGTCTTTCTGCTCTTGGGAACGTAATTGCATGCAATGATTATGTTGCTTTAGTACATCCTGATATTGAAAGAGAAACAGAAGAAATTATTGCAGATGTTCTTGGTGTTGAGGTTTTTCGGCAAACAATTGCAGGAAATGTTCTTGTAGGGAGTTACTGTGCATTAAGTAATCAAGGAGCCTTGGTGCATTTTTTGTGGATATAGGAGTTCTAGTTCTTATGTTTTATAGGTACATCCTAAGACGACTATTTCTGAACAAGATGAACTTTCTTCTCTTTTGCAAGTACCGTTAATAGCGGGAAGTGTAAATAGAGGCTCAGATGTTGTTGGTGCTGGTATTGTAAGATTATATATGTGGTTTATGAATAAAGTGTAATTATATGATAGATTGTGAATGATTGGATTGCATTTGCGGGGTTTGATACAACAGCTATAGAATTATCTGCAATAGAAAGTATATTTAAATTACATGTAAGATTTTTATTATATTTTACAAAGTAATACTTATCTGGAAAAGGATGCACAAGCAACAGTGGCTATTACAGGTATAAGGAATGCAACAATTGAAACATATTCATGAATGCGCGATGGATTTTTTGTATATTGTGTTAAATGCATTGTATGGTATTGTATTTGTATTTAAGATACATTTAAAATTGAACTAATAGGACTAGTTTATTTTGTAATTCATGTTTAAAAAAGATTTTTTGATCACATAGATACCGTTAATAATAAAGTTTGCTTTGAATTTTTTAGTTATATCTCATGTATTTTCCTACAATTATACAGTGATCTCTCTTGATGTATATAAGTTATGTTTGGGCATATAAAACATGGTTGTGTTACCTCATATGGTTCTAGTGTAAGTTGTTCTTGAGGCTTGATTTTTTCTTCTTGCAGTTTTTTAACTTCACGTGCAAAAACAGTTGCAGCATCAACTGTTGAATCAATACAATTAGCCTTGATGGATATGACGATTCCGCCTGAACTGTATTTGTTTAGTTAAGTCTAAAATAACATAAGAATATACTTTTTTAGGAAGGTGTGTGCATTTAATGCAATAATTCGAGCTTGATCTGGCTGGGCAACATCTGCAAATACTATTTTTGTAAATTTTTGTAAGAATTCGTATGTGACTCTACCTGTGTCAACCATACCAACAAGCATTCGATATTTTTGAGGATGCCGGGCATCCTCAATAATGGGGATAACGTTGGTTCGTTTTTGTGCCATATGAAGCAGGTCTCTTCCGCTTCGATGTGAAAATTCAACTGCATAAACCAATCCTTCTGGGCCTACAACATCTGCTACATGGCTTACTGAAGTTCCACTTGCTGCACCAAGATATAATACTTTTGATCCAGGGCATATGTAGATTTCATCAAGTCCTCCTAGAATACCCGCTGCAAGTTTTGATCTGAAGGGGTTCCAAACTCGATATTCTATTGTTTTTCCTTCCGTCTCAACTGATATTCTTTTTTCGCCATATCTATATATTTGTTGATTATTTGCAGATACTTATTTCCCCGCTTACACAGATTCTCCTGGGACTAGATTTTTCGTTACAAGGTAGTCTTCCTTGCCTCGAGCAACAAAGACTCCTGCATGACGATGTGGTTCAATCATCACTTTGGTTGCCCGTGGTCGACTGGGACGTACTCCACGCCCTGGATGCCCGCGCTGCTTGTTCCCCCGTCCTGGTTCTCGACCCCGTGGCATTCCTCGCCCATGTCGAGAGCCTTGTCCTCGTTGCCCTTGTCCACCTCTTGGTCCCATCACTGGGGTTAATATACTGGTTTCAAAAAAAGTTTTTTCTTATTTTCTCGTTGTTTCTGCCACCAAGGCCTGTTTATTTACAGAAGATACACTTTGTATCTTCTTAGATTACTTTTTCCTGTTCTTTTTTGCTAAATTTCCAAAAAATGCTTTTTGTCAATATCAAGATCAAAGGTTTATTTTGTCTTTGTTTTTTCAAGAAAACCCCTAAACACACTATCAGTCTTAAGACATTAAAAAATATCCTCAAAAACAGACAGATCTTTTACAAATATCCAATTTACTTGCAATTGATCTCCTTTAAATACTATTTTTATAAAAAGTTGTTTCATACGGACAATATTCCTTTAATTTGTCGTTAGGGTTATCTGTTCTTAGGTTTGGTATTAGGGTTATTTGTGTTAGGTTTATGTATCGGGACACCTCCAACGATAGTGTAAATGGGTATCCGATGATATTCAACATCAATGAAACAAGGAATCGCAGTAGTGACATGTTGTGTAAGTAAATATATAAATAAGAATTAGAAGAATTAACAAGCACTTTTAGACTATTCATCTTATTCTTGGTGGGTATTTTCTGTTGATTGCAGTCCGTGGTGGGCCGCCTCAAGTGATTGGATTTGCAGCAACAGCAGCAGTTTTATATGTTCAGTTGATGATTGGAGATGCAGTGATTCTTCCTGATGGAGGAGTTAAGGTGTCTTTGATAGTTCTTGGGATGCTTTCACTTGTTATTGGTATTGTTTTCTGGATATGGTTGTTTTTTTCGGGGAATGGGACAGCGGCGGTTGATGCAGCATGTGCATTTTCTGCAGGACAGATATGCGAGCCGCGCTGGTCGCAAGGACATGCAGTTTTCATGGGTTTATTGCTGTGGGCTCTTAGTGCAATTGGGCAGATTTTCTTATATTCGTATTTTTTATATAATCGCCCACCGAAAAGGAAAGGTGGGAATTTGCAGAGGTCGAAGCCACATGACGTTTTGGATTTTAGTTCAATGTCTTATGCAAGCCATGGGACGCCAAGTCTTACATGTACATCTACGCTGTCTGCAGAGAATGACAAAGTGATGTATCCGGCGATGACTGCTATATCACCTATTTATTCGAGGCAATTTTATGATAAGACATGGATGCAGGCATCTTGTCAAAGGTCTTTAAATCATGGCTTGGACGTTAGGTCAACTGTTCAATTTACTAAATGTTTTCCAGTACAAACAGGTGTTGGTCCTTCTTGTGCTTCTCGAAAACTTCGTTCTGTACGTAGCTGGAAACAATTTGGCCAGCGTTCTTCACCTTTGTATACGACTTGGTATGCACCTCTTTGTTCGAATGGATATCCACGTTTTCCCAAAAAACCACGGTCGTTTTTAAATATGAAAACGCCTTTAATTAATTTACATTTTTCAAAAAATAAAGAGATTGTTGATGAAGGACCTGATTGGAATACATGGGATTTCTCGAATTTGACTCTTCCTATATATCCAAATGCCTTTTCACAAGACGGTCTTAATTTAGATGATGCGGTATGTAATAATAAGGATGAAACATGGTCAATGGCAGATACGCCTGATGCGAGTTTTGATAGTCAAATGTCACAGAGTAGTTGTTTTAGAAAATTTTTTGAGCAAGATTTGAATAAAGTAGAACTCAAAAACGGTTGCACAGGATATTCTTGTATGGGTGACGTGATTAATGCTTATAAATAATCTGTATATATGTAAGTTTTGATAGACCAATGGATGTATACATTGTAGGATTATATGAATAAGCTGTAATGAATCAATCTTAATTGTTAGTTAACTATTTATTTTATCTTTATTCATTATATATAAGCTTTTTTCAGTGAATTTATTTTTAAGGTTTTTTCTTAGGCTTTAAACGTTTCTCGGAACTTAGATGATCATTTGTTTTATTTGATCTTAACTTTTTAAGTAAATATTAAAATATTTGATCTTTAGTCATTTTTTTAATATTATTTGTTTTCTTTATGATAAATTTTCAGTTTTTTATGGGGAAAAAAAGGAAATTGAAGCAGAATAATTTAAATGTTCAAGTATTTATTTTTTAAACATCTATGCTTTAGAAAGATATTGATACATATAGTTAGGTTGATTTAGATAAAAAGGATGGCCATGGAATTATTATTTGTAAATTTGAATGTTTTATTGAATCTTTGCGAGATTTTATTGAATACGCGTCACGTTTGGAAATGGGGAATTGTATGGATGAAAAAGAGAAAAAGATACATAGAGTAGCACTTCGGTTTGCTGATATAGTAAAAGACGATCCTTTTCTAGCTGAAGTTTTATCCGTAGTTCAACGTCCTTTGGAAATGAGATTGGTAAAAGAGTCGGATATACCTTTTTTGCCTGAAATAAAAGACCCAGTGTTATTGAAGCAGGTTTTCACTCATAGGTCGTATGCATATGCTACTCAGTCTTATAATGTTTCTGAAAGAGAAGTTTTGAAACTACATAATGAAAGATTGGAGTTTTTAGGTGATTCATATTTAAATCATGCAGTGACAAAATTACTTTTTAAAGCATTTCCTGATGCACGTGAAGGAGAGCTCTCTGTTATGCGTTCTCAGCTTGTGGGGAATACTAAGGCGGAAAAAATTAGTAGACTTTATGGTTTTGATAAAAGATTGCTTTTAAGCGAATCTGCCGAAAGTGATAATGTTAGATCTTTAAAAAAAATTGTAGCTGATATATTTGAGAGCTATATTGGAGGTTTAGTGTTGGATTCGTATAATGGAGAACAAATCGCATTTCAATGGATTTCGGAATTGATGGCACCGGATATTTATTTGTTTCAGAAGAAACAGAAGAGTTCTATAGAATTGGATAAAATGGCAAAACAAACATTGTATAATAGGATTGGTAGAGAATTTAATACAGATGGTCAGACGCGAAAAAAAATTGAATATATTTGGATTGGTGGGGAAGGTGGGAATAAAGATGGATATGAGTATAGTTGTAGAATAGATGGACAAGAAGTTGGTCGTGGATGGGGGCCTAATCAGAAGATTGCTGGTATCCGTAGCGCCATGGATGCATTGGTAATGTTTTGTTTTTGTTTATATAAGATTTTTAATATATATAGTCAAAGCTTCCTTCTGAAGATTAATGTTTTTATCATTATATTTGGTATTTAAAGTCTCTTATTTTTGTGTTTTTTTGGTATTATTTATATAGGTAGTTATGTTTTTTATGGTTTAAAATGGTTTAGTAAAAGTGTATCTTGATTTTCCGGATTCCAAACTATAAGATTTCATAAAAAATAGAAAATAGGAGAATTAAGATTTATTGGTTATTACTATTTTATAAGATTTTAAGTACATAATTTATCAATTTAATGAAAATGTTATGGATTATGGAAACATTATATTAATAAACTTGTAGTAGGAAGTGATTCTATATTTGTATTGATGATATTTCATGATATTTTTTACAATAACATTTATATGACTTTGATGGTGTTTAAATTTTTAATTTTACAATGAATAATATTGTTTAAGTAGTGTTTTAAGATAATATATATTAGATTTGTTAAGATTTTGTGGATTTAGTTTAAAATTTTCATATAAATTTATTCAGATGATGCTGTATTGAGGTTTTTTAAAAGTTTTTGTTTTGAAAAACGGGAATAATGAAAATAATGTTTCTATATGCTAGTTTCAGTGTTTTTTATATTTATTTTTTAATAGTTGACATTATTTGGGATAATGTTATATTGTGGATCTTGGTTTTTATAAGTTTTTTAAAAGAAAAAAATGAAATTCGTATTTTTTTAGCTTTTAATAAAATATTATAATTAATCTTAAGACGTTGTTTTTTGACTAAAATATATACTTAAACGGTCTAAAAAATTAATTAGATTTGATGTCTGATTCTTTAGAACTTACTAGTCCCCCTTTATCATTAGATTCGGATATTTTAAGGGCTACTGACGATGATGTATCTTCTGTTAAAAGCGATGGGCTTGATTTGGTTTCTTCTATGAGCTCTCAGAGTGATTCTGATGCAAGTGATTCATTTACATCCTCTCCAAATGTAGCATATATTGTGGCTTTTAGAAATCGATTTTCTCAATTATTTCAAGGAATTCCTGATTTAGGACCACAAGATATTGAACGGTAAGATGGTTTGTATTTTATAGGTTGCTTATAAAGTGTAGTGGCATCCTTGGAGAGCCAGATGCATTAAATAAGATTGTAGAGTTATTATGTAGACTTGTTACGTTATGTTTAAATAGAAAAAAAGCAGTGGAGTATGTTTTTTCTCTAAGTTTAATTGTATTAAAACATAATTAGATCAAAGCATTTTTCTCGTGCTTTAAATGAAAGTATAGATACTCATATTAAACATCTTGATCCTTCCTGGTGTGGATATAGTCCTCTTCATAGAGATAAAGGATTTTATTCTCTTGATGCATCAGATAAGGTAAATTGAATTAAACTTTATGTATTTTTGTTAAATATGGCTTCCTATTAGCTCAAATTGTTATGTTGTTTGGTTGATTGGTGTCTTATGTCATCTGAAGCTGTTCGTTCTTTTATTGATGAAAATTATAAAGATCGTGCTTCCAATGATAAAAGAAATGCTCTTTTAGTTCATCCATTAGGGAAGGATGCTAAAAATAGAAAGTTATGGCTTATTGAGGGGAATGGTATTTAGTTTTTATCGTTGTTTGGCTTTAATTGGATTTTAGATACACCATTCCGTGTATATCGTGAATCAAAATCACGATCAGGATCTATTAAATGGAAATCTATTGCAGGAACTGTTGATGAGCTTCGTCAATATGCATTGAGTTTGTCAAATAATTCTTCTTTGAATGTTATTGCTCTAGTTCCGAAAATATTGAATCAAATATGTCCTCGTATAGAAAAGGCACAAATTGTATTTACAAACTTCTTAAATCGTCTAGCTAATTTTAAAAATTAGAGAAGAGATAAATTGGATGCAAATCGTGCTCGTTTAGCAGTATGTATTTAAGATCTTGTTTCAAGTTTATTGATTTTATATTTTTTATTTAGGCATTAAACATAGAACCAGCTTTATTAGGAATGCGAACTCGTGGAAAACGGATAAAATATACATTTTCTGATGATGAGAATGATGATGATAGTAATGATGATCTCCATATTTCCATACTTAAACGTAGAACTCCTCTTTATTTAGATAAGTCTGTTCAATACACAGCAAGGGGTAGGATGATAAAAAGACCTAGACGAGGTGATTATGGGATTTACGAAGAAACTAATTTGCTTCAAAATAATAATTATAGAGAATTTGGAAATACAAATGAATTATCTAAAAATTTATTACAAAATGATAATCATCTTAATCATAAAAATGACTGCTATGCTAGTTTACAAACAGAATCGGAATCTTTTTCTTTAAAAGTTCTTTTGAAGTATAATCCTAAAAAATTAATGCCTAGATTAACTGGTTTTTCTGAATCTTCTAATAATTTGGATCACTTCTTGAATGAAAATGTTTAAAATTAAATGTTTTTATGTTACAATAATTATTTAAAAAGATTGGGTTTTTAGATGTTTTAACGGGTTGGATATAAATTTGATGCTATAATTGATAAATATTGGTGCCTAAATATTATTTTATAGGTACATATTTTTAAGTTGTTTTCATAATTTATTTATATGTTTTAGTTTTTAAGAGAATATATAATGATTTTGTAATATAAAGATAATGTGATCTATGTATATTTTTAAGTTTAATTATAAACAAAAATTATATGAAAATATTTTAAAATTATGAAATGTTTATAATGTTTTTTATAAAATTAATTGTTAAAATTTTTTAGAACTTTTGATTTTTTTAAAAAAATATAGGATTTACTTGAATATTGTTATTTAATTATTCTGTTTTTATTAAACGCTTTCTTGGATGTATTAATATATATATTTGATGAAATTTACAGGTATGATTTTTTTATTGGATAGTAAATATTTGGATTGCTTTTAGTTTATTTCATTTATTATTTAAATAATCAATATTTTTAATTGTTTAAATTATATGTTTTCAGTTAAAAATATTTTTTGAATAAAATATTTTTTATAGAATATGTATATTTTAAAAGTTTAAATTATGTATACGTTTGAAGATTTAAAATTTTCTTAATATAAAGCATTTTAACTTAAGTTAATTCGATGATTTATTTTTACTTTTAAAACAGTAATTTTTATTAATTTCCATTATAGATATTTAAATGTATTATTTTTTGGTTTTAGATTTTTAAAAAATGTTATTAGATTAATTTTAGTTTCGAAAAGTTTGAATATTTTCATTGTTTATAAGACTTTCTGATAATATATTTTTATAGAGACATTCAAGGAAATTGTTTTTGAATGTAAAAAATAAATTGTTTAAGGATTTAGTGTTTTTTTATTATCTTATATTTAAAATATTTAGAATATAAAAATATTAAATTATTAAGTTATTTTAGTTTTAAAAAATTCTTTATTTAGTAAATTAACTATTGAAAGTAAGAAACAGTATTTTTGGAATGTTTTATTTAATAAGAATTTAAAGAAAAAGAAAAATTAAAAGATTATTTTTAGTAGGAAATATACGATGCTATTAACTATATATTATTATGTTATAGTTTGATAGATATTTTTTTTACAGATGGATATTCAATACCTAGAAATATTATTTTTTGAATATATTATTTTTTGTTTGATTTGTTGATGAATATAAATTTTTCGATGAGATTTTTTTTTATTATAAAATATAATAAATATGAAACTTATAAAATAATTAAAAAATTATTAAGATTATGAACATTTGATTATCAGTTTTAAAAATGTATTTATTAAAAAAATATTTTTACTGTTTCTGATATAAAAAAACTGTTTTTGAGTAAATTGATTTTTATAATTCGAAAAAATGAAATTAAAAATTGTTTATAGATTTCTTACCATGTAAATTATGATGTATATTGATAGTTTAGAGTAAGTAATTTCAAAAAAATTAAGTTATAATCTTTTATAATTTTTTAAAATTTAGGATAAAAACGCAGTTATAAATAATAATTTAAAAATAATCGACTACATTAATTTTTATAATTGTTTGTACAAATACTTAGCTATGTGGTGCTTTTTAGATTTAAGTTTAATGTTCTCATTTGGATGATGTTTAGATTTAAAATCTGATTAAGAAAATATATATAATTAGAATAAAAATATAAGTTAAAAATGATTCAAATGCTATATGAAATATATAATGTTTAGTATAATTTGTAAAAAGCGGTTTTTGATTTGTATAAAATATGTAGTTTTAAATAAAGTTTTACCTGTATATGGATTATAAAACAAAAATGAATATTAAGTCGTAGATGAAACGTTTGCTCATTGAAAATCTTATTATTATCCAACATAAAGATTAATGATGCCTGACGTACCCGATAGTCCTTCCGTTCCATACATGTGCCGCATTTCTACTGCCATTTGTACATCTTCATCTGAATTAATTGTAATATGATCACCATCTTCATCTTGATATCTTATTCGTAATGGTTGTTTAAGATTTTTTGCTGCATAATTCCCACAAAGATGAATTTTACGCTCAACTTTCTCTATTAACTGAGCATATCCAATATTTGGCGCGACAATAATAACGAAAATATCATCTAAATAATTAACCTTAACTTTTATATGATTTTCATTTTTATTTGCTTCTAAACGAGTATGCGGAATAGTAGATGGTGAAATATTACCTGTTGTATTTGGTGATTCAGTAGTAGGCCGTGACAACGATGTATTTGAAGAAATAGATGATGATGTACTATCATTATGTTCAATTCTATGGCTTAATGCTAAACGGGATGATGACAGTGATGATAAAAAATTAGTGTTGAAAGGTATTTGGTTTTCTGAAAATGTATTCATCATTGGATTGCTTGCAGAGCGTAGCCTATTTTGAGATATGTCTGATATTGAAGGAGCTTGATGTATTGGAATACGATAATTGTGTGACAAATAGGGAATATTGTTTTCATGAGGTGTCTGAGACATAGGAGGTGCAGTGAACCTAAGTTGGTCAAAATCGCGATTACAATTTTGTGAATTAAATCTTGTAAATGAATAAGGATTTGCAGTAGATGAGTTTGTATTTTTCCTTGTAAGATTAGATGATGAATCAATAGTTGGTATATGAGATTCTGGATAAATTGTATAATTGTTTTCAAAAGGTCTGTAATTTATATTTTCTGGAGCATTTTTAGGATTTGACGAACAGGATTGAAAATATGTTTGTGATATTTTTGAAGTCTGAGATAGTTCTCGAGAAGGGCAAGTCCAAGTTCCATAGTAATTATTCCCAAAACTAAGAATGCTATCATTTGTAGTAGATCTTGACCTCATACTAATTGAAGATGGGTTCCTACTCATAGTTGATGATCCTATATCGCTGCCGTTATCAATAATGTCTTCAAGATCTTTATAGCAATTATCGTCATCACTATCAGTTGTGTAATTTTTTGGTTTCATATTAAAATTCTTAACTGCTGTAAATTGATTATTAGATAAACTGGATTTATGGTTTACTAGATTTTGATTAATTTGAATGCTTTCTTTAGATTTTAATTCTTCTATGAGTTTTTTGAGTGCAGTATGCCATTGTTTCAAATTTTCTTCATTACGACATCTAAGTATAAAGTATTCCTTTTCATGATCATTATGCCAGTGAATCTGTAAAGTATATTGTCCTTGTTTGTTTAGAAATATAAAAAATATGTTTAATATATACCATTTTTTGAAATAGAATTAATATCTGAGACGTTATTAATAAAAATTCTGCCTTTTAATTGCAAACTTCCTCGTTTTTTTTGTGGCTTTTTTGAAATAGACATGTTTTTTGTTTGTTTTTTTGAGGTGGACATTTCTTTACAACAAAGTAAAATTCTTTCAAAAAGATATACATGATATTCTCGTTCTACATCTCCTTTAAGTACCATAAATATATCTTCAAGTAAAAGTGCTCCAAAACTTGATACATTATGTCCCTTCCAGTCTTCTACTCTTCTCTCAAGTTCCATTACAACAACCTCATTTTCTTGTCGACGACGAGTTTCATTAACACGATCTGTAACTCGCTTAATTGCATGCATTCCTTGTTTTAATTCTTCATAATGAGGATCTGATGGACTTGTATGTTTTAACAGTTCCTAATTGTTTTAAAATAAGATAATAACAAATATTTGAGTACTTTAAGTAAAAGCGGGTATTTGCAAATTCTTTGAATAGGTTTAATTAATAATGATGGTAATTCATAAGTAGGTTCTACAATATGTGCAAGTTTACTTAATTTCGCAGTTTCCTCAATAGCAAGATCAGAAGCATATGTATAATTCGAACAAAACGGTTCATATATACTAAATGATTCCTCCTATTTTAGAATTAGATTTAAATATTAGTTTTCCTATACACAGGTTAACCATTTGCATAAATAGTGCTCCAAATCTTTGGTGCTCAGGTTGAAGAGCAGAATTAGCTTCTATTCCAATAAGAAATCTACGTTGAAAATCAACAAGCATATTGAGGTTTGCAAATAAAAGATGAATTGTATCTGCGGATACAATTTCATTTGATTGAAGAGCATGCATATAGTTCTAAAATTATATTGGTATACTTTTTGTCATTATTTTGCCTTACTTGCAAAGTTTCCATGTCTTGGACATACTTTCTTTCTGTATCTAAAAGTTCTGCAACAACTTTGGCACGATTATCTTTTGGTTTATTTAAATTTTGATCATGACATATTACTTTTTTTCTTTTAATTAAAAGATTCTGTTCTTCTAGTTTGTCTAGTATAAGAGACACTGTTTTCGCTACCTAATTTAATAATAAATATTTTTTTATAAAATATAAAGAAAATATAGACTTTAACAAACCCATTTGTATCATCCTGATACAGTTGAGAAATAGAGAACAAGTCGCTATCTTTATATCCAAGTTCGTTACGACAAGCTAGAAGAAAATGATATACATTTGCTTTACATGCATTCATACTTGTTAAGTGGGCTTTTGGATTAACAGTTAAAGGTTTTTCGGGCTTAAGTGCATTGTAAAGAGCACAAAGACTTGCACCTTGACGGAAACATTGCCAAAGTAAAGAGACTGGATCATTTGTTATTCCTGCTGGAAAAAGATCGCTTTGAGACCTGGCATTAGTCAAATAAATTTCAAAATTTGGAACCTCGAGCAATCGCTCATGAATCTCTCGACACATTTGATAAATAGAGGAAGATGCAATAGCAGGTTTATTAGTTATAGAATTTGTAGGTAACGGTATAGACTCAAGTGATGAGATATTTTGATTGTTTACAGATACTGAAGAATCTAAAGACTCTGAAGGACGAAGTTCATCATATTTTGAAAAACTAGTGGATGTATTGGTTGATATACTAGATTTTGTTGACAGAGACTGTGTCATTGATAGAATTATAGTGTTGTTAATAAGCCTGCTTTATATTTAAAAAAAATTGCATAGAGTCCACTTTTTTTAATCTTATTAGTGAAAAACAATACTATTTTTTTGTAATATGAAAGGAAATTTTATTTTTACGCGAAAATAATGTCTAATAGAACTTTGTTTTTTGTTTAAAGTTATAAAGAGTATTTTTGTTTGAGTATTACTAGCTTTGGTAGCGTATTTTTAGAACACTAATCTAAGTTACCTTTATTTTTTTTTCAAAAGTTTTTGATTATTTTTAATTTTAATTACCTTTGGTAAATTATGTTGCTTTTTTTATTTATAAATTCGTCAACTTGTTTTATAGGTTTTAATCCGATTAAAAAGGAAAATTAAAATTATTAAAAAAAGACAATTATTTATAATATATATTGGTAAAATGAAAAAGAATAGCATATTCAAAAGAATAATTTTACAGCATATATATATAATAAGAATCATTTATGAGTTATTTGAAAAGTATGTTGATTGTACTAGAAAAATAAGTATTAAAGTTATGCGTATTTATGGATATACGCTATTTTCTGGTAGTTGAATATATCATAAATGTCATATAGGATTGTTTTGTGCCATATCTTTTTTTAGTTGACGAAGCGTATTTTCAATTTTGCGCCGCTCTTCCAATTCTGCCTAAAGTATATCTTAATTGTTTCTAATAATATATTTTGTCATAACACTTACTTTCATTTTCCTAGAATGCTCTTCTCTTATTTCATGTACTATTTTTCGAAATTCTTTTCTTAGTAATTCAATGCTCATTGCTTCGTCATGTTCTTTTATGTTCAATTTTTCAGGTGATAGATTTTCTTTCCCTAGCCATTGTATTTTTTTATCAGATAATTGGCCTTCGAGTTCTTCGCATTTTTCTTTTAATGTATCAATAGTGTTTTCAAGACGGGTTCTTTCTGATTCGAAGTCCAACATGTTTCGTGTGATCTGTTCAAAATCATTTAACATCTCATTAAGCTCTGACTGAAGAAGTTGACAGCGTTTTTCAAGGTTAATCTCTTTTTCAGATATTATTCTATTTTTATCGATCATTTCTATTAATTTATTTTCTTGTATTTCTTTTAATGATTCAGATATTTTTATATTTTCGTTCATAGATTTGTTTTTTAATTCTATTTCTTTGCTTTCTTTTTCTGATTTTTCTATATATGCATCATTTTCTTTAGTTTGTTGTATAATTATAGGTGTTTTTTCTTTTTGTTGTTTTGAGTTATATATAGTATCAATTTCAGCTTTTAATATAGTTATTTCAGTTGATAATTTAATAACATCATTTTCAAGGCTTTTTATTGTCTCATTTGCTTTATTTTCATATTCTAATTGTTCATTTTTATGTTGAGACTGAAGAAATTGAATTTTTTCTTCAAGTATAGTATTAATGTTTTGTAGTTTAGAAATTTCATTTTGTAATAGTTCTAATGTTGATTCTTTTTGCTTGATTTTTTTTTGAAAATCTAATAAAGAATCTGAATGAGATTTTAAAAGGTCTGAATAGGTATCGTCAAGCTCCTGTAATTTAGTTTCGTTATCCTTAATTTGATTGGCATAATCTTTTATTGTATTTTTTAGATTTTTTTGATCATCCGCCCATTTTTTATAGTCATCTTCTTTTTTATGTTTAGCTATTTCTATTTCCTCATTTAATGTATCTATTGTTTGTTGATATTCAGATATTTTTTCATTTGCATCATATAATTCAGAAGATATCGATGATTCGCGTACAACAAGTTCTCCAATAGTTTTTTTAGCTTTTGAAAGATCCATATCCAAATCATTAATTTTATTTTCATATTCTATTTTTAATGAGTTTATAGCTGATAGATTGTTTTCTTCTTGAAGTTTTTCTTTTTCGAGTAAACCTTTGTACATTTTTTTGCTTTTAGATAATTCTGAAGTAAGCAAATCCACTCGAGATATTAAAGTATCTATTGAGAATTGGCCATGTTCTATAGAATAACTTTTTATTGGACATTCTTCGATGTCTGTTTTGTCCCATAGATATTTATAATTTTTTTGGAATTCAGCAATTTGAAGTAGAGATGCTTCTTTAAGTTCTAAATATTGCTGGTGCACGTTACATATAGTATCTTCTAATTCTGAAAGAATTTCTAAAACATCTATTGAACTATAATTAGAGTGTAATTCGTTTTCTGAATATTTAGTGACATGTTTTCCTCCTGATAAAAAGGATTTTAGTTGGTTATTTGATATTGTTAGACGTTTTTGAATTTCGATTAAAGTATATGATATGTTATCATTTATTTTATTTTTTCTAGATTCTGTGTTTTCTGAGAATTCTGCATTATTAGATTTATAAAAATGAAGTTCATTAAAATCATATAGATCCATAGGTTTTTTTTCTTGAAGAAAATTAGAAATATGTCCGCTCATTGTATGTTTTTCTAAAGCATATCTTAATACTCCTGCTGTATGTTTTAATAGTCGAATAGAAACTTCGTGTTCATTCTTTTGAAGACGCCATAGTTCTTCTGCTGCTTCTTCAATTTTACTATTTGAAATAAGTAGTTGGTCTTCAACTTGACGTGATATCCGTTTTCCTCTGTTAGAATGAAGACGTGATAAAGATTGTGCTGCTTCTCGGAGTTTTGACTCTAAAGCTAATGTTTTTCGCACTGTTTCTATTCTATTGAGTAGTATATGTTTTTCCTTGCTATTCTTAGATTTATTTATTGAAAAATGATGTTTTACTTTTTTTAATTTTTCCGTTTCTTCCAATGATAGTATTTCGTACTCTTTTGAGTCAAATACTGCATTAGAACTAAGATATTGCATCCCCACTTCATCCTGTTCATTAACAAGAGGAGATATTTGCGAATCTGTATAATTGCTTAATCTATTTTTTTCTTGGTTATAAAATTCTGTTGTATCAAGTAAAGATTTAGCTGAAGGCACAACATTTACGTATCTATTTTTGATTTCTTGGTCATATGAAGATGTATTCATACGAATTGTTTTAATTATTATGAATCTAATATTTATTATTTATTATTTTAAAATGTTTTATCATTCCTTGATAATTAAGACTGATAACCGAATGACGCGCTAAAAATAAATATAGTATAAAAATAGTAAATGAAAAATAGAATTATATAAATGTATTTAAATTATTGCATAAATTATTATGTAACTATGTAAGTAATGGAAATTAAATTTGAAATATGAATTGCATATTTTTAGATAACAGGTTTATTTTTTTTATTATATTCTTGTACCGCAATACCAATTTTAGTAAATATAAATTTTTGGCTAGTAGTAGAATCGATAGGAATAAAAGGACAACTAGTTTTATCTGTTTTATTTAAATTAAATATTTATAAATAAAAGAGTTTTACCTCTTAAAACTAAAACAATCCCTGATTTTTTAAGAGATATAGTTTGTATATCACTAAGAAGAATTTCCCATTCAATACAAAGTTTTCGAGATTTTACTATCATTATTCTTGTATATGTAATCATTAATATTGTATCATCAAGAATATTTAAATGTGCTAAATATTCTTCATCAAAGTATCGACCATTATTTATTTGTTTTAATAAAAATAAACCAAGAGCTAAATATATTAAATTATTGCATATAGTTGTTTTTTCATGCCTTCTCTTTGAGAATATGGTTTTATGACACCATCTTTTCCAATAAATCTTGTTAAGCGGACTTTATCAATTCCCTCTGAATCAAAAACTGTTGTAGTATTACGAATTCCTACATTATCGAAATAAACAATAGATATTAAAACAGAAAATCATTTTACCTTCTGTAACATTACTTGCTAAATCAAAGATTCCAACAACAGGTTTAGTAGCGAGCCTATGTATATTAAGATTAGTAAAAGAAACAATTTGAAGATATGTACCCAATTATGCCTTTTCCTATCCCTTTGAAAAAGCCTGCTGCTCCGTCTTTTTCCACACCTTCTAAAGGTTTTCTAGCAAGGCCTTCTACGCCACTTGCTATGCTAGTAACAAAAGAATTTGCTCCAGCTGTAACACCATATAAAGCGTGTTTTGGTTTATTTCGTCCTTGAGTTATTCTTCTGTAATTTTGGAATTTCTTGTCCATTGTTGCCATTGAAAGACCTTATTTTTAATTTTTTTAACTTATTTAACTTAATAATAATAATTTTTACCTTTTGAGATACTTCCAGTAAATTTTGATACACTGTCAGTAATACCGAAAACTGTTTTCCTTACAAAGCTCGCTGTTCCTTTAACAAGTCCAAATCCAAGCTCATGCGGATTTTCATTCATTACAAAACCATGATATGGTTCATAAAATATGTCTATAACACCAGAGCTTACTGTATTAAATAAGCCAACGGGATTGCCAAGAAAATCCGCTGAGCCAAGAATTTTATGAATTTGGTGAAAAAAATCTTGACCGTAATGGCTTTGCATATGCTGTAATAATAATGGTAATGATGTTAAAACGTTTTCCATTAATAAAGAATTTAAACGGACAGGGGCATCATTTATATTCCCAATAGCCATTGTTAAAATATTTAAGAAAAATAAAAATGGATTCTTTGAAGATGTTCTAATATTTGTTACTTTGAATTATTAGGTTTACAAATATTACTTGTCTTCCACGTTTACTCTTTCAGTTCTGACAAAAGAAAGGTTTAGTTGAGCTGGTTGAATATGTAATACTTCAAAATATATTTCGGTTCCTGATGTATTTTTTTGAGGTTCTGGAATTTCAAGATTTTCATCACAAAGTATTTCGTTTTCTTGTTCTAAATCGGATTGTCCAATGTGTTTTGTAAATTCTAGCAAAGCAAAGAGAAAATCTTCATCAATTTCTAGTGTCATTTCTTGGATAAGTAATGTTGCATATTTTACATATATAACTCCATAAGCTAAGAAATTTAGATGTTTTGAAAAGATATAATATTATATTTACAGTCATCTTTCACTTTGATTATTGATAAATGAAATGATGGATGTGTATCTAATTCCTTGCCTGTTTTTTGAATTACACTGGGATATAGTATTATTGGATAAATGCCCCCGTACAATTGATTATCGATCTAATACGTTTTATTTAAAGTTAAATATTCTAATTATTTTACTTGAATCCATTTGACAATAATATCAAAATTCTGATATAAAGGAGAATCGCTAAATTTTAAATTTAAATCCCTAAGCGTAATATAACATAGTTCAAGAGGACGATTGTTTATTATAGAAATGCCAATTCCTTCTAATTTAATTTCTATTTTGCATGTAATATTATCATTAAAATTAATTACTTCAAATCCTTCTTTATAGTAAATATTACTTGTTAGTGTTGAAGTGTTTTGTAAAATACTTGTTTTAGGCTTATAAATACTTTCATTTTCGCAATAATTTTTTAGTATTAATGTTTGTGATGGCCCATTAGCAACAACGCTAATATCAATAGTTTTATATAATCCATTACCTATCTTTAAAAAATAAAAAAAAATAGTTTTTAATAAAGTACTTACAGGTATTTTCATAGGAATTAATTCTCCTATTTCTGACAACCGTACTGTTCTTTCTTTTCCATTTGCTGAGAATACTAGTTCTTTATTTTTTGAAGCTGGATAATCCCATGAATAAGGCATTATACTTTTTGCTGGAATGAAATATGCTTTTATATTGCAATGAGGTGATTTGGATTTTTTTCCGCTGTTATCTATTGAAAGATGGTGATTCTATTTTTAATAAAAATTATAAACATATAAAAAAGTGGTAAATACTGGTTGATAAAAAGTAAAAGCAACATCGCTTTCATTACGAATAGAATATGGCCAATTATTTTTTTCTAGAAGTAAATGAATAAATACTGTTGCTTCTTCTAGCATTATTTCAACTCTAATAAGTTGTTGATTTTGTTTATACTTTGATAGTTTTACGTGAATTTTTCCTAAATTTTGAATATTAAATGGTGATGACCTATTTTTTTAGAAAATAAATAAATAAATCAATAGAATACCATTCATTATTTTTTCCTGGAAAACACAGAATTAATTGTTTTTCAGAAGCTTGTTCCATGAAATATAATGGCATTTTTTGTAAAGAATATAATGTCATTATGTTTGATGATTTAGGTTGCTTTATACTAATATCTTCGTCAAGACCACTTTTAATAATAAATCTTGGTGTTAGACTAATAATTTTTGTTAATGTGTACTTAGTTTAATATTAACACGTATAATTTATTATAATAAATATTACCTTTCCTTCTCCTTCTTTAACCACGATGCCAATATGTATCTCTTTTTGCTCAGGTGAGCCAAGAACAACTTCTGATACACTTCCAATAGCTTCGAAGCTTTGAGGTTTACTCCAATTTGAATTTCCAATTTTAATTAATGCTCTATTTTTTCTATCATGATTACCATATGAAAACATATATGGAACAGCTTTTTTTGTGTGTTCTATTGTTTATTAGTATTCATAATAGTTCTAACTTAATACGTACCAATAGAAAATTGACCTGCTGCTACTTTTGCTTGTTGTAGGAATAATTTTGATTTTATCTGAACATCGAGACCAGTTTTGTTAAGAATGACATAAGGACAATAAATTGCAATACGAAATATTTTTCCACTATCAGGAATTTCGCTGATAATTTATAAATATTTTAAGAAAAAAAATATATACTCACTAATAATGTAAATAAAGATAAAGTTTTAAATTGTCTTTGTCTGTTACAACTATTTTTGTTTCTTTTCGAATTTTATCAGGATTAGGAGTACTGATAATAGAAAAAGTGCTAGGTTTATAGACTATAAATAAGCTAAAAAACATTTTTTATTTATATAGATTACCTGTGTTTTGAATATGAATTCCCATAAGTAAAATATGAGATAAATTTATTGTGTGGATAAAACTAGATTCTTTTTTTTTTAGAAAGCTTCCCCATGTAGATTTTGTATTTTTATCAAAAATTTTATAATTTAAATCATATGGAAGAAGATTTTGAATTATAATTAGAGGATTTATTTTAATATTCATATATGGGTACACCCTTTTACTGTTAATAAAAATAAAGATATTATTTTTAGAGTAACTTTACTAAAGGATTTAATTTATCATATCGAGCATGGATTTGAAAGTTAAACAAATTGTCTTTTTTCTGAAGAGATTCACATGAAATTATGGATGACGGATATTCTAATAATTTTTTCCATTCTATAATATTTGATGACCACGAATATTCTAGATAGGCTACTTAATTAGAGATTTAATTTTAATACATAATATAAACATACGATCAGGCCGAATTTTTAATGCATAATAATATGCAGATTCTATGGGTATTGGAAATTCGTTACCTGGTGCTACTTGTATTAGAAAATTATTAAAAAAACCATTTATAACAAAAACCAATTTTATATATTTCTGAATGTTGCCCTTGATTATTAATGATTACTACTTCAATAGGTATCTGTGTTTGGTTTTCTAAGGTTAGAGTTGATTTTAAAGTTATATATTTTATGTTATCGGGGCCGAGAATAGTTTTAACTAAAAGCTTATGTAGAACATCTTTTTTTGGTTCAAGAGAATATAATGTTTCGCCTTCGTAATTAATAGAAATGTCTTCTATTGGGTTCCATTCTGTATTTTCTAAATGAATTCCAATGAAATATTTTTGATTTTTATCTGAAATATTCTATATAAATTAGAATGATCTTTTTAAATAATAATAATAATACGCTTCTCATTTGTCTCCAGTCTTCGAATTTCCATGGAATCGTATCTCCATCTTTCAGATTATATGTTTTTTTCCTGGAATTCAAATCTTTAGAAGAATTTGACCATAAGTTTATAGAATAACCAGTTTTATTTTGTATTCTATAAGGGGCTTCAAATGTTTGATATTTAGACAAGATATTCTCTTGTGTTTGATTTATAAATTGTAACATTTCCATTATTGTTGTAATGATATTCGGTGTTATAATGATTTCTAACCTTTTATATGAGGATAAAGTAATTAATAACTTTTCTGGATGTATCGATTTTACTGCCTATTTTTTATTATGAAACGATAATAAAAGAATAGATTAATACATGTATTTCAAATTGCCAGGGTTCAATGAGAGGTTCCCAATGGGAATTTGAGAAATTGTATGAATTTATGAATAAATTTAAATTAGTGTTAATATTTAACTTAATAAAAGTCAGATGAGTTTATAATTATATTAAAATACCTCTGATGACCAGTCATTAGAATATATTATGAATTTATTTATTGAAATATCAATAGTGGGTAGGTCATGATGGCATCCGATTAATATAAGCCTCAAACCCTGTATATTGGCTTTTAATTCCTCTTTGGCTGTAATAATAGATTCTTTATTAGCGTTATTCTCTGGATTAGAAATTGTTTTATCTGATAGTCTTTTTGATTTTAAAGAATATGTATTTTTATTAAAATCTGTTTTTTCTATAGATATATTGTTTTTTATTTTATTGAGTTTGTTATCTGTTACTGTATTCTTGTTTGACCCAGGAGACTCAAATACTTTAGTTATAATATTTAATATCAGCATAATATCTCTAAGAGATAATCTAAGAATTAAAGGATCTATTTCAATAATTATATTTGTCAGATCTTGTGTTTCATTTAAAACTTTAAACTCCATAGTAAAAGCTATTGTGAAATCATCCAATATTCTTATTTTGTTTTCTTCAAAGTTATCCATTTTACAAAGAAACATTCCTATCTGATTAATAGATAAAGTTGTAATATCTTGCTGTGATATTAGAATTTGTTTTGTAGTTAATACTACAGCTTCTGATGAATGCAATTCTAGATTTTCAAGTAAAATTATATTTGCATCGACAATATTTATTTGATAAAACATATTAGTGGATGGTTTTTTTATTTTTGTTGATATTTTTTCTGGATTTTGTGTCTCTTTTTTTTTAATAGATTTTGATATACCTTCTAGATTCTCATCTCTGTAGTTATCATTAATATTTTGTTTGATAGATGTTTCAGGTTCTAATTCTATTGTAGCAAATTTTTTCAATTCGAAAATATGATCTAGTGTAAAGATAAATTTAGGACTATCAATAGTAAGCATTGTAATAATATTTTTATCTGTTTTTCCTGATATATTAAGACTAGCCATAAATTGGTATCCATCATGTTTTATAGCAGATATTGCTTCTCGAAATTTATTGGATTTGTTGAACTTAGTATTTTCAAGAACAAATGACTTTATCTGTAATTCAGATTCTAAAGAAGAATTTGAAAAAATACGAGTTTTAATAATTGTTGTATTTAAAGAAAATTTTGCTAAAGAATGATTAGAAAGATTTTCTATGGGCAATAAGTTATTTGAAAATATTTCTAAACATATTATTCTAATATTGAATTTTAGATCCAGTTTAATCCATAGCTCTTGGTATGAATTGTTTTTGTAATTAATTTCTTTTGAAAAATCTGTTTCTGTAATTTTAGATTTATATGCTTCTTGATTTCTATTGTCAATTTCTATTGATTTATTTAAGATGCCTGAGTCCTTTTCACTATAATTTGAAAATACCTCGGTGATTTCTTGACTCAATTTGATTAAAGAATAATACTGTCTATCTGTTAATTTAAAATTTAAGTCTGCCATAGAGCCAATTATTCTGATATCTGGTCTTTTAGAATTGAGAGTATGTTCAACATACTCTACAGTAAAATCAATATCTATTCCGTCAAGCATTTCTAATTCTTCTATTTTGTTGCATTCATATTGAAAACGTGAATATAAACTAATATCTCTAATTCCTGCTGAAATCTTATTCAGAGAAAAAATAGATGAATTTTCTTTTAATGTTTCAAAACTATTTGATGCATAAATTTCTCCAAGATTGGCTACAATAATATTATTTTCTTTATTTTTTAATTTTTTTACTTCAGGAAAAATTAGGATAGGTGTTCTAATTAAAATATTAAAATGTATTTTATTGACAGAATCCTGGATTTGTGAAGCTTGATTTATAGCTACTTCTCGTGCAGAATTATAAAGTGTTTTCATTTGAGCAAATTTAGCTCCAAATTCTAAAATTTTTTTGAAAGGCTTTTTTAAAAAATTAATTTTTACTGATCCTAAACTTAGATAAATTAAAGTGTCATATCCTGGATATATTGCTTCGTTTGAAGAGTCATATAATTCATAGCGAAAGTCTGCTAGCTCTTCTCCTTCAATACTAATAAGTTCTTTAATATTTGATTCTGAGTCGACATTAAAATCGTTCAATAATGATAAATTTCCAAGTTTTATGTTAAGGCACATAGTTTTTTGTGTTAAAAAAATGTTGATATCTGTTTTGCTTAATATAAGAGTTGGTAGTCGTATTCCATCATCATTGAAAATAAATACTATCTTTGTGAGCCCAACTTTCATAGATATTTTGTTGGATAAAATTGTATGTTCCTGGTTATCTTTGACTATTATATTTTTTTCAAGAGAATTTTTATGATAATTTTGATCATTTGATGTGGTAAAAGTGGTAATAATAAAATCAAAGAGTGTAAGAATTGTCTTTCTTGTTATTACAAATGTAATAGCAGATAAAGACACATCTATATTTTGTTCGATATCATAATAAATAGATATAAATTCTGATGATTGAGTTTTTGCTTTAGTATACTTTATATGAATGAGGTCTGCAGTTTTGTTATTTTCTTTTATAATATCATCCGATGATATTAAATATTTGAATTCAATAGGTGAATTGGTCTCTATTTTATCTTCAATAAAAAATCTTTTCAAAATCATTTCTGTAGTAATATTATATGATGTTGCTGAAAAAAGTAAGGAAAAATGTTCTAAAACGATATCTACAAGTAATTGATCTTGATTTTTTTTTTGAATATCTGCTTTATATAATGATATTTGTAGTTTATTTACCATGAAATTTAATTCAAATATTTTTTGTTGAAAAGCAGTGGATTCCTATAAATAACAATAAATATATATATATATATATATAATTATATAGACAAACCTGATCGGACACTGCATCTTCATATTTTTCTGCTTCTTTGTCATCAGAAAAATCAGATTCATCTTTAATAATTAGATCTTCTTGATGAGAAAAACTAAAAGAAATAGATTTATGAATATTGGATTTAGACAAATTAGAAAGTTTTTTTTGAGATTTTCTCTTTTTGATTTCTTTATGATCAGTTTCTTTTTTAGAAGATGGAATTGCATTATTAATAATTTTCATTAAAATTTTGTACTTTTTATCTGATATAGACGTGTGTAAAAGAGGAAGATGACCTGATATTTTAAATTTAGTTAAATTGGAAGCTTTAGGTAATATGGAAATTTCGAGTAGGAAAAACATATCTGTTTTATCGATGATTTTAAAATTTTTGCCATTATTTTTTCTCCTAAGCTCATTCAGAGCATCATCGACAGATGGTCCAATTAGTAACTGATATATTTAATATATTTTTGTATAAATGTTGGTTAATTACTTGAATAGATTCAAACTTAAGAGAAAACTTATCATACATTAGAGACTTTAGATTTGAATAGTCTTCTTCGCTATATGCTTTATTGTGTTTCGATTGTATTTCCCGAATTTTTTCCTTTTCTACTAAGTTACTTTCAAGACTAATATGACCTGCATCTAATATTATGCAACTACAATCAACTTTTATATAACTGTTAATGTTAAATGAAATTTATATATATATATATGTTTTTAACCTTTGAGGGATTATAATTAAAGGAGTTTGAAGATCAAGTTTAGCTGAAATAGTTTTGTGTTCTTCTAATGCAAATTCTAGACCAGCTCTTGTCTGATTCCTGATTCCTTCAACTGTGGCGCTCGCTGCTTCCATTAAAACTTCTATACTTACCATTTGACTTTTAGGCGGTTCAAAAAATTTTGAAACCGCTGTTAGACAGTGAGGGTTATAAATCACTTCCATGGATTTTAGCTTTGCCATTACAGATGTATCTGCGTCATTATTAGGAGGGTTTTTTTCGAATTTAAAGTAAAAAAATGGAGATAAATCATCATAAATTAATGTTTTTTTTTCTAAATCTGGTTTCTCTTGCATATAATCTAGATCAGGAAATTCATATATTTTTTTTTTGTTAATATTAACTTTAACTATTTGAGGATATACACTGTCTTCTGTAGTCCCATCATAAACACTTAATTCACCGAGCTCAAATTCAAATGCAAATGAAGTTGAACGTTGAACAATGCTTGAGTTAAAATTATTGAAAAAGAATGATATTATATCTTTCTGTTTTATATTTGTTTTATTTGTTTTTTCTGTAAGTGTAAAACTTCCTGTTTTAAGACTTAAAGAAAATTTTAAATTGATAGATTCGACAGAATTATTTAATTCTTCAGAAATGCCTTTCTTTTCATCCCAATCTATTGTGTCATAAAGTTCTTTTCGTTGTTCATCTGTCATAATTAAATCATTTTTATTTTGGTCATCTATATTTTGAGAGCTACTCCATAACCATGATAGCCAGCTTTGTGATTGTTGAGAATTATTTTTCGGAGATAGAGCCTTTTCTTTTTTTAGTTTGCTTTTTGCTAAAGATCTATAAAAACGAATATCTTCATATGAAAGCAAGTATTCTAGCTGCTGAAGTTCTTCATTTTCTATTATATCAATTTTTTCGAGTAATTTTTTTTTAAAAAGATCAACGTATTTTAAACGTTGATCTCTTCTTTTCTTTAAATAAGCCCATGTACATTTGGAATTTTTTTCATGTATTTCATATAAAATAGAATTTGCTGCAAATTGTAACCAAAGTCTTGGATTATTTTTAATAGATTTAGAAGCATCTCCTGTTGGACGAAAGCGATGGTATTTTTGTTGACGAATAAAAAAATGAAAAAGATCGACCATCATAAGAGCGCTTCTATACTGATAATTATCAAATACAAAACTTAATTCTTCAAAAATAAGTTTTATATTTGTTTTAGAAAAACCATCAACATTGTTTTTGTTTAGAGTAATATGGCCTGTTCCGCTAATAGGTTTTAATATTAATTGATGATTTGGAGTATGACAGTTTCTAACAATTAGGTCTTTAAAACATTTTAATAATTCACTGGATGATTTTTTAGAAAAAGAATAAGAATCTACATTCCAGTATATGGTCAAAAAATCAAGTGTAACTAATTTATGTATAAAATCTACGTTATTTTGTATAAAAATGGGCTCCCATTTATCATTTGTAGATATAGCAGAAAATCCGGAAAGTGTAATTCCTATAGAAAAAGGATGCTATATTTATGAGATAATAGGAAAAATAAGTATATATATACTTCTGGATCACTTATGTTGTCCTCATAACGGATATGTATATTTTTAATAATAATTTGGAGATTATCAACAATCTAACTATTCAACATTATATATAAATTATTTGTATATTACCTTTGTAATAAGACTGTTTACAAATGATTGATTTTTCTGAGTATCATTACGTGATACACGTTGATCAAGAAGTTCTGCTCTATAAATAAAAATAATTAAAATCCGAAAATAATATGTATATATTTAAAGGTATATTTATACCTTTCTAGTTTTTCTTTTTTAAGATTTTGAATTCTTTGATCTTCTTCTTCTTGGCTATACTGTTATAAATCTTAGTTTAGATTAAATAATAAATTATTTTACTTCTTGGTTATCTTTAGGAAATGCAAGTAAAAATACGTTTTCAATGATAACTTTTACAGGTTTATTTTTTAAATTGGACCAAGGTATTTGTAAAATTAATTCTCCAAGAAAGCCTTCAAAAATATTTATAGGAAGTTTAAATATACTTAGAGCCTAAATTTGAATTATTATAAAATAATATTGAAAAAGTTTAAAATGCCTCTCTTTTAAGTTTAAGGTCTTTAAGTTTAACATCTCCTTTCCATATACCAATATTTAATTGTTTAGGCTATTATTATTAGAAATAATTGCAATTAAGAGATTTATTACATCAAAATTTTCTACATAGGATCCAAGAAATTTTTTTAAAATTCCTTAAATAATAGATTAATAGAACTATATATTGTATTTTGTGTCTTAGTATACCTGCTACAAGTGATTCGAGCATTCTTGGAATTTTTTCATAATTCTATCAAATAAAGACGGTCTTATATGCCATTGGTTTCGATGTTTTACGATGTTATAATTCTAGAATTGTTAAATAATGAATTTATTAAATAGGGAAAAATAATTTTATGAGTTTTTATATTCTTGTTTTATTATTTGATTTTATATAATTTAAATATGGTCTTATTGTTTTATTTATTTTGTTTTTTTTTTTTGCTATATAATTAAATCTTTGAAAAAAATATTATAATCTGTTTTTTATTTTTGTTATATTTAACTGTTTATTATTTTGATTTTTGAAAAACTTTTTGTTTATAATGAAACAATAAATATTATTTATTTTTAATATCATAAAAATTTAAATTATATTATTTTATCATTATATTGAAAAATATATATTTAAGATTATATAATATAATTATAAAATCACGTATTTGATTTTTTATAATTATAATGTTTTAAAATAATATTTTAATAATTTATTAATGTATACAAAATTGTAATTTGTAATTTTGTATTTTTATTTTTTAAAACTATTGTTTTAGTTGATTATAGAGTTTTATTAATAATTGTATATTTATACTAATTTTAAGTTTATAGATATTTATAAAAACTGTTTTTATGAATTTAATGGTTTAAATTTAATTGTAAAACATGCTTTTTAATATTGTTAATTATATTTAAATTTATATATTGATCACAGTGGTTTTGCCATTTATATATGATTATGATGAATGTTAACATAATGGTTTAAAATTACAAAAAAAAATATGTATTTTTAATTAAAGTAAATACTTATGTCTTAATCTTCATTTAGATTAATCAATATAATATAATATTTAAAATATAAGTATGTTGTTTTGATATTTCTTTAAAGTCGTATTTCTATATATTTTTTATAGTTTTATATTTTTTTCAGATTTAAAGAATGGTTTTTTTAAAAATATAATTGTAAGATTTGATTGAAATTTTGTTTAAAATTTAAAATTTTAAAAGATTTAATATTTTGATAATTTTTTATGATTAATATATAAATTAGGATTTTATTTGTAATATTTTTATATAGAAAATTTAAAAAATATTTTTATAAATTTAATATATATATATATTATAATATTTGATTGAATCTATAATCTATTGTATTATACTCAAAACTATATTAATATTATGTTATTAAATTTTGAATTTTTAAATGTTAGAGATTTATTTTTATAATGATAATAATTTAATGATATAAAGATGAATTTAAAATTACTTTAATAAAATTTATTGAGGATTGTTTTATTTTATTTAAATACTCATTAAGATGGTTTTTTTGAGTATATTTTAATACATTGTTTTTCAAAAGATGAACGTTTAAAAAATATTAACTTAATAGATATAAGACTCGTTAAAAGTATATTTAGGATTTCTTTTAATAATTATAATAGAAAATATTTACTAATTTATTTGTTTTAAAATTAATATAAATATTTAGAAATATATTTTATTTTAAAATCTATAACAGAATAAGAAATAATGAAAATTGCATGTATAATAATAATTTATATTCAAAAATATTTATAGAAACTGGATAGACATAACTAATTAAATTTTAGTGGATCGATTATTAATTTTTTGTTTTTTAATAGTAGCATCGATACTTTTTTGACCTAAAAATATAAATCAAAAAAATTTAAAACATTTAACTTCTTACCCATTATGCCACCTCCCCATATACGTCTAGATTCATCGTATTTATCATTATAATTAACCTATACTATCTAAATTTTTACTTCAAAAAAACTAAAATCTACCTTAATAGCAGTAATTAGAGTAGCTAAAGTATTTTTGTCTTCAGATTTAACTTCAGTAAAAGCAAGAGCTGTTGAATTTTTCTTATGAACAACTGCTCCAAGACGTGCCTTGCCTTTCACAATCTATAAGAAATGAATAACAACATAAACTAAATAAATAAATAATACACAATAAGGAATACCCATTTTTCGACAAAGTGCGGGAAGGTACACAACCAGCTCAATAGGATCAACATCACTTGCAATTACTACAAGAGATGCTTTTTTGTTTTCGATAAGAGACACTATATGATTCAACCCACTCCTAATAAAAAATTAGAGTTATTTAAGATAAAGAAACACTTTGCTTAACGAAAAATGGTTTTTTTCCAAAGCTTTTAATCGAAGCTTCTTCCAGACTTTCTTCTGCCTTTTTAAGAAGCCGTTGTTTTTTTTCAATTTTAGTTTCAGGTCTATATTTATTAAGAAGCTTAAAAAGTTGAATTGCTGTGTTTTTATCCAAAGTAAACTGAAACTGTGAAATAGCAGGAGGGACTTTTAAACGCATATAAAGAACTCTCCTTTGTCTTTGAAGCCGTATATAACGAGGCCATTTAACAAAACGTGTTAAATCACGTTTAGGTTGGATATCTTGACCTTTAAAAAATTAAAAAGGATACTTTTAAAAAGACTATATAGATCACTTACCAATACCGAAATTTTTGGGCCTTTTTTCGAAAAGAGGGTTTTTATGTTTTAATTTCTCAGTTGCTTTAGATGTTGGAAAAGATTTCGTCACAGTTTTTCCGGAATCTGCTTTAGAAGACTAAAATATTAAAAGTCAGTTTATTATTGTTTAGTTGGAAATGTATTTTGTTGTATTTCTTAAAACTAATTTCTTTGTAAGGGAATGTTTTATTTAAATTCTTTAATTTATAGTTTCATAAATTCAATAATAGAAAATTAAAAATGTTCAACATTTATTTCCCCAAAAAGGTCTAATGAAAATATTGAAAATTAACTTACCATTTTTTATAATAAGCGGTTTTTTTTAATTTTATTGAGCTATTTTTTATCTAAATCTTTCGAGCTTTTTGTAGAAAATATTGTGACTGTTTTTATTTTAAAATTTTGAATTATTATATATACACGTATTTTTCACTTATGATTTTTTATATTTATTTTATTTAAAAAATATTTTTTTCCTGATAATACTGAATATTTAATATTGTAGTTGTTTTAATTTTGTGTTATTTTTGAGTTTAATTTTTTACTAATTGAAATTTGATATGAAAAAGATAGTATTTTGCTTTCATTTTTTAGGGTCATGTGATATTTTTATTACGAGATGATAATTAAAATAGACTAACTTATTTAAGTAAAAAAGTTTGTATATGGTTTAGTTTATCTAGTTGGAAAGTTAAAGTAATGTTTACCTAATAAAAATATGTTATTTTGTAATGACAAAAATGTAGAAAAAAAGTTCATATGATCTAAATTTTTTATTTTTACTTATTTTAAGAATAAATTTAGAGGGCTCAGGATTTTAATTTACTAATGTCTTCAGAATATATAGGAGCAATTGATCAGGTATGTTTTTTTATTATCTTGTATAAGAATTGTTTTTTATGATTTTGAATTAATAGGGAACTACAAGTAGTCGGTTTTTTATATTTGACAAAAATGGTTGTATTGCATCTCTTTATCAACATGAATTTCCACAAATTTATTCTTCTCCTGGTTGGATTGAACATAATCCTATGGAAATTTTAAACTCTGTTAAGATATGTATTGAAAAAGCAATAGGAGAATTTGTGAAGAAAGGTAAAAGCATTAGGTTAATTAAGGCTGTTGGTATTGCAAATCAGCGAGAAACAACGTATGTTTTAGAAATGTTTTTTAGTTAATATTTTAAATTAAGAAATGATTAGGGTTGTTTGGGATAAGACTACTGGAATACCTCTATATAATGCAATTGTATGGTCAGATACTCGTACTACGGAAACTGTTTATCAATTAAAACAAAAAGAATATGCATCTGAAATTCACGAAAAATGTGGTCTTCCTATTTCCACATATTTTTCTGCTGTTAAGCTTCGTTGGTTACTTGATAATGTTAAAGATGTTCGAGATGTTTATGATCAAGGAAATCTTGCTTTTGGTTACTAATTTTCTATAATTTTTATTTAATTGTAACTTTTTACTAGGGACTATTGATTCTTGGTTGATATACAATCTTACTGGCGGTATAAATGGTGGTATTCATATCACCGATGTTACTAATAGTTCTCGCACAATGTTGTTAAATATAAGAACTTTAAAATATGATGATTTTCTTATTAAGTTTTTTGGTTTAGAAAAGCTTCAGCTTCCTGAGATTAGGTCTTCTTCTGAAATTTATGCTGTAATTTCTTCTGGCCCACTTTTAGGAATACCGCTTGCAGGATGTTTAGGTGATCAGTCTGCCTCTTTGGTAGGCCATTTAGCATTTGCTCCAGGTTCTGCTAAAAATACTTATGGGACTGGGTATTGTTACATATATATATATATATTGCTGATTTTTAGTTGTTTTTTGCTTTATAATACTGGTCAAAATCCGACTATTTCAAAAAATGGTTTGTTAACAACTGTTGGCTATGTCTTCAAAGGAATGCAGCCTGTTTATGCTTTAGAGGGTATATATCTTTTACAGTATAATGATTTTTTGAATTTTTATAGGCTCAATTGCCGTAGCAGGGAGTGCTATAAAATGGTATCGTGATCAGATGGGAATTATTGCTACTGCATCTGAGATTGATGAAATGGCTGCATCTGTAGAAGGTAAGAGTTACTTTATTGGTTAATTGTGTTTATTTTGGGTTAGATAGTGCAGGTGTTGTTTTTGTCACTGCTTTTTCTGGCCTTTTTGCTCCATATTGGTGTTATGATGCTCGTGGTACTTTATGTAAGTGTTATACTTTTTATAATCTGAACTGATATTTTTTGAAAGTTGGTATTACTAATTATACTACTAAGGAACATATTGCACGTTCAATATTAGAAGCTATTTGTTTTCAGACTAAAGCAATCTTGGATGCAATGGAAAAGGATTCTGGAAACTCTCTAAATAGTCTTAAAGTTGATGGTGGGATAACTAATTCTGACATCTGTATGCAGGTATATTAAGAATTATATTTTTTCGTTTTGTTTTGTCTTTTAGATTCAATCTGATCTTATTGGTATTGATGTAAATAGACCTGAGATGCGTGAAGTTACTGCATTAGGGGCTGCTATTGCTGCTGGTCTTTCTGTTGGTATTTGGGAAGATATAAAAGGATTAGAAAGTATTGGTTTGGGTAAAACAACCGTTTTTTCGCCAAAAATTAGTGATGGTAAACGAGAACAAATGATTTCTTTGTGGGAAAAAGCTGTTCAGAAATCATTAGGATGGAAAACTAATGATTCATAATAACTTAGGTTTTTAAGAAAATATTTCTGCTAATCCGTGCTTTAAAACGTATTATCATTCATGTATTTTTAGTATTGTTAAATAAAAATAATTTATTTTTTGAATTACTGGTTTTGATTTCAACAAGTCTGTATTTTATATTGATTTTAATAAAATATTTTGTATTTAATAATTTATAAATGTTGTCAATTTATATATATAATGTTTTGGTCTTATTATTTAGATCGATAAAAATATACATTTTTATCTACAGTTTATCTAAGTTTGATTATGTTTAATGCCAATTTATTTATAACCGTTTATAATATTTATAATAAAATGTATTCAAAATATAAAAAAATCAATATAATATAGTAATTTTTTTAAAATAAAATATTTAATAATTTTCTTAAGTGTATATTTTAATATTAATATTCTTTGAAAAAAAAAAAAGATTTTATAAAATTACTATTTATGATTTCTAAACTTTACATGTGACTTATTTGTTTGTAAATATTTTAAAAATTAATTTATTGAAACTTTAATATTGAAGTTTTTTAGTTTATATCAGTTTTAATTGATATTATATAGATATAGTTTTTATGAATGTTAGAGATGATTTTGTTATGTATATATTGTAGGAGATTGAAATTTATGATTATAAAAAAACAACCTATTGGTTAAGATAATTTAAAATTGTTATATGAATTTTTAGTTTTATATATATTTTCTTATGTTAATTTGAAATGTAAATATATATATATTACTATGGTAAATCCTTTTTTTAATATTTTTAAGTTGTTTCTTAATTTCAATTGTTTTAAAATGTTATTATAATTAAATAAGTATTTTAACTGAATATATAATATTTTATTAAAAAATATAAATGATTTATATAGACTGATACAATAAAGTATGTTAGAAATTTGTTGAAAGTATTGAATATAACAGTCATTATAGTTGTAATGAATTATTACTTTAAATGACATAATATTAATGTAATTTATGGATCTTTTTTAAGTTATCATGATAAATTTTATATCGAACAAGATCTAGAGTTGCTTTAGCATCTTCTTTACTATCATGACCACCTGTAATGTTTGTTTGTATTTCACGTTTAAGGTATTTTTTTGCAAGATACTTTAATGAATGTTTACGTTGTAATCCTTTTTCATCTTGGAATAATAATGCTGTATCAATTATACGTTTATGGACAAGTCTTATAGCTATTAAGTCATTTTCAAGACCATGTCCTATTAATATAGTCGAACTGCATAATTTTAGATCTGTAAATAAAATGTTGTGTAAATCTGATAATGATAATTCTGCATTATCTAATGATTTTATACCACTCCAACGCGTATTAAAATCTATGATTTTATTTTTTGGTTTAATTAATTTATCAATTAATAAATTTTCGCAAATATCATAAATAGTAATCCTAGCTAATTCCATCCCACCTGTAGTATATATCATTTCACAGTCAAGGACAGCTGCGTCTAAAAATGATGATTGCATTGGTGCTTGAGATGCAACAAATTTTATTTCTGCTGCCAATTTTGATGGTGATGTAATTTTGAATACATGATGAAGAGATGTTATACAACCTATTGAATCAGTATTGCTCTCATGACAACATGAATATATTTTTGTTTGTTCTTAAACGTTAATATATTTTAAGATCAAATGTTTGGATAATACCATTACTAGTTTTAATTAGTTTCCCCCAATGATAGCGACATTTTGTGTAATGTTGAATTTTTTTAACAATAAATGGAATATTACATCTATCACAATGAAAATATACATCACTCGTTTGTATTTCTGGTATAGGTATGTCTAAAATATAACCAGCTGTTTGAAGTTGAATATCGCTTAATATATAGTTTTCAAGTTCTAATAGTGATATCTCTATATATTTGTAATTTGAGAATATAGTATCTACTGCATTTTCTGCATTCTTTGTGTTTGTGGTGTTTTCATGTAAAATATCTTTATTTTTTAAAGAAATTATATAATTTTTACATGAATTAATATAAATTGATTTATTTTGGTAGGTTGAGTTCAGAATTTCAAGTTCTTTTTCTAGTGAAATGTTTCTTGCTAAAAAATTACCTTGATTAGTTTTTGAATATATTCTTAAAAATTCTTGTTCTATTAATCTAAAAAAATGAACACGAGTTTTATGCGGTATATGAACAAGAGTATGTATAAATTTTGGGCCTATATCATTATCATTTGTTTCTGAATAATTTTGTAGTTTATTATCTTTAAATATAACATTTTTCTTTAGTTTGTTTGCGTCATAAATAGATGTAGAATCATTACACTGATAATCCCTTCTTTTATTAAAATTAAAATATTTCTTTATAATATAGTTTATTATACGTATTTTTTATCACGTTAACATAATTTTCTATATATTATTTTAGATGTTATATTACTTTTTTAAATTTACCTTGTGGTAATATGTTAGAAATATTAGGTGTATATGAATATTTCCGTTTTTTCGTGTCATAATTTTGTTCTTTTAGTGTTTGGTATAAATGATTAAATGGGCAAAATATTGTGTTACATTCTGTATTTTTTCGAATATAAGGACATGTAATTTTTTGAAAGAAAATTCTGTTTGGAAACATTGAAAATTGGTGTTCAATTATTTTTTTCTGAATGCCACTACCTTTTTTTTAATAATTTTTTGATAATTATAATATTTTGATAATTATAATATTTTGATATTAAATTCTTAATATTGGTATTATATATATATAAACGATGTATATTGAATGATATACGTATATTGTCGTATAATGCAATATATAATTTGTAAATTATATTTTGTGTGATGAATAATAAATTTATGGAATTTGATTAAGAAAAAATATTAATGCTTGAAATAATATACATCATAATATAGAAATTGAATAATTTTGTTGATTAAAAAATATTATTAAAGGTTATAAAAGATATAATATATATAAAAGTAATTATAATTTATTTAATTTCGAAATAAATGTTAATAATATATTAAATATATTACAGTACTACTATTTATATAATATAGTAAATTCTAATATCGTTTATAATTATAAAATAATCATTTAATAATCTATTTTTAATATTTTAAATTATATTTATATTTTGAAAATTACATTAATTTCTTATGATAATTTACTATTTTTTATATTTTAATAAAAAATATAGTTACTTTTATCTTATTATAATTAGAAAATATATTATATAAGTATTTTGTAATTATACTTTATTATAATTGTACAATTAAAAATTCATTTTACAAATATATTTAATAAATGAAATTATATTTGTTTATCAATATAATTGCGATAATTCTAAATCAAATCATTATAGTTCTAAAAAATTATCTTTATTTATAAATATACTATATATACTATATATAATTATCGATACATTTTTGATACATTTTTGTTCATCTTATTTATTTATTTGAATATAAGAATATAATTTTGAATAATTAGATGCATTTTTAAATAGATAAATTTTTAAATAGATAAAAATATAAATTAAATAAGATTATAAATAAAATTAAAAATAAAATTTATAATTAATATATTTTTATAAGAAATTAGATATAATATCTATTAAATATCTATTAAAATGATAACTTAAAAATAAATATTGCAATATTTTAAACAAATTATCAAAAATAATAAACTGAAAATTTAATATATCTCAAAATTGCATTTGAATATTTATATATGAAATAATATTTCAAGCAATATTGTTTTTATTATGCTTATTAAAAATAAATTAAAAAATATTAAAATCATTATTTTAAGAATTTTAAAAAAATAGTAATAGTAAACCAACTAAGATTATTATTTTTATTAAATTTAAAAACAGTTTACATGAAACATATTAAACACCATATGATTTATTAACATCTAAATTTTTAAAATCTATAATTCTAAAACAATTAATCATTGTATTGTTTTAATTCATTCAATATAATATAATACTATTCTAAAGAACAATTATCAAAATTAATTTAATTAATTTAAACCAAGATACAAGATAAACAAATATAATCAATTATTTTAGAATCATATACATCATAATACACATAAGCAAAAACATGATAAACGTTTTAAAATAATTTCAGTATAAAAACTAACAGAAAGTAACATATTAAAAAACTATTCATATTATCATATTCCAAACTAAATGTAATTATTATTTACATTATAATTTTTAATGTTCAACCACCAAAAAGCAATACTTGCCCTTAATTGCTATATTCAATAATAAATAGCCAATATATTTTTTTATAAAAACAATCATTATCATAGTAATATTTTCTCACTTATAATTTCTTTTTTTTGTTTAAATATCCTTTCTGATAAAGATTTGCAAATACTAATTATATAAAATTTAGAGCATACTTGATTAATAAAAACAGCTACAAGACTTAAACTATTCAATACATACACATTATATAACTCTAATATTTTATCCGTATTTATATATTATCAAAATGAATCATAATTCCCAAATATATATCCAAAAAATAAAACATTGCAAATATCCAAACGTCTATAATTATATTAAACAAAACCATTTTTTAATTATTTATAGATTAAATGCACCAGAATTTATCAGTATTCTATCACAATTACCTATATCATAGGTTATTACTTAAATAATAACTATAGTTTTTACCTTTTTTTTTATTTTGTTAATAATCAACTAAAACAATCCGAAAGAAAATAAACATACAAAATATACAAAAACAATAATATATAATAATCCAAAGAATCACGAAAAATTCTACAACATCCGCAATGCTCATTTAAAAAAAACATTAACACAAAACGTCTAGCCTAAGTCCATTATTACTAGATGCTATACCAAGATTTTTAACATCATCTCCCCATATTCGATTATCCCATGATATTGAAACTCCAGAATCAGCATATTTTAAAGAATTATTATCTATATCATTTTTTAAATTTCTATCACCAGAAAAACAATATTGCAATGGTTTTGCAGAATCTGTAACATCCAAAATCTGACGATTTAACGAATCAACCGATAATGATAGATTAGAAGACTTTGTACCAATAGGCGCTATCATATTTTTCATCCTATTACTTGATAGCAAGGATAAATTCTCATTATTTTCAGCTACAATATTAGACTTTCTCCTATAGAAGAACGACGGCTTATTCGCAGCATCACCACTAATAACAACATTATTTACAACCTTATTATCAGTAACAAAATTTAAATTTGCAGAACTTCCTCGAAAACATGCGAAAGACTGATAAGGCGACCCTTGTTGTAAAGCTAAAGCAGATGATGACCAATTCTTTAAACACGATTCATCATATGTACAACTAGACAAAACTTTTGATGGTATGGAAAAACCTGAAAATACCATATCATCATCATTTATACTAGGATTGTTATCTTTTACTAAAGTTTCAATTATTTCATCATGAAAAAAAGATGATTGATCAGCACCTAAAACCTATTACCATAGAATATTTCTTTATATATATTATTATACCTAATCGCTTTTCTAAAGTAGTATACATATTACATTCACTATTGGACTTATTTCTCCGACGAGACAACGGAAATTGCTCAGGATGGCCAATAGACCTTTGAGTATAATAATACTGATTTGGATAATAAGCACTTATAGCAGAACGAGAACGCATGTGGTCTGATTCATAAGCATTAGAATGCCGACCGAGCAAAGGATATGAACGATAATCTAAACAATATAAATACAAAAAAAAATGCATTCAAATTACCATATTCATAGTAAGGACGTGTTACTGATAACAAAGGACTTTTCCAAAAAAACGGTTTCCCACATTTAACTAAATTTTCTATTGCCTTTTCAATATCTGAAAATTATAAATTATTATAAAAAAAAAGAATACATTACCATCAAACTGAGAACTAAAAGGCATATTATCACCAGAAGAACCCGGCAACACTATAAATGTTAATTTTTTATAAATTCGTACGAACAAAAACAATACTTTTTAAATCATAATATGATCTAGGATGCCCCAATAAAGAATCAATGCAAGACATAGAGGAAAAAAAAACCTATTAAACTATCAATAAAATACATATTTTTAATTTAAAATAAATTTACTATATACTCTTCTTTAAATGATATATTTTTCTCCTCTCTTTTAAATAATATTAAATTCAAATCCAACTAAGAACCTCTTAATGTAACAATTATTGTCAAGAACTATTTACAAATATGTATGAATATATAAAAATTATAACCTTAAGTTTAATAAAAGAAAAGAATTCCGATGAAAATTCTGAAAAAAAAGCTTAAAATTTTACAACCGTAAATCTCCAACGCACCTACATTATACCCTAAAAAAATAGAAAAAATATCATGGGTTTTAAACAAAATTTTCAAAGAAAAACAATCATTACAAAAATATCATAATCTTTCATATAATATACATTCATAATGTTATATGATTTAATATTTTTTTAAATTAATAATCTATATAATTTTAGAAAGAATATAAAAAATATAATATATATTTATTTATTAATCTATTTACAAATTACATAAACAAAATAAAAAAATACTAAAATAAAATGTTTATATTATTACCTAAAAACATCATCAATAATATAATTGTAAAATATAAAAATTATGTTATCTAAAAATCAAAATTTTAACAGTTTCATGATTTTTTTAAAAATTTTCTATACAAAATTACAAATCATATCATATTATAGTTATATAAATTATTAAAGCACCAGAAAACTATATTAATACAAAATATTAATATAAAAGATATTCAAATGATATATAATATTATATTCAAAAAATGATACCAAATATTTATTTTCAAAAAGATATACTTTATACTTAAATCAAGTACCATATTACCTTTGCAATTTCAATTACTTACAATTTCAATTACTTAGACAAAATGTTGACTTTAAAATTAATATAAACATTTTTTAAAATTACTATTGTATGAAATTCAAACAATAAATAATCGTTAATCATTTGTAATAATTATATAACTATCCTTATAATTATTTAAAATATTATATATTTTTGATTTCAACACATCATTTTTAACCATATCTTAAAATTAAACAAATCTAAAAATATATTAAACCAATTTTAAATTTATATAAAATTAGCTATAAAATATTCTTAAATAATATATTTCTTCTATATCATTTTATTATCTTCTGACTTTGTTTTATTGAACCGAAGATAGCCCTACATCGTAAAAACGTATACGGGAACATTTTCAGAAGCATCAGCAGAGTATTTATATTGCATTAAAACATGCAGGAAAAAATCAAATAAAAATAGGTAAATGCATAGAAATAAGCTGTTGTTATAATTTTTGAAAATACAATAATATATATTAAAAAGCTTTAAACAAAATATAACAAATTGAAAAAAATAGAAAAAACAAAAACTCAACAACTATATTTTTCAAAAACATAAATAAAATTTTCATTATTAAAGTGTGAGAGTACCAGCGTTTACTGGAGAATTATTATCTTTAGTTAATAGATCCTATAATCATAAAAAAGCCAAAAAATTGATTAAAATAATACTAAAAAAATAAAAAAAAATAGAATAACATATTATCATTGGAAACATTAAAAGAATCAATACAATATGGATAATACCGGAAAACTCACAGAACTCAGCAAAAATTACTCAAAAAAAGACTGTCCTAAACATATACTGTCAAAATTTACATCTCAATCAAACAAAACTTATTCTAATTCTTTATTAAATTTACCGTCATCAACACCTAAACAGAAAAGTAAAGAAGATTTTTTAAATATTTCTTCATTTAAAACACTTTCGTCATATTCAACATCACCAGAATCACCAACTACAGTATCATCTAAAGTATCATTAATTTCATATCTTCAGTGTCCATATGAAACGGCACTTGTAAACTCAAGGCGTCGAATTCCATATTCTTTTGGAACAAGCAAACCAGTAGAGGTATTTGAACGACAAGTTAAACCAAACCTTTCAACAAAAAATGAAGATATAATATGCGGTGATATATTACAGCTTTACGAAGTAGAATTAGTAACATTGTTCTACAATACTCATTAATTCTTAAATAGACTCTTTTACCTTCTTCTGAAAATAATAATCGTTGGACAAAATTCCTCAAAAAATTAACTACTATTCTTGAAAAAGAATGGCCTGACAAGAAAATAACAGTGCAAGCATTCGGTTCTACAGTAAATCAACTTTGTACTAGTGAATCAGATGGTAAGTATTTTTTTCATTATTTTGGAGTTACTTACTTTTATTAGTGGATGTTTGTATAACTACAGTAGAAAAAGGACTTGCGGATACATGTAAATTGGCAAAAGTTCTCGCTAATTGTATGGCTTATCTACTATTTAATTAATTATATTTATCTTATTAGATGGTATGGAAAAAGTTGTATGCGTTCCACGTGCTAAAGTACCAATTGTAAAAGTATGGGACCCTGAACTGTAAGTTTATATATATTATTATTTATATTCTAAAGATATAAGTTCTGTTGCATGTGACATGAACATCAACAATACATTAGCCCTTGAAAATACTCGAATGATTAAAACATATGTTGAAATAGACCCTCGTGTGAGACCATTAGCAATGATTATTAAATACTGGGCCAAAAAAAGAATTTTGAACGACGCCGGTATAAAGCTAATATATATGTCTAATTTTTGTTTACATAAATAGCTGGCGGAGGGACATTGTCTTCATACACTTGGATATGTATGATAATTAATTTTTTACAAATGAGGAAACCCCCTATTTTGCCATCCCTTCATCAACTTCCTCACGAGCAGAACGAAAATAGTATAATTGGGGGTATCGATGTTAGTTTTTTTGATGATATAGATGCACTTAAAAGCTTTGGAGAAAAAAACACAGAAAGTTTAGGAGGCCTATTATTTGCATTTTTTCGAAAATTTGCATATGAATTTGATTATGATCATTGTGTTATATCAGTTAGACATGGTCACTATCTTTCAAAACTAGCAAAAGGGTGGCATTTAACTCAAAATAATCGTTTATGTGTTGAAGAACCTTTCAATACAAAAAGAAACCTTGGAAACACCGCAGACGATGTAACAGTAAAAGGTCTTCAAATCGAGTTTCGTAGAGCATTTCATCTTATAGCAAATCATTATGATCTTAAAGAAGCCTGCTCTGACTATATTTTTACTTACGAGGAAAACATTTATAAAATCAATAAACATTTGCGTCCTTTATACTACCAAATTTCACAACATAGTCGTTCAAATACTCCATTACATATAAAAAATGAATCCTATTATAAAAATAATCATAATACTCGAAAATTCCAATATCAACAATATTCAGATTATATGAACCATTTTATATTAAATAATTATGGTGTTGAGTTACCTTACTTTTTTAATCGACCAGATAAATCTGTATATTATGATTCAAAAAACAATTCATTTCTTTACTATATTTCAGGTGTTAATCCTAATGGATTAATAAGATATTATCCTATAACCAAGGAAAATCATATACTTTCTTCTCAAGATATATTATATCCATATTTCCCTTACTGGAAAAAGGATTCACAAGATCTCTATAACTCTAAAGGGTTTGATACTCAAAAAAGAAAAACATCCTTAAATTGTTCTTCATATACCATTTCTCATAAAAAAGAAGGGTCTGACAGTGAGGATTCTAATGACTTTTCTCCACTTATGCCACTGTTTATTCCTTTAACAAAAGAAAACTTTTCATACGGATTAACTGTTGCAGAAAAAAACGAACTTAATGAATTTCATAAAGAATATATATCAAATATGGCTAACTCTTATCATACTGCATGTAAATATCCCTCTGAAAATCAAATATCTAGATCATCTCCAGAAACAGCCTCATTAAATAGATTTTAAAACTGTAACATTAATTCACATACTAACATTTATTTTATTATTGAAAAGATTTATAATAAGGCAATTTTTCTAGCTCTTATATGAAATAATTATATCAGTCATTTTATCAAAAGATTATTGTTTTTTGAAATCAGAACCTTTTATTTATACATTTACATTGTTATTAAATAATCAAAAATCTTTTAATAAATACAGCTAACTTAATAAAAAATAAACCAAATAATCAAAACATAGCTATATTTTCAAATTGGACTACTAAAAGAAACATAAAAGTCATTACTTCATAATAACATGTAATTCTCATGAATTCTTTGTAAACAACATTAATGAAAATTAAATGTTAAAATTAACAAACATGAAACAAAATTTTAATATCTATTATACTTATAATTAAAAAAATATACCTAACTCATTATTGCCCATAAACAGCGTTTCAAAATATATATTGAGAAACTATAAAACTAGTATTTAAATTTTAAATATCCTAGTTCACAACATATAATTTATAAATTTACAGATTCTAAATGCTATGTGTTTGTGATATCATTATAAACACTTACTAGAAACATTGTATTCAACAATTTAATAAGATGTTCTAACAATAATTATTTAGTATTTATAAAATTACATATTAAAAGTACAACACTTTTGCATTTTTGAATTAAGATTATCAATTCTTTCATCCCATTCCAAAAAACAATCATTAACGGTATCAATACCTACTTCATACCAAAGCTCTAAAACTTTTGCTATTCTTCTTGATAAAAAATTTAACTGCTTTTCAACAGATTCAATAGAAATAAACATTATATGAAGTTGATAAATATTTGCTGCAACCTGAAAGTATATATCTGAATCAGGTATAGATAATTCTCTTATAGAAAGCATTTGGGATGTTACAGTACTATATAAGGGCGTATTTGAAAAAACTACACGATTTTTTTCACTTTGAAGAATAACATCATATGATTTAAACGAAAAAAACTTTTCCTCTAAAAGAAAAGTATCAACTATAAAAATAAGATAAGAAATACAAATAACAATATACAACATACATAAATATAGCATCTTTCTCAAAACCTCAGATCCTTTTACTAATTTATTTATTTCAACTTCAATAAAATTTATCAGGGAAAGTATATCCAATGAAATGTCCTTAGAAGAAGCCATATTATTTACCCCATAAACAATATTTTCAATCCTAGATAACCTTGTTTCTAATATTTCTTTTTCTATTATATGATACATTATTAAATATTTTAATTCAATATAATTACGTTACAAATAATTAAAATTAAGAGTACTTTACTGAAAGTTCACAAATTAAAAATAATATAGCAATATATTTCCAAAAAGCCATCTTAAAATTTTAATATAATATACTTATAATAAAACCAATTAAAAAATTAAACATTTATTTTAATAATATTTATCAATATATTATTAAATACAAAAAACTAGAAACAAAAAACAAATAGAAACAAAAAAACAAAAATAATATCAAATTTATTACTATTTATACCTTTAAATGTACTACTTAATATAATATAAATACTTGTTTTAATAATATACTTAAAAAATTTCTAAATAATTACAAAAACTTTAATACTTTTAAATATAAAAAATATAACAATTATTTAAAATCTAAATCAATAATAAATAATATCTAAATATATTGAAATCATCAAAATTATTAAATTTAATAATAATATATTAAAATATTATATAATTTTATTTCAAATTAAAAATATATCCACCTGACATTTAAACGTAATTTTAAATCAAGAATTAAAAATATACAAAAAATTTAATAACTAATTATGGGAATACTTGATATTGTTCCAAAAGGAGTTATTACTGGAATTGATGTATTTAACCTTTTTACATATGCTAAAGTATTCAAAATTATAAAAAATATGTAAAAACTAATAAAAAATTATAGGAAAATGAATTTGCTATTCCTGCAGTGGTAATTTCAAAGAATAATTTAAAAACATAAATTAATAAATCTAAAGAATTGCACATCATCATGTACTGTTGTTGCAGTTTTAGAAGCAGCCAGAAATAGTAACTCACCAATTATTATTCAAATATCGCAAGGAGGTGCAGCTTATTTTGTAAAACATATTTAAGCTTTTTAAAACATTTTAATATTTCCAGGCTGGTAAAGGTCTTAACAATGATAAACAACAAGCTTCAATTACAGGAGCTATTTCGGCAGCCCTTTTCATAAGATCTATTGCGCCTCTTTATAACATTCCAATAGTTTTACATACTGATCATTGCTCGAAAAAACTTTTGCCATGGCTAGATGGGATGCTTGATGCTGATGAACAATATTTCAAAGTCCACGGTGAACCTCTTTTCAGGTTACACCAGGGATATTTAAATAACTAAATACTAATATATATAGTTCACATATGATTGATTTATCAGAAGAACCTAAAGAATTCAATATTGAACTAACAAAAAAGTATCTTCAGCGTGCAGCTCCCATGAAACAATGGCTTGAAATGGAAATTGTTAATTTTACATTATTTATGTTTTTATACTAATTGTTTAAGGGAATTACTGGAGGTGAAGAAGATGGTATTAATCATGAAGGAATCAGCAACGATAAGTTATAAACAAATAACAATTACTCATGTTTTAAATACAATAGATTATATACTCAACCTGAAGATATTTTAGACGTCTATAATTCATTATCTCTTATTTCTCCTTATTTTTCTATTGCAGCAGCTTTTGGAAATGTTCATGGTGTCTATGCACCAGGAGGTTATTATTTCTTAATATATTATGTATTTATTAATAAAAAATAGGTGTACACCTTCGCCCAGAACTTTTAGGAATACATCAAGAATATGTTAAACAAAAACTTAATTGCAACGATAGTAAACCTCTGTTTTTAGTATTTCATGGAGGATCTGGATCTTCACTTGAAGAATTTCAAACTGCTATTAAATTCGGAGTCGTCAAAGTATAATAATATATGTATTTGAAAAATTAATAATTCATCATTTAGATAAATATTGATACAGATACTCAATACAGTTTTCTAGAAGGCATTCGTGACTATATTTTATCAAAAAAAGATTATTTAATGTCTCAAGTAGGAAATCCCGAAGGAAAATATAAAGTATTATATTTATTCTAAATATTGTTTTAACTATATTATAGCCAAACAAAAAGTTTTTTGACCCTCGTGTATGGGTTCGTGAAGGAGAAAAATCTATGTCTAAAAGAGTGGAAATTGCTCTTAGTAATTTTGGAACAAAAAACACATTATAATTCTTTAGACTACTTCTAATTATAATATATATATTTTGAAAACATCCTTTAATTTGTATATTTTTAAACTAAGATCTAACTCTTCATAATTTTAAAAAAAACAATATCTCTAATTACTTTATTATTTAAAATTTCAGCTTTACAATATTAAAACCCTTATTATAAAATGTTTACAAAAATTTAAAATATTTTAATAAAAAGTGATATATTTTTCCAATATGGGATATTCTTCTCATAAAGGAAAATGGTATTTTGATAAGGAAGATTTCAAATATACTCCATCTGTTAGTGATGGATGGAGTTTAGAAAAAGAACAAATAGACAGAGGTAAAGGCGTTAATTTCATTATACAAGTAGGGGCTAGATTAAAACTGTAAACATAATTCTCAAAAAAATATAATACTAATCAAATAGACCTCAGCTTACACTTTCTACAGCAGCCGTTTTTCTTCATCGCTTTTATATGCGTTTTTCATTAGCTAAATATCACTATTATGTTGATATAATTTTTTTTTTTCTTAAAATTAACAAAAATAGGAAATTGCAGCAACATGCATTCTTTTAGCCACAAAAGTAGAAGAATCATGCAGAAAGTTAAGAAATATAATTATTGCATGTGCGAAAGTAGGACAGAAAAATCCAAATCTTATAATCGATGAACAATCCAAAGAATATTGGAGATGGAGAGATGTAATAATATATAACGAAGAAATATTGTTAGAAGCATTATGTTTTGATTTAACAATTGATCATCCATATAAAGATCTTTTAAAATATATAAAACATTTTGGAGGAGAACAAAATACAGCCAAATCAGCATGGGCATTCGTAAATGATAGGTAAGCTGACATTTTATAAAAAAGTATAACTAAAGTACTATGTAATTTTAGCATTAGAACCGCTATTCCTGTAATTTATCAACCTCATATTATTGCAGCTGCAGCCTTTTATTTTGGAGCTGAACATACATCAGCAGTAATTAATTCTATAGGAGACAAATCATGGTGGGAAGTTATAGATATAGATATTAATGAAATAAAAGGTAAAATTAAGGTATTTATATGAATTTTACTAAACTTTAAAGATGTTTGTAAAATTATGACTGCTCTTTATGAATCTATACCAATAAGAGGATCAAATCCAATATTACAATCAAATATTGCAAAAATATCACTACAAAACAACTCTAACCAGCAATCAAATCAGACAAAAGAATTGTATCATGATCAAAATAAAGGAATTAAACGTAAAACTCAAAACTTTATTTTAGAATCTGAAAAAAACGAGAATAAAAAAATTTATGATAGCTTTAAAAATGAACAAAATATTAAAAAACAAAAACAATAATTATTAAAAAAATAATAACAAGCTATAACCAATTAACATATATATATATATATATATATATATATATGATAACTAGTTTCAAAAAAAATTAAAATTTTAAACATAATTTAATACATTATATTTTTTTATTTTAAAACAATAAACTTTAGTATGTAAGAATAAGTTTAAATACTATAATATAAAAACTATAAATATAATTGTTAAGTTTCTATTAAATTAAATGAAGTAAATTAAAAATATCAAAATATTTTGAATGAAAGTTTTTTTTAAAAAAACTAAAAAACAATCTCTATAATTATTTTTATTATTATATATTTTTTAAGGATTATTATAAGTCACAACTCCTAGATCGAAATAAATTTAAAATTGTATAATAAAAACTTTTGTAAAAAAGACAATTTTTCAATACAATCAAAAAATGTTAAGTCATAATTATAATGTCTTAATTTTCTTTAAATTTAAAGATTAAAAGAATAAACTCTATCTTATTTATAACAAAAAAATATAATAAATAAAACCAAAATATATAATATTTTCATAACCTTTTTGCAAAATTTGAATATTTTAAAAATTTATCATAATTTATTAAAAATTCGGGTATTTAACAATAAAAAATTAAAAATATATAAAATTTTAATATTTATATCAATAAAAACATTATTTTTACTCAATAATATTATATCATATAAAAATCAATGAAATTCTAAATCAATTCAAAAATATATTAGCCTTTATAGAAAACACTTATTAAAAATCCTAATTCTATTATAAATTAAAATACAGAACTTAATTTAGAAAATAAAACACAACAAAAATTATTAAAAAAATATTTTGAATTCAACTTTTATAAATATTAATTTTTATTATTAATTCAATCAAAATATCTTATTTATTTCAAGAATAGATTTTATTCCACAAAATTCTTAATTTTAATATATACAATAACATTGCTTAAGAACTATTAAATATTACTTAATTACAAAAACATTTATTCAAAAAAAATATAAAAATACTTTAGTGCCTATTTTGCACAAAAATACTAAAGTAATATAATATTGTATCAAAAATATAGTATATTTTCATATATTTTAATTTCTTTTTTTATAATTGGATATTAAATTCTACAATATTCTAAAAATTCAATTTAAGACAATTATTCTTAAGTAAACAGCATTTAATAGTAAATAAATATATTTATATAAATCATTCATAATTTATGTATAAAAGATTTTATAAATTAACTAAAAAAATAATACGCAATCCTATATAATTTAATATAAAAATTTTTAACAAATTTTAAAAATTTAAAAAATGAAAATACCAGATAAAAAATATAAAGAATTTGAAACAAAAAAAAGTTTTTTTCAAAATACAATAAATAAATTTAAAATAAAAGAAAACCAATCTATTTTATTATCTATTACGGTATTTGCGGTAAATTTTTTAAAATCAAAATAATCTAATTTGACAACTTTTAGACTGCAATAATATTTTTTCAAAGTTCTTGGGCAGAAATATTTGTTCCTCAGGTATAATTTTTCATATAAATTATATAAATTCATTTTTTTAACAATATAAGCTTTAATTTTCATTTTATTAAACTAAAAAATTAAAAAAATAAATCTATATATTATTGTTCTTATTATTGTTCTTTTCAAAAAATGTATATAATATCAATTACGAAAAATTAAATTTTATAAATATTAAGGTTTTCTATCTAGTATTATCTTTATAATATTTTTTCTTTAAAATATTCATAAAATTTATAGCAAAAATCTATAAAATAAAAAATATTCTTAAAAGATAAAAAATTATTAAAATATTTTCAAAAATTCGTAAAAAACATTTTTAAAAACTAAATTATAAATAATTTTAGACATAGAATATTTAATCTAATATATTTTTAATCTAATATATTTTTCAAATTTGATATTTAAACAATTTAATATAAATTTTTAATTAACAATTATATAAAACATTAATAGATATAAATTATTTTAAGTTTACAAATATCCTTTTATTAAAATAAATCAAAAATATTGAAAATATATTTAATATTTAAAATAAATATATCATATACTTGAAATTATACTGTTAATACATTTTTATATATTCTCAAACTTTTAAAGTTTTATTTAAATAAATAACCAAATTATATCTTAATGTAAACAACATTTATTCTATTATATATTTTAAAAATTCTAATTCAAAAAATTATGTTATAAAAAATTAAATTTATAAATTAATAATATAAATATATATCTTATTTATTTTTGATATTATAAAATAATAAAATATTCATATAAAAACCATAAATACTCCATTAGAAACATATGTGTTTATACTAATATAAAAATTTAATACACATTATTGGTAGATTCATTTTTTATCATAAAAACAAATTTTACTCAAATCATATAAAATTAAATAAAAATATGCAAATTATATATATATATAATGAGCAATGAACCTAAATTATATATTTTTTCTCATAAATATGGACATTCCCAAATCCAGGTTCACCAGGTCTTCTAAGAACAAATCTTTCATCAATCCAATCAAGTATTCCAACAATACCTATTTGTTTTGACAAATCAACAGAGTCTAAAAATGCAATTAATCCAATATTGAAATAACGAAAAAACAAAAACCTTTTTTATTTAGTATTTTTCCCATCATTTTTAATATATGTTGTTGAAACAAATGAAAATTTAAACCATACGATAATGAATATTCAATAAATCTCTCAATTGCTGACCATGGACATGAGTCGAATCCAGAAAATAAAGCAGGATTAAATAATATTCCCCTTGAGGACATTATCCCTATTTAAGTTATCAATTATAAAAAAATAAATATAACCTGAATTATATACCATTAACATTAGTATATTTAGCTATACAATTAGCATCAGAAAGAGTAAAGACATCACCATTTGCTACAACAGGAATAGTAAGAGATTCTTTAATTAATTTAATTGCATCCAGATTCACAGGTTCTGAAGATTTTTGATTTCGTCGTCGTCCATGAACTACCATATAATCTACACCAGCTGCTTGTACTTTTTGAGCCCAATCTACCGTTTTACTAACTTAATATTATAATTCTTAAAAGATTTAAAAAAATGCAAACCGTAAATCACTATGAATCCTTATTTTAACTTCAGTACACATTCGTTTGCCACAACGTTCTTTTACTGCCTTTATCATCTCACATACGTTTTGCGGATCATGCATCAAATGAGCACCTAGACCTCCTTGACAAGCCCATGACTGAGGACAGCCACAATTTAAAGAAATGCCATCGACATAATTCGAAATCATTTCCACAGCTCTTCCAAGAACAACAGGATCATTAGAAGCAAACTGAGATACAAGAGGCCTATCATTTAAATTCGTAGAAAAATCACAATAACGTGCATTAGAATGGAAAACAAACTCTTTTGCAACCATCATTGGAGTATATGCCAAGTCAACACTATAATTACGAACAAGAGAACGAAAAGGCAACTTTGAATATCTAACCATGGGTCCACTTATATAAAGAGGTCTTCTTTCATATTTTGCCATAGAAAAAAGTTTCAATGGATGATCTTCTATATTTCTTAAAGAAAAAGAGTTAATTTCAGAATCCATTAACATAAAATTTACAATATGCCCAAATAATCTATATAAACTTGCCTTAATATTTAAAAAACTTCAACACTATACAATTCAATTTTGTATTAAAAAAACCAAATTAATTTAAATTTATAAATTATAAATCAACATAAGTTTTCTTTAACTCTTTTGAAATATTATTTAAAGATTTTAAAAATTAAAAATAAAAAATGATTAAAAATAAAATTCTTATAAATATATATAACATAAAACTAAAAAATATATTTTACATAAAATAATTTAGATCTAATCAAATTAATAAAAATTATATTATATCTACTCTATTTACTAGTTTAATATGCAATTACATATTCTTTTTTGCATATATTTATTTATTATAGATTTAATTTAATCATTTTCAAATTTCATAAATAATTTTACGCCTATTAACATTAATAGAAAAATTCAGAATAAAAAATCCTATTAATTACATTATAATTTAAAAAATTACAATTAGACACATAAATATTACTCTAAAAATACCTTAAAATATAAAAAATTCTATTATCTCTTTTTACAAATTACATATTTATATAAAAAAATATATATAACAATTATTAAATCTATAAACTAATCTTAAAAATATGAATATTTTTTTCAAAAAACATCTTAAAACTAATGTTTTCATTCTTCAAAAAAAGTACGTTCAATAAAATAATATTAAGACTTCCTCGAAACATTTTTAAAACTAATAAAACAATTAAAAAATATTTTAAAAAACTATTTTCTTTTTTATTTATACTCAAAAATAAATGTGATTTAAAAAATTACTCAAATTACTATATTCATATTTTATTTAAAACACAAATATACCAATAAATTAAAATACTCTTTAAAACTTTTTAATAAACAAAAAAAATAAATATCTACAATTTAAATATATTTATTAAAAGTATATTTCATATTTTATGTTTTAAATAATAAAAAACATAAAATGTTTGAGACATAATTTCTAATACAACTTTAACGCTTAAATATATTTTTCCTAAATAAATTGAAATTAACATCAAAACATAATAATATTTATCTTAAACATTTCATTCAAAAGCTATGAAGCCAAAAAAATACTATACATTATATTTTATCTTATAAAACTATATATAAAAAAATATCTCTAGTTAAATTTTATGTTTATTCATAAAATTATTAAACATTAATAATTAAAATATTACTGTTTTTTAAATCTATTAAAAATAATATTCATGTAATATAAATATCATAAATATTCATAAAAAATTATAATAACAATTGCAATTTTTAAAATATTTATTTTTTTCAAAACTAAATACGTTTTTTTATAAATATAAACATCAAAAGTAACATTAACATATACTATCAATTCTAAAATTATAAAAAATAACTGCATTTTTTTAAAACCAAATATATTTCTATTATAAAAATATTATTTTTTTGTATCAATATATGTTATCCCCCAATTATCTGACAATTTATACTATAATAAAAAAAGCTTAATATATCGTAAACATCAACGAATATGCGAGTTTCTCAACAAAAAAAAATAGCATAAGATACATTCAAAGCATTATTCAAAGTTACGACATTATATACTAAATCTACTAAATCGCTATACAACTCCTGTATTTAATAATAGGCATAAACAATAAATCGGCTATATTTACACTTGCTACGCCTCTTTCCCTCATATTCCAGGATACGTCATACACCATTAACCCTTAATAATTACAAAACCCAGAAACATTCCATACGAAAGAAATTCATTAAAAAATAAACAATTCAATTAAAGCAATATAAAATAAAAATAAAAAAATCAGCAGTAAATCGAAACCAGAAGACTATCCAATATGGTATTAAAATTTATATTCATATCTTACAAACAAGCCACTCATCAAATAAAAAAGCCCGTACTACTATATAAAACGCAATTATTCTTCATCGTCTTGTGCAGTATCTGTCATATGCCCATTACGCCATTGAGATTTCTCCATTTCAAACCGCTGTTTATCCTTCTTTGCTCTATTTTCATATGGCTACATATATATTAAACCTAAACTAAAAAACAACCTATAAGTAACATTACCTGTCTATCTTTAACAGACATAGTCTTCCATCGCTCACCAAGAATTTTGCCTATTTGACCTATACTCATGTTTATCACTATTCTAAAAAGTATGAATATAATCTTACCAAATGTTGCATGAGGATTCTCTGTTTTTACAGATTCTCTATTTTCCTGTGCAAAAAACATATAAGCAGATAACCCTCGCTTAGGTGCACCAGGATCTAACTAACATAAATAATAACATCCTCGAAACGTGCAAAACCTTTTTTCATCCGTTTCCCCGTAGACTTCTTAACTCTTGATTTCACGTCTTTTGACATCTACTTAATGTTAAACAATTTCCTTTTTATTTCCCATATATATGCGCAAAAAATGCAAACAAAAAAGAACTCTACATAAATCCCTCAACAATATGCACGCATTTACCTTTATTAAAATATTTCACAAAGTTTTCTTCTAATCAAATCAGTATACAAATCCTAATTATCCTTAGAATCGCATGCGATCATTCATAGCCTTTCTGAAAGATATTTTTCTCCAACAAAACCATCATTTAAACACTTAAGGCTATTTCTTATGATCGACCTAAAGAGACCTTACCAGCGTTTACAGCAATCGAAACACGTTCTTCCTGGTTGGGTGGAAGCGGGTTTCCCGGAAGCTAAGAAAGCGAAGTAAGGACACAACGGGACACATATAACGTTTCCAAATATAAAAATAAAATATTAAAAAAACTAAACTTTTATTAATCCATTTATTATTCATTTTTATAACATTTTAAAACAGAAAACACTTATTAATATATCATTACTAATTTCTGTAAAAAATTAGTATATTAATATCTATAATTTATCGTTAACCAATTTCTTTTTTCACCTTAAAATATAGATAACCTTTAAAATACATATTCAAAAAAAACCTTTAAATTTATTAAACAATAAACTAATACATAATAATATATATATATATATATATATATATGTATACTTCAAAAAGCCATTCACATAATACAAAACAAAGTCTAAATATTTTTAATTACAATTCATGCAAATTAAATAATATTTTCTAAATCAATTATCCATTATAAAAATAAGTACCCATAAAAAATCATATAAAAAAGACTTGTATAAATTAAATAATCTCAAGCTCAGAATCCGAGCTATAACATGTATTTGAAGATAATAAACAAGCAGAAGAAGTAGATAAACAAGGTGTCTGAAATAAATGGTTATATGAAGCATATGGATCAAAACCAATTCGTTTTATAGATTGAGCAGAAAAAGGCCTTACATGCAAATGAGTAGAACTCTCCAAAGAATTAGAAAGGACAGGGCATATTGACTCTGTTTCACTTTTTGAAGTACTAAGAACAACATTTTGTGAAATATTTTGAGAAATAGGAAATTTCCGCAGCACATTAGACTCTTGTGCCTGTCTTTGAAGTCTATGACGCTTTTTTTCAATTTTTTTAGTATCCAAAACATCATATTTATAACTGGAAGAGAAATTTGGCATAATAAACACATTACCATTCCATGGATCATGTACCCAACCAGTATGCTCAAACAAAAGACCTTCAGCAGATTTAAAACCAGTACTATAGCCTACTTTGGTCGACATATATTTATTTTTTTTAGGTGAATATAATTGTGTACCAACAGCAATTTCCGTTCGAGCATTTTTAGTCTTTCGCAGCCCTTGATCAAGATGAAATGCACATATCTCAGAATGACGTATATCAACCCATGCTGCACATTGTTTTCCATCTCGCTTCAAAGCATTACAAAACCCCAAATCTCGAGATAAACCAAGTTCCAATAATGAATCATATTCATGAGACAAGACTAAACTAAAACACCCAGAATCAATCTAAACAAGTTATTTAATATAGCTTATCGTGAAAAAATATATACCTTCTTTGGTTTCATAATACCTGGATTCAAAATTGCTACTATATATCCTACTTGAACTTTCCAATAACGTTCAAACGCATCGCTGAACAAAAAAAGAGTTATTTCCCATTTCAAGTCAGTTAACGTCAATACACAATATCTAGACTTCATATCTATATCTTTTTCTTTATTCTGAATATATTTTGGAATCGACTTATATGCAATAATTCCAATTACAACCCAATCATAACCATCATTAGGAAGCTCATAAGCAGGAGCAATCACCGTTTTTAACAATACATGTAGTAAAAAGATTTTTTTTCCTTTAAAATAAGAACTCAGCTCATCATGAGAAATATTTCTTTTTGATAAATAAAGCATTGAATACGGATCATAAAACCCTTCTTCAAAAAGAGGAGACAACACTCTTTTATTTTGAATAACTTGAAAAATTCCCTGATCTTGTGATTTATTTTTTTCATTTGACACCATAAACCCTTTAGAAAGAGTACTTTCTTGAAAATTCATTCTAATTTTCTTTGTCCTTTCCTTATTTCTAAGATCAACTAATTTTTCTGAAAATGTTTTAAAAGGCTTAATAGGTAAAATAGGCATTTTTAAAAGTGTATCTTTTTTAGATTTTCCTAGATACTTAAAAGCAAAAAAATAAGAAATATGAAAATATACCTTTTTCAGTGTCTAAAAACACATCAGCAGATAGAATATTAGATTCTACTGTTTATATTAATCAAACGCTAATTTATAAAATAAAATTACCTGGACTTGGACTTCTTAAAACCTGAATATTTACATCACTTAATCGTTTCCGTCTATTTTCCATTTTTTAAAAGAAAAATCTTTAACATATTTTAATTGAAATTAAAAACTTGTTTTATTTCATTTTTTCATTTTACGTTTCAATCATAAAATTCAATATTCGTTCAAAAACAAAGATCAAAATCATAAGTAGAACCAAGTTTATGTCTAGAACTCTACAAAAAAAATATTTTAAACCAATATTTTAAATTATTTTTGATAAATACTTATTACACTTCTCATAACGTATACTTTACGACACACGAATTATCTAAATTCTCAAAGTATGAAAAAAATTATTGTTAAACCAAAACATTCTTCTGGAGAAGAATCTGTATTTGAACAAATAATTACTCTTCCACATCCCAGAACACAGATACCAGTTCGCTATCTTATTCAAAAACCACAACTTTTACAAATAATCAAAATCAATGATTCTTACAAAAAAAAAAGTTGGTTTATTAATAACAACATTATAAAAGGTCGCTCTTTACACCTTACATATCTTATATGGATTTATTTAATACTAGATGGTTCTCTTTATCTTGCAACACCCTTTGATCTTATATTTCTTACAATTCCTGTCCTTGAAAAAGCATGCAACAAGGCAATTACTAAAACAATAGAAATTTTCATTGTAATTGATCACTTATTTAGACATCAGAGTCTTTAGGAAAATATCTTCTTATGGAAGATATTTTAGAATTTTTCTCAGAATATCATTTTCCCATTCTTATTTCATATTTAGGACCTCAAATAAAAAAAGCTATTCGATCCATTTGCCAGGAACTAAAGTCTACTCATCCATTTTTCCGTTTCGATGAAAAACTATTACTAGAAGTTCTAATATCTAAAGCTAAAAAAATAGCATCTCATTTACCTAAAAGCATTGAATTTGAAGCTATTACTAAACATTTTATGGAAAATATCGAAAAAAAAGAACTAGAAAACAAAAGTAAAGAATTTAAAAACATTATCCAATTGGCTCGTTTAAAGACAGCAATGCAATTTATTAATAGCTATTTACCTATAAAATATGAAAATCTTCTTCTTCAATCAGAAGAGTACAACTTATTCATTTGTATTTTACTCTATTTACTAAAATTCATAGTTTTACTCCATTATCATTATATTTACATAAGCTGCAAACTTATAGAACTACTACCATCTTTATACAAAACTCTAATAACTTTACAACAGATTATTTAAAAAAAAGACCTAATACAATTTTTGAAATAGAAAACAAAAAAAAAAAGAAATTAAAAGGTAACAATAATGAAATACGTAAAAAAATGAATACAGAAGGAATAAATAAAATCTATTCTTTCTTCAAAACTAAAACACAAAATAAAAATTAAAATATTTTTTTTAATAGAATAACTCTTATAAAAAGGAATATAAAAAGAGTTATCTATATTAAATTAAATTCATTTAGTTAAAATGTATTTTATTCAATCTATTTAGTTAAAAATTCTAAAAAGCTTACTACCTTTAATATATTATTACTAATCTGTATAAAATTATTTTTGAAATTTTTGAAGTATTGTTTTCTATATAAATATCTGAAAACAAAAAATGAAAATCAAAAACTTAAATCTATGTTATTATTGCTACTTATTATATATTTTTATTAGCATCTTTACAACTTTAACTCTTTTGTTTTGCAACTATATTATTTCTCATTTTAGAAAAATAATACCCACAAAATTTGAAAATAAAATTTAAAAATACAATATATATTTAAATTTTTATAAACATTTAAATAATACAACAATCTAATTACTATTATTTCATTAACAATCTTTTTCATTATATTTAATAACAAAATCAATACATTATTTTAAAACATTAAAATATTAAATTATTTATATCATAATTATACATTTTAAAAATCCTCTTTCCCAAGAACCATAAATATTAAAATTATTAATTCTACTTATGTTTTTTAAATATTATAAAAAGTAATATTATTTATTAATCAAAAATTATTCTAGGATTATTCTTAAAATACAAATACAGTTTTATTTTATAAATTTTATAAAAAATTTAAATCTTTAACTCAGAATGTTATAAAATAATCTAAATTAAATCTTAAAAAATTTCCATGACACTTTCAGGAAAAAACAATGAAATAATAACAGTATCTTCAGCATCATCAGTAGATCTTCTTGCAGAACTTTCACGAATTCGTGATAAATTTGAACAAAAAAAATCAAATAAACTAAATAAAACCGAAAGTTCTTATGAAGACAAGGTATAAGAAATACAAAAAAAAAATAACCAGATCTTAAATCACTAGAAAAAAATACAAATAAAATCAAATATTGGCGTGGAATTTCGTTCAGCAAAAGACGAACTCAATCAACAGACAAATGTCTTAGGACTAGAAATTGAAGCCTCAAAAGCAGCATTAAAACGAAAAGCTATTCAATATGAAATGATGAGAAGAGGAGCTCATGATATGAATATAAAAGGAGCAACAGTGGAGAATCTACTAGTTGATTTTGATAGAAAATGGGCAGAACAACAAGAATTTGTAACAAATTCGTCCTCAGAAAGTAGTGAAACAGATGAAGAAAATAATCCATGGGTAGAATATGTTGATGAATTTGGAAGAACAAGAACAATACGTAAAATAGATTTACCTAGAGATATCACTCCTGAACAAGAAACAATTCCAGAAAATATTATTTATGGAGATTTTATCCAAACATTTAATCCAGATAAAGAACAAATTCAAAAAATTCTTGAAGAACCTGAAGAATGTAACAAATTACATATATTTTTATATATTTTTAATATTAAACAGCACTAGAAACATTCTATGACTCAAAAAAAGAAATTAGAACAAAAGGTGTTGGATTTTATCAATTTTCGGAAGATGTACAAAAAAGAAAAAAACAAAGAGAAGCTCTTGAAGCAGAACACAAACTTACTGAACTAATGAAACAAAATTTAGAACAAGCTTATGATAAAAGAAAAAGAAAACTAGATGAAAGAAGGAAAATAATAGAAAAAAAAAGATATAAAAATATAGGTGAGCAATGGTTAAACAACACAATAAACAACAGTACATAAAATAACTTTAAAAAGAAACTTCAAAATATTTTAAAACATTAAAATAATCTAACTTAAATTGCAGCATTATCTAAAAAGTTTCAATAAAAATCAGTAATATAATAAATATTTTGTATTTTTTTATATATAACTAAATTTATTCATATATTTTTTTTAAAACAAATAAAAAACATTTACCACTTATTTATTTTTAATAATTCTTTTTGATAGTAAAGTGATACTTTTTTCATTATAAACGCAGCACTTATTATTTATGAAATGTTTAAAAAAATTTTATAACTCAATAATTTCAAAAATCCTAAATATCATATCATTATTTTTTATCTATACATATACCAAATCATTATTTTTTATTTATAGATATACCAAATCATCAGACTAAATATCATTATAAACTCAAATAAACGATAGAAACTTGCAAAAAAATTATTAGAAATACTTTTTAAAATAAACTCCAAAAATAATTATCAATAATTGCAATAAAACTATTTTTTCATATACAAATAAATATTAAAAATAAAAAATTAATATATTATAACACATTTTCAACAGAATCTGATTTAAAAGCATATTCTCTACGATATTTATCATCAATTTTAACAAGATAATATGCATTAGGAGCAATATTAGAAACATCACCTTGCGGAATATAAGCTTTTGAAAGATATGCTTTTTCTCGAAGAAATATCATCTAAAATATTAACTATCGAACTCATAAATTATAAAAAACATACATGCTCAAACTCTTCAGGAGATAACACTCTCCTATTTTTCAATTTTTCCTTCAAATTAAGAATTTTAGCAATATAAGATATATCATCATGAATAGTAAAACTAAAAAAAGTAGAAGCTAGCCCAGAACCATATGAATAAGCTCCTATACGTTTCCCAATCTAAACAAAATTAAACAATTAACTAATAAATAAGGGCCTTACAAGATCGGAAGATGAAACATTACTTAAAAGACTAACCAAACAACCATATAAACTAGCAGTATACATGTTCCCAACATTAGTTGACATATCAAGAGTAACACTAACACGTGACTGAAATCGCTTTTTACTAAGATCCATAAATTGCTTCTCAAGATTTTTATCTACCAAACTAGATTCATATTCAAGTTTAGAAAAATGTTTTACATTCTCAAATTCGGGATGATTCTCGTTATCCATAAAATCATTATATAACATTCTAGCATATGCTTTTTGAACAGATTTGCAAGTAGGAGAATGAAAAATGCAATAATCAAAACGGTCTATAGATAATGAATGAACTGAATTACAATCTGTATCACCAAGATCCTTCCTAAGTGAATACCTTTTATTATATGCTTTATAACTATGATCAAGAGCCCGAGTATAACATATAATAGAATAATGGCCATCTACAATAGGATATTCAGAAGAAAGATCAGGCTTATAAAAATCATAAACATGATCCATGTAAGACCCCCTTAAACCTAAAATAAAACCAAAGCTAAATAGATAAACAACAAATATGATATAACCTACCAGAATCTATAACAATAGGTGCATCTTTCCCAATGATCATAGCAACACACCCAGCACCGCCTGTAGGCCGTGCAGCTCCTTTTGAATAAAGAGCAATGTCTCCAGCAACAACAATAGCGTCACGACCATCCCAGTTTTCAGACTGAACCCAATTGACAGCATTAAAAAGAGCATTAGTACCACCATAACAGGCATTTATATTGTCTATTCCCTCAATATCAAAATTTGGAGAAAAAAGCTGCATAAGAACAGTTTTGATAGACTTAGACTTGTCAATTAAAGTTTCTGTCCCTACTTCTAATCTTCCAATATTATTAACATTAATTCTGTAATTTTTAATTAATCTCCAAACTGTTGTTAAACAAATTGAATAAATATCTTCCCTATCGTCACAAAAACCCATCATTGTTAAACCAAGGCCTTAAAATGTCAGTTTAATGACTTATTAAAATCAAACATACCAATTGTATATTTCCCAGTAGAAACACCATCATGTTTTTCTAACTCTTCCTGTAACACACACTATACTACTGTTACACTCCACTCATTTGAAAATACAAGTAATTAAATAAATAAGTTATACCTGAGAAGGAAAATAGATTTCTATACCTAAATATAAAATTATTTATTTTTTCTAACAAAACATATATAATTACCTTTGATACCAACATTTTTTGGAGCTTCCAATATCCTCATTGAAAAATTTATTTTATCTACCAAATTTTAAATTAAATCCTTTCTATTTAAAATATTTAAGAGAACTTCAAGGTATTCAAACGATTAAAAATATCCTTTAAACCCTAAATAAATAATATAAATATTTAAGACCCTAAGTAAATAAAAAATGTAAACATATTATCAAATAATTTTTAGACACATCTTTAATATTTCTTGAAAATAAAATTATTTAATATCAGCAACTTATATTCTTTCTATTTTATACTTTTTTATAAATACGCAATACAATTTAAAATAATATAAATTTAAAATTACAATAGTATAATTTGATATTTTTTTTATATAGCTAAAAAAATCATTATTCTGAAAAAAAAAACATTATCAATATCAATAAATACAAACATCTATAACAAATACAAATTCTTAAAACCTAAATAAAATATTTCATATAAAAAATCTATGATTAAAAAAATATAAATTTATAACTTTAAGAAAAAACGCTAATCTTAAACAAATATAAAAATAAAACGTAACTTAAAACTTTCCTCAAAAACCTTTAAAACTTTATACCAACTTTAGCTTTTATTAAATTGTTACATATTTATAAAATCACACTATTATAAAAATAAAACATTAACAAAAAATACATGATTTAATATTTAAATCACAACATAAATTTTAAGATAGAATATTTAATAATCCTAATCATGCGTAAATATTCTATGTAAAAACAAATAAACAATATATAAAACCATTATAAAAAATATCTAAACTCAAAATATTAATGCTTCAAATACAAAACAAAATAAAACTCAAAGAGATTATATCCAACTGTAGTCACTAAAGCCATCTGATGCTTTCATCCTTCCAGAAAACAACTTTTGTAATTCCACATCCTGTGTTCCAGACAATGAACAATTATCGGAATTTTCATGAGGAATATTAAATGAATTCGATAATCTAGAAAATGTAGCTGAATTTTTCCCAGAAGAAAGATCAAATTTTATTGCATGACTCTTTAAATTCCCTGAAAGTAAATTACTTTTTCTTGAAATATCTTTATTATCATCATTTTTTACAAAACACTCTTCATCTAAATTCAGCATAGGCTCACCATCTAAATTCAGCATAGGTTCACCATCTAAATTCAGCATAGGCTCGCCATCTAAATTCTGCATAGGTTCACCATCTAAATTCAGCATAAGCTCGCCATCTAAATTTAGCATAGGCTCGCCATCTAAATTCTGCATAGGTTCGCCATCTAAATTCTGCATAGGCTCGCCATCTAAATTCTGCATAGGTTCACCATCTAAATTCTGCATAGGCTCGCCATCTAAATTCTGCATAGGTTCACCATCTAAATTCTGCATAGGCTCGCCATCTAAATTCTGCATAGGTTCACCATCTAAATTCTGCATAGGCTCGCCATCTAAATTATCCAAAAATTTAGAATTAATAATCCTAAATATACTTTTTTCTTGAATGCATAAACTACTTATTTCCGAATTCTTGACTTCTACATTAGAAAAAGTATCATTAATATTTGAAGAGCTATCATCTAAATTATCCGAAATTTTTTTCCATACTGACCTTCCAAATCCTGTTTTTGTACTTTCTGAAGATTTATTAATTTCAGGAACATTTAAAAGATTTTTCTCTTTCAAATCAGATTTTTTTTTACCAAGAAAAATTTCCAAAAAATTTTCCAATACACCTTGACCAAAAACTATCCAACTTTCCCATGCACTAGTAATATTTACAATTTGACGACGAAAATTATCAGCTTTAATACGTCCATCAAATGATTTATAAATTTCAGAAAAATGTAAGAAAACAACAGATAAATTCTGTTCAAGTCTAAAATCATCATTAAAAATATTTAACAAAAATTGTTAATTCACAATTGCCTATATTTCCAAACATTAGGAATTGCAATAGATGAATTATGCAATATATCACTAACTAAATATAACCTTGCAATTTTAGTAGAAATCGAAGCATGCGATTGTATTAATGAAGATATCAATATTTCGACAATCTTTAATTATTTAGGAGATCCAAAAAACATATCACAATAACCTCATCAGCAGCACTTGCATGTTCTATTGCAAACGACATAGCCCTTGCAATATTCCCACGACGATATGAAATTTCACGAAGCAACCAATCAAAGTGATATCTGGAGGCAGAACCTAAATACGACATTTGCCTTCTTTTCTCAAAATTATCATCAGGAAAATCATCGTCATCCTATTATATCTATGAATATTAAATTAATAAAATTGTTTTCAGCAAACATCATCCGTATTTTCCGGTGGTATCCACCAAGCACCATTTGTAAACATTTGAAAAGGTTCTTTTAACCACTTATATGGAAAATCACCATTTAACAAAGAAAACAATTTCCATCTGTAATAAACATGCTCAGGAGTCTTGAAAAATTACTAAATACCCTAATAAAAAAATAAATCATACTGTTGAATCAAATAAAAATTCATAATCAAGATTATTACACTCTCTTTTCATAAGGAAAGCCTAATCACTAAATAATATACAAAAAAATTATTAAAAAATACCTCAAATTCTACACCATATTCAACAACTTTTTCAATTACCCTATGAATTCTTCTTAACAATTTCAAATCTTTAGGCTTCGAAACAACAACTTCAATTCTATTTAATGTCGATGATGGAACGATTCTTCCACCAGCAATTCCTCCAGGAGGCGGTGCTCGATTAAAACCCATTGTTCCTTGTTTAGCATTGAATGGAAGTTTAATATTATGAGTATCGACATCTATATATAAGCATTTCATAAAATTAAAAGAAGTTACAATTACAAAAAGTAGAAGATTTTAACTCTTTTCCCCATATAACTCTTGCTCTCCACCCATGTCCAAGATATGTCCCATCAAGATTACTCTTAGCCATTTCAGCGTCTTTAGGATTCTCGAAAGTTACAAAAGCGGAAACTCCTTTTTTAAATTGATCATCAGTAGACCTTGAAGGAAGAATATTAATAGACGTAATTTTCCCATATGGCAAAAGTAAAGTTGAAAGAGATTGTTGTGTAGTAGAAGGAGGCAACGAAGTTAAATGAAGACTTCGAGGACGAGAGCCAGATGACTCTTCACATGTTTCTAAAAAAAATCAAATTCAAAATAACTACCTATAAATAAATCAACCTGTAGAAAAAATTCCTGCATTAGTATTGCGAGACACTTTAAAAATTTCTTTTTGTTGATTACTAACTTAGTTAGTACTTGTTAATGTTCTTAAAAGAATAACACCTTTTAATTTCTTCAAGAAAAATATCTAAATTCCTTTTACGATTTGATACATTTTCCTTTACCCATATCAATAGTTTATTAAAGTTTTCAACCACAATACCGCATCGGAAGACAATCCAGCAAAATGACGTTTACTACATGAAACTCCTCTATGCATATTCGGAGAAAATGCTTTCAAAAATTAAAAAAATCTTATCTATAATTCCTTACAACTTGTATTATATTCTCCCGAACCATCATCAAAACTTTTTACGAAATCTTCATATATTACTTTTGCTTCCTCTTCCTCCCTCTAAATCAAATATTAAGATAGTATTCACAATAAGCTCTAACAAAACCTTTTTTCTTGCATTTGCTTCTTCTCTTGCCTTATCATATGCCGTTTTTTTCGGTGTTGCGCGTTCAAAAGCAGCAATTTTTCCCTGGTCAATAGACTTAAAACTTTAATTAACAAATATATATAAATCTTTGATCAAAATACTCGAAGACTCCCTTCTTTAAAAGTTGTTAAACCATAAGGTAATTGACGAGGTTTTGTCATTTTTCATAAACTTCGATATCAAACATAAAATTAAATATATTGCAAATATTAAATGATTTCAAAATGTTTTTTTATTAAATATAAGTTTAACTAGCTTTTTATTTTTATTTACTAGTATTCTGTTCTATATTAATAAAACCCTTTTATAATTTTTTTAAAATATTTAAATTTTTATTAAATTTTATGACTATATCAACTCCTTATATAATTAATATTATAAACAATTCTCCAAAACCAACACAGAAAACCTAAAAATAAAAAATATATTTTCTATAGAGTTATATTCATAAAACTATACAACATAGATAAAAAATACAAAATTTTAAAATAGAATTATTTAAACCATCTAACTTAAATAGACATTATATACATTATCATATAAACAAAGTATTACTTATGTTTACAATAATGCCATTTTTTAAAATTATAAAAAAGTATATTAAAAACTCAATCATAAAAAACCATAACTCGAATTAACATATTATTTTAAAATTATTAAAAAAAAAAAATTAGACCCAATATTTCAAATAAGCCATGTTTTTTTATAATATCTAAGTTCTTCTATACTCTCTCGAATATCATCCATAGCCCTGTGATTAGCTTTTTTTTTCGGTGCATTTTGAAAAACATAATAATTCCAACGTCTAGCAAGCTCTTTTATTGTGGAAACATCAATAACTCTGTAATGTAAATACTCTACAATTCTTGGAATATATCGAAAGAGAAATGCTCTATCAACGTAAACGCTGTTTCCAGCCAAGATCGCTACTTTAGGTTTCGAAACATACTTTTGAAGATACTCCAAAAGTTCTAATTCAGTGGAAGCTAAAGTGTGTGGAGACGATAAAACACTTTGAATAAGACCACTCTGTTACATTAAAATTTATAGACTTAAATCTTTTCAATAAATTATACCTTTTCGTGATTCTTTTTACACCAAGCGTCCATAGAATTCAAAATATATTCTGGATGATGAATAACTCTTTCGAATCCTTTCTAGAAATCATTAATAAAACATATAAAATATTTCAAATATAAAAACCACCTCTTCTAAAATATTTAGATTTCCGTCTGTTATTAAAACAGCAATTTCAAGTAATTCATGTTTTTCTGGATTTAAGCCAGACATTTTTTTAAAAAAATTAATAAAATCCAAAAACATTATAATTAAATACCACAATCTACCCATACCATTGGATTCTGAACCATTACTCTGGTAACTAAATTCTTTACAATTAAATTCTTCCAAGAAATACAATTAATCCAATACATTTATCGTTAAAAAACTTCAACCTAATTTCAATATTTATATATAATAAAAACAATTTAGAAAATATAAATTTTTATTAAAAAATAACAAATTAACCTCTACAAAATCTATTTAAAATAAAAAATACAAACATAAAATTTATATAATATATTAAAACATGAAGTACAAACATTCAGTACATGTTAAAAATTAAAATTTTTAAAAAAAGATACCAAGAAAAACCAATATTTTCACAAATAATTAAAATTTCAAATATATATTTAATATTCATAAAAAGTTCCATATATAATAAAATTAAAATTTCTTATATCAACATATATAAGATTTCTACAAATAAACTAATTTAAAATTCGTTTAAATTCATAAAATTGCTACTAGAAAATTTTTATTTTAAATTATAAAAAATATTCAATATTTTTTTTTAAAAATAAATATAAATCATATATACATTTTTTAGGTTTATACATGTCCAAAAGAACGTTTAATATTCTTTTTAAATTTCATAAGCTTAAAAAAATAAATCTTTTCTAAAACAAAGATATTTCATTTTTTATTTAAATAAACACATCTACATATTAATGTAATAACTTAGGAAAAATAAAAATATATTATATTTAACACAATTTTGTCCATTAAACATAATTTTACAAAATTTTTTTTTATAATAATTAACTTCAAATAATTTCAAATTAAAGTTATTTGAACCAAGTCATTTCTTAGACTCTTTTAATTTTTTGTAAATAAAAACACTTTTAATGTACTAAAACTTATACAGTTGAATATTCTTATTTTTTTAAAAAAATAAAATATTTAAATACATTTAATAAAAAAAATATAATCTTAATCTACATTTATATATTTTAAAATATTTATTCTATTTTTAACCAAAATATTTTAAGACCTTAATACAAATTCAACAAAACTTTTCAATACTCTTGAAAATAAAATATAAATAATAATGTAGAATATATTTGTAAATCTTATACCACAATAAATAAATAAATAAATTATATAAACTATAAAACTATTAATCAAAGACTTTTCATTAAAACTTTTTCAGAATCAGAACTATTCAAATCTACAAAATTATTAACACAAAACTGCATTTCTAAAATTACCAGCGATAAATTATTTCATAGAAATATATTAAAAACAAAATTTTAAAAACTATGCCAAAATATATCTATTATAAATTTATAACAATTTTTATCAATTCTTTTTTAGAAAAATTGTAATCGAACCTTTTAGAACTCAATGCTGCTACTTTATATCATTAAATTTCCTTTAAATCCAATGAATATATATAAATAAAACAATTTAAACCTAAATTACATATAAAAATGAAATTAAATAAATTAATATAATAACCAATATTCAAAAGATAAAAAAAACTATATATTTTTTAAAAAATTTTAAATACTATCAAAATATACAAAAGCGTTTGGTGAAAATAATTATTAAAAATAATTTTTTACACTCAAACAAAAAATTAGAATCAATATGTATTCCAGAAAAAAAAGCGCAACTTTTACAACTTTATAAAAAAGTGCAGGAATTGACTGTTATATAACAATAATATAAATATTTCAGTCATAAAAAAATTAATATATATCAAAACAATTATAAAAACAAAAGCATTAAAAACTTTGAAAAAAATAAGATATATAATAACCAATAAATTTCTATCAAAAAATATCTAAATGTTTTCTAACAAACTCAATAAAATATCAATAATAAAAAAGTTTAAATATTCATAATATTTAAATGCATAATTAAATTTGTACTTAAAGTTATTATTTATTTAGAAAGAGAACTAAATGCTTAGTAAAAAGACCTATTTTTATTTATTATTTCTTTATTCACATAATGTTTCATAATATTTTTTTAAACTAATTTTAAATATCACGAGTTAACGTCAACATACCTTCCATGATCTTGACAAAATCTAAATTTACAAATAAAGAAAAATTATGACATCTTTTAGAAATACAAACACATTCAAATCTAAATTTTTATCTCAAAACAATGACTATTCTACTTTTTTCAATCAAGAATCAAACACATCCCGATTTCATAAATTCCAAACAACCGAAAAACAAGCAAATAATCATTTTTTAAGAAATAATAACAGGGCTACCTCCAAAGAATTTTCCAACAGAGAAAAAACTCCTGAAGAAGAGGTATATTTTTTTATAAACCTATTTTTAATTTTCAATAAAATTACAGATTATTATCCGTTTAACTACTTTGCCAAAATCATTATATTCTTCTACATCATCACCTTCGTTTTTAGCGCATACTCCATCTAGTGATATGGAAAGACTCGAAAAAGCTTGCAAATCCGCTATATCATCTAAAAAGCAGCAGAAATCGGAATCGTTTTTACCATTATCTTATACATTATATAATAAATCCAAATCTCCCGAAAATAAAAGTATTAGAAATATTTCACCTGGTATTCAAACCTATGAGGATTTAGAAAATTTTAAAGAAAGTATATCTATAAAATCACCGAACTCATCTCAATGCTTTGTCAAACTTTCAAATAATATTTCGCCTATTTATCCTCCCTATGATCATATGGAAAACTATATACCACTACCTGATCTTATGCCAGATTCAAGGGCATCTACCTCTAGTTCTGAAGAAAGCGAAATAAAACTTATTCATTCAACCCCATTATATAAAACTATAACAGAACATCCAGAGCATGCTGTTAAGAAAAAAGACTCACCATATAATATTCTAAAAGAAATAGCACAATATAATGAAAATTCAGAGCATGAAATTTCACACGCAGAATTAGATAAAGAATCTAGAAGCATTTTTTGCGAAAAAACAAACAATACAAAAATAAATAATTCTTATAAAAGGAATAATATTCATGAAAATATCCTATATTCTCCAGAAAATAGAAAACTATCCAATATTGCTGATCTTACTATGGATAGAACTATAAAACTTTTTGGACCAGGCGCATGGAAAACTACACCACAGTGTAACTATATAATCATTCATAATTAATCATTTTTTTATGTTATATAGCTCGGCCATATATTGAAACATTATCAAATTTACATGCTTCTGAAAAGCAAAATAAATATTCTGATGTTTTAGAAACTCAAAATGAAAATCATCAACGGCTTACAAAAATGCTATTACTTTTACAAAAAGAGCTGAAAAGTACAATTATTAACGTAGAAGAACTAGAACTTAAAATACAAAAATTTGAAGAAGAATCTAAGAATAAGGTCTCTATTTCAAAAGAAGATATCTTAGAACTTCAACTTTTATATAAGAATAAAAAAATGAAAACCAAAAAACGTATTTTGTATTGTATAAAGCACATTTGTTTTGTAGTATGTATTATACTTTTAACTGTAAATATTATAAAATGGTATATGTCCTTTTAAAAATCAGAATTACACTAACACTTTATTAGGGTACTACCTATACCTAAAACTTACTCAGAACTACCATTATATCAGACATGGCCAACTTAACCACTGTAAGATTTTATATTTTTTAAATCTTTTAAAACCGAAAAATTACCTTTATTTTAAAAATATACAAAGATACAAATTCATTTATATAACCAATTGTTATTTTTTTAACATTAACACCATGTAAACACTAATTACAAAAGCTAATAAATTTTATATTGTCTTTTTTTTGAGTCTACTATAAATAAAATTTCAATTCATAAACTTTATCAATAATTATAGCTAAGATCCATAAACTTTAGCTTTTAATCTGAATCAAAACAAAATAACAACTTTAAAAATATGATTATATAAAAACAAAAAAAATAAGTTCCATAAAACCGATAATTAAACAACGAATATTATATATAATTATAAAATAATCTTACTATACAACTTAACCTATTTTAATCAAAAGCCAATTTTATACAAACGCCAACAATATTCTTAGAAAAATTATAAAGCCAAAACTTCCTACAACTCCAAATAAAATGGAAATAAACGAAAACATTACGATATACTCCCAAATCCTAATATATATTTAGCATAAAAATAAGTATAAGTATTCTAAAACTTATCACTAGCCATTTGTATAATATCCTAAAGTCTATATAATTTAATACAAAAACTAAAACAATAAAAACCCACAAATCTAACTAAAAACTATAACTTAAAAACTATTAGAACAAATCCAAGTTTTCCTGAATACAAACAATAAGTATTAAAACTTTTTAAAACAACCATTCTCTTAAAAATTAAGCCACTGTATCTTAACTATAACATAATATAACATAATATTTAAAAAGCATTTCATTAAAAGCGATCATTCTCTTTAATTACCTTTATTAAAAAATTACTTAAAAAACCAGAGCAAAAAATAAAACTAAAATAAAAACATTTTATACAAAAATATTCAACCAAAAACTATTCTCGCAATTTTTCACATTTCTTTAATTTTAACCAAAGTTTAGTCACTAAAAAAACCGTATCCTTACTATTCATTCATTCTATTTTTTTTCTAACTATCCAAGTACAAACATATCCATAATAAATATGTTTAATCTTTCCTAAGCAAACCAGTCTTTACATATATCAATACCCTACTAGCATATAAAAATTTTATGTTTATAAACAGGTAACAAATCAATTTCTTATAAATAATATATAACAAAAAAACAGTTTATAATAATTTAACAAGTATATTATCCTCATTTAACCATTTATAACTTACATTTTCTCATTAATACCTACAACTTATAATTTGTCTTTTTAAAAAATATAATTCATATATAATAACTTTAAACAGATTATAATATTTAATTAAAAACAATTAATATTAATATAGATAAATATCTTATTTATATAGTAACCTAATTCAACAAATTCACAACAGTATAATTTGATAACTAATTCCATGAAAAATAGTCATAATAATCCTCATTCAAACAACCATTCTTGAAAAAACCTCTAGAAACTAGACGTAGCACCTTCAAAGTATAATTCAAACCATAAAAAACTTCATAAAACTTCCAATACTTAATAAAGCAATATACCTCAGCTAAAAAAAATCTAATATTAAATACATTTAAATAATCACATAAGATCCGTTTTACCAATACATTCTATGCACACTAGTGCATACTTGCAGCCCTTGCATTACTCTATCCAAATTTTTAAAAGAGAAATTCCGTAATGTTTAATCTGGTACTAAATCTTATTAAGGAAATTATCAACAAACCGAATAATATTCCTAAACTAAATATAGGATAAACAAATACAATGATTTTAAACCCTAACCCTTATATCATCAAAACTTAGCTTTTATAGAAACATAACTAACTATATAAAGATAAACTCAGAATATTCATAAGCTGTCAGCCACTGCGGCATTAACATCAAGCCATATAAAGTAATTCACCATTCTAGCGTTCTTGTAAGATTTCTACCAAACAAGTCTAGTTTTAAAAGAGTTTTTGTCATCATGCAGACTGGCTAACATACTAAACTATGAAGGCTTTGAAGTAAATGTTCTAAACACATGAAGAACGGCATTGAAACTTTATATTTACATTTTAACCCACTCACTTCTTTTTTTCATATACAAACAATCAGCCTAACATTTTCATTATCCTATCACTGTTATTTTCTTCAAACCCTTTAAACATTCAGACATCTTTATAGCTAAATCTTCAACATTTCAGAATCTTTTCATATTATATTTCAATTGTCTATAGATTCAAACAAGCTTTTCTCATCTAAATTTAACCTTTTAAATACCTTTTCGAGACCAACTTTTGACAAGGTATAAGAAACTACAAACATCTACAATATTGGTAATGAAACAATCAACAACAAAGGAAATTCTAATTTGACACACCGGATATAAACATTTATTACCAACTTGTATATTGTTGAATTTAATATTATTCATTTTATAACCAACTACATTAGTAAACGTATTACTGACGTCAGGAAACTTGTTTATGAAAGCATGTTAACAATTTTTGTCTTTTTCTTTATACTAATTTTCAACAGATTCTTTATTTTAACAATAGCATATATAATTAGGAAAGCAAGTCAGTTTATTTTACGTGTTTATCAATAGTGTATTATGAAGTCTCTTCCTCTATTGTCTCAGCAACATCCTGTGGCTCTTCCTCCCCTTAAACGGCATCATTCAATGCCCGCATCCGAGCAAGTCTTTTTACAGCCTTGTAATATTTACCGCAGCGGTTCAACTTCCACAATCTCAACCACAAGCACTCTCGAAACACCATCTTCTCAAACACTCCCTCTTACACCACTTAAAAACAATATTCACAAAGATTTTTATACTACTACACCTAAAATGCAACATACAGCTACACCTATATTACTGGATAATCTTTCGTGTGGACAGCCTATTCTTAAAAAAAGCCGACCATGTCTTGAGAGCATTAAAATAACGCGTTGCAACACATATCCTGAATATAGTGATGATCCCTACTGCACGTCTACATCATATTTTGCTTATAGTCCATCATTCCCTCAATCTCTTACAGATTCTTTTTACGATAAGTCATCAGCACAAATCATGGCTGCTAGCAATGTACTTAACTATTTTCAACATCACTATGGTCAACAAGAGTCGTCTAATTCGTATAAAGATAGTCATTATCTTCCTTTGGTTGTCTCTTCTCTCGATAAAACTCATATTTGTGATATTTGTAATAAACGCTTTAAACGTTACGAGCATCTTAAACGTCATGAGCGCTCACATACCAGTGAAAAACCATTTCAGTGTAGTATAAGAGAATGTGGACGATGGTTTTCACGTAGCGACAATCTACGAGCTCATTTACGTACTCATTTCAGACGCGGTGGTCGTAATTTATTTGTAGGAAACCCTGATGCCAATGATGAAATTAACTATATGGTTGCGGACACAACAAATTCAAATGCCTTTGAAAATTAAGTGGTTTATCTATATTATTTGATATTTATACATCTTTTTATGCACTGAAAATTTTTTTTGAAAATAATTTTTAGGAATATAAATGAAACACTTTCTTTTTCAAAAAAGGCTCAATTACCATTTCAAATTTACTATTTACATTATTCATAGAGACGATTTATTCATGTATCTAATACTTCCAGGAGAAGAATATATTTCTTTAGTTTGTAATTGGTTTTTTGGGATAATAAAATAAATATATCAGAATCAAGATATTATATATATCTTAGAAAATAGTATTTAAACTGTCAACATTGCCTTATATGCTTTTATTTTAAACGATACGTTTACATCGACGAAAGCATTAAACGTTAAAATTAATCTTCATCAGCCCTACATTAAAAAAACATCTTAATAATACAAATAGCAAGAATATACACACATTTACTACTTCTGCATATTTTCCATTATATATCATGTCTTTACCACCTGTTCCACCTCGTCCTGATAGTCCACAAAAACTTACAACATGCGCATTACACTCAGAACAGTTGCCAAAAAAGGCAAAGGATATACCATATAATAATTTAAAGGACGAAGAATCGTCAGATTTATGTCAAAAAAAACTCTCAGATGAATTATTTAATAGTTCTAACAAACATATTTTAACGGAACAAATGAATCATCTCGAAAAAGATAGTGTTATTAATACTTCATACAATACACATAAAGATATTAACGTTCGTTTTCCTAGCAGTATATCTGAATTAAACTCTCAAGAAGAACCTGCATTTGAAAAATCTAGCTCTATTTTGATTTCAACAAATTCAATATTTAATACACAAAAACAATATGCATACATTTGTGATGAAAACTATAGAAAATATAACAAAAAGCTTTATTCTAAGCCCGAAAACGAAACATACACATCCTTTTCAAACAATAATAATAACTATCAACTAAATTCTTTAGAAAAAAATACTATTATTACAAACAAGGAAACAAAAAAACACAACGAAGAAAAATCATTATGTTTCTCTAACTCTTTTTTTCCATCTAATGATACTTATTCTCCAAAAAATTTCAACAAAAATTCTACTATTACATGTCTACCTAAAAATATCAAAGATTCTAATCATGTTCAAGAGACAAAATTGTTATCTAAAGCAATTATTTGTGAAAGCGAAAAAAGAGAGCCACATTGTAATAAAAACAATTCAAATATATTCCAAAAATATCAAAAAACAAAGAAAAATTTAGAATTTCAAGAATTCAAAACTTTAAAAACATCTGCTCAAAACACCCTCATATTAAATAATACAAGTTTAGATAATAAAAAACATTTTCCAGATAATAGAACTTGTGAACAAAATAATATCTCTTTAGAAGACACTACAAGAAAAGAAAACTCAATAGTTTTATCAAATTCTATTAACAATGATACCTTTGAAATCGAAAAGCATTTGGAATTTACACAAAAAATTAAACCATCAGATCAAATTATAAAATCGGAAAATAAAGACTATCAATCTACTAATTTAAATATGAACGATAAACCAATTCTTCCATCGAGACCTACAAAAAAAGAAATAACGTCAACCACACTTCATTCATCACATACATCATTAGCTAGTATTAAAAATCCAATTAACACGCGAACTCAGTTTTCTCGAAATTTAGAAGAAAAATTAAAATTTGGACCTCCAAAAATATTGAACTTTAAGCATTTACAAAGTAATACCAGTGAGAATGACATTTCTAACTCTTTGTTTGAAAATACTAAGCCATTGCTCGAATTGTCCATGTTAGAGGATTTACGAAAAACAAGATCTAAAGGCCCTTCTAGACGCAAACCTACTATTATAACAACAAAATTCCCAAAAAAACTAGGATTTTCTAATGTTATTAAATTATTTGATATCATAAACGATGAAACATCAGAAAATCATAAAAAAAATATTATAGAACCAATAATAAAAAATAATCTTAATACTTCTAATATAGAAGACTTTATAGAAAATGATAAACCTGTAATCATCACATCCTCTAATGATTTATCAAATACTTTCTCAACAATCACTCTTAATTAAAATTAATTTTGTATAAAAAATACATTAAATAAAATTCATAATTTTATCTAACTAAAAAATTATTTTTTAATTATCAATTGTACAATACTGTAATAATTCCGAATAATCCATTATTTATTAACATTTACTATTTTATTCAGTTACTGTTCAATAAAAACTATAATTTTATTTTTACGATATTCAGATTTTCATATTTTTTATTAAATTAGAAATAAAAAACGTTTATAATGAATATAAATAATAATATTATAGTTAGTTTTATTCATTATACTCTTCCATGGCTTCTTTTAACACTATATATTACAGCTTCAATAACATCAAGAAAACATAAAAAAAAACAAAATATTTCATTATTACTCCAAACTATTTCAACTTTTTTAATTTTATTAACATTTGTATTATTTGAATCATATAAAAACCATAATACGAACTAACATTGTCTAGATTGGAGATTCAATATTGTTTTTAATTTATATATTAATTAAACAAGATTGGTGGGTTGCGCAATCTACAGTAGTATGTATTTCAATATTTCAAACAATTTCATAAAAATTATACTAAATAGTCCTTAGTTTTATACTTTAAGTAGTATTTTCACATGGTCTATAATATTTATAGATACTATTAAGATAAAACATCAGAATATTATAAAATCAAACACTTTATTTATTTATATTTTTCAAATACTAGGCGATATAATACTTTTCTTTATACTATTGGACTCATCTCTATCTAATTGGGAAATATCATATTATTCAATAACTTTACTGAGAATTTTAATCTCTTTATTTTTTTTTACATTTTATTTATTAACAATAGTAAGAAAACCAACACTAGATACAGAAGAGACTTCACCTTTATTTGAGCAAAATCAAACCTATGAAGATGATGAATTATCAGATATTAAGGTAAAAATCTTTGCATTAAATAGAAATAGAATTATTTATGGGATTTAAAGACAAAATATACTTTAAATGAAAAATCATGGAATAAATGGTGGGAGTACATTAAAAAGTTTACATTGTTTTTTCCATATATTTGGCCTACAAATGTTTTATCACTAAAAATTATAATTTTTTTCTGTTTTGGTATATACGTATTATAAATTATTTTTTCCCTAATTTCCTTAGCTCTTTTACTTATTTCAAGATATGTGAACATTTTAACACCGCAACAGCTAGGGATCATTACTGATAAACTTGTTACTAATACAGATAACAAAGGTAACAAACAACTATTATAAATAAAAAATATGAACAATACAGAAAATATTTGGATATACGTTCTTGTTTTTATGTTTTATAAATTTTTGCAAGGAAATATGGGCTTAGTATCTTCCATTAGATCTCATCTTTGGATACCAATTAATCAACATGCCTATAGAAATCTTTCTGTAAAGGTATTACCTTTATCTATAATTATTTATTATATAATTTTAAGGCTTTTGAGCATATTCATGCTCTTTCATTGGATTTTCATTTATCAAAAAAAACAGGAGAAATTATGAGTGCATTGGATCATGGTTCTTCTATAAATACTTTTTTCGACCTCATTATATTTCAAGTTTTACCAGTAATTATTGACATTTTTATTGCTATTATATACTTTTTTGTTAATTTTGATGCATATTTTGCTCTTATTATTATGATTATGACAATTTCTTATATTTATATAACGATAAAAATTACAGAATGGAGAACAGAGTATCGGTTAGTTCCTCAATATTGAAATTACTCTTAAACTTAAATATATCTAAATAGGCGAGACATGATCAGCAAACATAGAGAAGAATATTCAATAAAGTGTGACTCTATAACTAACTATGAGACTGTAAAGGTTTACTATTATGTTATAGCTTTAAAATTTACTAATATGTTAAGTATTTTAATGCAGAATATTTTGAATTTAATCGTCATGAAAATGCAGTTAAAACATATCAAAAAGCTGAATACAATGTACTAAGTAAAAACAATTAACTTTTCAAGAAACAATACATAATCATTATAGGTTCTTTAAATTTTCTAAATACAATACAAAATACAATATATACAATTGGTCTCCTTTCTATAGCATTCCTCTCTGCATATAAAGTTATTAAAAATCAAACTTCAGTAGGAAATTTTGTATCTTTATTAACGTACATGACTCAATTACAAGGTATTTAATATTTATTAAAGATAGTATTTAATTATCTTTGTAGGACCATTAAATTATTTTGGAAGGTAAAATAATATTAATTAAGAAAGAATAGACTAATAAAACGATTAAGTCTTTATAGATCTCTACAATCAAGTTTTGTAGATGCAGAAAGAATGTTGGAACTAGTAAGAAGATATTTTTAGATTTACATTAAATAATAATTTATAAGTTTAATGAAAAGCCTTCAGTTTCTGATAAACCTGATGCTATTGATTTAAAAATAACACACGGAGAAGTTATATTTGGTATAATTTTAAAAATTTAATAATTATATACTGATAAAAATCTAGATAATGTTCATTTTTCCTATGACAATAAAAAAACTGCTCTAAAAGCATTAAGTTTTCATGCAAAAGCTGGCACATCAGTAGCTTTAGTAGGTAAGTAAAAAAAAAAATTATATACAAAATAATTTCAAATAAAGGAGAAAGCGGGTCTGGAAAAACAACAGTACTTAGATGTTTATTTAAATTCTTTAATATTCACTCTGGCACAATTAAAATTGATGGACAGAATATTCATGACGTGAAACTTAATTCTCTTAGAAAAAATATAGGAATTGTTCCACAAGGTATTTTTTTTTAATCTAATTTTCTTAACATTTTTAGATACAGTTCTTTTCAATGATACTATTATGTTTAATATTCGTTATGCAAAACCTGATGCATCAGACGAAGAAGTTTTCGAAGCAGCGCGCATGGCACAAATTCATGACAAAATTATGACATGGCCTGATAAATATGATACGAAAGTAGGAGAAAGAGGATTACGTTTGAGCGGAGGAGAAAAACAAAGGATTGCAATAGCACGAACAATTTTAAAGAATCCTAAAGTATATATATCTTCAATACATTGGTTACTTAACATTATTAGATAATTCTATTAGATGAAGCAACATCTGCTCTTGATACACATACAGAAAGACAAGTTCAAGTTGCACTAAAAAAATTAACGGAAGGTCGTACCACTATTTGTATCGCTCACAGACTTTCTACTATTATATCATGTGATCTTATTCTTTGTATGAAAGACGGGTCTATAGTAGAAAGTGGTACACACGAAGAACTTTTAGATCAGACAAAAAAATTAAGCAAGAATTGTCTATATTATTCTATGTGGCAAAAACAAATTCATGGAGATAAAAATTCAGAAGAAAATGATAAAAGAGATAAATAACATTAAAAAACTATTTATATAATAATTATTCTATATAACTTCAAAAATATATATTTTTTAATAATTGATAAAATTTACGACTATTTGTGTATTATTACCAATTAGAAAGCATCATTGGGAAACCAACATATTTAATTTTATATTAGTCAAAAAGTACAAAACGATTAAAACATATTTATATGTCTTTAAAACTATAATCTAATTTATAATATAGTTATCATGTTCACCTGTTTTAAGCATCATATTCCTCCAATGTTCATTTCCATACCAATCAATTCCACTTTCTAGAATTATACCCTAAAAAAATAAATATTATAAAAACAAATTAAAAAATTGATACTTGTAAACAATTTTTTACAATAATAACACGATGTTTTATATCATTCATTTCCCTAACTAATCTAACTAATATTAAAAAAACAAAAAAAGAAAATAACAACACTTGTCTTTCTGTTGTTTCTCTAAAACAGAAAGCATTTTTTCTTCACGATCCTTAATATTAGTAATGATTTCTAAAATTTTTTTAACCTTTTTTCTATTCTCGGAAAACAATTCTATAAAAAATAAGAAAATTGAAATCAATCATATTCATATACTTAATGTCTCTTTTTGAAGATGTAAAATTTTCTTCTCATTTTTCAATAAAAAATTATGAAACTTCAAAAGTTTAGAAATAATATTATCACAATTTCCAAGAGAAAAATTTATAGCTCTAAAACATGAGAAAATAATAGAACAATTTAGATCAAGTTACCGATCTTGTTCAGTTAAACTTTCATTTGAATAAACGGCTTGTAAAATAGGATTTGTTTCAATAAAACTAGATATCCAATTAGAATAATTAAACAATAAATAAACATAATACTTTTCAATTATAAGATTTTTTGTTGTATTAGTTGCATTTGCAATAAGTAATTCAAATTGACCCTCTTTAATTTTTTCAGATAAATCTTTTTCTGAAATACTATTGTCTACAACTAAATTAATGTTAAACAAAAAAATAATATAATTGAGAAGTAAACCAATTTCTTCATCCAAAATAACCTTTTTTTTTTCATTCTTTAATTTTTCTAATTTTTCAAGAAGCAATAATACAGATCTTTCTTTTTTACTGAAAACTTCAGAATGTAATTTTAATCGATGAAATTGAATTTGATCTTCAGTAACCTCCAAAAGCATTAACTTACAGTAACTCGACAACTCTTTTAAAGAATTCATTAATTTTTTATAATTCTTTTTAATATAAAGTTAAATATTTTTCAACCTAAAAGAATTCATTTAACTTATTACTTTTCCAAAGAAATTTTGAAAATTTCAAAAAAAAAAAACATTTTTATTCATAATAAATCTATACAAGTGACTATACTAATTATTGCTCAATTTTAAAATTTACAAGAATTAAATTACATTACAAAAATCTAACAATAATAATATTAATATATTTTATTAAACATTTAAATGGTTTTATAGAACAATTTAAATAAAATAAAAAATAACAGTAAAAAATCAAACAAAATTCTATCATTAATTTATTTAAAAATTTTAAAATCTTACTACTTTTATTAAAACATATTCAACAATAATATATTATAATACTGACAATTAATTATAACCTAAAAACCGGATATTATAAATGAATTAAATATTTGAAATTTTAATTTTATAAGGAAATTAACGAATTTTTGCTAAAATAAATTATATTTATTATAATTTTATTTATATAATTTTATTTAAACATAAATTTCTCATTAATACCTTACTAAATAATATCTTAATTATAAAGCATAATACCATAAAAACAAAATAATTATTTTAATTCTTTTTGTTTTTTTAATAATTTGATGAAAACAGATTTCATAAATTTTTATATTATAAAAATAATAAAAATATTCTCTAAATATATATGTTTATAATAAAATGAATAATTTAAATTTTTTAAGTCATATTTAAAATTATAAAATTCAATATTAAAATTTATTTTTTCTTAATATATAACTATTTTTAAAAATTTTATAGGATTTAAAATTTTTAAATAATTCATACAATACAGTAGCAAATTTAAATATTCAAAAAAAATATCAAATAGAAACATTATGTCATATATTATTACTATAAATATACAAAGAATATCATTCTAGTTTTAATTCACAATAAAATTCATTAATCATAAAGAATACTTAATAATTAAAAATATAAAATTTATTAAATATTTAACTATTTACAATATTAATATAAAAATAATTATATTGTTAATCTTAATTAATATAATTATACTTTTTTAAAACACATTTATTAATATTATTTATAAAAAGTATATAAAAAATTTTAATAATTAAAAAACAATTTAAAATCACAGTTTAACTGTATATAAATATATTCAAAACATTAATAAAAACTAAAAAACTGCAAAACTACAAAAATCTTAAACATTTCTTAAACACCGAAACTACAGAAGTAAATCTATTAAAACAAAGCATTAATATGGACTAAAAGCTACTAAAAAATTATAAAACAAATCAAATACTATACAAAATTCCAAAAATCAAGATATTTAATATGTATTTTTATAAATTATATTAATAAAAAGGTCATAATATATTTTTAAAACTTATTTTTATATCAAATAGACCTATCAAAGAATAGACAATTACTTTACTACACTACCATTTGAGTAATGCCTGGACCTCCAAGAAGAGAACTATTTGTGAATGTCTGACCCTTAAGAGCAGCGATTACTATCAATATTTAACAATTTATATAAAAATGAAAATAATCTATACCATAACATAAACAAGCAATAGTCATAAAAAATCCAGCAACAATTAAGGATGTCAATTTAATAATTCCCGAAAGAAACAAGATAGTAGAAAAAATAATGTACACCCCCTATAGAAATAAGTTACAATGTATTTAAAAAAATTTTTAAAACACACAGCACGTGGCCAATTTTGATTAAAATATTGAATAAAAGAATCACTATAACATTAGTATTCAAAAAAAACTAAAATACATACAATTTTTGGCTAGTGGGACATATTCTTGTTAAAAATGGAATTTCAACAAACATAAGTATAAAGCCCATTACCCTAGAGTATTAGAAAATGACAAAAAAAAAAAAAGCAAATACAAGCTCAATACACTGAAAACGACAATAGAGCCAATATGAAATAAATTCACAAACCCCAAAACAAAGTCAACTATATACTTATTGATTTTTGTTCCATAATAATAAAAAATAAATTACGAATAATAGAGATAATCCCAAACCTAAATATTAGATTAAAACACCAATTTATAAAAAAAAAGCTTAAAAACAATAATACCATTGCGCATATATACTGAAATTCCAAGCTTTAATTTCATCTACAAAACCCATAATTCAATAATTTTTCCTAAAAAACAATTTTAGTAGAATTATTAAAAAAAAAGTTTCTAGAATTTACAGAAACAATCTCAGAAAATATTCAAATAGCTAAAATAAAACCAAATCTTCTAAGACTAAATTTCTTTTTTTCTTCAAAATAGAATAAGTTTATCAAATTTTTCAAGTTCAGAAATTAATAATTGCCTAATATGATTTAAAATAAAATAAAATATTAATAAATTGCTTACTAAAACCTGAAAAAATACGTATTTAATAAGCACAAAAGATATATTATTATCTAAATATTGAACTTGATGTACTTTTATAAAAAAATATTCCGAAAATTTCATTCGTAAATAAATTATAAAAATAAAAAATATAAAAATAAAAAAATGACTGGTATATATTTACTTTTTCACAATATTTAAGATAAAAATCTAATAATAAATAGATATAAATGCATTAGCAACACAGTTTACTGTATTGATAATTATACACCTCATATTCTGTTAATTCTTTATAGGACTTTTATTATAAAAATTTTGATACAGATAGATCTCAACTGGCGTCATTATATGTATGTAATAAGATATATAATAGAATGATTCAAACAGACTTACTAAAAAATAGCGTTCTCATTCAATGCTTACTTTTGAGAGTTCTCAAATTCAAGGAGCTGACAAAATTATACAAAAATTAATGGTTCGTCCTTCATTAATATATAATATTTAAAATATTACATAATAAATTTTTATATATTTTTTAAATTGACAACTTTATAGGAACTCCCTTTTACTAAAGTACAACATAGAATTTCAACTCTTGATGTTCAGCCTTCTATGTTATCTGGAGGAAGTGTTATTGTTATGGTTACAGGTGAACTTTTAGTATATACTTAGTATACTTGGAAAACGTAATTAAATTAATATTATTAGGTTGATGAAGAACAAAATCCCCAACGATATTCACAAACTTTTCATCTTATTCCAGAAGGGAATACTTTTTATGTACTAAATGATATTTTTAGGTTAAATTATTCATAGAATAACTAATTATATTGTAACAATGCGTTTTTCTCAAAAAGTATATACACATTTTTTGATATAAATAATTTTTGTATAATATTATGAAACATAACAATTATATTTTAACATATTTAAATATATTTGAATCTTTTAAAACATGAGATTCATTTCAACCAAATCTAATATCAAACTATATAAAATTCTAAAAAAGAGGTACCGAAAGTTTCAAACTTAAAATATCATAAAAATTGTAAATCAAAAAAATTAAAATCAAATTACATATCATAAACATGTATTTTAATATTGTTTAATAGTATAAACCAAAATTTAAAAGATAACTAAAATACTTTATTAGACTTTAATTTTTAAATACAAACTAAAAATCTAAAATTAAAATATTTAGAATAGTTAAATGTAAAAATATCTTTAAGAAATATCTTTAAGAAAAAATCATAACGTTAAAAAACAATTAGTAAGAAATAATTTTTAAAAAATCTATAAACAATTTTTATTTTATATATAACTCCTTTAATAAATTTTTTAATCTTAATTACAACAAAAATACTATAAAATAACTACTATTATTCTATTTTTATCTATAGTAGCTTTTATCTTTTTAATTTTCTTTTTAATTCTATAAATATCATATACAAATGATCATTATTAAAAATAACCACAAAACCATAGAATTACTTATAACATAAGAGTTAGTCACAGATTTACAATTTACATATTGCAAAATTCAAAACCTAAAATCTATTATTTTTAAAAATATCTTTATTTCAAAAAAAAGCAATAGAAAACCACTACTTTACTATCACTTTATAATATTAATATATATACCATAAATATCATCTAAAATTATTAAAAAAAGCAAGAATAAAATATTAATGTTTCTATACAAATCACTTTAAAAAATTACTATCAAAAATCAAGAATTTAAATAAAATACAATAAAAAAAACTTCATTCTTTTTAAAAATATTTTATTAAAACAAAATTAGTAAATATAACTTAAATAACCTAAAAAATAATATGAAATAACTTTAACTTTAATAAAGAAAATAATAAAAAGATAACTTTAAAAATGCAAAATAATAATAGAATAGAAAAATAATCTTATTATTATTATTAATTCTATAATTAATTAACATTATTTTTCAATATATTTAAAAATAACAGATTAAAGTTTATAAATCTAAGTATTAATGGTTTAAACTTGAAAAAATGTTTAAGAAAAAACAAAAAATACTAATAAACTTATTTAAATACTTCAAATCTATAAAATCTATAAAAAATATAATTAAACAAAACTTTTACTGAAACAATATTTATGTTTTCAAAAAGTTTTAAGTTATCAAAATAATCTTAATTTTAATTTATAATATAAATTTAAAATATCTAAAAATACAACTTTAATTAAAAAATAAACACAGGTTAACATAGTAATCTAAGAATTAAAAAATAACTAATTAAATAAAAAACATTAAATCTTAGAAATCTAGAAATAATTTTATTATAAAAATTCAAACATATTTACAAAATAAAGATTTATTAAAAACATTCGAACAAATGATATTATTGAAAATTAAAATTTATTTATTATTTATATTTTATCTTAGTCATTTGTTAAATATCATTCTTTTATACAATATATCATATTTTTATTACTTTTTTATGAATAAAAAATTTTCTTTTTTTATATTTATAATTATTAAAGATTTTATTTCAAAAAAAAATAATTTTTAAATTATTTCTATTATTGAATTATATATAAAATGATAATTATCATTTAACTATTATTTTAAATAAATTAATCAAAAGCATATTTAAAGTTGTATCAATGAAAATATTCAGATGAAAAAATCCAGTAATAATTTTTTTTTCAATAAATTTTAAAATGAAAAAATATACAAAAAAACAAAAAATACAAAATTTTATTAAAAACATCTAAATTCAAAATTTTTCATAAAACATTTTTTTTACAAAAGCATAACCAACAAACAATATTACTAAATAATTAATAATGCATAAATTATTAATAAAATTATCTTCTAATTACTCAAAAAATCTATTATTACTTTTATTAAGATTTATAATAAAACAATAAATCAATATTATTAAAAGTATAATAAGTTAACAAAGGAATATTTTTTAAAAACATTAAAAAAAATCTAAGATTGTAAAACAAAAATCAAAAAAAGCTTTTAAATATTAAAAAAAAATAACTAATTAATTATGAAATTTATTAATTTACAAGTAACACCAAATAAAATTGCAAATTTCTTAAAATATTAAAGCCTCGTTCGAAATATAAATTTCATTAATAAAATATCCTATAGATTACCTAAACAATACAATTTTTATGTCCTTAAATTGTCCTTAAGTAAGATGATAAAGTTTAAAAATCTTCAAAAGAACTAACAATAGCAATATTATTTACTCTTGTCTAAGTCTTTTTACTCGAATATAAAATTTTGTAACAAGAAATACATTTACGTGTTTTTATAAAAAATAATAAAATATTCTTGTCACTAAACCTAAAGAAAATTATTTTTATAATGAAAAACTAGAAAAAATATATAAAAAAATATATATGTAATAATGACAAGCTTTCCCTAATAAAAACAAATATATATAGTAAGTTAAAGAAAACAAAATAAAATATTCCTAAAACATTATTCACTCCAAATAGTTTATACTATTTAATCATAAAAAAAATTTGAACTATCTCTCATTTTTCATTGAACTTAATTGCTATTATTAATTCAAAAGAGTATTCAGATTTAAGTTAAGTTATTTTTATTTGCAAAGATATTACAAAAGAAACTTTAAAAATACACAAATTTAAGCATAAAACAATAAAGAATACCAAATACTTAAAATAACAAATAATGAAAATATTGATTAAAAAAAAACTACAAACCGTAAATTAAAACTAAAAATGAATTTTTTAAAACTAATCAAACTATATAAAAATTATCAATGCAAAAAATGTACAAAAAACTTGTATAAATGACTAAAAAAGCAGTCTTAAAATCAAAAATTAATAAAATACTTGAAAACATCAATATTTTTTTAAAAAGTAATTATCATTAGTTGAAAAGTATTTTTATAATTTAAATTCTAAAAACAGCAAAAAACATGGAAAAATACGAAAAACTATATGGTTTTGAATTTAGATTTTAACTTGATAAAACTAGATATAAAAAATAAGTAAAAATAAAACAATATAAAATAGTTTTAGATAAAAAATAAAATTGGAATAAAAAATCTAAAATAACAATATTTTTTATGCATAAAAATATTGAATCAAGAAGAATGAAAAATACGATAATCTTAAAAATGAGATTATAGCTAGCTTTAATAGAACTAGAAAATCTATTAATAATATTAACACATGTATATCGAATGAAGAATTTTATTTGAAAAAAAGCCACTATAACTATCATATTCAATGCATACTCTACCGAGAATTTTCTGATTTTTCTAATATCTATAATGATATAACAGAACAATTCTATGAAAAATTCCTACATAGTTGGCCTATATTTTTTTTAATTGCCTTTATTTTTTGTTTATACCCTTTTATATACTATACCTTGTTAAGATTTACGATTACCCCACATTTACTCCGCATAAATTTAAAATATCGCGAAGCAGCCAAGTTACACGTTAAAGAAAGCGGGCACCTTTAAATGTATTTGGTACACACTGCTTCTCTGACAAGTCTTATCACTAAGTTTACTTGAACTCCCTTAAAATTAAGAATAATTTAATACTTAAATTTGAAGACATGGTTCTAACATCTCACATGTAGTCAAAACACATTAACGGAAACTCAAACTCAGCCACACACCACAGTGCAAACCCACCGCCGTCAGGCACAGCTTGGCGCGGGCGGTGGCGCGGGCGGTTAAGCGGCAAGCACAAGTGACGCAAGGCGTGCAAAATGTATATGATGATGAGGATTATCTTTTGGCGTTGATCTTGAAAGATAAATTAGAAGAAACAGAGTGCAAAAAAAAACTGAAAGAATACTGCAAAGGTTTAAGAACTATAAATCCTGGATTAGATAAAGTAGATGAAAAACTACAGAAAGTATGTAAAGAAGATAAAACAGCAGAAAAAAAGTGCACAGGATTAAAAGAAAAGATTAAAGCAAAATGCACCGTATTCATGAATGAACTTAAAACAGAAAGTGGAAAAAGTATTTCAAAATTGAAAGACAACGATTGCAAAAATAATGAGCAAAAATGTTTGTTTTTAGAAGGAGCATGCTCTGATGATCTTAAAGAGAAGTGTAATGACTTAAGAAATAAATGTTATCAAAAGAAACGTGATGAAGTGGCAGAAAAAGCTCTTTTAAGAGCGCTTAATGGTGATCTTAAAGATAAGGACCTGTGCAAAAAAAAGATTGAAAATGTTTGTCTTTTGTTAGGCCAAGAAAGTAACGAATTAATGCAAAAATGTTTTGATACAGAATCTCTATGTACATCTTTAGTACAAACAATAAAGGATAAATGTGCTTCTTTAAAAACGGAGATAGGAAAAGTACTAACTACTGATGGGAAGTTACAAAAAAAAGAGCATTCTTTACTTGAAAAATTACTTGAAAAATGTCATTTCCACTATGAGAGCTGTAAAACAGAAAATCCAGATTGTAATAACTTGAAAAAGAAATGTAAAGATGCAGGAATAACTTATATACCACCAGGCTTAAAATTTGATCCTACAAAACCAGAAGCTACACTGGCGGAAAAAATAGGTTTGGAAGAACTTTACAAAGAAGCGGCAAGACAAGGAGTTGTAATTCAAAGAGCACTGGAAAGAGATATTGTTGATCTATTAGTGTTTCTGTCAGGAAGTAACCCTTTTGATGACACACAATGCCAGAGTGTACTCAATACTAAATGTAGTTCTATTGAATATCTAACACAGGGTCTAAAAGATTTATGTGGAAATAAGAGCAATTATACAAAGAAATGTAAAGAATTTAAAGAAGAATTTCAAGAAACAAAGGACTCTCTGGAAGTAAAGTTTAGAAGCAATTTATTTGAAAAAGAAATTAAATTATGGGGTGAATTACCGAAATTTCTTACAGAAAATGATTGTGTAGGGTTACAATCAGACTGTTTTTATTTTGAAGGCCAAACAGATTTTGAAAAAATATGTAAGAATGTTAAAGCAGCGTGTTATAAAAAAGGCCTTGATGCATTAGCAAACCAAGCATTACAAGACAAAATGAGAGGGAAATTCCATAATAGAAACGATACATGGTTTGAAACACTTCAAAAAGATTTGGTAAAGACATGTGTAGATTTCAAAGGGGAGAGCGATGAATTATTCGTTTTATGTGTAAAACCAACAGAAGGAGCTCTTACAGTATTAACGGATTTACATACGAGGACAAACTTGTTGCAAGGAGATTTAAATGAAAGACGAGATTTTCCTACGAGACAAGATTGCGAGGAATTACTGAAGAAATGTCAAGATTTAGAACAAGATTCAGAAGAAATCAAATGGCCCTGTCGTACGTTGAAACACCATTGTAATAGGCTGGAGATTGCAGAACAATTGGAAGAGAGGTTGTTGGAAGAAAAAGTGAAGGATTTGGACAAGTTCGATTTATGTTTAGAAAATTTAGGAAAACGATGCCATGAATGGAGTAAAAGAGGAAGAACTCGTTTTGCTCTTGCATGTGTAGCACAGAATATTACTTGCAAGATTCTTACAAAAAGCGTAGAATCTAAGTGTACTACATTGAAGGCACGTATGAAAACAAATGGTGTTTTGGATAAAGCGAAAGAAGAAAAAACAATGGAAGAAACATGTGATTCTTGGACACCCTATTGCAGCAAATTCATGTCAAGTTGCCAAAGTCTAATTGCCGGTGATGGAAAATGTAAGGAGCTTAACAAGGAATGTGAAACGTTCATCAAAAAGAAGGAATTGGAACTGAAAGTAGTTGATCAATTGAAGGGTCATTTAAATACAAGAAAAAAATGTAAAGGGGAGCTTGACAAATACTGCACACAATGGGCTAATGCAAGTAATGGGCTTGAAACTCTATGCACTGATACTACTAATAGCAAGAACGATACTGAAGTTAGGAAAAAACTTTGCGAAAAACTAGTAGAACAAGTGAAAAGTCAATGCCCTGAATTACAGAAAAAACTTGCAGAGACTAGTAAAGAGTTGGAGAAAAAAGCTAACGAATATGAGGATATCAAAAAAAAAGCAAAAGATGCAATGGAAAAAGCAAATCTTGTTTTATCAAAAGCGAAAGTAGAAAACAATAAATCGGCAAACGAAGTTGTGCCTAGTGCACCAGCTGTACCCAGCGGAACAAAAGACACGAAGTTGTTTAGACTTATAAGAAGAGATGCAACAGTGAAAGTAACAGAAGACGAAGCGAAAGCATTTGATTTGGTTGCACAAGCATTTGGACTCTACGTAGAATTGAGAGAGATATGCCATGATTTACTAAAAGGATGTGGATTTAAAAAGGAATGTGATTGTGATGATCTATGCAAAACGATAGAAAGTAAATGCCATGGATTGAAGCCACTAGATGTGAAACCATACGAAATAACAACTAAAAACATAACAACTACAACCACAACCACAACGACGACAACAGAAACCGTTAAAGACGCAAAGGCAACAGAGTGCCAGTCTCTACAGACGACAGATACGTGGGTCACAAAGACATCGACCCATACTAGCACTTCTACGACTACGTCCACAGTCACATCAAGAATAACACTCACCTCGACGAGGCGGTGTAAGCCTACGAAGTGTACGACTGGAGACGATCCAGAGGATGTCAAGCCAAGTGAAGGTTTAAGAATGAATGGGTGGAGTATAATGAAGGGGATGATAGTAGCAATGATGATTTCATTCATGATTTAGATGTAAAATGGGAATGGGATATAAGAGCAGCATGTATATTTACTAGATAAATGAGCAGGGTAGGACAGGAAAGAGTAGAGTATGATCTCTTCAGCATCAATTGAAAGTGCATTACACATAAAGTAGCGTGTTCCCTGTGCAAATAGCATGTATTGCCCGGATGAGTGGCCGCTGTTTGTTGTGCCATGTCGTTATCAGCGCATTCAGCGCCTACCCCGGATTTGCCCCACATGGAGTCGAGGTGAGATGCAGTGATGGAGAGATGATGGGATAGAACAATGGGGGGAGTGGGGTTGGGTGGGCGGTGTTTTTTATGTGTGTAGCGTTGAGGTTGATGAGTGGAGTTGAAGTTTGTGAAAGTTGATATAGGCGTTGACAGGGCGTTGACAGAAGCGTTGATATAAGAATTGATATAAGAATTGATAGAAATTAGTGTTTAGAAAGATTTCCATAGTGTATTTGAGCACTGTTTTTAAATAAAATCAAGATTGAAATAAAAAAAAGAAATATTTCAGAGATCAAGATGAGCTGTAGATATTGAATTTGAGAGCCACTGGAAAAAATGAGTGAAAAGGAAAGATGTTGAGAGGAGTAAGATAAAATATGTCGTTAAAATGAAAGAAGCAGTTTAAGGTGGGGGAAAATGAATTTTTTTAAAAAAGTAAAAGTAGATGATAAGCTGAAAGGAGGAGAAGTGAGTGGATAAAAAAAAAGAAAAAAACAAGAGAGAAGCGTTTAGAGGAGTAGGAAGAGTGTTTAGAGTGAAGGTGAGGCGTAGCCAAGGTGTTTTTGTGAATTCAGTGAAAATAGATATAAGATAGATAGATGTAAATAAATGAATCATCAAGAAAGATTGAGTAAGAAATAGAAAGAATAGAATGTAAAGGAGTGAATGTGCATAAGAATAGCGGGGAAAAGTGATGGGGAAAGAGAGAGGGGAAATTTATTTTTTTTTGTTAGAGTAGATTAAAGAGTTTAATATAATTAAACATAGAGAAAATAATAAAATGAAAAATATGAAAAATACATGAAAAGAAGAAAAAACGCCCACTGAATCTAAGAGGAGAGGAGAGTCAGGAAAAGTCGTTTTTTCTTTATAAAACACGCTGGATGGGGAGGAAGTTGAGTAGAGCCAAAGTCGAGGGGAGACAAAAAGAGGATGAATAAAAAACAAGAACAGCAGGAGAAAACAAGCAGGTGTAGAGGTTAGATTTAGAAGAGGAGAAATCACAAGAGAAATGGCCTTTTTATGTAAATTTATTCAGATAAAAGTAGGTGGAGGAAACTGATCAGAGTTGGGGTCGAGGGGAGAGAGGGTGGTAGATAAAAAACAAGAACAAGAAGAAAGAACAAGCAGGAGTAAAGATTAGATTTAAAAGACACAAAATAAGAAGAGAAATAGCCTTTTTATGTAAATAAAAATAGGTGAGAGGGAATTGATAGCAAGTGGCGTCAAAGGGAGGGGGAAAAGTGGTGGACAAAAAAGCAGAAAGAGGGGGAGAAAAGAGAGGAGCAAAGAGGATAGAATAAAATGAGGAGAAGCAGTGCAAAGAGAGGAAGAATCAAGGAGGTGGAGGGCGGGGTGAGGGAATAAAGATAGAGAAGGGACAGGGGACAGGGGAGGAGGAGGGCACGGGACAGCCGGGGAGGGTTACGGACAGCCGGAGGGGTATAAATTGGGAGGAGAGAGGGGGGAGGGGGGGTGGGTCCTCTTTGCAAGAAAAACCAAAAAAAAGAGGGTTCAAGAGAGGGGGTTAGGAGGGGGTTTAAGATGAGATTTAAGCCCGGATTTAGGGGAGGTTTAGGGTCAGATTTGGAGCACAGAGGAGGGTTTATTTGTTTTCAGGCCCGGACCTCAGCGAGGCTTCAAACTGCAGTTTAAAAGGCGGAAAAACGGAGTTAAAATGAGGGTTATTTTGATTGGAATTGGGGGGTCATTAAGAGGGTGTTTTCAGAAGAATTTCAGGCAGAATGGCTTAGAAATGGCCTAAAGCGAGGGTTTGACGTGGGAGACGAGGGTTTAGCAGAAGAGGAGAGGGTTTGAGGCAGGAAAAAAGGGTTGGGTAAAAAAGGGGGAGGTTGTTTCCATGGCAACAAAAACAGCCAATAGGATTCGAGTGAGCTTGGGTGGGGTTTGAGTGGGGTTTAGATAGGGTTTAGATAGGGTTAGAAGGAGAATAGAGTTTGTTTTGTAAAAGAATGGGAAAAAGATTGCAAAAAGATTGCGTTTAAACACACGGTGGAGTAGTTATAGGCAGGTCAAGATCACGTGACCCACACGTGAAAGTCACGTGCAACGAAGAAATTTGGGTGGGGTAAGGCCGGGGTTAGAGTAGGGGAGCAGCTGTGAGGCATTGTTTAGGCGAGAAGCAACGAATGAACGTTGTTTGAGCAGAGTATGGAAAAGAATGCACCGTTTAAACGGGGGAAAGCATAGAAGGGACAGTTTGAAGAGTTTGAGGGGGAAACGCAGTGTGGAGTGCTGGTAGGGGAGGTCAGGATCACGTGACCATCACGTGTCACAGCCAAAATTTGAGTGGGGTAAAGCCAAGAGTTTAAGTAGAGGAGCACAAAGCGTTGTTTGAAGAGGGGGTAACGAATGGATTTTGTTTAAACAAGGAAGACGTAAAATGTCGTGTTTAAGTAAAGGAACACGTGAAAGGGGGCAATTTGAAGAGTTTGAGGGAGGAAGCGCAGTGTGGAGTGCTGGTAGGGGAGGACGAAGTCACGTGACCAACACGTGACAGCCAAAATTTGAGTGGGGTAAGGATAGAAATTTAAGTGGAGTACCATCAAGTATTGCTTGGGTGGGAAAAAGGAAATGGACACAATTTAAGCAGGAAAGAACGTAAAAGTTGTGCTTAAGCAGAGGAAAGTGTAGGAGGGGCAATTTAAACAATTTGAGGGGAAAACGCAATGTGAAGTACTGGTAGGGGAGGTCAAGATCACGTGACCCTCAGGTGACATTCACGTGACAGGATTAAAATTTGAGTGGGGTAAAGGCAGGAATTTAGAGTAAAGCAGCACAAAGTGTTGTTTAGGCAGAGGGTAACGAATGGACTTTGTTTAAGCAAAGAACGTCTCGAGAAGTTCAGTTTAAGCTGAAGGACGCGTAAAAGTGTCTGTTTAAACAGTTGGGGGAGGGAAACGCAGTGTGGAGTAGTCGTAGGCAGGTCAGGATCACGTGACCATCACGTGACAGGATTAAAATTTGAGTGGGGTAAGAACCAAGAGTTTAACCAGGGGAGCAGAAGGTGTTATTTGGGCAGAAGGTAACGAATAAACTTTTCTTAAGGAAGGAGGATGTTAAGAAGTCATGTTTGACTAGAGGGAAGCGTAGGAAAGCAAGTTTTAAAGAATTTCTAGAGGAAGTGCAGTATGAAGTATTGGTAGGGAAGGTGCAGTATGAAGTATTGGTAAGGGGAGTGCAGTGTAGAGTACTCGTAGGAAAGGACGAAGTCACGTGACCACATGTGACCCACACGTGATACTTTTAAAATTTGGGTGGGGTAAGGTCAGGAATTGGAGAGAGGCAGTGCAAAGTGTTGTTTGGGCAGGAGGCAAAAAATAAAGCATGTTTGAGTAAAGAACGACAGAAGAAGTTGAGTTTAAAGGGAACAAAGTGTAGGAAGGGCAGTTTAAAGGGTTTGAGTAAGGAAACGCAGTGTGAAGTAGTTGTAGGAGAGGCCGAGATCACGTGACCATCACGTGACAAGATGAAATTTAAGTGGGGTAAAGGCAGGAATTTAGAGTAAAGCAGCACAAGGAGTTACTTAGGCAGGAAAAAAGAGTGGAATTTGTTTAAGCAAAGGAGGGTGTTAAGAAGTCATGTTTGACTAGAGGGAAGCGTAGGAAAGCAAGTTTTAAAGAATTTCTAGAGGAAGTGCAGTATGAAGTATTGGTAAGGGAGGTGCAGTGTGAAGTATTGCTAAGGGAAGTGCAGTGTAGAGTACTCGTAGGGGAGGACGAAGTCACGTGACCATCACGTGACAGGAAGAAATTTAAGTGGGGTAAAGCTAGATTTGGAGTGAAGGAGTACAAAGCGTTGCTTGGATAGGAAAAAGAGAATAGAGTTTGTTCAAGCAAAGGACGACTCAAAAAGGCGAGTTTAGTCGGATGAAAGAGTGGGAAAGGCAATTTAAAGAGTTTGAGGAGGGAGTGCAATGTAGAGTACAGGTAAGGGAGGTCAAAGTCACGTGACTCTCACGTGATATACGCGTGACAGGATGAAATTTAAGTGGGGTGAAGGCAAGTGGATTTAGAGTAAAGCAGCACAAGGCGTTACTTAGGCAGGAAAAAAGAGTGGAATTTGTTTAAGGAAAGGAGGGCGTAGAAAGTCATTTTTAAACAGAGTAACACGAGAGAAAGGCAGTTTTTAAAGAGTTTGAAGAAGGAGTGGAATGTGAAGTCGTCGTAGGGGAAGTGCAGTATGAAGTATTGGTAAGGGAGGTGCAATGTAGAGTCGTCGTAGGGAGGCCGAAGTCACGTGACCATCACGTGACAGGAAGAAATTTAAGTGGGGTAAGGCAAAAATTTAAGTGGGGTAGCACAAAGCGTTGTTTGGAGAGGGGGTGAGGATTAAACTTTGTTTAAGGAGGAAGCAAAGTAAAAAGTCGTCTTTAAGCAGAGGAAAGTGTAGGAGGGGCAGTTTAAAGAATTTGAGGAGGGAGTGCAATGTAGAGTAGTCGTAGGGGAGGACAAGATCACGTGACCATCACGTGACATAGATGTGACACTGAAATTTAAGTGGGGTCAAGGCGAGTGGATTTAATAAAGTCAAGATAGGATTTGGGGGTTGAAACGAGTGGTTTTAACAAAGTTTTAGTGGAGTTGTTTTAGTTAATGATTTGAAATGGTTTTGATGAAGTTTAAGTGAAGTTTGAGCGGAGTCGTTTTGAAGTTGATGGAGTCGTGTTTTTTAGAGTTTGAAGGTTGAGTTGAGTGATTTTGATGAGTTGTTTAGTGAAGTTATTTAAGTGGGGTTGTGTTGAGGTAGTTTG